GTTACCTATTACACTATGAGACTTAAACTTCTGCTTTTCATCCTTTGACACTAGACCTGCTACCCTTCTCTTTCTCTTTCACACTCTCTTTCTCCTCTCTAGGATCCCCTTAGATTCCTCCAACTCATCATTCCCTCTCAGCTCTCTGGTTCACCCCATTCTCAGATTCTGATAGTGTATGGCTAGTCACCTTTTTGAAATAAAGTCCAGGTCCAGGCTCAAAGTGAGCCACCAAAACTTAATACAGTCTGAAATTGATAGTCTCTACAGGGATCATCTGTAATCTATCCTCTGTTACTAGCTCTATCTGCTCCATCTCTACAGCAGCTGCTGTTTTCACCACAGCCTCTGTGGCTTTCTTCTCTGCAGCTTTCTGTTGAGTTATAGCCTCTATAGTCTCCTCCACTTTTTTTGCCTGCTTCTTCATGGCCAACTGGACCTCAAAAAAAAGATTGACTGATCTTCATATATATAGAAAAGTTAAGTTGCCAGCAGGCAAAAAAATTAATTACAAAATTTAACTTGAAAATTGTGAAAGAGTAATTGAAATAGTAGTCAGTGGTTGGAATTGAAATAGTAAAGATGGATGCCAGTGATGTCCAAAGTAGTGTGGTATCAAGAAGAGAATGTTTGGATGATCTTAGATAAAAGTTCTAGTTTGTCTGGGTATCAATAGTGGAAATCTTTAATGAACTTGTTGATAGAGAACTCAGAGGCTGGTAACTAAGCAAATTCTTTGTCAGTACCCTTATAGTCTAGCCACTTGATCTTATACAGTAGTAGACAGCAAAACCAGTGATCCAACTTAGAATCAAGAATTTGAGCTATTTCTTCTCTGTTGACTTTGACTGGAGGTGATGGAGGTTGGATTCAGTTAGAGATGATGTTTTTCTCTATGGGTTTCAACTGTGATATGTAGAAGACTGAGTGAATGGACCAGAGATCCAGTGGAAGCTTCAGAGTGAAAAAGTGAGGCCATCAAATAATCAGAGTTGCATACTAGAAATAGTTTTAATAGGAATATCATTGATAGCTACATACTTAGTGTCAACAAAGCAGTGGCTAGAACCAGAATTGATAAGAGCAAGGAAATATGGAATGGTAGAATCTAGAGATCTGTTGAGTTCTGTACTAGATGGTAATTCTGCTGAAAGTGGAAGATAAAAGGATTGGTTGAAAAGAGATATTATATTGAGAGTAATAATCTCCAGTGTGCAAATAGAGTCAATGTAACCCTGAACTCATACAGAGAAAACAGAGTTGCTTTCTAGTTTTCTGACTCCTTTGGAGCTGGTTTCTCAAGAGCAGTGTCTTCTTCTACTGTATGACCCTTGATAGAGGCTGCTGTCTTCTGTTTGTTGCAATCCTTGGTTTTGTGTTTGGTCTCACAGAACATGCAGAAGTTGTTCTAGTGCTAGTGGTCATCTTCTTTCTGAGTAAGATCACTGTCTTTGCTTAGCTTGTCAGCATAGAGCTTAGGAGTGGTGGATTTTATTGTGAAGCCAGAGTCTAAGAAAGAAGAGTTGAACTCTTTAGATTCAGAGTTGAAAGATTGATTAGAGGCCTTATTGTTCTAGTTTTCACAGGCAATTTCAGTCTTTCAGGTTCAGTAGTAAGCATCAAATTCTTGAGTAAAAAAGTGCATATTGCAGAGGTTGTTAGACTTTCCATAGTGAGCTATGTTGTTCTTGATGTAAGTGTAGAGACCATAGTCAAAGATATGGCAGAGAGAGTTATCTTCATACCCAATTTGTGAGATATACTGATTGAATTGGACTATATACTTTATAATCTGGTCTCTATCATGCATCTGAAGGTGCTCTAATGCATCTTTGGCATCTCTGATGGTGTTAAAGAGGCCAAAGTTGCTATAAAGCTCTAAGAAGGCTGCATAGAAAAATTACTAGACTAGTGGATTCTGCAGATTAGAATTAAGAATGTCTGATTCAAATAGTTGAGCATAGTGCCAGCCAGAAAGAAGATGGCATAGTTGATCTTGCTGACATCTGCTATGAACACAGTAGGTCTGTCATTGAAGTTCAACTGAAGAAAAACAATAAAGGTCTTTAGTTTGCAAGAATCAGAGCTATCAAAGAGTTCCAGTTTCTTGATCTTGATGTGGATAGTGGCTGGCTTGAGATTATTAAGAAAAGTAGAGACTCCTCATAGCAGGTTCATGAATTCTAAAAACATGTCCTATTAGTTTGAGTTGTTGCTTTTTGCAGAGCCATTAGAATCACTTGAATCTCCTGTACTATCTGAAAAGAGATTTGGTGAGTTACTATCTGATCTCTGGCAAATAAGAGTATGAGTAGAAGTGTCTTTACCTCTGCTCTCTGAGTCTGAGCTGTCTGAATTCTCATGCATGTTGCCTAAGGATAAGAAGTCTGTTAAAGAGTCACTTTAGATGCTATATATTGTGCTGGCCTATCAGGCTCTATTAGTTAGGATGCTAGTAGCATCAAAAGGGTTAGAGAAGTTGTCATAGTTGGGTTAATAGGCAATAAAGCTAAAGTGGATGTAGATTTTTCTATTGGAGAGTTGTCCTCCACTGGAGGTCAATCCAAAGAGGCCTAGTTGTTTTTTTGAGACAGAGGCTGAAATGTCTTTCATGAAAAACATGTTGGAGTAGCTGGGCTGGGTTTATTTGAAATCAGCTTCTGTGAATTGAATGAATATGATGGACATAATTAAAAAAATTTTCAACTCAAGAGTTTGAGTTCAAATATACTGTTAGGAACATGCTAATTGATTAGACTTGAGTGCACATGCAGAGACTGGCAGAGTGCATAGGCATCAATGAAGCCATTGGCAATGTCACTCTTGAGTTGAGGTCTAAGGATTTGGATTAACAGAACAGAGTTCTGTTGGAGAAGTGAAGAAGAATATTCTTTAGAGCAGAATCTGATGGATGAGATAAAGAGAAGCTAAAGTGAGTATAAAGTGTAGATGGCTATTCAAGTTGATATTCAAACTGAGTAATTACAGTGCTTGTATATAGTTTATATACTATTAGTAGTTCTTTCTGAGTCAGAATCTATTGAATTCTGTTATTAACTGTTTGCTACTATATTCAGAGTTTAGATACTACAATATGAAATATAGATGTGAAATAATAATAGTGAAATAAAATTAATTAGTAATAAAAAACAGGCAAAGTCTAGTGAGACTTAATGATTAAGTTCTTAGTTGGTCAGAGTGACATGGAGGCCAGCAGCATGTGTGTAACAGGTCATCAATAAGCAGCTAAAATAAGATAAATGTTTTAATAAAATAAAATTGAGATAAGATAAGTAAAAAAATCATAACAGATAATCTCAAGTCCTAGATAGTAGACTTTCATACCAGAGATTAAAGAGCTTTATTATGATACAAAAAAAATTTATGACTCCTATTCAGCTGAAACATGAAATATCCAATCATCAACTGGGATATCACTATAGTTTTCTCTAGCATCAGAGTCTTTATACAAAAGAATGAGATCACTAAGTTTTAAAGACTAGCTACTGCTGGTAAATTATAGAGACAACAGAAAATTCACATCTGCATTTATATGCTGATATGAAATAAAGAGACAGCTGAGATCAAGTACATGCCATGCTAATAATTCATATACAGTCAAATCTTTGATGTCAATGATTATTATCATTGTCTTTGCTAAAATCTCACTAAAAGATACTATATCAAAAGAGACAACAAGAAACAAATATTGATTTTAGTGAGGAAAAAGAGAGAGTGACAATATTTGCATCTCAAAGCATGGCAAGAACATTCAATTATCAATCTGGAGATATTAGTATATCTATTATCTAAAAATAAATAAAACATTAGATAGAAATTACACACTCAATCTAGCTACTATCTATTATATAACTTAACAGACATATATTATAACTATAAGATTATAGCATTATATATTGATAGAGATATATTTGATATTTATTATCAATGATTAGCTTAGTCATATTATTGCCTAAATAGGTAATAACAATATAAAAAATAAGAGTCCTTTATGCTTAATATTAACAAGTTTAATTGTTTATATTGCATTTAATTTTTACACATTTTGAGATCATATATTCAAGAAATAGCCTGATTAGATTATGTGGCTGTCAGCTTTGATCTGAATGCCAACAGGCTACAGTATAATCCTATTCATTTAAAGTTCTATTTTTTAAGAAATATTTGATATAGACATATTGTTTTTAATTAAACTTTATGCTTACAATGGGTTATATATGTATCTCACTCAAGATTGCACTCAAAGGCATAAAATATTCTTATGTAAAAGTATTAATCAATGTTCAGATATTAGCTAATTGAAAACTAACATATAAAGTAATAGAAGAGTATCAGAGATTCTAAGACACTATATCATTTGAAATAGAGCATACTAGTCTTGTATTCCATATTATGCCAAGCAGCTGTACTGACTTAACTCTGAATCCTTCTGGGAAGATGTGCTTGAAAACAATGCACTAGCAGCATTAAAAGAGATTCCCATTGTTAGTATGCATTAGTAAGCTTTTTAATAACTTAGATGATTGGAAATAGCAGCTAACATTCTCATCCCTAGATTTGTTAACTATTCTCTTCAATTCATAGATGCCTGTGCATGTGGGTTAAATAGTAGACAGGCCAATTGGGCAGCCAGATGCTATAGAGGTCATTGGACACTACCAGAGAACATTCTTGAAGAACTAGAGAAAGAAAATATTATATAACTGCATCTGCTTTTTGAAAACATGTTAATTACTCTATGAATTCAAGGCCATTGTCAAATCCCTTTCATTCTGAACTGCCTAAACATGTTTCTCACAACTTTTATCTTTTACATCTGTGATATTGTCCATGCAGCAGTTTCTATTCCTCATTGAGTGTTTTGTTCACCCAGTTTGGACATCTATGTCACATTAATAGTCACACCACGTGACATTGGCGGACTCGCCTACCTTGTCAGGGAATGCTCTGTTGTCGCTTGTTTTCCCTGGCTTTTACCGGTCCGAGATACCGATCGCGACTTTTCACCTTTCCATTGCCTTCAATGGTCCGTCTAATCACTCACAATCTTTTGGCATGTCATGTCAAAGGATGCACTTCCAATAATTTCCCGCTGGAGTTTAAGGATGTGCAGGTTGAGCTGCGCGACGCCGAATTCAATTCCGATTTTCTCAGAGGCTTCATTCCCAAAATTGAATGGAAGGCTTTAGTTGACGCTGCCAGACAGGTATGCCTAGTTACAACACGTCCTTGTTGTTTGGAATTTTCATTTTTACAGGTAGGAAATACGTCTCTTCCATTAGAGCTGCCTGAAATGTTGGACGATGATTTCTTGAAAAGTCTTCATCATGTTTTGCTTGAAGTGAGCCAAACCTACAGTCGATCGTCGGAGTCTGGCATGCTGACCGATTCACAGATACATGTAGAAGAGGGTTCTATGACCTGTCCTAACTGCCATCATGTCTATCCCATATCCAATGGAATCCCAAACATGGTGCGTTCGCGCGTTATTTCGACAAATAATTCTCATTTCTCTTTCAGCTTTTGGCAGAACATGAAATTGGCTAGCGCTTCAATTAATTAACGAATGTAGAACATCAGATGTTATGTACATGGTTTACGTTCATAGTACACCTTTTGTGCTAGGAACGTCGTTACTTCCCGTTCTCTCGATAGCTTGGCGGATGGCCAAAGCAAGTGCTTTGAAAGCGGATTCCGACCTGTATTCAGAGCCATGACTAGGGATGGGAAAGTAGACTTCGTATGGCACGTACCGATGATGGTCATTTTCTCCTCGAAGAACGTCCACATGCAATGTAACTCCAGATGCAATCGCGAACGAGTAGAATATGTGCGGTATCATCTCCGTCGAGAGATCGCCAATCTTTTCCCTCTTGAGTCCAAGGTCGGTGACGCAGTACGGTCTTGAGCATATGTCTATCACAGCTCGCGATAGGGCCTGGAGCACAGAAAGCGTAAGGAAATTTTGTATTCCAGTACGGGCGAACGAATACGCACCTCGTCTAGGGGTGCAAAGCCAGTTCCATACCGTCGTATGCCGCGTACCTCCCCAAGAGCTTGCTTAAAGGCTGTCCCAAGAGCAATAGCGCTATCCTGTAATGACAAATAGACCTCAATACGATTAGCCAGAAGTTCAAGAAGATAATGGACATATCTGCGGTATGGTGGTCGTCTATAAAGAGATCCCCTCTACACTTCATGGTCAGGGACATTCCACCGTGCTTCGCCAGCGCCGTGTACATCTGCAAATTGCGGTTCTGAATTGTATATTTGGGTCCCTGGAAGTGGTTCATACATGATCTAGAAAGCCGATTCCGGTTGAAACATCGATAGTTTGCACGACATTGGATCCTGGAGCACAGTCAAGATTTATAGACACCTCTATTTGTGTTTCGCTTGTTTTCCTAAAGATGGATGCAGTCCTGACTGACATGGTAAGGGCAGAGACCTTGACGGAAATGTTCTCACGATTCGAGATTTGTTGGCTTCCGGCACCGGGCCGAGAGCTAGTAGGACCGTAGGGATAACAGACGTACACATCTTATGGCCTTTACGCTCGCATGTCCAAGGTCGACACCGCGATTGTTTGCGTCTATTGGCCCAGCGTACAGCGCTAGCATCGTCCATGCTACACCTCGGAGACACTTTTTCAATTTCTTCCGTCGCTCGAAAAAAAAAACTGACCATGTCCCGCCCTCCGACCCAATCCCCATCCTGACAGAGGATAACCTCCTCCACCCATTTTCCAAGTCGCCTATTCCTGCAGTATGCGCCAGAGGGGAAGTCATCCAGTCAATGGCACCGTGTCCCGTATGCTCCTCGCAGGACCGCGATACTCATGTACATATCGAGGCTCAGCCAAAAACGGTCAAGTTCGAATGCCCGGATTGCGGCTGGCCTGCTCATTGTTCAGAGGAGCATTGGAAGGAAGACAAGGAGCATGAAAAGTACTGCTCGCGGCTTCGGGAGGCGAATGAGGACGAACATGATTTACGTAGTGGGCGGAAGATGTGGGAGTTCGAGATGCCCGGTATGTTCCTTCTCTTCACGTAGTATAGCATCTCTAACAAAGCCGGCAGGGCCTCAGGGATATGAGGAAGCCGTGTCGTTTTCTAATTGGGATATATTCTGGTATACGCGAGGTTTTCCGTCTATGGACACTGAACGCTCCCGACGACATGCCAGTAAGCTACTAAGTTATCCTATGACCATTGGGAGTGTTCTGCATCAACATAGCAGTCTCATGCTGAACAACCAGCGTTTAACGCCGGAGGGGAGTCGGTCAATGGCTGGTGAGCAATTCGTCCCAAGACAACCAAGTGACGCGCTAATGTGTTGGTAGCAATTCGGTCTACTCTCCATACACCTACTGGAGCACCAGAAACGCAAGAGGCGACAGTAGGAAAGCCCCAAGTCCGTATCTTCATTCTGGGGGCGCGTGCAGAGTCTTCTCTTCCGCCCCATGTCTGGGAACAACTTGGATTCCTGTTCCCTGCCGCTAACTTCCAACTACTGTTTATCGGTCCCCAAGTTTCTCTCCCTAAGGATATCCAAAATCCTCCTAATCTGAAACCCGAGGGGAGTGCTCCAGCGTCGGAGACTTCGACGCCTTCCGACGCGAAATCAGAGGGTGCCGCATCAGTATCCGGGACTTCTACACGAACCCAGGAGACGACAGAGAGCAAAGAAGCCACCACAGATATCAGTACAGATACTCCGGTTTCTTCCGAGTCCCAGGAGGTGGTCGAGCAAGGACAAGAGAAGCCCTTGTATGTTCCCAACATTTACCAGCCTCCGGTACCTGCGCCCATAGTTCCTCACAAACGTACGCGTGCATCCTTGAATCGCTACAGTGTTCCTTCCTACACGACGCCATACACGTACCAAATGACCCTCACCGGCTTGCAGACAAACTACAAGGACGTGCATCCTCTGTTCGAAGAGACCCTAGACCCTTACAGCGACTGCTTCTTCTTCTTCTCTCCCGGATTCGGTTTCCCATCCCAAACATCTATGGACGAGAATGGCGAGCCACTCCTGCAGATCTCCTCTCCAACAGAGTGGGGCCCAGTCCTACCGATGCTCCTCGCGTCCAAATGCCCAATTTTCGTCACAGGTTTCTCGCCCGCAGATGTGGAACGCGACATAAAGTCGCTCTCAACCGCACCTGGTGTGGCAGGCGAGTTTGAGTGGGTCGTTACACCCGGCCCTAATGCCTTTGGAAGCGAGAAGTGGGAGGTTGCAGATTTCGATCCCCGCGTCATGGTGAAGACGAATTGGGGGATATGGGCAATCCGAGGCAAGAGTAGGGATATCCAAGAAAGGAGTTTCTTCAGTAGACTGTTCGAAAAGTAGCGTCCACACCCTAATAAATCAGAATATGAAGCAACTTTCCAACTCAAAATCACGCCTGTTCATCCCTTTGTCTACACAGCAGATAGTATACTGTTACAACAGATGAGGACAATGGTAACTGAAATCAAATCAAAAGCGAATAAATACAGGCCGATTAAGCCTGGTAATAATTACCCGTCTTGCTCTTCGCATAGTGTCTCCAAGAACAACTTCAAGTCGTCCTTGTTGATCTCCAGCACACTAGTGTCAAAAGACCCATGACGTGTCCGAGCATTACATCGTTCCTTTGCAAATAGGAAGGAGAGCGAAAACTCACTGTAGAAATTGGTTAGTATCTATGATACAATAACAAAGCCGGTACTTACTTTTTCCGAACATCGTCGAAGTCAAGTGCGGCTGTCACGCCAACGACTAGATATGACGATGTGCTCTCGTTGAGACACGCAACGACGAAAGGAAGGCTCTTCCGTTTTGTTCGTCTGCTGTGGCTTGAGCCCTCCCGGACAGCGCTGACTAGCCACAATGCCAGCCGCGATAGAATGCCAGGGTGGGAAAACATCGCAAGGTCTGGTCCTTGCGTCAAGACAACGACATGATGATTTCTATTCGACCGAATGTCCCGCTTGTCAATGACAGATGTCCCCGTACGTATGATGGCTCTGTGCACAGACATCGAGAGCTTGAGGGACTGTTGTAAGGGACCAATGCTTCATCGAATTCTGTCAGTCGTCAAATGAAATCGAACAACAAGAAACACTTACTCTGTTAGAGCATCGTAAGCCGTCCAAAAGTTTTTCACCCACCACTTCTCTTTCTCCACATCCTCCTGATTATCTTCGCCTTCAATAGGCTTGACCTTGATCGCTTTGGCCGCAGCTTGACTGCCTGGAGGAATATTCTCCCTTTCATCGTCCCGTTGCCGTTTACTTTCCCGACCAGTACCTGGCGCCTGCCATGGTCGCCCTCCTCCGAACCATTCACCACCATTCCGAGCACCCTCCACTTCAATTTCTATTGCCACACCCGTGTTGACATCCAGCAAGGCACTTATCCCCTCGACCGCATCCGATGCTGATAGCGGCTGCCCCCGATAACCAAAACACCGCATAAATGAAGGGTACGAGAGTTCCACCATACCATATTCCGGTGCAACTTTGTCTAATCTGTCCACCAGATCCCGCTTCAGATCTATATCCATGTGGGTATACTGTTGCTGGGTCTGCTGCAACGAAAACCCCATCTTGGCCAGAAGACCGGTCAACTTTTTCCTTCCCTTATCTTGCCATATACCAAGCTTGCTCGCTATATAACTGGAGTGAAACATCGCGTCATAGAGGGTCCAATGACGGAACAGCATGAATCTGAGTTCATCCGTTGTCCGGACGCTGAAGTCGTCGGGACTAAGTGAGATTTGGGTTTTGTCACCACTGGGAAGAGGGGGGTTCAGACGGAAAACTTCGTCGTAGTATATTGAATGGAACTCTTCATATTTTTTCCGTGATATCCGCGCTGTCGTGTACTGGAAAGTCAATCCAAGGATGGCGAACCTAGCCGACGTCAACCGTTGCATTCCCTACTACTGCCACCAAGCTTACCAGAGTAGGTCATTATCAACTCGCTCCAGCACCGTGGCGAGAAGGTAGATTGTCGCAGACGCACTCTGCCCATGCCAGGTACCGGATGTGTAGTGTTTATTGAGCCGATGTTCATATGTTTCGCGTTCATCGCGTGACATCCGAGTTACTCGACGCTGCTGAGAACATGAAAACAACAAAAGATAGTGCAAAACGAAACACACCTCTCCGTCCGTCCGCCTCCGTTTACCTCGCCGTTCGCCCTCTCCTAATGACCTCCGCTTCCCATTTGCACTGCTGCTGCTCTCGTACTCTTCTTCTTCATCCTCGTCATCTTCTGGTGCATCGTCTGAATTGTAATTGGAATCGTCTTCTGAATCTGGATCCGGTTCAAACTGTGTGCGGAATAAACCACGCATTTAGACGTTTCACGTTCCATCGCGTACCATCAAAGCTTCAAGTGCCTTATGCTCTTCCGCAAGCTTTTCGGCCTCTCCATCGTCCCAGACAACTATTCGATCTCCTTTCTCTCCGGTTCCAAACAAACTGGCCAAATTCTGAGGGCGAGCGGAATCGATGACATGTACGGTCATTTGAGAGTTGAAGCCACCGAACCACTCCTCTGAAGGAAGGTCGAGAACGCCGCCCATATTCAACAGTATGAGTGCATGCAGCTACCAAATATGAGTGTAAGTCATTCTCCAAAAAATATTTTACACACCTCTGCAACTGAAATTAGGTCGTTCCTGACAGTCTGAAGCTCCGAAATGCCAGAAACCGGAATAGTTCGGTAGGCCACATCGTCCTGTTTGAACAAGTCTGCAAGCATCCGAGCTGCACATAAAGCATCAACGTCTGGTGAGACTAGCATTATGACTGAGGAGGCTGAAGTCAGCGGGGACCGTCGGTGGGCCATGAGGATAGAGTTATAAGCCTCTCCATAGGATGTTCGTGTCACTGTCGTCAGGTGTGGGGGTGGGAGATACACCATGGCGATATGGTGATTAACAACCTAGGTTGTGACAATAGAGGCATAGCCAGCAAGTCACAAGAGTCAACAGCGCGTTGTGTCATCACGTGACAGTCACTCATGGTGACGATCCACGACGCGTCGCGTGGGCCGCCGCGTACGGCGTCGGGCTCCGTCCTAAACTTGATGGTGATGCTAAGCACGAGATTCAGAATGTCACTGGAAGTATTGGTCGCGATTTATTACTTCTGCGGATCGATAATCATAAACACGGACAGAAAATTTAGGCACAACACAAAGCAATTCTTAACGTTGACATTCCATGTTCATACACTTTTTACGTTCGTGACCTTGACCATCAATTTTTTTTCTTTTCGGGTTTCGGACGTCCGGACCGAACGTGAAGGACCCCTCTATGTTCTCAAATGTCAGAAACCTCACGATGAAAATGCCCCATCACTTCCACGTCCTGTTCTGGAATTCGGGAATACGGACATGTCGTGAGTCCGGTTCTCGTAACAGTGGACCTTTTAACGCTTTTTACCTAACGGTTGAACATTAAGCCGAGTCACCCCAAATTCCCTGACTCGACCATGGACGTCCAACCACCTACCAGTCGATACCTTACAGCGCTTCGTAACTCTCAAGGAAGGCCTTTGAATCAACTGAGAGAACTGAGAGAACAAGTACCTACCTATGTTTGGTGCTCTCTCTTTACTGCTCTAGGGGGCTATTTGTGGGGCTATGATACAGGAAGGTGAGCACGATAAGAGCGTCCTAACTTGAAAATTCGGCTTCTAACTTTCGGTAACCAGCATTGGACCTATTACCGTTATGCCTCAGTTTGAAGCTCAGTTCGGCGCTCTCTCACCTGCAGCACAAGGACTTTTGGTCTCCTCCATCCTCATTGCAGCCTCCATCACATCTCTCGTAGCCGGTCCTCTGTCTGACCGCATTTCCAGAACACGTACAATTTCTATGGGCGGCGCAGTGTATGCGGCCGGCTGTGCCATTGCCTGTTCTTCGCAACATCGCCCCCAATTATTCATTGGTCGATGCATAGCTGGTGTCGGAGAAGGTTTATTTATCTCCAGCATCACGGTTTATGTCACGGAAATATCGCCTCCGGCCAGTCGCGGTAGACTTTCGACGTGCGTGCAGCTCTTCAACACGTGTGGAGTCATGACAGGTGAGCTTGACGGCATTTCTCTTCGTAAAGGTCTGAGAGTAGCTGCCAGGTTTCTTCACTTGCTACGGAACTGTCAGAGTACATGGAAGCTTCTCCTGGCGCTTCCCACTGGCATTGCAAGCTGTGGTTGCTGTCATATTGGCTGCGGGGACTCCGTTTTTCCCTCATTCTCCTCGATGGCTTAGACTCGCGAACCGATATAGGGATGTTGATGAAACAAAGCGACGTCTTGGTGTCGCCGGAGCAGGTGCCGAAGATAATTCAGTCCACGAGGAGATTCCCAACATCCGGGGCCACTTTGGGCAAGATATAAAAAACCTTTGGGGCAAGGACATACGCATGAGAACACTCTTTTGTGTCTTTATAATGGCCATACAACAGGTGTGTTTCTCTGCGTTCCCCAATACTTAGGTACTCATGGTTGATAGCTCTCTGGCAGTACGCACCAACACTCTTCTCGCAAGCTGGTTTGTCATCCACGACCTCTTCGTTCCTTGCTTCTGGCGTTTCTGGAATTGTCATGGTGGTACTCACTTTCTGTTCTCAGTGGTTCCAGGACAAATGTAAAATGAGCTCGTCGTAACGTCCTCAGCTTTGCTAATTTGTGATCCCAGGGGGCCGTCGTGCTCAAATGATTGGAGGCTCTGCTGTATGTGGTTTTGCGATGCTCATCATCGGTTCCATTTATCTCTCGCACGCCAACAATACTCAATCCGGAAAGACGGTGATTATCTGCTTCATCTACATATTTATCGCGGGGTTCATCTCCAGTTGGGCCATCGTGTGCCGTATAGTATGCAACGAAATACAGCCGACCCAAACCCGCGCGGCAGCTTCCAGCTTAGGCCAATGCGCTAACTGGGTAGTGAACTGTATAGTAGCGTTCTCGACACCATTGTTCTTGAACCACTCTACTTCGGGTCCGTACTTTTTGTTCGGGGTCTGCTCCTTGTTGAATGCAGCTGTGTGTTTTGCATTCCAACCGGAGACCAAGGGATTGAGTCTGGAGGCAATTGATAGTGGATTTGACGATACGCCGTTCCAGTCTGCTATGAGGCGCAGGATTGGAAACCTGCGAAACCGTGGCAATGATAATACTGGGGATGATATAAGTACGTCGACTGCGATTGAACTAGTAGAAGTGTCTATAATATAAAAAACCGGTGGAGAGATGCGATAATAATTGCTAGATGTCCAAACTCACATGCCTGCCTTGTTGATAGCCTATAACCGCCATTCAGATCTGAGCGTTGCAATGTTGAGCACCAGCTTTGAATACTCTTTCAGTCCAACACTTGGATAGATTACATAAATTGCGTTGGTTCTCTATTGTAACGAATAAACCCACGCAAATGAGTAGAATCATGACAGATATTAAGTAGTTACAAGAAGATTATACATACCGTTCACTGGCGTTAATACTCATCAATGTCCGTCATCGAGGCATATTCGGACACCGAGCCAGTATCTTCGTACTCTGCCACTACTTCCGACATAGCAAAACGCATAATCGGTGTCGTTGGTATGAGTACAGGTCCTACAACCTCATCGGGGCCTGTATCCCAATACCTATTGGCCATATAATCGCGCTCCTGCTCTGAGACTGCCACCATATCGCCCTCCTCCGTCGAAGCGGTAGTACCGATTGTTCCTATGGGAGCGTCCACCACAGTAGTGCTACCATCCTGTCCATGCCCCGGACCGTGGCCTGTCACAGTACTCACAGGTCGGGTCACTCTCCCATCGCTATGCTCATTCGTCACCGGTTCTGTCCAGCGAAGGTCCAAAACCCGACCGTTGACCATCCCATCCACAGCCCTGACGCCCAACTCTCGACATAACATAAAGTATGACAGGGATGTAGCGCCAGGTTTCGCAAGCCTGCTCATGACCTTGAGCAGTTCCATTGCAGTGAATTCTGGAACGAAGAAGGCTGGACTGGTGGGATTCGGGGTGATAGGTGATGATGGGCTGGCTGGGTTCGTGATTGGTGAATAAATCTTGAAACCGGCGGCACCAAGTCCTGGGTGGATGCTATCAGCACTCGGAATGCTATTGTGCTTGTCACCAATTGCATCCCCTCGTTCGTTATCATGACTCAAAGAAGACGACTGAGAGGAGTGAATGATATGCAAGTTGAGGAGCGCGTGCGCTTGTAGGAAATGAGAGCTTTGTTTAACTGTTGCACTGTTTGTCAAACGGTGTGAAGACTGGAAGATAGAAGGACTCACTTGTCATATAGCCATTCGCGTTGACTGGAAAGGCATTGAGCACGGTACCATTTCAATGAAATTTGTATGCTCACCGTAATCAGTGATATAGTCTTGCCAATGTGCAAATTTGCCTCCAAAAGCCTCATATAAAGACTCGAAATCCAGTCCAGTTCGCAGATAACCAGGAACACGGGGAAGCATCCGCTCTCGGAAGAACCTCTTAGTCTCAGACTTGCTGCAATCACCGATAGTGATTATCTATAACATTTTTATCAGCAAAAAAAATCCGGGCATTTTCTATACTCACTTTGCAATGTTGCATGACGTTCAATTGTCGAAGCCATGTTTGATAAAAGGGATCACTAGTCGCGTGTATAACATGGCAAAGTCGATCTTGTTTCGTCAGCACGAGCATTGAATCGAGCAGACACTTCATCGCATCTGTTGACTGTATCAAAGCTGGTCTGAAAAAAGGCTTAGCGGAGATCAGATGGCGAGAGTGACGATACATGCAGTTTGTGTGCTTCATCAAAAAAGATGACCTGGATACGCTATCACTAACGATAATCGAAACTATGGAAGAACTACGAACCGGCATTTTCTTCGGAGGGGGGTTTGGTTTTTCTTTGACTCTATCTGAATGCTCCTCAGGCTGAGAGGTCCGAGGCTTTGGTTGTCTCCGGAAACTCCATCTACTCTTCGAAGCAGTCTTCTCGGAGCGAGTCCTTTCAGGCGGAGTACTATCAGAGTCGTGATTTTTTCTCTTGCAACCTTCGGCACAGGGCTCAAACTCCCAATATTTCAGAAGTGAACTCTACGATGGGATTTTAAGATCAGACCACGGGATTTGACTTTCAAGTAAGCATCTTACCTGGAATAACTCCATAAGCCTTGCTATATCGCTTGTGGTGATCTTTCTGATTCCAGATCCTTCTTGTGCTTCGGAAATTCTGCGCTCGACATTACGGCGGTCATGCTAGAAAGGAACTATAAATACCGTATGTAGTCCGTATGCAAAATACTCACTTTGAAGCTCCACGCCTCCCTTTCGAACTGGTCATTACCATTCATCTTTTCAGCTATCTCTTCAAAGTACTGTTCCATTTGATGACTGAGGCTCATGTATAAGCTATGCAGATCGGCAAATCCTGCCATCCTGAGATCAAAGTGCAGGACATGAAATGTATCCCGTGAGAGAATTTCACGCAGTAGGGCTGTCTAAAAGAACGTGAGAAATGCTTAATTGTGGTATTCGTCCTAGGAATCGTACCTTGCCTACGGAGCTTGCTCCAAAAAGGATGGTGAAGGAAGGATCGCCTTCTAAAGCACGTTCAATGGCACGGATCTCTGCCTTTCTAGGGAAAAAACCCGGAAGCCTAGAGAATGTGTGTTTCGTTCTGATTTGGGCTCGCTCGCGGTTCTCATTGATTTCCCGGCGGGCTTCATCAAGAAGACGTTTGGACTCGGTCAGGGAGCGCACAGTTTCCGCAGGCTGATATAAGAGTCGGTCAGTGGAATATCAGACAAGAAGGAAGCCTCGCACATTAGTGAGTACACCGATAATTTCCCCCATGCCGAAAAAACTTCGCTTTTGAATTTCAGTAGGTAGGTACGATTCACGGCGACGAGCTGTGTTGCTGAACATCCAATGAACAGAGCCAATTAGTTGTCGACCTCCGTTAACTGACAGCCGCGAGGACTTGCGTAGTTTGGCGCTGCCACTGGAAGATGGCATGAAACTTGAATCAGAACGACTGTTCCAGATTCTGGGGGAAAAGGCGATACGATGAGAGAGAGAGGGAGAGAGTGAATGGGTTGATCCTCATTTCATGTAGTGTGCCGTACATGTAGCATGCGCCTCGAGGAGTCAACGACATACCACCATCGTCCACTAACCTGCGCCGAATCACGCGCATAGAAGACGCGTGCATTGATGCTACCACATTTCGAACACAAGGCAAAGGATAGGCAAAGTTTATGTGGGATTTCAGGCTTTAAAAGGTGCGATGGGCGGCATTGCTGGTCAGAAATGTTGGCGGTAAAAGGATAGAAGAACCAGCTGGACAGCCGAACGACGTCAGACACGCCTGCAAGCTAAGTGCCCACTACAAGCGTGCCAATGATTGATCGGAATTCGGACCGCGCATGACTTATGCCGATCAATATCCACTCGGGCCCGGCGCAAGTTGCCTCTTGCTCATCTGACAAGAAATCATCATCTCACGTACGATGTGGAACGAAAATTATGGCCCACCAAGGTGAGAGCCTTCTCAAAAGTCGTATTGCCACAGATTAGAACTTTCTACCTTATAGCTACCCTAACCCGTAAGTTATCTTCTTGTCCCCTCTCGGTATCATTCTTATATATTGCAGGCAAGGGGGCTATAACCCAAGCTACGCACCTTCATATGGCGGGTATGTTCCGTTTATGTCAGAGGGCGTGGTCGAGATTGCTGTCTGACGGATATTAAAGGTATCGAGCTCCTCCTGGACCCCCACCGGAGTACGTCTATTGTTTTATCTAAAATGTATCTTCTGACTTCTAATTCCCAGATCCGAAGAGTAAGGCTACGTGTTTGCCATTGAGCCGCATCATCCTCATCCATGCATCCTTTTTCAAGATACGGTTACTCTCGGTGGGCATCGAACACTGCTCGTACACTGAGCATGCTAATGTCAACCAAGGTACCCGTCTCCCCGCGGGCCCCCTCCGCAGTCGTAAGCCTTTGTGTCATTGGCTGGCTCACTTTTGACGTGGCAATCGTTCAGCTATGACCCATATGGCTTTCCTCCACCTGTGTCAAGGGAAGGTTATACTGGCGAAGAGCATCACCATTATCATCACCATCATCATCGCGAAGAATATGATTCCGGCAATGGCGGTGAATATGGTGAGTGTGTTGCTTCTATTGATCAAGTCACAAAACCAATGGAGAATATAGCAAGTGCTGCTCCGACTTATCGTCCTAGGCCACCACCTAGCGAACATCAGCATTATGGGCCTCGTTTTCTAGGGCCCGATCAGAATGAAATGCAGCCATACTTCAAATACTCCCAGTGCAATGGAAGGAAGAAAGCGCTATGTGTGCGTGACTTTTCTGGACCACTTTTGCGTGGTAACCGCACTCATCTATTTCCAGATTGGAATAAACTATCTTGGACAAGACAACGAGTTAAGTGGCTGCATCAATGATGCTCACAATATTCGCAATTTCCTTTGCAGTACGTTGTGGCATTTTCTCCTCGGATATCAACATATCTTAATGCGAAATTCAAAGCCCAATTCGGCTACAGAGAGGAAGACATTGTCATGCTCACTGACGATTCGCAACACCACCGTCAAATTCCTACCAGAGATAATATTGTACGTGTAACATATCTGTCCTATGCATCGCACGCGTACTGAAATGTGTAGTTGCACGCCATGCGCTGGCTGGTCAACGAGGCCCAGACTGACGATTCTCTATTTTTCCACTGTCAGTGTGATTGTTTTCTCGTTAATGTCAATTCAAACTTGCCTCCAGATTCTGGACATGGTGGTCAAACCCCAGATAAGGATGGTGACGAAATCGATGGTTACGACGAAGGTAAATAGGCCTTTTCCTTCTATTTCACTGCTGACGTTGCTATACATTTAGTTATCTACCCTGTACATTTCAATATCTCCCCTTGTTCATGCTTATACTGACATCCAATTTCTAGGTCGATTATCAAGAAAGCGGTCATATTGTCGATGATGTAAAATTTCACCTTCAGCTCCCAGTATATTTCTAATACCCGAGAATAGCTTATGCACGAAATTATGGTTAAACCCCTCCCAGCTGGCTGTCGACTCACTGCGATCTTCGATGTAAGTCCTTTACTTCTGCGGTCTCCTCCATATGTAAACTCTCTATAGTCCTGCCACTCTGGCTCTGCTCTCGGTAAGTGAATAGCACCCTTCCCAACCATGCTCTTCCACCGACGCTTTTACAGATCTTCCTTACATGGTACGTTCAACATCAGCAGTTATATAGCATCAACAGGAACTCATACCAATGATGTCAGTATACCACCGAAGGCAAAATCAAGGAACCTAATCTCGCAGCAGAAGCCGGCCAAGGGCTTCTGTCTGCCGTAAGCTCCTACGTTCGCGGAGACGAGCGGGGCGCATTAGAGTCAGCCATTGGCATCTTCAAGAGCTTCATGGGTAACAGCGAAGCCCAAGAGGCTAATCAATATGCTCAACGGACGAGAACCAGTCCGGCTGATGTGGTGAGGAGTACAAATTAACTTAAACCTCTATTTGATGATCAATTTTGTTCAGATTAGCTGGAGCGGATGCAAGGACTCGCAGACAAGCGCTGATACCCAGGAGGATGGACGTGCTACGGGAGCAATGAGCTATGTGAGTACTACGCGACTTTGATCATCCCTCTACGCGCGCGCTAAACGTTTGTGATGAAAGGCCTTCACATCCGTTTTAGGTGAGATGCGGATGTGTATTCTTGACTACCGACCTGCTGATATTTGGACAGCGAAAAACCCCGAACAGACCTACGAGCAGCTCCTTAACAATATCAGGGCTGTTCTACGCAACAAATACAGTCAGAAGCCGCAGGTAACAGTCTTGTCGATCGATGAATGCCTTTCGTACTGAGCATGTCGTCAGCTCTCAAGCTCGCATCCGATGGTCAGTCTTTCTCTTTCTCTCAGGCTTGAAATACATCTCTCATCATCTATATAGGACATTGACATAATGTTCATCTGCTGAGTGGAATCATTGATTTAAACGAAAGAAATATGAGAGGTTCCATAGGTGGAAGATAGTGTATGATATTGACGAGGGGTGCGTGAATTTAGGATCGACCAGATATTTAGCGCACGAGGAATTTGAAGGCAAGGATGAACCACAGAACCATCAAGGCGAGGCTTCAATCAACTCGCGATGATTATCGTCAGTCATAAACCGTAGTGCAATATGAGAGATGGTGCATCAGGCCTCATCGCGGATCAGAGGAGCGGTCTCTTGAGGAGGGTCAAAGGCTGGGATGTATCCGCAAATGTGACAGGCTTCAAGGACGCAGACGCCCTTGAGTCTTGGGAAGTCATTCTAAATTCCTGATAAGTGAAATAGTATTAAAATTGCATTACAACATACCCTATGAAGTTTTCTTCTTTTTCTTCTTCGTCCTTGTCTCGCCATCTGCTGGTGTCGTGTTGTCGTTAGGTCTCTTGCGCTCGCGCGCTCCAAAACCGAGACTCGATTCAACCACCTCACTGATCGATGCGGCCTTCGGGTCGTCCACACCAGCCGGTTTGAGGAAACCCTTGGATGCAGGCGGTGGACGTAGGTCAGTCCCTACGTTCCTAGTCTCGAAAATGGCCTGCTTGGCGGACTTGTTCGATTTCTTCACCTTAGACGACGTTTTTAGATTAAGAGAAATCATTTTTTCCTTCTTCAGAGCAGCCTGTGGTGTACTCTGCGAAGAGTGCCTTGGTTGGGGCGGCGTTTCTGTTGATGGTTTAGTACCCTGTAATGAAGAAATTTGGAGTGTAGTCAACATAGGAGATAGTCAACGCACGATCACTTCTTCTCCTTTCTTGAACACGCGCCGGCCATTGGCCTGTTTCTGCGCTGAGCTTGATGAACCGGAAGACTCTGTCGGAAAGAGAAACGGAAGATAAGAGTCTTCGTAACTGACTGCGTCGCTGAAACGCAATGATGATTGAAAAAAGATCACCCTGGGATAGTACGAAGGTACGTACGATGTTGATTTCCCCCAGCTTTCCTGGATTTCTTTTGGTATCGCCCACTCGTCAGAGTCTTTGACTTGAGCTTTTTCCAGTTCGACTTCCTTCAGCTGCTTTGCTCGATGAGCATTTTGCATGAATCTGAGACTGAGAGTGCCATTGCTGAGGGTCTTCGGCTTCGCAGACATAAGGAATAATGCCACTGTATGTCGACGCAGAATGCACGTTGTGGTTGTTGCAGATCTAAACACGGACAACTTTTTTCTAAGTCCGGTCAGCCCCTTGGTTTTCGGTGAGCCTTCGTGGTTCAGTCGAATTGCACAATGCACATAAGTATTGTAATGTAAATGCCACGAGAAAACAAAATGATGAATTTATGGATACACTATACATTGAATGGACAATTCCTGTCTACCATTAGTATCAGCCAGGGAAACGAACAGACGAAAAGAATAATAATAATGCACGACAACGTTTTACGCCCAAAAGACTCATCTTCCGATAGAATTCATGAAACTTGAAAGATCCAGACCCTGGTACTCTTCCTCCGGTGGTAAATCCTCCAGGCCTGTAAGGATGTTCTTCTGAATGACAGGGCCTGAAGCTTCCTTCGCTTTCTTTTTTGTCGCGACGTCTTCTTCCTCAGTGGTCCGCCGGAAGAGATCCAGAACGAGATCAGTATCCATGGAAGGTAGTCCGGAGTTCTGCTGCGTAACAACAGAGTTCGCGATGTTAAGTTTGAATCTTTGAAGTCTACCAAAAATAAATAAACAAATCAGAGACATTGCCCGACAGGCAAGAGTGAATACGACAGACCCCATGATCTTTTCTTCCAAAGTTCCCTTAGTGATTAAACGATAAACATTTACGATCTTCTTCTGCCCGATTCGATGGGCTCTGTCCATGGCCTGAAGATCCTTCATGGGGTTCCAATCATGCTCTACGAATATCACGGTATCGGCACCAGTAAGTGTCAGTCCGAGACCTCCAACATGCGTAGTCAACAAGAGACAGTCGATACTGGGATCGGAGTTGAACGTCTGTACAATTGCGTGACGCTTGCCTGGATCTGTCCCACCATCCAAACGCATGTATGTGACTGATGGCATATGCTGTTTGAAGAGGTCTGTCTCGATAATGTCAAGCATTTGCTTCATCTGACAGAAGATAAGAACACGGTGTTGCGAGAATGTGTTGGCACCGGCGTCGGATACGACATCAATGAGCTCGCTCTTCCCTTGATCTGCTGTAACAGCACTAGCTGCGCCGCCACCGATGCCACAATCAGTCAAAAGTTGTCTGAAATGTTTCTGAGTCGCAGGACACCAGATAGCAGCTAACTGGCACATACCGTAAAGCGAGGAGCTTAGGGGCGTGCTGTATGTCCTCGAGTGTCTTGGTTTGGCTATTGACTTTCACAAGAGCATCGGCGATTGCATCCGCGTCCTTAAGAACCAGAGCGGGATGATTACAAAGTTTACGGAGATATTGAAGTGACTGGAAAACATGTTGCTGTCCTTTGCTTTCGTTAGCTGTGTCAGCTGCTTGTACAGCATCATGGGCGATGTGGCGAGCCTGAGACTTTGAGAAATCGTCGTAGAGATGCTTTTGAACATCCGAAAGTTCACAGTAGTAGTCCTGAATGATTTTAGGCGGCAAATCATTCAGAACATCCTCTTTCAGTCTGCGCAACAAGAATGGTAATACTTGTTTGTGCAGAGCCTCCAGAGCAAGAGCAGCTACAGAACAAGATTATTAGCGACATGACACGGATATTAAATGAGTATATATGTACCAGCTTCACCGGTCTTTGCCTTGCCATCCCGATTGGACAATATGGGTTTTCCAAATCTTTCGTTGAACGATGATTCGGTTCCCAAAAATCCGGGCATCAAGAAGTCAAACAAACTCCACAACTCTAGAACGTTGTTTTGGATTGGAGTACCAGATAGGATAAGTCGATGTTGCGCTCGGACCGACTTGACGGCCTTAGTGAGTTTCGTCTTTGCATTCTTGATTACATGGCCTTCGTCGAGTATACAATACAACCAATTCATACCCTCCAAATTCGATATGTCGTTGCGCACGACTTCATAGGAGGTAATGACCACATCGAAAGTACCGAGCTTCGGTAGAAGACGAGCTCTTTCTCGAGCATTCCCAGTATATAGAACAGGCCGCATCTTGTCGGCATACTTAAGGATCTCGTAATACCAATGGCCGGTGAGAGTCGGTGGGCAAACGACAAGAGATGGAAGAGGGACGCAGTCAGGAGCTTTGGTAGCCACGTACTTCTCAGCACGCTCGAAGTGTTTGCTGGCTAGTATACATATTGATTGCAGGGTTTTGCCAAGACCCATGTCTGTGCCATTTTCAGTTCAATTCCAGCACCACCTGGGCAACGAACTTCACTCACCGTCACAAAGTATCCCATGCAACTGGTATTTCGCAAGGAAGGCCAACCAATTGACACCGTCTTGCTGATATTTCCGGAGCTCGGCATTGATGGTAACTGGGACGTTATATTGCTCGACTTTACTGCCGTCGAGCAGTTGCGTCAAGAATTGTCGTTCATCGTCACGGCGCTTCAGCAGATCTTCAGGGAAGCCAGAAGGATCGGGTAGTCCAGCCTAACCCAGCGTGTCAGTGTTACACTGCCTTCTGAGCGTAGAGGAGACTTACCTCCAGCGGTACCATCTTGACAAGAGAAGCAAATGTGTTCGTTGCAGTCGATCGGATATCATTATCCGGGTCACTCATTCGACCAAGTATGGGAACGACTAAAAAGATGACATAGGGTAAGGCCTTGATATCAAGCTTTCGGACGATATCTAAAAATATATTAATGCCAGCCGTCTAGAGGTATCGCAGACACTCACGAAATATCAATTCCACGGCACCCTGTCTGTTACTGAGCGATAAAGGGTCACCCAACAATGGAACGACGTTTTCGATGGCGTATCGCATCGCCTCGGGTGTCATCACGTAGCAAATAGTTGCAAAACACTTAGCACTCGTTCGGCGAATGATAGCGAACCGGCTACGCAGGGCCAAGAGAATCTTGGGGAACAGTTCTGTCAACCGCGGCCAGATGTCTTCGTGCAGCGCCGGCACGATCGCTTCCAACACACTTAATGAATCAATGACATCTTGGCCAAAGTGCTTCTCTATGGAAATATCGCATTCCATCGGTGTCTCTGCCGATTACAATAAATGCAGAGAAGAGAACGGGTAGTGGCTTGACCTTACCTGCGTTGAACGCACTCAAAAGCCCACCGGCCATTGATTGCCACATGTTAGGAATCACGACCAATAATCTGTTTCCGAATTTCTGGGATAGTTGATCAAACGCCAGTCGTGCACCGCGCCGAGACAGCTGTGCTTTGGGATCCTCAGTGCATGTCGCGCCATTATATGTATTTTTCGCGATACCCTTGCCACTCTTCGTCGGTATGGGGTCCTTAGTCCCGGAGGAAAATGAGAGAACGCCGTCCAACAGCTTCCGCGTGAAAGCGAATGCGGGTGTCTGAGCTGTGTCCTGGCAAAGAAACGTGCAAAGATTTTTGACGATTTTGTCCGGAGGCTGCGCAATTTGATGATTAACGCAAAACTCAATGAAAGAGGCGACAGCTACTGCCGAACGGGTTTGCAAGTCAACATTCTCTTCGTTCTAGAAATTGGTCAGTACAACATACATCTAAGAAAAAATGGCAACATACCTTGATTCCATTCATGATACCCTTAACGACGGGGCTGACTTTGTCGGGCGTACTCTTGAAGGCCACAAAGGCGGCAGCAAAAGCGGCGGAGACTCGAGTATCGTGCTGTGCCTTGACTTCGATATACCGGTCGATGCTAGCAAGAATGCTGCTCCGTTTCTCCCCTATGACGATGAGTTCCCGTTTCTTTGTCCTTCCGAGACTATCCTTGAGCCGGGTGTACATTGGACCACATGCAGCTTGCGCAGTTTCAATCGTGAAGCAATCAGGTATCTTGCCAGTGATATCAATCTCTGTTCCAAGGGACGGTATGGATGATGCGGGAAGCTTGCAATCTTGATTGAAGGCGTGAAGAAGTGCAATACATTCAGAGTGCAAACGAGCGAGCATGACAATCATCTCATGGTATGCCGCAGGTGGATTAGCTTGAAGCCATGCCAGAATTTTTGCACTAAGCTCTTTCGCCAGAGAGGAAGCCTCGTGTAAGCATGGACCGGAAGCAGGTGACATGGAATCATACTCGTGAGCCCACTCTTCTGCAATAACCGCGGTAAGGAATTTCTGGACCATGCTGGTAGAATCGACATAATGCAGGAGAATGGGTTCAAACAAGGCCTCTTTTATTGGCATCTAACCAATACGGTTAATAGTACAGACCATGCATTTAAACTGAGTCACTCACGTCCTTTGGCCAGAAGGCAATCAACTGGGCCGATGCTGTGGCTGCCGCAACTCTAGCTTTCAAGGTGGTTTCAACAGACACCAAACCCAATTCTTGCGAAAGCATATTCTTATCAACGTTATGTCTTTCAGGCAGATTTTCCCCATCTGTGGGTTCAGTACTTCGGTAGAACAGTGTTGGGTCAATGGGAACTCCGATGGGTGTCATTATGATGGAATACCATTCCAAAAGAATCGACGGAGTCACCATATTCACCATCTGTTCTGGATATGCAGAGGTGACAACGGACAGAGTAAGTCGCCAAGTTTTCAGGGTAGCTTCGCGAATATCGGCGTGTTCTTCGACGACGAGGTTTTGAAACAGAAGGCGCAGGAACGGTACGTCGATCCAGTCGCGAGGAAGAGAAGGCACCGTCATGAAGGAATACAGCGTTTCTACAACGGCGAGACGAACATTGACGATGGTATGTCGAAAGAAAGGAAAGAGTGCAGGAGCTAATTTAGAAAGCGGCAGTCTAGTTGGGACGGCAGTGAGAAGGCAGTCGCAACAGAAGGAACGGCGACTCACCCCAAACTGTCGTTTGCGAGAAGGGCGATGACTTCGTCATAAACGACCAACTTTCCTAAACGGGTATAAATAAGTCCTCAACCGTTTTCAAAAGAAAACAGAACCACCGACCTAGGAGATCCATGACAGCACCAACGCTGGAGCTCAAATCATCTTTCATGTCGCTCAGGCACTGCCATAGTACAAGCAATACCTGATCCAACGACTCTGGTAAATGCTGCACAAGATGACCGGCCACTGGAGAAAGACAGGTTGCTGCCACCGAACGAACGTCATCGTCGCGGTCACTCAGGCTAGAGGAAATGCAAAACATTAGTATAGCAAATGAAGACGGCTAAGAAAGAAAGGTACCCTAGTAATGCCGCTGCTACCACGCCACGAAGAATATCTTTACCGGAGTCATCAGTGTCATGATCTTCCTGTTTCACATGGATAGTGTTGAACAGATCGCTCCGCACTGCAACTTCGTACTTGATACCGAGCAACCCGGCGTGCCGAACTTCCCATATGTGGGTTCTCTGTTCCGTGGCAGCTTTCGACCTTGACCTGCTACTGCTACCGACGGATACAGGTATAGTGAATGTTTGCTGGATCATCTGCAGAAGAATTGAATGGACGTGCAAGACCGAACGTCGGGGCATATGTATCAAAAGAGAAGCGAGAGTTTGAGAAACCGTTTCTCTGACCGGCGCGATCACTTGGTCAGAGACGAAATCGCCAAATCGGTCCAGTACGAATACGCAAAGGAACTTTGCAGATAAAGCGTTGCACCATTTTTCATGAGCAATTTCATTTTCCTCCCAAGGAGCTTCGGCTGGGCGTCCAGATCAGTGACGATGGTAGCATTGTAGAGTACTCCTGATCGCACCTTGCATGCCGCCATACTTTCCCTGTATTTTGAGAAGCTCTCGCAACGCCATGGCAGCCCCATGTCGGACTTCCCAAGCGGCACTAAAAAGATTTACCTCCAGTACCTTCACCACTCCGTCCCATATCCAATACCCAGGCCGTACTTCAAGTGCTTTCGACTGTTTGACTTCTTTAGGAGATACGGCACCTCCCTTCGTTGGATCAATGATAACTTTGTCTGGGGACGAGCCATTCTGTACGGCGGGACTGCCAAGACGAGACGCTGCACTTGGCTTATCTTCAGCAGCTATTAAGCGAGCTCTAAAACGTAGAAAATGTCAGTACTCTGTATAAGACTAGAGGATGGGCCGACTTACTTATTGGATGGGCCTGCGGCAGTCGACGCGGGTGCATATTTGGCACCGGCACTTTGAGGTGGTGGGGCTGTCACAAATGCTGCGTTTCCGGGTTTTCGCTTCCGTTTTAAACGATTGCGTTCACGGGCCGACAGTGCAGACATATCAACCTCAGGAGATGCAGATGTCGGGGAAGGATCCGCTGGTGTCATTGATCCGCTACGTGAGTCCGCGTCCTGAGTCACACCGTTTGGCGAAGGTGTAGAAATGTCTATGGAAGCGACAGCAGGCGATAGAAGATCAGAACTTGCAGTGACAGGAGGTGTCTCCATCTCGACGTCGACATCGGGGTCCATTTCCGAGGTCAATTCTTTATCCAGGTCAATTTCATCGGCAACATTGTCCAGGAACTCGAGACCAAGTCGACCCATTGCTTCTTTGCGAGCTTTTTTAACCTCCAAGGCGCTGGACAGAATACCAGTCGGCCTTTGAAACTCTTTGCCAGAAGAAGCAAGCAGAAGCTTTCCCTGAAGAATAAGCTCCTTCACGGAGAAATTTGGATATTCCGGTGCGGGGAGAGACAGCTGAGCACCGATCACTGGTTTGGATTGATCTTCATCGTTATACGGTCTCCAGAGGGGCGTCAGAGAAAAAATATGAGAAAGAGCAACAGAAGCTGCTGTTCGAGTGTCAAATGACTTTGAATGAAGAAATGGGATGATCTACGGAAGCAGTAATTTGATATTAGTATTTCATGTGCACGAGATAGTGATAAGTGGATACTGTACCCGAGCAACCACCGCCATTAACTCGGACCACGAAGCTGGATCCCCGAGCGATACATGTTGTCGATTTGTCTTGATTTCTTCTTCTATAGCCACATCACCAGTAACACTCTTGACAGCCAATTGAGCCAGCTGCTTTGCAGCAGTAGTCCTCACTGAGGTAGAAGAGCCGGTATCAAGTAGAAGGAGGAGCCGGTCCAACCTGAAAGAGAATTAATTTTAGAACATGCTGCGGAAAATTCCATCACCTCGAAGTCATGCCGTAATAGGAAGGTGTTATTCACCCGTCCGGGCCGGCTGATTCAATGGAGTTTTTGTGGGTTTTTCTCACGGGGCGTCTGGAGAGGCCTTGCCGTCGTCTTTTTATTCCCTCTCGCGGCTGGTCGGGGTTTGAATTTTAGGCGCCGTCTGGAAAATTTTGTCGTGAAGACGCTCAGTGATAAGGTCAGTAAGATTTTGAGGTGGCAGGTATCTCAGAAACACTCAGCTTTTCGAGCACCGAGACATGTCAGAGAAGAAAACCCTTGATAGGGACTGAGGTCTGAGAGCCTGGTATTTCACGACCTGAAGCGTACAGATCATATGGGAGTGGCGGCTAATTTCAATTTGCTGGTATCGTGATTGCAAAATTCAAACACACAGACCGCTCACTGGTACTCGTTTCTGCGCAGTAACAAGGAAAGGGAGCAGATACCGCACGATCTATTGCGATTTCATGGCTACTCATATTGCCGCAGCCTCAACCTTAACCATTGCAGCATTACTTCAAAACCACATGGAAACGGAAAAGCTCGTCTCGTTCGCCTGCATCGCATGCCACCATCCTGGGGGGAAAAATAGCATGTCCCCTGCTTGAAGCGTGGCGCTCATAGCCTTGGGGACCACCTCATCCCAGAAAGCAGGATAATCACGACTACCATCCTGAGTGGTGAAAACGTCAACACAAGACGTGTTGCTGATAGACGGTGTCTCTTCAGGATACATGTGTCCTGAGCACTCTGGAGAAGCCAGCCACACTGTCTTACTCCCCACGATCTGTACTGGAAACTGCTCGATAAGATGCAATGAGGGTAACATAATCACGTACCATAGAAATTGAAGTATGGATCCTAGAAAGACGAATTGTCAGGAGAGCTGCAATTGTGTGTTAAATAAAAAGTTAGCATACGGTATGAGCAGGAGAGACGGTGCCCCCAGGACCGAGCCAAGTGTTCAGAACTAACTGTTCATCATTTCCGGGAGGCACGTAGTTGAGAGCAGAGGGTGCGGAATAGACATAATCCGGCACAATGATGTCTGCTCGGAGGTCAGGAAATTGCATGAAAAGATTATGTTGAGCCAAGTATAACATTTTGTCCGGAGCATCAGATTCAAGTGACGCCAGAAATTCGTCCCAGGGCATTATCTGTTGTGTCCAGTCGTCGTTCCGATAGTCTTTGCCTACCTCTACAGGAACGACGCGTCCAGGTCCTGCTACATTACGAAGATACCCAACAGAACGCCAAGGACGGTTCGTTAGAGCGGGCCAGTCACTTGCATAACCGCGTAAAATGAAGGGAGACGAGGAAAGTTGGGATCGAAAAGATGATAACGAGGGCAGAAATGATAAGCTGGGAACATCAAGAGAGGCAGTGCATAACGGCTTGTGTGTAAGGCGGCGGCATGAAAGGGCTGGGAAATCTCTCCCACTAATGTGGGAAGCAAGCTCTGACTGCACATCCTGCATGAGAGCATGAATTAGATCGAGTCGACCCATAGCGCCGGATATAATGATAGCACGATCTAAAATGTCGATGGCTTGTAGATATCTTGACTGATCAAGAAGCGTTAACGCTCGTAGAATAGATGCGTCCGTGTGCATTCTTCTCCACCAACCGCTCTGACTTTTGGACATTCTGTCGTGCGAGATCTTTATGACGTGTTCCATGTCATCATAGACTTGCGAATGTGAGGCATCCGTGCAGACGACCAGAGCGGCGGAGAATAGACGGTCAAAGACCTCTTTTCCGCAATTCGCCAGCACTGCATCAAGACCATTTGTCAAACGAGGTGAGTACCACAAAGAATTGACATACAAACATCCTGATCATGTTCCAGGTTACTCAGAATAAATTTCCCGTATTCTAAGAACTGGGGCATTCTTCAGTACGTCAAGTCGTGATTAGATTCGATGATGGTGCGAACCCACATTCGATTATTATTCATTTTTTTGTTTGTAAAATATGAACCCTATTACATAAGCCCCATCACCTAACATTCACGGTGGTTGTCGACGTTGCTGTCGGCATTGGATGCTTTATCAGTCGCTGATTCATGACCGCCACGAGTTGTTAGGTCTCTCACCCTCCTTTGGGGTGACTGCGGCATACGACAAGCCCATGTCTTCGCTGGACGTTGACCGTTCAACTCTACGTTCACCACGGTGGACAAAAAGAGGCTCATATATTCCAACGCCTCTCACAAGAGCTCATGTTCAGGAGGCCCTTTCACGTTCGGAGGACCATGGGATTACGCTTGTGTTCTTGAAAAAGAATTTGACGGACATTGGGATATCGGTCGTGGAGGAGCTAGCAACCGTTGGGAGGAACAGTCCTGATGATGGGTACCCCGTGGAGAGGTGCGTGTTCTTTTTATGCGATTCGATGACATTCTAGTGACTTTGCGCATTAGGTTGGCGCTAGGTAACAATTGTCTGACTGCTCTACCCACGGAATTCACGCATCTGTCGCATTTGCGCTATGTAAATTTGAGAAGCAATGCTTTTACAAATTTCCCCGACGTGGTGCGTTCCTTTACAAGGCTCTTGGGCTGTGCCATTCTCATTCTTGTTCAGCTGACTCTTATGCCCTCCTTGGATACGTTGGACATTAGCCACAACAAGATCAAGCAATTTCCTTTACGCCCCGGAGAGCTGGTCAAGTTGAGGGTTAGCTCATCTCTGAATTAAAGTTTTTTGCCACCGTGACTGATATACAATAGGCATTTTGTGTTTCCCGCAACAAGATCACAAGAATCCCAGAGTACCTGACCAAGTTTACTAATCTTGCAGTGCTGGAGATTGAGCGAAACCCTATTGAATGGCCACCAATCAATGTCATGAGCCGTCCCGCTAAGTTTCCAAACGCGGAGGCAATGAAAGACTGGATTCGTAACATTCGAACCTGGATTGAAAGCGAGACGAGTGACAGCAAAGGTCAGGATTACTCCGGTTTTGCTGAATCAGAACGCTGGTCCCGCTTTCCAGTTACTGAAAGCGAATTCGACGCCGGTGTCACCCCTCACGCTCGGTCTTTCTCTCTCGACTCTAACCTTTCGGTTTCCTCCTTGGCAGAGTCGGATATCGAGACCCCTTCATCGTCTTATGACAAGCCCCCGCCGCTACACCTTGGCATACTATCCACTGACAGTGCAGAGACATCTCCGACACGATCTTTTGACAGTTATCTTCCCAGCCCCGCCGATTCAGACTCTTTCGCCATGAATGATCCGACGGTATATCCTAGCCGCACTGAACAAAGGTCGGCTTATGACCACTCCAGGAACGCTTCTTTTGCCGGTGGGATGCGCAATTCAAGAAGGAGCGGTTTACCAGGAAAGAAAAGTATGCCTGATCTGCGTACTGCTAAATTCCCTTTCGCTTTGAAGGCTCATGATGCTCCGGAACGCGTACCTACCAATGGTACAAGCAAGAGCAAGATTCCGGACGAATTTTCCATTCCCTCACCGCTTTCCCAGCGACAAGATTCTAATTCATCAGCGAGTTCCGGAACGCGTCAGAACAAATCTTCCGGCAACGGAAAAGAACCTATCCGTGACTCTCCCCCTCCGAGGGCTTCCACCTCCTCCATAGCCTATTTCCGACGTCTATCCACTCTTCCCTTGTCTACAATTTCTGATACACTTCCTAAACCTCTTATCTCTCTGATTGAATGTGCTCGCAGCATCCTTTTCGCGGTGTGCCAAATCTATCAGTCACTCGAACATTATACCGTCCACGCCATAGATGACCGCTTGTCCTCCGTGTTACGGAAGGTTCTGGATCCCGCCAGCGTTGACATGATGCAGCTCATCAACTACCTTGAACACTTTGACGCCATAAGTCGAAAGATCTTACCACCCCCACCTGTGTGTCGAGGTGTTGTGGAGAGTTGCAAAGATACTGTTGCAGTCTTTGGAAAAGCTGTTGGCGTCCTGACTTTACAACTGAAGGTGATAGCAGCCGGTGATGATGTCCGATATCTTAGGTCAATGTTATTGGTGCTATATGGCGCTGCTGCAGAAATATCATGGGCCTGGCAAGCAATGGTACCCCATATCGAAGCCATTAAACCATTATTGCGTGGCAAGCCACATCCCACGCCATCGCCCAACAACATATCTGTGGACCCTTATCCATCCTCTATCCCGCCAACCTCGCAATCGCAGTTGGAGCAAACCTCCTCTCTTTTATCTCTACGGACTAGTTCTGCAGGGGTTGAAAGAACGCGCGTAGCGCGGCGACATGCTGGCTCCTTTAGTTCGAAAGATGTCGAGATTGGTAAGAAGTTGCCCTCTTATGACGATGCCCCGACGTTATCCCGAGGTGTCGCTGTTTATACATCTACGTTGCGCGCTCCGAAACGACAGGCGACGCTTGCTCCCATGACTGTCATGATTTCTTCGCCTTCACCGAGCCCATTGCCGAGCTCCATGTCAGCTTCATGGGCTGGCGACAGTTCTCGAACAATCCATTCACGTACGGGTTCGCAGAGCTCTCTACCAGGATCTTCGACCTCTTCGTCCCCATCCCTCCCTCCGAAGATGACGTTTTTGGATCTCCCCCCGAGTTCTAAGACACAGGTCGACAAGGAAGCAATTCAAGCCGTACAGAATGCTGTCAAAGTTGCTCCTGTGGTGTGGAATTTGATGGAAGAGATTTTAGTTGATGTATTGGAAGCACAGGTGGATGTGCGCGAGAGTCTGGATCGAGCAAGGTCGGTCACAAAGCGTTTGAGCGACCTAATACGTGCTTTGAAGGAGGGAGACTCAACGCGGGATAAAGGCAGCCTTCGGGAAGATGCCCACATATTCTTGAAGGTTTTTATACCCCTGTGTGTCCTATGTGCATGTTGCTGATTAGGATTCCAGACTGTTGTTCAATTGTCCAACATCGTCAAGACATACAATGGTGTCCGATCAAGTGCTCTTCGGAATAACATGTACAAGCTCACAAACTCTACCGAGGAATTCGCGATTCTTCTGCATGTGTCATCTTTCTCCCCGGCTTCCACGCCGCGACCATACTCGCCAATGCTGTCCATGTCCACCTCTCAGAGCAGCGTTCTCAATCCCATTGAGGATGCTCGTTTACAATCTAGTTTCTCTAGAAGTGCCCGTGCTCCCGGGCGCTTCAAAGTTCCATCTCCAACGGCGCCACACGACGGGTCACGCAGTGCTCCGCCTAATCAGACATTCAAAATGCCTGTTTTACGCCGCCTTCGTGGTAAGGAGGCTCGAATCGATGCTAGTGATCCTCCAGGGTAATATTCCTAGCTTTGCATCCGTTTTACATCAGTCATTTCCTGTTTATCTTTTGTCTTTTTTCTCGTTGCTGCTATTACTTTGATCTGTTATAATCTTACTACCACGCACAAGACTATTTATCCAATATATCAGATGCTTTGCGAGGCCAAGGAAGGGCAGCTTGATCGAACAGGTCATTCCGAACTTGGACCACAACCACCACCAAGATAGTGCTACCTCACTGCCTTCTTAACAATAGTCGTTGACATGGATTCTGCTCACGCCAACATTGTCAACGACCTCGTCGATATTTTCTGCACGTCCTTCAGAGAAGAAAGTCCTATTGTCATTTTCCCGCCAGCCCTGCTTGCCGGTCTAGAGCAACTAAGCCGAACGAAGGCTCGCACAGAGTCTGGTGCATCGACATATTCACCAAAATCACTCAACGCCATTGGAGTCCATATCTTTCATGGCGGGCTCAGTCTCGCCATTCTCAGTCGCGATGGTCTTGCTCCAACGGTTCATAGCAAACAATTGCTCGCAGTAAGCTCTTCGTCACCTCTCGCTAACCATGTTATGCATCATTCTTTTCCTCAGAAACTCAAAGACGACGAGCGGCTGATGTTAGCTATCAAAAACATTTCGCTTATGCTCTACCATGGAAGCCCGGATCCGATACCGCTCTTTTTTACTATGGTTGGGCTGATCTACGTCAAGAAGGGCTGTGATTTCGTACTGATGTGGATTCGGCGCCTGGTGAGGCCGGCACTGAGAAATTTGAATGAGTATGTCAAGCTACTTCGGTTGTGCGTGCTCCCTTCTTAAGTCGAATGACAACTGATTTCTCTCCCCTAATAGGTTACGGGAAGGGCCTACCCCATTTTCACTCGACAGCTACACCTCTAAAGTACATCTTGAAGAGTTCTGGCTCTCCATCTGTCCCACTCCTGTGAACTCGCCAACAAATATAGCCTATCTCACATAGTAAGTGGTCAAGTTATATTTTGACGCTCTGCCTAAATTTTTGGCGTAGCCGAAAGCGACTTTTGCAAAAAGCTTGTCTATCAGGCACACCGTCACCCGAAAAGATGAAGGACGGCATGAAGAATTATCTAACATCAACCGACTTTTCAAAGCGGAGACGTCTCTGGTAATCGAATTCTGGACCTGGACAGCTCTAAGACAATCTATACTTGTCCTAGATATTTTGCACATGATAATTTTACTCTGGTTGGCTACTACTTGAAAGGTTACATTTTTCGTTATATAACCTGCTTACACATGTCGGCACGAAATTCGCTACAATCGAGACGCGATCGATCGAAAGTTCAACCTTTGTCCTCAACTACAACAACTACTACGTCGTCCCTTTGGATCAACGTATCGCGTCCCGCCTTACTCTATATACCGCGACACACTTGGTATTATCTCATCTGTCTACACTGATTCCAGTTCGACATCGCGATGGTTCCCCGACCTGATACTCTACCTCAGCTGGATATGTATGTCCTTGATGCCGTCCGCCATTCACTGCGCAGCTCGACGCTGACCCTCAAGACACTTCCTTTCCTTTCGGAGAAATCTCAAAACGCTTATATCGAATGCTCTCTCTCTGCTAAAGACGCCAAGGAGGCGGGTGGCGACGATTTCTTGACCATGTATCTTCATATGCTACTCCTTGAGATGCTTCCCGGAGACACTTCTCTCAATGCGCGAGACGTAATTGCTACTATCCACTTTGATTCTGATCCTTATTCATTGAACGTTCTCAGATGATTGTAGGGATACTCCGTCACGACGATACCCTGAGCCTTGTCTTCAGCCATCTGATGAAGTCCTACGAGTCAGCGTCCTCGATTATCAGCGAGTCTCTGCCATTGACCGGAGATTCGTTTGGCAAGGCTTTGAAACGTATGGTTGCTCAGTGTTCTCTGGACGGCGAGAAGGACGGTGAATGTCGTATCGAACATATGAAGAAATGGATCGAACGTGTCTTTCTACTTCCGGCCATGGAAGCAATTGCAGCCTACAACCGTTAGTGAGTACCTGCCAAATGAAAGCCGTATTGCCTACTGATATCTTCGTAGCGAATGCCTCAAAAGAATTTTCCAGAAAGAATATGGCGTCAAATATGACTCTTCTGTCCACCCTTCTCTCCCAAAACGACCTCTTCCACTCGCGTTAACCAGAAGTGCCAAGCCCAGCCCGCGCGACACGATGGCGTTTTCTCAGAATTTCGCCAAAAAGGAGGTTCGTGGACATGAGATAGATGCTCTTCGAGCTTCCCCAGTGGCAAAGACGCCTAACAAGCGACATCTTTCTAACATCGCTAATGATTCGCGTACCTCGAACAAGCGTCCTCGTAAAAAGCAATCGTCGTTCCTGAGATGGAGAGGCGACATGAAGGAAAACATACCGCCTACGATGTCGCATCGCTCACTTCCCTCACAGATGCAAGGTTCTTGCACCACTTCAGCCACTACTTCTGGACGGGGCTTCACCCGGCGAGGCGGATATTCACCCTCGCCAGTGTTTCCATTACCAGACACAGATGTCAAGCCGATAATCAAAGCAAACGGGCGACTTTTACTGCCCCGAAGTGCGAATGTTCTCTGTATGTCTCTTTCTTTGTTTCCATTCCATTCCAAAACTTTATCTAATATTATTTGTATAGCTCTTTGACCTGACATTGAACGCACCCCAGTTGCGCATACATACGCATACTTTTTACTACTACCATTACTACTACTATATTACTACTACTACTTTTATTTATTTTACCTTTGTTTTGTCATTTGTGCAATTCTTGATCATTCCTCGAAACCGCGTACGCACCATCATACAATTTATTTAGTGAAGAATCCAGTAAAATTTATTCTATTTCCATAGCGGTGTGGTTGATTGCAAACGGCGAAGACCTCGCGAGACTGCATATTTCTAAGCTTGGATCTTCAAGTTAAGCCAATGATAGCATTCACACTCTTTGCTCTGCTTCTATATCCTTTTCTTCTATTTTCCCAAAGCCAGAGCGTGCATCACGGTCTTCTCGAGGCCGGTTTCACCTTACCTCTGCAGCGGACGTCTGGAGTTCAGCCATTCGATCGTATCAAACCTGAAATTCTGGAATCCCAAGCTCCTATTGCCAACGTTCAGCAATAGTATGTGCCGCGTCTGATTCCAAACTGCACTCTATGTTGACCAATAGCTGGATCTCCTTGGATCTGCACTGGCTGTGTTGCATTTGATATCGTTTCCTTGGGAGCTTATCAACTATCTTCTCAAATATTTGGTGAATAACATGCCTTTTTTTTTGCTGACACCTAATCCAGATGGTTCAGCCAACCATCCGAGTAATCTCGGTATCTCTGGCAACCATAATTCTGGTATTCTGGACCTCGCTTTCCCTTCAGCCACCAGCATCACAAGTAGCACAGCAAACTCTCCTTTGGCCAACATATTCAACTATCTTTCTGATTCTCTTCGATATTTTGCGCTGAAGCTGGGACGGGAAGAACATCATCCCATCGACCGAACGTCCTCCTTCTCCGTCGGACAGCTAGACCTTGCCTTCGCAGCCTATTTTTAGAATTTCACTTTCTAACCTGTCTCGAACGCTGGAGCTGACGAGTACAACGATTGAAAACTACCGCTTGTATCTCTCACGATCAACTCCACTGAACCCCTGCTGTCTCCTTCCCTAGTTCCAGGTTCTCATCGTCCTATTGCTGCTCTGGATACTGGAACTACGTTCATGTTAGGACCTACCGTCGACGTAGAAACCTTTTAGAACACGGTTGACTTGAATAACAATATCACTAGGGAAAATCCTGTAACAGATCTGTGGGAAGTTAGATGCGAGAACGCTATCATTGCCAGTTTTATTTTCGGTGAAGGAGCTTACAGAAAGGAGTTTGTTCTGCATCCAGAGGACGTTAACTGCGCGGTGAATGGCTTTGATGTAAAATGGTATATGGGTGGTATACAGGCCAACGACGGAGTAGACTCGCCTTCCCCTTTATATTGATCATCTCAAAATGTATGGTTAGGTGAATTCTGGAGATTGACTTTTGGGCGAGGGTAAGCTTGTTATCATATGTGGAAAAGTGGTTTTTTAACTTCGTCCCCTTTAGAACGTTTACGCCTCGCACCATGGCAAAATTTCTACCCACAATCTTATGATTGGACTCGCGAACACAACGGACGTCTCTATCGCTTTGCATGAATTTCGCCAAGGACGTGGGCCTGACATGACACCATTCACATCTTTACAAATTCGTGAACGAGCGCAGCATTCCGACCCTTTCCGTGCAATTGTTGTGTATTCTGTCTCCTCAGCATGCAGATTCCTGGGAGGCATGGTGATAACGGTCATATTTCGGCTTCAACATCAGAAAACTTTCAGAAAACGCAGCTGAGTTACGGACTTTTTTTTCATATTTACGGAATAATGATCATATAAAATTGTGGTCCAATGTTCCCTTCAATGAACTATGTAAGACCGACGTCGACGAGGGGGCATGGAGCGACGCCACCAACGAGGATGGAAATACGCCGTCGATACTATGATGAACGCAATTGCGGCTCCTGCCGTAGTTCCAACAGCTGGTGCTATGATGTTGACCAGACTAGATGAATGCCTCTTGACGGTTGGAACAATACTGTGAAGGGAAGAAGAGATCGAACATGCCAAATCGGAACCGTCGTCCACGAAAAATGCGGAGGAGTTGATCACGGTTGTCGTGGTAGACAAGGATGCCTGCAAGATGTACCACCCTTTCAGGACCGTGACGGGGTTCCAGGAGAAGGAGTGGACAGACATTGATGTGGTGGCGATCAATTTCGAGATGTGGGCACTGTTCGCGACCAACAGTGACATGGATCCTGATTCGGTCGAACTGCTCCATTCAAAAGTGATCTCGCTGCACACGGTGGTGTTCGCGGGATTTTTGAATATAAAGGAGATGGTATCGTCGCCTTCCCCTCCTCTGCCTCCATGCCTATCTTTTTTGTACCATACACCACTGTGAAAACCGGCCCACCCGATGGCCTAAAGTAACAGACTTCGCATGATCTGCACAGCGTCAGTGCAAGGATTCGACACTGAATTGAAAGCCTACATAGTTGATCAACGTCGCGGATGAAAGAAATCTGTAGTAGTAAGTACATGGCGACTTTTGAATTGGGCACGCGAGCTTGTAGGATGGGAAAGCTTACCTTTAGTTGTAAGTTACCATTAGTTGGGAGAAAGATTATTCTACGGTAGGTTATCTGCCGGTCTACCCGTTCGATCCACTGACACGAAGTTCAGCGTTGTACCGCGTCGACCACATGAGAAGAATGGGCTATATTTGGCACAGTACTGTTCTGTACTATTTATCCACGATATCCAATATCAAACCATCATCATCTCCGTCCATGACTCCATGTCTCTGAAGGTCATTATCATCGGTGCAGGACCTGCAGGCTTGGTGGTGTGCAAGTTTTTGTTGCCTCTGAAGGATTTCCTTTCGACCCTATCGTACTTGAGCAAGAAGATGACATTGGTGGCACATTTCGGTACCGATCTTACGAAGTGAGCCGCAGTACCCGCAGTAGGAGACTTTGGTGTCGTACCTGACGATCACCATAAATAATTCCCACCTCGTCTCTTCAAAGCAATTGATATGCTTCTCCGATTATCGTCTGCCAATGTCCCACCCGGATCATATGAGTTTAGAGGTGTGCTGTTTCCCTTGCATGTACATTGGGGTCGTGTGATGAACGGTAATATTGACATTAACTCTCAGAATTATCTAGACTATCTCAGAGCATATGCACAGCATTTTCAACTTAGCGAAAGAATCAAACTCAACTGCAAGGTCATCGATGTCAACCGCGATCGCATCAGTGGCGAACATGATACGAAGCTTAAAACGTTCTCATGAATGAGACCAACGTGGGTCATACTTTCGTGTGACGTAGGCGTTATGAATGACGCATTCTCAGTTGTAATCACGCTCAGCGCACGATATCTAGCTATCTGTACGGGACTCCACGTACTGCCTCAGTTTCCTAAAGTCGACGGCGTTGAGCATGTTGGGTCAAACAAGGTTCGGGAAAACCGGTGTTCCACTCCCACGAATACAAGACTAGATCCCAACTTGCGGATAAGCGTGTGATGATCCTTGGAACTGGCGGTAAGCAGACACTGGTGTAGCTCTTCACAGAAACACTCTCTCAGTTGTCCTTTCAGAGACCGGTATGACCTCGCATATGAAGCAGCTAAGGCTAGAGCCAAGGAAGTAGTACTGTGTACGCGAGGAGGGTTAGTAATTACGATGTATCTTTTTCTCATAACCCTGACGCTGATAGTACTACCACGATCAGATTTTTGTCCATTCCTCACGCGTTGGTCTGTACTTCAGCTATGTATTTGCGAGACCCAGGAGTTCATTGTATTCCCCGTAGAACAATTTTGAAATTTTTGGGATGAAATTCGATGCCGAAAAGAAAGTAGCCGTAGATAGCCTCATTACTACCCTTTCTGAAACTGCTTATGTTGTAAGTAAAGTGGTGACTGTTTTTTTGGCCCGCCTTGCCCTGATTGGTGTAATGTCCAGCACCCCTGGATAGCCAGCTCACATATTCGATGGTTGTGAGTGAAATTTCTTGTCAGTATCGGAGTGCAGTACGCCAAATTTTTCTAGCATATCTGACTTTGTCATCGAATATGTCTTGTGGTTCCTCACGGGTACTCAGGCTGGCCGTAATCAGTGGGTATGTCGAAACACATTTTTTCGCCTCAATACTAGGCGCGAGTTAAATTAATGTCTCCTAGGTGGGGCAATTAGAACCGGAGAGGCTTGGACGTGCCTATGTGTTTCTAAACAAGGTTTCTCTTTTGACAAGTATAACTCAGCCGTTCCTTATCTGTATTTTTTCCCAGTCGCACAAAGCTATGCCGTATCTGAATCGACCGTACCGGGACCGACTCGCATTCCTCGATCATATTGCTCGATATATCGATCCACCCGAGAACTCACCTCCGCAGACTGACTACGTTGTCGACTTGGCGCCATTTCCTCTCATTTCCTTCCTGACGGTCGAGCCGTCTTCCCTCACCTTCCGAAACGGTAAGATTATCTTCGAATGATGGGACGAGACGTTCGCTTAGAGGTGGTAATATATACAACAGGTTATACGCAAGAGTTTGCTTTCCTTGATAAGGATAGTGGATACGCCACGCCTGAAGGAGCAAATATTCGAAATATTGCTCGTGAAGGAGATGAAAGCGTTGGTTTCATCAGGTTTGTCAGACCCGGTGTCGGTAAGCACACAAATATCATAAATTGCTACGGGACAAATGTACCTGACATCTGGGACTGCTCAGGAGCAATACCGCCCATTGCGGAAATGCAGACCTTCTGGATATCACTTATCAAAGGACAGGTACGAAGGCCTCTTCCCCCGCCGCATTACCACCTGCTTGTTGAAGACACCGCGCGGATCAAATATGGTGTCGATCATTCAACGTATATGAGTACTCCTGCGAAAGACATCGGCGCGGCTCCAGGTCTTTGGCAACTCTGGCGATTATACGGGACACATGTTCTGGTATGCTATTGGTGCTGCTAGGGGTTACTCTCTGCTGACAGTTTTGGAGCTTCGGTGCGGCGTTCACCTCATTCTATCGTTTGGTAGGTCTATACAAATCTGCCTCTTCGGCGGAGGTAATACGAACGAAATTTGAGATACGATAATGCGGCGCGGTATTGTCGGAAACATGATTATGAGGGTTATACCTATGGCATTCTACTTGACACTCAATGCCCTTGCTTTCGAGGCAGGGCTGGCGTATTGTCTTTGTGGGGACGCATCGAATAAATATATAATACTTCCTTTTCACTTTATAAGTGGCATGACAAAACTCTGTTAACAACGTTTCTGAAACAATAAATTCATAAGTAAAAGCCGAAAGTATACATGAAGTATTACTGCTACAAACAATTGCGTACCTAGCTGGGTACTTAGAAACTAGACATGAAGGGCATAAAATATCACAAACACTTCATAACTCACACCTCCCAAGTTTCAGCATTATAGCAGATACTCCTGCGTCACTAGAGCACATGAAGCAGCAATAATTTCTTTCGACAACCTCCATCTGCTTAAGGCGTCTCCGTCAAGCCAGCCTCCGCAGCTTTCGACATCACTAGAGGGGGCTCTACACGGTTGACGGCGACAAAAGACACAATGGACGCGATACCACTGAAGAGGAATCCAATCCAGGGAATGATCCCGAACCACAAGACTAGAAGGAGCAGATTAGTTTTCATCCGCTTAACAAAGCGGAAGATAAGATCTTACTAAAGTGAATTCGTCGATACAGAGGGTCAACGCCGAGAGAAGCAGCAGCCTCAAGGAGAGTCGACGCGGGAACGGCGTCGCCGTCCGCAGTGGTTCCCGAAATCACAACGCCCTTCCTTCGGACCGCATCAGATACAGGGATCTGGCAGGCGAGGAGGGCGACAGTGATGAAAGCGTAAAGAAACCCTTGTACTTTCAAAGCAGTTTTGGTTGAGGCTGTTGAAATGAAGAGGCCGATGAGGGTGAAGATGGAAAATACGCAGAGGATGACACAGAAAGTTTCGGAGGCGATGGCAGGATGGACGACACCTAGATGCAAATCAGAAAATATTCGACTTAAGCAAGAATGGGACGTACTGTTAGTAATGAGTCGGAGGGTGATCCCGAGGGGCGCGACGGACCGTCGTAGAAAAGACTTGAGCCGGTTCTGCTTGATCACAGTGTTCAATCCAATGGATAGACTGATAGCACCCCATGCAAATGCCATGAAGTACGCGGCAAACCGTACGGCGAAAAGAGGTGCGCGAGCCATTACTATAAACCTAGTAGAAGGCTTGATGTACAAGTCAGGAGCTTTGCAAAGAGAGTCGGGGACTGAGCGAAAAGAGCAGGCCATTAGACTTTATATACTCTCGGGTAGGATCCTTGAAACGGTAAAAGAAGCAATAATGAGTGATCTGGAAGAGGTCTAGAGAATACGGAAAGCTTCGGGCAAATCAAGATGAACGCTCGTCACGCGTAGAATTCATCCCCAGGGGGACACTTGAACATTTACCGTCTTCTAAAGGAGGCGAGTTAGAGAAGTGCGCTTAATTTGGGGGTGAAGTACCGTAAGCCTGCAGGTCGTTGCTAGCAAGAATCGGGTCAACAACCTGACAAGTAATGACAGGTTAAAGCGTTCGTGACGGAAGGTGCCGATCCCAATGATAATTTTAGAGAGATGTGGGTCCAGGGTAAGTCGTCAAGGTCGTTTCGACTGGTCTGGAGGAGGTCCAGATTCCCGAGGGTGCGAGTGGCGCCATGATGCTTTAATTGTAAAAACCACAATGCCATATTATGTTGATTTTGCATCGTCCGAGGTCTTGGTCTAGTCTCCGGATCTGATACTTCCCCGGAACTGGGGGGAACTTGTATTGTTTTCGTAGAATAATTTACGAGAGAACGGCTTCACCAAAGCAAGAGAAATGGACTACACACCTGGGCAAATTTGTTCTTGTATTTCTCGGGACCTTATTTTCCTAGGAATCACCGACATATGGGTTTGACTTGCAACGCCACATATGAAAACTTTAAATTTCGAAGTTAGTCGAGATGATCGCTGGTCGATGAGTCATCGATGATCGATGACCAACCCTCGGATCGGATACTCCGGATATTTCCACGTTCTCGTTGGAGCTTTACTGAGTTCTCTTGAAAATTTGATTCCCTTGGCATTAACGGCGTGCAGGCATCGTTCCGCTTAATGCTTTGCCACTGTGCCTTTCCGGGCGACATTCGGGTTGGCGTTGAGCGACACGCAGCGGCAGGTGTAAACTGAGCTTGGTCGTTTGGAAATGGCTGGTACGAGGGTAGCGCACTTGTGAGTTCATTAGTTTGGATGGGGATTGATGATGGCTCCACCTACTCTGGTACGCCAATTGTATGCTTTAGATTTTTCGAGCGTTGAAACATTGAGTTTTCCTGCATCATACCTTGCTACAACCGCAGTCGTAGTCTGCAGTTTTCAGCCGTCCGTCTTTCGATTAAAGGTTCTGCGAAATTCATGGTTACACTGTTGCAATCTATGCCTCATGCCTCATGTTACCTACGACATCACCGTACAGTCAATGTATCTCTGTCGTGCCGCCTGTCAAACATTTAAGTGCAGCTTCCGTTCATGAATGTCCGTAGCTTTTTTTCGCTTATAGTACAATTCTCGTTGTGTCACAAAGTATATACCCGTGAAATGAACGTGTTTGGTATGTACCCGAAGTGTGCGATCTTGAACACTGTACTTCTCTGTTTGGGACCACCACGTCCAAGTTGCAGTGACTTGCTCATCGAATGCCGTGAACAGACATGATGGCGTCTTATCGTCCTATTACTCCCATTTCTGCTGTGTTTTCTCAGCCAGTAACAGCCTTGTCCTTTGACCCCGTCTCTGATATCCTATGGGCTGGGTCACAGAGCGGCATTGTTACGGCGTATGTCAGCGAGGGCATGAGCGGTGTTTCTTTTCGCGTTTCGGACTTGCCCGTTCTCAAGGTTGTCGCCGGAGAAAGTTATGTACGCGCTGCAGGAAGTAGAGGTCTTGGTTTTGGAACATGGGGAAAAGGCGGAGTGAATAAATGGCATTATCGGTACGAAAATCACCGTCTCCTAACTACGGAACTGAAAAGAGACGGGAATCTAGGTCGTCTACCGCCGTCCTGACCTTCTCGACGTCAACGAATTCGTCCAATGTCATCGGAGTGTCTGTCGTCGGTCCCGAACTGTTGCTAATCAATCCTCCAACCGGTACTGTCGTACGGCAAACACAAACACCTTCGTTGATTACGCACCTCGAATTCTCTCATTCAAGTCTCATATCTGGCGCTGTCGATGGCTTCGTGCGAACCCATGATCCTCGCACAGGCATCGCTAGGTCTGGCGGTTCAGAACATATGGTAAGGGCCCATCCGAGTGGTATCCAAGGCTTGCAGACATCGGGGAACTTCGTCTTCACAATCGGGCTGCAAACTCGGTTCGCATGTTGGTCTATCACTTTTTGAATTTTGACGAGTGTATGACAGGCAAGGCCGACCGTTTCCTGACCAGCTTGTGAAGGTGTATGATTTGAGAATGATGCGTGCGCTGCCACCGTTCCCATTCTCTGCTGGACCCACGTTCCTCAATCTTGTTCCCCGGCGTTCTTCAAGCAGTGTTGCTATTACTTCTAACCAAGGCTCAGTCACTGTTGTTGATGTTGCGAATCTGAGTGCTACACCTGAATTCTACCAGGTATTTTTATTTCTCCCCATTCTAAGTTATCAGCTGAGAGGTCGTTCAGATTGATACACCCTCCTACCTGACCTCAGTCGCTCTGTCTCCCACTGGTGCATACATGGCCTTCGGGGATGCTGATGGACTGATACATCTGTCTACACAAGTCGATGAAGGTGGTCTAGTTCCTTTCAACGGGTTTGAGGGGCAACCTGTGGAATGGGCTAACGCTCCTACCCCACTGCCGAGTATTGAATGGTCTGATTCAACGTAAAGTTTTTCTTTCTCAAGCTCTAGCACACTCACACCATCCTCTCCAGCCCATTGAACACCGTCGGTATGCCTCATTACAACTCCCAGCTGCTATCATCTTGGAGTCCGCAATTCATATCATCCAATTTATATTACCCTCCGCCTCCCAAGATACCTCTTCAGATTCTCAACTCAGTAAAGATCAACGACAATATCGCTTACGCTACTCTACCAAAGGACTTGCGTGGACGTCGGAATGTAATCTCTGTAGCCCCACGGAAACAAAGCGCGCGATTCCGCAGTGGAAAATCTCATATACTTGATGTGTGTATTGTATCGCTTTGCTCTATCCTGCTGATCTCTGCTTTTGCAGGAACCAGACACTCCTTTGTTTGGCACTAGTGGTGATGAGATTCCTAGTATGTATCGTCACGTCGAGATCGAATACTCCAAATTTGGTGTGGAAGACTTTGACTTTGGGTAAGTAAGAGGTGTTGCTCTTCTCCAAGCATCTGACCACAAATTACAGATTTTATAACAAGACTGAATACAGTGGACTTGAAACGCATATCCTGAACTCATACACTAACCCTATGCTGCAAGCCATGCACTACATCCGACCCATTCGCCGTTTAGCAAAGTCTCACATTTCTACTGACTGTAACAGAGAGCACTGTCTTCTCTGTGAACTCGGTTTCGTTGTTCGGATGCTCGAAGACGCCCGTGGTACAAACTGTCAATCAAGTAATTTCTGCAAGACCGTTGGCGTCTTAGCGCAAAGTACGTCTTATGAATGTATGTTGCTCACGACCAGCTGATCATGTAATGGCAGCATCCAACGCTATTGATTTGATTGACTATGGACGGGAGTCTAATGAAGTGGATCATGGCCACATGATTCAGTCGTTCCACCGTTTTCTCGTCGACCATCTGAGCTCCGAGGGCAATGCATTTCCTCGAAATCCTGTCCTCGTCAAAGGTCCTTCATATGTTCCTGATCCTTACAATCCCGCGGCAGCTCCAATCACTCAGCTGATGGGAATTGACGCTCGGAATGTAATTACCTGCCTCAACTGCAAGGCTGTTCGAACTAAAGAGAACGTGACACATATAGTCGACCTCATCTACCCACGCAAGGTACTCGCCCCCTTTCCCTATGTGACTCTGGACCTCATTTGTTATCAGACTGCATCTAATGAGGTTCAACCCGCGAACGATTTCACTAGCATCTTACGGGATTCATTACTACGGCAAATGACTCACAAGGCTACCTGCCAGTCGTGCAAGCAGTTTTCGACGTTTTCTTCAAGGAGGTCTATAGCATCTATAGACCTCCCGGCGATTCTGGCGGTTAATGCGTGTGTAAATAGTGAAGACAACTTGAAGATGTGGATGGATCGTCGGAACCATACATTTCTGCAGTCACGCGTGGAACTTCAGGGACAAGTAGAAGGCGTAGACGATCCAGAAAAAATCGTGTACCAATTACGGGTACGTTTTATCTGGTCCTTGCCCATGTTACCGATATCTTGTTTCAGTCAATTATTGTTCAAGTTGTTACGGAAGACGAGCACTCACATTTGGTTGCTCTTGTCAAGGGTTGTGCTCACCAAGATTCTTCCTTGTGGACACCTTCTAACTCCTCCCCAGTGCCCGAGGCGGAACAGGGTCTCGGCAGTCCCTGGTATTTGTTCAACGACTTTGTTGTCCGTAATGTCTCCGAGGAAGAAGCCCTTAGTTTCCCCAACAAGTGGAAAGTTCGTAATATATCACTTTGCGAATTTGAGCATTCACCCATGATCTATTTGATTTTGTAGTTGCCTGCGGTCCTTCATTTTGAGCGTGAAGACATGCATGACGCGATAGACTTCAGCGAGCTACTGTTTACTTCTGATGATTCCATTCTCAGCCGAGACACATCCATATCAATGTCAGCATCTCTCTTTCATTGAGGATATTGTTTCTATTGATACTTTGTTGACAGAAACCGTGACTCTAATCTCATCAAACATGAATGTCTTCGGTACGAAGAGCTTCCCCGACCGGGCACCCTGGTTGCTATTGACGCCGAGTTTGTGTCAATGCAACAGGTTTGCGCAACCTTTAGTGTTCTGGGTATCCTGCTAAGTATGGTTATAGGAGGAGACCGAGTACCGGTCTGATGGAACGAAGAAGGTCATTCGACCTGCTAGACTCAGCCTTGCGCGGGTATCGGTGTTACGAGGCGATGGACCCAAGCAAGGCGTACCTTTCATCGATGACCATATACATACAAGTGAGGTCATCGTCGACTATCTGACGGAATTTTCAGGCATCCGGTGTATGTTCTTTTAATTTATTTACTCGTCGTTCTGACAATCTTCGCTTCAGTCGGTGATCTCGATCTTCTACGATCACCGTATACCCTCACGCCACTGAAGGTCGTGTACAAGAAGTTGCGACTTTTGGTAGATCGAGGGTGCATATTCATCGGGCATGGTTTGTCTAAGGATTTCCGTATAATCAGTACGCCGGTGCTTTTCGCTCCAATGTTAAATAGTTCACAATTCGTTGCCAGATATTTTCGTTCCGCCTGACCAGGTGATCGATACCGTCGACCTCTATTTCCTCAAATCACGACAAAGGCGTCTTTCCCTGCGTTTCCTATCGTGGTTTGTCTTGAAAGAGCAAATTCAGACGGACACGCACGATTCCATTGAAGATGCACGCTCCGCATTGAATTTGTACAAGGCCTATCATCAATTCGAAGAGCAGGGTGTCTTCGATCAGAAACTAGAGGAGCTTTACAAGGAAGGACGACAGTGCAACTTTAAGCCGCCTCCTGTGGAGACCCCTGCAACGGCACCGTCTCGGCCTATACATGTAGCGGAACCGAATCAATTTGTTGTGGAACAGGCTAATCTACTATTGGGAGCCCAGCTTGCGCAGATGTATCCTGCAGGACACACACCGTCGTCAGCACGTATGCCAACTCCGGGGGCATTCATGCAGCATCCCAACGTAGTGAGGCATCGTGGGGATGAGCACAGATATAAGCATTCAAATTATCATCGTTCTAGTCGGTAGCGTGTTTGTCGTTGGCAGAGCATGAGGACATTGCATGTTCGGAAGCATCATGATTGTATTCCTGTATTGCAATTGTAATTATATGCTCGTCAGATTAGCGTGGTCGTCACGGAAGAGCTGGCCGAGGAATTCCGGAGAAAACTAGAAAGCAAGTGGATATACGAGATGAATATGTTGTTAGATATACAAGTTGTTTAAAAGTCGAAATCGTCTTCGTCGATATCCTTCCTTCGCTGATACTGGTTTGCTGATAAGCTAACGGCAATATTAAATAAAGCACCCCAGAGAAGACGCACCACAATTGTCGATTTCTTTGCCGTCTTGGCACCCTGAGCTTCTTCCACCTGATTATGCATCGGTGAGTAGGACGATGGGCTACGATCAGGATACGTACTTGGTCCAGGAGTTCAATGAGTTGGTTTTCCGACACTCGTCCTTTCAACTGGCCCGACTTCACCATCCTGAACAAGATGCCTTCGATTTGCTGCGATCGTTCTGGACTGACAAGCGCGATTCGGGACACTGCAGGACGACGTTGTTATATTTTCGCAGCAACAGCAGAAAACATACAACGTTCCCGAGCTGCCGTATCCAACACAGTTGCCATCAAATCCCGCCTCATCTGCTCCTCCTGAGCGCGTTTTGCTTCATCTTCTTGGGATTTTGCACCGGCAGCTTGTGGGGGGACCTGGCTGAGGTTCTCCATGGCTTGGGAGTCGATGTGATTCAAGCGAGAGACGTTACCTCACTGTTCGGTCCAGCGGTCCGGTGGCCGGTTTCAGCGTCTCTGCTCAACTTGCATCTCCCAAGAGGTACTTTGTACTTTCGCGGCGTCGCGTTCCAAAGGATGTAGCCTTACCTGGCCATTATTATCCCAGACTGGTGACCCTAACTAAGACCCTCGGTTACCTTCCCTTCCTCTTCCTCCGGGCGCTGTAGGCTAGCTTTCCCCTCGCATGAACAGGATTTTCACTTCGAGGCAGTACTATGTCGAACTAAATCTCGAATTATGTATGCCTCGTTTTGTCGCAATGGCAGGTCCTAGTTCAGAAATGCCTAATAGACAGACGGGTTTGCTGAGCGCGAAATTCGTATTATTTGTTCGTGGTCACCAAAGCCTTCAAAGTTGCTATAATGGATCATTAATGATATTCCTTGTCATGATGGCCATCATGCCTGCCACTAGTCCATTTCTATTTTACAATGCCGTCGACAAGACAAATTCATGCTTTCTTTCTCGTTGATCTCTCCCCTGTACTGGCAAAGGGCGAGAGAGCTCTCTTTGAATTCGATTTCTGGCAGGCGGACCGTCGAACTGACCTTCTACTGCTTACATTGTTCCCCGTAATGCCATCACACAAACAACATTAGTATGGCAGGGACCAGCATCTTCTTTATATTCGCTTTTCTCAGGGCGTCGGAACACAGTGCATGCGAATTTTGTGATCTAACCTCATGAATGTTGGCAGGAGCCTTTCTTCTTGGTGTACGTGATGATGGCCCCTCAGCGCTCAGTCATCCAAATTAAATGTATCAGGCGTTCGCATGCCATGTTCTTCCAGTTCATCGCCCTTCACCGCCATATACAGAAGGAAATACACAAGGCGAGGAAAAAACCTCAAGATTGTTGCTGGCCCTTGTGCTCGGTGTGGTCGGTCTAAAAAATGAGTCACGTACCGTTATTCTGGGACAAGAACACAAGGGGCCTATTGTTACATCATGATGGTTGCTCCACCCGTGAGCCATTTCTGCGAACATACAAGAACTGAAGAACAAAAGGACGCCTCCCGGAAAGGCAGAAAACACAGTCACGTGATCTCAGCAACTGAATTGATTGCGAAACAATGCCTCTTTCATCAGAAATCATTGTCCTCGACGTAGCCTGCTATAAAGGCCCTCTTCGCGATGTCTTCCCATTCCCACATCTTATTTTTCTCCTTAGACAGCGACATTCATTCTTCTTTTTTTTTTCTATAACCTTCACGACTTTTCCCGCTTCAAAATGCCTCAAATTTTCATCTCGGCGTTGAAAGCTATTATTCTCGCTGGTTTTTGTTCCGCTGCTGCGCGCGCAGCCGACATTAATGTTACCGTCGGAGGACCTGGAGTCCTCAAATTCAGTCCAGATTCTGTGGTACGTCCCTGTCGATCCTCAGTCTCCGGCCGCCGTACTTAGCTCTTGCATAGACCGCCAACGTCGGCGACGTTCTGCGATTCACATTCATGCAGAAGAATCACACAGCGACACAGTCCACTCTTGCTAGCCCGTGTTCACCCATCGAAAATGGCTTTGATAGTGGCTTGTGAGCACTCGCCTTTGTTGAGCTTTGCCTATACTTACCTTTCAATAGTGTACCTGTCTCCGACAACACCACCTCTGGTTTCCCCGTGGCAGAACTGACCATCTCAGACACAAATCCCATCTGGGTGTACTGTCGACAAGCGAACCATTGTCAACAGGGAATGGTTTTTGCAGTTAATCCAGGCGACAAGTTGGCTCAATTCCAAGCCGCGGCCACCGGAAACACAACGGCCACTGCTTCTTCCGGAAGTTCAGCGACCTCGGCAGCCACTGGAGTTGTTACTGTTACCGCTACCAGTGTCACTGTATCGGGTGGGCAAGTGTTAACAACTACCTCCGCGACTACAGCAGCTACTGCATCCGTGTCATCTTCCTCGAGCACCGATCATAAAGTCATTGTCGGTGGAACTGGTGGCCTCGTGACTTATTCGCCTGCCAACATCACTGCAAACGTTGGCGACACCGTTACCTTTGAGTTCCACCAAAAGAACCACACGGTCACTGCTTCGAGTTTCGCCTCTCCCTGCCAGGCTCTTTCTGGGGGATTCAATTCTGGATTGTGAGATTACTTGCGTGTCATGGATACGCAGGAACTGACCAAATTTTTTTGTGTAGCATGCCCGTCACTGATGATGCTCAAACTTTCCCGACTTATACGGTCCAAGTTAACGACGTAAAGTTTTCTTCTTCCACGACATCTGTTGAAACGCCGTACTCACTCCTTTCTTTCTAGACGAAGCCTATCTGGGCGTATTGCATGCAGACCAACCACTGCGCACAGGGAATGGTGTTTGCCGTCAATGCGAATGAGAGTAGTGCCAACACCTTCGAGGCTTTCAAAGCCAAGGCCATGAGCAATTCTACGTCTACTTCAAGCTCGAGTGGCGCTGCCTCATCGTCGACTGGTTCGGCGTCAGGAGCTGCCGGGCTCGCGGCACGTGGCTCTGGGGCTGTGGCCATCGTTTTCGCAATCGCATTGGGTTGTCTGCTATGAACGACATGATGTTTATGATGTTTACTTTCCTTTCGTGTTGTTGTATTTTTTAATATGGATTCATTGTATTGATATTCACTACGCTTACGGACATTTATTTCTAATACTGAGACTTGGTACTGTAGTCTAGCTGCTAATAGTTCATGTTTTTCCCGTCGTAGGACGCTTTGGCAAGGTCTCGGATGGGCATCCAAAGTTTTACACTCGTGCCTAAAGCAACTTTTAATCCACATCCGCACTCAAACGATGAGTATCGTTTCAATTTTGGGAAGAACAGGGGCTCGAGGCTATCAAAAGTTCCTCGTGTATCTTTCTTTCAGTGCAGTTCTCTTAAGTTTCCATCGTTACATAGTTCGGCGACAATCAAGCTAGACGGTTGTTTCGCCCACTACAGGTCCTCTTCCTTCCTTCTCCATATCCATTATGTTCCAAAAATCACATCCTTTGCCTTCATTCTGGGCTCCGGCATAACATGTCCACCAATATTTATCCGTTTTCCCATCCGTCCTATTCTTCATATCCGGTCTTAAGATTGTCGGTACATCGCATTTACACCGAGGGATGCTGGACGGGTGAAAGTCCGGGCGGTAGAACCTGAAGGTTATGTTGATCCGGCAATTGGAGGTGTCATTTGGGACGCGAGGGTGGGAGGGTCGGTAGAGGTCCATGGAAGATTGCGGAGGGATAGAATGTTTGAAGCGCTCTTGGCACGATGCGTGCATGATTGTGAGCTGTCCGCAGTAAGTATATATACATACGTGACAAATACAGCTTGACTGACGGAATTGTGAGGAAGAGGAATATTGAACGTCTGAGCGCTTCGCGTTTCTTTTTCTTGCTTGGGGATAACTTCTCGCAAGCTGAAAATCCTCCGCGCACCTAGATAAAGAAAGACTCGGTATGCCGGGGCTTAAATGATTAGAAAGTTTACCAAGGCTAAGAGAAGCTGAAAGCAAGGTCAATTGTATCAATTAAAAGATCTTGGTTCGACGCGCCTATTGTGCAATACGGTCCCAAATAAGTCATCTGGTCCGAATGGGGCCCAACACACTCTTTTGCACCTTCATAGCAGTTCGATGCAGCGACATTTGCTCGCCAGATATATTCTAATCCAGGTTGGCCAGCCCACTCAAGAGGAAATCGTTGTCGCTTCCGTAGTTCCTCATTGACGAGGCGTTCAACAATGACACACGCCTCTTCCATAGAGGCAGGAAACTCAAGCGGAGGTTCCGTCATTCGACCATTATACCTGTAACAAATCATTCAAATCAATATCCGTCACAATAACAACACCTACGCACCAGAACCGCGCCGCCTCTTGCCAGGCATCGGCGCTCCCTTCTGCACCGTTCTCTCGCGCAAAAAAAGACGTCCGATGTGGGCTTTCTACGAGTCTATCAAAGAGCCACCATTTATTGCGCCCCCATCCCCGTGAAGCATCAACCATGGTGTAAAAGAGCCGACAGGCTAACTCGTGTGGCAGAACGGAGAGATGCATGGTACAGGGACTGTGCTGCTCTACCATAGCCGGATTTGACAGTAAGAGAGGAGGCGGCGACACAGGCTTCTTGGATGGTGACGGCGGAGCTTGTCGGAGGACGGTCATGAGATTTACTGCAGGTTTCTTGGACGAACTTGACGGTTTTGAGGTGGAGGGCGACTTTCGCGTCAGAGTCATGTCGTCTTCGTCGTCTCGCTTGACAATTTTGTTGGGTTTGTTTCCAAGCCATGATGTCAAATCATTCGTCCTTTTTCTCTTCTTCCCTCGATTGTTCAAGTATTGGGCAGCAGCCTCTACATTGCCATTGTGTTGCACCAATGCGTCCAAGACTGCCTCCTCAGATTGCCTGGAGTTTGATTGCAGTAAGCTGTATACGAGGGCGATCAGCATCTCTGTGTCGTCTGTGCTCATGATGGTTGCTTAGGAAAAACACGGACCGCGGACCGCGGACCGGTCCGAGCTCACAAGATGACTAAGCTTAGAGGAGCTATATCATATTAAAGATTTTAATGGATGACCTCAGGGCTTGAGGTTACTAGACTAGACCTTCCTAGTGCCACAGTTTCCTCACTAGCGTTGACGGCAAGTTCCCCCGTTAAAAGCTGCTTGACGACTCTGGAACTCCATGAATTGATCCAAGGTTATTTATTTGGTTAGATATAATCCTTTCACCGCTCATCACCGATTTACCTACCTACCTACCTACCTACCTACGCTCTTCGCTAGGCGAATGGACTCGGAGCTCGAAGCACAATTTTCTAAATTCTTCGCCTCGGTCAAGGACTTTTTCAGTTTCACCCGCAAATTCGGACTGTTCACACATAGCTTGCTATCTCCGTGGAGAATTGGAATCTTATGTCAGTATCAAGTTTATGGGGGACACCGTCTAGATTAGTACTACTGCTCATGATACCGATGGCCAACTCAACCTTTTCGACACCGCTGACAGAGCTCTTTGGTATCCGCCATCCGGTGATGCTTGCTGGTACGTGTCGCGTCCTATGCATATGACAACCGTTGGCTGTATACCGTTGACTGTAGGCATGGACACCGCCGCAGGCCCTGAGCTAGCTGCTGCAGTGACCAACGCTGGTATGTTGCTTCGCTCGTCGCTCCATATTTTCTTGCCATTGAATGAACTTTGCCAGGCGGCATAGGTATCATAGGCGGTGTCCTTCTCACTCCATCCCTTCTCCGTTCATCCATACGCGCCCTGAAACTCCATCTTCACGACCCCAAGGCTCCATGGGGCGTTGATCTTCTCATACCCCAAGTTGGCGGAAACGCAAGGAAGACCAACGAAGACTACACCCGCGGACAGTTGGCCCAGCTTGTCGAGGTTATCATCAGTGAAGGCGCGAGGCTCTTTGTTTGCGCGGTGGGTGTCCCGCCGAGATGGGCTGTGGATCAGTTCCATGAGGCGGGCATACCTGTTATGAAGTATGTGTAATTTTCATTTGCCCATGATGCGAGCGATGTTGACCCGAAAGATTAGTATGATCGGTCATCCAAAGGTACTTTTACTCTCTCTCGCTATATTTCTTTTTTTCCCATCGTGACACGAATAGCATGTCCCGAAAGCCTTAGCGCAGGGTGTTGACATCATATGCGCCCAAGGTGGAGAGGCGGGTGGACACACGGGAGACATTCCGTTCAGTATTCTCATCCCATCTGTTGTCGATTTGTGTGGTAAAGCCAAGACTCTCAAGGGCGATCCGGTCATTGTCATTGCAGCGGGCGGCATTGCGGATGGGAGAGGGTTGGCCGCCGCATTGGTGTACGTCGAGATTCTACCTTGACGATATATGCTCACTGAATTCTCTACACGGTAGGTACGGTGCATCTGGCGTCTGGGTCGGTACGCGCTTCCTCGCATCCACCGAAGCTGAGGCATCGCAGATGCACAAAGACCTCGTTTTGAGCGCCGGATATGATGATGTCGGACCAACACTCATCTATTCTGGCCGACCGATGTGTGTGAGAAGGACCAAGTATGTTAAAGAGTGGTAGGTTTTTTTTTTGCTAATTGTTTCTTTTCTTTCTTCTCACCTTTTGATCTGCTGTCGGAAGGGAGACCACCCGTCGGCATGAACAGGAAGTCCTCCTCTCCCAGGGGAAGATACCGTATAAAATCGATCTGGAGGAACACCCTGAGAAGAGGGTGGAGAGTGCCCGCTGTACGTTTACGTGTTCACTTCCCTTTCGTCATCACAAGTTGATGAAGTTGATGGCCGTATCCTCAGGGGTCATGGGAAAAGTAGCCGGCTCGATACATGATATCAAGCCGGCAAACGATATGTGCGTCTTTCTTTCTCTTCTTCGTCTTTCCCCCCCCCCCCTCTGGCTCAGAGATTCCTCCTCTAGTGTCCAAGAAATTGTTCGCACCGCGGCGGAACGACTGGAACGGTCCGCCGGGCGTGTGAGGACCAAGTTGTGAAAAGGCAGGAAAGGCAGACTCGGAGGATCTTCTACAGTGGAACAGGAACGGGATAGGGCAAGCTTACAGAGCATTCTATGTTTTATCTTTCACAATCATACAGATATTGGTATTTTTTCGTGAATCTCATCGTCAGGGACTGGTTCTCATCAGAAATGTATGCACGCACCTTGACCAGGCTAGACTATCGACGCATTCTCGACTGAACGTCACCGTTAAGGGCTTCAGCGCTACCGCTCTGCCTCTGACTTAAACAGAAGCAAGACCGACCCCCTTCCCTCGATTAGAACGGCCCGTTTTCCGAATGACAATAATTCTGTCAGTGCCAGGGCCTTGATTCGTACTCGAGTACTTGGGCACTTATATGGATAGATCGATTGTCCTTGCCTTGACAATTGTCATCTACTACTATATATATATACATAAATCCACATATAAAATCTGTCCCCATTACTATCCGTCTCTACCCCCAAAACTTCAGAAACCAGCTCGTCCTCTGCCTAGTATCGATTTGCCCCTCCTTCCGTCTCAAAACTCTGGGTAATGGCTTTTCTCTTGCATCGTATGTAGCACTGCTCTTTATGGACATGGGCGGGGTATTTCTGGGGGTTGGTAGACCGGGCAAGGCATGCGATACGTGCGTATCAGAGGGTATCCGTGCATGAATATGGGTATGATGGCCTGGATGAGGTCTTGTCACGGTAGGGGAACGAGGTATTGAAGGTGCGGTGGTTTTGGGTTTAGGCTCCGTAGCTGTTGGTGATTGTGAAGGTTTCGTAGATGGGGACGTATGCTTTGAAGAGACGGTTTGAGCGCGCTGAGGGACAGCGGATATAGTTTGTCGCGTAGGTCGATGGCCATGGTCGGACATTGAGCGCGACTGAGACTGTCCAGGTTCCAGCCGTGAACGTTCTGGACGACGTCGTTCTCGTGAAGTGGAACGGCGAGCATTCTGTCCGGTGCCATCCGACTTGAATACACTTATCGGTCTGCCGCCCGACAGTGGTTGCGAATATCTGGCAGGATTCTTCCCTAATGCTGATCCCTCCTTTTTTCTCCCTTTCCCTTTCTCCAAAGCCCTTAAAGTCTTCTCTCCCCCCTCCTCAACGTACAAGGCGGGGAAATCAGACGACCGGTATCCCCCTTGTACGCTGCCAAGATCTTCATCACTATCTGGGGGCGTCGGGAGCCCACTGCCCTTCATCGCAACGCTCCTCCCGGTCACACGAACATCGTCCATCGAACGAATCCACGCCTTGGACCCACCACCATCAAGGGCACCAGCTAGGGCAAAGTCCAGTATACTAGGGCCATGTGATGCAAATAGAAGATTGAAAGGGAGTATGTAGGCATAGTATGCAGCGGACTTGGCAGTGGATGTGGATGTATGCAAAGATGACGTCGATGCCGCAGTCCGACAGTGATTGATCAAGAAATGCTCGAGATTTTGGACAGTTTTTGATGGAAGCGTCGATGGTGGCGGGAGAACGTGTATGATATGAGCGCGTCTCTGTTTAGCACCGTGGGCCGCCTCTTGCTCAGTCGTCATCGTCGTCGTCGGGGGTATCGGGCTGGGGCGGCGTGATAGGAACGATAGTCTGGATGTTTGTCTTGGCACTGTCACCTGGGTCTTCTTCTCCTTTCCATTCCGTGTCAGCAAGAACCCAGCAACCAATGATGTCGCCAGGATCCCCATCTTCAAGGCCTCCCTCTCGCTTCCCGTTCTACCGTCGAGGAAATTGATGACGGCGTGGAAAGACGGTATAGGGAGGACTCCTGCGCTCTCAGCCTCGCTCGTATCCTCCGCTATAGTACTCATGGGTACGAAACCAAACGTCTCTTCTCGTCCTTCGTAGTCATACTGACTGTACTGCTTCGCCGGTCGCAGTGGCGTGCGCGCCGCACGCTGCAACACCGAGAGAAGGTGTAGGGCTCCACCTTTGCTGAGCCTCTTGTTCGTCCGTAGGATTGCTAGAGATGCCGATGAGGAGCCTTCGGCTACTGGAATCCATTTCGCGGGATTACTTGATGGCACGACCAAAATTGTCTGTGCTAGCGATGGGTTATTGAGAAGAGGGCGCACCAGACGCACATCGGGGTCGCCGAGCACTACAATACGCTGTACCGCCGGTGAAGCTGGAAGAGCACCAGCGTCGACGAGCCACGACGGGTGGTGCGGATGAAACATGCAAGACATTTTCGACGGTGCGGCAGAATATAAGATCAAGGGCAACTCCACCGGCATCCGCCGGATGACGCAGCGATCGCTTTTTTCGTGCTGGCAACTTTCTGTCGAGGTCCGGGAATCAAGAGTGGACTACCACCAAGAAACTAGCGCATCGGTGGAAAATATAGCTGAAGATATTAGTATATGTGAACAGGACGGTCATCGCACTTGTCATCAGATGATTAATCTTCGTTGAGTCCAGCTCCGGAGGAACTTCAAGCTCTATGGCAGGCTCGGTTGGCAGTGAGTCACTGATGATCTTGGCAGAAGCGTTCCCATGGTCGCCTAGCCTCTGCACATGTCCACCTTGCATCCACAACCCTTTCGTAAAAGCTTTATGAAAGAGCGAGAATCTTGCTACAAGTATCGCGTTCGTGCCGAAATAGAATGAGATGCCTAATGACAGATGTTACGATCAAACTATGAATAGAATACCACTTACTTCCACCCCAACCACGGTATTTCATTGGGAAAACATTGCGAATTGGCCGAGCCTCGGGGCGCACACGACTCCTCAAAATACGCTGGAGGAACGGGTTAATGGCCGCCTCAGCTGCGAGAGGTTGTGAACTTCAGGAATCAGAATGCCGAAATGAGAACTGGCCAAGGGTCGATGTCCCCGTCTAGAAACCAACACATTTAGAAGAGACTTGAACGCAATGTAGACGGAGGCGTAGATCAACGTGGGGCCCACGCTGTGTGCCCTTTCCGACTTCCAAGGAGAATCCAATGACTTTAGCTTCAAGATGCCCATTCCCATCCCACGATAATTTAAAAGGCTCGTTCTGACTCACGTCCTTATTACGGTGGGTGGTACTTGGCGCTAGCACCATAATCAGGCGGATCCGGCAATCAACTGCAGTAGTCGAACGCACGTTCCAGAGAGGATTCCGAGGTGGAGACACTATTCAGTTTACCTCGCGCCACCTTGATCAGCCTCACGCCATTGGGTAGATACACCCATTCCAGCTGTTTCTGGGACAACCGATTCAGTACCCACTCGCGTCAATTACTCCGAGTCCAGTTTGTTGATCGGCAGGATGTACGAGGTTTTGGGGACTCCGTAATTTGAAAAGGACAAGGTTACCATATAGACCGTAGGGACCTTTATTCATCAGCAAGCGTTGCGTATACTTATATATACTGAAACGTGCCTGTGCCTGCTTCCTTAACACGAAAAAAGCGGCGAAGGGTGGTCGGTGTATCCACCTTTTGATGTCGCCACCGCGTCATGTTCGAGCGGGCTGTCATTCGTCCATCCACAAGGTGGCGGGAGCCAACAATTGTTCCCCCTTCCGCCATATTGTGCTCTTCAAGATCTCCGAGTGCGTTTGAACTCGAGAACATTGAAAATAAAAATCCAACCCGAGGATACGGTTGACAACGTGTGTCAGCTGCCACCATGTCCCATCCATCTCTTTCCCAACCGACTTCTTTCAAAAGCCATTCACCGTACACCCCATCACGAGCGTCCCTAAGAACTCTGTCGCATCTCTTACTCTTTGAACTTCTGCCACGAGCTGCGGCCCCCGTTAACGTTTACTCTCACAGGAAATAACGACATACGTCGTTAAAATTATATGTTCCCTAAAAATAAACAGAATCAGCGCTCTCACAGCCTATAGCTATAAGCACGTACGTTCTGATTACAATTTGCAAACCAAAAATGCGGCACCGAAAGACATGAAACGCCACTGGGCTATTTTTGAACGGCTCTTCCTTTGTCTCGAAACCCCAAGCCCCTTGTCTGTTCAACGGTTTTGCCGCCTTCTGTCCATCCCAATCGAGAAGAGTCGAAAAAAGGATACGGTGGTAGCGGACATTTCTTACAATATGAAGCTTGACTTTCATGGCCCGCCTTTACTGAAACGCCCAGATCCATCGCATGTTCGACCTCATGAATATTGCTTGCGGACTTGACTTCCCAAGTTACTTGAGGGGTCGAACCGGGTACGAGGTAAATGACTAAACCATGCATCAATTTAGGATCATTCATACGTTATCGATGGCTGAGAAGAGACTTGCGGTGCGGCGATTCGAGGAAGACAACGCAAACACAAGCGCCTTTGTGTTGAAATGAAATCAGTATCGGGCAGAGGAACTCCTGGTGAAAAAAATTGACCTGGTCATCACCGCTTCTTGGTCAGACAAAGGATAGACTCAATGTCAGAAGGCGTATGACTCCAAGCATCCTTTGTTCACAATCGCTTCGGTGATCTGAGATCAACAAGTAAGATATCGGATCTTCGCGAATCCAAACCAGAGGCTATAGATACGATGAAAACGCGCATGTAACACACAATGAACAGGGCCTCATTGTGCAGGGTGAACCTCAGTTCTTGGAGTCTGTCATGAGATAAACCACATCGGTATCCAGGTATGAATGGACGTCGTCATGGCTCGTGGTTCATAACAAAGGATCTTCGGAAATTGAATTAACGGCGGTTAAAGCTGGATCTGAGGAGCCAAGACTCATGTTCGTAGACCGGATGGCAGGAAACAATCGATCGTCCGGGAACGAGGAACAAGATCCGCTACCGAGGGCGTTGGTCAACTGACAAAGAACGCCCTCGGAAGAGACACAAACACGCCAACAGACAAAAAGCGGCCTGATTTCGACACCACCGAGCTCAGCAATACTGATTTGCGGACAATTCCAGACCTTCGAGGAGTCTAGCGTTCTGAGTGCCAGGTCGTCGTTTACTGCTGCGACAGCCACTGTAACGGTAATACAACATCGTCAGGCACAACTCTCACAATCCGTGTTATTATTTGTCGAAGATGGCCGGTCCATCCCACGACTCGAAAGACTCGGACTGGGAGTGCTCCTAGTGCTTGGAGGTATGTGAGACACACGTAGAGTGACTCTGGATCCGGCAGCAGTCTTGTAGTATCCCAAATCCAGACACGAGAGGAAGCCGCGTGGAGATCCTATATGAAATCAGATTCCGAGAAATGGAGGAATATAAGGAGTTGAACATACATCCTTTCCTCCATTGAAGCAGACTATCACGGGATATTCGCAAGGGGACACGACGATTGTCGGCCTGAAGTGACCGGAGTGCGTTACAGGACAGGCATACGGTCGAGGATTACAAAGACTTGAGATGGAGAAGCGCCTGCGACCATAAAGGCTGCTGAGAAGAGATGTCGGACTATTTGATGATACTTTGATGACACTGTCAAAACGTCCAATTCGGGCGACGGTCGTAGAAAATAATGAGACTTTGGTACCAGTTATCTTGCGGAGGAGACGTGTCAGGGGCGAATAATACTGGAAAACAGCTTTATAATGTCCATATTGTTCAGAATCTTGCACGATTGTTTCTCCACTTGGGAGGTGTTTTTTTACGCTAGGAAAAAATCAGTTCATGTGCTCTAAGAGAACGAAAGGAGCTCACGATATGATGGTATATCTATATACGTGGCCTGAATTCTGCTTCGTCAACGCAACTAGGAAGAACCTTGATCCTGACAATGAACGCAACTTGGGAGCGCCAAGAGTCTCGGGGCGATCATCCGGACCGAGGACCGAGAATTGCTTCGAGAATTACTTGGTACCGTAATTTTGGATCGTCGACATGAGGATGTTGACTTGTTCTTTGTTCATCTCGAGCCTTTCTTCTCTGCGCCTAAAAAGACCAGGAAAGCACCATGCCACCATTACTATCCCATCATGTCTCAGCCTCATATCCCTCGACCTCGGAACGCGTTCATTTTTTTCCGTTCTCACTACCTTCGGCTGCACAGCGAAGAAGAAAACCAGAACGTCATCTCCTGTGCTGCAGGCCAAGCATGGCACGCTCTGAGCACCGAAGAGCAAGAGCCGTTTCGCGAACTCGCCAGGAAAGAGAGGGAGCGTTACCAGGACGAGTATCCGTGGTATAAGTACGCGCCAGGAAAGGGGAGTGGCGGGGGATCAGGAGGAACGAGGAGGAGGAGCGGGAGTGCTGGAGAGCCTACAAGCAGGGCAAGAAAGTCGACATCTTCCCACTACCAGTCACCGACGCCATCATTAACGTCATCAGCCTCGTCAACAACTACCCCGCCACCCCGCACACCGTCACCGTCGAGCGCGCCCTCTGTCCCGTTGCTTCCGCCATCCTCGCCCTTAGCGCCGCGTACCGTCAATAGAAGTGCGCGTGGCCTCGTCACTCCCTCGTCCGTTGCCATGGTCATGCGCGGTTCTCTATCCAAGCCCAAGCGCATCGTACCATCCGTGTACAAGTTCCCTCCGATCGCACCCCTTCCACCTCCATCGACTTACGAGACCGCACATGACGACTGGACTCCTGGGTATGAATCGTCGCTCACGATGCCCCTCAATTTTGATTATGATGTCGAAATAGATGACATGGCGACATCAATTGACTGGAACCACCTGGAGTCGCCGTACGTGTTTGGGGAGGAACCGCGTCCCTCCACGTCGAAGGAGTCTGCAGAAAAGGTCGTGGTGCCTGTGTCGCTGAAAGAAAATGGCATGGACATTTCCATCTGAGCATATAAAATAGCCTAAATAGCCGGCTTCTGATACATAATGACGTGACTATAAATAGCCCCAAATATATATTGTAACACTACATGATATCGTACATACCATCGTCTAGATAATAGTTACTGTACATTTATTACGGCCTTAAACACAAACATTTGGAATCATGGGCCCTGGGACTCACCTTTAGAAGACCGAACTTAACCATTCTGAATCTGATTCAAGGTTGGAAGTGTCCGGGCTCGCAAATCCAAGTTGGAACGGGGTATTCAAGACTGGATGAGCAAGATACTGAAGGCACACTCATATTAAGGTCGTGTCAAGCTCGCAGCGTTCACTTTCAATACTACTGTGATGCTTGTCGCGTCTGACTGACCTTGCTCGACCGTGACGGCCTTCATGTTTCGTCGCAGGGCCATCTCCAACGGTTCGTCGACTTGACGTAGGGTAATATACTCGCTGGGAGGTCTTTTATCGTATAGGTATCGTAGAGACATCTAAAATAAATACTTTCTATTATTACATTCTCATGTATCCGTGTGTTCATCATCATTCAGTTCAAGGCCTGGGAATCAGATCATTAGACTTCGCATCAATCACCAAAACGCCTGTTTCGAGATCTTCGTGATGCGAGGTATATGTCGTTTGCTGGATTTCAATCTTCACGGGAACGGTACCTATATGATAATCTGTCCCTGCACCTCTCTGTCCATACTGCGTGTCCTGAAAAGTCTCGATGGCAACGTCAAGTGTTGATCTTAAGCCAACAAGAGCTATGATGAGTGTAGGATAGATAGCCTGTCAACGGCATAAGCGTCACACAACTAGCACCTGATGACAACTCACAGTTAGTTGGGAGAGCATATATATCACGATATATGCCCCCTTGTTCCCACAAAGAGTAACGATGATCGCAATTAACTGCCTTTCGATTAGATTCTCCATAAGGAGAAAACGACAAAAAGAGCGTACCCAGGTGCAGGAATAAAAAATACCTGATTCAATCAAGAGCGCGAGGATACCGTTCTGCCGACGAAAGCGGGCCATGATAGCCTCACCGGTTATGGTACGGATAACTTTGTTATGGGACCTTTGATGAGGATGTTAGTGAGGAAGAAATTCTGCAAATCGAGCAAGACGACAAACCATGCGCGATAAGCAATAAGGGATGTCGCCCAAACGTTCGTTGCCATTGTCGACAGGATGAACATGAGCTCCCAGATATGTAAACTGGGATTCTCAAATACGCTGACTGACTTTGGAGCAGTGGCAAAGGCGAAGGTTACTCCGATACCGGCTCCTATACAAACCATGAGCGCATGTATTACAACTCAGACAAGCCAATTTGCTCACCAAGTGTTACCAGAAGGAATATTACAGACGCGAAGAGGATCCATCGTTTACGATTCCACAAGACCCATGCCCTCCAAATCACAACACCATCTCCGAGGACAAACTGTCGAAGAATCAGCATCTGAAAAAAAAAACTAGACATCACACATGCATTCATGTTTTCTAGAGACAGCTGCGTGCAGATCCAAGGAGAGGCACTGTCCTCGAACGCGGTTGGATCTTCTACGCCATGTTCCCGGAAGATCGCCTGGTAGTTTTGACTAAAGCTAACCGCCAAGTGCGATGTTGCCAAGCTCCACATGATGGTGTTCAAGGCTATCATGATTTTCACCACCTTGGTCTTCTGCCTTTTGAATCTGCCGTGACGAAACAGTGTCTGTCAGTGCCGCACTTCCCTTTTCATGGACGGAACGCACATCAAAAGGTAGAGAGAGCTCGCAAATAGACATGTATACATTCCTGCAGAAAAAGGATTGTTCAACTGCTAAGAACACGGCTGAGATGAGACGAGTACTTACCATAGAGAAGTATCTCGACTTGAAGGGCGATGAAAAATGCTTCAAGAGGAGGAGGAGATTTTGACATCTCTGGAAGGTGGCAGGAGGCTGCGACCTAACGCAAGAAACTGAAATATATATGAGTAAGGTAAATCGGAGCAAGCGTGGAAAGCACGGAACCAGGGTAGTGTCTATCATCATCAAAAGGTGCTGATGTCCTGTCACCATGACTTAAGCAACTCCAAACTCGAGTCATATTCGTATGAGAACTCAAAAGCGCCCCACCCCCTTCCACTGAGAAATCGTTTCGAGCGCAGACCATTTCGGCGACGAGTGCATGAACTCTCCTTTCAACGTCGATGTTCATATCCACAGAATATGGACGACCACCACTATCAAGGTTACCAGCTGAAACATGTCAAGTCCAAACATGGACCGTTTTCCTACTGGGGCTGTGATACAAAGATTAGCGTGGGATACAGAACACAAGGAGAGGTCAGGGTGAGATGACTGTCGGACTGTCGATGATAGGAGCATGGTTGTGCACGGGTGAAGCAGATAGATAAACGTCGCTTTTCACGAGCAGCGCCAAAATTCAGATGAAGATACTATTGCAGAAGAAAATGTGGAGAAGGGCCGGGCGGGTGCGATGTCTTCATAAACAAGCTGATTCCGAAGAGTACGGTGCCACGAATAAGGTGGCAAAGCGCACCATGAGGCCTTCGGAGGCCTCGTTCTGAGGCTTGCATCAAGCCAAGTAGTAGGAAAACCTCACACATTGATGCGAGTTACATAAGATAGAATTTCTGAGTTGGGGGTTTGTCGGATTGTTGTAATCAGCCCCTGGCTTGAAATTACGATGGATTGGTCGCACCGATCATTCCAGTAGCATCGACCTTGAACATCACGCTGGACAGCGTTCCTGTACTAGCCTTCCAAAACACGTCGGTAACCTTACATAGTGCGCAATTCGATCCTTTTGACTTCGTTCTTGGTGCATCCACAAACAACATTAACGAGTCGGTGATGGTCGCAACGACGATTCAGGTCGTGGCGAATTTCACAGCAGACCGAATCGTCGACATGACCTTTAATTATACAAGTCCCTCTACAAAGGACTGTACTCGGATCGCTTGGCTTCTTGAGGCAGAGTACGTTTCTGATAATACTGCACCGTTCCTCCTTTCCATAAACTATGATAAGCCCTCGTAATCGGTTTGCTGAGAGCGAGTCGTTCACAGTGACTGCATCAGCGAAAGCGAATCGCTCGTTATGGTACCCCTTCAACATCAGTATCACGGTGTGCTGGTGCCGCAGTGATTAGCCCTCTTTCCCCAGTAGTCCTGTAACATGTTTTTCACAGAAGCATTCCCGTTTCAAGTTGGCCGACAGCATCCAATAGACCCGCATCACGGGCACGATTGTAAGCTCGGTCCTTGGCTTGCTTGCACTTTGGTGCATGGTTTCCGCGTCTATAGTATATGCCATGGTTTGGCGATGACGGAGGTCAAAGGCAGCCACGCACAGCCCAGCGCGTACTCTGACTCCGTTCCCACTGAAGACGAGTTTCCATCAAGAATGCGAGATTAAAGCCCAAGAACCTCTGTCGGAAGATTCAAAGGGAGAGGATGCGAGGATGCCAGGCATGGAGGGTGGATACGGAAGTTCGCCTCCACCATCGTACAGGTCTGCCTTTAGTGCTTCCTCTTCCGACGTCCACGCTGGCGGCAGATCTTAAATGTGATGTGCGATCTTTGTGTGGACTTTACCGATCAGATTCGTTGGTTGTTCGATTTTGACTGTTTACTACCATCTTGTCCGGTCAAGATTATCGCGAGGCCATTCAAGGTCTCCCACCTAGTTATCGACTTCACATGTCTTTTTCATTCTTCCAATTGTAAGTTATGTCTATTTTCGGTTCTTCTGGATGCACTGGTTCTGAATATTGCTAGGTGTATCTTCATTCCACTAGTGTTGTCCTTAAATGTCACGCTGGACAGCACTCCAGCAGCCGTCGATATACTTGCGCAGGGCGCAATACGATCCCTTTGACTTCGTTCTTGGTCCATTCCCGCACTCCATGATGGTAGCAACGACGGTCGTGGCAATTTCACAATAGACCAAAGTATTGACATGACCTTCAATTGTACGAGTTTGTCTAAACAAGACTGTTGATCACTCAGGTTCCTGACATTGGGTACGTTTCTCCTCATACCTCTTTCTCATAAGCTATTTCAGGCCATATTTTTAATTTTGCTGAAAGTGAGCCGTTTTCAGTGATAAGCAGAACGGGTACGCCGAGTCCCAAGTCGTCGGTGTCCAAGCCGACGCTTTCCACCCGGTCCCACTTTGTCAGTTTCAGGGTGTGTGCTGTTGTAGCTCCCTGTCCTCATGACGAATGATTCCTCAGAGAACTGTAATCGACAACCAAAGCTATACCCTCAGATGCAATCATGGGCGCCTCATCTGCACTTTTTTTTTTCCCTTCTCGTGTTCTGGCGACCACGCCGCAGACCTTTCAAAGACCACTCAGTCGCCGGACAGTAGGTCTCCAAATGATTCACGAGTAGGTAGCAGCTCCCATTATTTAAGGCGGCAGGCCAGCCGGAGAATAACATGAAACTCGTAGGAGTATGTACTTTGGAAGCAGATATTAGGTGCCAACTCTGTTAAGGACTGGAAGATCAGTGAACCCCGAGAAGAAAATGAGAGCCGCAAAGTGGGATATTGAGAACTGCAACGTGAAAAGTGATGTTCCCTGGAAGGACACGGTAAGGGAACACTCGGATACGTTCTGAAAGAACCACGGGGAGTATTGTCATGAGTCTTGTCGAGAGAGGCAGCTGTCGTGTTCGATACTGATAGAGCGTGCGCTTGCCAATCATTGCAAGACGGCAATTCCCCGCCGGTCGAATCATAATTTGAATCTGCCACCAGGTGGTTGGTTGTCGTCGTGCATGGCAACCTACATTCCTTGTTTTTGAAAAAAAAAAAAAATCTTTTTCTGTATTTCTAGAACGGAACAGCGATGCAGGCCGATGATACCCTGGAGGTGTACGAGACTATCGCGGACGTGGACAGGGATGTGAACTGGTGAGATCTTCTCTATTATTATCAGGGTGAGTTATTGAGGCGACGTCGGGCAGGATGTTGTGCAAGTATACCGTAAGTCGTAGACGCCACCGCCGGTTGCCATGTCGCTGACCATTTTTTTGTACTACAGCCCCACTTGTTATACCTCTCTGCGTACGGCACCGGTGGCCTCTCTGAACTCAAAGCGCACTTGCACGACAGCGACGGGATAGGAATCGCATTCTACCGAGAGGAAAAGGCCAAGCCTGGGTTCGCGGTTATCAATTATATTTCGGGTGGTGTGGAGGACTGGCGTCGAGGTGAGTTGCTGCTGCGGGTTGTTTTTATGCGACGGCTGACGGAGAATTGCAGAGAAAGCGCTGATAGAGTCGAGCCGGGTGGCAGAACGGTTTACCAAGGTAAGCTAAGGCTATGCTAGTACAAGTATAACTTAATTGTGCTTAGACTGCACACGGGACGTTGACCATTGACCATCTTGCAAACCTTACTCCGACTTCAATCCACCAAGCAATCTTTCATTCTCCACTCGTAATACGAGAACCAACTGATATCGCGCCCAAGCTGGAACCAATGCTACGGTCGTTTACCGAGAGCTATCCCCCGCACAGTGCTGTGCCGGTGCAGAAGACGGGGAGTATGTTTTCTGGGCTCAGTTTGTTGAGGAGGAAAGGGAGGAAGGGCAGCCACAGCATCGATGATGATCTCCCGCCGCCAATCCCGCCCAAAGATAAGCCCCCACCGCCCAACTACCGATTCCACCTCCCACAGACACAAAGTTACTCCCTCGGCGTCGCCTCCCGCTCACGGATCGATATGCCGGAACGACGGAGGAGCGTATCCGAGTTTGCCATCATCTCACACCACGACCATTCCTGCTCCGAGTCTGATGAATCGTCAGTCATGGTCGAGCGGCCGGCGAGTCCCATCGTACAAATGCCACTTGCGGGAAAGTGGAACCCTGCAGAGACGACAGTGATTGCGGACCCTGCTGAGCGGGCGCGCAGGAGGCTGGTGGCACGGAGGCAGCGGGAGGAGGAGGAGGCAGATGCGGCGCGGGAGGAGGAGCAGCGGCAGGCGGAGATACGTCGGGCCAAGGAGGAGCAGAGGCGCGTGGAGGAGCAGGAGGAAAGGGAGCGGCGTGCGAGGATTGAGCGGGATATGCGCATGAGCACATTGGCGAGACGGCGCAAGAAGGAGGCGGAAGAGCGGGCCGAGGAGGAGAAGAAGCGCGAGTTGGCGGAGAGGCGCGTACGGGAAAGGGAGAAAAGGGTCGAGGAGCATCGCCGTCTGGAGCAGTGGCGGACTGAACAGACGAGGATCAAGGAGGAGGGGCTCAGGAGAGAAGAAGCAGAGAGGATCAAGGAGCGGGACGAACGCAACAAGAGGGTCGAGCAGATGGCGGCCCGAGTAAAGCGGGACAACACCATGCTCACCGGCTGGGCTACCATCCAGATCAACGACTCCCTTGTCTGGCGAAGAAGGTACTACAAGTTTATCGGTGATACCATGTTTTTCTACCGCAGTCCCAAGGTAAGCAAGCAACCACCCCATTTCTCTAATTCACATTCTCATGAGATCAGGACATGAACCAGGTCATTGATCAGATCCAAGTACGCGGAAGGCTCAATGGACTAAAAGAATGGAACGACGGATACGAAGAACTCAAAGCTATACCCAACTCTTTTGCCATCGAATTCAAGGACCAACGTGGGCCCTGTGCGATGTTTTGTGATACCGAGGAAGAAAAGGTTCGTGTCTCGTTGCTGTCTTTTGCGACCTTGCTGAACTATCCCAGGACAAACTGTTGGGTGTTTTGCATTATACGGCAGGACTGTGATTGCTTGTCGTTTCTTATCATCTATATACCTCATACCTATGCACTGTATATCATCATCGCTCTCTCTTATATGACATTCCTCTGCACTGATTGCAAAGACAACAACCATACAGGGAAGGAAGCAAAAGGTAATCACTGCTGGGGCTAGGGCTAGTAGGTTTTTAGCATGGAAAAAGATGAGAAAATGTTGTGACTTTTTTCTGGACATTTTTGTATGATGTATATCATCAGCTCTCTCCTTATCCGAACTTGTCTGTTCGTCAGATGTACAGATTTCTCGTAAATTCACTTTATTTAAATAATACGAATTAATATTCTGACACGAAAATAGACAGCATACAGATATCCAAAAGCACAAAGCGAGGATATACATCAACGACAATAGATAGTTGCTAGATAGCGAAACGACAAAAACAGAAGACAAAGCAAAACGTATAGTAGCAGTGGAGTACATTTGGGATTTCGAGTCTAGTTTGAACTCGAGGTAGATGCCGATAGGAAAAACAGTAAGAAGCGATGATGAAATAAAAGAAAGGAAAAAAGTGAATCGACGTGAAGAAAATGATCATGGCGGTCATGAATCGTAGTCTCAGTGGACTATCGGTGGTACTTAGGCGGCCTGATGGCAATAGGTGGCTAGGCGGAAGGGCCTATGGGTATTCCACCACTTGTCCCAATTGAATAACCTTGGTAATCATAGTTACCCTCGGATGCGTGGTGAACGACAGGGTCGAGCCACAGGTATGCGTCGTCCGATTGCTGATGAGAACGAAGGTGTCAGCTTCGTTCTGGGAGAAGTGGGGGACGCTGTTGGATTGAAAGGGAACGGGAACGGCTGTCAAGGTCCCAGTATCACCTGAGGATTTGCTTGGGTTGGCATTAGAAGGGGTCTGGCTATCAGTGGGACTGCTCGCGAAGGGATCTGGACTGCTCGACAGTGCGATCGAACGATACGCATTTACGATGGGTTCATGGTCGAAAAGTTGAACGGTGCAGGTACAAGCCTGCGATTGATACGTCTTCAAAGCAAATGACGTTAGTCCTAGCCAGAATAGTGTAGACTGATACTGCGCACCTTTTGGGCATATGCCACAACTGAGTGGTGGGATTATGATAGATAACTTTTGACTCGTAGTCAACGTGGGTATGAATCCCATGTCCACATGCAACACAGATGAGCTGAGAAGAACCAGGTGTAAAGTGTATTGGTCGTATCGAAAGAGGGCCTACCTGATCCAAAGGCAACGTAGGAGAATTGAACCACGGACACTGACAGGTTACAGTCCCTTCAGTAATCTGAACGCATCGTGCTCTGGGAGGTAAGATTTGTCGAGGCATCGAGGGAGAAATGCGGAATACAGGGTGAGACAGAACTTGGGACTCATTTTGCGTCTTGACGCGTCTACATAATAACAGTTCTAAGGTGTATGAAAGGAAACCTGTGAGGTATATGGCCACTTTCCATTAAAGATGAGAAACAATAAGTCTGCACAACGGTGTCGACTCTGAGAGGAAGAAGACCGCCAACTTAGCATGTGCCAGTTTTTCCAGGGTCTTAGTGACTGAAAGTTAGTGCAATGTGAGATGGGGACGGAAGTAGAGGCTCATCTTGGCATACCTTTATACGTCCAAGGAATTGCAGGGCATGCAGATATGGAAGCTAACTCGGCTGTGGTGCAAGATTACTTGCAACGTCTCCTTCTTATGTACGACACGGAAGAAAGATACATACATAATGTATTTAAATTTGAAGTTGAAATGTCGACTCACGATCAGCCCTCCGATCGATCTTTATGAGTGTTTATGCAATCATCATTTTACAGTTCCAGGTCGGGGTTCCTGGAGGGTATCAAACCTTGACAGTCTCATACAATATCGACGAGAACACGAATTCGAATACGACACAGATAATTATAGATACATGGATAGGATAGACACGATAATGAAAAGAATGATGTCAAAAGGACAAGGAGCAATCATCCAAAGATTCACCGCCTTCCCTTCCCGTTCACCTTCTTCCCATTCATCTTCGACTTGCCGCTCGACTTGCCATTCGACTTGGACTTCTTAGGACGATCAGATTCAGAATCATCACCCCCATTCGCTTGTTTGGCCTCAGCTCGCTTCAGATCAGCTGTGTACGACCAGATAAAGATCCAAGGTGACGACGATAAAAGAAAGCACTCACATTTCGCAGCTTTCCTCTCAAGTTCATCCCAATCATCACCTTCATCGCTATCGGACCCCTCGCCGAAGTCTGATCCACTCTCGCTTCCGCTAGCATCAGAGTAGTCACTCTCTTCGTCACTGCTGCTAGACTCCAAATCTTGGGCCTCCGCTTCGAAATCAGACTCTGAATCAGACATTTCCGACGCGTCGCTCTATTTGTCAGATAGTCAGCATTCATCCCTTTCTAGAAGATGCAGACACTGACCTCCGCTCCGTTCGACGCTCCCAAGAAACTCCATCCACCGTTGTGGAAAAAGTCATATGGGTTCTCATTGATGTGCTTCATGATAGGTCCCCAGTTCAAGTTGACAGGGCCCTCAGCCATAGGAATATCGACAGAGCTAGGTAGATATTAATGAATGTAAAAGAGAATGACGCACAACAACTTACTCCAACCAGTTCTTGACATCATCCATTTGCGAACTCGGTATTGAATTGATATGCAAAGGCGCCTTGTTGAAGTCCTTGAAGATTAACACCAGATCAAATTGCTTTAGGCTGTATTGGACACGTTCCAGTGATGCGACCTCGATCTCAGCCAAGGTTACGACGAGGAATGGCGGATCAGTTAAATGCACAAGACATTCTGTTGTGGGCTGAAGCCGCACACCAGTTCGGAATGGTACGCCTTCAAAGGATAGTTCCCGGAATGGAATGTCGAGCTCTAATGTATCTTCAAGCTGTGTGGATGCCACGTAAGAGGTCAGTGTGTAGCTGTAGCCTCTGAGAGACCTACCGTTGACGACCCAGCTTCGGCGATTTTCTCTGCAAATGCCTTGATCTCCTTGTTGAGTAACTGTCGCCTCCTCCTTTCTTGTTGTTCCATCTCAATTTCATCCTCGTCACCGTACCTGTGCTTCCGCTTCCGATTACCAGTCTCGTCAAACTGGACATCGGTCGCTTCCCGGTAGAATTGAACATCCTGAAAGCGACGATTACATTATGATTGTTTCTAGCAACTCGCCAACCTACCAGCGCCTTCTTCTTCCCTATCATGATGGGAGCTTTGAGGTGAACGTGTATGATAACCAACAGTTCATGGTCGCACGGCTGGAAGAAAAGGTGCTTGATGTTACTGAAGAGAATGTCTGCCATTCACAGTCAATGGCGGCCACATGTATTGTAACAATCCTACTCACCAACTTTCTGCGACCCGATAGGTGATTGATAGCGTACACCATTCTGATGAATTTCAACTTCTCCGGGAAGCCGTTTCCCATCAAGCGGCGGACGGATGAACGACTCAGTCAGTTTAATAGGTCGCCGACCCTTCAACTCGATTAGTTTATCCTGCTCAATGACATCAGCCATTTCCTTCTTTTGCTGCTCCCGCTTGTTAGCCTCCTTCTTTAGGTCAGTGATCTGTTTATAGACACTGTCAAACCGATGCCCATCGGTGGAGCGATACGATATCGAGCGAACAAATGTTGCATCAGGGTCTTGAAAGGGCTGCAGTGCTATTAGAACATGTCATACATATCAGCAATAAGTTCCTTACCGTATCCTCCTTCTTGCCGGCAAGTTGGCCAGGTGTCTGGAAATTAATTCTGAGATGGGTGAATTCGCCCTCATCGTTTTTGCTTGCGTTTTTAATCGCATTGATATGGAAAGGAACAGCGAAGCCGTGGATAGGGAGGATGACAGTTTGTGCTTTCCGGTCGACGAAGATCTGGGTTGATCGTGAGTGTCTACCCTCAATTAAATAGCCACAGAGAGAACTTACGCGCAGTTTGTCAACTTCAGCAGGAAGAGCAGCCTCGCCCTTATAACTCTGGTATTTCTTCCACCCCTTACCCTCCTTTCCGCTCGTAGCACCACCCTCCTCGGAATACTTAGCCAGTCCTTCCTGATGGATCTTCTCGTGGAGCTCACGTTGATGCTCTGCTAGCTTGGCGGCGGCCGTTTGGTGGACCTCATCCTGAGTGCGACGCGTCTGGTTACGCAAAACCTTCCCGCCAACGGTCTTGACCTTGGCAGGTGATCCGTTGGCCCTTGGTTGCACAGGCGGCTTTCGATCCTTTTTCTGGGGCTTCTCGTCCGCACTATCACCATTCAAGAAAAAAAGGGTATCCTTGGGAGATTTGACGCCTTCTGTGAGAATGGTAGACTTGTCCGTTCCGACCTGGATGGTGTCGGCGAGATGAAGGGCATACCTAGTGAAGATGAGAACATATCTTGCTCTAAAATGGAGACAGCACTCACTTCACTCCATTACCATCGGTTAGATCATTAAATCCCAAGCCGACGATGATCACCATGTTGGTATGTAGAGTACGGGCATTCTTGGCAGAAAGTAGGTACGCAGCATCCCGGAATTCCACACCAGTCTGAGGATGAAACTTGAATACGTTGAACGTGAATGAAGGACGAAATCACCTACCCCAAAGCCAATGTTCTTGACAAAATGTTTTTCGAGTGTAGGGTCCTTCTCCTCAATGAATGATAACGCGTGCTGATATGCATCTCGTGCTGTGACTCCTTCCTTAATGAAGGACAGCATTTCGCTCTGTAGTGAGAGTAGGAGATTATATTGCGCTTCTTGGCTCTGATGAGACGGTCAGCGCAAACTTGGTATATATATATAGAACATCAAAACGCACGGTTGTAGGATCTACGATAAATGTCCGAGCAACATTAGCGCCGTAAGTCTTGAACCGCATCCCGAATGCCACGAGTAGCACCCCTTTATGGGAGATGTTGTCCTCTGAAGATTCTTCAGTGTACCGGAGGTCATAACCGCTTTTGCTCGACCGAGAGATGATGATAGGGGAGTAACAGAATTCGGTTACTTGCCAGTCCGCCTAATAAGGACTCAATCAAAAGCACGAGTAACATGGTTACGATATACGCACTTCTGGAAGTTTCTTGCCCTTGTAATGGCCCCATACATTCATATCTGGGCCTTTGGCCTTCTCACCCTCCCCTGACCCCAAGCGCGCCTCAATCTGAGCTGCGAACTGATCATGATTGATTTTCGTTTCCCGGTCCAGAATGGTCTCTAATCTGGGCGCGACATAGTGCTTGAGGAGAGTAGATGTTAGATCCGCGGCAACCTTGGTGGCTTTCTGAAATTAGATGCAAGCGTCAGAAATTCGGACAAGAAAGGCTAATTCCTGGACACGCACGAGTTCCTCTTCATCTTTGATGGTCATAAAGGAAGATATGGAGTGGGACATGTCGACGAGCTCTGGCTTATCTGAAGCCTCAGCAATCTGTTTCCCCCATTCTGTCACTATTTTTCCTGTGTGCTTCTCCTTCACTAAGGTGCCGACTTTTTTATGACTGAGGTATAGGTTGGCGAATTGGGGGAGTGCGTCGTTAACAGGCTCTTTTGCTTTTGCTTGAGCAAATATTTTCACAGGGATGGTAGCGGTCAGATCTTGGATTTGCGCCAAAAATTTTGCTTTAACATGTCGCGTAAGACTGCGTCAAGTATGACGCAAGCTGATAGCGCACCTTTTGACGCCGAACAGAGTATAGAGAGCTTATCCTTCTCAAATAGAATGAATGTTGATGGGAATTCATAACCAAGTAGCCATTGCTGGTAAAGAGACACGTAAGCCCGGAATGCTCCAGTAGACAGAGAGATTTCGTGAAGCACAGTGCACGGACCTGGAAACAGGTGCCTTTCCTCATGGGTTCATCGTCAGCAGCTGGATCTCCCGCAATCAAGATCAGGGCATCGCAATCTGCCACAGTAGCATAGTCATTGGTAGGGCTCGCGTTCTAAGGCGCCATGCCGTGAATCAGGGAAAAAGCGGGGTAGAATACAGAACAGGACCTACGTTCCATCCATCGTATATCTTCTGCAAGCGAGCTTGAAAAACAGGTTTGTTCAGCTCGACGAGCATTTTCGCTGAGCACGGGAGAGCAAGTAGGGGTCAAGGTAGGGGGTCAAGATGAAGGCGCGTTCTCGGAGGCGCGAGGGTGTCGGAGCTCAAAATTATTGAATATCACGGGTCACGACAACGTGATGCTATGTCACATCACTCGAGTCGAGGCTCATCAGTGACATCACTGCACACGTAGAGCTCTACTTTGGCTCTACTTGTATTGAACGTTAGCGTTCTTAAATTTCCTAAGCTGATAAGTATTATCTGGACGAATATTTCCTTGTAATGAACAAATATTTCAAGACTTGCTTTCATCTCCGGAGAAGCACAAGAATTCGAATCTCAACTTTTGACCGTTTCTGGCAACTGTAATCTCAGTACCTAAGTGGCTGCGACAAGCTCGCCAGCACGAGTGCCCTGTTTACGAGAGATGTATCCACGAGGCAATAGAGCTACAGTATGTCTGGCAGCACCATACTATTACCGGTGCATAATATACACAGCTATGGGTCTCATAACACCAAAGCAGTGTTCAGTAGGCTGCGGCGGAAACCTTGAAATGAATAATACTGATATCATATCATAGATACGTAGAATCCCAAGGTTTATTAGAACAAGAACTAGAGGGTAAATGTACAGACGATGACGAGGTAAGGGGGCCGCCAGTGGAAGACAAAAGGGCATAAATATGTATACGTCCACAAAAGCAAACCGATAAAAAGTGAGAGATTTTCCGCCATGACGATAAATATAAGTGGAAGAGAGATGGAAAGACCATGATACAGTTTTTAATGATGATGGTAATGATACATTTTACTCCAGCACTTCGTCCGGGGTGGGAAGGGGTAGGGGTATGGCTGCGGGACTCAATTGTAATGAATTCACCACGGTAGGCGACGGGGTAATCGCAAGTTGACGTTGCCGCTGGAATGGGTTGCGCGTGTTGGTGCGCGAAATCGGGGAAGCTGCAGGATAACGGTTGAGGATAACGATGATGATAATTTGAAACCAATAAAATCTCACAGAGAATAGCATTCGAGAACCACTGATATTGCCTGAAATTTAACTCGTCCTCCATTTCTAACCCCACTGACACTGCTTCCGCCCCCACATCCGCAGCTGAATCACTTTCGCTGGCCTGAGCGATAGCCTTGAGTGCAAATGCGGTGGTAGTTCGGAGCACGGGCGAGTGTGGGGGGAATAAGTTGAGAGAAGGCCTGAGGATAGAGAGGAACTCTTCCAAGGCCTCAGTTGACAATGCAGATCTACAGGATAACTATTCGGGCCACTGATGGTGATGCAAGGATGATGAGAAAGCACATACCGCGGTGAAGATCGCAAGCTAGGTGAGCTAGTAAGCTCTCTACTGTCAGATGATGTGGACGACGACGAGAGCTTGTTGATCTCTTCCACGCGGGAGGCAGGTCGTACTAAAAAATTACTGAATGATGCAGTGGCAAGCCGAACGGGGCGAGGAGCCACGAGGACGGGATTACATTCGTTGGATGCGTTAAAGTTCATGGTAAATGAAGGATGATGAGATACAGACTAAGATATAGAATCGGGGAATCAGGATAGGCAACGAGTGTCGAGGCGATGATGAAGGCCAGGAAGAAGAAAAGACCCGGGTGCACATGGCTATCCGGCCGTGATTGTACTTATTGATTCTCTTTGCCATTTCTGGATCAGCCATGACAAGATTAAGATGAGATAAGCAGAATCCACATCAGACAATTATAAAACAGTCTCTAGCGTCGAGGCACCAAATATTATACACTCACAGACACACATACCCTCTCCTACTAGCGAGACAACTCAGAATCCCGAACGGCACGAATTTATTTTCAGGTACTATGTTCCACGGCACTAAACCTTATCCCACCGACCACAGATTCGTTTCTTATTGTTGAATGTATGATTTAATATGATGATAGTATATATCGCTATATTGCATTACTTTTGCTTATTTTCCGCTCTTGCGGAGCAAATCTCGCATATTCAAAGTCGTAGAGAATCGAAGCGACAAACATACCGTTTGCAGCAAGTGTCACGATGTCATCGTCACTGCGCGTTGACCCATGTACGTATGCCGGAATACCTAGTAGCAGCTCTTCTCTCTGCATACTTAGTTGTAACGCCTTGTTCGGAGGCACTAAAGCCGGAACGGAAGCACGATGACGCACAAGTATTTTAATCATCCACTCCTTGAGAAACAGCAGAGAGATCACGAAGAATGAACACAGAGTCCTCAACACGCCTCTCCAAAATAGTCAACTTCTCCTCCTTTTGTTTCCATTCCTTGATAATGTCTTTGTCCAAACTCGTCAGCAGACTCTCGTCCAAACGGACATCGCTTCGTTCTCGTTTCTCCAACACGGCTTTCAACATCGGCTCCTCCTTCTCTGCCTCGCGTCGCATGCCAATATTATACAGTGTCTTGTACAATTGACCCAAGATCGCGGGATAAGCTTTGGCAAGGTCGACGTGCCTAGTAAAACGTTGAGTGGTAGAAGAAAGGAAGGCAGGGAAGTATGTGCACCATAGGTAGAAAGTCCTCGAAGGGGCACGGTCTGCGCTTCTAGGTACCTCCTGAGTGCTCACAAGAGAATCCGCCGCAAGCGCAGATAGCAGGGGCCGAACATCCTTGGGTGCCATCATTACGATCTTGGATATCTACATAGTCAACGCATGTGTGTAAGACAAGAAGAAACTAACGACGCAAACGCGTACCTGCTTCTCGTCCATCTTCCCTGTGTCAAGCAACAGGCGCAGTATTCTCACACCCTCTGTTCCATGTCGCTCTCTCGTCACAGCCTCCAGAACATTTCTGCGCAGTCGTTTCGCAATAATGTCGAATTCAACGTACACTTTCTGCGAATCGTACGATACGAATGATGACTCTTTCCCGACAGCGGTGGGGTTATCGGCATTCGACATGATACCAAGGTACTCCTTGATACATGTCGTGTTCGACACCCCTTTCTTCGATGAAAACACGAGCCCAGAAGAGAGGTCATCCTGGTCAGAAAGTTGCATAGAAATATTGGCTACGGAGATAGGTTCTGTAGAAGAGGTTAGCGCACGGAGAAGCAGTATCTCAACGGAGAGGCGCACCTGTTCTATTTTCGAGGAGATTCTTCTGGGAAGACTCGGTTACTTTTAAGGCGGCTCTGACGACCAGAGCAGCACCATTATTATAGCGTTCTCTGACCGCTTTTTCAATGAGCTGGGCGACTTGAGAATAAATATGGTCCCGAAAGACAATAAAGGAAGCCCACCGAATTACGAATATGTATGTTAAATTTGTCAAAATTTAGTCGAAAATAAACGGAGTCCTTTTCCTGTTATGAATGACTTAACCCACAGAGTAAAACCGGACGGCGTACGTCTAAAACACCAGTACTTTCAGTTGCTTTGCGCTGGAAAACGATTAAGACACAGAACAATACAAGGACTTGGACATACTTTGGCAGATCGTTGGCCTGGCAGATCTTTGGCTTTCCGTTTCTAAAAATCATCAGACATGAAGTGAATTGTCGGGAAGTCGCACTCACTATGCCAACACCTTCAGCATCCTTCTCTTCTCGTTTTATCTTTGCTTGAGCAGTCTCCCGGGCCTCCTTAAGCTGTTTTGACGTAGGAAAGCCAACAATTTTGGCCTTCTCTTCTGCCTCGTATTTGATGAGCTTGTCGCGAGGAGACTCGTGAGAGAGAACTGTTGATGGCTTTAGATATGCCTCCTCCACGAGTTTGTACAACGCCTGGGAGTATACAGCTGAGCCTAAGCGGAGTTCAACTAACGTTTTGTGGCTGAAGGGTCTGGCACACCTTTTGGATCAAGGATTGACAGTTCCGAAATGATATCTGGCGGACGAAGCTTGCCATGGTCGAGGATAAGCTGAACAATCTGTGCACCCTAGAAAAAAGACACGGTATAAGGCCTTGCTTTCAGACGGAGGGTGAATAATGAGCACACCGCTTTTCCGAACAGCTCCCCTGTCAGCCATGTATATTTTCCAAACCTCAACCTCATCAGGCACTCATCTATATTGACCTCCAAGACCTCCCCTTCCTTGTCTAGGGTAGCATGCCAGAGGATATTGTGCTGAACGAGAACGAGCACGACCGCCCGAACGGTACGAGTCTTCAATCCCGAGTAGCGCGCAAGGCTGGGCAATGTCAGGCGTCCACGAGTGAGAAGGACTGAGGCAACCCTCTGCGATGGAAAAACGTCGTGAATACAGGACCGGACATCTCAATAACTGACTCTGCTCACTGCTGTTAGGCTGCCAAAGTGTGAATGAATTATTTGAACGCACAGTCGAGTAGTATGGGCGTCAGCCATAGCAAGAGTCAGAAAAGGGATGTTGGAATGGTGATAGTAGGTAGCAACGGTAGCTTGTTGGGCTTCATCAAGTAGCTCGCGCAGGCATTCCAGCCACGGACAAAGTAGATTTACAACGAAATGTCAAGACAGAAATGAATCACATTATTTTCAATACATCATCCGGCAATCGCCGCTCGGGTATACGGTAATAAAAGGATTTGCCTCCGTCTCCGCGTCTTCCCATCCAGCCAGAGCCTCTTACAGAATGATAGCCTATGGAGTTAGCAAAACGAATGAAAAAAAAAGAAACAAATACTACGCTGTTGGACAGTCAGAAAAAAACAAATCACTTAGCCTCATGTAGTGAGTATTGGCCAGTGTGAAAAGCGCCTAGGTGGGAAATGGCATAGCAACGGACCGCAACCCCCTGAGCCCAGAGACATCTTGGTAGATATCCCTGTAACATTTTCAACGAGGCGGCGAGCGCCAGAAACAGCATGGCGACAAGATGTCGATGCTCAATCCACACGGACTCGTTTGGAACCTGATACTGCTCAGTAACATGCATTATTATCTGTGGAAAAAGTATATACCTGGAGAGCTATGTCGCGACGAAGGATTTTCCAGGTCGCCGCCGTCAGCATCCTCAACTTCGTCAATGGATCGCTTCGAACTCCGGCTGGCAAGCGTAACGGAGCTCTTATTGGAAGCGGTTTCGGCTTCGGGGTCGAGTTCTTCCCAGGTAGTGTCAGGGTCACCTTCAGCGTCGGCATCCCCCCACTCTTCATTGTTTAAATCGTCGTAATTTTCTTCTTGTACGTGAACACGGGAGTCTGCTGATATGATAGCAGGTAAGTGAGCCTGGACTTAAGTCAAAGACAAGATGCAACTACTAACCTGTACTTCTGTTCTTAGGATCGTCGGTCGTCGTTAGCAATTGATGATCTTCAGAGTTAGCATATTCCTTATCAAGCTCTGTACATGATATGAACACGCATTCGGGGGAAAAAATACAGAAGAACGAACCAGACGACGGCGCGTCATTCTCAGAGGTGTCGATGTCAGTAACAGCGGTTGTACCCGACGTGTCTGCTACTGTATGCGAATGATCATCTGAAAAAAATTGTCAGCTTCGTCAATGAGGAGTGACAAAACGCTTACCTTTACCTATATGCTCTTCGTCCTTACTTTCAGGCGGCAATGTAACTTCAAAAGGACGGGGTGTGACCAGCCTCGATAAGGTTTCCTGAACTGAATCCGCAGCAAAATCCTCTTCTTCTGGAGCCCCATAGTCGTAGTCTCCGTCAGCATCATCCTCATATTCGTTGTGCGTTGCGGCCGCTGGCTCGTCTGCTGCCGATTGGCCTTCATCACATTTTTGTTCGCTGTGCTGGTCATCAACCTGATCCTCTGGTTGCTCCTCCAACTCCTTAATGCTTTCGGGTTGAACCGATGGCTCGACGGGCGCTTCTTCTAGATATTGTTCACCATCCTCTTCACCTTCAGCGCCTGATGTATGTTCTTGATCTTGTTCGGCGACTTCAAGTTGTTCTACATTTTCTTCGTATCGTTGTTCCTGTACCGATTCCTCGTTGGCGTCATGTGATTCTTCAAATTGGTTCTTCTTATTCTCTGAAGAGTTCGATAGTGAGTATCGCGCTGGGATAGAAAATGAGAAGAGATATTCACCTTCGTCGGTTGTATAGAACACCTCATCTGATTCCAGTTGGAGGCGTGCCACATGATCTTGGAGTTGGCGATACCGAAGAACGAATCGTGGGGAGACAGTATGCAGCCGTAGACGTAGCGGTCCCGAAATATCGGAGGCATCATGAATTATGTTCAGTTCATGGAGAGTTACCTCACTAGCGTATTTATTGTCCTGAAATTTTATATAAGCAAGATATGATAAAATTCGTAGGCGCGACTCACTTCAGAAATCACTAGCTGCAAGTCATGCGCATCTAGAACAAGCTCTGCTGTAGATAGATCAACGGCGCTAGAAAGGTATTCGTCTTCCCGAAGAGCACCAAACACGGCCGACAGAGACTCATAGTACAGAGTAGGATGGTGCTCCAGCAGTAAAGAATACTCCTGCTGTCCTGGTTGAGAAGATGAAGATGCAAAGCTTGGCTGATTGAACAAGCAAACGTCAGAATGATCAAAGTCTGGAAAAGAAAGTAGCACAGCTGGGGGCGGCTCGATATACACCCCGTCCGAAATTTCATGAGGATCCTTGGGCAGGTCATCAGCGTGTGGGTCAGAGACCACTTCCACATCTGCGGGGCCAGACACAAACACGGCTTCTGCTTCGACAACAGCGGCCTCGTCAGTTGTCGCTGCAACCTCGTGGGCATTCGCTTCGACCCTGACAACCGTTCCATCTTCAAGGGATTGATGGTTCTCACCCAACGGCTCTATTACTTCCCCTGAGGTGACCTCGACAGTAGTTTCATGATTCTCATGGGAAAGCAGATCCTCCTCCAGAGGCTCCAAGGGCGCGGCGGATAACGTATCGATGGGGGCTGCATCTGAAGTACCATCAATCGGCAGATGGTTCACTGGGGCATTCTCTGATAACGGCTCTGTGGACTGCTCAAAAGACGAGATAGCAATGTCCTGAGTCAGCTGCGACGTTTCAGAATGAATAGGGAGGAGTGAATCGGATCCTTGAGAAGGGGTAGCATGAAAAGATGGATGGCTCTCCGAAGGAAGCTCAATGGGAGTATGATCTGCTGGAAGACCTAGCTCAAAATCCGCAATAGGGAGCGGGGGTGACTGAATGTCATGGCGTTCCAACTCTGTATTTTGGTCCGGAGGGAACTCATCCAAGACCTCCACATCAACCATGAATTCCTGCTCGATACCTGCACCATCGTCAACCATCTCGTACTCAGGGTTATGTGGAGGTTGATTGTACGAGTCCATATCCACTTCGACGTCGAAATCGGCGTCGGCAAGCGACTGATCTGGGTCAAAATGGGCATCTGTATCCATGCTGGATTCATATTGCATCCACATCACGGATTGCATCTGAACGTCGATGTCTGTAGGGTAGTCCAGCATCATCTGGGTATCGAAAGGTTCCAGCATGGTGGAAGTCATGGTGAGAGTTCGGGGGAGGGCGTCAAAAAAAGGGCTTATATTTGTCATCATTACTTAAGCGGCGCACGGACCATAGTCTCCTCCCAGTGCCGCTGTCTTAATCTGACTGAAACGCTATGGCTGTCTCTGCCGCCCATGCTGCGGATACCGAGTATCTTGTCCGCAAGTCAATGACCACTGGATATCAGATTCTGTCCCTGATTACCCCGCCCGCCTATATTATCTTTTCTATGTCGAGGTATGGTTGGCGCGGCTTTTCTGTGAACCGTCTCCTTCGCGCGACATGGCTCGGTGGCGTCGGAGGTGCAACCCATTAACTTGTCGTTCGAATCTTCTCTCTGAGGGTTATGTAGGTACCATGGTTGGTGGTGGCCTTGGGTATGCTCGTTACCGTTTTTCAAATGAAGAAATCGCCAGAAAACATAGATTGGAATCTACATATGATGTACGATGTTATATTTTATCGTGATGATTATTTACTCATCATAACGTCCGCAGACCAATCGTATCAGAGCAGAGGACCACAGCGTCATAGGCTCGATCTTACTTGCTGTGCTCACTCCGGCTATTTTGTGGAGACGCGCTAATATCGTGAATCGTACGTGTCAAACACATAATTATTTCCGTACGAGTGCTCATTGACGTTGCTAGTCGTCTTGGGTGGCGCCGGAATAGGCAGCAGCATAGGGTTGATAACTCACTATGCTCGGTCGCTTGCAGGAGACCCACCGCCCAAAGTAATAGTCCCGGTCATCATCAACACATGAGCACATCCTGAGCAGTCTTTGGCATGGTTCTAATGCTCAACAAGACCTATTAATTGTACTGTATCCCTTACCTCGGTGTGTATTTCTGTCAACTTGTCTCTCTGGAACCTCTGTAAAATGAATATCCCCTGGCAAATATATGCTCGACGCCAAGTCCGTCCGTTTCATGGCACTCTACACTCTCCCTACGTCTTTCAACCTCCCGTCTACCACAGGGCCAATGACCAACAGATCATCATCGCCTTCCTTCACCTTCTCTTGGATGTTGTTCCCCCTCCTAGCATTCTTGCCGTCATACAAATCTACCGAGCTCATATGCTCAGTCACACAAATTTTAAAGTGATCCTGATAATGAGTTTTGGAGCGTGCACTTCTCAACGCAAGATGCGCTGCGTTCTTCCACTGCAACACCACTTTAGAATCATGATGTTTGCGCTGCCGACTGGCGATCTCGCGGGAAACTGCATCTTTCGTTCCCCGATGCAATTTTTGATGGCCAGATTGATGCACTAATCGAACCATTTTATTGACAAAGTGAGATCCTTGGTTAATGTTAGGTCAGTTTTGGGCTTCAGTGTTCAACGGCCGTACCTAGAAGATATTTGCGAACCAGGGTACTCATCATTTGACCCACTTCGTCATCGACAAGGTATTTGTTTCTCTTGAGCGGCAAGAAACCATCGTGTCCCTGCGCCATGTACTCTCTTGTCACGATGCTATACTTCCTTCCGCCTTCAATGCGCTCTATGGGATGAGCATCAACAAGCCTAGGCGTAGAACGACCACTAGAGCCATTGTGGATGCTGTCTTCTACTTCTTTCGAGAGCCAGATGCCCAAAACACGTTTACCAGGTTCCCGGCGTGAATCCCAGGAGACACGCATACCAGAAACAATGGGGAAGCGCCTTTGAGCATTTTAATTAATTGCGCAAGATAGGTTCGAGAAAACGGATGTCCTACCCTTCTTGTGCTGGCCAGGTTTCCAATGATGCTTCCAGAGCGTCCCAGATAGCCTTGCCATCAAGCTCAAGGACAACGACCGGATCTTCAAAGGGCAGAATTTCAAGGATATCTCCCAAACTGATAGAATCTACAGACATCATGAGACGGTTCTCAATTCAGCAATATGAACCAGCATTACCGGGTCCATATATAGAATCCCCGCGTAGTGTGCCAGCGCAAATGAACACTGCATCGGCACCACCACAACCTTTCATACACAAGGTGTCATCATAAGCATGGCGAATGACATCTGCAAACCAATTTCCAGCGGCAGACTGATTATGAGACGGCAGTGAGATCCTAGATCAAATTCAAACTCAAAAGACTAACCTCGGCAGTACGAATGAACTGCGAGCGAACATCTATAGGTACGTTGCTAACGCAAACAGGAGCCTTGAGACTCGACGACACTGAGGATAGCAGCTTCTCAAGGAGTTTGCTAAGCTTCTCCGACGACTTCGAACCCGGTTGCGTCGAATGCCGTTTACCTGATAGACCAAATCAACCAGATTTCAACCCCCAAGTCGTAATGGAAGATCTCACCAAAAGCTCGCTTTATAACTTTTCTCCTGACACTTCCGTCAGGAGTAGATTCAAGCTCCAGATCAATCTCACTCAAATCTCGAAAGTCAGTACCGCTCTTCACGACGAGCACATCACCGTGATCATCGTCGGCACCCAGAACATGCTCGTTCGTATCGTATCCTTGCCATTCGCATCCTTTACTTGCGTAATATAAGTGATCGTGTCCGCCTAACAGTAAATCAACGCCGTGGCTAGAATGGATGGGCTGGTTTTTCTGCGTCGAAGGAGACAACGCGAGAAGATTTTTTGCTAGAGTGATATCCTAGGACTGCATTATCAATTCCAGATACCAAGCAAGTTACACGATGCATACATTTGGAATGCTGGTACATGGATATAAATGAGCTATTTGCAGGGGAAGACATCACGGCGTACCGAGAATGGGTAAGCGCGATGATAATGTCGCACTTATACTCGCCATTCGGATCACGGAGACGCTGCGAAAGGGAGATGCCAACTTCCTTCATATCTCTGTACTTAAAGTGAGGAGGCCACGTGGAGACGGTGCCAATCCATTCTCTGAGTGCGACTGTAAGAATGATGGGAATCCAACAACGATAGGGACGCACTTTTCCACCAATCCGATGACACCAATACGAGTTCCGGACCGCTCGAATACTTGGAACTCGTGTAAGAGGTCAGGTACCTGAGACGTTGTAGTGTCAATGATGTTGCTCAGTATCCATGGCTGTTGGACTGGAGATCAGCGAGATCAGGAGGAGATGGCTGGTGGGATGTACAAAGGTGGTGTCCTTGATAAGCTTGGAAAGATGAGGGTATCCTAGTAGCACGAAAACGTGAGGACTAGATATATGTGAGATAACATTTCTAACCAAAATCAAAATCATGGTTTCCTGCCGTACGAACGATAAGCATCGCCTGTCAATCTTGGAAGTAGGAGGTATATACCCGTAAGAGATACGTCTGGGGCAAGTTCGTTCATGACTGGGACCTTAGAGCAATAGATAAATGACACACTTTAAAGGAAACAACAGACAAACCATGTGACTCCCTCGGGTTACAGAACTTTCGACTGAAGGAGAAAACACGTCTCCAGAAAATAGAGATAGTCCATCCTTTGTTCCATCCTTCAATCTAGGCCACTGATCTCTTATACCATCTAGCATCGCGGCGAACTGAGTAACATCAATCGTCTTCTTTGACTTGGGAGACACTTTTTGAGGCGCGACTCGGTACACGTCGTTCCAGTGTACTATATGTAGGATGGAAATTGACATTTGTACTCGAAACTGGGTATAAAGGATGATCGATGAAGATGGATGTTGATTGCAAGAAATGGTAGCCGCTGTTGTGCCGCCTCGAGGTTACACGTGATCGTCTTCTACGCCAATCAACGCTTGGCGCTTATCGGTACCGGCTGCCGTACGGTGTCCGCTTCTTTTCAGACCTGTTTCGTGAGTGTTTTCAGCGTCTGACGCCTGGTACTTCAAGGAAAGCGTATTCCTCTAGAGAATCAGCACTTGCCTCTTCCCCCAGACTCGACCTCCATCTCAGCTGTACATCCTTCCGGAGGATTCTACGACCGCGATAAACCGGATGCTAAACCACTTGGAGAAATTCTGATTCGCGAGTTGCGGGTATACGAAGACCTTTGTCGGCATCCTCATCCTAACATTTGCGAGTATCAAGGCTACGTGGCTGATAGAAGTGGTCATGTATCTGGTTTATGCCTGAAGAAATGCCAATGCGACCTTTCAGTAGCAGTTTGGAAGAAAATGGATATTGAGTTCAATTTGTTGATGAAAGACTATAAAATTGCTGTCTACCACTTGCATAGTATGGGATGGATCCATGTAAGGAGGTCGGATCTATTCTGTAGAGTTCGTTCACCAATTCCAGTCATTTTTAGAATGACATAAGTGGTGCCAATCTCATGATCGATTCCGATCTTCGTGGTGTTGTTTTTTTTTTTTTCTGATGCTTGCACAAGAGAGGGTGCGCCTATCAACATAGGAACGCCACTTTGGACAAAGGGAGACCTCTGGCACATTGCAGAGAAGGAGAACGATTACTATGGTCTACAACGTGCTGAGTTGTTCATACGCGATGGAGGAAAGGGTCCTAACTGGCAACTTGATTGACTCTCTTGTCTTATAAAACACAAATGAAAATGCTCGTATCATACAGTTACCACCCATATACATATAAATATCCGAGTATCAAGGTCCGTAGCTATTCTATGAAGGAATCGGCGCAGGTTCTGGTGCGGATTCTGGTTCTGGTGGTGAGGGTATCACACCAACCAGGAAACCAGGCAAAAAGCGCTCCATCCTCTCAGAGGTAGCTGTCCATAGCGTCCGTTGCCGTTGACTGCGCTCATCATTTGACGATGGCGGAACGAGGATTTGCGCAGCATTCATCACAAGGATGACATTTTTCAACGATTCTGGGATAGCTTCGTACTGCAAACTGGGTCAGAAACAGTGTCGAATCACGGAAGACAACAAGCCTACCAGCTGGTCTTTTTTATCGATATTCATCAATCTATCCAGTAGATCCAAAATCTGGATCCACAAAACTCGAATATCGGTCTGCGCCTGACTCTCCCGAACCTCAAAGTGCATAAAGGTTTTGCACAGAAGCGCTGACGCCCGTAGCCTCGTTTCTGGCATTGCGCGCGGATCGCGCAAGAATATTTGGGGCTTCAACAGATCATCTAGAAGGGGGAATACGACCCGATGGAAGATCTCCTCTGTCTGCACATCCGATGCCTCGTCGAAAATAACGTGAGAACCTAATAGTACGCGCTGCAGCTGACTCATGGCGCTATGCCGGACCTCACGAGATGCATTAGATGACTGTCGACTGAGGGAGATAAGTAGCGGTAGCCATAATTGATGCCAGGCTGTGAACATAGCATCGGCATTCACGGGATTCTGATGACGGTTTCAGTATTTACCTTTCTCTTTGGATAGATTTGAAGTGTCCAAAGTCGATACCCATTTCTTGAGGTCGACAAGTAAATCAATAGCTTTCTTGCCGCGCTCCACGGCTGGTGAACTGCATAGTAATCAGGAACTACTGGCGTCAGGAACAGCAGTGGGCTTACCTCGCGGAAGTCGCTGGCTCGTGTCGTCGTCCGTGTCGCTGACTTTGAACGGAAGTACCTGCGATAGAAGCAAACTCGTCCAAAAGAGTGATAAGCCCTGAACAGTTGTCGACAGTGGTAAATTGTTGAGGTCCATCAGCCACCAAGCCAGTTACAAGCTCGAATGAAAGGCGCGCGGCTTCTGGGTTAGATATGGTTGACCGAACAAGGGCAAAGACTAAATTCCACTCTGTTTGGGAACTAAAGCGCACTTTCAGAGATAACACCAATATGGTGGAGTAAAGGCCGACCTTATGACATCGCGATGCTTTTGAACAATGAGAATGACTCCAGATATGACTTGCTCTGCGACTGAATTTGCAATAGCTGGTGTCAGTCCCGACAAGAGATCGAAAGAGACATAGATCTGGTCTCGAAGAGAAGGCTGCAACCTAAATTAGCACTCGAACTATATTATTCACTTGTTGTCAATACGCACGATTTGAGCAAGTATCAAACAAAGTCGCAAGAGGCCCACAACAGCTCGCTCGATGAGGAGAACGCTATACTGCTCAGAAGATGACAGTAAATTTGATAAATGTTCGAATACGATTGGCCTAGAACAGTGTCAGATAAGATCAGTGTCTCAAACGAGCGGTTGAGACGTACCATAGATCTTCGATGTGCTGCGGCGTCTGACAAGCTATACTGACCATGGTCTCCAGCAGGAATATCGACGCAGGATCGTATGGAAGGGAGTACGTGTCATTATCTTGCGGCGCAAAGTTTCCATCATCGGAACCTTGTTTGAGTTTGGCTACCGTCCGGTCATGCGCTAATGCCTCTAGGGCGCGAACTGCCGCAACAAGAGCCTGTAGATCCAATTGCCTAGAATGCAACATATGTCAGTGAGCTGGGAGATAAGAGGGAATCTCCGTACATGATCTGGCTATACAGCTCGTCCAGACGACATGACGTGATACAATCTATTGTGCAAAGTGTGTTTTCAACGTCGACATCGGTAGCCTCGGGTAGCGCTTCAGAACTAGCTGCATAGGGTGTCATCAAATATGAAGACAGTGCCGACAAAAGCCCTCCGTCATTACGTGATGCATGACGCTGCGGCTGACTTCCACGCAAAGGTATCATGGAAACACCACCAAGGAAATCTTCCATCTGTAGCATCCTTGTTGGAAGTAAGGAGTGAAGAAACAAATTCTGGAACATCTCGAAGATCTGAGGTGCAAACGTTTGTCAGGATTCTTCTGTCATGGAATAGTGAGTGCCCAAACCTGTGTCCAGCCTTCTCGAAGAGCATTGCCATTCCCATTGACGATATTGAAGAGGACAACGGCAGCTAATTGACCCTTGAAGTTGGTCCCAAAATTGATGGACAGATTGGATACTGTGACAGATTGTCCTTCTACATCTACGACAGGATAATTGGGAATTTGGACTGGAACGGACTCCGAAAGAAGGCTAGTCGCCTGCGAAAGTGACACCACGACGAAGTCAAATACATCCGGAAGACGGAAATGTCCAGCGAGTGTAGCACATTGTCGGAATCCGGCGACAGACCGTTGAATAATATAATCATCGTCGAAACTAATGAAGGCGTAGGCGATGGCCGATATGACAGGTTTCCAGACGGACTTGAAGATGTCGATATCGAAATGGGGCGTATTGCATATCATAAAGTCACCTGCAGGCATATTACTAAAGGCCTATGGAAAGACCATAGAACCGTACCAGCTTGTCGTGAACGTGTCAAAAGTTCTTTCCATGCATACTCGAAACCGAGTTGTCCCGTATGCTCCTCAGGCATGACAATCTCTCTTTTGCGTATGGAGTCGTAGATGTTTTGCTAATGACAATTCAGAACATGTTGATACGAGTGTATTGGGACATACCAGATACTCAGCAGGGAAATCGCCTTTATCGTTAACGCCCCTCAAGTTCTTTTGATACTCCTCAAAAGACATTCGTTTCTAGTGCCACTTAGACTCCAGGATCTCTAAATTAGTCTACAGCACGTACCCGGACTTGCGGATTATGCAGATCAGTGTTGAGCATGATGATAGAATAGGCTAAGACATAGACGGCATCCTCGCTCCTGATTTCAGCTGGGAGACTGCTCAGCACATATACAGTGCAAAAGGGAAACTCCTAGGTTACCTGGTCCCGATGCAAAATATATGGACGCAAACGTCTCCGTTATTCGGGAGATTTGCTGCGCCTCGCCAGGTAGCCGGAAGGTTTCCAATAGCTCTCGCATGGCTTCAGCCATAGGTTTCTAGAGGGGCAGAAAGTCACTCTGTTGGACACGATGTTGTTGGAATGACAAACATTTTTGAAGTCGAAAAGACCGATAAATGCCTTAAGCACCTCAATGTTATCAGGTTTCGATATGTAATCTCCCAAAAGGCGTTTATCCAACCGAGTACAGCTCTTCAGGAACTTTGCCAGACTCTGAGCTTTACTGACCTCCGGGGACAGGTCAGCATATATCAGCCCATTCTCCTCCAGAAAGGCAATGCCAGCCTTCGGCTTTGCATTGAAACGAGAAGCACCAGCGAGAATCAACTTCTTTTGAGATTTCTTCCGCAGAAGGGACTCGGGAGATGGGAACTCTGGAGACCACGGACTTGAAGCCTAATAACAGCCAGGTCAAAACGGTGCAATTTGAAATGAAACGCTACAGACACCATTAGCTCGACCGGCCATATCATTGACAAAAGCTAGCAGAAGGTCCAGACAAAGGAATTGGGCGTTTCGTTGCTGCACGTCTAAGCCTCCGCCGTAATATGCTGGATACACCGACTGGAGACAAATATACCTTGGTAAGCGAACATATGAGATCAGTAATATGGACTCACTTTCGTCAAAAAGTCGATGAGACGTTCCAGCAAGTTTTCGCAATTAATGTCACAGTCGTAGTTAGTATATAAATCAACCATAAAACTAGCATGTCTGGAAATCTGACTCAAGATTTCCAGACTTAAATCACGCGTTTCTCCTCGCGCAGGAGGAACAAGTAATCGAGGCGGAGTAGAAGCTTGTTTTTCCAATTGTAACTCGACATCGACTGGACCCAAAGACGAGGTGCCAGGCGTCCCAGATCTAGGAGATCCCGTATAGACGCCTTTCTTGTTCATAGCCTGCTGAGCCTTTGAGAGTGCAGGAGCAAGGCGATCTATCGTGAACGCCAGGAAGAGCTCTTGCTGCAGTTTTAAGTGTTGTCGCATGGTGTCAAACATGGTTGATATCGTGCGTAATGAGGAATGAAGGACAGAGCTATTTTCCGATCGTGCCAGCTGAAAGAGGAACTTGCAACCGGGATCAAGTATGAGCGCTTCCAATGAGGGAAAATCTGTGATTCTAGGGCCAACTTCCTCCAATGCGGCATTCAGAATTCCGAGGACGATTAAGCGCGTAGAGTCTGTATGCTGCTGATCGTTAGGGTCCAAGACGTGGACGAGAACGCGGAGAAGTTCCAATATCGACGGTAGTCCATCTGACATTTATCCCAATCTCATTCAGTGGGTCACTGTGACTAAGACGAGAAACTCACATTGAGGCCTGGGACCAGCAGGTACCGGGGAAGGTGGGGGACGTAGTTCCTCCACAACTGGCGTCGGAAACTGGTCTGGCAGAGGTTGTTCTGTGTCCTGTTCTGTCGACACTGACATCTTTATCTCGCCATCTTGGGTCTCTTCATCATTGCAACGGAGTTTCTCCTCTTCTGCAGCAGCATCCAAAAAGTGGAGCCGAGAAAAAACAGTTCGGACGAGAGCATGCATTGTTGTTTCGGCAGAGCGCCGTAAGGTTTCTGAGCGTTCTGTGTTGAACTTCCGGAAGTAACGCGACGAGAAGACTACTCACCACTCAGACGCATCTGACAGCACGTCGTAAGAACAGTCTCCAACATTTCGCACACCTCAACATCTCCTAGCACTGTTCCGTGTCCACAAAGACAGTCCTGTATGACTGACATGATCTTGAGTAGAACGACTTCATCTCCGGATGAGTCACTAGGTTCGAATTTACAGTGAGATACAGTGCTGCTGAGTTCCACGAGTGCTGCATCGAGGGAAACGGATTGCGATGAAATAAGGCCGCAAGTGAAGAACTTGTGAAGCGAAGAAAGCGCGGTAGACGTGATTGGCCCGGTTGAAAGAGGAGAACGAATGATAGCAAAAAAAGGACCTAGGATCGTAGGCAAAGGAACGCTCGTAACGTCTGATATCATTTGAGCACAGTAAAGGCAACAACGGACGTGTCACTTACCTTCCACATCCCTCAGTGCTCGTTTTAATTCCTGGAATCCAACCATAAGATCTATTTCCCTGCTTCCGCTCCTATAATGCTTGTCATGGTGGGCAGCGGTGGATATTCGGAGCCCTAGGTTGCTTCCGAGGGCCGAGTCTCTCGTATTCATAAAGTGCGTAGCCGACGCCCATCGGGAATTCTTCCGCATAATAGAAGTGACGGACAGTATTTCAGAATACAGGATATGTTTCTGCGACACCGTCCGGCGCGTCGGTGAAGGCTGTGGATGAGCCATTGAGGCGTGCATATATCCAAGACGTGGCCGTCGTGTCACCGAGCCATGTAATTTGTTTGCTTCGAAAGTTTGAGACAAATACATATCCTCGTTTCTTTCTTACATTTCTTCCATCTTTCTGGGCATGCCTTTGCCTGTTCTTCTGCCGAAGAGCGCTCTACCTCAGCCATCTGTCAACTCACACCTTGAATGGACGCCCAAAAAACACCTTTTACCTCCACAGCCGCCTCCGGTTGATGACGCCAAGATTCAAGAGCAAGAACTGGCAAATAGCCGACAGATATTAGATGGCAAAATTATCAAAAAGACGCGGCCAAGGAAGACAGTAGATTATTACGGAGGAATGGGTCGATGGGCATTGGTGCGCCTTCATTTTCTGTCATGAAATCCTTATACTCAGGACAGCACAGTTGCGTAAATTGCGCCCCAATTCTACCTACGTGCCCCAGCTGCGACCAGCACCACCATATATCATTAATGTGCGAGGTTTCAATTCATCCCCAGGCGAGTCTATAAACCTCTTCCCCACAGTTATTACCCCCCAAAGCATATCCGGGCAATTCATCTACATCCTTGTGTACAAAATTCATCCATACTTCAACAAATAAAATTCGTTGTCCCGTGAACATCGTGACGGTTCGTGCTTCTCTTGTTGAGTGAGCGAACAAAGCGCCGACAACTCAAGTAATTCAGTGGACGCCTGAAGGAAGACGCGTCCTCACAGGTTCTACCAGTGGAGAGTTCACTCTCTGGAATGGACTCACATTCAATTTCGAAACTATCCTCCAAGCCCATGACAGCGCCATCTGCACTTTCAGTTTTACACACTCTGGGGCATACCTAGTATCTGCAGACAAGAGTGGTGTCATCAAGTACTTCGAGCCCAACATGAACAACTTGACAGCATGGCAAGGGTCCAGCTCGCGAGAAGCCATACGTGGTATCAGTTTCAGTCCAGACGATCGTCGGTTTGCAACGGCAAGCGATGACTCTAGTGTTCGTATATGGTCCTTTGCAGAAAGCCGAGTGGAGAGTGTTTTAACGGGTTGAGTGCTTGGTTTTCACACCGTTAGAGGAACTCTGATTTTATTCCCTAGGGCACGGTTGGGATGTAAAATGTGTCCAATGGCATCCGTCTAAAGGCCTCCTCGTTTCTGGAAGTAAAGATAACCAGATAAAGTTCTGGGATCCTCGAACAGGCACCGTCCTGTCTACCTTGTACGTCGGTTCACCCGCTTTCATGCTGAACCTAACCTGCTTTAGACATCAGCACAAGAACACGATCCAAGCGCTAGCTTGGTCGCCCAACGGTAACATGGTTGCCAGTGCTTCTCGTGACCAAACTGTTCGTGTCTTCGATATCCGTGCCATGAAAGAATTCCGGATACTCAAAGGACACAAGAAAGAAGTGTGCTGTGCGTACGCATCTCATATTCTCTATTTGAAAAATCTAATAACAACATTCATATAGCCGTCGCATGGCATCCCTTACACCCCATCCTTGTCTCTGGTGGCTCTGAAGGTGCCGTTCTTCACTGGGATCTGGGTGCAGAAGACGAAACGCTGAGTCAACCCGTATCCTCACCACGCGCTACCCTCTCTCAAGCACACGACTCAAACGTATGGTCTATGGCCTTCCATCCCCTCGGCCACCTCCTCGTCACCGCATCTAATGACCATACTACCCGATTTTGGTGCCGTGAACGCCCTGGTGATGCCTCTTCCGTTTTCTCTGGGGGCGGAGAGAAGCCACCAGAAATGATCGACACCAGTGGTCAGGACGAGGAAGACGACTCAATGGTGCCTGGCTTTAGTTATGGTGGAAACGGGGAATGGTGGGGCAAGGAAGAGGAGGGAGACCGGAGTGAGGATTACAATGGAGATAACGGGCATGGTAAAAATAATTGGAACAATGGAGGAGAAGACGATTTCATTCCTGGAATTGGTGGCGGACCTCCACCCCCACCTAGACTACCCCCGGCACAAGAAGATTCATACGCACACGGAGGGGATGAATGGGGCCGGAACAGCCGTGGTGGAGGTGATTGGGATAGGGGAGAACGTAGACAATCTCGCTACGGCGATAGTTGGGGTTCGAGGCGAGGGGGAGGAAGATATTGATATTGCTTGGGAAAGTGTTGATCTACAACTACGCATATACCACTTGAGAAGACCTAGGACCTGAGAATATGCAAGTCATCCCCTCTTTGAGTCATTCACTTGTGCGCTCCCGAAAGCTCAGTATGGGGATCAAAAGTCCATTTCCAAAAGGTATGTATAAATTCAGACCTCGATAAATGTACAGTGACAAAAGTCCATTGTCAATACTGATTTGAATTTGACTGAGTCAATCGGGAAGATATGTTGCAGATAATCTTTGCAGTTTGACCTATGTAAGAATGAGGCTGGTATGGTTTTCAGAGAGCATAGAGCACCCAGCATACCTGAAACGAAGTCATGCTTTTGATTCAAGGAACTTGTACACAGATGAGAAATCTTTCGTTGCAAGTTCCGGGGAAGCTTGAAGCATCCGGGCGTATATCTGCGTAGCAGCATCTCCCATGGGAAGAGGTGTCCCCGTTTGCGCTCCAATATCGGCGGCTAAGCCCATATCCTACTCAAAGTGAAGAAACAATAGCCATTAAAGGATACTGTTTCTCATACCTTGAGCATCAGGCTTGTCGCGAAACCTCCTTCATAGCCACGGTCGCACGGTGGAGATAGATCTGGCAGAGCTTTGGGCACGGGATTATTGACGGACATGGACCAACAATTGCCAGTTGATGAACCGATAACGCTTGACAAGACGACGGGATCAAGACCGAGTCTCTTCCCCAGTAGCATGGCTTCGGCAGTAGCAATTTGCTGAACACCTAACATGAGCTAAAAGAGAAGGTCATTGAACTGAGTACAGAGTGGGAACATCCCGAATGCTAACATTGTTGCAGATTTTAGCTCCGAGACCAGCACCAGACGGACCACAGTGAATGATTCTTTGGCCCATAAGAGAAAGAATAGAGTATGATCTGTCAAAAGCTGCTTCTGTTCCTCCTACGAGGAACGTGAGAGCTCCTGCCCTGGCCCCGGCGACGCCTTAGACATGCGAGTTGACACGTTCAGCAGGCGATAGACGAAAGAAAGGTGGGTCTTACCACCAGATACTGGCGCATCTACAGCTTGAACGCCGAGGTCATTCAACTGGGAGGCAAGTTGTTGGGCAACTGAGACATCGAGAGTGGTCGAATCGATGGCAAATGTGTCTCGGATTGCATTGTGAGGAAGAGCACGAATCCCGGGAATGATGCTTTCGTTATAGACTTGCTTTACGTGGGGAGATGACGGAAGCATAGTTATCACTGTCTGGGACGACATAGCAGCCCTGAAGATCGGTTGAATGAGAAGTGGAGTCTGAATCAAGTTGCATACTCACACGTCTGGAGTCAATGCAGTATGAATCTTGGCATCGGGGAACTTGAAGAGAAAATCCCTGCAAAAAAGGTCTGCACGTTCGGGCACTGCGTCGCATACAACGAAATGAGAGTCGCCTTCTTGGGCTTGTTGTTTCGAAAAGAGGTTGTAGGCCATCTCGGAGCCCATGCGGCCTAAGCCGACAAATGCGGTGCTCTTTGAGCGCAAGGTCATACGAGACAGAGGGTCCAGCAGACGGAGAGACTTCATACTGGGTACGTACTATTACACAAAGCGGTCATCTGGGTTTTCGTGCGGGGTTGTGGGGGGAAAGCATGACCGGCTATTAAAAATACCGAGTTCCGTTGAGTGGTTGGTTGGTTGGTTGGTTGGTTGTCGGCAGACACAGACAGAGGGGAATCCGTTACCAGTGATTTACCCCAGAATTGATGACCCTTGTGTCTCCCTGTAAAATCCGGGTAATTCAAGCACCTTATGAATTTACCAACGCATCAAAATCCGTTTATCCTAGCATCAGGATTGGCAAATTGCAACTTGAACATGTCGTTGCGCAACAGGGGATGACTTGTCCTCAAGAGGGGCAAGGTAAAGTAAATGCCTTGCTCCACTTGAACGCTCTTCTAGACCTTTGGATGAATGAGGGAATTATTCAGTGTAATAGACTATGTTTGGATCCGGGACAACCCGAGTCGGCGCGAACGGTCTAGAGCATAGTAATCGGCCATACATCTTCTCTAAATACGAAGGTTTGAAGGTGCACTCTTCTCTTTGCCTTTGCCTAGACCTTGCCTTGTCTGAAGGGACACGGTAACACTTGTTGTCCCTCGCCGGTAATACCTTCGGCTTTCGCTTATTGTTAACGGTTACTTCCTCCGACCCTGTTTCCATCTATCCTACTACCATCAATGGACGCCGACCTCACCCTCGATACTGAAAACCTACCAGCCTATGATACTGACTTGTCCTTAGCGTCCCCATCGTACTCGGCTCACCCCGGACTTACTGAAGTTAGTCTCCATCCCGAGCCGTTTTCCCCAGAGATATCTTCCTCTACGCACCATTGGTCATGCGAAACGAAACACATGAAGATTGATTTAGGCCCTCACATATGGGGGCTTACTTCTCCAAGCTACGGACTTGGCGGAACAGTAGTGGGCAGCGTCAAGTTTTTGGAGCAACGCCAGCATGTTGAACAAGTCACTGTTTCGGTGCGCACCTTGGTTCGATTTTGATCGCTCTTCATTCAATCTATCTAGTTCGAAGGCCGTCTAACGACTTTCCGCCCTTATCGGGGCACCAATAGCGACGCCACTTCATCTTTAGTTTCGCGTACTTTCCCATTGTACACCTCCTGTATGGGATGCGTATTCGATTGGGACGCAGAACATCATTTCTCGATACCTATTCCCACTGAAATCAATACTCCCGGTGGAGGTACCGCGCCTACACCTCCTTCATTTAACTGTTATTTCTATGGCTCCGCACTGGAGGTCACCTATACCATAAAGATTGATATGATCCATAAAGGAAACCTAAACAATCTACGTCGACATGAAACGTGCACCTTTTTTTTTTCCCGCTTCCTGGCAAGCTTACTGATCTTGTCCACAGAAAAGCGATACCCGTTTATTATTTACCAAAGACGCACCCAGTGAACCCACCTCTTTCTACTATTCCCCGACCCTCTCGACTGAGCGACGAAACCGATATCTATCTGCACTGGTTGGATCGCGTTCACACAGTTGCTGCAACTCCATCCTGGACAAACACTAAATGTAAATCGGACCTAGACCGCTTTATGAAAGCAGTATATGTCTGTCTTTCTCTGATCGTCTCAGTTTTGTACTTACTTGCGCGTAATGTAGGTTTCGATACCCACCCCTCAGCGATTCTCCGCTGGCGACGACATACCCTTTGCCGTCAGCCTTTTATTTTCCAAAGAGCCTTACTTTGCAAAGTTGCTCACCCGCTCTATACGGGTTGTGCTACTTAAACGTATCTCCTTCGGATCGAAGAAGACCTTCAATTCGAAACCGGAAGAACACGATGATTCAAACCACAGCGAGTGGGTCCTCACCTCTGGCCAGCTGAAATACCAGAATGAGTTTGCAGAGGGTGTACGGTTACTGCGAGGATATGTTAAAGCCGGTGGAACGGGAAAGGAAAGCTCGTGGATGGTTGACTGTGTCGGTGTTCAGGTGCGTCGCGTTCTCTTGCACTTGTTGAGGCCCACAACGATGGCTGACTACGTCTGGAACTCCAGTACGTTATACGCGTCACCATCATACCCCCAAAGAATCTGGCGGAGCACTTACCCACCTTTCACCACGAAGAGATTGTGGAATTGACCACGGACCATTGGGGCCCTTCCCCACAACCTGTTATCAACGGTATCCCAACTCCGGCTGTTGGGTTAGCGAGTGACCCGCAGTCCAATTGGATTGGGAATACCGTCTACGCTGTTGTATGAATGTGATGACATTAATTGATAAGGATTTACCGTGCTACTAAATTTAGCTATCTCGGTACAAAACTGATCTTGAAAGTTGGAAACCTTTGTCCACTTGGACCCACTGCATGACGATCGTTGCATGTCTTGAGTTTGGGCAGCGATTATCATCAGGTGTCCGTGGCTAACAGCTGGGTTCAGCGGTAGCCCTTTGACTTTTTTCAAAGCAAAGGCTAAACTATTTGCAACATCTGGGTAGTCTTGATCGCCACGAGTTTCTTCCATGTGGACAAGCTAACTCGTGATTTCAGCTTAGGGCCCTTGGACGATCACTGTTGTCCAGTGTTGTCTTTACCAGAAGTTCGAACCTTCGTCAATTGTCTTCCTCGTAATTGAACAGTAAATGTGAATTCGAAAGATATTTGTTTTAATTTATATTTGTGCCTAAAATAGGTAAAAGAAATTGCTAATAACCTTTCTATATTTCGAAAATTGCACTTATTTCTTTGGTATTTTTTAGGCTGAAGGCTGACTAAAAATAAATATCTTTCAGTTTCGATATACTGAGGTCGTCATGCAGTGGAATATCTTCTTTTCGTTCACTTACGGTGAGTAACATCTGTCACCCAACAAATCTTCGCGATTATAAAGGTCGGTCTCTGACACTCTTGGTTTCTCGACTAGCTCAGGACGCATGTTGGGTGGAGAATTGCCATCTGCTGTTCAAGTTGCCTCTGGGACAAAAAGTTGTTTCTTCTCCTCCGAGGACAACTTACTATTCTCAGCCGCTTCCCGTCGTTTCGGAGAAGAATTACCTGAGTCTTAATAACGTCTTACAACTGTGATCATTTATGCTGCCCTGCCCCATTTATGACTCAAAGCTCTTAGAAGCACCCCAGAATTCCGGAAATTAATCGCAATGGTTCTAACCCACCCCAGTACATGCTAGAGAGATTTCCTTGTCATTACATAGTATCAAAGGAATTGCAAACCTTTCTAAAGTGTTCTTCATTACACACAGGGTGAGTTCTACTTTCCATTTGAATATCGTTAATATACTTATATATGGCAGCCTTCACAGCGCCTGATTCACGAGGTGAAGTCTATTAGTGCTTATTTTAGGCGTCTGCGCTGGTATATGTTCGCCCGCTTTAACAATAGCTAACCCCAAGGACATGCAACCCTGCGTTTCGCAAGATCGTGGTCTGGAACATCCTACGTACGTGAATGTACGCAGTTATTATGGGCCCTATCCTTCGCCTCTGGAACTTAATTTCAAAGTAGCTGCTGCCTCTGAACTTTCCGAGATGAAAAAAAAAAAAGGAATGAGTCGACTCCGACTCGTGGATGTCGTTCCTGATCAAGCCACCAGAATTTCTTCCCGGGGAAAATGAAACCTCCACTCAACGTTATCCACACTCATCATGGTGGATGAGGTCGCGGTTATCGATGGAATGACATTCGTACGGCGCTATCAAATCTGTTCAACTTCCTGATGATCGTGCGTAGTACCCCAATTACTACTTTAACCCTCGTTGTGCCGTACTTTCTCAGAATACATTGCGGCGACATACACATTTGATGCCATCCCTTTTCCGACGCTGGCGGAGTACCACATTAATCGTGTCTGATATTGGAAATGGTATGCCGTGACTGACCCCCAGTACTCAGGCCGTCCTAGGACCTGGCGCCTTTTGCCAGCAGTGTCTGACCTCGAGGAACTTACATTTACTTGTATGTCGTATTCAACTGTTTTCTCGAGCTTTGTTCCGACATGTCGTAGGAAATTTTTCGTTCTTCGGAAATCATGACAGAAAAAATACGCGTGTAACGTTCGTGACGTTGCTGGATTGTTCGATGAGAATCATACGTTCTCTCTAATGTCATCGACGCATTGTTGGTGATGAAACCTGGGAGACAACGGTTTTTCTGACCGGTGTGCAAAGCCACATCCAGGGACTTCCATGCCCCGAAAGAAAGCTGATGAGGCATCTGGAGGTTTAATAGGTCCTTCGTGATTGATTTGTGAAACGTTCAGTAGTTTTTGAAAAGGTTCACGCATATGAGTATCGGCGGCGATAATAGTCATCGATGTAATGCTCCTTGTCTTGATGCATGCTGCACAACTCATGAACCTTGGCTTACGCGGCATTCAACTGCACGTTTCCCAATCCCATCAGTCCTGACAAAATAGTGTTTCATTTACCTCCGCCATGCATTTACAGAACGACACTACGGACATACTCATCCACTGCGCCGAGAGGTCGATCTTGGTTTCTCATCAGATGTTCGGTATCAGTAGTTCACGGATACCCTTGCCGGATGAGATGACGGTACATCATTCTGAGCGCTGTGGGAGAGATATTGATTTTCAAGTAAACTCGTGTCAAAAGCCTGATTTCGTCCATCGACCTCATGCATTCGGTTAAGTGGTGGGCACTGGATACATCGTGTCAGCCGCACTTTTTTTTAGTGACCTGAAATGCGAGAGGCTGCAGATGTCAGCGCGAGTCTTGATGGTAGAGTGGGAGGATAGCAACAATGCTACGGCAGTTTGGCCTCTTCCGACGTGACAAGCAGGGTGAACTTTCAGTTACTCTGCGCATGCTATCAGTCTCAGTGTTTGACACTCTGATAGTAGTCGGAAGAGAAAAGGCGGCGAAAAAAAGTACGAGTGATAAAGCAAGCATACGTCATTGATTGGAATCAGGCCGTACAGATGGATGAAGGATATAAGCCCATGAAGTATAGATGGAGATTATACAGAATGGCAAAGGCTTGGAGGATGCAACTTACGCAGGGGGAAACTACCGAAGAACCAGCAAAGGAGCAAGGACCCAAATGCAAGTCTATCTCAACCGGGGATGCCACAGGAAAAAGATAGGCATCGCTGGACAAACAATGGTTCCACGGGAGTGCTGCAGCAGATTGAGAACGACAGACATATCATCGGCCCGTGTTCCGTAAAATCTTTGCAAGAGAACCCATTAGTTAACGCCGAGACAATTTGCGCATCCTCGGTTGGATCTATCAACGGGGTACTGCTAGTTGTCATTGCAAAGAAATCCTGTGCCGGGTTCCGTGACCTGCTAATAATTTGTTGCCGCAAGCCTGACTCGAACGCTCGAGGTGTAAGAAGAGAATGGTCACCTTACCTAGAAGGTATAAAGATGATCTTACTGAATGAAAAAGCCCCCGAAGGTATGAGCATGTCCCGTATCGCGAAAGTGAAAGTAAACTGAAACCGGAACTTGGAATCTTTTCCGTTCCTGATGGGACCGTGATGTCCGCACCCAGGCAAGAATAAGGTCCTGCCTTGATTGGTACATGTAGCAGGGGCAGCCAGGGGAAAGAAGACTCTTCGGATGATGGATGGAGCCTGTGTCCACGGTGCGCACGGCGACCAGAAAAGTTACCTCCATATTGTCGGTACTTTCCTTGTTTGTGCGATATTGATAGCAGACCTGAGGACCTGAGTAGCAAGCGTTCCAGGCGAAACGTCCGTAATGATGCACTAGAAAAAATTGAAGTCCCCAGGACGACGAAGTGCAGCCTGATCCTGAAGGAGCAGACGTAACTCGCATTAAACGGATGACATAAGCACTACTATTCCTTCTCTAGCCGTCTGGCTGTATTCCTATACTTTATCCTGACTTATCCCGTTCTCTCCTCCTTTCTAATTTCCTACAATATTCGCAGGGCGGTCGTTCAGCATAAGGCTCAATGACTGATCCTTCGCAGAAACCGAATGTCCTCATCTTTGGTGAGCAGTACGCCAACAGCAGTGCCCGACACTCTCACATCTATCTTTATCGACGTTTCCAGGCGGTCTGAATACCTATTCGCGTGCGCTGGCAGCTTATCTGGTCCCACTGGAAGGAGATCCATTAGTTTCAGTCCGTATTCATTGCGCGATGCTGGAATCTTCAATCTGAATCCCTAGCAGCATGTTCGGATGGTCGATAAATACCAAGTCGCACCAGCGACTACGTGAGTCAATATTTCATCGATTTCTTGACGTTGATCGACAATCATCCATCATTCCAGATATATTGGAGCAGAATTCCCAAAGGTTCTCGAGAAGCAGGAGGTTGACTATCAGCAAGCAAACCTGACAGTTCCGTGTACGTAGAATCGCCCTTCAGGACATTTCCTACATGCTCATGGAAACCAGCCAATATTCCACCGCTCTTTGACCCGCCCGAGGGCCAGCCCCCTTACGATTACGTCTTTGATTTGACTGGTGAAGTGCGCCAGGATCGTACAGACATGGTGTGCCCCTTTCCCAGCTCTACGCTCCTTCGATCTCATCGCATTTCAGATACAAGTCACAACTACATGTAATGTAGCCAGAATACTTGGCGAAGAAGCTGCAAAACGCAAAGTCAAGGCATACGTCCGACTACAGCTCCCATTCTATGAAACATCAAATAAAGGGCCATGGGACGAAAAGCAAGACCCAAAACCCTCGGGCACAGTAGGGACTTGGTGGCACGAGACCTTGCGAATGCTGGCAAACATGGAAGAGTGCGTCTTTGGCCAGGTTCTTGTCTGGATTATCCTCATCTTTTCTTCAGCCTCAACTTGGTCATCTTACGGGTCGCATTAGGTTATGGCCCTTATACAGATTACGGTACCAGTGGGTGATAGACGCTTTCCGTCCGATATCATCAATCCTGATGAATTGCAGTGGCGTCGTTTATCACGGTTGCAGCTGTCTATGGTTATATGAATAAGCCCATGAAGTCATTGTAACGGCTCCTTTGATGATTCATGCTCCTTTTTGTCTTACTTTGGTACAGGTGGTCTCCAGGAAAACATCCATCACATACTGTTCACGTGGAGGATATTGCTGGAGGACTGTGGGCCTGCGCACAGTGGATGGCACCTTTGGGTAGGAAAGCAGCTGACGAAGCCGCAGGGGAGGATATACCATTTCACAATGACAAAAGCAAGCTCAAGGATATTCCTGAGGCACCCGCACATGACAAGAAGGTCACTGCGCCTCTGTTCAACCTCGTAAGTGGGCTCCTCATCCCATGTTCTACTCTTCACCAATATTCTTCCAGGCCGATGATTCACAAATGACGCTGGCGGAGATCGGTCATGTTTGCACGTCGTTCTTTGGCACAACATTTGATTTCTTCAACTTTTTCGAAAACACTATATTCAAGGTTACGCAGTTCGATTTTTCATTAGCGTCATACTGATATCTTCTAACAGTTGAAAGATGACATAGTTGAAGAAATCAATGAAATTCACGTCGGTCACTGGACGGAGATGATCCTCAAATCTAATCCGCCCATCCCTAACACACCTCTGTCCGCCTACATGGACAAGTACTACCTAGAGAAGACCGTCGTCGGTCTCAGTAACTCTAAGATCAAGGCTGTGACCGGTTACGGGCTGAGCAAGCCGCGATTCAATCACGACACGATCAAGGACATGATTGAGAAATGGAAAGCTGAGGGCAGTTGGCCCATTTTATGATCCTTTTGCAGTTTACTGGATTTTTAACTTTTGTGCATCATTTGTTTTCGTTTTCGTCAGTGTCTCAGTATAGGATTTCAAGCATTAAATTACTCGATAATACTCATTCTCTCCTATCTGCCTCTTTCGTGTTCAAGTTTAGTCTTTATACCTCTCATTTGCCACCTCTACCCGTTGGCCTCGTCTCATACCTACGTAGTTTAACGCTGTTCAATATAATAATCGGTTTTCGTTGCATTACTAAGTCCTTAATTTCTTTTTCTTACCATTGATCTAGGCCTAGCTTTATGACTAGCGAAGTGGCCATTATCGTTTCTTCCACGAGGTATACGTTGTGTACTCACAGTCCTACCTTGTCTTCGGATTTGGAAGTGGAATGAAGGGTCAAGCTTACTTCAAGGAGCGATGATCTCTCTCTCTCCGAATGATAACGGATGATAATGTGGATTTCTTGCACGCTTGGATCGGCTGGTCTATTATATTATCTAGCCTGCGAAGATTTGAATTGTTCCATGTTGTGATTACTTCCAAAACGATGGCAGGCATTCCCTTCACTGAGGCTCTTGCTGGATTTCAATCTCGTACTGACCTTTCTGATGGCAATAATATCACAGCACATAGGTATGTATAGTCGGACATGACAGAACTGCTTCTGGTAGACATCCCCAACTTAGAACATCGAGTCCGACTGGTAGGCGGAACTCGAGGGTCAAAATAGTTACTTTCTGCATATCAGAGACTCAAAAATAAATATTGTCGCAATTCTTCAGGAAGACGAATTGGTGGTATGCAAGGAACTTATGGAGCCATTCGATTCCGGTATGTACCTATCCTCACCAATTCCACTTTGATTGCTCTTATCTATATCCTCCGACAGACCATGAGATTCTTCTTAGATGCTTGCTGATTCCGACAATGACAATGCTGAACCATATCGCGGAGGATCTCCTTTTGGCTCAGGTGGATGAAAAGGTGGAGATGTATTCTTTATGAGGGAAGCCATTTCCTGCTGGTCGATTGGGCCGACAACGTCGGTTAAGATGGGGAATCATCTGTGCGAGATGCGCGAGCCAGTTCCCTAGTACAAGGAGTGAGCATGGACGGGTATTCCAAGATCGCCTGGTTCGCACTACCTCAGTTCTTCCCTCAGCATCTTGCAGAAGCTGTGACAGACCGGATCCAGCGCGGCGCATGTGGTTCCGAGTGTTGTCAACCCCTCTTCCTAGAAGGCGGTCCAGAATGGCGGACTGTGGAACTCGGAGACTCAAAACCCAGATTTGACATCCGCAACGTCTTTCTACGTATTGACTAGTAGACACTTTCGTCAGATGCCGAAGTCGTCTGCCATTGTGATCAACTTGAAAGCCTTCTTCACACCTCTGGCTGACTTGCCAGAAGAGCCTTATGTCCCTCATTTGTTGTTGAAGCTCATAGAGGAAGGAAACGGCCGCCGGTGGAGTACGAGGGAATACATCATGTTGAGCATAAGGTGATATCTACCTTGGAAGAATGGACTAAGGAAGAAGCGACCTGAGGGTGGTGGAAAGTTGGAAATAGCGGATACCTGACGAGGATCATTTCTCCTCGGGATGATCTCTTTCAATAGAGCAAGGAGTATCATGTTAGATAATGCCGAAACAGTGATAGATACCGAAGAATGTTGAGCTACGATTGTACATATCGCGATCACGTGGATTTTGGCTCCTCTACGAAACTTTCACTGTTTCTAGGTTCTTCGGTCACAGAGATGAATGATTGAATGCTACTGGAAAGTCAAAGGTCACACAGCTATATTAAATAAGTCAGAGCTTCTCTGCCGTTGTTGATTGCTACCACAATTCTTACAGCCTTCGCGACCTGCTATTTGTTCATCTTCCGCCATTCCAAAGCACTGAAGGGAGGACGTAAACACCTCAGCGGGGGGGAGGAGTCCCTTTACTGTTCGTCGGAATTTCCGGATGTTAGTTAATATTGTTAAAGGGTTATTGCCGTTCACGAAAAGGAGACCGCCAGTGGAGAAAAAAAACTATTTCCCAGATGACCGAACCAACCCAAAATTCGCTGGAACATTCACGGACGTTTTTTAGATCATCATCTACAAATATGCTGAAGCAAACCTGGAGCTAATCTTACAGCATCCAGCATATCGAGACCGATTTCTAAATTTGATTAAAACCGCCAGCGAACCTAATCATCCATGAGCTCCGCCAGCTCCCGTTCCTCTTCTTCTGTTAAGATGGACTGCGGTTCCTGTGGCACTGTGCTTTTGGGTTTCGCCGTAGCCGATGTTGCCTGAGGTGATGGAGTCAAAAGTTCTGCCCGACTGTCAGGCGACGATTCCACAGAGAAAAAGGTCATGCATACCAGAAAACTTCCACGTCCGCAACGTGCCATCCAGACTGGCACTGAGAACCCACGGCTCAACATGAGCACATCCGTCATCCCCTGTGATTTCGCGTATCCAAAGACGCAAAGCCGTGACATCGTGCCAGTGTGCATCAATCTCGCCTAGGATCTCCGGCTCCTCAATAGAGGACACATCATATGTACGTATGACGTCGGCTGAACCGGTAATCAAGTACGACTCGGCTAGATCTGTCAATGCTATTGGGAGAAGACACCGAACGGCTGTAGGATGCGTCACGAATCGGGGTACTTTGTCTGCCTCCGAGGCAGGGTTTACGGTAACGACCTGAACGGTGTCATCAGAAGACGCTTTTGACCATTTCAGTAGTTAGCCACAGCGCGAAACATCACAATCATAAGAGCTCACCTGTCCAGAGCTGGCCATTCCCATAATGCATATCATTTATCCGTGTTCGATGATGCGTCAGTTCGTACTTGAGAGAGCTCTTCCACCGTGGCGATGCGCCACCTTCTTTCTGCAGGTGCCAAACTTTGATAACTCCCATGGTGTCTCCGGTGCAGAGCTCGACTGACTGATCGGAAATGACGCTGCCATCGATGCATTCCACAGGCCGAGTATGGGACGATAGTGACCCCAGAGTTCGTAGCGGACCTTCCGAGACCGAGGATAGGTCCCTGTTAGTAAGGTAGGCTCCATGCGGCCAGGCAACAAAGAAGCCTGCTCTCACCAGAATCTCACTATCTTGTCAGAACTGCCAGAAACGAGAAGTTTAAGGTCTGAAAAAACTAAAAGAGATTTGACAAAATCGGCATGAGCGTCGGTGGACGAGATCAGTTCTTTCGTCTATGAATTGATTACCAAACGTCAGCGGAATCTGAACGGCACGACCTACGTCTCTGTCCCACACTTTGATGGTCTTGATCACAGGTCAGTACGTGATTGGAGGTAGAGGATAAACTCCACTTTATCCCAAGAACCAGATATCACAAGTTTTCGTGCTCCAGAGCTACTGCTTGTTTCAAAGAAAGCAATGGATGTCACAGGGCCTGTGTGTCCACGGTATACTTGCAGAGTTTTGCCTGTCTGGGCAGATGATGTAGATGTCTTCCCCAAAGACGCGCAAGCATACGTACCTCGAGCTCTAATCTTCGGATAATGGTCGTATTTTCTGCTATCCATGCATCATTGCCCAGAATTTCGACTGCAAGAGCCTTCCCAGGAAGCTGTAGAGGCGATCCGAGATCCTTTGTTCTCTCTGCTTTCTTTCTGCGGGACTGGGAGACCGAGGTGGGTATTCGAAGTTATTCGTGAACAACTAGACGCATACATGGTCAAGGATAAGGTGCGCCTCGGAGACCATGAGATTAGACGCGTCTACATTAGTCATTGCTGGAGTATTGGTCTGGACGATGGTGGTTGAAGAGACGAGAAATTATTTATGCATTTGTTTGATTTCGAGGACGATGTTAATAATCTGACTCATCATTTCCTCTTCACTCCTTACCACCATGGCCTCCAGAAGTTGGCTCCAAGGGAAGACCGTCAAGAAGGGCGGTGCAGTAGGATCCAATGGACACACTCGGCCAACGACGCCCCAAGTACAGAGCACTTCAACGACAATATTTGGCGGAGGCGTCAAGGACCCGTCGGGAAGAACAGCCGAATATTTTGTTAGGAGATTCTTTCTCTAGCTTAGACGACCTCTCATTATGTTTTAGTCAATGGACGATCAATGTCCTGTTTGCAAGAGCGACCGGTACTTAAATCCCAAACTCCGTTTACTCGTCAGTTCTTGCTACCATAAAATGTATGCTTTGCGGTGTCTGTCTCATTCGACTAGATTAACACTACTTGTTAAAGGTGTGAATCCTGTATAGACCGGCTGTTCACGCTAGGTCCTGCACCTTGTCCAATTTGCAACACCGTCCTTCGAAAACTTGCATTCACCCCACAAACATTTGAAGACCTAGGCGTCGAGAAGGAAGTCGCCATTCGTAGGCGGATCGCCAAAGAGTGTGTCAGGGTCCCATAAAATGCTTTCAAACTAATACTCTGCTCTACAGGTTCAATAAGAGGAGGGAAGACTTTAACGATCTCAGGTCCTTCAATGATTACCTTGAGCAAGTGGAGGATATAGGTGAGATTCACCTGTCCGGAATCAAACTCCGTTCACATTTCAACGGTAGCGTTCAATCTTATCAACGACATCGACGTCCCCGAGACCGAAAAACGCATTGCCGTATACAAGGCCGCCAACGCGGCTCTGATCACCCTCAACCTCCAACGAGAAGAAGCATATGCTCTTGCCTTGAAAGAACAAGAAGAATTCGAGAGGCACGAACGTGAACAACGCGCAGCCGAACTTCTCAGGGAAGAAGAGACAGAACGTGCGGAAAAAGAGAAAGAGAGGCAAGAGATCATCGACAAACTCGAGACCAGCGAGAAGGATGCTGCCAAACTCATCGCTAAATCTCGAGCAAACACCCTCAAACGTTCGTCGAACCGTGTTTCTTCTATGTCGAGATTGGGTCTTGGAGTTGACTACGCGAAAATGCTGAAAACGCGCTCAAAAACTGCCAGCACTGTGCTGGACGTGCCTCATGTTCCTTTCCAGGACAACTGGTATTCATTCGAGGACATGTATGTCCTGAAACCAGGTGGATATGACGATTTGTACAGTGAGACGGTGAGGAAAGATAGAGAAGGAATAATGCGTGGTGGAGGATATCGTGTCGAGGAGGCCTGGGAGCGAGCGCTTAGGTTCGCCGTTGCTGGATTAGATCTTCTGCCTTTAGAAGGCTTAGATCCTACTTCTGAGGGAATACAAATCGAGCCCTCACTTGTAGGTGGTGATATTGTTTTGGCGTCATGAAACGAAGTAAAATATCTGTATAGTAAGTAGCTCGATAGTCATTTAGCGAGTCATTTAGCATAGGACAATTAGTCATCGTGTATATGAATTATCCTTATCTACCGCTTCAAATATAATATTGTAGTCATACACACATGAGTACCCAAAGAAGTAGGCCTGTCGCGAGGGCCAAGAAACATCCCTACAGTATATAAAAAGTATAGTATACATGTGGATCAGCCCCAAAAGATAAAAAAAATCTAAAAATTGTTGTAGACACAGACTTCCGGTTAAATCGCGCTTAGGCTCTTGTGCTTACTACCACTTTCCTTCTTTCCATCTGGTCAAGAGTCAGAGGTTCCGTCATAGGAAAATACAAAATTTGCCACTGCTTTCTATTGAAACAGTCAGCAGATGAAAGAAAGTATGATGACCGTACGAACCCGAATATATTTTTGAACAGCTTATACCGGAAATGTTTCAAGGTGTCATGTAGTAGCTCATCTTCCACACGTGCAGATGCGGCGTCGTCAATATCAAGAGCAGCCTTACGTATCTTGGAGCGGGGCCGGCTGTTTGACAGATAAGCACGGGTCTTTATGGTTGATACAAAACTTTCTTACCGCGAAGGGTCAAAAACAAGAAGATTCACAGTAGAATCATTGATTTGTTCATAGCCAACGACGGTGCGAGAATGCCAGCCATCTTGTAAGATGATAGGCATTTTTTCTGTGCACGTTACGGAAGGATTCATCAGCGCTTCCGTTAAGTTAGTCGGCCGGCGTGTTTCTGCAGGCGGCGAGAAGTAATCGACGATCCATTGTATGAGGGCATCATTGCCTGCATTTCACGATATCTCATCAAGATGAATTTAAGGACAGAAAGAGGGACCCACCATGAAAGGATTGCTTGTAATTGAAATCGACTAGTTCACAGCTAATATCATCAGACCGTGAGTTAACAATAGCATGGGAAGTGATGTAACCCACGGTATTCCCCGAGATGAAAACGCAGTGTACAAGTCTATAAGGAATCTTCAAAAGTTATTGAAAAACAAGAGAATAAAGTCTATACCTGAAACACCAATCCATTTCTTCGAGTCTACCAAGGGCGAAAGTTGCGCTGCCCCTTGAGCATCAAAACCTTGGCGAATAGGGATTAACACTGAATCACCTCACTATAGTGGTCTTTACCTGATGCCCAGGCATCCTCGAGCCACCACTGGAGCTGTCTCACAGTCGGAGAGATCGGGCTGTCGAGGAGTGGAAAGTACATTGGTTGTAAAGGCTGATCCATCAAGACTGAACAGGACATAAGGAAATTCCGGTAACTTCATCAGATGGTCAGAATCTATTAGAAAAGAGAACGAGAAAATATCAAACCCGCAACCCCACCCGGCATCCCAGCTTTGGCGAGAAACATACACCGCACGATCGTAGCATAACACAGCGCGTCTTGTCTTTCCCCGAGAGTGCGAATTTAAAAGTGCATACTTAAGGAGCAATATCATGCCTAAGGAACACTGATCAACACGTGTTGTACGTATGTATGTGCTTATGTGACGAACCCGGTGTGAAGTTCGACGGGGGCGGCGTTTGCAATGACTGGTACCAAAAACTATCAGTTTCAGCAGTCTGCTCATCACGATTTTCAGAGTCATGTTTGCTTCGATGATGTTTCCGAGAGGATGTGGAGCTGCGACTTGATGAAGGTCCCGAGTCTGCGCCATGCTGCGAAGATCGCAGAAGTCGATGTTAGTAACAAAGGAAGAAAATCAAAGTCAGAAAATGCATACCTTACTGCTCATCATTAAATGTACCAAGGCGACTTAAATGGCTTATTGAAGGCGAACTCTGCATGCCACTGTGGTGGGTGTTGAGAATAAGTAACTGTCGGATACCGGCCCAACTGCCGCTTTCGGCTGACGTAATGCACCCAATTGGGAGCGCGACGCGTGTACGGGCGTACGAATTCTTGTTCATCGACTTTCACTTGTTTCCATCGTAAATCATGTCCAGGTCGTACGATCGCGGTACACATGTATTCTTTTCCTGTTGACCTCATTGCTCATTGATGTCTTTAGCTCTTACTGTCTTTTCACCCGATGGCCATCTATTCCAGGTCAGGCAAAGCTTCACATCGTGTCCAATGAACAGGTTCTTACGGTCTCGCTGTGGTACAGGTCGAATATGCTGCTGAGGCTGTGAGAAAAGGCACTTGTGCTGTGAGTTACTCCTCTTTCGGCAAGGCCTCATCACTACATCTAATGACGCATATAGGTAGGTGTCCGAGGAAAAGACGTGGTAATTTTGGGTGTGGAGAAGAAGTCGGTGCTACAGTTGCAAGATTCGAGAACAGTGAGAAAGGTTGTGATGTTGGATGATCATGTCTGTTTGGCGTTTGCTGGTGCGTACGATGTGCATGTCGCCATTGTGACAGACCTATTCATTTCGCAGGTCTTACGGCGGATGGCCGAGTCCTGATTGACAAAGCTCGGATAGAGTGTCAAAGCCACCGTCTTACGGTCGAGGATCCCGTCACTGTTGAATACATCACAAGACATATTGCTGGTATCCAGCAGGTAGGCGTCTATACGTCAATTCGATTGGTTTGGGAAATGAACGTGTATGTAGAAATACACCCAATCTGGAGGTGTCAGGCCGTTCGGCATTTCAACATTGATCGTCGGATTCGACCCCCATGATAGCAGACCTCGTCTTTACCAGACTGAGCCAAGTGGAATCTATAGCGCTTGGAAGGTGAATGTCTTCACCATATGTTCTGGAGAGAACTGTACTAAGTGTTCTATGATAAATAGGCTAATGCCATTGGTAGATCGTCGAAGACTGTCCGTGAATTTCTAGAGAAGAATCACAAGGACGACTTGTCTCGAGAGGAAGCCATCAAGCTCACCGTCAAGAGCTTGCTCGAAGTCGTACAAACGGGTGCGAAGAACATTGAAATCAGTGTGATGGAAAGCTACGGAAAGGTCACGGTGCGTCCAATGTTGACTTCCAACTTCCTATCCAATTTGATTGAATGTTCTTTCACAGAACCTGGACTTGTCACAAATTCAGGCCATTGTTTCTGAGATTGAAAGAGAGAAGGAGGCTGGTACGTCACCTCTGCAGGATCCTATCTACCATAGTTTGATGAAATGTCGTCATCCACAGAGGCGGAAAGAAAACGATCCAGACTTGCAGCCACAGCTGCGGGTCAGGCAGCTATGGAATCACTAGCTACGGAGTCATCAAGGTAGAGTATACAAACGAATGTCATTTGTGTCTTTTCATTATTGCTTCGAGGCTTGCGTTCCCGACAGTTTCTCGTGAGCACCAGTAAGGTTTACTGGTCCTAAGTAGTCAAATCGAAGTGACATTCTGACAGATGAAGGATCTTGAGAAGCGATCATTTGCAAGAATGCTCGTTCAGTCTTGTTCAAGTAACCTTCGCCACGCTTATAGCGCTCGTGCCTTTCGTTTGACTCGGTCATGATCCAGACCGTTGCACTACTTACAATCAGCTGCTATTCTCCGCGTTCTTCGTAAGTATGAAGGCTGATACTCTCGCCGGGGCGAGTGCATTTTCAAAGATACAATTGAAATCAATGCGATACCATGAACGTAGCCGCGTCGGTGGTTTTTTCTTGAGTCAGTAGTGCCTGCCAAAGCGGGGGTGTATCATATGGTGTCAGTCACAACCGCACGCTTCTATCTTATCTGACGTCTTATTGATTTCAGTCTTGCGGGAGAGAAGTTACACTAGATCCGCTCAAACTTCTCACGCAGACGATATGGAGCAATTGTATATCAGTCGATGCCGTTTGTGCATTTTAAAACGCCCCACTTTTTCTCCACGCCTATCTCTTCCTTGACCGAGAATCATGGTGTCCCCTTCGTCTTCTGACGCGGACTGGAAACATGACGAGAAAAACGATCATGTCGTAGAGGTGTCGGCGAAGGAAGTCGATACCGCGGCTCAAATCCTAGCAGGGGCGTCCGAGGTTTTAGATCCGAGGGAGGCAGAAAGGATTAAGTGAGTCTGGGAAATGCCATTCGCTAATTACGTTGCCTAAAGATTTTGCAGGAAGAAGATCGACCGACATATTCTTCCTTTGATGTGCAGTACGTGCTATGTCTGCTTAAATGATGCTACATGTGCTCATCTATTGGTTCAGCTCTATACTGGTAGTCTACTTAAATCCATCAGGGACCGTGCAGCCCGTCATCTCATTCTCGTAATCCAGGATTCAATTCATGGATAAGACAACGCTGGGAAGCTCTGCGATTTTGGGTATCAGGTGACAAGCATTCCAAGGTTATGATAATGATACCCGAATTTAACGTCCCAATCAGAGAATCGACGCATCTTTCCACCAATCAGTGAGTAGCTTCGGCGCACTATCATTATTACTGGTATTGGATGTTCAATACCACACTTAGGTACAATTGGTAAGCCCAGATATCTCGTACTTGAATTTGAGCTAATTCACGGATGGATGCTATCATGTAGGCTTGGGACTATATTCTATCTCAGCTATCTCGTATTCGAGTTTCCCCAGAATCTCTGTCTCCAGCGCTTTCCTGTGGGAAGATGGATGAGGTTCGTTGCGTCGCTTTCTTCCGGTGTTTCCAAAGACCGAAGCCGTAATTAGCATTAACATCTTCATATGGGCCGTTGCCTTATGCTGTCATGCAGCCTGCAAGAATTTCGCCGGTCTATTTGCTGTGAGACTAATTCTGGGCATGTGTGAAGGGTCAATCACTGCAGGATTCATGATTGTCAGCTCCATGTTCTACACGAGAAAAGAGCAAACGCTGAGAGTTGGTTATTGGTGTGAGTGGAATAGTCACGTACTGTCGGGCTGTCGGCTTAGTTACTTTCGTCATTTCCAGTTTTGATGAACGGAACCGGTAAGTCAAAAAGTTACCAGGCTATTATACGAGCGGAGGATGATCAATTACCCCGGATGACAGCTCAAATTATTTCGGGGTTCATCAGCTTCGGTACCTTGCACATTAAGACGGGAACATTTGAACCTTGGCAATGGTGTGTGCGGCTTTAGTAGACAATGTATTGAGCTCACTCTTCGGCTTGACTTTAAGGCTCATGATAATCACGGGTTTAATCACTCTTATTACGGCGATTGCCTTCTGGTCAGTCTAACATACACATTCTTAACCGCCACTCGTACCAATTACCCGGGTAGGTTCTTATTCCCAAACTCGCCAACCAACGCGTGGTTCCTTACACCTGCCGAAAGGACAACTGCCATCCAGAGAATTAAGGCACGTTCGCTTTCCGTTATTCGGTCCATCAATTTTAATGTGTCGCGCATTTAGGAAAACCAAACTGGCGTTGAGAATAAACACTTCAAAAAGGAACAGTAAGGACAGCGTACTGGATGGACATATAACGTCAGCTCACACTAAATAACAGGATGATAGAGGCATTGACGGACCCGAAGACCTGGCTTTTTGCACTCTTTTCCGCTTTGGACAATATCCCCAACTCTCTGACGAATCAGCGCACGATAATAGTATCCTCTTTTGGATTCAGTAATCTGCAAACCACGCTCCTTAGTTGCGTGGATGGCATTGTTGAAATTGTGACCATCTGGACCGGAGTGACTATTGCCTCACGTATTCCGAATAGCCGCGCATATGTTGGCGCGATATACATGATTCCCAACATACTGGGTGTCTTTTTGGTCAATTTCCTGCCTTGGAACGACAAAATAGGGCTCCTTTTCTCAGTTTGGGTGACAGGTACGGTTGTTTCTAAAGCTCGCTATCTTTGCGCGACTTACAATAAACAGGTGTTGGAACCACCGGATTTGGTGCGTGGCTACTGTCCTCGAGGTATAGTTACTCGTGGGCTCATATCATAGTTCCTATTAGTCTTATCGCTATCCTGGGTTTCTGCCGTAGTTTCCGGACATACCAAAAAGGTTACGGTAAACGCAATAATGCTCTCAGCATACTGCATTGGAAATTCTGCTGGACCCTTCATGTGGCAAGCCAAGTATAAGCCTCGGTAAGCAATATCTCTGTTCGCCATCGTTCGTCTTACTAAGTTGGACCAGCAATCACATTCCCTGGATCATCATTGGGATCTGCTACGTATGCTGCATGAGTCTGTTGCTAACGATCCGATTCCTCTTGTCCCGAGAAAATCAGCGGCGGAACACTGAATCCAGAGATGGTGCTTACGATGATGTATACATTGAACGCCTCACGTCGGATGGTAAGAAGGAAATGATCAAAGTGGACAAGGTTCGTCGCGCTTCTTGCCCTGCAACCCTTGCATCGAACCAATGACCTTCCTAGGAATTTCTGGATCTAACAGATGTCCAAAACCGTGATTTCAGATACGTACTTTGAAGCGTTACTTACACACATGCACAAATGGTGAACGAGAAATACAATTGTAGAACTAAAACATTACATCTCCTGCGCAAAATAAAGTCGTATAGTATAATAGAAACACCGCCAGCACTCATCGACCTGATAACCCGTTATAGCAACCGTTATAGCAACCGTTATAGCCTGGTTGTAACCTCGGCAGTTGGCTCTCCGAGGGCATAAAGACCGTCGAGTTCTGCTTTGTACTTGCTATAAGCATCCTTCCGTCGAATTTTGAGGGTCGGGGTCAGTGTACCGTTATCCACAGTGAAGGGCTCCATGCTGAGGTGGATACGTTTAATGGTCTCGAAACTAAAGCCACATACTATTAGTGCCAGACAACCACAGCTAAGTAGACTCTTACCCCTTCAAACCATTTTTCTTCGCCTCCTGAGTCAGTATGGAGAGCACCTTATGGTTGATCTTGCTGTCCCTGCACGCCTGCAACAACACAGGAGTGTTGTCCGGAGTCACATCGTTGCCCGTCACGTCCGAAACAATAGCCGCAAGTTGAATGGGGTCTGGGACGACAACGGCCAGCAAGTATGCTTGCATCGAGTCTCCATGAATATAGATCTGGGCAACTACCGGGCAGGCACCGTATGTATTCTCAATCTTCTCGAGAGCGACATACTCCCCCTGGGACAGCTTCATGATGTTCTGATAATTACAAGGTGATTAGCGCTTTGAGGAAGGTGAGATAGCAAGCAATATACCTTGACACGATCTATAATCTTGACACGCCCACTATCGTCGATAGCGGCGACATCACCAGTGTGGAGCCAACCTTCCGCATCGACTGTTTCTTTCGTGTTCTTCTCATCTAAATCATAATGTGAGGAATTTGCGTGATACATTTGATAATTAAACCCACCCTTGTAGTAAACAGTGAAACAGTTGTCGCCTCTTACACAAAGTTCCCCGCGAGGGAACGGTTTGTCTTCGGAAGTGTAGTTCATGGCTGGAACATCAATTAGCTTGATCTCGTTCGCAGGTTGAGGCGGGCCGACGGTTCCACCCGCGGTAGGATCGTCTGGGATCGCCCTCGTCGTCGTCGCGCATGTTTCGGTCATGCCATATCTACGAACATGTCAGTTGACTTGAGGATGTCATAAGATTATTACTCCCACCCTTCAAGAATGTTGCAACACATGGCGATCTTCAAGAAGTCTAAGACATCCTTATTAATGGGCGCTGAACCGCAGATCATAGTCTCCATTTGACCACCCAAAACAGCCTTGACCTGTCACGATGCAAAGATCAGCAAAAGTTGACCGATAAGGTGGGATGCCGACCTTCCGGAAGACGAGTCGATCCCACAATGCATGGGTAACAGTACCAGTCTCGCGTAGCCAATATAATTTGGTCTGAACGGCATATCTGAACAAGGCACCCTTCAATCCGGGAATATCACCAGCCGCCATGGCACCTTGATATATACGATTAAAAACACGAGGGACCGCAGGGATCATGACTGGCTTGAGAACTTGCGCATCCTCCATCAGGCGCAAGGGATCACCACTAAAGTAGCCGATGCTCGCTCCCATTCCGATACAGACGAACTCAGTGACTCGCTGAACCAAATTTAAGCCAAGAACAAGACAGAGGTTTACTGCTTTACCTCGTAGATATGTGCCAAAGGTAGGAAAGACAGCAAACTTCCGTCCTCTGGAAGAATGAGACCGTAAAGATGAGACTGTGTAGCCGATGCCATATTCCGATGAGTTAATAATACACCTGCAAAATGTGTTCAGTAGATTGCGACGTGTGTTTCAAAAATATTGCTAACCCTTGGGGTTACTGGTAGTTCCCTGTACCGAACATATATCAGAAAGATAAACCGATGAGCGAGGAAAACAAGACACACGGATGTGTAACAGATGGAAGTCAATTGTTCAGGTGTTGCCGGGATGGGTTCAATCAAGTTAGCTCGTCCCAACTCTTCGACTATCAAAAACAGGATTACGAAGAGATGAGGATGCCAATAAAATGCAGACAAACTTTCGCTGAGTTTCTTGAGTTGGACACCGACAGTTTGGCTCCACTGAAGCATGATATTCCACGCCTGGGCCGGTAATGGATCAATAGACACGATCATTTTTACGATCGGTATTGAGGGTGCCAACTTTAATAAGGCGGGAATGTGGTCGGCGGTAGTAAAAACGACAGTAAGGTGAGAGTGATTGATACTGTTTTCTAGTCAGAAATCGATGTTCAGCGGGATGTATGCTGGAAAGCTTACATGTACTCTGTGGGACATTGTCAGCAAGGGCAAATGTGTGTCAAGAACATACACGTACCGACCGCGTCCTTGCCCAGGGTATCATACAGAGAAACACCAACTTTATTGTAACTTTGGAGGGCGATATCGATGGTTTGCCATTCTGACGGGCTACATGGTGAGACACCAGTGTGAGAACGAACAGCAAGAAGACACACCGGGTCGGTTCTGCGACCAGATACCAACGGTTTCGAACTCTCCTCCTCCAAGCTGACCAGATGAAAAGAGCTTGACCAAAGCACTGCCTATCCAGCGCCGACGCAGGTCGACCTCGCCGTACGTCTGCCATACGTAATAGTTAGCAAACTTGAGCGGCGACGTCGAAATAAGCGGCCGATGGCCAAGCATCTTCCTGTCGCGTCCACCCTTGAGACCAGTTTTGAAGATTTCATCGACGGTGTGGAAGGTTCCGGGAGTATCCTTGTCGATGTAGCCAAAAATCGCTGTCAAATACAGTGTTCACATCACAAAAACGCGTCAAAAGGCAAGATTACCATTGTGGTAGATGCCTGTCTCGGTAGTAGATAAGGATATATGCTGGCAAAAAAGCTGCTAGAAGCACTCACCGGTCTGGCCTGGCTTCTTCGTCCCGGGAACCTCTGCAGCCTGTCGGTGGAAAGGAACCTCAGCAGGCCAGGGATGAACGTGGTCGGTGACAAGCATGGTCGGTTTCTGCGTCAGGGTCATGCTGGGCTCGGGTTGTATTTATCTTTTGGGGAGATGGGAGAGACCGAGGTTGAGTGACAGCAAGTCGACCGCTGCCCTCTGACGCTGCTCTGGCGCGACAGGAAATTCACGTGTAACTGCTTATTTGTCGATCTCCGGCAAACAATGATCCCGTTGCCGCCGCATAATTTTCCTGCCAGTGGACCATTCATTCGTTAGTCCTGTCCTGCACAGTTGCCAAATAAATAAATTTATGGTATGGGTCACAGGCCGGGTACTCGATAGAAAACAGAAACAGAGTTTCGTTCCGTTCACGGGATTGACAATCCGTGCGCGCACTTGACAATATGCAATTTCGGAGGCCTGCAGTGCCCTGATCTCCTCATGATCGATTATGAAATATTTCTCTCTCCCCCCCACTCCCCCTCCACCACCACACCGAAGTGATCCCACAAGAGCTATTGGCTGTAATCGGCCTTGTCCTTGTTGAAATTCGAAGTAAGCAGCAAATATGCTCAGCGGAGCTATTTTACAGATCCAACGTGATCAATATAGGTTTATGTCCGTTCTGACATCCGCGAAACCGCAGGCAAACGGGCATTGGAGCACTTTTCATTTTCCCAGCGAACCCGGGTTTGATGCCAGTCGAGCACGGCGGCAAGCAAAAATAAGTATCCATATCTTCTCATGCTACGGGGTGGTGATGAAATTGGTGATGACGGCTTGCTGAAACTGTTCGAAGTCGTCGTTGTCGACTGCTTAATACCACCGTAGGGAACTGGGTCTAAATCCACACCATCGAATTCGAGAACCGCGAAGCTGATAGAGTCGCCTTCTCACGCAGCTCATTCGCCTCGAAAACACGGGGACCTTAAGCTTGTGCCATTGTCCAATTTGATTGGCTCCCCACTTACAAAGCACACGTATTGTTAGAAAGATGCAACGCAAAGGTCCTGCGGGACAGCCGATATAGTCGGCGGGGTAGTGTCACACGGGTAAAGAAAGCCTCTGATGCAGTAAAAGAAGGTCGTTCTCCTGGATTGCGGGATGCTGTGAATGAGAAGGCCACTGGTGGGAGTAACGAGCTCAAGGAATCTTTCGAGTCCTCGCGAGTCACACGATCATAATGAAATGATTCCTCGGGGGATTCACTGGCCGATTGAGTTGGTGGTGCAATTCAATGCAACTGTACCCTATTTCTTGGCCGTCTCCATCTCCATTCAAGACGAGATGACGGTAATCACCTAACAAGGTGACGAAACGGTGCGCACATTGGTGGACCTTGTTGAGATACGGAATGGCTGACATGGATCCAATGGAGGGTGTCATTTCCTGAATATCCGGGGCATCGTTAACAATACAAGAAGGTGATAAAAAGCAAAACTATTCAAAAGCCCAGGAAAAATAGATGACAGTTACAATGATGAAGGGGATACCGGTCATTCATATATGACGCGCTAGTCGATAAGGAAAGCTTGGTTTTAATAATCACTTCTGATAGGCTGGATTGTAGCCATCGGTGAAGCCGGGATTATATCCCGGGTTAAAGGCGATGGCGGGTTCCGCTTGGCTACGGGGTGTCATATCAGCGTCATGCAACGGCGCTAGACGTTGAAGCGTAACTCACCCTGGTCCGTGTGGCGACCGCCACTGGCATATAGTACACAACCATATATGCTTGGACGAAAGAGGGACTAGTGGAATGAAGAAGAATTCGAACCAAGTCTTCTGCCTTGCAGCGATAACAGAAGCTGTGCATCATATGAGAAAAGTGCACAAGAAACGAGGGGTCCTAAAAACACACCATTGTTGCAACGAGGGCAGATATGAGCAACTTGCTCTGGACTATCAGGCTTAACACTGGTCTGACAGCCCACTGAAACCACGGAAAAAAAAAAGAATCAGAATGGATGTTCTGTGCAGACCTATATAATGGAATTCGTCTGACCTAATATTGGAATGCAAACTGCGGATAGACATAGTCAGGAAACAGGTTGATGGAGACAAAAAAAAAGTGGGGTACTCACAGAACATGAGAAGCTACAATGTCGTGGTGAGAGAGAAAGATGAGAGCGCAGTCGAGACACTGCAAGAGGCATTGTTTGGAGTCGGAGCATGATCCTCGGCTACACCGCTTTCTGGGTCAGGCGATCATCCGGCTTTCTCCGGCTTTTTGGTGACGTTTTAACCGGACGCAGCATTGCTCTTAGGACGCCGAGTGCCCAAGTCTTGGGTTTACTTTTGTTGTAATATATTATTATTACAGCCGTTGGAGAACGTTCTCCATACCAACGTTATGGCATGCAACTTTTACTCGTCCTACCTACATTGGCTCCTATGCCTTCATAAAGCTCCGGAACTGAAGAAGACATCTGGCGGCGGCGAGAAGAGTCCAGTTGGTGCCCAGAACCGCACTCTGTTGCTAGGCCAGGTACCTCCCTGAGCTCTCTCTCTGGCAGTGGTAAGTATCGACGTCGACATCGAAGCTCCTAGGAATCTGTCCATTTCGATACTTTATTAATTACGAGTCGAACCTGGGACCTGGACTCCAGAGCAGGCCGGCTCATTCATTCTTCTCTGTGATAACCGTCTAACAGAGATACAGATCCCAGCGTCTGTGACATTATGAACGGTTGTGTTTTTCGTTAGGCCTCGATTCTCCATCTCCATCTTGATCCCCGGCGCCATCAAGCGACCCTAGGCCTGTTCAACATTACCCTTCGTTTTTTCAAGAGCGGCCAACGTCCCTGTAAGCAGGTTCTGGAAATTCTTCTTTTACAAGGATCGACCTCCGTGTCGTCATGACAGAGTACGCGGCGGCCCAACACCTATACTTCTGAGATTGCATCTGTATCTGCCTGCTTCCTCTGCAGACCGGTGCCATTGACATTTTGGCCAGGAAAACGTCGACTGCCCGGCCACCAGCAAGTGCCTTGTACTCTTAGGCGGTCAAGGTTTGTGCCTGGATACTTTCTATGAAATCGAAGGTGATTACTCGACAGTCTAGCTTTCAATCGGTGCCTAAGAATATACATGTTCACACACGCACTATTATTGTTGTCAGAGGCGTCTGCACTGTCCTCAATTTGCGCCGCCCAACGCAGGCAGCTCAAATGTCCATCCAGATTGCAGGCGGCGCATCTGACATGAGGTCTTGCATCATATCCGCCCAGCCTTCGCTCGGCGATTTTAATCTGCCTCAGTCATCCCTGTTTACGATAATCGATTTTATATCCCGAGTCGGAGCGCGTCGCCAACTCGTGTTTCTGACATCCAGACACGAGTCTGTTTGCAGTTTCCCAAGTCTTTCATGTCTCCTAGTGATTATGTGCCACTGGATGTTACTTCTATTCCAGGCTTGAATTATTCACATGTCGTCGCTCTCCTATGGTTAATTTCGCGCATTAACTGCACTTGGGGAAACCCCCCCCCCCTTCCTTCGAACACAAGTTGTTCTCACGACGCAGCGCAGTAACTATCTACTTCAGTTCTTCTGACAACGCGGTCAATTCCATTACTGGGTCATCTGTTCATGCCTGCCTTCGACCAATAACATCCCTCCTTTGCCGATGGCTGCCTTGTGGACCAACTGTCTTCCGCACTAGGAGAAGTTTGGAATCCTCACTAACCCTAGAAATCCCACACAGCTGGCCCAATCGCCATTCAGCGTCAGAGATCACAGTATGTAAGCCTTGGCAGACAACCTATTCTCCAGGAAAAATAGCGCGGTACCATCAAGCCCGTTCTCGACGCCACTTGGTTATTTCCCCAGTTTATCAGTTCCATCTATGCTGATCTATGTACGATCATCGTCAGGTCGTGTTACATTCCTCTTCCGTCCTTCTTTTATCCCAAGCATGGGCCACTAATTCCATTTTCATCAGAGACGGGGACATCATTCCGCCATGTCTGCAGAAGACAAATCACGTAGGGTATGATTGGCACGTCGTGGTCTCTGAATTGCATTTACCCATGCCATGGGAAGGGAAGGGATAGTTTAATGTCGCGGCAGAAACTGGTTGAGACCCACAATCGGATGGTCGCAAGCCTGGCTGCCGACACACAAGTCTTAGCAAATTTACCAGTTCTCATTCACACGACGTGCTTCCGTTTAGGGCACCTTTACAAAATCGTGGCCGCCGACCATAGCCGTACTAATCACCCGGTCGTTCCCTCCACATATTAAAAACACCCGATTTATAACGGATAACATCACTTGTCACCATTCTGGATATCCCGAGCCATAGTTGCGGGGGGCGGTTTCCCTAAACTAACTTTAACAACTGTTTTCCCGATCCTCTTCAGAGAACGCAGACATTGTATTACGCCACTTCCGTTGAAACATCAATGCAACGAAACCTGGCAGGCGTGTGCGTGCGTGATGTGCCGTAACGCACACGTTGGGCTCGCGCGCCACTGCCCTAATTTCTCCACTACGCGACTTGACATAACGGAGTAAATAGCGGGGTCACAGTGCCTCCATATACTACATCCCCCCCCCCTCCGCTGTCTTTATGCAAGTCACTTAGCAAAGCCTTAGCAACCCGCTGCTTTCTTTGTTCACGCACGTCCTCCAAATCATTTACCCTCGACATCATTTGCCTTTCAAAGAAGCTCCTTGCAAGCGCACCTCTCCAAACTTTAAATAAAAAAGCTCATCTCTTAGTCCCTGAATCAACACAACTTTGGATTCGATAGTAGACTGCAACATTACTTATTATGATAACTAGTATGTACTTACTTACACCTAAGAAATACACTGCAACAAGGACCACCGGAAAAGCAAAGGCCTAAAAAGTATAACAGATGGGCTCGAGGTATCGGATGCAAAAAAAAAAAGCAGAATAAGATATTTTAGGCCGGATGTGCGAGGTATATGTCTAGGAATAGCTTGACAGCGACACAGAAAGAAAGCATCAACGATGAAACACAGCAGGAAACAAATTAAAGAACACCTATAAGCGACAACCCAAACAGAGTAAAGATTTTGCGACCGGCCGGAAAAGTCTGTCCCTCACGAAAACAGAATGAAAATCAATGATAGTACCCGTTCCCGTCCTCGCCGAAATCAATGCCATCTGATACGGGATGTCCGAGAGGCGCATTCCCTGTCTGCGCGAAATCCATGAAGTTGCCCGCCCCGCCGCCTCTGGTCTGATGAGGGGAGTGATGGTACCCGACCATAACCCCACTCACGTCCGTCCCCGTCCCAGGAGCACTGAACCCGAAAGGCTCAAGATCCGTCGAAACATTATGGTATAGCATACCCTCACTCTTGATTCCCGCACTCGGGACGGACACCAAGCTCGAGAAGGCGGGGGACCGGATACCATTTCCCGTAGTACTCGTCCCTGACGTCGAGGTACCCGTCCCAGGTGGCGTGTACGAGGGCCATGAATTGGCGCCTGCGGACCCATCGGTACTGTAACCAGTCGTCGGCGCTGAGTCCACCGAAACATGGTGTGATGCGGAAATATTGCTGAGGTTGAGCGGTGGTAGGTGGTGAATCGAGGCGGGAACTTTGCCGCCGTACATGTCCACATATGAAGAATTTGGTTGCGCTGCTGCGGCTTCCTCACTGTAGCGCAAATCGATTTCCCGCAGTGCGCTGCTCGGAGCTTCCGCTGCATGCGGCGTGTGAGGATGAGAGAACGATTGAATCGTTCTCTTCCGCATCTTGCCATCCTCCCAAACCATTCGCAGCGTTTCTCGCCGTTCCTCGCTCTTGGAAAAGGCCCATCGCATTATCGAAAGGGCGGTAAGACATATTCGCACACCTTCCTCGGGATCATAAACCGGAAGATAACCTGAACGAACCACAAGAGGCGGAATCGATCCGTCAATTCGCGCGTCTGATTCCTGCTTCATGGATCCGAACTGCTGGCGGTCGTCGGGATCGCCGAGGGTATTGCTTTCTGAACTAGCAGACAAGAAACCGGCGAAGAAACAGCCGTCACGGACCAGCCCTGCATCCCACTTGAACATACCCGATGTGTCGACAACATCGCATGATAGATGATGCTTAATGATGCCTAGGACATACGGGAGAATGCGAACACACTTCCGGGTGGCCATCGCGTGAAGTTGATGAAGGGTATAATATGGTGGCGGACTTTGACCATGCGGAGAGCCTTTTGAAGAGGGGTGCGAGGATGCAGCAAACATGGGCTGCGGTGAAGACGCCGATGTTGAAGAAGCTGACCGAGAAACGTATTGCTTAAGGGCTTCCCTAATGATGTTATCTGCAAAAAAAAAAAAAAGGCGATGCAGTTAGCTCAAAAATTTTTCGAGCGAATGATAAAATAGGCACGAACAACATTCAAAAATAAATATCTACGAAGACAACGAATGATTAATACCTGAGAGATATCAAGAAGACATTTATCATACCTGCCACGCGCTAGCAAATCGCTCAACCTGTGCGTCGGTTTCGTTTTCCATCCCGTTGTGTCTTTTGAGATCCTCAAATTCCACCCAACATCGCTCCAGTCCCTCCCAGACCTCTCTCATACCTTCACCATCAACACCGGCGCCTTCTTCCGCTTTCCTCGACGCCTTGGCACCAGTTAACACTGCATGAACTTTGCGGCAGATCGAGCTAAGGTGAAGGGGTATGGAGAAGAGGTGTGTGACTTGAAGGTACGGATGTGAAGAAGCAATGAAGGAAGACGAAGATGGTGATGATATACCAGATGCGCTGTTGAGGCCAAAATTATAAGGCGGTAGAGTACTTTGAAATGTATCGAGATCGTCTTCCGTTCTAAGTATTTGAAAAATAAGATGCCGAGTTGAAAATTTAGTGCGCGCCAGAAGACTCACAGTATTAATCGGCCGCCCCGCATGCCAGTGGTTATTCCTTCTTGCAGATGAGCATACCAGAAAATCCGTGCTCGTACAATGGCGTCATCAGAAGTATGAGAAATAGTCGAAGTGGAGGGCGACGAGGACAAAGCGCATAGCGAATGTGCCTGTAACAGTGTCGCCTCATGCATTGTCAGCCGGTCCAGAGGGTTAGCATCTAACAAGTCCGATGTCAGGCAAAATCAATAACGTTTGACATTGGTCCGGACTCACCCTCCAAGAGGGGCAAAATAAGTAAAAGTACTCGTATTCCGTCCCAGGACGGCTTACGCATAATGCTGTGGTAGTCGACGAGTTCTAAAACCTCGCGCAACATAGCCTCGGTGGTTTCCTTCCTCCCGACGCGCGACTTTGAAGGATCCCCGCTCCGTCCTTTCGACGGCCGGGAGCTGACACTTGCGCTGCGTGTGTTCCGTTGCATGGAGTAGTCACCATGGCCCATGGAAACGCCGCCGAGCTCGTAATCATTGTCTTCGTTCTCGATAGGAACCCCCTGTTCGTCTACGCCAAAAGACGCAGCCCAAACGACAAGGAGGAGGGCAATAACGCTGCCCTCGTGTCCAAGGAGATGTGTGCCCTTTGAATGCGCGAGGAATCGTCCTGAGAACTCAACGGGGTCGAGGACAGGCCCTGCAAGAGATTGGTTATTAGGCGCGACAGACCGGATGAGTGGCGGAACTTACGTTGTACACTGAACCACCGCCAAAAGGGAGAGGAAAAGAACTCGGGCTTGAGTTGGGGAATGATGCTTGGTAGATGAGTAGCGGGGGAGGCGAAGTGAGAGGAGCCATTCTGAGAGTCGGTAGCTTTCCCGTAGATAGCCCTACACAGTTCATGATGAGATGATACAACGGCACGAAGCTGGACGACTCACTCGACCTGTTGCAGACGGCGACCGCGTCGGAGGAGCTTAACGGCCTTGACGTCGGCGAACTCGTCTCTGTGGAACGTCAACGGAAAAACTTGCATGAAATTCCGGGAGAGTCCTTACACGCATTTTAACCCCCGCTCCTTGCAGTTGGAACAGGCAGGATTTGGGCCTGCCGTTGCTATCGGAAGATCTTTAAGGTCACAGCGGACTCTGTGGCCAGTCAGTACCGGTAGGATGAACGGGGGGAGGTCGGACGCACCTCCGCATTCGACATGCCCCACACGCCGAAAACTGTTGGCGCGACGACTTGGGCTGGCCAGAGGGACGACGGAGATAGGGAGCAGAGGCACCACGAGAGGAAGTGGGAGACGACGTCGATGGTGTCCTGGGAGACATGGGTAACAGCGACGACGGGGGGAAAACAGAGGAGAGGTAGAGGTCGGAAAAGAAGAATATAAGGGAAGAGGCGATACGAATGGAACGGATCTGGATGGATATATTGAGATCTCATGTCGATTACGAGGAAAATAATGATCGTTTATAATCGGAAAAGTAATAAAAATAATTGCAAAAGTGGAGGAGGTGTTCTTGGCCAAGTTTGGCGTCGAGGGCATGATTCCGAGAAGCGTGACGCGTTACAGATCCCTGCCGATCCTGGTTGCCTCGATGGATTGTTCCCAGCGCATACTGCAGGCACTCGTGCGGCGAGACTGCATGGTTGTACAAGGCCGCCTGCCCTGGGTGTTCATGAAAAATGCACAAACTGCATCCCAATTGTATTAGTGCGATTCAGTAATTGACAACGGATGCAGTCCCAGCAATCAAATCTTGCAAGCAGTTGACCGGATTTTTGACGTTAAGCCGACCTCCATTTTTGGACGAATGCATGGTTTTGTCCCCGTTTGCGGTCGCCCTTTTTTTCGTGGTTGCCAGTGGCACCGACCGGCGATATGGATCTATGCGAGATGTCCTGTTTTGGCAGTCACCGTCCAGCGGAGTGGATTTCTTTTCCCATCAAGCGGAGTTTGTATCTTGAACCCAATCTGTCCTCCCACACAACTTTGCAGGTTCTCTATCACAAACAAACCACAATTCACGCTTCTCGACATCAGAATGGACACGCACCAGAATAGCGACAATGAGAAATCATCAACTCCAAGTCCCCGTCTGTGCCAGGTGCTTCTAGTTCCCACGTACTTAGTGCCCTTTAGTTGCCAGCTGCACTAGATTCTTCCATCCATCCATCCATCCTCGACACTTCAAATGCGACCGCGAACGGAGCGGACGAGGATGGAAAATGCTCATAGATCAGCGTTTACTCTATCGTACGTACGTACTCTGCCAGTCCGACTGACGTTCCCCCGTATTCCAGCCCTTTCCATGTGGTCTGCACTACAGTGAGTCTTCCGTCCAGTCAATTCATATCCCTTTCACTTTTTTTTTCGCTCTGTCTGTACTGCGGCGATGGCCTTGTAAATAAATGTATGTGCATTTCTCCGGACGTTTTACCGTACATCCATCACCCAGTGTCATTCAATCAATCACGCTTCTCCGACGCTTGACAGCGCGCTCCGTATATGTACCAGTACGATTTACTCAATACTTCACTACATCATGTATCTGTGCATGTACCATACGCCTACAATCCATGTCAACGTGTAATCATCGTAAAACCCTAAGATAGCCCGGCCCTCTTTAGTGCCCGCCGCAGCTCCCCACTCGTCCGCTGATATGGGTTCAATTTTCGATCCCTCGCCATTTTCTCCGCGTCTTTGCCGTGTTTTTCAACGAGCTTCAGAAGATATTCCAACTCGCCTTTGGCCGTATGGCGAGGTCCCGATCCTGTAAGCGCAATCGATAGCGTAGTCTGCGTCTTGTTTGTCGGAATACCGGATAAGCGTTCGAGCTCTGGAAGAAAGCCCGACTCGGTCAGTACTCGATACGCCGAAAAAGTACGTGAAAGAAATCGGGAACAAGAAACAAGCTTCGTCAACGATCCTCCGCTCCGCGTCGGCAATTAAATCACGATGCGCGAAGAAAAGCTAAGGACAGAATAGAGAATACCCGCCTCCGCCTGAACCGTGCGAAGTCCCCCCTCTTCTGTATATAGAGAAATGAGGGACGAAAGCGGCATCGAGACGCCCGTCCAAGCCTTTCAAAAAAGTTTAAAGACAAAAGAGGTAGTAATGAAAAGAGGCCGGAAGGCGTTCTCAAGAGCAAAGAAATAAAATGGAGAATAAAAAGCAAAGTGCCCGTGGATAGTTCGCAGAGTAAAAGGATGTAGAATCAAAAGAAGAACCGCGCGCGAATCACTATAGCATAGCAAAGCGACGCGTCTTGAGATACAGAAACCATGACGTCGGCGAATGTCGCACAGAGTAACACCAGGAGCATCAAGGACGTATGCGCACCCATTAACCTGAATTAAAGCGGAAAAGGCCCAGTTGTACGCAAAAGAGGGAGGACAAAGAAGATCCGCACACCCAATAAGCCCGGATGCCGATTAAAGAATAATGCAAGAAGAAAAATCTACCCCTCCATACGGTGAATCAGACGTGTCCACACTACGAACGGATGGAAGGGTGCAGCAAACCGGCTAGAATCCGGGACGTCCACTTGGTACACAAAGTTGGACTCGACAAAAAAGACAAAAATTAGAAGAAAAGTTAACAAGGTGACACCTATCATCGTCACTGTTTTGACCTCCGGAATGATGCACGTAAGCCGAAACGAAGGAATTAATAACGGGACACCAAGTCCGTGCCGCCACGGACAAGACTGTGGTCGAAGATGTGTGTCAAAAAGGAAAGTCCGTGGCAGAGTGATATGGGGCACAAAGAAGACAATTTAACAAAGAGAAGATGGAGGGTGAAGCGAGGACAGAATAAAATGGGAAATGAAGGCCATCATCATCAGAGTAGCTCTCACCTTTAACAACGTCGCCATCTTTTCCTTTAGGTCTTCGTGTCTCTGAACCACCTAAATCCGCGACCCATTTTTGGAGGACTTTGTGATCCACATCGGGCTCTAATGTTTCCATATCAATGTCTCTCCCAGGGCTATTAGTGACATCGCCCTCCTGATCTTGCTCTGAGAATTCGACGCGCAGTACATTCCCCGCATCGCCTCGAATGATTCTACCATACCCTTGCGGCAGTTTCATTGATTCACGAGCTTGTGCTACCTCTGAATCAGGCGCAACCTGCGCCGGGGGAAGATCGTCAATGGTCTCCTCCAAGGGCTCAGCGCCACCTGATGCAGATGGATTTAGGTCGTGGATAAGCCCGAGGGCAGCGTAGCTGAAACAGAAGAATCAGCACTCATACCATAAAGAGTGCGAAGCAGGATTGTCAAAAGGTAATGTCGTCGAAACGACAGCGTAGGCTTCACGCAGAGTTCGACATTATTGAATCCAAACGTAGATGCGGGTCCGTGCATCAGTACCAGCATCCATATGAACTTGAAAATGAGAATCAAATCGGGGATACTAGTTTGGACAGCTGAAAGTGACCGTGCTGACAGAATATACGAGGCCGCAATACGAAAGAGACAGCAAGTATGCTGTAAGTGCCCATCTACGCACTTTTGTCTGACAGTTTTCTTGCTATCCCATGCGTCTTGTAAGATTTTGGGTCCGCGGATGGCTATTTTAATATGAGCGACAAGTTTATCCAAGAGTCCATTGACAACTCAACGCGGCGTTTTCTTCAAATTCCGTTTTGCATGTTTAGACTGAGAGATTGGTCTGTGCGAGCCCGACCGAGCCTTTCTGCGCTGCCGAGGGTTTGCCATTCGGTTTTTACAGCAACAAAGTGTTCAATTTTCTAGCTGGCGTCGATGTACAGAAGCAGAGAACTGAGACCCAGCACGATTCCTTCGTGGTCCTGTATGAGCCCCAAAAATAGAACGATAAAATAAATGGCATCACATGATCCCTCCGGCAACATCCGGAAAGGTTCCCGCTGTCGTCCGCACCGTCGAGGAACGCTCTCCTCTCTTCTTCATATACCATGTCTAGAATTCAGTACGCTCCTAGATCTCCCTTACAGCTCGCCGGTTCAGTACGATCCTCTTTTGGTGTCGCCCTTTGCTTTTGACTCATGACTCTGCTTTTTCTTCCAGTTCACGAAGCCCTGGATTGGGACGTTAGGAATATGGGGTGCTGGGGCAGGGACAGCTGTACTACTGGTACGCAATATACCTATACACGTCGACCGCTCATCTGGCGCCGCCCATTCAGTTCCTTTCTGTAACGCCTCTTGTCCGACGTGAACTGCTCGTCAAAGTTCCTTTGGTATATCACGATTTCTCGAATCATATCAGAAGTTCTGACCGACTCTTCTCTGTAGCTGGGCAGCTACTATGAAGACAAGGTACCTGCTTCGGATAAACCCTTTTAAACCGACAACTCCCATGTCCAATGCTGTGATTCGATCGGCCACAGACTTGAATTTGTTTCCGTATCGGCCAAGTTTTAACCAGATGGGCATGTAATACGGCATAGAATACCAACCGTTTTCGAGAGGTCCTGCATATGTTCAAATTGATATCAGCTACCTATCATTAGGACCCGTGGTCTTGCCGTATAGAAATTAGGCGTCCAAAGGGTTACCACTTGAGGCAAGGCTGAGGAGGGTCGTGTCGTTCTAATCCTCAAATACGTCTTCGTGCTACTGTGCGATCAAGGGTACGTATGCTCACGATCACGCTGAAGAACATTCCTGTCGTCCCTTGTCAACCCAAGGGCCCCTCACTTTTGATAAGTGTTGACGTTGTGCGTTGTGATACATTAAATCTAAAGACAAAAGGTACAGGGTTATAGCTTACTCATTTTGCCCTCTTTCTGCAGTCTCTCCCCTTCACCTGTAAGATCAATGCCTAATTTGACCTCTAGCTCTCGCACTGCGTCCAATGTGCCTCCGATGGGAACGTCTGCAAAATTATTTACGATGAGCTAAGTTGCTATGACGCCGAGATGGAGCCCGACGGGCCTCCACAAGTATGTTATAGGCACTCACGAATCGTCTCCATTCCCAGTTTCTTAGCTGCCTTAAGGTTCCTGTGTCATGAAGAAATGAGAATTAGCGCCGAGATAACAGCCGGAAAGGACGGTGGATACATCCACGCACATTCCAATATCGTCGAGGAATATAGCCTCTCGGGGATCCAGATCGTTTCGTTCGCACGCGAGAAGATAAAAGTCAGGTTCGGGTTTCCTACGTACGCGAGCGCGTAAATACGATCGCAAAGGAACCTGATAAGAAAAGAGCTGACCTCATGCCCATAACGCTACTATCGCAGAAATCATCAAACAAAGATTGGAGTCGCTTTGGTGTAGCACCTCCTTCGTCCCAGCCTAGGAATTTGAGTTCCGACGGAGGAATCTGACTGTCCGCGCCGGACCTCGCGTAGTTATTGGTCAGAGCAATGATTTTGTGTCTTCCGACAGCTGTCATAAGGGTCGGTTTTCCGATCATCGAACGTAAATCAGATAATTTGAGAGCTCTCACCACGAATGCGGCGGATCGCCTCTATAATATGGGGATCGTATTCCGCGGACAATCTCATCATCGCGCCGAAAAGCTGAAACTCCGTGATTCAGTATAGAAACTCGACTTCAAAATGCAGTACGGTCAACTGACCTCTCGTCCGTCAACGTTCAGCTGTTTCGGCAACGGCGGGCAGGCTGAAGAACTGGTTGGTTTGGCAAATTAATATGACGGTAAGCGGTACCAATATTACGACGTCGACAGTAGTCCTCGTACCACTTATTTCCGTTCTCCGTGTCTGATAAGTCACGGCTAAATGCCTCATAGAATGGCATCAAGGATAACTCTCCTCTCTCAAATTTCTGCCAGGCGCCTTGATGGCCTCTCTCGACGCTGATCATCAGATAGATATATCAGTGTCCGGTGGGGGCGCATTAAGCTTAGCCGATGATGAAGACGTACATGGAGCAGTTGAGGTAATTATCAGGGATTCCATGTTCACGTTCATAAGCGGAGATGGCGATAAAGGGACTACAGACGATCTGTGCCAAAAAAAAAAATCAAAATGCGCCGCTAAAAAATTTGCAGCTTGTGAGAGCCAAGGCCAGAGTCGGAGACAAGTTTGCTCGCAGAATAACGATGTCACAGAGAGCAATTTTCCGCCGTTGAGAAAGGATTACGGTGACGTACGTCAAAAATAACAGCTTTGATATGAGGCGATGTCATGGTGCTGAACGTCTGGAGGAGATACGTCAGACTGGGGACGCGTTACGTGTACCCTCGAGTTGTACAGACCGACGGCCGTCAGAGATGAGTAAAAGCTATACCGACGTGGTCGAGTCGAAGCTAAACGGCCCGGTTATGTGAAATTGCCGAGCTCCGGTACATGATGGCCGCCTCCCGCCAAACGCGGGATGATCCGCAATATGTGCCGGTCTTGGCTCCGCGCCTGACCGGGAGGGAGTGGCGCACCGCAGGATCGGCGTTGTCCGACGCATCGCTGGGCCCTGTTCTATATTTTGATTCCTTCGGTCAAGCCCTGACTTGTGTGTATGTTTACATTTCAGACTCTCCAGGTGTCACCCATCAGCAACCAAAGACGCCACATTTCCCATCAAATCGATTCACACCCAAAAAAGATCGACGACATAACTGCAGTTCTCATAGCATCGTGAACCTGATGGAAGACGGTATTTTTCGTACGCGTGTGATGGCCTCGTGTACGCCGCGTGTTCTAGTTTGAACCCACCACCAGCCTTCGTTTGTAGGGACGTCATTGAATGTTGCCCCAGAAACACAGGAACGAACATGAATGCTGGGAACTTGAGGTAAGTAGGGGTTAGCCAAAATTATTCTATATCCATCGGGGGTTGTGCCGAATTTGACACTAATTTTCTTCGCCAGCTCGATCATCTGAAAAGTAAATCTTGATGACTTTCTCGTCAAGTCGAGGATGGACGTTATAGTACCCATGACATTCATAACGGCATAACCGCCAGCTGCCGTGCGTTTTCCCTACGTTCCTTGCTCCATGTCATAGATTATTGTCATTGGCCTCTAAAGTAGAGTTTGCTGTTTTCGGTTTGCCGGTTCTAAATCAAACTTAGTCCCAGTTCTCCGCCTGATCCTTCCAAACTTTATTACCAGGCGCCAAGAACCTTCTCATGTTGTGGCGGCTTCCTTTCTTCCTCATGTTGCTTTTCGCTGCTGCGCTCATGACGTGAATTAAGGAGTCAGGAAGCGATCTTTTCTGGGACAATTGACGACACCCTGGTCTCGGAAACAACAGGAACCAGTAAATGTAACGTGCGGTCAAGGAACCCGTTCTATTCAGGAATTCTCTCCCCCGCGGCAGGTGAAATCAACTAGAGGGTGTACAAATACCTGATGATATTGGTCAATACAAGTATTACAGATGGATTTTACAATATATGTCACAGAAGACAAGTTTCTCAAGTTCGTGAACGGATAGATAGGCAGCAACCTTTGATTTCCTTTTCAAGGCGCACTCAGGACAATCTAATTTTGATGGAATCCATGAGATACTTCCGAGATGCTGAATAAGAAAACCTACACTCATGAACTGGTCGTAATTCATCTGCACCCAGCCATCGCGATCAGTGTCGACGCTAAGGGAAAGACAGACCCAAGTCAGCGGATCGTAAAAAAAACAGGAATTACCCGACGGCGTACCGCTGGAACGCTTCGGTGAGACTCTTCACCACGACGCACGCTCGCACGAATCTATCGAAGGATATTCCAGGAGGAGGGCCATACGCCGTGGAAGGCTCCGAAGCTAAAAACATTCGGTCAGTAGGGGAAGGGAAGGAAAGGAAAACTATCGACCGCGGACCATATTTGCGCTCAACAAGCGATAGAAGATGGGGCGAAAGACTATACCCGAAGTTGCGCAAAGCCTCCGCCAATTCACGGCCCTCTATCGATCCTGAACGATCTCTGTCAAAATGCCGGAAAACATTCTGCCAATCAGAGATGTATTTCCAGAGTCCGGCGAATTCTGATCCAAAGACATGTGAACATTTGGATAAGGAAGTAGCAGCATAAGGCCTACCGTTGTATGAGATCGTCCCGCTTCGATCCACGTCCTTGAACGTTTCAGACGGGGTAAAGGAACAAATGAGAGAGCTCACGAAAATTCCCATCAACATCTTTACTGTATCGAGATCAAATCCTTACAGCCATCAAATTAAACATTCTGGTGAACCGAATTTCGTGTAGGCGATACTCACTCGTCCAATTTCCTGTGTGAATTAGATGTAGCTGATCTATTATTGATAAAGAAAGAAGAGTTGAATAACACCCACCATTAACCAGGGCAGCTTGCAATTCTGTCACGGTGATGGCACCAGAGTGATCTGTATCCACTGCATTGAAATATTGCCATAGTTGAGAGTCAGCGCCCGGGGGCGGAGGCGGGCCTGCTTGATATCCAAAGCCAGGCTGAGGGGACTGCTGTGGGCGTCCATGGCGAGATCCATGGTTGTGATAGGGACTCCCTGATGATGGGGTATGTTGCGAATAGGCAGGCTGACTGTAGTTTGCGTACATGGTGAAGGGATGAGCAGAGGCGCTCCACAGTCATCAGCCGCTGAAAAGGCACCGCCTGCCATATCCCACATGACGCCATATCATCATTCCGTGGCTGTGCCCTTCAGCGCTCGTTAAGGTCCGACGCGTGCCGGTACTTACAAAGTACTTCCGTACTGGCCTAATATGCTGTCCATGCTGTTACAAGGCCGTGCTCTCTTATGTTCCTTGCTTCAAGTAGTACAATATCAAACGGTCGAGAAATATAGAATTAATTCCCGTACACTTTCACGTTCAAGACGTGTTGGTGTTTAACGGACATTGAGCGGAAATAACGATCGGAATCCAACAAACTATACAAACGAAGGACGGCAACTACCTTGTCCTTCACGCGCAAATGTGCGAGTCCCGCATACCTCAGAGTCGGATCTCTTGGGATATATCTGGTGAGCAAAGCACAGGATAAAAGTACTGCAGAAATGAGGTGAACTACTAAGCGCCAACCGTTGGGAGTAGGAAAGCCATAGATAAGTTCATTTAATGGAGTTCGAAGCTATGACATGGTAGAATTACACGGGCAGATTCCCAAGAGTATTATCAAGTGACTCCAAGCCAAGTCACCCGACCAATGATGTTTATCGACATGCGGTATACTCTGATTTCTGCATTTCGTCGCACGACACCAAAGGTCCGGAAGATAAGGCGGGGCGGGGCGAGCCTGAGTCGTAGACTTATCAAGATCGTCGTCGAAATCAGAGGCGTCATCTCCTCGAGTTAATTGAACTTTGTTCTTGACCACGATCAAGTATTTTGCAGATGAGTCCGATAAAGGTAACTCAACGACGCCTAAATAATTGACCGAATAACCTGTAAAAGACTTCCAATAGATGAATCCGACGATCAGAAGGTGCCTTGTGAGAGTGAGCCATAAAACGAGGGCAGAGCGATTTACTAAAGTTAGTGCAGCCACGCTCCTCCGCAGCTGCTAATTGGTGAACGTGAAATCTTTTGGCTGAAATGAAAAGATCAGCCCGAAGACAAAACCGCTACTTTGGGTCTACGGTTGTGTGGTGAATGCCCGCGCCACATGGTAGATGTTACAAAACGCTCGTCCTCCGCCAACACGGAGCCGAACGAGCCTTGAGAGACGGAAGAGAAGAGAAGGAAAATAAAGGGGTTGGTAACTCCACTACGGATCACAAGGGGCGGTTGTCCTGTGTCTGCCCTTGTGGGTGGTTGTGGGTCCTATCCTCTTTCCCTGGCCATTCTTTATACAATTCTTGCAGTGTACTGTGTTCTAGGCATACAAGACTTCGAATGCCACAATCTGGGCCCATCCGCCTTGGATGATTTGCTTTTTTCAATGCCTGGCCACTGCTCGCGGGCACTAGGACTTCAGTACGACTATCAATTGGTGATAATTGAGGTTCGCAGCTTCCTTCGACTGATCAAGCCCTTGAAAAAATGTCAAATAATTAAGCCAGCATTTACGCTGCACAGTAAATGCCCCGAACAGATTTTTTCCACTGAGCCTCAGATCGAGCATGGATGCCATCTTTGCAGCGGTATGTTCTAGACAGACCCGGGTATCGTCTATCATGCACAGTTTCGGTAGAGAATAATGGATGCCAGTCTGTCGAAGACAAGAGTAGGTAACGGTGACATCGAAATCTGGCGTTCACTGGGTCAAAGAATTTGTGCAAAAGAGTTCTTTCAAATTTGGACCATCCTGCACTACTTATCGCTGCTAGTGACCAAATTGACAGCCAGATAGCGCCAGCAGTAAATATTGAAGATAAAAAGCTCACTGACTTCGTCCTTGTGCTCCTTGCTCAGAAAGCCGCTACGCGCCCGCCGCCCAGAAAGATAAGGTTAGACGTAGACGTAGTTCTAGATGGCAGCGGCGCCTGATGGAAGGAGTCAAGTTAAAATACATGAGGAACACATCCCAGGATTTTCATGCCATTCGGCAGATTTGCAGCTCCTACTGAGAGCAGCGTTATTGGCGGGTCGAAGGAGGACAAGGGGTGATTGAGGTCCACGGCCATCGGCGGTCTCCGAGGTCTCTCCGGGGGACACGCGTATCACAGCCTTGTTGCGCCTTGTTGCAGCCACCCCTTTGAATACTCTCTGCTCATTGCCTGTCGCTTATCCAGTCAATTTATCTCTTACTTCCATCATGCACACAAGCGAATACGACTACCTCTTCAAGCTCCTCCTCATTGGTGACTCTGGTGTCGGCAAGGTTCGTTCGCTACCATCACACCATCTTTGACCAAATGGCTGACTTCTCCCTTCCTTCGTGCTTCAGTCTTGTCTTCTCTTGCGTTTTGCGGACGACACATATACGGAAAGCTACATCAGCACTATCGGGGTTGACTTTAAGATTCGAACAATTGAACTCGAGGGGAAGACGGTGAAGCTGCAAATCGTCAGTCACTTTTCCTTTATGTCTTAATATGTGTCTATTCCGCCTGCCGGTGTACATTTTCTACCTTCAAAGGAGAGTACATGCGCCTCTGCGGAACTTGCAGCTGTCTACAGGCCTTGCTGCGCTGTTTCCACGTTGTCTCCCAAGACCGCTCTTCCTCGGCTATCATTGAATGTGCTGTACTGACTCAACGGCGACCTTGCAGTGGGACACCGCTGGTACGTTTCTAGGGCATTCAAGGTACCCATACGTTCCTTCTAACGTCGTATGTAGGACAGGAACGTTTCCGGACTATCACATCCTCATACTATCGTGGCGCGCATGGCATCATTGTTGTTTATGACGTTACTGATAATGGTGTGTATTTTGGTATTGCTGCTTCACTATTTGCTGACCTCCTTTCCAGACACGTTCTCAAATGTCAAGCAATGGCTTCAAGAGATTGACCGTTATGCATCAGAGGGCGTCAACAAACTCCTGGTTGGCAACAAGTCGGACTTGACCAGCAAGAAGGTGGTGGAATATTCTGTGGCCAAGGTATGCACACGGTCCGCCTGGCTTGTGGTTGTACTCTTATCTATGATACTTCACCAGGAATTTGCCGACACTATTTCCATCCCCTTCTTGGAGACATCAGCCAAGAATGCTACCAATGTCGAGCAAGCATTCTTGACTATGGCAAAACAGATCAAGGACAGGTCGGGCCAGCTTTACATGTTACGATTCAGTCACTGACTGCTACAATTTTCTCAGGATGGGGTCAACTTCCACACCGGCGGGCGGATCCAAGTCGACGGGTGTTCCCATTGGACAGAATGTGCAACAGCAACAATCCGGAAGCTGCTGCTGAGCGGTGAATGCCCGAATAGAGTTGGGGAATCGTATATTGTCACTGCACTACTGCTTTAATGCTCCCCCTTCAAGTTACCCCTCTGCCTGTTTTTACAGTATCTGGAATGGTTCTGCGTTTTCCTGTCTTTTCCCCCCCATACATATATTGTTTTTCACCTATATACTTCCTTCTTGATGGACTCGTCTTTATGTTAATCGGCAGCAGAGCTGCACTGGCCAGCCGGACTGTAGCGTACGACTGCGCCAGAGTGAATGAGACACTGACTGATGGCATTTCGAAGTTCTGGGCAAACAAACTGCTACAAGGCATCTTCGCTTGAACTTTGAACGTGTTCATCGTTCCACTGTCGTTGGGTTCCCAGCCGTGGGTCGCTGAATTCTTCCCAAGTTCATTGCGTCTGTTGCAACGCTTGCCAGCCAGAAATTAGTTGCATCCTTCTTTTTACTTCGTTGCACACCCTGCTTTGAGAACAATTGTGGGCCCACAGCGGACAATGTCCCATCATTATCATGGCCGCGATCGACCCCAGGATGGCTCAGGCAGACCGTCGCAACACCAGTATGGACATGGTAGACCACACGGCGGGCCATTTCGAGGACATCCACCAGACCGTCATCATGGAGGTGGGCTACCCGATGCAGCACCTGAAAGCTCGGGCAAAGCCCAGGCTGTCCAAGTTTACGCGAACTTATTCAAGATAATAAGGCTAGTAGAGCCTTTCCAGTTCAGCATTAGTAACGCTGTCTAATTTCCAACTTGAAGATTGCCTACTAGTAACTATTACCACTATCAAGGTAGAGTGCCTTTCAAGCCAAACTTACGCGCCTTTTGTACTAAAGGTTTTCGACAGTTTGTACGTCTTGAAACATGCGGATTTTGGTCTGCTACTAAACAGACTTCCCTCAGCCTTTTCTCCCGAGGTCAAAATATTTCGTAAGAGGCAGGAGCTCATCCACAAACTCCAGAATGTCGTTGCAGCGGACGTGTTCTGTGACCGTGCGTTGTATGATGGAAAGTATTCCATGTATTTGAGGCGTGTCATCCATGCGAATGTCTCCGTGGGTTGACTATTTGTCTTCAAGCGGTTCGACGCTCTGACACAAGGTGTTCTTCAGTTCGTTGTTGATTTAAGGGAAGGCCGATCTGCCCAAAGAAGGGCTGAAGGACAACGCGATGTCCACCGAATCACACTGACTCGAACGAGCGGGGAGCCTATCCAGCCCAGGTACGCCGCATCTCATCGCTTCGTTTACTTGTAGTTTATAATTGTTAGCAACCTTGTCCGAGGAAATTACATGCAGAGCCAGCTTGACCCCAGTCTTGTGGCCACGTCCACGAATATTCTACAGCTCCTCATTCGACAAGAGACTGACCAGTAAGTTCTTCTCCTGCATTTTTGTGACTGATGTAATATACTGTTTCTAGAAAATACACCCACAACGCCCATTCCTTTTTCTCTCCGGCATCTTCAAAGACAATTAATGGCGGCCTCGAGCTTTGGAGAGGTTTTTATCAGTACGCCCATCCAGCTGGCCATGTCCGCACTTATAATAAAACCACTTGCTCTGCTCATAGATCTGTAAGGCCAACATTACGAGGCATGGTGATCAATGTCGATACGTCGATGACGGCCATGTAAGTGGAATCCGGCACAGGGCATCAGACCAGTGAATCTCCTTGTCTAGGTATGCCTCCGGGCAACTTATAGGCGTTGCCCTGAAGTTTCTAGGACAGTCAGATGTTCGGTCCTTGGCTTTACACCCAGGTGATACGAAGTATCATGCTTTGGAGAGATTTTTTAAGGGAGTGCGGATCACTGTCACGAGCCCTGCGACAGGACGGCCCTATACTAAGACGATACGAGGACTTCAGGAAGAGGCAGGCCGGTTTGAGTTCAGGAAAGATGGTAGAAGCACAACTGTAGAGGTAAGTTCTACTGCAGATGAGTTCGTACGAAGCAATCACAAAACATAACAGGCGTATTTTGACGCTCTAAATCGGAGGATCAGATACCCTCACATTATAGGACTGCGACTTTCAAGCCAGGATGCGGAAAACGCTATCATCGTACCTGCCGAACTGTGTGAGATCGTATCCGGACAGATGTTTAAAAAGCGGTTGCCCAGCGATCTGACAAGTGACGCTGTCTCTTTTGGAACTATTCCGCCGGATCGAAGGTTGCTAAGTATCCGTGGTCTCGGAAGATCCAATGAGCTACAGTCTCCTGTATGAGTTTTTCGTTGACGTATGCCATGCTCGCTTATACACAACGTACCGTTGACAGATCGTCGGTTACAACCGCTCGGCCCATATAGTTGAGGCGGGAATGACTGTATCGACGGAACCTCTGACAATTGCTGGCACTATACTTCGACCTCCCAGACTGCAAACGGATGGGGGGAATACAGAGCATGTGAGAACGCCCCTTGAAGAAACAATTGGTTGTATGGTTTGCTTATCTCAGCACCATTAGATTGTTCAGAACGGCGCATGGAATTACAACAAGGTAGGTTTCGTGAAGCCCGCCAACCTGGAATCATGGTTGTTTGTCAATTTGGACCACATGCATATCAGTGATGATATGCGAGATACGAAGGCTCGGGACCTTGGATTACGATGTGCGAGTCTCGGTGAGAAGTTTCTCCTTTTCAAACCTTATCCATCTGATATTATTTTAGGAATGAGTGAGTCGTCCGTGTTCCGTGTTTGTCGCCCGGTTGTTTTGACACCTGGCAGAGATCAGCCGCCCTTTCTGCTTGACATTAAATCCCCGGAATATCACAAATGTAAGAGCGACAAGTTTCCACACAGAAAAACTTCCTCTTAGACCAAATCCACAGGAACTGGATAACCAGATGACCGCATATGTCAAGTACCAGCGAGACCGGGGTGTTCAGAAACCTAAAGTCGATCTTATTTTAGTTATATTGCCTCCAAAATCAGACGAGGTCCGCTATGCAGTGAAACATTGGGGCGACATCACTCGTGGTAAATCTTTTGCCTATCTTCTACGAAAAAAAAAAAAAAAAACACTGGACCGCGGTTGCAGGTATTCTTACCCAATGCGTGCGATCGGATAAGGTTCTTACAGCCGGGGACCAGTATTGGGCTAATGTCGCGTTAAAGTAAGTACAACCTCGGTTTATGTATCGTTTATACACAAGATTCTACAGGATGAATGCTCGCCTTGGCGGATATAATTCAGGAATCCTTTCAGAAATACTTAAGAACATGAAAGCGTCGCCATCACCCGGTCCATTCATGATCATGGGTAAGTAGGTTCAACAGAAATGGCAAACTCGCCTTTGACATTTTGGAAATAGGCGCGGATGTAAGTCACCCTGGTCCTGGCGTCCTTCGACCATCTGTGGCCAGCCTAGTCTGGTCCAGAGATGAGTATGCGACCTTGTACGCCGCGGATATCCGCATACAGCCTCCCCGAACGGAAAGGATCGAAGATCTCCAAGACATGGTCAAAAGCGCTGTCGATAAATTTGCGAAGTTCAGCCATGTGGGGCCACCGAAGGCTATTATCTTCTTCAGAGATGGAGTATCCGAGGCGGAGTTTGCCAATATCGGTAACTTGGAAAAAGATATGATCGAGGTCGCACTTAGAGAGCTTTACTATGAACACCGAAACGACCCTCAATGGAAGAACAAAAAAACACGCTTGACATTTCTTTTTGTTGTAAAACGGTAAAGTTATTCTTAAAGTGGTGTTGATGTTGTTAACTTCCATGCCGCAGGCACCACATCAAGTTCTTCCCTATGACTCCGAAAGGGGAACATCCGTTAGTCTTACTAACCTCTGAAGCACACTCTTGGGGTTAAAATTTTTGTTTCCCTCAGAGCAGACAGAACAGGTAACGTTAAAGCGGGGTTTGTAACCTCGGATGAGGAGTTGCGACACCCATCGTTACCGGACTTCTTCTTACAGTCACATGGAGCGATACAAGGAAGTGGGTATCGAGAAAATGACATTTGTTCTCCGCTTACTGTCTATTTACAGCGTCTCGCAGCGGTCACTATGTTGTCCTGAAGGATGAGTATTTCAGTAATAACATTGAAGCGTTAGTCCTGCCTAATATTGGTTGCGTCGTATTGAACTCCGTACATTCTACAGCATTAAACGACTTTCTTTCGATTTATGCCATGTCTACGCACCTGCCTCAAGATCAGTATCAATTCCTGCACCGGTCTATTGTAAGTTAACAGTTGTACATTTGTCGAATGCTTCCGATAATCTTGACTGTTCTTTGTTTTGAGATGCACACGTATGTCTTTTTTGATACCCTTTTTAGTATTTTTCTCATCCGTTACGCAACAGGAAGCCTGCCTGAGAGCCCAATATCACTTCGACCCGATGGATAGTACAGTCCGATATGGAAGTGATAGTGCGACGGATGCGAGCGAAGAGAGCATGTTTGATCTGGACAGGTGGAAACGGGCCTTCTATCCAGTTCATCGAAGACTGGAACTCTCAATGTATTTTTTGTAACGTCTGGGCGAGCGCCGATCTATCGATGAAAGATTTAGTACGCGTTTATTATATCTCCTATTTTATAGCTTTGTTTGGCGAAATGCTAGATATGTATTCGAAACATCTGTGGGCAAAAATGAACGTTCACGTTGACATAGTTCCATGCGACCGTCCTATAGTTGGTATTGCCGTGCCCTTTAAGGGCCTGATAGTGCGCCGCAACTAATGCTGATATGGATAAAAAGATCTCCGTGTTCTTCTGGGTTATCAGACGAATCAAGCTCAGTGTCACAGTATCGTCGACTTCTTTATAGAAGTCTCAAAATCTTCGCGAGCATTCTAGCCCACTATGAATGGTTCCCAAATTGTCAACACCGCGACGCGATGATGTACTCGTGATCGTGGAGATGGTATATATATTGAATTCCCCCCCAAGTCTTCGCAAACAGACTTTCTTCCTCATATTTTTTTACGATGGCGCGTCCCTCACCCCAAGAATTCACCGTCGTAACCAACTGCTTTACCATAGACAGGTTTGTACCAGCTTTCTTGCCATACTATAGGAGCCTCACCATTTTCCATTAGACTACCTCAAAAAGAATATCTTCAGTATGACGGTACGTTTCACAATATTTCGACGTCGTTACAGCAAAGTTACGACTTATCTAGTCCGTATGTGAAGGATTCGTATACCAGCCTCCACTCAAACTAAGACAATGTACTAGGCATAAGCCCTCAAGTCGACCGATTCAAGACGCGACAGGCTATTCTTCGTAAGCTCCAGAATGACATCGCACCGTCCATATTTTGCCCAAAGGCAATATACGACGGAGATGCGATTCTATACGCGTCAAAAGATCTCGAGCTACCTTCTGGAGGCAAAAGTTCTGTAAGTCGCCCTCCAGAAATACTTTTCTTCACAGGCTACCGATAGTGGCTACGACAGTTTCTAGTAAGCCTTTCGAACCAACACCAAAGTACCGTCACAGAAGGCACTCGAGGAGTATATGCGATTACTTTGACCAAAACTATCGGACAGACCATCAAACCTAGGTAGTCATGTTTGCTTCATCGTGTGTCAGAAAATTTAACACATTGTCCAGCGATTTGAGAGCGTTGATGATAGACAGAAAGACAAGCCCGAAGACCGCTACAGCAACAAATCTTCTACAACTCTTGATCGTACAGGAGACGAACCAGTAAGTAGCATCTCGCCCTTGAACGAAGCGTATTTGACATCATTTGAAGGAAGAACCCGCACAATAACCGTGCATTCTTTAGCGATACCAATAAGCGTGTCGTTGGAGATGGTCTGGAATTTTGGCGGGGATTTTTTCAGTCAGTTCCCCCATTTCTCTTCAGGAGGTCCTACACCCTAACTGGGATTCTTCGCAGATCTGTGCGCCCTTCGACTAGCCAGATGCTAATCAACATCGACATTACAATGACCGCCATGTACCAGAGCGGGAATGTCATCGACGTCAGCCTATCACATCTCGGCAGTCGTCAAGTGCGCGACCTAACCTTCAGCACCAAAGACGCCAAGTTTCGTTCCCTGTCAATTTTCCTCAAGGGCCTTGAGATCCGGTGTAGAACCACGGGAAGTCGAACGAGGTTCGTAAGGGAACTTGTCGCAAGGGGAGGTCGGTATGAGTTCGAGAAGGATGGGCACATGACCACTGTCGGCGTAAGTGCTCTTTCATTCTTGCAGTCTTTCAGCTTCAAGCTTCGTGACTGAGCCTCCCATCAGGAATACTTCCGATCTGCGCACTCGACCAGCATTCAGTTCCCTGACGCATTTGGAATCCTGACTTCGGGGAAAAACGCATCGCATCCTGTAGTCTACCCCGCCGAGTTATGCACTATCGTACCAGGTCAATTGTACAAAAAGCGACTCCCGAACCACCTCACGAGAGAGGCAGTCTCTTTTGCTACCATGGCCCCGGATGTGAGGCTCAAAGCGATTATGGGAGATGGCGACAGTGGTCGAGGAATCGTCTCTCCAGTCAGCCCAAGTCCAGAAACTTGAGGACATCGTGCTTAATTGATTGCTTCTGATAGATCCAAGGGTACAGAGATTCCAAGTACATCCAGGAGAGCGGCATGCAAATATCCAGGTCACCACTATTCATCAAGGGAATAATGCTGCCTACGCCTAGGATCACGATGGGTCGAGCCGATATCGTACGTGTAATTTAACCACAAAGGAAAGAGATATCCTGATTCCGTTGTAATGCATGTAGCGACCCAACAACGGTGCCTGGAATCTCCGTGATCAAAAATTTAGCTTCGGCACCAAACTCGGGCTATGGGGCGTGCTCAATTTTATCCCCAGTCTGAACGAGCGGCTTTGCAGGACCTATGTAGATGCGCTACATCAACAGTGTTCATCACTGGGTACCCTGGTTTTCGTCTTCATATGATCGCACACTAAACAGAACCTCCTCTAGGCATGACTATGTCAGCACCAGTTGCCATCAAGTCAGGAAGTGAGAACAATGTATTCAGGGTATGTCGGCTGTTAGTGTGCGGTCGTCGCTTAGCCGTCCATCCCTAGGAAATGAACGACCTGGTAGAGATCATTTATCAAAAAATAGGCCGAAAGGACAATATCCAGATGATCCTTGTAATGTTGCCGGCCCGAGGCGACCCGGTCCATACGCAAGTCAAACAATGGGGTGATGTCCAGACTGGTACGGAAGTTTTTCCAGCCAGGTGTCTGTCGTAGCCAAGGTTCATTCTGTATCAGGTGTTCCCACACAGTGTCTTCGAAGCGAGAAAATCATAAATGCGAACGTTCAATATTGGGCAAACGTTGCGCTGAAGTACGTCTTCTCTTTCTGCACTTGGGCATGGGGCCTGAAGCATCCACGTCCGTAGGATAAACGCACGTCTGGGAGGATACAACCATCGTGTGGGATCGGCTGCATTCGACGAAATATCCAAGAAGCCATTCATGATCATGGGTAAAAGCATCTTCATCACCCAATCTCTCTCTTGACTGACCACTGCAGGTGCCGACGTGTCCCATGCCAGCCCACAAACTTTCCGACCTTCAGTCGCCTCCCTCGTCTGGTCGCGCGACCAGCATGCCTCCCAATACATCGCTTCTACCCGGATCCAGCACCCCCGGACCGAAGGCATCGTCGAGCTCAAGGATATGGTCAAGTCCGCAGTGCTGCAGTTCAGCTCCCGAAATTCCGTGCCCGAGCGCATATTTTTCTTCAGGGATGGGATTTCCGATGAAGAAGTCGATAGCGTCGGGGCGAAAGAGGTGGGTGATATAGAGGAAGCGCTGAAAGAACTGTGGCTCGAGAAGAAATCGAGGCTACCGTTGCCCAAGGTAACGTTCTTAGTTGTGGGGAAACGACATCATGTTGTGTTCTTCCCCAAGGATGGAGGGTAAGTTACTTCGTAACCGTTGTAGGGTCTGGCTGATAAATGTTCGGGAAAGTCTTAGGGATAGGACAGGTAATTGCAAGGCAGGCTTTGTCACAACGGGAGGGCTGGAGAGCCCTCTGTTCAAGGATTTTTATCTGCAGAGTCATGCTGCTATTAAGGGCAGTAAGTACCGCATTCGTCTGATATTCAGTCAAGGAGAATGACATGTAATTTGATAGCTTCAAGGTCGAGCCACTACATTGTGCTTAAGGATGAGAATTTTGGCAAAAACCTTGAGAAGTATAAGATAGTCTTGCCTTCTTCTTTGTCCATTTTCAATCTAGCTCTAGGCTTCACGACCTGTCTTACATGCTCTGCCATGTCTACTCGAAAGCCACGAGGTCTGTTTCCATTCCGGCCCCGGTGTATTGTAAGTGTTCAGCCTGTTTTTGAGTCAATGTTGCACTGAAGCTGGTGTCTGATGTAGATGCACACGTGAGATTTTCCAAGCCTCAGCGACTAATCCTTTGCAAACTGACTCGCGTCTCCAGCTTGTCTGCACGCGCGCAGCGTATCATTTCCCAGGCGAGATGCACTTCTTGAATGACGACACGGAGTCCATGGCAAGTACAGATACTGGGCGTACGAAGAGGAAGGAATTCGATCTAGAGCCATGGCAGAGAGAGTGGAAACCGTTGAACGGAAATATGGCGTGGTCAATGTATTTTTTATAGGGGTATGCGAGAGGAGACGTAGTTATATTTGATGTAGATGGCCAATGAATTCTGAAATAGTGCACTGAAATGAGTGAAACTGCATATGATCATGAATCGGCCTTTCATGAAAAAGATGACGTTCAGTCAATTGTGGATTGCGTTTTCTTCCTGAGCTACATCCACGGCCCTTGGATTCTCCTCTAGCCAAGTTCTCACATCACCTTTAGTCAACATTCTTTCCACTACCTTCTTATCAATCTCGGGATGATACAGCCTCATGATGTATCCGCATACACTCCAGACGTCTTCCCACTCGGCATCAAACAGCTTCCACCAAGCGTCTGGTAGCCGGATGGCGAGAAACCTGCTGGTGAGAAGAATGGCAGCACTGACGATTGTAGGAACTTGGTATAATGCATACACTGGAGACTGTAGACTGAATGAGGCCCCCCAAAAAAATTAAACATTATAGAAAGCGAAAGTGAAAAATGTAACGTACGCATCGTTCAAGTATCCCCAGGCTTTTGCAACAACGTTGGGCCTGTCCTGACCTAGTAGGCGTAGATAACTGACCAAAGATCCGTATGGCAGTACGACATGCGTGTTGAATCCAAGCCGCTTCAGAATCTGCATCTCCGCCACCACCAACGCATCCTTCAACTCGTAAAATGTATTGCCAAAATACGACATGATCCCAATTTCTGTGCCGACCTTGCCTTTTGCTCTCTGCAGCAACACATGATACACATTCACAAGATCGCGTACGCGCAAAGGGCACTCCTCCAATTTGCTGCCCAAGTAGAGAGCCCCGAATGCAATATCGGCGACGCTGAAGCTCTTGAGGCTGGAGACGAACCAGAAGCGATGGAAGAGGATCTGGGCGGTGGCGACGGCTACTTGTTTTTGGTGAAGAAGGATACCTGCGGTATGGATGAGCTTGCAAGCATTGGCAAGGATGGCTGATTCGAGAGATGCAGGGATTCCGTCTGCACGTGAGGGCGTCTGACGGATTTGAGACAGAGACGCGAGTGGGTAAAGGGAGCGTGACATGAGCACAGGCAGATGTGGCTATGCCCTTCTGCCCACCAACCGGCAGTCTCCGCCGCCGGTAATCTAGTCACACTGAGATGCCCCAGGTACTTATCTTCCGCATTTCACGCGTGAATTTTACCCGGTACATAATGCGGATGCGGATACGCTTGCACATTTTCAGTGCGTGTTTTAACTATACATGTCCGAGTAACCACGAACGCCTAAAATTAATTGGAGCATAATTTTCATTTACGAAAAGGACAACACGCTGGCGCTAGCCCGAAAGTGTGAAAAAGCGTGATGATGATGATAGCCGGCCGGGTAAAGCCGCAATTGATGCAAATTTCATTTTATACGGACAAAAAGTGTGAAGGGAGAAGATCAGGTAAAATTTCTTACGCACACAACTGTTCTTGTTAGTACTTCGGTAAGAATCAAAGATAGGCTGGATTGATCGAACGCAGAGCAGAGTTCTGTACTTTGGTCGATACGCGTAACAGAACCGTTCATGTCCAAGCTCGTAACCTAGCAATAAAGCACAGAAGCTCTCGAGCCGCAGACGTGCAGTGGCGCAGAATGAACCCTGCTTATCCCAAATTCGAGCATAGCCACCGGTCCCTGATCGATCCTCCCAGTCCCAGACGCGCCACACTCGACTCGATTAATCTGCAGATTCCCCCCAATCGTCCTAGTACACGACTGGCAAGGGGCTCTGCATGCAACCAGACTTTCCATCGTGGAAGAAAATTTTCGCGGATATGGAAGCGTTGTTTTGATTGAGGAATCCATAACGTTTCTCAGGTGCGCCTCAGCTAGCAATTCACATTTAATTACTTGCTGTTTCCGGGGTGGGGGGGGGCCTGACACATTGCATAATGAACGACCTCCGTTGGCATAGAACCGTACCCTGACCGTGGAGAATACGCCACATGAAGGGAGATCCCCGGATTTTATTTCATTGATCATGATGGAAACACATCGCTTGTCCTCGAACGACAATCCTCTGTACCATACTTACGCATTACGACAAGCTCTGCCGGTACCCTGGAACTTTGGTAACTTCTTTAGGCGATGATCGCAGGGTTGCGCAGGATCAGGATTTAATGAGGCCAGGAATTCGAGAACAACTCCGGCGTTCAGCGTAGTTTTGATTTGGAAACCGTGACAGCCTTACATAGTGCTTTTCCCGGCGCCCTCGTACAATAGAGGGTGGCAATGAAAAACTGTCATCCCATCACGCCACTTGTCATGAACGCAGCAGCACCACATCCCATTTCCGCGCCGGGATAGCACGAAAATGTTCATTATTATATACATGATACACGCCTATCTCAGATTGATATCACGTTGTTCCCTCGAACCTGATCGTGGATATCGTTAGTTCCCGGAGGTTGCCGACGCTTTAAGAGGAAAACACTGAGAATACCGTGTTCTCATCTTCCGAGGTCCACGCGTCTAAGGGTAGCACTAAACTCTCTTTCCGTATCCCACTGGGGATCCCATGGACTTGTCCGTGATTCTGAACCTAGATTCATTGTGGACTCATTGCAGGCGCGCGCAGTAGCAGCATATTCTTAACCCGACAAGGGGATCGGGCCAGGGGTAATCACTGCCGACTAGACTCGGATCCAGAGGGACTACTCCTGGAAAACATCCAGTCCAACGTCTTCCGTTATCTTTGACTTGGAATCATATCACCCGTCCCCATCTTTACGCGGAATGTTGAGACGCCGACTAGGCCGTAACAGAAGACAGGAGAAGACACACTGCGGAAAGCAAGATTTTGTTCAAAATACCTGAAACAGGACACGGCACCATTTCACACATTGACCGACGTCAAGAACTACCGTACGAGAAGACCGCCGGTGACCTTGAGACCGGCTGAGAAAGGAAGGATCAGACTTTGAGTTGGGCAATTTGATATCTGAATTCAACAGAATAAGAAACCAAAAAGGTTGTCCAGCTATAATAACCCATTCAATCCAAGGAAGGGTGTACAAGTACAGCGCGACGTACGCCGGGATATCAACAGCCATGTGGACCGAAGTAGGCGTGCGTATAGCACAAGTCTCGAGCACGACAAAAATGGCCCAGTGATAGAAGAATCAGTACGTTTACCGATGATAAGTTCTCGATTGATAGTACCGTATTAACTCCCAGGACTATCCACTTGACCGCGAAGATATAAAAAGCCATTGGTGCATCGGTCCGCACATACGACCATATGGAATAACAGAACTTGACTTGACATGGCGGAGATATCTCAAGTCACGAAGTCTCTCGTGCGGCTTAAGTGGGTTCTTAGCTTCATTCTTGGGTGAAAAAGGTATGAATAGACTGATGGTGATTCTAGTGGCAAAAGAATGTTATTGGATACTACTCTCAAACGTGCACATACTCACAAAAAATATAGAGTATCCTCATGCTCTAACTCATGGATGCATCAGTTGGAATCACATCGTCTTCAACGAAATCGATACCCAAGCACCCTATCTTCGCCTTCTTGAGTAACTTCTCCGCAACTTTCCTTCTCGACTCCGCCGCTACCAGCTCCAACTTGGCCATTTCAAGCTCATGTTCAGCTCTTCTCCGTCCACGCGAAAAGGTGACATTCTCAAGGACACGGTTGCCGCGTAGATTATGAAGGTGTTTGATCTACAAGCAAGGATCAGTTTCTCTTGGCTCGATATAAGCGGGGACGAAACGATTACCTGTTGCTCATAATTGGGCTCCGAGTACGGCTTGAAATAAACCGGGATGACAGGTAGTAACTGGTTTGGGGACGAAGGTGCTTGGTTCCATGCCACTGGAGTCGCCGGTGTGCTCCCTCCAGCGAAACCGTCTCGCGTTGATTGCGAATATCCGTAGCCGCGACCGCGAGGCGCACCTGCCCGACCTCGTCCACGACCTCGCCCGCGCGACGAGTCGCGATCAAAGTTGCGCGGTCCTAAAGGAAGTTGCTCGCGTTCGTAACCGCGAGGCTGACGAGGCGGCGAGTCGGCGCGTACTGTTTGCTGGGGAGGAGAGGCTTGGGGTACAGGCGATGACCGGTGAGGCGGAGGGGAATCTGGACGTCGCACAGGTGATACTGCGCGAGGTGCAGGTGACGGTATATGATGAGAAGGTGAACGTGACCGTCGTTGAGGTGAAGCTGGGCGACGCCGAGGTGATGAAACACGATGTTGTGGTGAAGAGTTGCGGCGTTGTGGTGATGGAATGCGACGCTGAGGTGAATGAGCACGCCGCGGAGGTGAAGGATCCCAGCGCTGGGGTGACGGAGCCCGCCGTGGAGAAGGAGGCCAACGCTGAGGTGAGTAACGGCGCTGAGGCGAAGGAGGCCAACGTTGAGGAGAACGACGAGGCGGCGACGACCTCCGACTGGGAGAGTGAAGCCGCCACGAAGGTGAAGGCCGACGCGAAGGTGACACCGGACGACGTGGAGGCGATATAGGCCGAGGATAGGGTGAATAAGGTCTTCGGATTGGAGAAGGCGGTCTGCGTGGTAGACTTGGTGGTGGTGATCGTCGGCGCGGTGGTGAATAACGATGCAGGGGCGGCGGCGGTGATCTGGATCTTCTGTAACGAGAGGAAGGTCCAGAATGTGGTGACCGTCGTGGCGGCAGTGGCGAACGTGAAGACCGTCGATACGGCGGCGGTGAACGTGAAGGTTTTCGTGGAGGGGAAGTCATATGAGGCGGCGGCGACCGTTCCTTCTCCCTCGGAGGGGACTTTTCTCTTTCACCCTCTTCCATCTCTTGTGAATTGTTAGCCTGTAACTCGTTTTCTTGCTTTGTCTCAGCATCGACGTCCATCTTGGCCCCATTTTCTCTTTTGACCGCGTCTTTTTCTGAATTGAGTGTCGGTGCAACATCGGTATCCATGTGAATGTCATATTTGTCATCCATCTGTGGCTCCTTCTCATGTACTGCATCCTTTAAGGGTGTAGGAGACCGTCGAGGCGGTGGTAGATCTCCCAGATGATTTTCAAAGCGACGTGGTGTATCATATCTTGAGTTGTACCGTCGTGGGGATGCACCATATCGGCTGCGAGGTGGTGATTCACGTTCGTACCTTCCACGAGAAGGTCCAGGAGAGTAGCGGGAAGGTCCTGGAGAATAATGACTCTGGGGAGGCGACGAAAAACGCGAACTACGCGGGGGAGAGTCGAAGCGCCGCCTAGGTGGTGAGCGTGACCGTCTCCCGTATCGAGAAGGGGGTGGTCGAGGCGGCGGCGAATCTTGTCGGTATCGTGATGGATAATCTCGTCTGTCCCTCTCGTATTGCCTTTCTTTGTCGTACTCCCTTCTGTCGTCCCGGTCCTTCCAGCCCCCTCTACCTCGTCCACGTCCTCGACCACGAGGTGGCCCGGTGTAATGTGTCCGACCAAATGGAGGAGGCGTCCGACGTCTTGGTGGAGAGCGAGATGACTGTTGTGGACGTGCTGGAAGACTCGACATTCACTTGTCGTGGAAGTAGCAAGGAAAAGTCGTGATATTTGTCTTTATGTACCTACCCCTTCGGGCAAAAATGTCTTTCCTCAATAGGAAGAAGGTAGGAATTACGTACGAGAGCTTGTCACGGTCACGTTCATGCAATACTAGATGTGTAATATTGTACGGTTGAGAAGGGAGTCTGGATGAGGAGCCAAAGTGCAAAAAATCGCGATCAACTTTTGGGTAACAAACAACAAAGCCGCTTTTATTGCAGTTTATTGTACCCCCGATTTTCTTATTTTCTTTACTGCCAACTCTTTGCCTTTTTGGGCTCCACGTGCTGACCAAATTTTCACGATCATCTAAATTTATCCATCTCCTCCACACTATGGGTCGACGAAGAAAGAACAAGACACATTTGAAGGGCGGATCCACCGATTCTGCTTCCTCACAGACAGGCGTGCCAAAATCTTTTGTGATCAAGTATGGCCAAGTGGGAGCATCCATTGCTCAGCTTGTCCGGGATATTCGAAAAGTTATGGAACCTAATACTGCCAGTCGTCTGAGGGTTAGTGGTTGTAATCTGCCGTAGCGCAAAGCTGACTTCATTATGTAGGAGAGAAATAGGAATAAGCTGAAAGATTACTTGACTCTGGCTCCTGCACTTCAAGTCACGCATTTACTCGCATTCACCCTGACCCCCGTCGCACCGTCATTGCGGATAATCCGTCTTTCCTCTGGCCCGACTCTTAGCTTTCGAGTAGAGAGATATAGTCTTATGAAAGACATTTTGAATACGTCCAAGAAGGCTCGAAGTATCGGCATGGAATACCTTAGTCCACCCTTGGTATGCTTCCCCTTTGTAGCATCTTGATTCAAAAATCTCACTTGAGTAGCTTGTTCTAGCATCATTTCCTTCTCCATCTCCAACAACCCCCCCTCATCTGCCTCTGGTCATGAAGGCATTCCAATCCCTCTTCCCCCCCCTCTCACCTAAAACGATAGCACTTTCTTCCGCTCGGCGAGTCGTTCTCGTATCTTACAACGCTGATCGTGGTACTGTCGACTTCAGACACTACATAATAACTGTGAAAGCCTACGGTGTATCGAAACGCGTCCGCCGTATCCTCGAAGGCCCAAACAAGGGCTCAGCATCTCACGGCTTCTTAGACCTTGGGAACGAGAAAGACGTCGCAGATTTCCTCCTCCGTAGACGAGGTGAACCAGGACCTGATGGCTATGAAAGCGCCTCTTCTGCGGAAAGTGTTGCCGGCGATGAAGACGCCGTTGACCTTGCAGACGATTACGTCGGAAAGAATAACAAAAAGGGATCGAGGCGTGCTGTGAGACTCGACGAGGTCGGTCCTCGGCTAGAGTTGAGGTTGGTGAAAATTACAGAAGGTGTTCCTGGAAAGGAGGGTGGTGTGATATTCCATGAATTCGGTGAGTTCGCTTTCAGCATAAAGTTTAACTAGGTCTAACGAATTGTGTAGTGAAAAAATCGAAGAAGGAAGTGGCTAATCTGAAGGCAGCGCACGCAGCGAAAGAAAAGCAGCGAAAGGAGCGAAGGGAGGAGCAAGAAAGGAATGTAGCACGGAAGAAGGCGGCGAAAGCCGGAGGTGCAGAGAAGGGTGACGAGTACGAGGATAATGAAGATAATGTCCTAGACGGAGATGAGGGTGAGGACGAGTCCGGGCACTGGGATGATGAGGAAGAGATCAGTGAGGGCGAAGAAAGCGAACAAGAAGAGGCAGAACAAAGCAGTGAAAATGAAGGCGAACGGCAGCCCCCAAAGAAGAAAGTAAAGTTCCGTAGCAAGCGATGATCTAGGACGGTCTTCTCCTGTTCTTGTTTTCTTACATGGTGTATATATTGTGTTCGAGCAGTCGGAGATAAAAGCTGGATGGCAATTACAATAAGATATATAACGTGTCCTACAAATCTTCATCGTCCGAGATATGGATTTCATCGGTGTTGACTACTGGTGCTGGAACACCTTCCTGTGTCTCTTCATCCACACGAGGCAGGGCTGTCTTTTTTGCAGCAACAAAGGCCGGTCCCTTTGCAGAACCAGCCTGCTTATCAGCCATAGCCATAGCATCCTCCACTGCGTCCTCCAAATCATCGTCCTTCCTTGTCCCTTGCCTCGCCGCCATAGTCTGTGCCGCCAAGTAACTCGCCTCAGTGTTGAATTGTGCCTGCACACTACGCTTAATGCGCAACATCTCCCTGAAAGTGTCTTCAGATCCTGTCTCGATTTCAAAGCTATTCCATTCGGTCCAGAACTGAGGGTCGACGCGGGGGTCGCAGAATTGAGAGGCATGCGCATAGATGGCGCGCGCCCGATCAATTTCGCCGAGCTTGCGTTCCAGAGCGGCGAAACGGAGGCATATCTCGGCTGTTTGTCGATCCGGAAGAACTGATGAAAGGTTAGACGAAGTAATAAGGTATGAGCATCGAAAAACGTACCCTCCAAGGCCCGTTCATATATGGGACGCGTGGCCGGAAGCCCGTAATTGGCGGTGGCTTTGGCGATGTAGATAGTGAACATCTGTGGGGGGTAAAACAGTGAGTACGATGGTGTCGGATTACTTGGACGACCCGCATACCTCAAACTTGTCTTCATCGGCAACGACTTTAGTAGCACGGTCAAAGATAGACATGGCTCTTTTAGCCAGGCCGTGGTCTTCTTCCAGCTGAGCATACATCAGGAAGAGTGGTTTACATGACTTTGGAGGACATTTCTCTAAAGCTTGCTCGAAAAGATCCCGAGCACGTTCGATTTTCGTGCCACCCTGGAGAACCAACATCAGTAACATGAATCAAAGCACAGCGAGGAAACTCACATATCGTTTGATGAATTTCGACAAGTATATATTCCATATCTCAAAAGATATGGGAAAAGTAAACAGCTCAACGCCTCGTTCGTAGACCTATTACACATGGCGGTTGAGCATTGGACATGGACGAGGCATGAGGACTTACTTTAAAGCTCTCCTCAAAGTATTTGTTCTCTTCCAAGAACGCAGCATAATTGACGATGATTTGGGCATTTGCTATTCTGAGCTCCAGGATCTTATCGTAGACCGCTTTTGCGGATTCCACCGAGCCTATAGACTCCTCAAGGTCAACATAAAATGACCAAAGCTTAAGAGACTTGAACAAGCGCGTCTGTGCTGATAATGTCTGCAATTCGTACCGTCAGCACACTTCAAAAATCTATATGATTCCAACATACGTGATCATGGTAATTTATTCTTGTGCTTTTAGGAATAGCCGCTGCACGTTGCATTACCCGAATAGCTTCATCATAATTTCTGTATTCAAGTCAGGTGTGCTTGATCTTTAAATGGAAGATGAAACGCACTCGTGTCGAATCTCCAGCTCTGACCATTCGCACCAGACTTCGGCCAGGTCTTCCACGGCCTTGAAGTTCACTTTAGTCCCCTTCTCGAGAATCTTTCGAGCACTGTCAAGGTCCGGTTCGGCCGTTCCACTTGCGCCGCCCTCCTCGTAATACTTGGCAAAGTTGATATATAACCGATGCAAGTTAGCTGTCGCCTTTCGAGGCACAACAGTCTCCAATGCTTTGGTGTATGTTTCAGCAACCTGATATAGGACTTGAGATTGCACACGATCCGTTGAAACAGGATGTATTTACCTTTTCGTCATCCTCCCCCCATAAAGCCACTCTTTTCTCCCACTCCTGAACGTCATTGGGATTTCGTCGTATCAGTACCTCATTCACAAGGAATGGTCGTCGATCCATTAAATCCTCAAAATCCTTCATCCTAATATCGAGCTCTTTCTCCGTCTCTGCGGCATCTTCTTCGTCTTCCTCATCGGCCAGATTCTGCATCATGGCAGAAATTAAGGACTCGCAGAATTCCGCATAGGCATCGAAGATCTGCGTGAAATCGCGAATAGTCAGCACCGATGAGATGCCTTGTTCAAAGGTATCCTTCGCTCGGTCAAATTCTCCACGCTTAATCCAGTATGTTGCTAAGCCAGTCCACAAGCGACCCGCTTGGTCCTTGTACACGTTAAGACCGTCTTTCTGTATGATCCTCTCGATATTGAGTTTGCGCGGGCTCGTAGGATCCTCGTCTTCGTCATGATCTGGAACGGGTTTGGATTGACCATCAGCCGCACCGGACTCCGACAACTTTGCGCCATCAGCCTGTTCGTTGCTTGCATTGGAGACGTCGGTCTCATCCATGTCCAAGCCTACATCATCCGAAAACTTCTCGACGACGTCCAGCCAATCTCCCAAAAGCTGGTATGGGCTCTTCCCTTCGGGGCTGACGTATTCCCCTCGCGAAGCCTTCCGTGCCAGCGAAAGAAGAAGCTTTGCAGCTTCGAGAGGACGTGGGTCTGATGTCGAAGACGAAAGTAGAAGAGAAGTAAAGCGTTCTGTTACACTCGGGTCAACGGCAATGTAGCGACGATGTACTACAACCATTGTTGATCCCCCTCGTGTCTCCGACCAGAGGAGATATCGAATCCAGATACGGAAATGAAGGGAAGGCGGAAGTGTTCGCAGCGCTCGGTCGAAAGTATGGCGCGCATGAGTATAAGAAATTATTGGGGGACATGAGGGGTGGAAAAATATTGATAAATACAAGAGCCATAGCCGGGGAAGCTACATAGAAGAATTTCAAGATTTGGAAAAACCATGTCAGAACGTACATACCTTTGGCAACCACATAAGAGCGCGTTCAAAGGTTGCAACAAGCGACTTCCACTCTTCCCAGCCCACAGTTCCGTCCAAGCCTTCCTCCCACTCCTCAAGATCTTCTTTTTCCTCCTCCAGCGCGTCCTTCATCTCGGGAAACTTCTTTTTGCCGCCAGCTCTCTTTTTCACAATTTGCTTACCCAGCACGTACGACATCCGCATCGTCAGATACGACTTCCACATCTTGAATGAGCCAGGAAATTGGACCAACGCCGACTCATAGAGGTACGTCAGGCGTTGCAACGATATACGGCGAAGCGGTGTCGACAGAGGCCTAATAAGTGCTGCAAGCTCTTCGGGGAGATCTGAGGGCCGTTCTGTTTTGATTAGAGACGTATATGCATCCCGTGCGGTATGGATTGCTGACCACCAGGCGCGAAAAGACTGGGGATTACGGAGGAGGTCCTCTTCGCGGTGGAGATCCTTTACAGTTACGAGGCCAGGGTGAGTAACTGGACTTGGGATGGGGAATGTCAGCGGAAAGAGAGAGGAAAGGCTCTCCAACGAGTTCCCTTTCTCTGCAACTGAGGGCATCGTAGTCGACGACGAGCAGGAGTTGTGATCTCGAAGTGAAGGAGCAAGGCAAGTCAAAATTCCCACGGTTACCTTACCCTTTACCTTATCAGTCATGGTCTGTACACGTCAAGTTCATCGGTATATTATCTCATTTCCATCGTCTAGCACGGAATAAAACGCGTACGGCAAAGCAAGGAGGCTCTTGAAGCCAGGAAAGCACACGAACAAGCCAAGATCAAGGATTATCTTGCACTCAACGACGACATATTGACTCGGGTAGGGCTTCAAACAGCGTGGCCGAGTAACGGGAGCTGATTTTTTACAGAAGAAGAATAAGGATTGGTCCAAGGATGCTCTGGATCTGACAACTCGAATGCTCCAAATCAATCCAGAATTTTACACAGCGTGGAACTATCGCCGGACTATACTGCTAAATGGAATATTCGCAAGCAGGTGTGAGCATCTGTCATTCCTGTCAACTCCGTGGCTCAGCCGCAGCCAGGACACCTCAAGAAATCAATGAATTTCTTTCAGACGACCTTTCTTTGACGACACTTGCCCTGAAGGCACACCCCAAAGTATACTGGATCTGGAATCATCGTCGATGGTGTCTCGAGCACGTACCCAATGGTCCTGGCACCGACACCGAAGGCGATCCCGAAGGCTGGAAAAAGACCTACTGGGATAAAGAGATGTTCGTTGTAGAACGGATACTGGACGCCGATCCTCGCAATTGCAGGTTCCTTTTATTCCTATACGCCTTTCTCTTTCTGATAGCCCTCCAGTTCACGCATGGAATTACAGGAGATACGTGCTGGCTGGCATGCCCGTTCCCCGACCGGAGACCTCCGAATTGGCGTACACCACCAAAAAGATCGAATCTAATTTTTCCAACTTTAGTGCATGGCATCAACGCTCCAAGATACTAATTTCACTATGGGACAGCGGCCATCTTGATCCTGCGAAATCCAAAGAAGATGGTGGGTCATGAGTCCAAAAAATCGTGTCCCTGGCCTCACTTGCGTAGAGTTTGAGCTTGTACGAAACGCTATGTTCACAGACCCGAATGACCAAAGCGTCTGGTTATACCATCGTTGGCTTATAGGCTCAGGTTTGATATAATTTATAATTTTTTCGTACTTGGGCTAACCACACAATTGTCCCATCGGCAGGTGACAACCAGACACTATTGGAGAACGAGATTGCCGTGATTCAGGAACTGTTGGACGAACAACCTGACAGCAAATGTACGTGAAGCTGCCTTGTTTGACCTAGCGTACTTGGCCAACCCCATTCGTAGGGTGCATGGAGTCCATCGTGCACTATAAACGCCTTCTAATCTCAAAACATGGTGCATCGACGGACACTGTCCGCCTGGTTCGAGATTGTCATTCTCTTTTAGAGCAATTAATTGAACTAGATCCAGCTAGACGTAATAGGTATAAGGAGATTGGTGCGTATCTTTGGGCCGTTTAGGATAACATTATTCATTTTCCTATGTGCTAGGTGTGCACTGCTGATGATTCCATCAATATAATGCCCTCAGTTCTCATGGCAACTTGTGACGCCCTCGCTTAGAGGGTATTCAATCCAGTTCATTCTTGTTACAAGAAAGAAAAAACGATTCATCATTCAACATATTCGTACAACATTTCCTCCCGACATAACGATCAGCGGACGAGGCGCTTAACACTTGCACTCGCCGGGCTTGCAGGCGCAGCTAGAAAATGGCGACATTAATCAAACGGCATGCCACCGTCAAGACAACAAACACTAACGATGCGCCGCAGTTGCAAGAGGTGCTGCCGCAACCATTCTGAGAAACAGGGGTCTCAACAGTCTGTGAACGATATAAGAGTCATTGACTTGGACGAGGAGGAGATGCGTACAGTGAACATTGTGAATCAAGGCTTGTAAGGGCTGGTTGTGGCGATTGTGGTTTGTGGGAGAGTTTGTTGGAGAGCCCCTGCTAGTTTAGATTCCTCCTTATATGCCTTGCCGGCTGTTTACACATATTGTTGACCAGCTGACTCAGCCATCCAGATGTAGCATGGCCTCCAATTGGCTGTCCATAATTTGGTGCAACGTGACTAGGTATGCTATGATGCGAATTTGTCAAGGATAATCGTCAATTGCAAGCGTCGCCCCGGTCGGATCTATCTTAAAAAGTTGTATTCAGCACTGTCATCCAAGTAAGTAGGCTTGTCTATGGTGCCAAAATCGAATCGAACCAGCCTGGTGGTACATGTTGTTAGCTCGTGATGAACGATGTATCCGGACCGCGTACTCGTGTCGACCTTTTCTTCGATTGTCGTTATCTTCTTTATGTTTCTGTCATTCTCAAGTGACGGATATCTAGCTACAGGCGAACGTTAGCTTAACTGAAGCTTAAAATTCTCCAATAGACAATAGATAGCTCTTATCTCCTTCACCCTGTCCTTAGTGTTTCGACTTTTACTACGACCTGTATTTATCCCTTCTCTTATCATATAGCAAATACAGTAGTGGCCGAACGACTTGCTTTTTTTCCTTGATTTTTGACTTTATTGTTCAAGGCCATGCTTCCGGCAAATCCCGAAGAATATCAGCCTCGTGCATCCGGCGTGCTGAGCTAGAAATTTCACCTTTTTCTCTCGCCATCCCGTCGTCCATCGACGACGTTCACGACCTCTGTCGACCATCTTTCTGTACCTCTGACGATAATGGAGGCTCGTAACAACCTTTTTTCTCGCGGCTCGACCCCACCTGTACAGCAGCCTCAGCCACAGTATCACTCCAGTCAGCATCTATCGCACAATATTTCTTCTACCAATATCGATACTTCTCTGTTTCAACACATCAATTCCTCGTCTTCTGACCTTTCGCAATCTCAGCAGTCATTCAGTCAGCAGGAGAGTTACGGCAGTAACGGTTCCAATCCGACGACGCCCATGATGTCCGTGTCCGACGAACCATCGTCCCCGCATGCGAGCAGTAACTCGAACGCTACCCTTGCCGAAAGGCAAAACGCATTATTATCTTTCCTTGCTGGCCCTCCAAGCAACCCAGCACCTCGGAATTCGAATGCTGGGCCTGGTCCGACTATGCCCCAGCAGATTCCTACGCCTCCGGAAGGTTCCCAGCCTAGGTCGGGATCAGGAGGTTCTGCAGCAAGTGCAGAGGCGCAGGGAAAATTGCTATTGGAGCAACTTATGTCTGGGTGAGTATTATATGTCCTTGCCGCCTTTTAGTGTCAGACGCGTTTGCTGGACATTTTGCCGGTGTTGATCTTATCTGTTCTTCTTCAACGTCTGCAAAATTCATTCACTGCTGTGCAGCACGTCCCTGCATAATGTATGTTGTGTCTGCCTTGGTGTCATGATCGGGATCCACACGCGGGAGCTGCGTGGTAGCCAGTGCCATGCATCTGACCTTCTTTTATGCTCGCTCGTCTCTCCGGATTACTAAAGTGCCTTCTATCTTGCTTGTAGAACAGCCCCAAGGCCAAATTATTCTGAATCTCCCCACAGTTCCACCAACCCTGCTATCGCACCATCGCCGCCATATCAGGTACAGGAAGAGTACCGTTCTTACGGCCCACAGTATCAGGATACTATCGATCTTGCCGCAGATATTCCTCGTGCTCCAGTTCCACCCCAACCTCAGCAGCTACCACCGCAGCCAGTAGCAGAGCCACAAAAGACTATGTTCGACTTTGTCTCTCCTTTCGACGTTCTTTCATCGACTTCAGGCCCTACTAAGAAAAAGGTCCAGCAGCTTGCAAATGTTTCAAGTGGTGGTGAAGAATCGAGCTCGTGGACGTCAGTGTCGGACCCGAAGCGACGATCTGTCGAAAACCTCTTGGACCAGATGACCAATATCCAGTCATATCCTCAGACCTCCGCTTACGATTTGTACGATCCATCAAGCAGTGATTACACACCTAGGTCTACGGCGGATACAAGGCTGTCTCAGGCCGATCCTCGAGTTCCACCGCCACCCCTTCCTCCAAAACCCGCTCCAGGCCGTGAGCCCTCTCCCCGCCTCTCACCACCAAAGACGCAAGCACAGCGCGCGCGCATGGGTGAATCACCGGCCAGTCAACAAGGTACCATTCAGAGCAATGGTGGCAGCAAACGAGATAAGGAAAGCTCGCCGGGACCTCGTGGCAGTAGCATCAGGCGTGGCCAGGGTAGAGGAAACAAGAACTACGCGAACGCGAAGTGCGTTCATGTTATTTACCCCACGATTATCGTTTTTGCTTACAATCATCGGCTAGTTCTCAGCCGCAGACTATCATCTTCGATGTCTCTCAGCCTTTGGATGAAATCCAGGCTCCAAGGGATTCCGTTAAATCAACGGCGATTGCATTGGTCAAGCAGGAGACCATATTTCTTCCTGGGACAACCATTGGCGCTACGCACTGGGTGGCCTACGCTATGAGCAGGGGGCGTGTTCGTGTGATCTCTCGCTCCAATGGAGATCGAACTCTACTTCAGCTTCCGCCTACCTTTGGAAACGCAAGCGTCTCCGACATGGCGGTCTTCGGAAATCGCTTGGCCGGTGTCACCTCTGACGGTGGATTTGTCGTTTGGGAGCTTCCTGAAGTGATCACAGACGATGTTCCGTATGTCATCTTATCATTTGAACTAGTCGAGTTCTAAAGAACTACAGGGGAACTCTGTTGCTCTGTGTAGCACCTCTGCCGGAGGCAGAGCCTCTTCAGTCTGTGAAATGGCATCCCAAAGATCCTGACACTCTTGCCGTTGCCTCTGATAGCCAAATTTATCTAATTGATTTAGCCAATGTTTCCGGATTGCATGGTCCTAACTTGACTCACAATGACCTTCGTCACATCGGGAATCTCATGAGTTTGTCTTCTGTACGTTCAGCCTTTCTCTACACAACTGCAATGGCAATATCTGATCGCTAATCCACGCAGTCATTGGTTGCTTTCGACTTTGATATTATGCAATACGCGCTTCTTACCATTTCCACTGACTCTACTCTGACGACGTGGAATATTAAAGACAGAGTTCCTTATGCCAGCCATAAGATCCGCGGCGAAGATATGCCCTCTTCGCTCACATACGCAGACGGTGTTATTGTCGTTGGCAGGAGGAACGGAACTGTATTCCAACTCCTTTCTTCCAGTACGAAAGCGGTGCTTTCCACAATCAAATTCGTAAACAGTGCTGGTGCTCCAGACGAGTTCAACATGTTTGGCCATGTTAGCTACGACGCACGGATTCAGACTCTTTGGATCGCTAACTCGAGACGTGAAAGTATGATCGCTTTCAAGCTGAACATGGACTCGCCTGTGATCATGGGTGATGAGTCTGGCAGGGGTTACGTCGAGCAGGTCGTCGAGTTTTCTGGACCGAAACCGACCATACATTTTGTCATCTTAACAGCAGACGCGGACCCCAACGGGGATGAGGCCTACGCCGCATGCATTGCTGCTAAAGTGCCTCCTGGGGAGTTGGCGCTGGCAGCGTTCTCTGTACATTCAAGTGGTGTTGACCAGATCCTTATTCGTAGAGAATGGTTTGATATGGCACTTGGGTCAACGACAGCGAAGTATCCTCCTATCACTCCGCCACAGCCTCCCCCTGAGAAGGCGAGACAAGCGCCTTCTCAGCCGACGGTGCCTCCCCGCTTGAGGACACCGCCGTCAGAAGAGGTTGAGGTTGATGTGTCGAGGGATGAGGGGCGGACGCATGAGCCGAAGGGGAAAGGTCAGAAGGGGAAGAATGTGACCTGGGGTGGCAAGGACGATAACGGGAAGGGCAAAGAGAAAGAAAGCACGGAGGTATCCGTCGGACAAGCTCTGACTAAGGAGATGAAGAAGTTGGAGGACAGCTTGCATACAAGGATCACGCGCTCGCTCAACAAAGAAATGGACAAGCAGCGTGAGTGGCTTGTTTTGACGGTACTAAAGAATAATCTGACATACAATTTACAGAGCAACGATTTGAAGACGCTCGAGCACACGAGCAGGCAGAGGACTTCGCTCGCCAAGAGAAAATTCTGAAGTTGATTTCCACGGAATTGACAAGGAACACTACCAGGGTCGTCGAGGTCGCCGTCAAAAACGAGGTTCAGAATTCGGTTCTTCCTTCTCTTGAAAGTATCACCAGGAACGAGGTGAAAACTGTTTTGAATGATCAACTCGGAAGGGGCTTGACGGACCTTGTCTCACGCGTGAGCTTCGTTCTTTCTGGCATTCTTGATCAGTGTTAATGCCTCCTTCGTAGCGTCTACCCGCGGAGATGGAAAGCCTGCTACTTCGTCCGGAGTTTTCTAATAAACTCGCACAGATTCTTGCGTCCAATATCAATATCGCTATTGATAGACAGGTGAAAGAGGTCGTTTCTCAGATTCTCATTCCCGAAATACACAATATCAAGAATGAGATCTCTCGGTGGCAGAGTGAAGTCAGTCGAAGCCATGAGGTATGTTTCATCGCGTCGATCTGCTGCGACCAGCCAATAACATCTCCATGATGCAGACGTCGATTAGCCAGTTGGAACGGACTGTGCGACTGTTATCCGAGCAGGTCAAGTTCCAGAGTTCGCACCCTCCGGCTGGTACTCCCCCGACACAGGCTCCAGCGTCACAATCGCTTCCTATGGGCATGCCTATGCAACAACAACAAGCTTTGGGCCAGCCTCAACTTCAAATGCAGGCTCGCATGCCCATGGCACACTCCGGTGGTCCCATGCCTCAGCAGCAAGCGGGATGGTATCCCCATGACCCACAGCCGGCCCAGGCACCTCTTCCGTCATGGTACAGGCAGGGAATTGCGGCACCTCAGCCCTCCCACCCTGCGCAGCCTCCTCCTCCAGTTGAGAAGCCCGTAACTGCGGACGAAATGGCCAAATACGAGAATCATTTCGTGGAACACTTGTCCCCTTCGGCCCCCGTGCCAGATCTCCTCAATCTCTTGTCTCGTACCAACATTGACACGGTCCTCTCTATGCGGCCGGATGTTCCTACGCTGTCTCAGACCTGCATCATTGTTATAATCCACCGAGTAAGCTCGTAGTGTTGTAATTGGGCGGTGTTTTAACTAACCGCGGTTGCTTAGACTACCCCCATCATTGATATGTCTGCACCTTCTGAACCTGCATTCAAACTTGCTATTCAGTGGATGCACCGAGCCTTGCAACTCCTACGTCTAGACGTAAGTGCTTATGATGGTTGCAGCTGCATATACTCAGTGCGCCCTTCCAGGACAACATGATGTTGGACTACGCTCCGAGAGTCATGCCCACGATCTATCGCAGCCTCGGTATAACGGAAAAGCGTCTGAGTCTGCTCCCAGAGATGTCTTCCTCGACGAATGAGGGTATACAACATTTGAGAGAGATTCGGGCAATGATTGAACGAAAGGTTCCTAGTGTAATGAGAACACAGGGTTCTGCTGCTTCGGCTGGCAGTTCTGCGTCCAATGCTGGTCAGGCTTGAGACATGTCGCTCTTTTTCTTACGTTTTCTTGAATTTTATTTGCACTTCGGCTGTATTCACGAATATCATTACGCTTTGAAATTGCTTGTTTCCTAATATAGAAACTGTGTAAACTGACGGGGCACTGCGGTTGTCCCCCTCTTTACTCGTTCCATATCTGTTGAACAGGACGTTCTTATTCTCTAGTTCCCTTCGTCCGTTATGCTCGACCACTGCTCTATCTCGCACAGAGGTTTTTGGTTCTCTCTCATATCTTGTCCCTACTGACTTTGCACAGGCGGGATTGTATTGTGGTCAAAGTCCTTCACGCCGGAAGCGTCTCACCTGGCATCGTCCTCAGCGTCCCCCGTCAATTCCCTCATTCGTGAAGCTCTCATCGAAGGTCGCACCACTGATGAAAAGTACGAAAAAGATGGATATGCGGTCAAGTGGACCTTTGTGAACGACCTGGAGCTGATTTTCGTTGTCGCATACCAGCGCATCCTCCAACTGACATACGTTGATGAACTTCTGGTTGCCCTCAAGACTCTCTTCCTGAAAATGTTCGAACCGTTTTTGGCGACATTTGTAACGTCTCTTCACAAGGTCAATGCTAAGACGACGTCAACGAAAGAGGGTTCAATGACCTGGAATTTTTCAAAAGTATTTGAACGATGGGACCAGGTATTCGACAAGCTGTTGAGGGAACTTGAAGACAAAGTGCGTCACTTTACTTTTGGATGATCATTGACCCGATTATGATATACAGGATCGAAAATCAAGGAGCCGCGCCCCCGTCCGACCTGTCGTCTCAGTAGAACCAAGCCCACCCTCGGATGATCCGAGCACAGGTTAATACAGCCTATATCTTCGTCAAACCGTTATCTGACATTGTCAACCAGTCCCTTCTCAGCCGACAGATAACCCACAAGATGAGCAGCAGATTGCTCGCAATGTTCAGGCTCTGAGGAACCGATTACGGGGCCGTGGGGCCAGGCGTGGCGGGCGAGGTGGGGGCAGAGTTGCGCAATCAAGCTTATCGACCTCCGAGTACATCTTTTTCTAACTTTTGTCCGTGATTCACCTGACGTTCTTGACCTAGTTCTGAGGCTCCTAGCAAGCGACACACCAAAGCGAAGACAGGTCGCAAGTGGGGAGATGAAGAGATCACCGAACAGGACATGAATACCTTTGATTACAGTGTAGACAAGCCTGTCGACGGAGATGTCAGAAAGCCTGATCTGGCGGCGCTCGTCGATAAAACCTCTCTAGGTCATGTCCGAGCAGATGGGATGTATGAGGTCAAGGACTGGGAATTCGACGTCACCGATGATATATTCAAGCCTGCCGAAAACAAGAAAATGAATGCTACATCTGGATCACTGGGTGCTTTGGGTTCATTGTTCGCACGGCTGACGGGTTCGAAGGTGTTGACTGAGGCAGATCTCAAACCTGTCCTCGATGGAATGAAACAGCATCTGATGAAAAAGAATGTTGCCAAGGAAATTGCGGATAAGGTCTGTGAGGGTGTTGGAGAGAGCTTGGTAGGCAAGAGGGTTGGTGGTTTCCAAAGTAAGTCAACGACAATTCTTACCCCGTTGCGCTTACCCAGCGTATCACTAGCAACGAATGCGGCTGTTCGCCTTGCGCTTTCAACGTCTTTAACACGTATCTTAACACCTAAAACATCTACCGACCTCCTTCTTTCTATTCGTAACAAGGTTACCGCTCCCGTCCCATCTAATCACCAGCGCGCACCATACTCGATTACTTTCGTCGGCGTCAATGGTGTCGGTAAAAGCACGAACCTATCCAAAGTTTGTTTTTGGCTGATTCAAAATGGACTGCGGGTCTTGATTGCCGCCTGTGATACCTTCAGGTGTGTATATTTGCTGTGTGCTGCTGTGTCGTAGTCTGATTTATTGATCACAGGAGTGGCGCAGTGGAACAACTAAGGGTACACGTTCGTAACCTCAGCATGCTAGGTGTAGACGGCGCCACGAATAGCAAGGCCAGAGTGGAGCTTTTTGAGCGTGGATATGGTAAGGACGCCGCAGGAATAGCACGGGAAGCTATTACATACGGTGTGGAGAATTCTCCCAACGTGTTTACATGCAGCTGACTGTAACCCAGCTAAGGATAGCGACTTCGATGTTGTTTTGATCGACACTGCAGGTAGAATGCAGGATAATGAGGTATGTTAGTTCGTGATTCATGAAGAACAATGATAGCTGATCATTGTCGCTCATCAGCCTCTCATGCGTGCTCTAGCCAAGGTATAGGCATAATTCCAGCTGTGACGAAAGTGGTGTCTGACCCACCGTCTAGCTTGTTGCGGTCAACAACCCAGACAAAATCATCTTTGTTGGTGAAGCGCTTGTGGGCAACGAGGCAGTGGACCAGCTAACGAAGTTTGATCGAGCTCTGAAAGATTTCTCGTCTGCATCTGGTGGAGCGGGAAAGGGTAGAGGTATTGATGGCATGCTTGTCACCAAGTGGGACACGGTGGATGATAAGGTGATTTATTCACTCTCTGGGCTGTAACCCTGCACTGAAACATGATTTGCAGGTCGGTGCAGCGCTGTCGATGACATACGTTACCGGGCAACCTATTATTTTCGTTGGATGTGGACAGGTCGGTTTTATCTGGACTTTCGCTGAAAATTGCTCATTTATGACAACGCAGACGTATACTGATCTAAAGCAGCTTAGAGTTGGCAACGTCGTACAGGCCATTCTTAGTGATTAATGTAGTAATTATGTCGATACAGATCTCGTAATTTCTCCATCACTGATGCAACTTTGGATTCTTTCGCATCGGAATCATGACCTTGATGAATGGATGAAACGTGAAACTAGGTCCAATAAAAATACACTGAATGCAGGCAGCTAGTATATGGATACAAAGCACGGGAAGACGTGAAGAAATCTATCACGATCTCGTGCGGTACAAACGATCTCAGATGGAGAACCGTCAAAGAGCATGTACCGAAGTATCTATGTGCGTGGCAACCTTTTCCAAAGTGGGAGGCCTATTTTCGCGCAGCGATAAAGAGCGTAGCAAACTTCTGCCGCCTGTGATATGAGCATCACCATTTGCGCTCAGGAGCATATCGAATACAGCACGGGTGCCCGTGGGAGGACCCATAACGGTATTCAAGCGTTGGAAGGGTGAGTTGGGGTGCAGGAATTCGGCGGATGGAGCTGTGTGTTTCATGCGCCAATAGCGTCGGAAGAAAATGAAGAATATAAGTGCTGCAATAGAGAGAATGACGACGCCGCCAATGACGCCGCCAATGACGGCGTCCGTGTTGACGTGGGTCTTCGTCGAATTGATTGTACTTTCTCCCGCCTGTATTGCACTGCCGTTTAAGGAAGACGAAGAAGATGCAGAATGTGAGGGTATATTGCTTGTGAATGGTCCAGACTTGGTCACGCCGCTGCTTATTGCACTCATGGCGGTGGAAGAAGTCGTTTCCTGGCCTGTGGAACTTGAAGTGAGGGCATTTTTGGAGGTTCCTACACTATCACTTGAATTTGTCGAAACTGGCGTAGTTTGTGAACACCCATTACCTTTCGGAAAGTGAGAATTTACGAGAGTGTGTTTAAGACACCTTACCGGAGGTGCAGTCTCCTTGATACGTACTACTTCTGTGGTGACCAGTTTGGTCGTCTCTATTACTACCATACGAGAGGCGATCGACGTTTGTGTTGTTGCTATCGCGCGGCGATCTTAACGAACTCTGGGGACTAACGTATGAGTACCAACGACATGAACATAACGAATGGAGTACCCCAGAATGCATGATATAGCCAGAAGGCCTGTCCCGTGCACTTTCAAATGTGGCTGGGGTCATGAAATATTGAAGGAGAGTGTGAGGTTCTGTAAAAGTTGGTTTTATATACTTGTACTAAAAAAAAGACTCAGCGATGCGAACTGAATGCCTTTGAATCAAAGAAAGAGGAGTAGATTCTACATATTTTACCGTCAACTAGGCAACAGGGCGGTGCGACGGTTGCGCGTCCTCATCAAAAGTTTGAAGTTATGATCGAGATCATGATGCCCATCAGGTACCACTGCACGTGACACATGCAAGCCTTGCGTCGACTCTCCATCATCGCCCAGTCGCCCTTCATGAAGATCGTTCCCGTCCCTGTCCGTCAAGACAACTACAGCTACCTCCTCATTGATGAGCCTTCGAAAACCGCTGCGGCCATCGACCCATACGATGTCCGCAAGGTGGTGTCTGCAGCGGAGACTCTAGGTGCCAGAAGATACCATAGCGCACTACGCTGACAGCTCACATCGACACCAGGCGTGAAGATCGTCGCAGGAATCACGACACATCACCATTTTGATCACAGTGGAGGCAATGAGGTGCGCTGTGCTCACCATCTGTTGAGATTGTATCGCTTATTAATGCGTTCAGACCTTTGTATGTCGTACTGCTATTCACTTCTTCTGATATGTATCGAGCCTATCCCAGGCTGCGACCTTTCCAGATGCTCCAATATATGGTGGTAGTGAGAAGGTTCCCGCTCTGACGAAACTCGTCAAGGACAACGATGAATTCACGCTGAAAGATATTCATGTCAAGTAGGTTTCAATTACTTCAGTATCCTTCCTTTGCCTAACAAAAACCAGATGCCTTGCTACCCCATGCCACACTCAAGACTCTATTTGCTACTATGTAACCGATACGGTTAACAAACTGCACCCTGGAGGTGTTTTCACGGGAGACACGCTTTTCATTGGAGGCTGTGGTCGCTTTTTTGAAGGGACTGCATCCGAGATGATAGCAGCTCTCTCATACCTTGGCAAGCTTCCTGACAGCACGCTGGTTCTCAACGGTCATGAATATACCAGTGGAAATGTCGCCTTTGCCAAGTCCGTTGAGCCTGAGAATCCGGCAATTGACCGGCTTTCCGATCTCGTAAAGCAGAACAAGATAACGACTGGACTGACAACCATAGGAGATGAAAAAGAATGGAATGTATTTATGCGTCTGGGAAGCACTACTATTCAGTAGGTCTTCCCTTACTTCCCACTTGATTATTTCTCAACGGAAGCTTTTAGACACGCAACATCAGAAACTTCTGAGAGTGCAGTTATGGCCAAACTTAGGGAAATGAAGAACAACTTCCGAGGGTGAAGTGTATACTGGGGTCACTACAAAGTAGCCCATCACGACTGTAACATAATGATTCAGCATTTTTGAAATGAGGCAACCTGTATTATCCAAAATGACGAGACAAGCAATCGTGAGAATAGGTAGTTCAGGACACGAGACATTTGAGCAACGAAAAATAATAGGGTCCCGAATGATGGATTGTAACGCTGAATGCCCATTAGCCCAGTCCGACAGCTTTCGTGACTGCGGCGCGAGCATAGGGGATGTACGACAGCGTATACCATGTATAGGCTAGATATTCGATGATAACGAATACTGTAAACACATATTAGCTAGAGTAGAGGCTCTGTGAAAGCAAACCGGACATACTTAGGCAAAGAATCTGACGTGAGCAATTGGTCATCAGCAATCAACATCTACCAAGAATTGGCCGTCCACATACATCGTTATCAAGCACAAATGCAGCGATAAATACCAATACGATGGATCCCAAGAACACGAATGTTGCAACAACACGAACAGGCTTGAACATCTGCGCAAGGGGTCAATGTTGCTGATAAATCGAGTACGAAGAGGAACGTACAAGCTTGAGTTGCTTGAAGAACTACAGGATTCAGAGCGTTAGAATCAAATGTAGAGAAGCAATCCGACACCACGCACCCCAATCAAGAACCCCGTGCCGACGAGAGACACAATCGTTCCCATAACATAGAGCACTGCACAATATATCATGGGAACCAGAATAGGCCCATTAGCGGCAAGACGCACCCGCAAATATACCCAGTTGCCCGATGAACAGCAATATCGACCCCAGTAGACTGAGAACGAAGCCAACCACCAAGCTGAATTATGTCGAGGCTCAGAACGGGCGGCAAGTACAGGCAAAACGGACCCACCATCCTATGAAACCATATAACCTTGTGGTCCTCGAAAGCCCGAGAAACTTGAACGCTGAGTCTCCTTCAAAAAACTGTGTCTCAGGTAGGGTGCTTGTGGCAGTTTCGAGGTTGAGCCATCCTTTAGCCATTGTTGGATTCGAGATTCGATAAGTGCGAGAGACGCTAAAGGGCTCTTGAAAGAAGAAATGACAGGTATCTGTACCGTGCCAGCAGCGGATGTAGAGAGCAAGGCGCTGACCGTACCGTTGCTGATGGAGAATTCACTGGCAGGTCCGGCGCGGCTTGGACACACAAGGCAAAACAACGTGGAAACGAGACAACTGACTCGACGTGACAAAGTTACATTTCTTCAAAAGCTATGTATGTCATGGCAGAGGCATACAGATACAAAAAACACATGAATAACTCATACAAAATACATCTCGTTGAGCATGTTGGCATTGATACCGGTAAAGTGTTGACGATAAAAGTCAAGGTCGTGTTCCTCACCAGGATGAGCGGACTCTGCATCAAGCATGGGGATGTCAAAGTGGAACTTTGCACGGCGGCATACGAGCTGTATGGAGCGGTCGGTCAAGAGAGATCATAGAGCACAAACAACGTACATCGGCATCTGGCAAAACCTCAGAAAAACTAGCGCTGTAAAGTAAAAAGGACGACGTACAGTACACAGGCGCAGGAATCTTTACTGATCGAGTAGACCGAGAGTATACGTGACAGAGGGCATAACTGGGAACACAGTTAATCAGAAGCAAAAAATCGCAAAGGTCAATGACATACGTCAGTTGCGCAATGGCCGTCACCACATGACTCCTAACATAGGCGGTGTCAGAACATTTATAGCATGGTAAGAATCGACACACCTGTCCTGGAATAACTTCTTATAGATATCATCATGTAAAATGGTATAGTGTCCAGGAATGCTTGCTGTAAGGCGCTAGTGAGGAAGGGAAACAGTACACTAGTGGATTCAAAACTGACTTCCTTTGAGACCCGCTTGCGACTGAAGATAAAAGTCATCGTAGACAGGATGCTTCAGGTCTGGCCCAGTATTACTTATCACAGCTCTAGATAGTTAAAAGGGCAGACGCACCATTGTCGACGAAAAATCCTGCATGGCAGTTGGCAGATTTGTCACCTTGACCAGAGTTGGGGAAGAAGCGGAAATGGTGCCTCTTTGTGACGACCAGGAAAGTAAGGTTCGGACGTTGATTCACACCTTTGCTTTGGTAGAACTTTCGAACAGCGGCTAAAGTTGTTGAAATAAACCTTCAAATCTCGCAACACGAAGAAATCGCACTGTCAAGAGATTTGCCCATTTCTTCCCTGCGGACAATCTCAAATTCCCCCTCGGAGACGCCATCTCGATAAAATATGAGACGCTGAGGTGCCTGTCCTTTATTCCTCATATAGAACGCTTCGAGACAGGACTGCATGAAAAAAGCAAGTGAGTTTTCTAAACCAAAAAAGTCCAAAGGCTCACGTACAATGACCATAGGCTCCAAATGCTCTATGATTTCCTGTCTGGACCTTTGTATTTCCATCCTCGCAGTGTATTGAGCTCCGTATGGGTCTATCGATGCCACAACAGAAGCGATTGATGGAGCCATACTGCCAGGCGCTGCATGACTGACATCCGCACCTGCACTCATGTCACTTAATGTAATATTAATACGGATCCAACCACATACCGATGATCATAGTAGGGGCGCTAGCGAAAAATTGCATTGCAGGATCTTGAGGAACAAACCCACGGCCTGCCAGTTTCGTATTGACTCTGATGTATTGATTAGCATGAGCCATTCTTTGAGGATGACGAGAGCTTTACTTCAGGATCAAGTTGTTATGGTACTGGTTGAATTTCTTTGTATCATACCCTTCTCGGAATTTTCGTGACCAACGCTGTTCAACACTGCTTAGTTCACTGAAGATAATTCAAACAATTGACTTACCACACACTGGGTAGGAATGCCATGAATGACATCACCCGCGCGCTTGACCGCAACGTATAGATCCGCAGCATTTTCCGGCAGAACGCAAACAAGTAGTTGCGCCTTGATGGGGAAACCAACGCGATATAGAATCTAATAGAAATCAGTCACCTCCAACTCGAGGCCAGAATGTTACGGTCAACCTACCGATGGAATGCTCTCTTGTGCATTCGCATCATGGTGCACATGCGGCATTGAAACAACTACAGCGGGGGTGTATTTGAGATGAGCGCAGATGAGGTGAGACAATACTCACACATTCCTATAAAGTCAAATCAAGCACGTACTACAAGTAACAACAAAACACATACCTATAACTTTCATAGCATCGGCCAAGTCCATAGAGAATTTTTGTATCACTGGTTGATCACCACCTGTAAAATTGATAACAGCCCAAGAATTCAGCTGGGCCGGCGTGTGAAGTGGCTTCTTCATTATATCCCATGTCCCATCCTAGAGCCTCAATGTCCAGAAATCAAGATGACACCAGATGCCGTGTTTGTCACTTACATGCCGATCATTGATCACCCTCACCCCATTCTGACCTTTGCCATATGCTAGCTGTGGCCTGGGAAGAGCCTTCCCAGTAACTTGGAGAGGCTCTGGATTGATGTTTATACCTGCTCCAGCCAAAAACTCGGACTGCGTGTGGCCTAGATGTCTCCAGCCTTGCCGTATCATTCGGAGCCGGGCCGCAGGGTTTGCAGGAACCACTTTCAGCACTTCTCTAATGGCCTCCGGAGAAAGTCGATTCTAAGAAGGTTATAAGTAGTATTCAATGAACAATGAGCAAGAGGATATCCTAACATCATATAATTGTTGCGTGGCATTACAACGGCTAATCGGTATAATCGTCTGTTGTCCAAATTGAACACCCAAGGATCCCGGTCGTATATTGAGGTTATAAGCAGATCTGAAGTGTTCCTAGGCAGATACTCAATGAAGGAGAAAAATGAATCAACTGACGGCCGTACCGATACTGTGATTGGGCTCCCATCTTTGTCGAAAGTGATGGCACCAGCATTTTTCACCAGACCTTTGATCCGTTTTGGCCTGGAAGTCGGGCGGTGCAACAATATCACCTTCATACCACGAAGAAAATGCCGCAGTCTTGAAAATTGAGTTTCGTTCAAGTTTTCTAATTGGCGGATTTCGCGCAAACCGAGAAATTCAGCTGATAGGACATCTAAACGTCGTTCAGGAACACTTGTGCATCCTCATTAGAAGGTAGACTTTCTGATGGGGGAGTGAACTTACACGGCAGCAACAGTGACATCAACGTTAAGGACGACATGGTCCTTAACCAGTCTAACGCTCCTACATGGTCACCACCTGGTAAATACTAGAGGCTGGGTCCGCAGTGAATAGGAACACACTGAAAATAGCCACGCCAAAGTTCCAAAGGCGCTATAGACTGCGGTGTCTCTATGGAGAAGGTGTTCAGCACCACACTACTACGGCCATCAGTAAATGTGGATACCTCTCTCCTCCTGGATGTAGAAGCTTGCAGCTTTATTGAGTGCCATTCCAGACCTGAAATGCGCTAGTTGAGCAGACATCTTATTACATGAGAGATTCAACGTACCCCCTCGGATATGCCTGAACAGACATGTTTAGCATGTTTAGCGCAGGCGCGGTGGCGACCATTGACTGGGTATTGCCTCGATTAAGGTTTTTCAAGATTCTACGAAGAATTTCGTTACTCTCCAGCTCGGGTAGAACAAATGGAACGTACCCAATATTGACTCTTCCGGACAAAGTCAGAACAACCGAAACATAACGAGGTTTCGGGGAGTCGACATCCCACATGACATCCACCTAAATATTATACAGTTATATTGACCTTGGGTATGCTAAGAGAAGATCAGAACCTTCATGCCAGAACCTGGTATGTCGTACTTCTTCCATGAAAAGAGATTCTTTTTGCCGTCGAAAACTAATGTAATGATTGAGTACATGACGAAGATCGCTAAGCAAAAAAGAACCCACCTCCAAGCTTTGAGAAGATTTTCGGGACAACTGAGGTCTGGAGGCGCATCATGACCTCGTTGGCTTTCGCAGCGCCGAGTTTAAACTCTCGCCCAGTCCGGCTTTCCCACTGCGGTGTGATTACTTAAAAGTTGAGTGAGTTAAGAAAGAGAACATAAAGGGAAACCACAAACCGACTATGGCGAGATCAGATATCCGCGATGATAAGCCCTTGAAAGAGAACCACGGGCGACTTACCATCGTATTGGTACACTGTAGACCTTTCCGGCCACTGAAGCTTGAAAACATTGGCAGTCACATTGACAGGCGTAGCTTTGTTTATGTGCGGGATGAGAGACATGGTGGGCGAGTGGCAGGAGACGGGAATGGGAATAGGAACCGGGGCATCAAAGGCGCGATCTTAATTGTGGAATTTGGTGACATGTGACACGTGTTTAAGGTCACGTGCCATAGGGTCCAGTTACTGCATAGAACGACGGATTGACGGATGACCAACGAGATTCGGGAAGGAGACCGAAACCCAAGTGAAAAGATTCGCGAATTTCAGTGATTATCGTTTATTTCGTTACGAAATGCCTGTGTTGTTCACGACTATCGACCTTCAAGAGAACGAGCTGTGGGAACGAAGGAATGCACTAATAATACACTAGACGCGAGAAGCAATTTGCCATTGATATCCCAGAACCCGATGAAGAACGGAAGAATGGACGTTTCAAGAAAGCTTCCCTCCTGTCCTGAACCTGCGGGGGGATTATAACTGCAACCTGATGAGTGTGAGTGATGGTCTAAGAACACGAGAAGACGCGAACATGAATTGTAAGAGGTGTCATGGAGTCACCAGTAAGGAATGGCGCAACAAATCTACTTCAATTACCTGAACGAATCATTGAAACTAGAAACGTAACGGTAAACGTAAGAGGTTAGAGCGCCGCTTTAGCTTGATGCGTACAATTTGGCCTAATGAAACTCAGGGCTGAACGAAATTCCACGAATTCTGTAAGGCAACACCTGAAGGCACGCACGGAGGGCTCTGGCAAGCCCCGAACCTTGTCCACCTACGTGCAGAAAATGGATGCACTAGCTCCAAACGGGACTCTTTCGGGAACTTTTAACCCTATGTCCTCCCTGCCGTAATTTTCTTCGGGATATCGTATTCCTCACCCGGTGCGGCGTCGATATGGTCCCTCTGTACCAGAACCCGAGATAAACTGTCCTAGGCTTCCATCCAGCTGCAGTCGTAGCGTCAAAGGGAAGAACGGCGAGTCTATCGAACGGTATCCGAGGACGCCTCCCGACAACTATAGGCGCCATCACCTCAATGCGACCAAAACGGCCACTAAAAGTAACAGAGTACAGGACCATCAGTACGCCATTGCATGGGGCATTGGGCGTTCCTCCGCTGAGGGAGGAAAATGCCGCTCGGATTCAAGACTAGGTACGAGAGACGCGCCAGGCTAGTAATTGCTCTGATGAAGCGTCCCATCATCAATCTCCCTATCCACCTCCTACAAGTACGCACCCTGAACCTCTACGTTTTCCTGCCCCTCTGGCAATGTGCATTCCAGCCGAGTCGTGCTCTGATTCACGCCCTTTGATTGTGCTGGAAGCATTGAAGAAACCAGGTCTTATAACTCTTCATGGTCATTGCTTCCTCACCCTGGAAAAACCCAATCTGCACGTGGACCTCCACCAGAAGAGTGAGTTGTAACATCATTAGGCAGAAGTCCTAACTAATCCGTCTAGCTTGAACACGTAGGTCAATTCGTCACCGACTAGCATTGGAATATACTAAGCAAATAGTCAAACAATGACGAGCAGAGTTGGAACTTCAGGTAGCAAAGGTTCAACTTATCCAGTGCCCAAACAAGGAGGGGTGCCCGAGAAACTTCGAAAAAGGCGGAACGAGGCAAGTTTAGGATTGATTACGGGAGGAACAAGTGGGTCCTGTATGTATGAATGACAGTGATACAGCCATGGCCGCATCAATGATTATTTGTTGTTATCACGTTATTTCTTTCTTGAAACACGCAAAAACCCAAGATTCACGATCCAAGTGGTTTTAGCTTCTGCACTTTCTCGATTGAGACGAGGAGTTGCACGAAATCAAACACAGATGGTCGCAGCGCCGTACTCTTATTTCACCACGGTAACGTTTGTAATTATATACAATTTCGTTGTTTGCGGCCGCGGTGTGCGGATGAGGTTCAACGCAGCTGACAACCCAGTGTTCTTCTGTTGGTTTCTGCTACATCCTCATTATCGCCCTTGATTCTCTTGTTTGGCCTCTCTTCGTCTTCACGTAGACGGGCGTGAGATATTGCAATGCTCTCCGCCACGATCTGCTCTGCTGTCTGGTCCTATCGGCCTCTGTCAATTCGTAGAATCCTCGTCTTTCTCTTGCCAACTCTTCTTTCTCTTGCCATCTGAGCCTTTCCCATAACTCTGCCGTAGGGATGACGATAGTAAAGGGATTTGTCTCCTTTTCCACGCGGAAGAGAAATCCGGGCCATGCTGAATCTTTTTGATCTAGGCGTACGAATTCAGTTGTTACTTGAGCAGGTGAAGAAAAGCCAATCCCAACCACCCATTGCTTAACGAGCATGCAAACAGTGTATCGCCTACGCATTTTATCAGCTCCTACTCCTATCTTTTGATAGTCGCCATATAACCTAAACTGGTCGTGCTCGAGGTCATTGGATTCGGAACTGAAATGCGCAGGAGACCAGAGACCATTCTTTTTGCAACCGTAGATTACATGTGGAGAGAATTGTTGAGACGCGTATTCCAAGTTCATAATCCTCCGATTCTCCACCTTGTTCTTCTTCAATGACGACTATTGGCCAAAAATAAGGGGTTCTTTTACGACGCCGTTTGTCATAAGCCCGGTGGTAAGGTTACCTTCTTGCTATCGTCTAGAAGGGAAAGAGTGACTGCGCCATAGTACACGTTCAGCCCCTGACTCGGACCCCATAAGTATTCCGAACGCATGAGCACCCCGAAAATGACAGGTCCAGCGAATCTGAGGGGGTCAACCTTGGTGACAACCACATCGTCATTGAGCAGTTCAAGGCTAAAAACAAATGACTGTCAATCCTCTCACAACAAAGTACTCATAACTGCTGACCGTGCTGGAGTAATAAATTTACTTAAAAGAGTTGTAACGGTCTTCGTCCTCTTGAAGCCAAGATTTGGAAACACTGTCAAGGCTTCGCCGATTTGTAAAGTCTATTGACTTGAACCGCTCTTGAAGGTGCTGAGGGGCGCTCTGAAATTGAAGCAGTCGAGTCCAAACAGGCCCTCCCGGTTCACGTCGCTCTCGCTGTGAAATATGCCGTTGACGGATTTCGAGGCCAGTGTGAAAAAATGACGATCGTCTCTGATTGGCGCCGTGTCTGCCTCAACAACTCTTTCAGTAGAGACCTCAGTGGTCACTGAAGACGGAGCGCCTGCAATGGAACCCACATTTGAGGATTCAGGAAGGTTTTTTCGAACTCAACTGTAACGAGGTTTGTAGAGTTTAGAGTTTAGTACATATGGTCCCAAAAAGGAGCACCGGGGTTCTGTAGTAATAGTAGCATGAACTCGATCCCTTTTGCTATGGAAGTTATTGCTAGCCCTTTCGCGCTGTGATGTAATCCTTTCGAAGAATATGAAGGACGTTTGATCAAAGGTATGTTCCGATTTTGTTTCTTTTCATTCACCGCTTACTTCTAGTCTCGCAAAAGCACGGACACTGACATCCGTGTAAACAGCAAGTTCTCTAACGTCCCTTTTTTCATCAAGCTTTTTGCGCAGCAATGATGCGACATCAGTGCCGAGGGCAACCTATCCGACCCTATCGCACAGGTGGGGAAGGGAGATTGACTTGAGGCCTATCGTCTCAACGCGATCAAATTGGAACCATTGACGGAAAATACTTTGTAACGGCATGACCGAGTTGCACGAATCCAAAACTGGATATGTGATGCGCACCTGAGGCGTCCCATTATCTTCACCTCCCGTAAAATGCATCCAGAACCTCTATGCTAGGTTAGCCAAACCTGTTCTATTTTGTTGTTCCAGGGGCAGAGTCAGAGGAATCAGCCTTGCTCATAATTTTCCTCAACTGAAAGAGTAAGTTGGGCCGTTCTCCAACAAGCCCTAACTAAGCTGTCCTTAGGTCACTTCATTACTAAGTACTCAGTGACTGCGGACCAGAAAAAGGGGACTATACAGGGAAGGAGGCTTCTGAGTGAGGCGAGTGTGAACTCGATTACGAGAAGAGACGGCGCTGTATGGATGATGCCACATGAATGATTCTCCTATCGTTCTTCAAGATCTTCTCTCCTTCCTTACCACAAGAAAGAGATCAAACCTTGATGGTCGCAGCACCGTTCTTCTGTCGGCCCACCTTGGCTGTTCCAGGGCGACGATGTCAGAGTTTTGAGTGTTTGCATCCGAGGTGCGCGGTTGAGAAGAATAAGGAGGTCAGTCTTCTTCTGTTGTTTCTAGATTTGTTAGAAAGCATTCAGTGGCCCGTTGCCTACGGGTGCAAGAGTGCGGCAACCCTATCAATTGGCGGCTTGTACTTCATCTCTTTGATGACTTTCCGTTTGTTTGACCACAAACTAATTAAAGTGGAACGTATTCATCAGACTGCGTCCATTCAGTAAGTAGATCTCAAGTTACAAAGGATCGATCCTAGACTTCCTTTCATGGCATTTATCCGACGTCCCGCCCCCCTGCTCTCGGGCTTGTTTGTATCAGTGGCATCCTTCGGTTGTACCGGCTTATCTCTTCAGGTACTTACTCTTCTCCTAAAAGCGTGTAACAGCTCTAGAGTATTACTGTACTTACTCTGTACCTATGGCTAATTGAAAGGCTCCGCATGTCCCTTAGCGCGTGCCGCTGTCAGGATATGAAATAGACCATTATCTCCTGCCCCTTATGCCTGGTAAAGTCTCGTTCGTGAATTCGATGGCACGAAACTCGTCTGAGATGCCCCAAATGGTCTCAACAATGGAGGCAAGATAATGATGTGTGATGATGATGAAATCAGCGGGGGCTCCAAGCTATAGAATGTCACAGGAGAATTCGACCGACGATAGGACAAAAAAAGTCCTAACAGGCAGTAGTATCGATACCATCTTCGGAGGCAAAATGTTTTGCCCGATACAAGGCAGGCTGTGGACAGCTAATAACGTTCTGGAAGACGTATCAGAATGCAACGCGTAGCAGTCGTGAAACCCGGCGCCAGAATCTAGGGTGTACGCGTTTCAAAAATAAAGAGGACGTTGTCAACAGTATTTAATGACCGTCATACGCCGGGCATGGTATACGTAGGCGCTGTTTTGTTGTTTCATTGAACATGTACCGAAATGCGCAGTATGTTCCCAGCGACTGTCGCACCATTCAAGAAAGAATGGGCACTGGTACGGTATTGGCCAAGTCTACTTCCATATGCAAAGCGACAACCCCTACCCCTCGCGGCCAAGCGGCCTAAAATCCCTTCTCGCCCAGCCACTGTGCGATTTGGTTTTTGGAAACGAGGCCGTGCGCCCTGATGACCAGATGGCGATTGCGGGCTATGGTAACTTTTGCGGAAGGATCATTGTTCAACAGGGATGTTGTTATGTCGTTTGCTAAGGCCTTGATTGCGTTACTTTATGGTGTGAAAAAGAAAAAAAAGCAAGGAAAAAGTCGTACAGAAATGTTGCCGTCGACATTCCTTATCAAAATAAGATGGCGAGTTCCCCCGTTTCTGATATCGGTGTATACGGGAAGGGAACCACGGGAATTGCGAGCGACGTGGTATAGTAGTGATGCTGTTGACTTGCACGGTCGCATCGAGTTTGAGTTGAAAGGCGTGTGACGTGTGACGTAACGTGGAAGTGAATCAAATGTCCGGGAATAGCTGCGCGCAAGATGCCATTGAAATTACATTACATCCATGGCAGATCTCCGAAACCAAGCCATCCCAGGTGCTCCTCCTTATAAATGCCGTGCGTCGCCACCCATTTTCCATTCCTCCCTCCCAACATGAACGTCAACCTCAACATCAACATGAACATGGTGTGCTGGTCGCAACAACGTACGTGTGTGTCTCTTCTCTCTCGACCGCGATGGCGACGAGCTCATTGTCTACAGCATCCACAGTATATGCCATCTGTACCGCACCCCTCATAGCACCCAGGCCTCTGCCATACCATTCACCGACATTTCTGCAGTTCCAATCGTTGCCTGGCCTGGACCAGGACCTCTCTCATCCTCCATACACCTCCCGTCCCAAAGAACCGGTCTCTGTCGTGCGCCGATCCAAGGACAAGACGCGACAGAATCCGTATCCGCAGCCAGGCAGCAGGCCACGACTTGCCCACACGAAGCAAACATAGGACCAGGCACTCCAGACTCAAGAGGGGCCTAGTCGGTGTTGCATATTTTTATTAGTTTCCGTAAGTGTACCCTGCAATTCGATCGCATTGTCTAACCCTTCCCCCTAGTTTTCCTGGACTTTCGGTCTTCATGCATCAACATCAATCACATGTACCATTAACCATCCATCCAACTCGCATACTTACATCCATCTACTTAACCATCAATCAAGCCACCTTGCCGCTTCTTCTTATCGTACCACTCCATTTCCCGAGGTCGACATGTCATCCGGGTAACTAGTTCCCGTGTTAGTTTCTGTCATCGAGCCTTTCGCGCCATTAGCGTTCGCCTATACGAAAATCCGCCGCTGTAGTCCTGGCTGCCAATAATAGTCTGCAAGCATTTCCGTCTACAGCATTTCCGAATGAGACCCGCAGCAACGTTGTCTGTGGATACAGCTTCCTATCCACTGAATTGTAATACTCGTGTTCTGCAAAGGTCTTCGATCGCCGAACGCGACCGAGCAACAGCAAGATCACCATTTACTTGATCTCGCAGATTCTAGGCACCGACCCGACTTATGTATACACTACAATGAATAGAAGAGTCATAAGATCTTGTTCCGCTGAAGAATCATTTGCGGACAAAACTATCTTTGCGGACCGCAGTTGTACACTTGCAATCTCGAATAACACCTCGTGGTATACGCTTAATGAGTTAATGAGATAGCCGGTCATGTTGTGAGAGGGTAGTCGGCGGTGGAGACATTGGGTGAAGAAGGAAAGAAGAAAGAACCTTGATGGGTCAGAATGCAGGAAAGCATCCTCTTTTACTCGTCGCGTCCTCTTGCAGTAAAAAACGTCGGTACACTTGCTATTGACGTCGGCTTCCACATTCTCGAGTTGCCTGACCATTCACACGGAGCGTCAATGTGTCCCGGATTCGTAACCCAGCGCTGGATTGTGTCATCCTGACCGACATCGTTGCTGCGATAACCATTCAGTGTCTACATTGCTTTATGCTAAGAATAAATAGCAAGCGAGTCCGACATGTCCGACAAGCCCGCAGCTTTATTTACTTCTGAACGGCCTACCTATGCCCACAATCTCACCATCCTCGCTCAGCAAGACGGCCACCTTTAAGGTTCGTGTCACTGTACACAGCCGCGCAGTCAGTGTTTATGCCAGACACAGCATGGAACGCGGAATATCAAAAACTCCATCGAACATCAAAGACCAACAACCCAGGAAAATATCAAGTATCACGGAAACGCTGAATCAATGAAAGACAACACTCGAGCGAAGAAACCACATTGAACAACGTCAAACATCACGACACCCACTTAGAAGAAACAAGACAGCACATGTTCATGGACATGAATCGGGTCCAGATGGAAACAAATCGACAAGCGGCCAGGAAAATGAAAGACTCACATCGTCAACCCAACCATCGCTTCGCCCAGATTTGCCGAAACATCGGCCAGGATCTGGGGGTTGTTGTAATGCGTCACCTACACACATCCGTCGTAAGGACAACGTGCCACCAACACAACGCCGAACACTTACCGCCTGGACAATAGCACGAGCCCGCTTCGCAGCGTCTCCAGACTATGTATAGGGATCAGCATCAAGACACCGCGATGTGATAAATAATACAGTCGAGATGATCGCAGATAACAATGATCAAGAAACATGGGTACGACGGGAGCGTACCTTAAAGATTCCCGAACCTACGAACACTGTTGATGGAAATAACACATCATGATGAGGATCTGCATGATGCAATGCTGAAGCTCACCTCCATCACATCCTAGTTGCATCATTAGAGCTGCATCGGCTGATAGAAAAACAAAACGATTGTTAATACTGGGCGATGGCCAGGGAATTGAAACATCGTACCGGGTGTTGCAATACCTCCAGCGGCAAAGTTCACTACGGGCAGTCGTTTCAAACGGGAGGTTTCCTTAAGGAGGTGAAACGGTGCCCGGATCTCTCTGGCGTACGCATATATCTCGTCCTCTGACATGGACGCAACCTTGCGGATTTCAGACATGATAGTTCGCGAGTGCCGGACGCTGCAGATAGTTATTAATGACAACGCTGTGCTATGGGAAGGTTTTACGCACGCTTCGACGACATTTCCGGTTCCTGCCTCTCCCTTTGTCCGAATGAAAGCAGCACCTTCGGCTATCCGTCTCAAAGCTTCCCCAAGGTCCCGAGCCCCGCATACAAAAGGGACCTTGAAGTTATGCTTGTTGATGTGGTTCTCTTCATCCGCAGGTGTGAGTACTTCTGACTCGTCGATATAATCGACGCCGATGCTTTGGAGAATCTGTGCCTCGACAAAGTGTCCGATACGAACTTTTGCCATTACGGGTATCGTAACAGCTTTCACGATGTCTTTGATCATCGCCGGGTCACTCTAAGCACAATTTAGAGTGATCAAAGGAATATTCATCATACACACCATTCTCGCAACACCTCCGTTTGCACGAATATCGGCCGGGACACGCTCGAGCGCCATGACGGCACATGCGCCAGCTTCTTCTGCGATACGCGCCTGCTCTACATTCACGACGTCCATAATCACGCCGCCCTTCAGCATCTGTGCCAAACCGGATTTGACCTAGACAAACTCGTCACTGACACCAAGATCCGCCTCGTATATACGACTTACACCGAACGTCCCAAGACTGCTTGCTCCACCGCCAGAGGATCTCGCTGGGGCGATAGAGGGTGCATTGACAGTTCCAGCACCGTGTGGCTGTGGCGGAGGCGAGCCAGGGATGGGAGTTGTCATTGTCGTGGTATGAAGCAAAGGTGACTCGAAAAAAAATACAATAACGGAAATGAATACCGATCCGCTTCCTGATCCTAATCGGCCCGGAATATCCGGCCGAAACGAACCGATGACGTAGAGGCGCTTAACTCTCTACAGCAACGACAATGGGTCTGTTCAGCTTCTTTCAGAGTAACAACGAGAACACAAACAAAGAAAATGAACAGAAAGATGCTCTTCAGACTTTGAAATCATTCATTGAGGTACGCCTCAGTTGTTGCCAATAACGTAGACTAATTCGCGTACAGACGCGCCCGTCGTCGCAATACACATTTGATTCAGAGCGAGATTCACCACGGTCCACCATTTGCCGTCCTTCTGACTCTACTGATGGTTCAAAAGAGTGTATAACAATAGAGATGAATTCCAAGAAGTTATTTGCCACCATGCAGGTGAGTAAGGTTTGCACAATGGCTTTCGAGTAGACACTAATTCGGACATCATCCCAGTCCCTAGGATTCTTCTGTGCACTACCCGTGGACCCTACGCAGACATATATGGAATGTACGCCGATGCACAAGTCGTAATTTCCATCTTCCAAAGAAACCTGCCGATTTGTATCTCTGGTGCTTGAATCTGATTGAAAGAGAGCACGTAATTCAACTCTTTTCAGAGAGAAAATCAAAGCAAAAATGTATGTCCTTCAAGATGGAGCACATTTGTCCTTACGATTGCTGAAACTGTCAGCGTTATGTTGAGAGTTACTGACTACTAGGAGCGACTGCCAGTACTACATGGCAGGTAGATTGAACATTGCGCGCACCGATGGCTCTAGCGTCAGGAACGAAATGAATGAGACGGTCCATCGAGATTCATGCTTTGGTTCCAACTTCCAAGGGTCGTCGAGGTCACATTTTATCCAAACTGAGGGTCACGCGTTCCCCGTGGTGCTCATAAGTATTCTGATAATTTATTTTTAGAGATTCTCCCGTACCAATGCTTCAAGGAATTCCGATAAGAAACAGTTGGGAAGGGACAACAGTCGCGTATCAACCGTCTGTAGTGTGATGCTCGAGCAGGTGATAAAGTGGGCGTTCAACGTGTGTCCCGCTGAGAATGGTAACCAAATTTACTGTTACAGTTTCACAGCTGGAAAGTGGTCGCGGGAAACCAAAAGAATATTTGTCTGCAGGTTTCATGCTGATTTCGGCTGGTCATCCGAACCTCATTTCACCAGCCAGATGAAATGAGGAAAGCCGACAATGTTTCATCGTACTAAGTAAATGTGTCAGTCGCCATTGATATCCGAAATCGCCCTTGCCTGACCGCCATCTGCAACACCTGGTGGAACTACTAGTGGCAACTACTTGCTCCAGATCCTGAAACTGAACACCAACGGTTTCGGCCCAGCTGGGGAAGCCGTCATCGCCAAGGCCCTCCTCGAATCGACCAACAGGAATAAATGGCAAGCAAACCCTTCAACCTGTGCTTACCTGGTATGGTTTGGACTGGTAATGGGTCAAGGAAGAATCGGGCCCGCCACTTGTTCTCTGGGAACGCCCACAACCATTGAACGACTTATCTTCACACGGATCGTTGAGTCTGGTTTACGAGACTAACAGAGTGATTGCTTTAGCAATCAGTTGAGGCTCTGGTCCATAGGATTGATATGTACTTAGTCCGAGGCTTCATCCTTGACAATGATGTTATACGCCTTCAACGCCTTCAACGCCTTCAACTCGTTTATCATCTAGGCCCCCCCCAGATTTTGCGCTTCTGATGATTTTGGCCATGATTATAACCGAAATTCTTCGACTCAGTAATACTACTAAGTTTCGGGGGTCGAAATGGCTTGATCCAGGTGGTGGCTGTGTTGGAGGCTTCCTGCATATGAACGGTCGACTCGCATCTTTCCGAGGCCCTTCAACGCCTACTTCATCTCCTGTTCAACGGCAACCTACGACCCCAAAGTCCCCAGCCAGAGCCACCGAGACAACTTACCATCGAAAGCTACGGGCGGGTTTACTCGAATTACGCGGAATAACAGAAACATGGGATGATCTCGTGCTCGTCGACGGACTGAAGGCTGCAAAGAGCCTCGTCGATACAAGAACCGAACTGGAGTACGTGCTTACGCGTCTTTAACTGAACGCGCTCTTATTCGCGATGCAGCAATGCCCTTTCACTGATTCAGGATCGACGGCCAAGGACGCGTATAGTCGGACCGAAACTAATGATCATGGACAAGCGGATATCCGAGCTAGATGCAGTCATAGCGAAGCTAGTGCGATCCTAATGCTGCTTCTTCAACGTGTACTGACCGGTATGCTTAGCAAAAACAGTTTCGCAGAATGAATACTGTTATCGACACCCTGGAAGGCCTTGTTACTGAAGCTCACAAGAATAAAGGTTGGCACTGGGTGCAGCATGAGCCACTCTGGGTGACATGGCCTCTGAATAAATTTGGTATGCGATTTAATCGTAGAAAGGTGCCTTCCGTCTCAACATATGCTTCCTAGTGACCTCTTTGCCAGACATTCTGCCTACCTATCATCGTGAACTCATCATACACATGGAGCTTGTCGAGGTCCTCCGAAGCCATTCCATTTCTTTCGACGACTCTCGCAACGCCATTACGAAATGGGCCGAGCAACTATGGATAGAAGTTTCAGGCTGGGAAGCCAAATGGGAGGATGTATGCGCTGCAGAGGTTGATCGATGGGAGGGTTCATGACAGTAAGCATAATTCAATTTGTGTCCTTTCTCTAAAGGTTGACGAACTGTTCGATAGAAGTCGACTTGGGATCATCACGACGCTGTTTCAAGTAGCACTTTCCGCGCAGTTAAAGGTTAATTCGCTCTTGTCAAATGCTTGCAAAGGCACAATGTAAAATAAATCTAGAGTCCTCGTTAGCAATTCAATATCTTTCAGGATCCTCAGACACGCACCATAGAATCATGAAGTAGCCTTTGGTGTCGAAGATCTCGAATTCTGCCACCACGACCCCCAGAAATGTGAAACTCTCATTTTCACGCCTTCCCAATTGTCCAACGCAGGTCGCACGTCAAGATAGAACGACAGAGTGCTCTGCGCTCCTTCACTACGCCCCGTGTAAAAGTCGATTATATACCGGGTGCGCGTCCCACAGCGATCCACAATCCAGTCATGCCTGTCAAACGGTGCTGCATAGCTACGAGGCAACGGTCAAAACCTGTACTGCGATTGCAACGGAACCGCGAAACGCACCCTAAAAACGACTTGCACCTCGCCTTGGGACTCAGATCCCCTGGTCGCCCCTTGAAATTGACGAGTTTGACTCCACCACAGGCTTCGCCTCCGCGCCCTGCCTCCCACTTCATGATCTCCGTCCACGCCCGCTCGTTGACGGCATTATGAATCGGTACGATAGTTTTCATATCCGCGGCCTGAGGATTGTGGTTCTTGCGATCCATTGCTGCGAAGAATTGAGCCTCTGACGGGTACACCCAGTTCCCGTCTCTAGCTTTGGGAATGGAAGAGAGCACACGCTCCGTGGAGAGCTGGGATACAGAAGGCTGTGGTGCGGACGAGAATGATTTGGGCTGAGAAGAGAACAGACGGGACCATATCAAGCTAGAAGATTCAGATGACTGGTGAGATAATGCTCCGTGGTCGACTGGACATGACTCTGTTCTTTTCTGCGCGTTGTGGTCGACGGGACACCCGGACATTGAGGCACAAAGACAGAGATTTCCGGAGCATCCCGGTATGCGGTCCGACGACGTGGCCGGCTCTCGGCAATTGAAATGCCGGACCTTCCCTTTTTTTTTCAATCTTGGTTCTGTCGTTTGCCAGCTATAGATCACGATTACGATGACCAGGGGGGTAGCTCGGTCATCAGTGCTAGTCTCATGACATAAAAGTCCGGCAGTTCGTCAGTCTCTCCTCGCTTATAATGCTCTCACACTTGCTTGTGTTCTACGTTCTCCCACCATGCCTTCCTCATCTCCCATATTCTCGACCCCCTTGACAAAGCTGTTCAAAATTAACCATCCTGTTATGTTGGCAGGTCAGCTTCCTGCATTGCTTTCCCCCCTCAACAATAATTCATGTTGAGTAGGTATGAACGTTGCTGCTGGACCTAGGCTCGCTGCCGCAGTTACCAACGCTGGTAAAGCTAGTTCCACCAATCGTCGTCTATTCTTAACGGTGTATTATTTCCAGGTGGAATTGGTGTAATTGGTGGAGTCCAACAAACACCCAAGTTTCTTCAAGGGTCCATCGAAGAGCTGAAAGGGTATCTGGAAGATAAGAACGCGCCTTTCGGCGTGGACCTGCTATTACCTCAAGTCGGTGGAAACGCGAGAAAGACGAACATAGATTACACTGGTGGTCAACTCGCCGAGCTCCTCGATGTGATCATCAATGGTGGTGCCAAGCTTTTCGTCTGCGCAGTGGGCGTACCTCCGAAGTGGGCTGTGGACAAGCTACATGATGCTGGCATCGTTGTTATGAAGTAAGTCCATCTTCGCGCGTTCAGTATCTCCGCCTGACGTATTTCTTTATTCATCTAGTATGATTGGACATCCGAAGGTTTGCTGATCCCTAATAGTCGCAGTGTTGATGAGCCAATTAATGCCCAATATCGTAGCATGTAGCTAAAGCCCTGGCACAAGGTACCACATCACTTGACCGTATGCAGGGCTCGAACACCATCTTGAGACGTTATTTTTTTCAGGCGTCGACGTCATTTGCGCACAAGGCGGTGAAGGCGGTGGTCACACTGGGGATACACCCTTTTCCATCCTTATTCCTGCCGTCGTAGACTTGTGTAAAGATGCTAAGAGTCCATTAACGGGAGAACCCGTTATCGTCGTAGCTGCCGGAGGAATTGCCGACGGAAGAGGCCTGGCTGCAGCACTAGCGTTAGCCATTTTTCTCAAGTTTTAGCGTTCTACGTTAATCGTTGATTGCGTTGTGCAGGTACGGTGCCTCCGGTGTGTGGGTAGGCACTCGATTTGTTGCGAGCGTTGAGGCCGGCGCGCCTCCCGTTCACAAGCAGTCGATTGTGAAAGCTGGCTATGATGATATCTTTCGGACTGTCATATACACCGGAAGGCCTTTGAGCGTTTTGAAGACACCGTATAACTCCGATTGGTATACTTATCTCTTTGACCGTTCTGCTGCTCGGACGGTAACTTGGTATCTAGGGAAACCAGACGTCGCGACGAGATAGAAACGCTGACTTCGAAGGGTCTTGTACCGCACGATATTGAGTTGCAGAAGTATCCAGAAAAATCGGTCTCCGGCCGTGCTTGTAAGTCGTTCGCTTATTCCTGGTGTACGGATCTTATTGTGGTTTTCCAGGGCTTATGGGGAAGGTGGCTGCATCTATCCAGGCCAGTTTCAGTGCCACTTGCTTATCGCAAACCACTGATGCCGTGTTATCTGTACGTAGGATATCAAATGGGCCAAAGAGATGTGAGCAGAATTGTAGTCCTTGTTCCTTTGTCTCTCATATCTTCATAGTGTCGATGAGATGGTGATGACCGCGGCGAAGAGTCTTCAATCAGCAAACGGGCTTACGGCTAAGCTATAATGATGACGTGTCTTTCTTACTTATTTAAGTGTAAACTTGCTTCGAATACTGGCGTCGATAACAGGGAAGCAGTCTTTATCTCAACTTGACTTGGCCCCGTGAAGATATGATACTGCGAAGAGCTAGGTTTTTCGGCGGCGTTCCGCAGGTCGAGTTCTTTATCTTGTCCTCTGACTAGCTACGATATGCTAGTTCCCATGCTATCCTCTCTCTGTGCATTCAGCCTCGCATGCATCTTTGCCTTGCTATTCTACTACATCAGGAGCAAGCGCCAGCAACGAGCGCAACTTCCAGATTACTTCAAGCTCTCAGGCGTCCCTCCACCAACACCCCTGCCTCACTTCGACATATCTAAAGCAAGAGCCCGTCCCTATCGTCCGTTTCGATGGCAGTATGTCCAGCACATGTGTAAGTGCATTAAACACTGGCCCGTTTCGCGCGTGTCTGATTCCAATGTCGTTGGTAAAGCACTCAAGAAAATGGAGCCAGACTGGTGGCTCGAGCTCGAGTCGACATACTGCGAGAGGATCGCCCAGAGGAAGGAGTTGTACGCCCAATACGGGAAGAAGATCGTCGATGCGCTCCCTGGTAGTGAAGGAGCGTGCAGGGAGCTGATGGAGATGGTCATCCAGTTCCTCACACGCCGATACCCCAACCAATTCACGTACGATTCCAACGAGGGAACCTTCGAGAACCGGATCCTAGGGACCGTAACACAAACGCGGCGCACCAATCCGTTAATCGTCTTACTTGAGAATGTACCGGAAGATTTCCTCATTACCCAAGGAGACGAGAAGACAGGACTATACTCTCTACGCGCGGGTGTGTCTTGCTCGGCCGTTGGATGGAATTTGGGCACGAAAATTGGTAAGAATCTCAGTGAGATACACGTGCCGGTACCGGATTACAAGGAAAGGATGGAGTTTTCCATGGATAGGTATCCTCGGGGTTGACATCGTTATCTTCATGTGACTGATTGCATTATAGGTTCTTTAGGAAGATGGCCTGTGAAAAGCCTATTCAGCGGGGATCATGGGGCCTCGAGAAGGGACAGCCGCTCTTTTTGCAGCCTGATACGCCGGAGTGGGCGGAACGCGAGGATCCCGATGCACAGAGACAGATGGATATCAACGATGTATACCTTCGAGTTGACTGGCAGACGCTACGACGGCTCCCTGTGTCGAGCGCTATTGTATTCAACTTCAAGGCTCTTTTCACACCAGTGGTGCAGTTGCGAGAGGAGCCCTACGTCCCGAAGCTGTTGCTCAAGGTCCTGAGGGAGGGGAAGAAGGAGCTTATGGAATACAAAGGAACGCGGTTAGTTGAGCATGTTGTTGAGCCCAAACTGGAGCAGTGGGTTGCGGAGCAAGAAGATAAGGGATGGGTTCCAAAGTCGTGGGAGGAGAGAACATTAAATGAAGATCCATTCTTCCCTGGTTGGCACTCCTGCTTTGCTAGGGTTTCAATGGATGCACATTAGACCGAATTCGATACATTAATGCCAACGTCGGGAGAATAGCAAAGTAATATGAGAAATGCACCTCTAGCATCGGGCAACGCGCACTGTTGTGTCCCAACTCTCCACTCCCACAGGCATCCAGCATGCTATACATATCGGAGACAAAAAATCAGATACAGTCGACACTGACAAGAAAACACCGGTAACTACTGAACCTGAGTAAGCAAGCAACACGTACGATGGCACTTTCGTAAGTGATTGTGCAATCATCCTATCCAGGATAATCCTGACTACCGTGGGCATTCTACACGGAGAAAAGTGCAAGCAAAGAAAACACAGACCTATCCTCGGTTGCATAATAATCACCAATTTCGAAGATCTACGATGGTAGCACTTGGCTTCCTCCTCATTGCCGCATTTACAGAAACGCGTCCTCCGTCATTAATGGATGCCCCGCAGGCCTCGTGGATGTGTCCAAAGACATGCAATCGGCATTTCTCGAGGACATTCATTCTCTCGGTGAGCTCTTCGCATCCGGCTGACTTGCCTCTCCTCGTCGTATCATGAATTTTGTAGGGCGGTGTGTGAGAGAGCAGTACCTCGGTATCAAGTGGTATTTTCCGGCAGATTTCTGCGACCCAATTACGTCAGTTGCAATTGATACCGACCCAAGGAATTGTACCTTGTCCTTGGCGACTGCCTCGGTACTGAAACCCTCCTGCTCCCTTGTACACCAATGAGCCCTTTACGACATCAGGTTTCTGCTGCGCCGACCTTGAATGAGGCGCACCGGCGATCCAAAGACCTTCCACTCCTTCCCTATGGACGTTCGAACGGTCAGTGACTCGTATTCCAGATAGTGCAGTCTGCCGTTTTGAAATTCGTCTCTTTTCACGTATTCCTTGAGCTCATTGTATTCCTAGTAGACGTTAGTTACGGTCAAAGGGCCATCTTGTAACATACTTTGACTGATATTGTGTCTAAATACGGATCCAAAGCCATCTATATCCTTAATCGTGAGTTTGATACACAGTACACATCGTCCCAAAATGTACGTCGTGGTTCCCAGCAATACATCTTATAGGGGATGTCAGCTACAACTGTGAGATACAAGTCAAGACCCACATTTTAGTGGGATGGGGCTGCGAGTTCAACCAATTCATCGCACTGTGCAACTCTCGGATTGTTCCCCACATCGTCAAGTCGCCGGCATGAAGTAATATATCACCATCCGGCAGGGGATATTCGTTGGAATGGGTGTCCGAGATGCAAACAAACCGAGTCCAGTCATCACCAGGCTTTGGTGGAATATATCCAGGCAAGAGATAAACACAAGCAGAATCGGTGGAAAGGATGGTACCGGAGTGGGCGATCATGAAGGTAGAAGTGAAAGGTCCATGCTGTCAATTGTTGATTCGGTTGACCCCGTGCCACGATGTCGGTAGAAGACTGGCTGTCGATTTTCGATCCTTCCTCTTGCGTTCGTCGCGGCCTCTGCCCGGTTACTGAAATCCGGAATACCACTACCTTCGAGAGCCATTCTCTGTATTTCGAGCAACATGGAACTGGTCCAGAGAAACTGGTCTTCGTCATGGGGTATGCCAGCATTTCACTCGAGCTCGAGGGTGACTGAGAGCTGGTTCTCGTAGGCTCAACAGCAGTTCATTCGCATGGGCCCTGCAAGTCGCACATTTCAGCAAACTTTCTCAATATTCTATCCTCGTCTTTGACAACCGCGGTGTTGGATACAGCGGTGTTCCAAGAGGGCCTTTCACGTAAGTCATTGGCACGTCTTAAGTCCAAGGTAGACTGGCGTGGCGGTCCAACTCCAATTTTCGGTACTTCTGGTTCATCTGATTTATTCTAGTACAGGACTAGTGCCATGGCAGAAGACCTTATCGCCCTCTTGGATTACATTGGTTGGAAGGAACCCAGAGGAATACATATCATTGGCTTGTCTCTTGGCGGCATGATAGCACAAGGTGCGACCCCGGACAGAGCCATAGAGCACAATTCGCTGACCGAAAAATCGTAGAGGTGGCATATCGCATTCCAGAACGGATTACATCACTGACTTTGGGCGTCACCACTCCGGGAGGATATCCATGGACCAACTTTCCGCCGGTGCGTCTGCTGAGATCTGGCGCTCGTTCTCAGCTAAGTCTTGCTTTTGCAGTGGAAGGGGGTTATAGGGCTCTTGAAGTACGCTTTTGATACCTTCCAAAATCCATTTTGACCGTCCCTGTAGGGCCACCTTCACCAAGGACCTCACCATCAAGATCCCCATTATACACGATATGGTTTTTACCAAGTCCTGGCTTGAAGACAAGGACGAAGAAGATCCTGGTCGGACCAACAGAGAGCGTGAAACCGAGGTATGTTATATGATCCAGTTTTCCTAGGCTTTCGGGGAATTTATATCTTGGCAGGTACTCAGGAAACGCATGGATTTAACCAAGCCACAAACTCTTCTAGGAACTATATATCAGATGTGCGCCGGTCTTACTCACCATGTTACTCCGGATCGGCTGCGCAAAATTTCTTCGTCCGTCCCTAAGGTTCGTTCTTTGTGAACTACATTATGCAAGTCTGATTCCCATCCTTCCATAAGGTTATTCTTGTCACGGGAGACGAAGATAACTTGGTAAAGTCTGAAAACACGTTCTACCTCAAGCGGTACATGCCTGAGGCGGAGGTGGTTCAATGGCAGAACACTGGGCATGCCATTCACTATCAGCGCCGACGTGAGTTCAATGCTTTAATTGAACGGGTGGTCAAGGAAGGTCGGGAGAAAGTCTTGCAGCAAGACTAGACTACTTATACATTAGAAGTAATTATGTTTTTCTCGGAAAATGTACTTATTACCCCTACCGAAAGCCAATAACGCGCTCACGTTCTGTCATATTTGACCTAGTTTTCAGATCCTCAGAACTTTCTTTTGCCTCGAGGCATTTACATGAGTTAGAAATGCGTCGTGGCGCGCTTGGGTCCGATGTTCCAACAGATGGAGATCGTAGATTTGTTTATTTTGGATTATACCCACTGGAAATTTGCTCTTACAATTATTTTCCGGCGGTATTCGGCGTAGACTTTGAATGCCGGAACTTCCTCGACTTCCGTTTCCAACGACACTCTGCAATCAGACAAGAGTCAAGAAACACTGTTTTATTATTCCTATGCGATTAACGTATAGAGAACTAAGATAAAGGGAAATGTCCGACAAGAAGCGTACTCGACTTCAGGCTTTCGGACATCTGACATCTGAATCCGTTCCGTCTTCCTCCTCCACTGAGGTCGTAGACAAACCGGCCAAGAAGCGCAAGAAATCTACTAGTACCAAGCCCCGAGGCAGCAGACAACTGGATCTTTCTGAATGGCCCAATCATTTCAATATGGTGTGCCACTCACCGTCTGCGCGGGTGTCTGCTAATAGGTCCATCGTGACTTCAGCTATTCAAGGTACGCAGTGATGTTTGAAAGACGTTCTCAATGCATATGTGAGTGTCTAGGTGTTTAAGGTAAGACCGATAAGTGACTCGTAACTGAGTACCAAGCATTGACTGGCCTACTCCAGGCACTCAACACCGTCCTTGCATTTGTATCATCACGAAGGGAGCTTGCCACGTCTTTCCCTGTAATTCGTCAGTCTGTAGAGAACATCACGAAACAGTGAGGCTTTTTCTGTGGCTTCTGGTCTGTCCTGAACACAATTGCCTCAGGCCGCTGGAGCTCGCGCAAGTAGCAGAACTCAAGTATGCATTTTACTCGTTTGTGTTACAATCTCTTACCAGAGCGACAGAGCCCTGCTGCCTGAAATTATCACTTTTTCTTATGTACCTTCCCTTCCTGAGGATACAACTATGCTTCAAGGACCGTCTTCGCAGAGCGCCACAGATTCAGAAGGACATGTCCTGCGTCTGGAATTCGTGGACAATTGGAATGGGGCGTCAAAGAATAGCCAAGGGTAATGTCCTGTCACTTTAACGTCTTCACGGTACATTAATCCCATGGAAGGCTTTTGATCCCATCTGCGCGTTCCGCCGCTTTGACTAAAAAGTTGATAGATAGGCGCAATAATAGATTTATTCAAGCCGTCGAAGAGTGGGTCATCATTTTGATCCTATCATAGTACTATGTAACGGTTCACCCAGGCTTCTGCAGGCAGTTTCACCCGAAGAAGATGCCGTCGCTCTTGTTCAAACAGCGGCCAAGGCATGCGTTCCGGCCAAGCCTCAACTTCAGACTGCAGGGACCGACGATCTTGAGCCTTATTTCTCTGTGCCTGAACCAAAGGACCGCCCTTCAGTCCAAGAAGTCCTCGCCAACATCGTGTCGCAGCATTGGTATAAGGACCAAATTGTGACGAGGAGAACTTTCCAAGCCAAAGACGGACACACAGGTTCTTATTCGGCCTCTTAGATATTATTGAGTCGCTTACCGACCTGCAGATCTGGAATTGGATGTGCCGTTATCCTCCACGATTCAAGTCGCTTTGAAAGATTCACGAAACATCACCAATCTCTACTCTCACCAAGTTACGGCTATCAATGCCATTGGCAAGGGAAGAAATGCCATTGTGTCTACCAGTACCGCTTCAGGTAAAAGCGTTATTTATCAAGTCCCGTTGTTACGATTTCTGGAAGAAAATCCCGATGCCACGGCTATATTCGTCTATCCGACCAAGGTATGTAGATACACAATGCTTGAATCTGCTATTCAGTTCTTTGTAGGCATTGGCTCAGGACCAAAGAGGGGCTCTGGAGCAGCTGCTATGCACATGCCCTGGCCTTCAGCATATCAAGGTAAACTTCGCATTAATTTAATAGCTATGTTTTTGTACATAAAATCTCATGATGGTTCTTATCAGGTTTCAACATATGATGGGGATACTCCTCAGGATAAGCGTAAAGGCAAGTTGATGCGATTACTTTTCGTCCAGTCTTGAATAAGCGACTTGCAGGCATTCGGGAGTCCGCGTCTGTGATATTAACGAACTTTGTAATTGGCATTTTATTGAATATCTGAAAGGCTCTCTAATGTCACATGGTATAGGACACGATCCATGCGTCCATCCTGCCCCAGGAAGATTCCTGGCGAACATTTTTTAAAAACATTAAGGTTCGTACAAGACGTAAATAACAGGCCTCTCTTTGATGCAATCAACTGGTAGCTTTTTGTTATGGATGAGCTACACTATTACACCGGCCTATTTGGCACGTAAGCATCCCTATAGTTTTCTCCGAGATACCTTCAGATTTGAGGTCTGGATCGTTTTGCAGGCATGTCGCATATATCATGAGACGCTTTCGCCGTATATGTGCAGCAGTAGGAAGTAGGTTCATATTCGTCCGATCTTGATCAGCTCTGATGTATAAGGTCAAAGATCGAAGAATTCACTTCGTTTCGTGTAGCGCCACAATATCAAACCCAGGAAGTCATATGGAGCGTATATTTGGCCTCGACAGCAGTGGTGTTGAAGTTGTTACAGAGGATGGCGCCCCAACGGGCGAAAAGAGTTTCGTAGTCTGGCAACCGTCAAATATCGATCTTGTCGCCCCCGGTTTCGGAAGAGACAGCTCTTTATCGGAGGCCGTTAGACTCATGATCCATTTGATGAAGCATGGCGTTCGCGTAATTTTGTTCTGCAAGGTGAGCTTAGCTAGGACTTCACTTCACCTTTCTGGTCTTGATCCGCGACATCAGTTCAGGAAGGCGTGCGAAATGGTAGAGCAAACAAACAAAAAAATGCAGAGTTTGGGCTGATGTCGTTCCCAGGCTATGAAAGCTCTTCGTGTCATGTTAGGAATGAGCCGACGTGGTGACATCCTGCAAAGAGTGAAGTCTTACAGAGGTGGTGAGTGCCTCTTTCTTTACGTTGGCTTCTTTCTATTTATGCTAATGGTCTCCCAGGATACTCACCAGAAGTGCTATTATCCTATTCCCCGTCCTTTTGAATGCTAACCCTGCCGTCTTAGGATCGGCGTGACATAGAGCGTGACGCATTCAGCGGACAACTACTCGGAATTGTGGCCACAAATGCATTAGAGCTTGGTGTTGACATTGGGGCTCTTGACGCTGTAATTATGCTAGGCTTTCCGCTGAACATATCAAGCCTCGTAAGTATACTCTTATTTCTTTAGGGAGTTTATCGACACTTCACAGAGGCAACAAACTGGAAGAGCGGGTCGGAGGTCCCGTGATTCTCTAGCGATCCTTGTAGCCGAAGCCCTACCAGTAGATCAGTACTATGTCAACCACCCGGAAGATCTATTCGATAAGAGTCCCGATGATTTGGTCATCGACTTGGATAGCAAACTGACCTTGGAAGGTGCGTAATCAGTTTGGACAGCTGGATTGAAATTTAAAGCATTTTTGGTCACAGCTCACTTGCAATGTGCTGCAAACGAAATGCCAATATCGTTGAAAGATCAGGTTTATTTTGGCCCTTTAATGATCGAAGTTTGCAAGACACGACTCGTTGCGGACGATGAGGGCTGGTGAAGCTCCAAATAGTCTCTTCCTGATGTTCCTCGTTCTCATGACGAGTAGGTATCACACTCACCACAAATTCCGTCCTTATCCATCCAAGTACATCACTCTTCGTAAGTCGTGGTCATAACGCTGAGTCTATCACGCGTATAACTTTTCTGCGCCATTGTTAGGTGGGGTTGAAGAAGACAAGTACCTAATCATCGATGTCACACAAGGAAGGCACACTATCCTCGAAGAGATGGAAATGTCTCGCGTTCTTTTTGAAATTTATGATGGTGCTGTTGTGAGTTCTATCCTTTCTATTTTTGGAACCGTCATTGACACTTTCTTCCAAGTTTATACATCAGGGAAGAACTTACATTGTCAGCGCGATGTTTTTTGTCGTAGGATTCTCCACTTGACAACTCATCAGGTCAAGGAACTCCGCCACAGTGCAAAAACTGCTACACTGATTCAAAAAGACGTCGACTACATAACATCACCTAGGTATCATCCCCCCACAATTTGATGATTTTTTTTCTGACAATGCTCATCAGGGACTATACGTGAGTGATATGGTTCTAACAATACAAGCGTTGTGTCTAAGTTACGAAGCGACGTGAACGCGGTGCAGACGCTTCGCATTCGTGAGATCAAAGGTTCTCCGGAGCTTGCATATTACGGAAACGTTGAGGTCAAGGTCAAGGTCTTTGGTAAGGATACCATCTTCATCTCTAACAATCCAACCCGGCTTATGTTTCTGAAACGCCCAGGATATTTTGTACTCAAGTTCTTTTGAATCCATTTCTTTCTACTATAAAAATCTAAAATATTCTTTCCTAGGGACAGCAAGATAAAAGACGTCGTCGACCTTGACAATGATCCTTGGGAGCAAGAGACTATGGGAATGTGGCTCGATGTACCAAAGCAGATACCGGGCTGGCTCAGCAACAAAGGGATCAAACCTGCAGCAGCTATTCATGCAGCGGAACACGCGTTTCTCAACAGGTTTGCGTTAGCTCAAGATGTCAAGACTGAATGCAAAGCCGAGGAGAAGGAGATAATGATCAAGAAGGAATCCCAGCGCAAGCGACCTGCTCGGTAGGTTACACTCTTAGTCACGTCATGGCCTGCAGTCTATGCTTTTCCCGTTAGGATCATATTCTGTGATCATGTCGGACAAGGAATGGGCAGTGGTATGACGGCAAAAGCTTTCGACAACGGTATGGTTCAATTAGAGTTAGGGTCCTTCAAACTGACGTGAGCCCGCAGTTTATGACATACTGCGTAAAGCCTATGAGGCGATCGTCAGTTGCGACTGCGACGATCTCAAGGGATGTACTAAATGTAAGCAATCTGATTTTGGTATCTAAGCAACCTCAGCAGTGGTCTCCAGGTGTACAAAGTCCCTCATGCACAGAAGGCAACAAGGTCTGTTCAAAGTCCGGCGCACTCGTCATTCTGAAGGCCTTGCTTGGCTACGAAGTGGATCCTGCCAGTATACCAGACGAACACGACACATTTGAAGGAGGAACAGACACCATAGTTTCTGCATCTCACGTTCGTAAATTGGGAGATATCAAGATAGAAAGAAACCTAAAATAATCCTGTATAAATAAATTACATAACAGCATGCTACCTCATTACGACTATGTTAATGGATCAAAATCACCCCAATCAATGTTCGACTTGGAGTCTGAGGTACTCCAGGATGGTTGGGCGGGTTTGGAAGGTGCAAGTATGTTGCCCATGGTCATTGTAGGGTTTAGTGGAGTCAACATCGCTGGGGTTTGTGTAGGGAACAGTGATGGTGGCGGTGAAGATGCGGGAAGAATGGGATTCTGTAATGCGCTCATCGTAGGAGCTGGAGTAGAGAATTGTATGTTATAATTAGGTTTCTGTGGTTGTGCTGGTGGTGGGAAGCCACCGGTGTTCGTGGGCCGCATAGGAGACATGGTGGATGTGGAAAGCGAGATGTTGTAATTTGGCTTTTGAGGTTGGGGCGATGGCGGAAAACCGCCCGTGTTCGTGGGCCGCAGAGGATTCGAAAAGGATCGGTTAGACGGCGGTGAAGGGAAGGAGGCGGAACTGAAAGAAGCCGCCGGAATTGATTTTGCACCCAGCCGACTTCCTTGTATGGTCCTAGGTGAAGAAGGTGAAGCAGGTAAGGTAGCTTGCGGAGGAGGCGCCGCTGGCGATAGGGCAGGACTATGTGTTCCAGACGTCTAAATAAAGTTGGGGACGTTAACATCAAAACGAGAAGGGAGAGAACTAGGCAATACTGACTTCGTCACTGAAAATGCTACCCCAAACATCATCGTCCCAAGAGGCATTGCTGCTCTGTTTCTTTGTGCTTGTGCTTGTGCCAGTGGGAGCAGCTGCGCCTGCTCCTCCAACGAGGCTTTCAAAGTCGACAGCACCAGCAAAACTATGAGGGTTGGTACCATTTCCGTTGACGGCTACACCTGATCTATCCTCCAGTCTCTGTGAATCACGAAGGAACTGATTATGCTCCTTCTCCACTCGATCACCTAATCTCTTGATGACATCCATGAAACGTTGAAACTGCTCGACGTTCAGGACTATCATCCACATTTAGTAGAATTTAGGGCCATAGAACATACAAAGCGACTTACGTGGACCCATGGACATTGCCCAGAGCTGGGGAAGCACCAGAGTGGCAACAGCTTCTCTATCCACTTTGAAGCCCATTGCTTCTTGAACCGCCAAGGTTGCTGTCTACTAATGGTATGAATTTTCAATCCGTACGAGTCTGACAATAATTTACCATCACAGCCGGCTCTTTGGTGCGAATTTTTGATAATAAGGGAACGAGTTTCTGGGTCAGGCTTGTCTAGATGTGTGTCGCGCTCAGCGGTAGTGTGACAAGCGACGGAGAGAAACCGCTAACCTGATCTAACGTCTTCACCATCGCCAAGAAAGTCTCCAAAGTAGCAACTTTTACAGTGAGTATCCTCGTCTTACTGAAGACAAGCTATAAAGATAGGCGTCTGTCAGAGAGATACCTTGTGAAAGCAATAGACGTGGTCCTACGGCAACTCTTGGAAACATTACGCCTTGTACCTCGGCGTAGTCAATGGTGTCACACAAATCCGGGATTATCTTTAAAGCACGCTCTTGGACCTCATCATAGGGCCTAGTCAGACCTTCTGATGGCCTTGTGAGATATAAAAGAGCTCACGATAGCATGCTCTGATTCTAGAGCATTATAAACCAATGGCAGAACCTCTGAGCAATGGTCAGCACTACGTACAAACGACTTTTTCAGTACTATGAACGTACCTCCTCGAAAGACAGACTTGTCAGTTTTGCCTTGCAGCATGGAAAGATTGTCCAGTAAAGTAAGCATGTTCTGCGGAGGCTCCTTGACGGCGAACAAAGGCTTGAGACTCGGTAGGACCATGGAGGCAAACTGAGGAGCTGAGAGCGCAGTTGCTATGGCAAACACATTCGGAAGGATATACGGCAGTAGATGCGTGTCTTTCATCTGCAGTGGAATTAGCAGGGGCGAAGTGCCGGAAAGGACAAAGAATGCACCTCTTCAAGAAGAGAAGGCAGCATCTTTCTCGTCCGGAGACCTTCTGAGAACTTGTCCAAAACACCTGTCAGACCCTTCATGAAGCCGACTTTCTCCTCCCTGGTCTTCGCTGTAAAATTAGATCGATCCAAAAAGTTTAATGTTGATATGGGTAGAGAGGAGAAAAACGGATGAGAAGGAAGCGTTGTCGGGGTCGGTCTGTTATTTGAGTGACGCGTTATTAGGGAACGAAGAAGACCTTGAATGATCATGAGAAAACAGGAAGGTAAAGGTTGCGAAAACAGCTGACCTTTCAAGTCATCATCGAGTCTCTCCATGCCTGGAAGAGCTCGTCCAGCATTCTCTCTTAACCCTGCTAGACTACCATGAGTTTGAAATGGCGTCTGTCCCTTGCAATGCACCGCGTAGAGCACAACGCCGAGAGAAAACATGTCGGACGCAGTTATCAGGACTTCATCCAAGGCATACTCCGGGGCTGTATCGACCCTGGTTTAATTCGTCAGCGAATAGACAAGGCGCACAGCTCACCCATATAATCAAAGGAACGCTGTATGTACGACGGTACACGTCCATCGAAGGTCGGAAACTCCCACCGCGTCGGAGAACCGTTGAGTTGAAGGAGCGGAATAGTGAGGCCCAAACCGGATATCTTCCAATCACCCTTCAAGGATGTCAGTGTCTTGAACGTAGACCGTATTAGACACGTACTGCACTATTGATGATAATGCTTTCTGGACATATGTTTGAGTGTATTAGCTGTGCCGACGTATGAAGGAAGGAGAGGCCTTTGCAGATCTGCAAGATGCCCTTTTGAATCTGGAAACGAAGGGTCAGGAAAGCTGGCATCGCGAACCAGAACGAGTCGCACCTCAACCTCGTCAAGCTCCACCCACGGTCTGAATCGCGAGCTACCAGGAATCGACATATCCAGCGACGAGAGAATGGGTTCTGTCGCAAATATGAGCTCGCTTCGTGTTTCTTCGAGCGGTTCGACCATTTCTTGACACGTTCGCAGTCAGCTCTTTCAGTAGACAAAATTATATCTGGCTAACCGAGGATGGATGGATGCCGCAAGCGACCAAGTGCTGATGCCTGTAATTTTTATTCGCAGTTGTGGCATGAACACGAAGGAGTGAACGCACCTCTCCTTTTAGCACCTCCAGTATCCTCTCCTTTGACAGTGGACCCAACCTCTCCGTCTCAGGCCCGCGTTTATCGAAACTCCATACTGCTACCCGTTTGTTAGTAACTTTGTGGTAGGCACCTTGCACCTTCCATAGGCCGATATGCAGCGAGACAGACAAAGTTTGAGGTGAATTCGAGGTGGAAGCTGGACCAGGTGTGGACGATCTGCTTCCTGTTGCTGAGGGGTCTCCAAAGTTATACGATTGAGAAATTGCGGTGCGAGCAAAGAAAGAAGTGGCCGCCGCGAGCATGGTGTTCAAAAGGAAAGAACGTCAAGATGTGCTGTGTACAATTTGGTCGTCTATACGTCCGACTCTCGCAAATAATTAGAGTCGAGCATGTTTCATTAGACAGATTATAAGTGAGGAATATCGATGATACAAATGATACGGACATGCCAGTAATACAAGATAATAATGATGTCTACAACACGAACAAATGCACCTATGCCATTTCGTCCAACTCTGCATCATCCTGCCCAACCTCTTCCACGAAATCACTGACCACATCTTGCAGTTCCCTCACAAGATTATCTCTGTCCCATGCAGAACGATGGCGCCAAATACATCCCAGACACATAGCACGCAACTGTTCGAGCTGCTCCACAGTAAGCGAAGACGTATTCCCGCGCAGACTACCTTGTAATTGTGATATGAGGCCTTCATCGACATGGAATTCGGGTAGCGGAGTAGGTGTTCTTTCGATAAGGATTGGTGAGGGCTCTTTCTCAGGTACAGGAGAGATGCTTTTAGGTGCTGGTGAAGGATCCTTCATTGCTGGGTTGACCTCGGGTGCAAAAGGGTTCTCGGGGTCGTGAATAGGAGCGGGAGGAATAGCTGAAGGCCTGGCGACAGGAGGAGTAGGTTCCCACTGTCCCATAATACTAGTACCAACGGGAGCAGGGTTAAGGATCGAGTTAAAGTTTGACGGTCGAGTAGTTACAGGATCGGCCGCCATGGCTTCAGGTTGCATATTCGTATATGCAGAGGCGTGGGAATATGAGGGCATATTCGAGTAAGAGGGCATCGAATGCTCGTTCCTGTATGAGGGCATTGGATGTTGATTCATATACGGTGGCACCGACTGCTCAGTCCCATATAGTGGCATCGGCTGCCCATTCGGATACGAAGACATTGATGGTGTTGGCTGGTATGAGGACATCGAACGCTCAGGCATATATAGAGGCAAGGCATGATGCATTGAAGGTCCAGGAACCGGGAACGGGGCGGGCTGAGGGTAAAGAGAAGGAGCACCCTGCTCATTGAAAGATGGTTGACCATTCGGTAATTGAGGGTATAGAGGCTGCATCGCTGGAATAGGTTGCATCGATTGATCGAATGAGGGTACTTCGAATCGCACTCGAGGTGGAGAAACAAGATTTAGAGGATCGCTATCATCCGGATCGCCGTCCGCGTCCGCGTCCCCGTCGGCGTCACCATCAAGCAACTTTGTTCGCTTAGCATCGCGACCCTCTCCGTTCTCTTCTTCTGATCCATTCGAGTCGAGCACTTGTCCATCCGCCCTCTGCCGCTTCAAGCTGCGTTCCAACCTCACAGGATCGGTAAGCGCAAGCTCTGGCTGCTGGCCGTTGTTTCGGGCACTTCTACGTGCAGTGACGACAGCAGCCTCTGTCGCTTTGCCCTTCTCCTTCTGCTTGTTCTTCTTATACTCTTCGCGGCGCTTTCTCTCCCTTGGCGCCATCCGCTCACACTCAGCACGAATGTGAGGATCAAATTCCTGGAATATGACCTCTGCTGCGGTGAACAGCGCTTGAGCCTTTAATAAGCGCTCATGATCGTCCTTGGTAAAACAACAGACTGAGGCATTATGGACAATTTTCCCAATGTCGTCTAGGAAGTCTTGAGGAGTGAGATACCGATCATTGTAAATTTCGATGTGCATCCTATCAAGGTCTATGTCGTACAATTGAGGTCGTGGGGCAACCTGCTCAGGGACAGGCGGTCCTGGAACAATGCCATTGACATGTCCATTCACAAGAGGCCGCGGTGCTTGCTCTTCTAGAGCAATTTCAATGACACCATTTGGTTCCGCCTGGCCTTCAACTGTCGCTGGGACGGCTTGAGCAACCGCCGGCTCTAGGAATGCATTGTTAAACATTTCGAATGGATACTCATCCTTTGCAAATATGGATAAGCATACTACCTCCCAAAAGAAATGGAAGTTACTTACGGTAGCTCGTTTAGTAAATCGCTTAAATTTCCGCTTCAAGTCAGCCAGGATAGGTCCGAGCCGGCCCTTCAATGAGGTTATGACACGATGATCACTCTCGATCTGCATCGCGATTTCAGCAGCGGTCAGTTGACGAGGTTCTGGCGGTGGCGCTATCGGCAGCTCCTCAAGGATACGCTTTTTCCTTTTGATGCCGTCCGCAAACATGTTGGGAGGCCTCCGGATGTCCTTGATGAGACCGTCGAAAAATTGTTCTCGATGCAGGGCAGTGGGGACAAGCAACTCGACTCGATTATCTTTAGTGGGGCCGAACCACGACTTGACGTCACGGGGTAGGTCCATGAACCTACCGTCAACGATGGCTAACAGAAGAACGGGGTCTGTAGGTGCCAGGGTATCAAGCATGGCGCGGACGGTGGATCGAGACGTTTCGGACACAGCTGCACACCAGCCCACAAGAGAGGGTATATAAATGACGGAGGGCTGGTGTCGTTTCGCCTCCACGAATAATTGAACGATGGCGGCTTCGACGGTCTGTTCATGATCAGTTGATGAAAGTAAGAGTTTCATGACTACTCACTCTTGTGGAGTCGCCCATCAGGGTACCCAATTCAAGGCTTTGGACGTGATAGCCTTCCAAGTGGTGTAGAATGGCTGCGCCGATGTACCCTTGGCCCATTCCTGGCGGTCCATAAAGTAACATTCTGGGTCGATGTATTCGCAAAGTGGCCATGGCTAAAGCCGGGTCAAATCAAATAGGTGAGGGAGCAAAAAAGGGCTTACATTGTGACAGCAATTCACGCTCCAAAGCACCAGCTTCATCATCATCATCATATTCCGCTTCCTCCAAAGCGGAAAGCTTTTTTTCAACGGGAAGCACACGCTCAATTACGGCTTTGGCTTTTTCAAATGTCTCGGAGAGTAAAGGTTCAAATTGCGGCGGTAATGGTGTAGCAGAGGAAGATGACGAGCGGGCAGACGATGGAATCATCTCTGAAAATAAGTTTTATGACGTGCTATACGAAGCGGTAAGAAAAAGACACACTCTTGATTGAAATCATAAAGTCCCTCAAGCCAACTCCAATGGTTTCAGGCTTAAGTAAAAGCCGGTCATTAGACTTGTAAATCTGCGGATACTTGCGCTGTACAGCATTCAATGCGGCTTCCGTACATAATGCCTGAGATTTCAGTCAGTCCCAAGGAATAGGTAAAAGACAGGAGCGAGAGTGCCCACCCTCAAGTCTGCACCACCATAGCCTTTGGTCATTTTAGCCAGACCTTTGATCTTCTCTGAACCGTCCTCTCCAGACCACCCTTCCCAGTCTTTCGTCATGATACTTAGAATCCTTTCTCGTGCATCAATCTTGGGCAACGGGAAGTAAAATTCTCTGTCAAACCGTCCAGGTCGTCTGAGAGCAGGATCGATGGCATCGGGTCGATTCGTTGCTCCAATAACAATTACCTGTCCTCGTCCATCCATACCATCCATGAGAGCTAACAACGTGGAAACTATTGAGGCATGTATCTGGTCCTGCTTCGACGACCGGACCGGCGCCAAACCATCTATCTCGTCGAAGAATATTATAGAAGGCTGACAAGCACGAGCTTCTTCGAATAATAGGCGAAGTTGCCGCTCAGCTTCACCGACCCATTTGGAAAGGGCATCAGCGCCCTTCCGCATGAAAAAAGCTGAAGGAAAGTATCAGACTAGGATCCGGATAAAGAGAGATCAAATCACATATTTGTTTGCCATTCGAACGACAGCTCGCAGCAAGAGCTCGAGCAAGAAGAGTCTTTCCTGTACCAGGGGGTCCATGAAATAGAACACCTCGAGGTGGAGTGACATTAAATCGTTGGAAGACTTCAGGATATAGTAGAGGCAAAAGAGTCATTTCCTTCAGGGAGTGAATATCTGGAGGAAATAAGCAACAAGAACGGAGTAGAGATGTGACTACTCACGATCATCCAGCCCACCGACTTCGTCAAAGGTTACATTCACATTGACACCCAAGGGGTCTGCATCCGCGAGAGCTGGGAACATGACGGTATGAGCACAAAAGTCCAACTTGCAGGTCCAAGAAAGAACGCACCAGCATCGGTGATTTTCCCTAAATTTGACGGCGTCCCAGCCGCCGCGAAATCGGGCGGTATTAGACCATTGCCGCCTGCAGCGACACCGCCGTCGAAGGCGCCCATACCAAAGCGCTTACGGGGAGTCCTCGTAGGCGCATCAGAGTCAGAATCGTCACCCGCACCACCCATACCCATCCACTTCGAAAGCTCTGCACCACTTGCACTCCAGCCCAATCCTTTTGGCTTCCGCCCTCCGCCATAACCGTTTCGTCCATGGCTTTTGGCCGGTTTCACAGCGGGTCTGGACATCTCCTCTAGCGGAGGCGGGATAGCGTAATTGATCCTTTGTCGCTGACGCAGAGCATATGGCTTTCCATCATCCCCTTCCTCCATATCTTGATCCCCTTCTGCATCCTCGGCATCATGGGTTTCTGGAGGCTCCAAATCTGACGATGTGCCAGGCGCGTCGTCAAGCGACCCGTCAGCAGACGCAGATGCACCAGAAGATGTATGAGCTTCGTAGTCGGCATCGTGATTATGATTGCGCAGAGCCCGTTTAGCTGCTCGCACCGAACGCATTTCAGCCTGGGTGGGCCGGCTGGGCTCTTTGCGGGACCGCAACCTAGTCTTAGGACCGGTCTTGTCCTTGTCGTCGTCCTCGACGACGAAATCACGGAGGTTGCGTATCTTCCGGCCAGTTCGACGTGGGCCATGTTCCTCTTCCTCATCGTCCCCATCATCGTCCCCAGCAGCTACGTCCCCGTCGTTGAAGAGTTGATCCGCAGAGGCAACGTCGCCGGCTATGACAGGGTCATCATCGCTCTCAGCATATGAATGCTTTGCAACCGTTCGACCACTACGCGTCTTTGTCAACTCAGGTTTAGACGGTTCTTCGACGTCGGCTGGTGGTCCCGACAGTTGGTCGTCGGATGATTTGTCGCTACCGCCATCATGGTATTCAGATCCTGAAGGAGCGCTTTCAGATCCGCGAGAATGTCTTGAAGACCTACGGAGTTGAACAACCATTGGAGGTATCTTTAAGGTAACTTTTTGCAGCAATGGCGGGGTATGCTGTGAAGAGGCGTGCTGATCCGCGGGTGAGGGTTGGGGCATAAACACGTCACTGGCGTAGCTTGCAAACTATGACTGTCGACGTATTAGAAGGAAGGATATGGAAACGACTAGGCAGCGCTGTGGGCGCCGTCGCGCACGACGATGAAGAAATTCAAGAGGAGTAGACCTTTGTCTTTATTTGGCAACGTCATTTGCTTTGTTTGTCCACTGATGTTGTAATCTGGCTGAACGTGTTCGGATGATCCTCCTCGAGGAAGGTCTGCCTGCCTCCACACCTCAGGACGCCTCATCTCGCTTTGACGCTGCATGAAGCAAACTGTTGGAAAGCGCATGGAAGACGACGACCGACTCCGGCCCCCTTTCCAGCCATTTTTCAGCAGAAAAAAGGGGTAAAAGCGAGAAAATGCTGCTGGATCGTGGGTCCAAAAGTTCCGAGATGGGCGTTTGAGACAAGAGCCTTGGAAATCGTTTTCAAGGCAGAGCTCAATTTCGACGATTGTGTCCGGTTACATCCGTGTGAAGTACAATGTCACTTGTGATGCGTGACAACATTGTGCCAACTTAACACCATTACTGAGGATGTGTTAACAGATCTCACCTATTGTGCACATTTCAACCACCCAACTATGTCACTCTATCCATCTGGAGCAGCTGCAGCAGTATAATATCCAGCTCGCCTTCAGAGACAAGGCTTCGCATTGCGGTTGAACGTTTGCGTGTACTGGAGGATCGCATCCAGACACTCAGAGGCCAAAAAAAGGCAAGGCGTGGCAGGGCGGCAGGCGTGCAAGAGACGCTCCTTGCAGCAATCGAGGCGCAGGAATCGAAAACGGAACAGCTACGTAGGTTTCTGGTGCTGCTATCAGAACTGAAGTACTACGAACGCATCCGAGCGGAGAAGACGGAGGCTTGGCAGGTTGATCTGCATGAGGATCTCGCTGAAGTTCTGGTCGACCTTGTCAAGCACGCTAGCGCCAGGCGAGGCTCATATTGGAACGAAATCATCTCCCAAGTCATTGTTCCTGTTCCTTATCCCGAATATCCTGACGCCATTCAAGAAACTTCTTGCTTCTCGTAAACAGAGAAAAGGATCGCAAATGTTTGCAGATTTCTGGCAAAATATCGCTCAGAAAGATAGTCGGAATACAGACGTAACTTGTCCTACGCCTTCCAAACGCCCTCAGGCCTTGCATCAGAGTGCGAGGCTCCCAGGTCGATGATTTCTTGAGGATCAAGAGGGGGGATTCTGTTGTAGCAGAACCCGGCAACTGCAGACTTTCGGTGTCTTTCTCTGAGGCTGTATCTTTATCCCCGCTTCGCACTATGCATCCATCTTCCTGCTATTCTCTTCGCTCGGACCTGTGCAAGTTCAGCGAAGACTGCTCATCATTCCTTCATTCTACGAAACCAGATCCGCCAGCTAAGACATCTGTTTTTGGAAGATCTCGGAAAGTATCTACCCGCGACTTGTCTACTACTCAGATACCCATACTACCTCCCACCCCTTCGCAATATACATTCGCTCTCCCTTCAAGCAGAAGCGACTACATGTCTATCAAACATGCCCTCCAATCTCTCGACCGAATTTGCTCTTCAATGGATGGCGGGGCTAGCTCTGAAACTTTGGCGATTGATTCACTGCCTTTCCATCCAACTCCTATAATCCACGCATCAGCTTTCTCAGGAATCATTAAGAGCAACTCCAGGGTGCGGCGCTGTTGAGATTTTCCCTGAAGGCTTCACTGCATCGCTTCCTCAATTCCGTGTGCTGGCAGTTCCTCCTACCACATCTCTTCCTGGTATGACTCTGATTGAAGCGCTCCTTTATACGCCTCCGAAAAAATCAAGGTTATCCATCTTGAAGAGGATCGCTCCAATTGGTCAGATGAGACTTTCCTTCAATCCAAAGCCAAAGGTATCTTCTCTACGGGGTCCAGTGGCCAAACCACCAGCTTTCAAGGAGGTCCCGACTCGCGGCAAAGAGAATCTTCCCATCGAGATGAAGCAGATAAACAGTAGAAAGTTGAAGCCTATTCGGAGTTTGGGATGCTTGGGGCCCAAAACTCAGAATTAAGTTTTGGTCCTCATATATAATGCCTGCGTATCTATGTATTACTTGTAACAATAATCAGAGCATTCAGCCAGGTCCAAGCGCAGCCATGCGTTAAGATTTGCCACCTTGATTTATATTATTATTACTGCCGCCGGTCTTCCGCAGCGTTTCACCTTGTTTCACGATTGACGTCGCGTCACTTGTCCGCAGCACGAAAGGAAGTATAACTTTGCTGCTGTTACACAGGACTGCGTAGCAAGAATTCTTTTGCTTTCTTCCTTGTCTTTCCTTTCAGATGATACTGGACGAGAAATGCATTCTTGCACCGCCTCCTCCTTATGTCCAGGCTACTGCAGGAGGCTGCCCGCTTCGTCGCCGGTCAGACTTGACACTCTCGTCCCTCCCATCCCATCTTTTACTTCAAGTTGTCTACTGTACATTCCCCCTTGAGGATGGCGAGCACGACAGCGACTCTAAAGCTGTCAGACAGCGGGAGAATCTGCACTGGTTGGAAAAGTCGTTGAGACTGGTGAATAGAGCGCTGTACATTGGTATGTATCACCATCTACACTGTTCCACAGTATCTAATGCCGACTGTCAGCTTGTATGCATATATTAAGGTCGACGTATCTCCCAGCATACGACCGTCTCGTACGACCGCCATATACCTCGGATCCATTCCCTACCTCTTCGGTTTCCGAGACCCAATCATCCACTTCCCCATTATTCACCCACCATCGAGAACTAGCGACTCTCGATCGCTTCATTTCTCTGCTGGCGCATGAAGACCGCCTCCTAGACGCGTCAGACCTTCATTTACCTCGTGAAGAGGCTTACAAGGATCTTTTCGACCTTGTGCAGCCAAAGAGCCGGCTGGAGGACTTGATAGCAGAACAAGGATGTAGTTGTGGTGTTGTGGTCTTTGACCGTCTGCGCTCGAAAGGCCATCGTTCAACTAACAGTGGCTTGTCGGTCGTGTCAGTCTCGTCGGCAATGACGTCGACGTCGACGCTCAGTTCTCCCCACGATTCGACTTCTTCAATCAAGAAACACTATGATAACGAGCTCACTTCTTCGTCGCCGATGCTGTCCATGCAAACACCTCCTAAAGTAAAGCAGAAGAAGTCCTCATTTAACCTGTTCTCTTTCCGACGTTCCAAGAAATCCATCACCCCTCCTCCGCCTGTTCCCGCCCAGAAATACTCCATAGATCCCATTCCATTTTCCACCCTAACCGTCTCTTTCTCTCCAAAGAGCGTAGGCCTTGTGTATACCCCTCCTCCCCAGGCTCTGTATTCTGCTTTTACCACCTGTTCATCCTTTCCCTATGGAGGAAGCACGTATGGGTCCTTGAGTGTGAGCATGAACGCCAATGTTCTGCGAAAAAAGACGCTCGTCGAAATCAGCAGAGCCAGAGATGAGCCTCTCGAGGTCAGCGCTAACCGATTGGTGCAGTCCTTGAAAGCGTGGCTTGAAGAAAACTAGAGTATCTCCCACTTTTTGGATAGCCGAAATCTGTGCATCTCCCTTCGTGTCGTCGTAATATTCACAAAGACGTGTATTGACGGAGTTTTCCATTCTTACCGGTGCAGGGTCTTATATCCATATTCACTCATATCTAGAATATTTTTGTCTCCCGTATTTTCGCATATGTAGGATAGCAGCAGTACGTAACAAGGGGTGTGTAAAATATAACAGCGAGGCATAAAATGAAACAATATTTTCTACAGACGTACCTTGTCGTCGCGAGCAGCCGTCACGATCTCATGGTTCTTTCTCCAGACTGCCTCCATCCCTACGAGGCTCTGATAACTTATCGACATTGCCTTCCTCGTGGTTTAACATTTCTCTCGCGTATGGCGGAGCCCATCTTTCATCGGGGAATACGCCAGAGGAACTTTGTCTCCCCAAAAAACCCCTTGTGACCGGTATGTGGGCATACTCGGGGGGATAAATGGGAACTGGGAATCTGTCAAAGTATTGGGGTACTGTGGCCGAAATGGATGTTCTGAGAACTCACAGAGTAGAAGTAGCCCAGTAAACCGTCATGCTGATGGCCACTGAGATAATCCACCCGTTGTTGAACATTCTGATGACAATGATATTAACCTGTAGGTAACGTAAGGGTCATCTGCTGCGAAAAAAACACGGCAGATTGCACCAAGTTTTCGTTGTAGCTTCCAATTAGTCCCGGGAACGGAATAAAGGACCCGCATATCCAGGCAAGAATCCCTCGCCAGTTGATGCCAAAGAAACCATACCAATACGGTGCGGAAGGATCTGTGGTGTACAAGGAAGGAACGTGGAAGTTCTCCTTCCTCACAACAAAATAGTCGCACCACATGACGCCCATTAAAGAACCCATAAAGACGTTCTGTTTCCCATCAAGTTCATTTGTCTATCTGGGTAGGGTAAACGAAGAAGCGCTCACATAGCTCCCAAGGAATGTCAAGAATTGGGCTGCATTTGTCAGGAAGTTCCATGGAGTGATCGCCAAACCTAAAATCGCGCAAAGGACCTGCCCTCGTCTGATGTTGAACCAGCGAGGAAAGATACCAGTAATGTCAGCACCGAACGGAATGGAGTTGGCGCTAATCTGTGAATCATCTTGTTAGCAGATTAGAGATATATCTCACGAGCGTCTCTTACATTGGTAAGAGCGGTGCCTCCTACAAAAGTGATAGCGACAAGGAAGCACAGAGTGCGTGCACTAGCGTTCCAATTATGATCAAGGATTAAGTCGAGCTGAACAACATCTGGCTCAGGATAAATCTGGATCGTAAAATTTCCTACCTGATCCCACAGATTCCACGTAGACGAACCCTAGGGAAGTTTTCAGTGTGAAGAACACATGAAGAAAAAAACCCTTACACCATACAGTATTTGAATCGCGGATGTAGTACCAATGGATAGCTATCCGCGATATGTTATACGTCGAACAGTAATAACCATATGCTTCGTTACTCACGAAGAATATCAAAACTTTGACAAGGAAGGCAGCTATCACCTGGGGATAACTTGCATCGAAAGGGGCTCTCGCATATCGCGTGAGATCCGGTTGAGAAATGAGCATCTGCAGGAGTGTCACATGTCGTACATGTTTGCAATCTCAAGGATGAACACACCGGAGAAATACCGCTCATAACGACATTGATACCCTGCATCCAAGCCCATCCTATCCTGAGAGACAGAGATAATCGGTCTATAATCAATAGATGAGGAAACGTGACGCACTCGCTTTCGGAAACTTTGGTATCTGTCGCCAGAGTAGATTTCGACAGTCCGCCAGCGGTATAGCTAGGAGAGATGGTCAGTAGACTAAAAGCCGATGTACATGTGCTCACATTGCCCAGGTGCAGAGTCCGATAGCGCAAGGAGGTAAGACAAAGGCTTTGATTTCAAACGCCAACCTGATCGCGCGGGGATGAACAAACATTAAAGGGATCGTGATTATATAGTAAATCATAAAGGCGGCAAACACTTGAACGGTGATGTTAGCGGAATCTGGAAACAGGGACATCTTGGTTATCCACTTGTATCCGAAAATGCATCTGAAGCAGATGCTGAGTAGACAACCGGCATAATATGATTGGATCCCGTAATCTTCCAATGCGCGGAACGTCAATTGACAAAGTGAAGGATAACTAATAACTTACAGACGGCAGCAACGAGGGAACGAAGAGCCACGAAGAAATATCCAGCATAGACACCCATTGAAGATCGGATGTAGACCGGGTATCCTATGTGGAATACTGAACCGGGGTGGGAGGCAAAGATAATCGCCTACGTGATTTTATCAGAAAAAAGATGCAAGATGGTATGACAGTGCTTACAATGGAAGTAATAACAGAACCAATGATGGCTACACCCATTGCGTGCTCAAAACTCAGACCGAGTGATATGAGGGAGGACCCAGATGCCCATCTATAAAAAGACCTTGTAAAAGATCGAGGGTAATGTATTCATTTCTTACTGACCCATTCGCGTTAAAAGAGCTACCCCACCAGAGGGAGACATAATCGTACCATCTCCAGGTCCTCTGGAAATTGAGAGACTACTCAGCTCCGTAATATCGTCGTAGGCTATTGAAATCACCTCCGTCTTAGACGTAGGATCTAGATCTATATCCAAGTATGCGTTGAACTAATAATTAAGACACATAGAATGGAAAGCTAACCTTCATTACTCCACTGATGTCGTTCACGGAAAGCTTCAGAGCCAGGGGTTTCGACGAGGTGGATTATCTTCCTGGTGATGGTCATAGCAGTTCAGATAGCGGAACCTGGAAACGCGACGCAATGGCATGTAGCCGCGCGAAGCAAGATAAAAGGCACGAACTCGGAAGCGATATCAGGGTCACCCCGTGCCCGTTTCGAAGTTCGGAGAGGGTATTAACCGCTTTCTAAAGACAAATCAAGATGCCCGGATGATAATGATACTGACGTTCTGTATACTGATCCGTGTGGACGACCGACCGAGCCGAGGGCTCTTATCGTTCGAATTTCATTATTCTGGTCTCATGAATGAATGGGAAAATTTCAATTCCTGTTGAAGCCTATCAGTGGCGCAAAAGGAAAGCACAAGTAGCTATCTCACTCCAGAACATATTCTCGCCCGGAGGCGGACGTCTTTGTCTTTTCTCGCAAATGAAAGGCGAAACGATTTTGCAATCTGATATGCAACATTTTTTATTGTGACTGCAAGCAGCGCAGGCGACACCGGAAGACTGGGTGAGAGGCAAAAGGTGTCCTTCATCGAATACGCGCTCTCTAAATGGTAAGAGTTGCCATACTATCGTCAATGCTAACTGTAGAAAAGCAAGAACGCGTGCACGTGCGTGTGACCGTGTTGCAGCTGGCGGCGCTGACGGACCGGGGCTGCCTGTCATTTAGTCATAACTCCGAAACTGTTTCTCTTTCACCGTCACCACCCATCCTCTGTTCCATCATGAGCGGCAGGCTTGCTTCAGGTAGGATTCACCTCTTCTAGGTGCCCAGAGGCAGCCGTTCAGAATTCCATCTTTACAGAATATCCGTCCTGGAAGAAGCTTCAGCAGATCTACGACAGCGAGCACGCTAATCTTGTCCTCAAAGACCTCTTCGCTCAGGATCCCGCCCGTTTCTCCAAATTTTCTAAGGAATATGCATCTACATCCGGCCCAGATGTCACTTTCCTTCTCGATTACTCCAAGAACCTCGTCACGCAACCCATCATCGACACTCTCCTGACTCTGGGCCGCGAGGCCGAAGTAGAGACATACAGGGACAAGATGTTTGCTGGCGAGCATATCAACACGTCAGAGGACCGCGCTGTCCTCCACGTCGCTCTCCGCAACTTCAATGACTTCAAAATCCAGGAAAGTGGAGTCGATGAGGTGTCAGCAGTTTTGGAACATATCAAGGTCTTCTCCGAGGCCGTTCGCAGTGGTGAATGGAAGGGATACACAGGAAAGACAATCAACACCATTGTTAACATTGGTATCGGGGGATCCGACCTGGGCCCTGTCATGGTTACCGAAGCTTTGAAGGCGTACTCCAAACGCGATCTTACCGCCCACTTCGTATCCAATATTGATGGCACCCACATTGCGGAGACTTTGAAGGTCTGCGATCCTGAACGCACGTTGTTCATCATTGCCAGCAAGACTTTTACTACACAAGAAACCATCACAAATGCCGAGAGCGCCAAAGCGTGGTTCCTTGAGACCGCGAAAGATCAAGCTCATGTCGCTAAGCACTTCGTTGCTCTGAGCACCAATACCAAGGCCGTCACTGCTTTCGGTATCTCTCCTGACAACATGTTCCAGTTCTGGGACTGGGTTGGTGGTCGTTACAGCTTGTGGAGCGCCATCGGACTGTCAATCGCCTTGGTCATTGGTTACCATAACTTTGAATCACTTCTCAAGGGTGCACATGGGATGGACAAGCACTTCAAGGAGGCACCGTTGGAGAGCAACCTGCCGGTTCTGTTGGCGGTAATAGGTATCTGGTACAACGATTTCTATGGTAAGTGATGGATTTTCACGCGTTGGTCGATATTCATCATATGTGTATATAGGTTCGCAGACACACGCTTTGCTCCCATATGACCAATATCTTCACAAATTCGCTGACTACTTCCAGCAGGTACGTTAGATACCCGACGTCCTATCAGCGTGTGATCTCAGCGTGTGTGGTCACAGGGAGACATGGAGTCCAATGGCAAGTTCGTCACAAAAGGCGGTCAACGCGTCAATTATCAGACAGGAGTGCGTCCTTTTTGGCAAGCACAGACGCCTACTCACATCAAATTAGCCTATCATTTGGGGTGCAGCGGGCACCAACGGACAACACTCCTTCTATCAACTTGTCCACCAAGGCACGAAGCTGATTCCCGCTGACTTCATTGCCCCCGCTACTTCCCAAAACCCGATTCACCAGTCAAAGCACCATCGTATCCTCTTGTCGAACTTCTTTGCTCAACCTGAAGCTCTCGCTTTTGGTAAGACCGAGGCGCAGGTGAAGAAAGAATTAGATCCAGGGGCAAGCGAAGCTTTGATTAAGAGCAAGGTGTTTGAGGGAAATAGGCCCAGTAATAGTATCATGTTCCCGTTGTTGACGCCGGCCACCCTTGGTATGTCCCGTTTCCCGTTGGTCAATGTTTTTGTCTCATAGGAAATGATTGAACAGGCGCCCTGATTGCTCTGTATGAGCACAAGATCTTTGTGCAGGGTGTCATCTGGGGTATCAACTCTTTTGGTACGAGTAGTAACTACCTGGCAAGTGTGCTCATAATTGACCGTCGTCCCTGTAGATCAAATGGGTGTCGAACTTGGCAAAGTCCTTGCAAAGAACATCCTTGCCCAGCTCGGCAAACCTGACGACGTTAAGGGCCACGACAGCTCGGTGCGTATTGACGTGATCGCGCTGTTTTCTAAACACTGATATGAGTTTGGCAGACCACCGGCCTCATTCATTACTATCAGAAGTACAGGAAGGAATAAACTGACAAATGAGTCAAAGGGAACCGAAAGCATTTCTGAATTCATGAATTGTAATAACAAAGAAGTGTGTACTAACATAATAGACATTTTATCCGATAGAACTCCAATGCCCGACATCGTATGCGAAGGGGTATTATCATCGAGATACCGTCGTGGATATTCAATCTCCTTCTTCCAGCCATTCCCTAAGTGCAACGACCAAGTTCCTAGCACATACCTCAAGAGGCTCGTCCCTATTGTCCCTCACCACCTCAACAATGGTCTTTCGCCTCCCTCCGGGCCCTGTGGGTCCACTAACGCTCATGCTAAGCGCACCAAATTCACTCCCATTGAACGACGAAGCATTCATAGAAGACTGAGTGTACACCAATGCCACCCTTTTGGGCGTAAACGATACGGATAGATAGTCGGAGGGTAGGGGTTGAACAGTATGCCGCGGTTGCGGCGGTGGAGTCGGCGACACTTTCTTTGCTTTAGAGAAAGACGTCTTGAGAGCGGACTTTGAGAATATGTTGAAACCTGATTTGGATGGTGATGGTGGGACGGCAGGAGATGATCCGGAGCTCGACGGTGTAGGCGAGGATGATATCGTGGGACTAACCTGTTCTACTACAGTGTGGGTATTGGCACGGTCCGTAATACTCGGCCGTTGAACGGTAAGTCCTGCGACTTGTATGACCCCTGCTTGGACGCCTTCCTCTATTACCAGGTCTTCAAGGCGAGTCTTGGGTTGTACCATATCAAAGAGATCCTTGTATGCTTCTTCTCGCGGGAGATGAAGCGACGTAGAATCCAGCATGAGATCCTCGTGGGCGAGCAGTGCGATGAAAAGATCCAACGTAGAGAGCTCTCGGTGAGTAGAGAAGATGGAGGGCTTTGTCGTTGTTTCTGCTGAGGGCATACTCGAGCTTGGGAAGGGATCTGTGGTGTAGGGTGCTCGAATCAGTGAATTGTACGCGGGTAGATAGGTGGAACGGAGAATGTGCATGCACGCTATGGCACCATAAGCTGCTGTTACTAAAGAGCAGAGGCTTTCTTACCGACATATAGTGTCTTATTGACTAGTCTCAGCGAAGTTACGAGCCAGTAGAGGGTCATGCGCTGCCGCTCAATCTTTCCTTCGCCTTCAAATGTTCCATCGCGTTGAGGAAACGTGCAGTAGACGATTTGCAGTAACAGATGCGGAGGTAAACTCCCCAAAGCCGGCTGTTGTTTCGGTAAGGATTCGGAAGGGGTAAAGGGAGGGGGAGGAGAAAGATTAAGGTACGGAGGTGGAGGGGGATGCATACACTTTTCTTCGATAATCATTAGTTATAACGACGATGGAAGTTGCTGCGTATCTGGGATTTGATCCTAATAGTAACTATATTACTGAGACAAAAAAGCCTGTTAAGGGGCGTCCATACATATGACCTCATGGTACACACACAGCCTAGGTGTCCGGGCCGATTCCGAAGGTGTTCTGCCGGATTACATTCGCGTATTGAGCTCGCTAAATGTTCATTTTTACTTCGTCTTACATTTCCCCGCGTAATAGATTGACTTTGATCCTCTCGAGGATTATGAAACCTGTAACAAACAACGCGAATGGTGGCAATCCATGCGCAGTTGGTTTGCCGATCGAGGTTATTTTCTCTACCAACCCCAGTTTCACGAGGGAGAGCCCAGTCCGCCCTTAATTACCAGGAGTTTCCGTCACCTCACTGGCATTGCAACAGGATATAGAGGTGGGCAACACTCTACTGGACCATACGCGTAATGTTCACTGGAACAGGCACTATTCCACTGTGTATTTTCATCAGTCTCTACGCCTTGCAGGGGTGCTTATGCTTATATTGATTTCGACGTCTCCCTCACGTTTCCTCCTGATGCTCCACGGTCTGAATGCCGTCTTCCTTGCTGGAAGTCGTGGGATGGAACAAACAGTTGGGCTGTGGAAGATACTGCACAGGGAGAAAACGACTATGATCTTTTTGTGTTTGATGTCGCATTGCTTGGATTCCAATTGTGCCAGTCATTTCATTTTGGGTAGTTTATGGCTTGTTCTACGACGCGACTGATTCTTCTTCTCCGCACAGCACCTGTCACCCTGTGCTTCTTTTCTTGCGCCCTTACTTGACATAATGGTCACTCGTGATTACAAAAGACAATCCACCGCCACACAGGCCGTGAATTTCTTTGAAGAGATGTTCCCGTCACTCACCGAAGGACAGTTGCAAGCCTACCCTCCAATGATGCCTGATCCCAATCTAAGAGGCTTTCAGGCTGTTTTTCCTTTAAAGAATCGCTAGCAAAAGTGCCCAAAATTGGAAACCACTGTAAAACTTCCGTATACGCACAACCGCAGAGTGAATCCAACTATATCTGCACACGTAGCGAAGCAGTCTCGTTGACAACGAGATCGGAGGTTTTCGGTAGTGGCCCATCGTTGTACAAAATCGAGAGGCAAGCCCTACCATCGGTCATAGGTTTCATACGTGCCCGACTGGTTTCGTCCTTTAGGTGAAGAGAGCTCCAACTGCGCTTCACTGAGTTGTCAGCACGTATCTTCAAAAATTTCCAAGGCCTCCCTAGCCGTGAAACACTTCTTGACGTCCTGGGTAAGCATCATATCGAACAGAGGCGCAAGAAAAGGCGTATAAGGGGGGCAGGTGCTGTATAATGACACATTAGTCAAAGGCAACACCTAAATGCGATCTCGCAAACCTGGAAGGTTTCCATGAACTGATATCCGAGTAACGCAACGTCGAACGCGAAGGGATCGTAATCATGTTCTCCTTGTGCAGTATCATACACATGCCAATTGTTCGTACCGTCCCATGACTTCCAGTACGGAAGACGGCATTCAGATAGCGAAGCAGAACGAAGAAACATGACGGCTATGCTATAATCGATGTAACCGTATGTTAACATGCCTCGGCGACAGAAGTATCGCTGGAGACCTGCATCCAATGAAGAGCGATTCCAACGGTCACCGTACGCAAAATTCACGAGCGTATTAAACCGCTTGAAATCCTGTTGGTGGAACAAAACAGATATTACACACTCTGTGAACAATTCTTCGTTTATGCAGCCAAACAAGACCCTAAACACGTTAGTGATGATTGGACACCATAGTATGAGAAACAGACACGCCTCCAATAAGTGGTGTATCATACGGAGGACCTCACGCATAGATGGGAACCAACGGTCACACTTGAGCGGGACTGACCACCTAAGAACTTGAATAAATCCAATTTTTTTAACCAGAGGTAGAACCTACTTGGGCATGATCGCAAGAGAACTCTTCTCCGTCGAGTATATCCAGCACGGGGACCACTCCATGAAGCGGCAGACTTTGATTGCTCCTCGTGAATAAGACGCATAATTCGATGTTCATCAGTGTCTTTCTTCACTATCTTTATGGCCACTAATCGCGTCTCGGCATCCTGCGCATACCATATGGCGGCCTGCACATTAACCAAAGATTAATTTAACGGGGACCATGAAAGTAGCAGATATGCGCCGCTCACGGTCTCAGGCTCTTCACTTGAGAGATACGTTTCGCGTCCTTCTCCGCATTCAAATGAATGGGCCCCTCTGAACGCGTAGGGAAAGGGTGATTCCTCTGACAGATCAGACGAGTCAGATGCAATGAACGGCAAAGGGGGATAACACATCGGCTTATATAGCTCCCCAATTATTTGTCGGAAATATAGACTGTAGCCTCGCTCGGCGAACCAGCCACGCATGGATTGCCACCATTCGCATCGTAAGTTGAGAGTTTCGGCGTCACAGTGTTCAGAAGGATCGAATTCAATCTAGTTAAGCAATAGTGAGCGACAGAAATTTATAGGTAAAGATGACAGACCGAAGACATGGACCACTAAATGACGACGAGGGATCGCCTTGTCAATGTTGAACGTTCAACTCAATGTCACGGGAGCCTGGGGAAGAGTCATGTGCTTTCCTCCTTGGGCTGTCCAATATTAGTACTAAGTTCGCTAGGCTATCCAATAAGCCTGACAAGCCGTCGCCAAAGTATTTCAACTCAACGTTCATGAGCGAGCTACTCTTCGTTGCATTGGCGTCTCTAATCTTGCAGATTTTCACCAGAGAGCCGCGCTTCCACTGGCCAGTCTGAATGTTGCTGTTGGACGGGGACGATGTATGAGTTTGTGGCCTTTTGAGAACGACCTCGGTACCGCGAATTTCAACCTTCTGAATGAGTAGGTTTGGATATCAGGTTCAAGATTCGTCGCCTGCTGGTATATAGGAACACGTGTGACGTATGCAAGTAGTCTCCGCCAATTTCGGAGAACCGTCGTATTTATGTCGCGAGGAACCATCAGTCTTCACTTCCGCTCAGGTGTCATTTGGAGCTCCAGGTTCCCAGACATTTAAAGTGTATTTCAGATAGATCGTGATATGCTTACCCGACAAACATTTTGAAGCTATGAGCGAAGTGCTTCAAGTGATTCATGATCTTCTCAAGTCCCACTGAGCTTCATCTTTGCCCTCCATCCTTGCTGATTTCAACCAGGGTCTCATCTTCCTCCATCAGCAAAACATCGTTCACCGAATTAGTACAATCTGAAGAGTCCAACCCTGTACTAACTTTATGCTAGGATATCAAGCAGGGCAATACTCTACTGAACCACACTCATTCTGAACATTGGGAGCGAGAAGATGTCACATCGACTTTCTACCGACCTCTGCATCGTGCGAGCTTGCTCTCTTACTCGACTTCGACATTGGCATCATCTTTTCTCCCGATGCTCCTCGATCTGAATGCCATCTTCCCTATTTGAAATCGTGGGAGGGCACAACACCGGACAAGCAGGGCCTGATTATGGTCCCTTTGTGTTCGACATCGCGTTGCTCGGGTATCAGGTTTGCCAGCCATTCCAGGTTCCAAAGATCAGTCTTTTTGTACATCAGCGCATGGCTTATATATGTTCTACCCTAGCATTTGACACATTATGCGCCCTTTCATGCACCTTTTTTTGACATGATGGTTACTCTAGATTACAAAAAACGCTTCACCGCCGTGGAGGCCCTACAGTTCTTCGAGGACATGTATTCGCTTCTTACCCAAGAGCAGTTGCAGGCTTCTCCGCCAAATTGTTCCATCAATATTGACTATTGCATCTTCAATCGCTGGAGAGACCTGCCCCCGGAACTTGTCCAGCGATGGACGTCATATCGAGAACCCCCGATGCCCATGGTCGACCAAAGTGCTGCGTTACATATGCGACTATCCTCGGATTCATCGTGTCATCGTCTATGTTCGACGAATGTGGAGTCGACTTATGGGCCCTGTGTTGCCCTTCGCTTTGACCATTATCAGATATCCTCAAAAGCTTGGATATCCTATGCACTTCCATCTGGCATTATTTAGTCATGCGCCCCAACATCTCACCAAATAAGGGCCCGAATGAGCCATAACGATTGCCACATAAATGATGAATCAATGCACCCAGTTGGTATAAAATGTTTCCCTAACATGCAAGAAACGCTAAACAGAAGACTAGATCTGGTTCATGGTAAAACACGCGTCCATATGGCTTCAGCGGGGTGACTCGAAAGGACTGGGTTGCGTCGATACTTCGGAACAAGCATCCCGCGACTTGAATTTGAAGTTATGAGATGTGACTCGTTTTCTGTGGCTGATTGCTAGCGAACGTCGACCTGCTAATGATTAGGTTTGAAGATACCTGGTCGAGACTCGTCACCTACTGGCAGATTGGAACACGAGGAGCGCATTAGACGCGGCCATTCAAGCCAACAATCATAACCCGTACTCTATTGTTAGCCAAAGTCAGCAAGTTGAAGGTGCCTGACGTGGCACTTAAGCATAGTTTCTGACCCTCCTGGCTACGTTGTCGGTCAGGGATATTGAGTCCAAATGATGACACTCACACAAAATGGGTGACGTTTTCCTTACCTCGATTCTTTCTGGTGTTAGTCAATTGATCGGAGCATATGGTGTATTGGCCCTGCCCAAGATGTTGTTCTATTTCGGCACGTGCACTTGACATAACTCTGAAAACATGAGGCGTACAATCAGATAGGGACTGACAGAGGGCCCCATCGCGGGGCACCGAAAGAACGAGTTAGTTCTCGAGCCACAAATAGACGGCGTCTTTCATCTGCCAGAAACATAGCCTGCTTATCATCCTCCAAACTTGTGGCCTTGAGGAATGGGCTGTCCATCACAGGACATACTGTGCTCGGGTCAGGCAGCGTCCCACTGAAAAAGTGGTCTCGGATATATTGTTGAGTACAAAGCGAAAGAGCTGCCACGGAACAGTGCTACGAAGTTACCATGAGGCCAAAAATGCCACAGGAACAGTGAGAAAATTTACCCCAGGTGAATCTTGAGTCAGAACTACAGAGCCTGCGAACCCTTTCGACATGTGCTCCGCCCTGCGAAACTGCGCATTAGCGATGGCCAAGCAGACACAAATTGGAATAACACACGCAGCCAAAGGAGTAACTGGATCTATTTCGAGACATAAGCCTTACATAGAGTGTTCTAGGATCCGACTTACCAGCCGTATTTCCAATGAGCAGTAACGGGTGACTGGTGTTAGCAATGAATGGACCCACAGGCACATAAGATTGGAAAAACTGTAGAAGACGGCGGCTCGCCTTGAAAATGGTTCTTCGGTAACTCAAGCCATCCCCTGAAAACACTTAGGACTGAGATTGAAACAGCTACTAGTGATACTACACGCGAGCAACTGATTCGTAGCCCAGCCCACATACTCCCCCAGTCAAACGCTGCTGCCATTCCATCATAATGAGCTCGGGCAGCTTCCAGGCTTCTGGGAGTAGGAGCGCCGTCGTTACACATAATGGCCACAGCTGAATCTCCGACAGGATGCGAAAGCTGTCCCTGAAGGGTCGCAAGAACAGTCAAATTTGTCGTAAAATGGTGTCATCATCATCATGTTGAACAGAAGTGTTCCATTGCCCAACTCCGAGTTCGCAAGAGCTTGTGCCAGGGTGGCGTACGCGGTTCGTGGGGTGTACATCGATAGGAAGATAGTCGCACGGAGACGAGGATAATCCAGTACCCCGTAAGAAGATTCCAGTTTCACTGGTATCGGATTTGTACGGATTTTCTCGTACAGAGTGTCGAGCCTGTTGGATATGGCTTTCAGACTACCTGCATAGAAACGACAATTCTGAGGACCGGCCGAGAAGCATCCACCGAAAAATGCTTGCAATGTCTTGTCAGAGTCTTCCAAGTTGTTGGACCATAGTGCTAATTTAGCTCCGTCAAACTACGTGTCAAATCAGTGGAAAGAGGAACTCACTGGCATAATAGTTGTCTGCATCGACAACACCATCAATAATTATCCGCCCTACTTTATCCTAGCCAAGTAACTTAGAGTGGGAGCCTCGACTCAAATTAGATCGACATACAGGAAACACAGAGGCAAAGATTGCACCGAGAACAGTACCATATCTGATGCAACTTCATTCATGGACGGAAACTTCTTAAACCGTACAACGTACGAGAAGCCCCAATACTGTATCTTTTCATATCCATATGCCTGCGTGATCTTGAGCATATCTTGCGCGGTGTGGTCTGTATTGACGTGGGCTAAAATGCCTGTATTGTGTTCACCAGCAAGACGACTAATGATGGCAGCCTTTGCCTAAATTCGAAGCTCAAGAGTTAACCAGAGGCAGAATTGTTGGCCAGGCTTTCGCATCAGCCACAAGAATCCAGGTTTGACACTAATGGGAACTACAAGTCGCAGCCGTCTTCGTCTCGTCAAGAATCAAGAACGGTGGGCGTTACAGATCTCCCGAAGATGCGAGGATGCTTTTCGGCCTCCCACAGTACAGCTAGTGCATTGGTGACGTACCAGCACGAGATAAGATCTTCTTCCATAGCACATTCCGATGTGAGATCGCGTGAGAGCCTATACCGTATAGTACACGGATTCCGAGCAGCATTTTTAGCACGGAAAGGCTGATGAAGTGCTCTGGAACGGGTTTGTAGTAGTCCCCGCGATTTCGAAAGGCTGGGCTGAACGACACGACTCAAAACTACTGTTAGAATGAGGCTGAGGAGAGCAAAGGAATAAATGTCCAGAGCGAGCCAGAAAAACAATCATCCTCGATAATTCTGTATCGAACGTATATGGACAACGTACTGCTGCTGGGAACCGAATAGGATAGTGACACAGCGAAAATTTCCAGTGCTACCGAAGACGAGTCGGTGTTTACCTGTCGGAGGCGAGACGATTAAACCGTCTCCAGACTACGCATGTAACTGGGTACTATGCCTAAATATTAAGTCGGGGCATCCCTACCAGTGATTACCCTCCGGATCCATAACGATCCGCGAATAAGTAAAAGGAATACGGGCAGGCAGAAATGCATAACCTTGAATTGAGGGTATAGGCAATAAATAAGTGTCTTTAAAGTGGAGTGAGATTCGTGATTGAATATGCTTCGTTGTCTGACGTCCCGACGTCGTCTATTCACTATGGACATTGGAATGGGTTCCTAGCAGACCTTCATTGCAGCGGACGAATAAGTTATGAGCATTGCAGATAAAGCCATATTGATACAAGATGCCAAGTGTTGATCGAGTTGCTGAAAACTATGAGAAGATTCTTTCGAAAAATCTTTTGTCGTGGATAACTTCGATGACCTTGTTGACGAGGGCCATATCTATTCTATATCAGAATATGAATCACAAGGCACACGGGTGAGATGACGCACCAAGATCTTCGCCCATCCCCACCACTGCCATCATCTTAAGCGTACCAGCATCCACCACCGTACCAATGAACTCGGCGTAAGTCGCGGTAATCTCTGCGTCCTGTACGTCGATGGTCAAGGTCGATACCACATGGGCACATAGGCACACGTACTGGTATAAGGTGAACCACAACTTCCCCATCATCGCTTGTCGTTACTGTAGCGCTCCCTCCATCGCTCGAATACTAGGATACATGATCACAACCAAGGAGACGCGACACGGAGCCAGACTCACAGTTTTGATTTTGCATGGCAGTCTGACTGTCTTTCCGATGAAGCGCTGCATGTGTGCAGAGTTGACACGAGGAGAAATGTCAGTATCGGTGGACATGGTGGGCGAAAGAACAGGACGCGGTTGTGGCGTGAGAAAGACGTGAAGCGTGATTTCAACACCGATACTATGACGTATTCTTAGTTTGAGGATGATACCCTTACCCGCTGGCGGGACTTGAAGTCCGGCCCGCCCGAAATGCCCTTCTCTGAACAGATTTTGGTGAATGCTACAGAAGCTATCAAAGCCTGCAGTTGCTACCGGACCTACTAGTCTTGCTGTTGCATCTCTACGGGCCTAATGATCTGATTCTTCGGCCATCTGCTCTCCTCCTTAACCCCTCCTGTAATTTTCCTTTACTTGATATTGCAGGAAAGAATTTTATAAGAGAAGACTGCGACCCCGTGAGGCTGGAAAGGAGGATCAATGGTATTACCCAAGTTTCATAGATTGATCGACCCTTCTGGAAGGGAAATTATGCTGTGGGGTCCATGTGCATTGACTCGGAGATGAAATAACGAGACGTTCTGTTTCTGCACACTCATCAATATCGAGTAATTAAAAAGCGATGGTCGTTACATCTACCTAAGTAACAATACAAGAGAGGTATACTTAAGGTTTGTGCCCAAAGAGCAGAGCAGATCACGGCTACACTATTTGAGTGCTGACAAGACAAGAAAGACGGAAAGAACGAAAGAACGAAGAACGAGTACGGTATTATGTACTACGAATAATGATATATACAATAGAAGTGATGCATACGTCAAGAAGAAAGACCCATACGATCGGAGAGAGATGAGAAGACAGAAAAGAGCGGGTAGTAATTTGATACAATCAGATGCTGAAGAAATAAATAAGGCCGGGAAAACGTAGCAAAATTTAATGTGGAATAAATAGCTTGGTCGATACACACGGTGGAGGCCTTTAAAACTCGAGAAACTGATAATTTATGGGGTCGAAGCGCTCAAAGATGGTAGCGGGTGCTTCTTCTCTAAGGAGGCCGGGCATCTCGTCAGGCGGTGGAAGGGGCTGGGCCATAAAATGTCGGGTATCGTCTCCGGAAGATGTCATGGGGACAATGGGGGCCTGACCGAGCAGACGTAAGAGTCTTGAGAGAAAAAGGTACCAATTCGGAAAGACTCACGTTTATTTCCCGTCTCTCCAACGCATCCCAGTCCACGCCTCTAAACCAGGAATGGTCCAGAATATCCTGGGGACCACCAATCATGTTGCCCAACCTCTGGGTCCGATCTGGATTCAGAAATGCTTTGACAAGACTCTTGGAAAGCGGATCCATGCTTTTCGGCCAGTGGATATGACCATTGAGAATCTTCTCGTAAATCCCGTACGGGGATTCGTCAAAAAAAGGCGGATAGCCGACCAGCATCTCATAGCAGAGAACACCACATGCCCACCAATCAGCGGCTTTACCGTGGCCGTCGGATTGGATGATTTCGGGAGCAAGATATTCTGGTGTGCCACAGAGGGTCCAGGTACGGTCGTCAACAATCTTTGCAAAACCAAAATCGGTGAGCCGGAGATAGCCACGAGAATCAAGGAGGAGGTTCTCTGGTTTGAGGTCTCGGTAAATAATGTTGAAGGAGTGGAGGTATTTAAGCGCTAAAATGATGGTGGCGAGATAAAACCTGGTGACGTCTGGCGTGAACCTATGGGCTCTACGGAGGTGGGTGAAGAGCTCTCCTCCGGGGACGTATGACATGAGCATGTAGATATTCAAACTGTCCTGGAATGTGGCAAAGAGGTCGACAACAAACGGATGATGCACCCTTGAAAGGATGTATCGCTCGGCGTTGACATGCTCGACTTGTCGGAGACGGACAATTTCCGTCTTGCGCAGCACCTTCATCGCAAAGTGACTCTGAGTGCCTGTTGATCCTCGATGTCGGACGAGGAGGACGCGACCGAAGGTTCCGGTCCCTGAGGGCGTGTTGTGAGGAAATAGAAGTTGCCAAGCAGGACTGTTGACTGACCTAGGACGCCTCTGACCTCGAAATCCGTCAACTTGAGACCATTTCTCTGGAGGTGGACCTGCTCATCCTCGAGCGAGCGTAAAGGACGCTGGGGGCTCTCCATTGACGGGGCAACTGTTGGCACAGGCAGCCGGGGTTGGTATTCGGCATAATTCTGGACGTCGGGACCGCTGTACCGCGGCTCGACATCAACAATGATGGAATCATCTCCATCGTCCATGTCGGCGTCCTCGATGCTGAGTGCGCTGCGTCCTGGTGACAAGGGGGGTGTTATTGGTGCATCGGCGACAAGGAGGTGGGAATCGCGTCTGAGCGAGGGGGCGTTGGAGGTACGCGTGGACCTGGTGGGGAGAGCAGCGAGGTCAACGGGAGGGTAGGGCATGGAAGCAGAACGTGGCATTTTGAGAGAGACAGTCGTCATTGTTGACGAAGGGGACGCCAAAAAGGGTGATTAGGCAAGACTGAGAGGGAAGACAAAGGGTAGAGTGGATATATGCTAACTTGGTCGGTAACCAAGCAGAAAAGAAGCCTGAGCTAAGGAAAAATGAGAATCACCGATACCATGTGGCCGCTCGGGGCCAGTAAAGTCTGTCACTGACCTCTGCAACAATTTGTCCAGCGACAACGACAACGAACACCGCAGCTGCTCAATGAACCGCCAAGCGGGGGGGCCAGACACAAGTTACCACCTGGCATCCACCAATTTCGAATATTTCGAATATTCGGGCCATCAAAGTCAATCCATGCTGTCCAAATCATGACGTCCATGGCAGGGCACGTGACCTTGCGCGTCGCGCCGTGTTAAAATTTGAAAAAACCTTTTTGTTCTGATCATGATCGTGCTTGCCACAGTGCCGTAAAGGACGACAGGCCCAGGAACAAAAGGTTCGCATTACAGGCCAGCGACTGACCTCTCCTTTTCCGCTTCAATCTGGGGAGAAAGCCAAGCCGTAAAATAAACCGCTTGATATCATATATTGATGAGGTTAAACATAGACTCCTCTGCGTCACAGAAGGTATCCATGCCTTTCGGTATGATGTTACCATCTCACTCTGGGTTATGTTACGGCATTCAGTATAGCCTCATAAGTAGCTCCATCAAAGGTGGATGGTCTGGCCTTTTGCGATACGCTCTAGGCTAGATTTGTTTGTGATCCAACATGAACCCTGTTCGACCTTTGTCACCGTCTACATATACCTTAATTCACCTTCTCTTCAGTACAGATGATGAATTAATTAACAATGAAGATCATAAGGACAATTATGGGCTAACCTCCATGCAGCAACCTTAGTGTTTCAGCCGCTTCCGGCGCCAAGTTGTGGGTCAAGGCCCACGACCATCCCGCGAACCGCATTGCAAGATCAATAATTCCCCCCCCCCCTTCTCAATGTTCCCAATCAACAAGTAATGCAACACTATGCTCAATACAACTCGCTACAATTGTACATATTCATAAAGACAGCCGATCTGGCAATATTGCAGTCGTAACCAGTCTTCTTCTGATCCACGGTCAACCTTGGATGGTGATATGGCCAAGTAAACAAATTAGTCCCGAAAAGCCGAAGGCGCATATTTCCAATTAGAGCCACGATGGCGCGTGCGCTCTGGAGTATCGTCCCTGGTCCCCTTTCCTCCGATCCATCCGTTTATTTGAAAATTTTCCAGTGCAAGTTGCCGGCCTCGACAAGTTCCCATTTGTTCTTGACTCATTATGTACCTGATCTGTCTTATGTGACTCAGGCTAGCTACGGAAAATCTCTGCCAGTGGACCTTCAGCAAGTGGAAATAGTGAGAGAAGGTGCTGTGGAGAGACAAAAGGTCCTTGGATATTAGTAGGGTGCATCCATAGCCCGGTCAACGACTATGGCATTCCTCGGAGAGGCAACCTCAGTCATATAAAACTCACATGTAAGCTTAGAAACCTAGACCACAAGTCAAGAAGGATTCAAGTCTTGATAATGTGCAACTCACAAGTGCATAAAAATCACCCAAATCCCATTCCAAAATACAAAATGCACACATAGCAAGATAACAGAAAGTCTAAAGGGACAGAAACCACACGTTTCTTCTATTACTTACACACCATCGGCGTTCACCAAATCCAGCAAGTTCCTGTCAGGCTGCTTCGCGTCACTTGACACATACACCAGCAGCTCCTCAAACACCTCAGTCCTCTGCTTGAACCGCTCAGAGTCCATCTCCCCTTCTGACTCGACAGGGTCCGCGCGGTGCCGCAGTGAATCGCCACTAATCGATAAACGCTCCATGCCAGCAACAGTCGGCGATTTAATCGCGCCCAATACATCATTCGTCCACACCTCAGTATCATCCTTCGGCGTATTCGGGCGCGAGCGCTTTCTTGGAGGCGTATCCTCATGCTCTGAGGGGTATTTCTGGGCTACTGGCATAGGCAACTGAGGTGTCAAAAGGTGTGTGAGTAATGACCGGAATAGCTCTGTTTCTGTTGGATCGTTGTGATCCACGACGTTCGACACGTCCGTTTGCAGGAATGCTAGAGCCTTCACTTGAGATACCGTTTCGCTCATTTCCCGGAACCTATCAGAGCGGCGTGATTGAGTGGTCATATAATACGAGGCGGAAGGTGGCTTACTGTTGTTGCCGAACCCGGAACTTCGCTCTACGTATTATCTCCTTGGCTGCTGGTCTACATTCATCAGACTTGGGATACAGACGATGATCTGGAAGAGGACATACCGAACAAGGTTCATGCGCCAGAAATCGTCAAGTCGCGTCTCCTTTCCGCCTTCCTCTTTGTCATCTCCGTGTGTGGCACGCTCCATGGCCCCAGTGATACCGGCATTCCCACCATGCATGAACATCGTCTTCACATTTGGATCGTACACCACCTGATGCGCATACCGGGGAACAGGTTCTTGACACGGGTGGTGATTCTTTCGTTCCTGCTGCTCGGGGAGAACTTTAACCCATCGTCCCGGTCGTGAATGGTACCGAAAGACCCAATTCGGCGGATCTGAGGGTAGAACGGTCAACGAACCAGCATGAGGAGCCCGTGTAAGACCGCAAAATCTTCAGGGGATTAAAACATTGTGTGAAGGTGGGATACATCATGCTCACATGTATAACTCCTTCAAGCGAGGATCAATGACGGCTCGCTGGGTAAAGCAAGCATCCGGCCCTCCAGAAGCAGTGAAGTTCGAAAATAGCTCCGTGACGATGTTGGTGGCAATGTCGTAGGCATACATATCAGATAAGTACTTATCATCTCGTTGGCCAGCAAAGATGAACAACGTCTTCGTTGTTGGCTCGAGTACCATTGAATGTCCTGGAGCAACATCAACCGATATCAATGAACACAACCATATATACTCACCGAAGCGAGAAGGAATGCTCTTGCCAGAAATTTCTGTCGGACTGAGTGAATGGTTTATAGTCAGTGACAGAAAGCAAAGAAAAAATGGACCAAATTACTGAAGATGCTTCCACTTGCTCAGGCGCACGTTGTAACTGTAGAGTCCCGAATACTTGACGGCCACATCGTTGTCTACAACTCGCCCACCGAAGACGTAGAGAATCTGAGCATCGCTGTCCATAACCATTTGATGATCAAATATCAGAGGCGGCCCGCCTGATGCCTAAATGAATCTGTGCATCAGCTGATCTTCATCCAGTAATACACAACAAAGCGCACCGCGGTATCAAATGCCAGATAGTCCCATTTCCCAGAATCTGCGCCACGAGTGTGATACCTATAAAACTCTGAACAGGGGACAGCAGAAGCCGTGGGTGTTTCCGTTCTCGCATCGTTCTCGGGCCTCAATGAATCACCATCACCCAGTCTCCCAAATACATAAATACTTCCGGTCTTTGAGTCGAACACCATTTTATGGCAAGAACGTGCTCCCGGCGCATTTTGCTCTGAAGAGGTACTGTGGCAAAGAACGCGCCACTTGTCATCCTTGATATCGTAGGCCCAGAAATCGTCCAAACTCTTCTGTCCATCCCAGCCACCGAACATGTAGATGATGCTCCGCGCAGTGTCGATGCACATGGCGTGACCACCACGAGGGCAAGGGACATCTCCGTCTGCATTAGTGCCATGAAGTCGCTGCCATACGCCATGGGGCTGGCAAGATTGGAGGTACTCTGTAAAGAGGCCTGCGTCTGACATTTGTATGAGGAGACGCTCGGCATCGTCCCAGTTCCCGCACAGTACGATAGCATCGTAGAGGTCAGAGACAAGAGGATGCTCGACACGGAGCCCGGCGCGTTCGACGATGGCCATGTACGGAGAGAGAAGCCGGCGTTGCCGTAGGTGCTTGAGGATGAGCCGGAGGGCAGTCGTTTCGCGAAACTCGTCGTATTCCTTCTGGACGCTCTGGATATATGCGTGGTCCGAGATGCCTGTCAAGGAGACGAACCATATCGAAGGATGAAAACCAGGCGAATGGGAACTGTTCTTGAAAGTAAGGAATGATACAAAATACACAGTAAGTCGGACACACGATATGGGTATTATCTTTACGAAGCGCGTAGGAAAACATACACCAGAGTTGTTGGTATGTCGGATGGAGAATGTTTCGGATATGCTGTCGTTCTTGAGTATGCCACGAAAGATTTCAGTCATGTTGTCTTCCGTCATTCCGACAGACACCTGGAATTCCTTCACATTGCACGGATGAGCTGGATTCTACTTCAATCTGCAGATCTATATGGCCGAGAAGAGCCCGTACCTTTAAAGTACTGGGCCGCCCCAGATTTAGCATTGGATAGCATGGACCGACGGACAGCGCACCTTTCCAAAAGTTATGCTCTCTTGATTCCCGACAATGTCAGCAGGGCAACACTATGGACGAGGTTGGACACTCAACTGACAACGGCGAGCGAGTCCAGGCGTAACAGTATCCACTGTTTTGTAGCACCATGTGTTGCACCACTCCATCTGCTTGACTGGTCTGATGGATTGTCGACGAGGATGTTTTCAGGTGCATATTGACCACTGTGAGGAGAGCCTTGGGTGATGGAATACTTGAGCGGAACGGATGGTTCCATGGTGGTAGATGGCAGTCGAAGATCAAGTCAGGTACCGTGCCGAAATTTCCGTGAAATTACATTGCATGTTGCCACAACGGCAATCTCAAAATTATGTGAACTACATTTGGCAAAGACATATAGAAACAAAAATAACATTCAAGGGAAAGTAGGAAATCGTCAGGGACGACACAGGCGCAGCTGTCCACCAAGGTGCATTTCGCAGAAGACTGTTGAACGAGTCGTATTAAAGAAGATGATTAGCGGCCCGTTCTACACTGTGGCGGCGACACGAAGGAATGACGAGAGGTCGTAGAGCGCGCCATTCTCAGGTTGCCCCTCAACAGCATGTATATGTTTGCTTCGAGTCTGAGGATACGGATGTGCTGCAGCGAATTGAGGCGTATTAAATCATGGGAGAAAATCTATATTGTTATATTCTAGAATATATTCATTTTGGATGGTCTAGAACCACGATTAGTACAAGAATATCATAACAAAGATCGGCATACCTGACGCGAATGTATATAGCAAGGAGAATTACAGGCGGCGCAATAGCATACACAATTACGCGTATGGGCAGCGACAAATACTTTGTTCCCCAATTCGAATACAAGCCCCCAAAATTGGCCGTCAAGAGTAAGAGAGGGAACAAGATGTAACCGGATATCCTAGTCGAAAATCAGACGCATACAGGAAGCCAAACCTATGCACCCACCTATGGTATCGCCAAATCAGCTTCGCTTTCATTCCTCCGCCAAAGACAGCGCCGCCAAACCACACACTGCCTCCGCCAATGGCAATTTGGAGGAGCACCCAACAGATACATAACAAGCCCAACTTTCCGTGCCAAGTGGTAAAGTGATCGTGATCGCGGATATGCTTGTTCCACCAGACGGCAAACGTACCAATGGTGACTATCGGGAATGCGCAGACAACGATGGCAAGTTGATGACGGCTCAGACCAGCGGCTTTGGTTTTTGGCTGAGAGGTTGGCTGGAGAGTCAGGATACCTGTTTGAGTGTGAACACCTGAGAGGCGATATTGGAGATTGGCGAACCGTAGACGATGAAACTCAGAGCCAGGGACTGAAGCGTCGGGTGTAAAGAGAACCAAGGGACCTTTGTAGGATCGTTGATGAGGACAGTGATCCAGGAGACGAGTAGGAAGAGCTGCAGACGATATTGATGAGGATAACAGACGCAGAAAAAAGGACATACGCCTGTAGCACCCTGCCGACGAAAGGATTACCTCTGCAATGGCATACGAAAAGCGATTGACATACGAAAGCGGCATACAAAGCAAGCGCATCACCCTTGCGGTCCTCTGGCTTGACAAGTTGCTCTTCGTAACCCATTTGCAGCTGTGGATGGTCGTCGTGGTCGTCGTCTTGGCCAGGTGGAAGGAGAAGCTCGTAGTCGTCTTGATTAGTTGACTGTGGCATGACTGTGTGTGTAGCTTATAAAGCCATCATAGAGGGTGCCACGTATCCTGAGAGGTAAATATATTAAAGTGGGGGTAAGGATCCAAGCTAGCGGGATAAACCCGACGAACCTGATTCTGATTGGCTACGAGGTTCGGGACGCGTGCATGGTGGGCTTTGTCAGACTGCGTAATGGTGTTCACGTCAGGGTTAGTAACGCAGTCAGTCAGATTTAAAGGTGCAGGACGACAGCCACGAGTCCATGTCCACGTCCACGTCCACGTCCACGAAACTCGTCGTCCTGTTTCTGATCTCTGTCATATCCGCCATCATTCTCCTCCCGCGTGCCACTTTCTTCAAGCGTCCTCCAAACCTCCGGTCCGTCATGACGTCACCCCTTCCGGTGAATCAGTCCGAGTGGAAAGCCGCGTTAGACTCGCTCCCATCTACACCAGACAAGATACCCGCTTTCTTCTACGCCCACGGCAGTCCCTTTCTCGCCTATCCGGAGCACCTGAGCCACGGTGGAGGCCTCACAGATTGGCAGGGGCCCAAGGGTCCTCTTGCAACATTCCTCAAGGACTTTGGTCCCGTCCTTTTGCAAAAGTACAAGCCTCGCGGAATCGTCGTGTTTAGCGCACATTGGGAGACACTGGGCGAAAGACTGGGTTCGTGTCCGGTGACCAAATATCCGTCTGCTTCTCCTTACATCCACTTTAGTGACCGATTATGGTTCCGAGAACCCGTTGTTGATGGACTACTACGGGTTCCCGTCTGAACTGTATAAATTGAAGTTTAGATCAAAAGGAGATTCCGCAATCTCGCAGCGGATCGTGCAGTTGTACAAACAGGTATAGAGCGGCGTCTGTCAAATATAACCTCTTGACATTATTCTCTTGACATCTTTCAGGCCAACTATCTCGCCCGCACCACTACCAATCTCGAATCCCGCGGTGAAGATGGACGTGGCTTCGAGGGACCTGGGCTGGATCATGGCGTCTTTGTTCCATTTAGATATATGTTTGGTGAAGAATTCATGGACACGCCTATCGTTCAAGTGTCCATCGATTCCTCCATGTCCCCCGAAGCGAACTGGAAGCTCGGCAAGACAGTGGCTGCATTGAGGTTAGATTTCTCAGAAGCCTGTTCCATCCAATGACACATTACCTCCCCAGGGAAGAAGGCATACTTGTCCTTAGCGGAGGGTTACTTATCCACAATTTACGCGACTTTTCTTCCTTTGATCCTAATGCAGCAAAGTCAATAGTCAAGAGTTTTGACAAGGCTATTCTAGATGCCGTGGCGATACCTGAGGTATGGCCCCGTTCATTGACGACTCCTCTAAGATCTAACCCTCTGTTGGTAGCCTGAAGAGCGGAAACAGGCCATGTTCAACCTCACCAAGCACTCTGGCTTCCGTGCAGCCAACCCCAGAGAAGAACACTTTGTTCCGTTGTACATTGCAGCAGGAGCCGCAGAAACGGGTAAAGTCAAGATCCTGAATGCATTGTACGGGATATCCACTATAGCATTCGGAGTGTAGTAAATGCAATGCAACTAGGTGCTTAATCTCTAAATATTTTAATGGAACATCTACACCTATGTCGATTACTTTGGGCATCAATGAAACCTCGATCTCCCTCTGACCAACTCTGAGGACCGGATTCATGATGAGTTCATCAAAGCTCTGTAAGGCCCTGGTTGTTGCACATCCTTTCCTGAGGAGTATGTTGGTGCTTATCTGCTGTACCAACCGACTCAGTCCGAAATATCATACATTTCATATGAGATAACAGTTTATCCGAACAACTAACGGAAATTTTCCTTCCATCTAACACTTGGTGGTCATTGCCTAAATAGTACTCAAGAAAATTGACACATGCTTGGCAACGCCTTGATTCACGCGTTTCTCGCGTCCTCCACCTTGTCACGACCATGCCCCGAGAAATCGTGACAGTGCAGCTAGGCCAATGTGGCAATCAAAGTAAAGTTCCTTTATGAATGTTCATTTTACCATCTAACATCGAATTAGTGGGTTCTGTGTACTGGCAGCGCCTCTGCGCTGAACATGGCATCAACAAGGAAGGCATCCTCGAGGAATGGGCCACCGAAGGAGGTGACAGGAAGGACGTGTTCTTCTATCAGGCCGATGACGAGCACTACATCCCACGCGCTATCCTGGTCGATCTCGAGCCGCGAGTGAGTTCTGCAGCTTCACCCTTTCCCGTCTACTTAGCTACTCTGTAAGGTCATTAACAATATCCTGGCTTCACCGTATGCAAACCTTTACAACCCCGAAAACATATTTGTTTCCAAGGATGGTGGTGGTGCGGGAAATAACTGGGCACAAGGGTACGCAGCTGGTGAAAGGATATACGAGGAGGTCATGGAGATGGTTGACCGCGAGGCTGAGGGAAGCGATTCGCTAGAGGTGCGCTTGCACTTCTCCTCACCATCTGTCTTCGCATCTCAAAGCTTCCCATAATCTCAGGGCTTCATGCTGATGCACTCAATAGCAGGCGGAACAGGCTCTGGGCTTGGATCTTTCCTTCTCGAGAGACTAAATGACAAATTCCCAAAGAAACTCATACAGACATATAGTGTCTTTCCTAATGCCCAGGAGGGTGACGTCGTGGTGCAACCCTACAACTCGATATTGACACTCAAACGTCTTGTGAACCATGCGGATTCCGTGGTGGTACTGGATAACGGCGCGCTGGCGCGTATATCGGCGGATAGGCTGCATGTGCAGACTCCTACATTTGACCAGACAAATCAGCTTGTGGGTGCCATTGCATTCCTTTGGGATGGCTCTGCTAAGCTATGTAGGTATCAACCGTAATGGCAGCTAGCACGCAGACGCTTCGCTATCCTGGGTACATGAACAATGATCTGGTTGGGATAATCGCGTCTCTGATCCCAACGCCTCGATGCCACTTTTTAATGACTTCCTACACTCCCTTTACCAGCGATCAGATTGACAAGGCGCGCTATTGAGTGCTTGATCATTGTTATCGTTCTAATCTAGTCACTAGGCAAAACCCATTCGACGAACAACTGTCCTGGATGTCATGCGCCGTCTTTTGCAGCCCAAGAACCGCATGGTCTCTACGACTCCGAGCAAAACAGCGTGCTACATCTCTATATTGAATATCATCCAGGGAGATGTTGATCCTACTGATGTACATCAGTCTCTCCTCCGGATCCGAGAACGGCAACTCGCCAACTTCATCCCATGGGGTCCGGCTTCGATACAGGTAGCGCTAACGCGAAGATCACCCTACATACAGACGAATCACCGTGTTAGCGGGCTGATGCTCGCTAACCATACCAGTATTGCCTCGGTGCGTATGTCGTCTTGTCATTGACATTTCATGCTCAGTTTTTTTTTTTTTTTTCCAGCTATTCAAGCGTATGCTGGACCAATTTGACCGACTGAGAAAGCGGAATGCGTTCATGGAGCAGTACAAGAAGGAGAAGATGTTTGAGAATGGACTGGAAGAATTTGATGATGCACGGTATGTTTTCATTGGTAACTGTTGTTGGGTCTTGGCTGATTTTCCCATGCAGAGCAACGTGCGAGGAGCTGCTGAAAGAGTACAAAGCCTGTGAAAGTCCTGATTATATCACATATGCAAGTGCGAATTTTTAGATGAATGCTGTGGACTTATTACTTACCTTAGGGTGGTCCCGAGGACGCGTCATGATTCGGCTCCGTTCCATTTGCATCTCCGATAGTTATCTGCCTTGTATCTCTTGTAGTATTGAACATAGCAATCTTATCCAAATGGCTAAAAGCATCTATTCAACAAAACATGATAACAAGCTCTACACAGTCAACACGAAGGAGTGGGAGAGAACAAGATGCTCATGACTTCTTGGACCCTCCCAGCTTTTCCCCAATCCCGGAGCCTATGAACGGAGACGAAGTCAGCAACACGGAACATGAATCATCTAGAACGCACGTACCCCGAAGTTTTACACCAAGAGCCCGTTCGAGCTTTCCGAGGATCTGTGGATTGGGAATGGCCTTTCCCGATTCATAGTCTTGCAGTACAGAAGGCTTCTCATTAATCTTCTGAGCGACATCCTTCTGCGAAAGTTTGAGATCCATTCGTGCGGTTTGCATAGCCTATTTGATGAATCAGTTTAGAAACTTTGCAGAGGAAACACAAGGCACGCACGCGACCAACAGACGGAGCGACCTTTGAGGGAGGGGCAACTTCGTTTTCGCGGTCAAGTTTTGCAATGCGTTGATGGTCGGTTCCTGTGGATAACGATGAGACTGGTGACTGTAGTAGTGGATGCATCATACGCACCCTGGTGGGCTTTGTTGCCACCCGCTGTTATTTTCTTGTCAGTACCTACGACGGCACCTGCTCTCCTAGCCTGTCGTACTAAGTGAGTTTGGCTCGCTGGAAGGTATTGCCTGGACGTACGGCTGGACGGAAGATTAGAAAAATGCGGGGAAGGTTGGGAAACGCGCATACATACCATTGAGGTCTGAATCCTTCTTGGTGACTTTGGCTACCTGTCTCTTGGAGCCAATAACCAATTTGGTGTCCCAGTCGTCGCTCATGATAGCGTGGTGGAGGGCAGATGGTAGTACGAGAAGAAGGGAGTGAGTGGTTCGTCACGGTCACTTTGACTCCAAATCGGAACTCGGAGACGATGTTACAAATCCTGTGCACAACTGTTTATGGAAATCCGGCCCGGAGTAGCTCATCGGCAGCGTGATTGATTGAAGAGGGGTCTAACAAAGTGCTGTGGAATATTGGGTGACTTCCCGCAGCATTTAGAAACACAGATTATTTTCTAAATCCATCAAAGTCCCAATTTGAAATCATTTAGAATTTATATTTCTAAACCGTAAACCAATTTAGGTCTGGAAACACAAACAGCGATCGGTGAGGGTTAGCTGAGGCCGAAACGAGAGACAAAGGCGAGATAGGTGTTACTTTCCTTTAATCCTGGACTTTATAGGCCTCGATAGGCATCCGAAGTGGACTGCCTTACAAGTTTGTTACTGCCATGAATTTCAGAAAGTTACCCGAGTCGGGTATGAAAAAGACAGTAGTTGGGATGGAAAAAAATGGTCGGTTCTCAAGAAAGTAGCTGGGAAGTAGCCTTATAGACACTTCACAGTATTTGTTAGGTCCACCAAAGATTCAATACAAGGATACAAGGCTAGCAGAGCAAAAATGAGCTTTGGACTTGTTGGGATTTTGCTGGAAAGTTCTAGAAAGGGCAATCCGGCATCATGCCGAGAGTTGATGAGTAAGCCCGAGAGAAAGAGAAAGTTGTAGTAAATTCTAGATACCATCTGGCCTTACCAGCCTGGAGTCTACCCTGCGCAACACCGAGGATTTCCAACAGGACTGAAGACAGGCGCGGCAGGACAGTGGTAGGTACATGAGAGGCGACGTGAGTGAAAGAAGACGCCTCGGAAACTAACAGGTCCAAATATAGATCGAGATTGATGGAATTGCCAAATGCGGTTATCAAAGGTTTAGAAACATAATTTAGATTTAGAAGGGGGGGTCGGAGGGGTCGTCTAGGGAATAAACTATTCAGGAGCCCCGCTCCCAGGGGCTCCTCCGGGGCTCCTGCGGAGCCCCAGAGTTTCTGAAGACTTTGCCTCGGCCGGAGGACCGATCCAAGCCGGAGGCTGCGCACTATGCACATGACGACCGTCATGATGCCATGCCATGCCCCCCCGCTCGTCGGACATGGCCCTGAGCCAGAACCTGTAGTCGAAGCAGTCTACCCGAGAAATCAATATAGTTTGTACTGTTGTACTCTAGAGTAGCAGTTATCTCTGATGTTGTAATTTCATGTGTTCCACTCCTTGCTTGCCAAGATGGCTTTCGAGAATGATCGAGCATGATCGAGCATACCAAATATAGTATGCCGGACTCGGCATCAATCCGGAAAAATCCGGAAACTTCGAGATGATGAAAGTACTGAAGTTAGTTCATTGCTGACTGCGCACAGAGACTCTGGGACAGTGTAGGAACTTACTAGAATACTATAGAAACACATAACTTGTAGTATATAGGTAGTTAGAATTTTTCCAATGTTGAAGGAACTTGCTACAAACCCCAACTACAGTTGTGTAATACAACTCTTCTATACTGGTCTACAACTCTTATCTCAATCCCAAACATCAACAGCTGGGACACACTGAGCCATGTATTCTCAATGAAAACTGGGCAGGGGGTAGTAATGAACAAGGTCAAATCCATTTCTGTCCATTGTATTGTAGTTGACATTTCAGTATCCAGCAATCAAGACAGAACGGACTACAAGATCCACCAGCTCTCAATCCAGTTGGTCGTCCACATACTCAGCGGCTCACAGGTGCTCTGGAAGGTCATCCTCGTGGAGGTGGAGGTGCCCCACGCCGAGATCCATATGCAGCGGTTTCTGAGAATGCAGTGGTATCTGGACGCCGGTGTGGCTATTGCCAGATTCAAGGCCATACTCGTCCTAATTGCCCTAGTTTGCAAAACTTGAATTCTCGGTAGATAATGTATCAGTATGGTAATCCTGTCGGACAAATTCCATGATCCCATCATTTCATCACACATGCCAACGTTCCGGGAAAGCCGCCGTACCGGTGCTCCTCGCCGGGGAGGAGCGGGGCTCCTGAATAAGCAATGCCAGGAGCCCCTGGGAGCGGGGCTCCCGAATAGTTTATTCCGTCGTCTAGACTAAAATCTAGACGAGGGTGTTTCCCATCAAATTGTGGCGCTCATCCAATTTGTTATATCGGCATCGCTCGGCATCTCTGATTTAGAAAATAATCTATGTTTCTAAATGCTGCGGGAAGTCACCCATTATTGTCAGAAACTAACGCGTTACTCGGTCTCAATCAGTGTGGTTGTAGTGTGGTCGTTCCCAACGTGCAGACTAACCTAGGCCCCAATATTGAATGGCAAGCCGATCGGTCGCACGTGACCATGACAACCACTAAACAACCATCGTCCCGTCCGTGTGAAACGTTGGCAAGTATCTCTTTTCTCCTTTCTCTTCGTTCGAGGCAGTCTCACCGTCGTTGCCTTTGCAGTGTACTTCTGCAGGACGTTGAACGCCCTTCCTTTCTTTTTCGCCTTCCAATACGTCGCCTGGTGCTACAGCCGCCTCTGTATCTTTGCCTTTCGAGCTCTCTCTGGAAGAGTCATTCTTTTCTACACATTCTCTGGTGCGTCTGCTCGAATAACATCTGATTGCCAGCCATTCATTATCTATGATAGCCTTTTAGCAAGCAATCACAATGGTGTCCAGAAAGCTGATGGGTGCGTGGGCCTTTGTCGACGTCTGCCTTCTTGCCGCCGGCGTCGTCTCGCTCGCGCTCTCCATCGTATGGCGGGCACCCAACATACTAATGAACATGGTTCTTTCCAACTCTGATCTGACGGGTACGCTTTTGATCGCACTTTTCTTTCCTGAAACCCTAACCCTATTATGTAGCCGGCACCGTCCTTGCCGTCGCACTGCTTGTCACCTTTGCGATATCCATCGTAGCCGTTGTCCAGCGAAACCATGTCACAATCGGTTTCGTTATCCTCAACTATGCCTTGGTGCTCGATGCAATTGGGATCATAGTTATCGGCTCTTTCGTCTGGTTCTTCACCTTACATGAACGTGCCAACTTCCATGACATTTGGGTCCAACAGAGTGCTGCCAATAGGATCAGTCTCCAAGACCAGGTCAGTCCACTATGTCTCGGGGAATGTACCTCTTTAATGTCCTTATAGTTCAATTGCTGCGGTTACTTCAACGCCACCGACAATCAGGAAATCGGCGGCACTCACTGCACCCAATCTCAAGTCGATTTTCTTAACACGCTTAATTCAGTCGCCGATAGCAATGCCGACTTTTTCTGTGTTACCCCCATTACTGCTTTTGCGGATATGACCCTTAATAACATATTCACGTACGTCCTTTTGTTTGTTTGGCCCTTTCTGGCTCTGACTAGCTCCTTTGGCTAGAACTGTACGGACAAGGCCGTGATTGTGTGTATCTGTCGCGTTGCTAACTATTGTCTAGGTTTATGGCTTCATGGCGATCGTGCTCTGTCTTCTTCTCGCCTCTTTATGTGTCATAAACAAGGTCAGAGCATGTCTGTCTTGTGCTCTCATGATACTCATATTGCCACAGAGGAAGGAAGAAGAACGCTTCAAGAAGATCGATGAGAAGCGCGGAGGGAGAGGATTCGTTTGAGATGAAACACTCGACCAACCGTTACACTAGAAAAGCGCCCAAATGTTTTCTATTCCTTGTAGTTTCTTCTCCCTTCTCTTCTTTTGTCTGCTCTTCCTCTCTTCTTTCGTTCAATTGTTCAATTGGTAGAAGTTATACAGAAGTATTGTACGGGTAAACAGTCACTTTCTTGTATAATTCTTTCAGCGTCCTGCATTAAGTAGGGAATACAATAATATACCGTTGGGATCGCTTTTGCTGATCGATGTACCAATTGAAATTCACACCCTTCATCCAGCCTTGATGCGGATTCATGCCCAAAGCTCGCAAGAGAAAAGTACCCGTCACTACAACTAGCAATCATTCAGGAAATGCCTCGTCGAGCAAGCCCCAGGCTAGCCGGACAGTCATTCGACAGTTCCATGTGCTGCTGAAGCAACAAGCCCAGCTGAATGATGCCCAGAAACTAGCGGAAATCCAGCGCCAAATCGACGAGCTTGGAGGAATCGACTGCTATCAGAGCATGTCGGCTATTGGGCAGGGCAAAGATAGAGGAGGGGGTAGTGAAAAGGTGCTTATTGGGTGGTTGAAGGAGTTGGGATGCGGAGGGCAGAAAAAACTCAAGTACGGGTTTCTCTCAATCCTCAAGGCGGTATTCTTACTTTTTTTCCCCTCTTTGAAGATTACTTGAAGTAGGGTGAATACGTGTATTGCCCTTTCCTGAGGCTCAAGGCTGATTTTCTGGCAGCGCGCTTCTTCCAGATAACTACAAGTCTTGCTCCTCGTGGATCGATGCGACGCCTATGGACCTGCATTCTCGCCATCCTTCTATCATCGAACAGGATTTTCTGCTCATGGACGAAGCAGAGAACTGCGAGAAATGGGATATTATCAGCTTGAGTCTCGTTCTCAACTTTGTCCCAAGGCCAGAAAACCGGGGTGAGCATGTCTGTTGCGTCCAGGAAGTCCGTTCTTATCCCCGTCTAGGTCGCATGCTGCGTTTAGCTCACAGTATGCTTCCGTACGGGGGGAAGCTCTTTCTAGCGGTATACACGTACTCGTTCTCTTCCATACCGGGTCCTGACTTTACACGTCTTAGCTGCCCCTCCCGTGTGTAACCAATTCGCGTTACTTGGACTTCGACCGCCTCCGTGATCTCATGCGGGTCGTCGGCTTCGTAGAAGTCAAGCAGAGATGGAAGGAAACAGGAAAGATGGCTTATTGGCTGTACACCAAGGAGGATCCAATTGCAGCGCAGGGCGCTTTCACAAAGAAGTCGGTCTTGCGACAGGGAAATCGGAATAATTTCTGCGTGTTGCTGTAAATCCGTGTTTCTATGCAAAGAGTAGTAATTTATTATTCAAATGGTGTCATGTACGCTGTGTTAGCGTCTTCTTTAACAGTAAATTCTGCCTCTCCAGCGTCTCTACTTTAGTCTGTGCCACCTTAGCCTTATTCAAAATATATTTCGCTCGCCGCGAAAGTACGGATGATGAACCAAGATTGGACCACAAACTTGTATCTGCCCCCATGTCTTTGAGTGTCGTGAGCTCTTGTTCGTATGCTTTAATGCTGGTTTCGGCGCTGACGATGACTTTCTCGTTGAATGCCAGATCCTGAGTCGCCTGGAAGATCGCGTCTATGATTCGAGGTGAGATTAAATACGAAGATAAGCTGACCAGGAACGTTACCCCTTTCTAGGCGTTGGAATACCCATTTGAAGATAGGTTTACCGGGCTTGATGGTAGACGGGCGACCTAACATAGATATGAATCATACCGATCCTGACACAGAGAACAAAGATGGAGTAAATGTCACCCAAGTGCGTTCCAATCGAAATGAGTTCAGCATGCTCCATATTCCGCAGAGGCGCCTCATCGCCTTTGAAAGGGAAATCCAAGAGAATCTCGGAATACGAAATCTGGAAGAATCCTGAGCGAACAGCAGAGTCGCTCAATGAAAAACTGACCTCAGGCTGATACGCAAGCTTTTTCACAACCATCCACGCTTGTTCTCTGGTCCAAGGTAGACGGTTTGCATCGTCTTCATCGTCCCCAAAGGCATTCTTCTGGATTTCACTAACGCCCCGATTGATGATGTCTTCCACGGCCTCTTCGACTTGCTGACCATTTCGGACTTTATGTATGAGCTGCGTAAAGTTGGCAATCAGACACGAGACTGGTAAGAGAAAGCGAAGAATACAGTTTCCAAATCGCTCGCTCGTCCACCTAGTCTCTCCAGGTATGACGCCTGTCCGGGCGAAAACTGTAAGTCAATGTCAGCATCCTTTAATTTCTGTTTTACAAAAGCCAAAGCGCTGGCTGTATCTGCGTCATCGAGAGCTATCACATTGAGCGGCTTTGAAGGAAGGGCTGGTGAAGTTGGAAAATTAGTATACAGATACTCAGTCCGAATGTGACCATGCCTTTGGTAAGATTTTTCATATTCTCTCTATTGTCGCTGACGACTATGACATGTGCAATCTGATAATAATCAAAGCAAAGGAAGTGTGTAGATGAAGGCTACATACCTGATGTTCCGAAAGCTTAGCAGCCCATTCAGCGAGAACATCGAGCAACTCATCGCGGCCCGACCCTCGACTTCTCTCGAAGTGTTTGATGATCACAATAGGTAATGATTCTACCATTTCACTTTGCGGTATTCGCTTCTTGACCACTTTTTCTTCGGCTAATGTCTCGGAATTGGTGTTCGTCAAACGAGCATCAACTCCAAATAGCTTATCTTCCGTATCGAACTCGCTCTTAACCCCACTTCCTTCAATGTCATCCAAGCTATCACGCCCAAGGCCTTGCTTTTTCTGCAGTACAGCCATCTCATTGTCTGCAGCCTTGGATCTTTCCTTTTCCGCGTGGCGTATCTGTTTGTGAAGAGCGCGTCGATGCGACGAACCGGCGTTTTTGAGCGCATCCTCGGTCACGTCCAGAATTGACTTTAGCTGGTCCACCAAAGACGTACTTAATCCGGCTGGTGAACAAGATAAATGAGTAAAATGCATGAGCATTTCCTTTTGAGTCACCTTTTTGACCGATGAGACCCATACTTGCCAGGTCTAACAAATGGTTCACAGAATTAAGGAAGGAGAAGAACGGCCAATAGCCTGTTTGTTCGGCCAATCCTCTGACTAACAAGGTATCAGAACTAGATTGAAGTAGAAGTCCACAGTCGATAGTAATCGATTTCCGGTCAGTATCATTCAGAACCGTCTGGAGCATGGTCGATTTTCCGCTACCTTGGGGGCCATGAACAAATGTGATGGTCGCTTGAAGGCAAATTAAGTCTTTCGGGCTGAATCCTGCAGCAGGTGACATAACATACTTGGTAAATCCGCCAGATATGTTCGAACAGCTGTTTCAGCTTCTTTCCTCTCCTTCCACCCATCATTTGCTGTGAAAGGAGAGACCTGCGAAGCAGAATATAGTCGATCGAGTGTATTTTTTCTTAGCCATTGATAGATTTTGAACTCTAAAGGAGGCTGAGCCTTTAATGTGAACGCGGCTTTAAACAAACCAACCTCGGATATCAAACCAATCTTCCAATTTTCCTTGTATCATGAGTGAGCGCAAGGGATCAAAAATCTAAAAGATGCAATAAGTTGAGGCAAGAACATCGAGTTAGATGACGCTTACGGTATACGTCAATGTGCCTAACAGAAATACTACAATAGGCAACACAATTCTTGGGTGACTTGATAGCCAGTCCCGAACGGCATGTACACGGATGGGATAGTCATATTTTGTGCTTAACCTGGTGACTGTGTTGCCTGAAGACATTTCAAAGCCGTGTATGACATTACGCGCAATTGCGGCGGAGCGAATCTTTTGAAAGGAGACAGTAGAAAAACGGACGGAGCCAGCAGGTACAGGAATAGGATCCGTCATGCCTTTAATGCGACCATAGGGCTGGAGCAGATACTCAGTACATAGGATCGGAGAGAAGCAGGTGCATACACGCAGAAGCTTGTATAGAGATTCCTGATGAATATCTGGTCCTTCAAACGCGACTTTTACTATCGGGGAGGCGAAGTGGTACATGTCCTATGGGTAAAATAAGCCTTTTTAACGATTTGACATGAATGCATTGCGCACCTCGTTCCATGGTATCCCTTTTACAAGCCAAACGTCGCCTGAGCCCAATCCAAGCCAAGACGGAAGACCGCCACGATCATGTACTTTGCGCTTAAGCTCCTGCTCTATAGTCTCAAGGGCACTTTCGGAACTACCAGCCTTATAAGAGAAGCGGACGAAGACACCGCCGTCCTTGGGATATGGCTCTAAGGACGTGATGCGAAAGCCGTGGATCTTTACTGAAGAAAAACAGTCACGTAGTGATTGGATAGTACTTTCCTCCCTAAGAAAACCAATATAACGTCGAATACTGCGAAACGTTTAGCATTATAATGTTTTGCAAAAGCATGCGATATATACTCAAGTCTGCTAAGTTGTATTGGAAAAACCGAGTCAACAAAAACGCAACCTTCTCTAATCTGATATCATTGTTCAGGCAATAACCATATTGGCGCAAGGCAACACACCTCAGCAACTGCTTCTTCTGATAATGGCCTAGCACCTCGCCTCAGCAGCACAACAGACCGGAGACCATGAGGCGCGATTCGCAACATGGCGATAAGGAAGAGAACGGTTTCCGAGCCGAACCTGACGACACACGTGGCTGCTCAGGCACATCAAAAATGTGAGACAGATGTGACAAGAGGTGTCACGACCTGTGACATCAATCCTTGTTTGCCTGCGGTCATGTCAAGCTCATCCTCCCAAGACGACCGTCGACGTCTGCAGAGGGCGACTGACGCTAGACAGCTGACCCGTAGAAACTCGTCTTTTCTCAATTCCGTCAAGAATTACGTGCCAAAACCGATTGCACGCTTTTTTAGCGGCTCCGAAGAGTTTGATGACTCCAAGGATGAGATGGGCAAACGGAGGCGCCTCGATGGCCAGCAGAACGAGCCAGTCGATGGCCACGATGACGGGCCGGCTCCGTCGAAGCGTCTGAGGCTCCGTAGTCCAGATAGAGCGGTATCGCAGCCTCCGCCACAAACGACAAGCGCTCAAAGCGGCTATCTGGACCCACCCAGCTCGGCATTCCAACCTTTCTTTCAGCCTTCTTATTTATCCAATGACCCTTCCAATCGTTCATCCTCACTTACGCTACCCGCGACCACTATTCCAGATATTCCCCGTAATGAACCCCGCACTACCCTGTCTCTCTTGCGAAACCAGTTTAGCCGTACCATGTCCATTGATCCACCTCAGAATCCACTTACTCGACGTCTTTCTCGAGACGTTCCCATGAAAAGCGTTGCCTTGCCGCCCTTGCATGATGCTGCTGTTCGAGATACGTCTATGGAATCAGCGCCAGGTTCGTTTATACCTTCGTCCGCATCCCGAACCCGTGATACCTCTCTTCCTCTTGGATTCCGTATCCGCACTTCAGTCACCCCGCAACCTGTGCGTGATAGTTCCGAGCCTCCAACAATCTCATCCCTTGGTTCCAAACCCGTTTTTGTCCGCGGTCCTGCTCCGGAGGTGAGCAAGACCCAGGCCACCCTGGGCTCTCTTGTCGATACTCAGAGAAGAGTAAGTCAATGGAAAGTTGGTGTCGGCAGTCTTTGATTTTTCGTTCACAGACGCAGTCTCCTGTGCGTCAGCATAGCTCAAGTTCTCTTCTCTTTGGCTCTCAGCCGTCTATGAAAGGTTCGTCTCGAGATAATTGTATTTTCAATTTTTAATGAGTGTTGTACAGCTCCTCGTCTAACAACCGTCGCAGAGCGTACACTGCATGAGTTGGATATATACAGAACCCCCCTTAAGCCCTCTCGTCTTCGAGAAAACAGCTACTTGGCATCATCCCCCGGGACTGCCACAGACATGTTCTCTCGCAAGAAGTCCTATCAGCGAATGCCCGGAGGACGCACAGTCAAGGCAAAGGTAGCTAACGAAACTAAGCCGTATGCAGGTGACGCGGGCATCAAAAAACATCTTGCGCGAAGTAGGAAGGCTAATGCTGAAGATGAAGCTGTGTCATCGAAGGACGAGCCAAATGGTGACGATGTGTCCATGAATGCAGACCAGCCTTTGAGCGATATCCTTCCAGAGATCAACAAGGATCGAGGAGAGCTCAAGTTGCCCGACAATCAGCCGAAGAATTCCAAGGTGGCAGAGAAGCAGTCAACTATAACTATGCCTTCCAACTCTTCTCTTCGAGTCGGTCGCACCTTTACCTCACGCAATCATATTGATCGCCCCTCTCGATCAGGGAAAACGGGGTTTTCTGCGGCTTTTGACGACGATGAAGAAGAGAGGCGGGAGGAGGAGTCCAGGAAAGAAAGGGAGATGATGGAAGAGGCGGCAAAACATGTACCCGTATTCAACATACCAACCGGGTTTAGTTTTGCCAAGGACGTAAGTCATCGCTCAGTAACATCAGTCCTGACGCTGAAAGCCGAACAGACTGACAAACCTCAAGGTATTGCATTCGACTTGTCGAAAGCAAGGGAGCCGCCCATTCCCTCATTACCCTTTTCCATATCTTCTTTCCAATCTGGTACTTTCTCGGTGTCTGGCGCTGCTCCTATCCCATCATCAAACGGTCCAAGGGTGGAATCTACTACGCCTTCCACTTCTACGCCGCCGGCTCCGATTCGTGAACCTGATATCTCTCCGAAGGTGGACTCTGTGCCTGAGGTTTCGTCAACGGCTGAAGACCTGGCGAAGACGAGTAGCAGCATCCCGCATTTCTTTGCTTCAAGCAAGGCTCTCACCCAGACCCCTTTGGTGGTGCCACCGATGACATTGACGGAAGCGCCGACGTCCTTGCCGTTCAGCTTTACGCCGCAACAGCCCTCAGCCACCACATCGGCTCTGTCGGCTCCGGTCCATGACGCCGGTAATCCGTTGTGGAATGATAGTGCAGGGAAAGCTAAAAATGAACTGCCTGCATCCAGCTTGGACAACGACGGTAGTAGCGGTATGTTTGCTTTCAGTGGCTCAGAGACAACCACCTCCTTCGCCTCGTTTGGGTCTGCCAAGCAGGACAAAGGACCTCAGACATCTACCTCAACCGAGAACATATTTAAACCCTCATCTTTCTCTTCCGGCAACAGTGCTACTCACGAAAGTTCCATTGTCACGGAGTCAACCCCTCCGCCAACCTTGTTTAGTACTGCGCCTGCAAAGGCAGCTGAGCCTAATCAAACTCCGAAGCCGTCGCCTTTCGGCGGTAGTAATGCGATCAAAGACAGCACCAAGTCGGACGAGTTCACCTTTGGTCAAGAGTCCAACAGCTCCATCGAACCGAAAACAAACGGGTTCTCCTTTAGAAAGCAAACAGAGGTGGTTGATTCAGTACTCAAACCAAGCAATGCTTCTACGTTCACTTTTGGTGGTTCCTCGGCACCCGCCACACCAGGTGCACCAGCCATATCATTTGGTGGTATGTCTTCAAATCAGACTACGATGATTCCCCAATCGCCATTTTCTTCAGGCTCAACCCCCGTTACGGGTAGTAACAACGTGACGTTCGCATTCTCTCATCCTAGTGCACCCGCAGACAAGGTGGAGCCAATTCCGAAGTCGCCATTTGCTTTCGGAGCGACGCAGACAACTGTGAAGGATGGCGGGACTGTGAATTCTGTAGAGTTTACTTTTGGGTCAGGCTCAGGCGACAAGAAGAATGGAACTAGTTCTTCATCCATCTTTGGCTTTGGTGCTACCCCAAGCACGCCTCCAGTCTCGGACGCTGACAAAAGGCCGTCGTTTAGTTTTGGTCAGACATCGACATCAGCGCCTGCGTCGTCGTTCTCTTTTGTCGGCGGATCTACATCTGGCGATGTTTCCAAGCCGTTTTCTTTCAGCGCTGCAGCAACTGACATTCGTCCGGTGACACCACCGAACCAAGATCACGAGATCAAAATGGATGAGAGCCCCACGAGGGATATGCAAGTTACCAATGCTCCCAAGATCGCTGAGCCTCGTCCTACCTTAGGTGTGTTCCCTTCATTCAACAACGCCGGCGGTGGTTTGTCATTTGGCCAATCTGGTGGGTCCACGACTCAGCCTTTCACTTTTGGAGCGACAACCACATCGTCGAATCCCTTCGCGAAGGAGAATAAGCCAGAAGAAAACAAAGGGTTCGGAAGTGGAGGCTTCGGTCAATCCTCGGGTACCTCCTCCGGTTTTCCATTTGCACATAAAACCAGTGAAGATCCTCCTCGTCCTTCAACGGCCGGGCCATTCGCTTTTCAATCATCCAATTCTGCTACAGGATCAGGAGCAGGTTTCACGTTTGGCGGAGCATCTAACGGTGCTCCTAGCACTTTCCCTTCAGGGCCGCTCTCAGCACCGAATAGCCCGTCGACGTTCAACACTCCCTCTCCATCGTTCACGTTTGGGGCATCTACGACTACAAATCTATTTGCCTTCGGGTCTCAGCCAGCTTCACCTGCAACTGGCACCAGCAACCTCCCTTCGGTACCTACCACTGGTTTCGGGGTTAGTGGTGTTTCCGGCACCGGCTTTGGTGGGTCATCGAATCCTTTTGGGGCTCCATCCACCTCCCCGGCGGTACCGTCAGGTGGTGGAACGCTGTTCACCATTGGTGCCGCACCGTCTGCCCCACCTAGTGGTATGAGGCAGATCAAGAAGTTGCCCAACCGAAGGGGCGCCAAGCGGTAAACATCTTAACGATAAAAAAACATGCGTATACATTTCATGAATGTTGTTTTCTTCTCTGTGCTCTTGCATCGTACGCAAATTCCGTCATATCTATCCATCGCAATTCATACATACATCATCCGTGTCTTTGGCAGTCATCTGTCCTCCGTTGTCATCGTCCCTTTTCTACAGGTTTTCTTAGGAATTGTTTGGTAAACTGTATCACATTAGGTTTTTCTTTGCAGGCTCAAGGCCGCACGTACATCATCATATATCTGGCTCAAGGCTAGAATCGATACATCTTTATTTTTTTACGAACCTTGCTATCCATATAATCATTGTTTGCATGTATCATATTTCATCTTCGTCTTTTCGACCCAAAGCGGTGATGACTTAAACAAGAAAAGATGGCATAATTTTGCCACGCGAGCTAAACACAGCGTTGCTTCCGTCCTACCACCATGGATTTCGTCCAAGGCCTTGATCTTTCAAAACTCCTCCTTGGCGGGGCGGTAAATTCTTCTATTTTTTGTATTTCCTTTGCCAATGATTCCCAGGTTTTGTCCTTTGCCGTATCTGCGTTTTCAGCACCATTCTATAATTTCCCTCTTTTCCTCTATGGACTATACGGACAAGAGAACACAGAGTCTGTTTCCGCTTTACAGAATGTGCGGAATTAGACCTTCAGGTCGTCTTTGTTCGCTCATGCTATGCCCATAACTAGTTTACATGCTTTCTAGCTGGTTCGTTGCTCTGGGATATTATATGGATGGCCAATCATGAACAAAATGGGTTTATCAAGTTTTTGAGCATTCTACTCCTCGTTCTAAAGGTGCGATTCCTTCTGTCTCAGACCACGCTTGCGCTGACAGATATAGATTCCGACCTTTGGTGCCTGTGGGCTCGCAGTTCGTCAGCGAGGCGCGACATTTGGAGGGCTTGGTCTGCGTGGGAGTGATTTGAGCGGGCCCACTGGTGCGTCCTCTGTGTACTCGTTTTCATGAGAAGCTTATCTTCTCTCTATAGTTTGGTCTATGCCCGGAGGCTTCACTTCGACAGGAAGGGATGACTATCAGAACTTAGACGAGGAAGCTACCGTTTCAGCGCCACCACGAGTACCAGTGGCTGCACCACATCGTCCATCCAACCCAGCACCACCGCCACCGCCTGCGACTGGTCCGTACCAAACAGCATGATAAATGGCTGCACTGCGCATTCTGGATCCCCTCTTTATTTAAAAAATTTCACGGACAAGTCCCTTAGTATCTCGATGAATTAAACTTTGAAGTTAAATGTCTGTACATCAGCTCACTTCATTCAGTTCGGCTTCTTCGTCTTCCAAAGCATCTAGCTCCAGGTCATGTATCAGATCCTTGAGTGTATCCAGCGTGTTCAGCTTGCTCTCTGATTTCCTCCTCGCAAACAACCAGGGACAGTCCAATGATTCGCAGCGTATTTCTTCGCTCCCAGGTATTTGTGCACACGAAGCACAGACCTTTCGCGTTTCCATGAAGCGTTTTTCAACGACGTTGATACGATTCAGGACACCAGCCATAGTTGCCCGAGTATCCATGCGGCATACGTCACAAATTCCTGTCAAATATTTAACTGCGATGTCGCGGAACCATACAATGTTGATATACATACCTTCAGGTGCATAGGAGCCGCATGTGAGACACAACGAACTGCCGAAGTGCTCGTCAATATTGAAACGTTCGACGGCTTCGGGTCCAGCCTTCTTTTTCGACGGCGAAACAGGTTGCTCCCCAGCGGGCTTTAGCTTGGGCATCTCCTCATACCATTGTCGTACGTTGGCGCCTACCAAGTTGAAGATTCGTTCCAACGGCGGAATAAGCACTCGCGATATGTAGTATTCTGCATCAAGGGAGGCATGACTGCAATATTACTCTCAGCGACACGCAGTGAAGTACTAGTGATACACTGACGGATTGTTTAACAGGTCGAGTGGCTCCATTGCTCGGTCTACCAGTCTTGTATCAGGTGGTCCTCGAGAAATCACGTACGGTACGCGCTCTCCATACTGTGGTTCGTGATGTGGGTCCAGTAGCGTACGTCTGGCTGCTACGGCTGCGCCCGGCGGAGGTGGGATTTCATCGCTACACGGAAATCAGAGTACCGAAAAAGTCCACCATTTGGAACCCCACCTGTACGTCCCCATACGGACTTCCTTTGCAAATATGAAGTCCTGAACTGAAGCCCTATTTCCTAGAAGTTTTGACCATGACCTGCAACAGTAGTCTTTAACCTTGCTGAGGTCTTGAGTGCGAAAGAGGATCCTGGCAGAGAGGCCTCGGTCAGTATCTACAGGAAATAGAGAGACCAAGCATTTACTTTAAACAGGTTTCGGTCATCTTCTGCTGCGCAGGAACTCCATCTCGACGGACGGTCTCGATACCTTTTGCATCAAAAGCGGGTTCTGTTTCGTCTATACTTTCGTATTTATACCCCACATAACGCTTCTTGGCCATTAGGACGCATGGAAGATATACCTTTAACCTAATGAAGCCAGAATATCAAACACGAATGTTGACGTACCTTCTCGAACTTGAGCTTGATGGGGGGAGGGTTCAAAGCTGTAATGGCATCAGCAATATCTTGTCCGATGCGAAACGCCTGTTCTTTGGTCTTTCCATGCAAATAACTGGTGAACGTGTAAGTTAATGCGATCAAGGAGTCAAAATAGATGCGCCAACATGAAAACACTGTCTGTATCTCCATAAACGACCTAGCGAAGGCTTTAACTCGGCTGCATTTTCTGAGATATTATGAAGGCCTACTTTGGCCCCCCATTTAGGAGTCGAGTCGATAAGCATGATGGCCTGTAAATGATTCACACAACGTAACACAGATTTTCTGGTTCCTGACAAACCTTTTCAAGCGTTTCACGACCGCTTTGGACGATGCTGTCCGCGATCTCCACTGCAGGCATTCGACCAGAGAACGTCGCACTGGTGTAACCATATGTAACATTTGCGATGTATTTTAGTCCCAGCTGTCGAGCATCCAGAATGCGCCTCAGAGCCTAGAGTAATAATGAGTCCAGTAAAAGGTTCTGGACACACAAAGAAGCCTACCTTGTCTTCCTTGACACCTTTCATGGCTTGCTTTACCATTACTCGTGTTTCTAATAATTCGACCAACATGCGGCCGAGCAAGCCTTTGCGGACCTCAGGCTTGACGTACATGATACCATTTGCTGCAACTGATGAACGGCGGGTATATCAGATGCACTGCAAACAAGAGGTGAGGACAAACACTCACCCTGGACGTGATCCCGAAGTTTTTCCAGCAAACCCGGGGGACGTTCAAGGTCCGTAACGCCAAATTTGTTTCGCCCTTGAAAGTCGATTATTCTTCCCAGGCATGTAGAATAACAATAATTATAAGCTATCATGATGGAAGGGTATAAGGATTGAAAGTCAAGGACAACGACAGGACTGGTATAAAATGCCGACTGTGGTTCCATTATCAAGGGCATGCATTCAGCAGCATTTTGTTTCCCCACCTGATCATATAATGTTCGTTAGCATTGCGTGCAGGAAGTCTGTAGGGTGAACACACATCGGCTTTACTCGGTGAGATGAAAACGAAGCTCTCTGGTTTAGCAATACGAAACATAAACGATTCGACTTTGAACTGAGAGCCGCGACTGATGACGGAGAAAAAGTCCACACCGAACACACGGGCAAATTCTCTGGTTGCAAGAGTCAGTCTAATTTATGTAGGCAGAAAATAAAGGCAGGAGGTTACGCAGTTTTGGTAATGATGTCGACGGACTTCAAAATGTCGAGTACCATTGATGTCCGAGAAGCAAAATGGCGAAACAACATGCCCAATTGTGTAGGTCTCCCGCCCCGGTACCAATTGGTCAGGGTAGAGGATGAATACCAAGGAGTTCTGAAACGGTCGTCGGCAGTCAAAAGACATATATACACATGTATATAATACATACCTCTGTCGAAGGACATTGAAAACCACGTTTTCAAAGGTGTATGTATTTAAATTCTGTTCCGAACGCATAATTCTCCAGACATTAAGAACATGACGGCCTGCGGCCTTAAAGGTGGAAGTTTTCCGAATTTCCCATTGGAGAGAACCACTTCTTCGGCTTGATAATGTGGCGCGCGAAATCAATTCCGAGACTTCTAGGCCTGTAGGCACTTGGTGAGACAGACCCAGGACTCCAAGAAGAATATATACCGTATATAGCCGCCCTCTTAGAAAAATATCCCCAAGAAGATAGCTGTACATCCCAGCCAACAACGATGTCTGGATCCAAATCCAAGACTATGTCGATGACTGCATTTATAAGATCCAGCTCACTATCGACCTTTTCAATAGCGAAGTCGCGTATCTGATGGGCACTGAACTGTGGTGATTCTACAGCGAAGATACCCGACTTATAAGCTCTCTCTTCTGTCTCTCGAAACGAGTAAAAGACTGCTGCTAATGCTAGCACGAACCGACGCAATTAGTGCAACATATATAGGTGCTCAGATGATTAACTCACCATCTTCATCAGAGTCAGGTAGTTTACCAGCTCGGGATGGTGCTTAAGAAGGCATTGGTACTTTCCGACACAGGGAGAATAGAACTTACCAAACACTTCTAATGAAAACACTGTCATGTCATGTCTTTCACGAGAAACGGAGCTTGTGTCTACAGGGGTGGTCTTGATATTGTAGACGTTTGCCTGAGTAGGACCTTCTATCTGTATTACATATGATCTATCATCACGAAACAGAAGGTATGCTGTACCTACTAACCTGAGATCGTTGCTGAACAGTCTGTCCTCCAGTCAACATCTTTCCCTCATCGGATTTCAACCAGGCCCGAACCGACTTCACACTGGGCGGATGTCCTGCGTATTCCCAACCTTGCGCATCTCCTGCTTCGACAAGACTATTCCAAATTTCAGATCCGATGGGTTCCCAGGCTGGAAGATTCTTTATGCCTTTGCCGCCCTTCAGATGATATACCAATCCAGCGTATTCTCGAGGCCGATCAGGAGCATCAATTTCTTTGGAGTAATAGGGGGGGCGGTAGATCTTGCTGGGAATGTTGTGCATGTAAAGGCTTGCTAGAAGGTCAGAGACAGATGGTGGTTGGCGGGCGTACTCAAAGCCGTTTGCGTTGGGTGTGTATTTCAAAATATGTTGCGAATGATATGTGAAGGTTCTCTTTATAGGTGAGCTTGAGGCAGATTCATTATGAGCCTGCGAGTGAGTGACAATATTATTCTTCCTATAGCAATTATAAATAAATGTGCGAGAAAAAATGATGCGACGACGAACGTTTGAGATATCCCTTTCCGGTGACTAGAAGATACCATTAGATTTGTTCAACAGTGGGATACAGACTAACCTTGGTGACGGAGACAGTCTCTCAGGAGGAGTGGAGGATCCTGAACTTGAACGGCTGCTGGTTGCATTTAGCAGAACATATGTGATATGAAAGCAGAGGGGCACCTTGACATGCGAGTTAAATTGGGAAACACTGGTTCGGTATTTATTGGGGATCCCTTAAACGGGCTATAGGACGATGTGTGAATACACAAGGAGGAATGCGAAGCAAACGTACTCCTCATTAACTTGATCCTTGTGTTCGTCCAGATTTACAGGATTTTCGTCGAGAAAGTCGTCATCGTTGTATTCTTCATCATCGTACGCATCATTATGTTCCTGGTCCATCATATTAGCCCATGCTTCTTCCTCCATCTGTACGTTTTTGGTCATCTCTTGGCTTGAAAGTATCGTCATGTCGATGTCGACGTCGTCTGTGCTGTCATCTGGGAGTTCGTTGGCATCGGCATTAGACAATTGGCGTTCATCATTCGTGTTGCTTGTTCCCTCAGGTTTCCAAATCTTGTAAGAGTCTTCCCAAAGGGCCTCAACACTCTGGAACGTTGTCATGGCCCATTTTTCCCAACCTTCCTTCCCATCGATCGCCGGAGGCTCCTGGTGTCTTTCGTTTTCGATTCGCTTCTGGATTTCTTCCCACCACCTGGCTTCAGCAACCCATTCACCTCCAGAGCCTCTAGAGGAACTGCTAAGGTCCACAGGAAGTTCAGGTGAAGGTGGGAGGCCACGCGCAGCCCGGCGTCTTCTTTCGTCATCCCAAAGTTCTCGAACGCTAAGAACAAGTGGTTCGTTAGGAGTTGGGAGGGCAGGAATCCTCAGTTCATGATGATGGTGACGGGCCACAAGAGCGTGTCTGTTCAAAATATGATAGGCCTGTGCATCGACTTCGAGCGGCATGCGTGATTGGCGAAACGAGGATGAGCGTCTGAAAACAGGGCCCTCTTCATCTTCATCTGCGCCACGCTGAAACACCTTTTCAAGTTCGATCCAACCGCATCCGTACAGTCCGAAATCTGAGAGGAACTGCAAGGTGTAGCTGAGGTGACTTTCGTATGTGCAGAATCTGGTGCTCATAACACTTCCAGACTGCAACAGAGTCACGATGCGACTGACGAGACCTGGATCCACGACATAGACTTTGAGGAATGGCGCATAGGAAGAGTGAAAACCATAGAAATGGATTCCTTTTACCAGGATAATAGCACGAATATACTGCGGCCTGGCCTGGGTGGTGCGTTTGAAGGAAATAGCAATCGCATGATTTAATGAGTGCGTCAATCTGGCGACATATCGTCTGACTAAACAAGGATCATCAGTGTATAGCTTGAGGAAGTCATATATGATAAAACCGTACCATGGCGAGCACTGAGACTTCCCGTGTACTCTACAAAAAAATAGGGATACACTTGGTGGATGTGCAGACACGTCTTTTTCCTGATGGACGAGGGCCCGTAGATACGAAGAACAGGAACTTTTGGAAGATTAGAGTTATCGAAAGGACCTGGTACTTCCAATGAATAGTCAATCTGATTAATTTGTACTCGGAGGACTGGACGATTTGTCTGATTAGGGGAAGTCATGGACGCGACATGGATGTCATAAAGAAAACGTGATCGCAATTGATCGATGATCGTAGCTCTTTTTGGAGACTTTATTATATATTTATTTACTTTCCGTTTTCTTACTTCGACCATCACCGCGATGGACGGGCCTGCTCATCTGTTGTCGCTCAAGGTCATGCGAGTCTCTGTGCGTAACGGTGGCATGACCAAGTACTATATGCTAATTCATCCTTGCAGCGTCCGTCGCTGGCAAGCTCCTGGCAGCCATTCTACTCCAGTTCCCCGTCCTTCTCAGTCCGTATTTATTCCAGAATGCAATTTATCCGACCTCTAAAGCATGTGTAGGCACATTCAACTGCATCAATAATGTCTCTCCAAGGAAATACACCCTTGTCTGGTTATCCGAAAACATTAAGGGATTTCACTCAAGCCTCAGAATTGCTCATCCTGCCCTCGTCATTCGGTTCTATACAGCTCGGAGAGACCTTTTCCAGCTGTCTTTGTGTAAACAATGAGGCCAGTGTCGACGTTGAGGGCGTCCACATGAAAGTCGAGATGCAGACCGTTACAACGAAAGTGTTATTGGCTGAATTTGGAAGCTCAGACCATCGTTTGAGTGTAGGGGATACTCTTGAAAGTATTGTTCATCATGAAATCAAAGAGCTTGGGCAGCATGTTCTCGCATGCACCGTGACGTATCGACTGCCTCCGGGGGTTCGGATTGCCCCTCAATCAGAAGATAGTAATCAAGATCCAGCTTTACAGACGTTCAGAAAGTTCTACAAGTTCGCCGTACGTCTTCAACTAATTGAAAGATTAAGTTCGCTAAAAATGTCTAGGTTACAAACCCGCTGTCCGTCAAGACAAAAGTCCATGTCCCAACGTCTCCTTCTGCCCTAACCAATCTCGATGAGCGAGACAAGGTGTTCCTCGAAGTCCACATTCAAAACCTCACCCAGGAGCCTATTTGGTTTGAACGAATGCAGTTTGAATGTGCGGATGGCTGGGCTGTGAAGGATGCGAACAACTTGATAAGAGACATAGATGGAGAGAAAAAGAGCATTTTCTCTGGTACCACAGCGCTCATGAACCCCCAAGACATGAGACAGTATATCTACATCCTGGACCCCAAGACACATACCTTGGAACCTCCTACCAATGCGCCAGGGAGCATTATTCCTCTCGGCCGGCTCGATATCTCATGGCGATCGTCTTACGGTGAGCCTGGCCGTCTACTCACTTCCATGCTCTCTCGCCGTATACCATTACTGCAACCACCACCACAACAGCCCGCATCCGCCCTCCCACCTTATCTGAAACGCACAGTCGCGGCAGCATCTGCGCCTGGAATGCCTCCTCGCCCCCGATCTCCTCAGCTTTCACAGTCACGACCCAGCTCCCCAGTTCCTACATCACGACCTGGTTCTCCGTTCCGCAATCGCCCAGCCTCTGTGGGCCCCAGTCGCGCTCAATCGCCACCTCCTCCGCCCGCGACAAACCCAATACCAGGTGTCGATGTTCACCTCATTGTACGCAACTTGCCCCGGAATTCGATTGAACTGCAAAAACCATTCACCATATCTTGCACGCTAACAGTCGGCACTTCTATACCCTTTGACAAGCGGCACTTCACTCGTATACTGACCTTGGTGGTGCAGCACGTTCAGCCTCCCAAGAAAGCGCCTGCACCCGTTTCCGTGAATAACCTTATAGCCACTCAATCAGAATCATTCACACGAGTTTCAATCTCAGGTTTCTCTACTCCGTCTCCCACTTCGACCTTGTTCAATTATCCCTTGGCGCAACAGAAACTTCTCGTCGCCTCTCCACGGCATACCATGCTGGAGTTAGACACCAACGAGGCGCTTCTCCCACCCCCGTTTTCTGAAACGTCTCCCGACGAATGCAAAATACCTCAGTCAGGCGTGGGTTTCTGTGGCCCATCAGCGATTTTCTTGTCTCCTATTCAGCTGTCTGCAGCAGACTCTGTCGAACTCAGCACAAATGTCTGCGCCTCACAAGACTTTGAGCTAACGTACATCCCACTTCAATCTGGCTTTGTATCGTTTGGGGGTCTAAGAGCACTATTGGTAGAGGATAAGTTCACCAGTACAATCATAGGGATGGACGGGTTTTCAGAAGCCCTTGAGAAGGCACGGACTTTGAAGGAGTGGGATGTGGTCGGGGAGGTATGGGTCTCATCTTAGTTTTACCGTTGTTTTGTCCGATAATATTATTAGCAACTATATGTACTACTTGCGAGTCCGAAATGTGCGTTAGACTGTCACCCAAGGTTGACTGACGAGCTGTTGCACGGACAGTAGCGCACGGTATCGAACATCCGGGTCTTCGTGGGTCATGAGTTCCATTACGCGTGTCTTGCCACCGAGGTCCGTAATCAATCTATAGACACAACGTTACATTCAATCGTGAAAAGTTCAACAATTCAAACATACTTCTTGCCCCTCTCACAGTGCTTGACGTATTGACCAACATCATGAGCAGCAACGGCTAGCACGGTAGGATCACTAGACTCATTCAATAGCTTCAACAGCATCCTAGAGAAAAGGTCTCCTCTCAACTATTACTTGAAGAGAATGAAGAAAGCTTACTTCAATTGCTGGCAATCTTGCTCATTAAGCTTGGTCGCGTTCTCCTTCCAGAAATCATCGGATTCGTGCACAGGTGTCCAAGATAGATGTCCTGAAGATAGCTCTGATGTATATTCATCATACGTCCTGGGAAAGACTTGAGTTGGGTCAGTAAAAAAGAAAATAATGACACACGTTAGGCTGTAGAAGTTCTTATTTAGTTCATCACGAAGAAACTGGACATCTTCTACAATATCCTCATCTGTGAATTTCCGGGTGCAAAGGTTCTTTGCGAATGGAAGCAGTTGAGAGACAAGCATAGCGGGGAGATTAGCAGCGGGTGCTTTAGTAAGAAGGTTCTGGAGAGGCGAAGGGGTGGGGGGAGGAAGTATCAGGCTATTCTTGAAGATCACAAAGAGAAGAATATACTCACTCGGAAGGTCGCGGCGATGACGCGGATGACCTTTTCCTTCGCTGCGCCCTGAGCGACGTCGATGAGAAGGGGTATTATATTGTACTTCCTAGAAGAATACGTTAATGAGCACTGAATGCAGGGTCAAGGAAAAAGACAAAGACTTGTCGAATTGTTCGGCAATATTTTGCTCAAATGACAGAAGCCATATTGAAAAGGCGACTTGATAGCTCATCTGAGCCGTTGGCTTACGTTTCAGAATGTCAACAAATCTGCGATATTCAAGCAAAGACAGTTAAAATTAGCGCCAAGACGAACCCAACAATTATGCCAGCTATGTCCCAAACGGCTTGACGACATTCTGGTCGCGTCAGGAGTGCCTCTAAACATTGAACGGCAACATCGCGCCTATTGGGTGACTTTCCTTGAACGAATCCAGCAAGCGTAACAAGGAACGGCTGAAGATATTGGTGTTGTAGTGGGTATGGTTCAGAGCTATGAATAGAGTACGATTAGAACGCTGTTTTTGGGAGATGAATAGGCCAAGTACCAGAGGAGGACGGTCAGGATTTGTGCGGCCTTCAGTTGCATGAATTCATCTTGGGTATCAAGAGTTCTGTAAGGAACTGAGTCAAGAAGAGTACAGTATGCGAATTGGCGTACCGTAGCAGAGGAACGTAAGGAAGTTCTGGGTCGGTTTCAACAGTGGAAGTGAAAAGAAGTACCCGTTCATCATGGTCTGTGTACAACTGAGACTCACACTACGCGTACACTTGAAGGATAACGTACCGGTGAGCGCATCGACCATAAGGACAAGGATGTATTGCATAGTGTCCACCCGCTGCAGCTTCTTGAGAAGGCGAAGGTACAGCGACGCATACGTGCGGGAATCCGACAGCAAGATAGACTCAATCTTTGCCTTTGGTTGTCTGTCTACTTTCTTGATGAGGGCAAGTTCCTCAGAGGTGATGAGATCAGCTCTCTGGTAACCCTGTTCGTGAATTCGATATTGTGTTCATATGAAGGCGAGGAGTCGTACCTCCCACGGAACCGGCTTTGAACGAATCTTTATCGAGGCGTCATCGAGGTAGGTGTTGGAAACGAGGGATACAGACATTGTGATGAACGGAAACAAGCTATGATTTAGCGTATGCTGTATATGCTATCTTGGCAGGCACTTCTCACGATGCACGTGCTGCAAATTTCCTCAAATCTGAGAGACTTAGGCTTGGACGGTCAGTGCAGCAGTATGTTGTCCAGAAGTGTCGTTGCGACATGTAGCTGGCACACAAGATGTAACATTTTCTGCTATTTTCTCTATCTTTGCTGACATTTTCCAGGCTTTGCTCGGACGCTGGCTACTGAGGTCGGAATACTATCACTTGCCTCAACATCGACAGACCTCCCGCCTTCCCCCAAAAAGACACCCAGACCTATGATTTCAGCCGCCGTCATCCTCAACAGATCTCCACTTATAACTCGTAGTCCTAGCACCTTTGAACGCGCGTATTATAGCTACCAAGCCCGTCTCCGACGCGCCCTTCATAATCCATTCCCGTACGACTTTTATTTTAAGGAAGGGTCCATTCTCGAAACACGGTTTAACGTCGAGGAGCGAAAACGGGAACGACGGGTGTTTGGACCTCTATTCGGCATCGATGACGATGTAGACCAGGAGAAGGCAAAGGCGGCTCGAGCGGCGGCGGCGCAACTCGCAGAGCAGGAAGGAGAGTACGAGGAGATGGTACCGCGGCTGCATCCATCGGACGTGAGTCGGGACATCAAGAGCCTTGATCGTAAGGGAAAGCGGAACATCTATCTTTTGCTGAAAACAGAGCAAGATGTATGGCGTTTCCCTCAGGGAGGTCTTGAGAAGAACGAGCTTCTCCACCAGGTGAAATGCTTGCTGTCCAATCAACTATCTCTCTGATACCCTGTTTAGGCTGCCCAGCGAGACCTCTATGCCGAGTGTGGTCAGTATATGGACTCGTGGATTGTCAGCAGAAATCCTGTCGGTGTCTACAAGCCTCCCGTCCTGTCAATACCCGGCCAATTCATACGCCCAGTGAGTCTGTCATGTTCAACAATCTAGCAAACACTGACCAGCCACCAGGAGGTTACCTTTTTCTTCAAAGGTCACATCATGGCAGGCCAAGTACGCCCGGGGGAAGGCATCTCTGACTTTGCTTGGCTGACAAAGCAGGAAATCGAAGGCAAAGTAGAAAAGAACTACTGGGATGGCGTTAAGGACATTTTATCTGACTACTGAAAACATCTACATCCTTCCAAGTTCTACTTTGGGGGTGCTGAAATAGCTCTTCGCATCTCAGGTCTTTTTCTGGCATCGTCGAAATGCCTGACGATCACAGAGCATTTTGTAGATTGACAGATATGCTTGGAGGAAGCTTTGACAGCGTCTGAGAACAGAGTCAAACCAGCGGCACGTTCAACAGCTTCGACTGTAGGTTGAGAATCAGCACGGTGCAAGTACTGAGCTGGTGAAGATACAAACCAGGCACTACAAAGCTTTCTAACAGTGCTTCATCTCGTATGACAGCATTTGGCAACACAAATGCGCCTGTTGATAGTTCGAGTACATCTGGAGTGCTCGGAGAAGAGGGTTTGGAGGTGAGAACAACTTTGGCGAAGTGGGTCGGCACAGAAATGTTGGGCGGTGAACCAATGACTTCGTGTGTCTATCCATGCGTGTCGAGACTTGCGTAGGGAGTGTGAAGAACATTCAACTTACAATGCGCCATTTACCATCGGTATCTTTACGGGGCAAATAGAGGGGGACGGTGAAAACGTAGACGTCGGCAAAGCTTCCAGTCAGCCTACGGCACCAGTCTTCAAGGTATGCCCAGTCTGAATGAAGAAAATTCATCAGCGGCGATTCCTCTGTGCAGTAGCCACTTACAGTGTCGATTGAACCCGTCACCGACCTGGGGCGCAATATTTGACAAGTAAAATGTCTCATTCATGGCTTCCTATTCCCAAATGGCATTAGAAAAGAACCCCTGGATATTAGCATTTACACACACCTGTGAGAATTTCGCGTCGGCGGCTGGAACCCTTTCATCCCGGTTAGTACCAGATTGGGCTGGATGACAGGAGCACACACATATGTCCACGATCATATCCACTTCTGAAATAATCCTGCAAGCGCGCACGGAAAGGAACAGGTATCGACTCATCCTCAATGAACGTGGACTTGGAACGGTCACCCGATTCGGAAGGCTCCGAAGGGACAAGAGTTGATTTGCCGAGGGAGGCGAGTGTCAAATGTTCTGCGGTCTACAAGACAGGCATTGAGGACAAAGGAATGAAGCTGATAGAAGCTAAAGACACACCCATACTGGGTGACGGAGCCTGCGGTCGTATGCAGCGACGTAGGCTTTCCGAATTATTGGGTCCGCGATGGGGCCTTGACGGAAAAGTCAGGAAGACAGTTTGCAAGGTATATGCCCTTAGACGCACCAGGGTTGCCATATTTCAGTACTGGAGATGCTAGGGATGCAACCGAAGCTACAGCAGAAATCGATGTGCGCCCGGACGGTCCTATGTCGACAACGGGGGGGGTCACTGCCGAGACGGCGGGCGAGACGATGGCATCTGCTGGGCGGGGTCTTTTACTTGTGAGCGCGACCGTTATACCACCACCAACAATGGCCCCGGCAGTGAAAATGGCTACCTGAAGCAGCGAACCCGACATTGAATAATTTATAAATACAGAAAAGAAAAAATTCGAACATGTGCGTGTTGTTTGGCTACAGACTGTTCTCCAAGCACGCTTCCGATGGCTCCCGATGTGCACTTGTCGAATTCAATTATTCAGAAACGAGCTTGATTAAAGCTTTTTTGAAGGCACATCCGTGAGACTCAGCCACCAAGATTGGTCCTGGTAGTTAGCCAACTAATTTTGGGGTCTTCTCTATAGACGTAATTCCTCTGTCGAAGACAAGAATGCTGATAAATACAGGCCTTCATTGGCAAGGAAATATAACCGTAGCACATATTGTTTTATGGAGAGAAGCGGACTATGAGTATGATATATATATGTAGTTAACAGGAAACTGCCAAAAAAAAATTCCACAAAAATGAGAGAAGCAACTTTTCTTCGTTAAAACAGATTGTATAAAAGAGAGTAAACGTAAAGAGAACGGATGACGAAGGAGTACAGTACATCACAGGAACAACGGCCAAGAGAGAAGCAAACCAGAGCAAGGATTCATTGAAGAGCAATGTTTAGCGGGCGACGGCAAATGTTCGGGTGAGTGATGATGGACGAAAAGAATGTTAATCTCCTCTGCCATCTGCGCCTTCCAAACTATCCGATCGCACTGTGGGCCGCATCAGAACTCCAAAGGTTCGTAAGTTTGAGCATCAAGCCCACCTCTTGACGGTCCACTTTCGCTAACGCCGACACGACTGTCCCGTCGGCCAAATCCGCCAACACCAGGCCCACGAGGCTGGCGAACAACACCTCCTGGGCTCTCATGCCCGCCGCCACCTCCACCATTCAGCAGGGAAGTCTGAATGGATGACGGAAGGGTAGGCACCGGAGGAATAGAACTACCCCCGCCAAAGGCACCGCCATTGGAAAACAGGGAGCCGAAGCCACTGGTGCGGCGAGAAGGCGAGGCGATTGTTGCATAACCTTCGCGGATATTACCGTTCGAGGATCTAGACGTCAGACGAGGGGCCTGTGAGTGAAGGGTCTTCATGTCCGGCATCGATTTCTTCACGCGAAGAGTGTTCGATGACACAGTAGACCCGGTAGGGGTAAGATAGGCCGATGGAGCCCGGGACAATGTGTGCGCGGGCTGCCGCTGAGGTTGCTGCTGCTGCTGCTGCTGCTGCTGCTGCTGCTGCTGCTGATAGAATTTAGCTTACTTAGTTATTTGGCCCTGATTATAAGACGTACTCGTTGGGGATCGATGCGAGTAACGACGGCATACCTCTCGTCGCCCTCCCCGACAGAATAATGGTACACGCCGAGTTTCTGGGCGATGAGATGAACGACTCTTCTTTGCTTGGGCGACAGTGTCCTAGAGAATGCAAGCTCATCGCGCATGCGATCATCCTTGAATAGCAGGATCCTAGAGTAAATCTCCAACGTCGAGGGATCATTGAGGTCTAATTCATTAGAAGATGATTTATCAGATGAGCTGCTGGGAGTCAAAGGCTGCTGAGATGACATCGCAGGTGGAGCAGAGGCGAGAGCATGACTATAAGTTGAGCCCGAGATATTCGAGACGTGCGGCGGGGAATACTGCTGCTGTTGCTGATATGCTCCTGAAGAGTAAGATCGTTGGGAAGGGAAGGGTGCGGGGGAAAGGACGGCGCCGTAGTCTTCGTAAGCAGGGGTAACGATACTGTGTTCCTTTTCGAGCTGCATGGAGCGCATACGACGAATAGCCTTTTCCCTTTCAATGCGCTCCTTCTCACTAGCCTGGAGGACTTTCTTGTACTCGACGCGTAGCTTGCGACCCTGCACGTCGAAGCCGTTTAAGGCAGCGACGACGGCATCAGCGTCGGCGGCCTGGCGAAAGTTTGCAAAAGCAAGACCACGGAAAGAACCCTGCTGGTCAAGATGATAATTGAAAGCGTAAGGTGTAGGGATAGCCAAAGAAGCCTGGAAATAATAAAATAAGGGAGAGATTAGTAGAAGATGAATGTCGACGCACAATTATATCAAGGAGAGTTTCGCGCTTGACATTGAATGGTATATTTTTGATAACGATGGCAGTAGGGATGATCTCGTCATCTGAATTTTGGATAGGTGTAGTTGGAGCAATAGGGGGAGGATTAAGATGGCTCATAGGTGGGGAACCGCCAGCGGAAGAAAAGTCCGAATTGTTTTGTGGAGAGAGGGAGCGACCGTCTGATGAATTGTCGAGCCATTGCTGGAAAAAAAAAACCGTAAAAAATGAACAGGACAGTAGGCAGGGAAGAAGACGTACGGTCGGGAGGCCGCTGCGGAGGGGTTTGCTCTTGAGGGGGGACTGGCCTGTCGTTAAAGGATTATACTGGGACTGGACAGGAATTCCAGGCGAGGTTGCATAATGATAATGAGGCCTGCTGCCACTGTTGCCTTCGTAATCGTAAGTGTCGTGAAGACGTTGCTGGGAGGAAAGCGACAGAGAGGATATGTCTGGAGGAGAGCTGGTCATTATATGTAGCCTGGTATCAGCCAACGACTCGTGAATACGACGAAAAGGAAAATTGCAGACAGAGAAAAGTTAAAGACGAAGGAAAGCTGGGAAAAGCTCGTTCTCGCTGTTGTTCTTTGCTTATCGTCTCGCCACGAGGCTTTACTATATATGGGAACCGAAGAATGCACAAAAATCATCCAAAAAATATATATAATATTCTACTGTCTGCTGGCGCCTATTGCTACTGGTTTCGGTAGGGGTAACAGATGATCTACGTCAATGGGAACACGAACACTCCCTGAGTGATCCCAAGGGCCCCGCCGAACTTTGACAGATCCTGACTGCCGTGCTACACTCGACGGACTTGAATTTGAGTAATTTGACGCGACAGGCAGGCAATGCAGGCCCCTCGCAGGCGGACTAGGTCCCTTGCCCACTGAATGAGGCGGGTAAAACGTGGGTCGCGGCACGGCCGGGAGTGTATGTTTGGGCGCACTAGGTAAATAGATAAATATAAGCGAGACTGGTGCTGGTGTAGACTCACTTTCGCGGGGGTGCTGGACCAGGTACCAGGCGAAGAGCCGTTGGAGGTGGTCGTCGAGGCATGAATAAAGGAATGATGCTTTTCTGCTTGCAGAAGGTAGTTTGTCTGGTTGATAGATAGATGAGAGATGTTTCTTGTACTAAAGTTGGCAGCTTACTTGCTCGTACAGAAAAAGAAAAATGGCAACCGGTGCCAGTGATCTACTCGAAAAGTCCTAGCGCTCAACACGCAATTTAAGTATTGTTCATGAATCGCAGTGGCCGCACTGAGTAAGGAAACAAGACGTCCCACCGTTACGTAATAATAAGTTCATGAACAAAAGCTTTTTTTGACTGTCCAATGTCTTCAAAGTATGTAGCCTACGGTGGCTTTCTGGTGGTTGCCGGCACCCACGGATGTGTTCTAAGTAGCAGATTCTAATCACCTATCTATTCCCGTGATGATTGATTATATGTACAACAGTAGATGGTTTCAAGGAGATAACCAACAGAACATCGTACTTATATACAAGGCGAAAGGAATCAAGCATTATTGACAGGTCGGTAATGTCTCATCAAGTGCGCCTTAAAGACTACAAGTATCACCATTCAGTTCAAAAGCCGCCGAAAAGATGAATTTAAAAGTACTCACTATCAGGATTGTTCCAGGCATTAGCGGCCTCCGAATTAAGAGGAGATGCGTTGTTCGGTTCTATCAAAAACTTTAGCATGATTCAATTTTCCGGGCACCGGCCCCACTTACCCCCAAGCAGTGATTGCAAGGACAATAGAATTGTTTGGACGCTATATACAGCCGACCATTTGTCCTGGGTGATTTTCTGTTAGCCCGTGGAGATAAGTATCCCACCCATCCAACGAACCTGCAGTATATCCAAGCATATGGCGCCTCCCGTGATATCAACGTTTGGATGGAAACAGGGTGTATCGAACTTGATGGCTGGAGGTACATAGGGATAGTTTGAGGGAAAGTTTATTGATATTTTGAACGTTAGTCCATCGTAAATCTGTTCGGGGGGCGTTCGGCTATGACCCTGGATTATTGCAGAACCGAACGCACCGTTCCTGCGGGTCCTTCTATCGTACCCGCCCACTCAAACAGATTGCCGTCATGTTTTGGGAACGCGGACTGTGATTAAAAGTAAGCACAACGTTTTTTGGTTCAGAAGCACATGGAAGACTGACTATGCCCGGCGAGGCGTTCATCTAGTGGGGCGGTCAATAAAGAGAGAGCACGCGACAGACATGAAAACTCACCATCAGCGTCATCAGCTCATTACCCAAGCTAGAAAAGGCATATTAGAGTGCCATCAAAAATTTCGCGTCGCATCATGTACCGTTTCTGAACACTGCCCACCCCCTGCGGGGTAGTGCTGGGTACAGTGGTTTTCTGAGGAGACCGGGGTGGAATCGTGGCAGATATTTGCTCCATTGAAAGTAGTGCAGGGAGGTTGAGAGTAAGACGGATGATGGTCGTAGAGTGCAAGGAAAATATACAGGCGCAAATGGTGGCAAAAAGACAGAAGAGTGAAATTCATCAGGGCCGTTGTCACTCGAACGACACGTGATGGTGACTAGGCCGGCCGTGAGAGCTCTCGGCACGAGCCCTAACCTTAGCGTTATACCCTTCCCCCCATCCCGACGATGACCGCCAATTTTCAGGCCACGGCGGGCGAACTCTCGCTCGTCACACGAATATTCGCTCAATCTGACCCAAAGAAAACGGGATTCTTGTCTGGAGATGTTGCTGTACGAGTCTTTGGTGGAGCCAAGCTTCCGCCCACGGTTCTCGGGGAAATATGGAATATTGCAGATGATGAAAACCGGGGGTCGTTGAATACTAAAGGTGTGGCAGTAGCAATCAGGCTCATAGGATGGGCGCAGAAGGGTGAAAAAGTTACTCCTGCTCTTGTTAATCAAGGTGCGTAAACTGCACCCAATTACCAAGTACCATTCTGACGCTGAGGCCCGTTAGCTGGACCTTTGCCAACTATTGAGGGTATTTCAGGTGTTTCTACTCACAATACTGGACTATCAATACCTCGCTCGCCGCCACCAGTCTCTGGATTACCTCCATTTACTGCCCAGGATAAGGCCAAGTTCCAAAATATGTTCCTGAAGTCCGGGCCTACAAACGGACTTCTCAGTGGTGAATATTCTCAGCTTCAGTACTCAGTTTCAGTCCTGATACTCTTGACAACTCAAGGTGAACAGGCTCGCGATATTCTTTTAAAGTCAAAATTGCCAAATGATAAACTCGGTCAAATTTGGTTCGTCATCACTATACCCTGAGTGTTCTACACTTCACCTTCGTACTCCAGGAATCTCGCAGATACCCGTAATCGTGGCTCGCTCGACGCAGTCGACTTCGCTATTGCGATGTATTTCGTACAAGGAGCAATGTCCGGGCAAATTACCACTATCCCCCCGGTGTTATCACCTGCTTTGTACCAACAGGCTTCAGGATTTCCGGCGACACAGAGCGCCATCCGAGCTCAAACGACAGGGACCAGTGGCTCTTTCAGCCCTATCAATAGCACTTTCTCTCAGAGAAGCGTGCAGTCTCAGTACACAGGGCAGAACCAGCTACCTTTACAGCCAGATGTCACAGGCGGTTTTCCGGCACGCAGGGGTCCTCCTGTACCTCCTCATCTTCCTGCACGGCCTAGTCCCTCACAAGTTGGATCCGGGGCGTTTGGCCGGTCCAGTGTGAGCACCCATTGGGATATCACACCGGCGGAGAAGGCCAATTCCGACAAGTTCTTTGATAACCTCGATTCTCAGAGACGGGGCTACATTGAAGGTGATGTTACCGTACCATTCATGCTCGAGTCACAACTTGGTGAGGAAGATTTGGCCCGAGTTTGGTAAGTCGCTGTCGTAGGATGCGCTTGTATTCCCGACTTATATACGTATGCAGGGACCTTGCTGATATTAACAACGATGGTCGCCTCACGCGTGATGGCTTCGCCGTTGCTCTCTATCTCATCAAAAAGAAGCTGGCGGGCATCGATGTACCTATAACTCTGCCCCCGACTTTGGTACCGCCTTCCATGCGCAAAGCTGATGGGGCCTCTGCATTCTCACCTGCGCCTGCACCTTCTCCCCCTCCTTCAGCACGAGAGCCCGCTATTGATCTGCTGTGGGATGACACGCCAGCCCAACCAGTGTCCACTGCTGCTCCCTCTCGAGCGTTCAGCATTCCCCTCCAGCCAACAGGCCCTCAAACCTCTGCGGCTGGCTCATCGTTCAACTCGCCCTCTCAACCTCAGCCGGCGGCCCAAGACCCATTCCGTTCCTCACCCTTTGGATCCGGATCTGGTAAGCTTTTGCGTCGTAAGGCCTTTAGAGTGATTAACACGTTGCAGCTGCAGCGAAGGATCTACTCAGTGATGATGATGACGTCCAAGCTGCGCCTCCTCGATTGCACGATCAATCTGCTGAGATCGGTAACACTCAAAACCAGCTTAACTCCACGAACCGATCATTGGAAACCGCCAAGACCAACCGAGCTTCTGTTGAACAAACTCTTGCTAACCAGGCTGCTCAATTAAGTGCACTTCAGACTCAGCTTTCGTCGGCAAAGGCTGCCTATGAGACAGAAACGAAACTATTATCAACTCTCCGGGATCGTCTGAACACTCAGACGGCGGAAATTCAGAAGACCCGGGAGACCCTTATCAGTGCAGAAAGTGACTTGAGCGCTGTTCGAGTTGAAAAGGCAGAGGTTGAAGGTGCCTTTTTGCGGGACAAAGAAGAGGCTAGGGAGTTGCATCGTAGGATGTTGGAAGTTAGCCAACAAGCTGACACATTGAAGGCGGAGATGGAGAAATCCAAGAAAGAAGCGAAACAGCAGAAGGGATTGCTCGCAATTGCGAAGAAGCAGCTGAGCACTAAGGAGGCTGACAGAGCCAAGGCCGAGAAGGAGTTGCAAGAGGCTAATGCCGAGTTGGCTGCGGTGAATAAGGAGAAGATAGAGACGGAGATGCAGATTGCAGAGTTGGATGCTGCTCCGATCATTGCACCTGCTCCAGAACGGGCACTTTCGTCGGACTCGCTGGCTTTTGCTGCGTCGCATGCTTTGCCTGTTACACCTGATCCGACAAGTCCAGCTGTTAGCACGAAGAGCAACAACCCCTTCGATAGGCTTGCACTGTCTTCTGGTCATTCGACTCCACGCTCAGAATCTCCTTTTATGCCGTTTGCGGCTACCTCTCTTCCAAGCCCGCCCACCGGCGCCCCTAGTTCAAACGTCGCTGCTGACAGTGGTGATCACTTTGGTTTCTCTCAAGCATTCGAAAGCTTGGACGTACCGCCCGAACTGGCGGTGTTGGATGCTACTAAGGCTCCTATTGAAGAACCGGAAGCATCCACTCCAAAATTGCCTGCTGCCGAGGTGCCTAATGGACTACCAACATCGGAAGCGCCCATTTCGCCCGGTTCCGCTAGTGAGACCGAGGTTTTTACTACTCCACCTACGACATCTGCAGGTCTCCTAGAATCCGCTAATGGCAAACAATCGACATTGGAAGTTACGTCATCCAAATTTCCCCCCCTTGATGAACCTGTTACTGTTGCGCCTACTCCCGAAAGCGATGTTCCTACGGAGCCTTCAAGGAAGTCTGGAGATCACACAGATTTGAGAGCCCAGCTGAAAGAAATTGACTTGGAAGAATCGGATAGTGACAGTGAAGAAGACGAAGTCCCGCTGGCACTACTGGCCAAGTCGAGGACGTTGTCGGAAAGCCCCTCTGCGGCTTCTGCACCTTCGCCAGCTGTGACAAATGGAACTGCGGTTCCCCCCGCTTCGTCATTTGATGATATTTTCGGTGTCGGCTCTTCGCCTTCTCCAGCCGCTACTACTATCCCGACAACAGAGGCGGATGCGTTTGGAGTACCTATCAAAAAGTCGCCAAGTCCTTTTGATACGTCCGACGTCTTTTCCACGTCGTCTACGGATAAATCACAGAACCGTGCCGTATCGGGAGTCAATGTGTTCGACGAGGCAATGGGCAAATTGCCCAGCACAGGACCGTCGCCCACTCAGTTCAGCTTTGACTCTGCGTTTGATGACAATTTCGACTTTGGAGCCTCAAGAGAACCAAAGTTCCCGCCTGCTCCTAAAACCGTCAATGGTAGTGCTACTTCGCCACTACCCGCGCCCACCAAAGATGATGGTTTTGATTCTCTATTTGCAACGTCTACCGTTGTTACAGCTAACGGAAATCACACGTCTGCGCCGGCTCCAGATCGCGTACCTACGCCTACTCCTGTAGCCACGCTAGCTACAACCTCCTCTGCAGCCACGGTAGAGCCCTCTGGACCGTCATTTGATGATGTATTCTCAGGCTTCAACCCATCTCCGCCATTGAATTTAGACACGACGTTAACGGCGACCCCAGCAAAGATCTCTGAGTCACCGAAGCCCCTCCCTACGAGTACGTCCCCACCGGGGTCCCTGTCTTCTCTCCAGGGCGGCCCCCCCGTCTCGCCCCCTTTAAGAGAAAGGACACCACCACCACGCATCAGCTCGCCCAAGCCCCGACCTTCGACGTCGTCCTCTAGTAAGGAAGGACATGAACTTAAGCCTCCTACGACACGACATTCGAAACTCAGTGTAAGTTACAAGATCATAATGCTCTTAACAATAACGTATATGTTTCTAGATACGACTACCATTTGGGAAGAAGAAGAAACACGAGGCTGTGGTCCCTCCACCATCTCAATTCCTGACGCCCCCTACTGAAGAGCCAAGGAGCACGTCTCCTGCTAGCGACGACGATGTTGAGTCCGTCAAGCAGCTGACGGCCATGGGCTTCAGCCGAACACAGGCAGTTACAGCCCTTGAACAGTACGGCTATGATGTTCCACGTGCCTTGAATAGTCTGCTTGGTCAATAATTGTTTCGCGCGCTATCTTTCCAATGTACAAATATGTTCAGCTTATTTACCCCAACTTTCATTAAAATGAACAGTTCTCTACGGATCCTTATTTACATTCGACGTTCACTTACTTAATTTCCCGACTCTTCTCTAATGGTCTACTTCGGCTTGACATTGTATGCATCGTTGCATACAAATTCTATGCATTTTTCCAACAATTTCACAATTCACGAGCTGAATCGAATTGCCGTAATGAGCACCTCAAATTTCCAAGTATGGTTTGCAACTTCTCTTTGCTCACCTACCTTACGCTGCTCCCACGCTCAGTAAAAGTTCCGTATGTCGGGTATGTCGATTCTATACGGGAATATTGGACATTGCATTGACGATAATCATGCCTGTCCAACCAATCTCCAATGAAGACACCGCTATTCAGAACAATCAACGCATTTTCAACACGTACGAAGCGAATCTCCGAGACACAACAAATTACATTGAATTTGCTGGAAAGTTTGCGGTATGGTTGGACTCGGATAGAGCTTTTTATTCTCAAGGGAAACCATCAGTAAAGTCGCGTTCTCATCCATTCTTTGGATGACTGACCGGTTCCTTTGCAGATCATAATGATACTCATGGTACAACGCGTCTACGGGTCATCTGTCTCGTTGTTCTAACTCCAGCAGACGGCGTATAGGACCATCCACCAGACTATCTGCCCTGAGCAAAATTTGAATATACCTCTCAACACGGATCCTTACAAGAACCTTCCATTGGTGTCGGCTTACAGACGTCTCATCGAAATCCTGTCCAAATACGTCAAATATTTCCTTAATGATGCCGTGCTCATGCGTGCGTGCTGTCTTTGTTACGTATCTTTCGTGGGCTGAACTGAGAAACTCATAGCACACGTTCAATTTCTTCTGCATACTGTTGGTATGCAATTGAACGGAGAAACAAGGCCACCTATTCCTATACAACCTTCTCCGATTGTCCAGCTTCCTCGTGCGCCTATCCAAACTGACCGAGAACCGTCCAGGGCATCAGTAGGTTTTGCTGTGGTTCCCTATTACTCGTGTCTCAATTCTTGGATAGACGTCTATGGCCAGTTCTTCACAGTCTCCGACGCCACTGGCTCTTCCCAAAAAAAAGAGGAATTTAGATTGGCTGATCAAACAGGACTTGGACTGGTATGCAGCCCAAAAATCCTCCGTTCCGAAATCCCAGGGGGATCCTTTTCCGAAGGATGTGCCTGCTAATGAGCCATCATCATCCAAATCACCACTGGCAACCAAAACCGAGACCAGACTTGTTCCTCAGAGCCGTGCATCTCCAGCAGAAGCGACGCCTGTCCTTCCAAGCGAATCGACATCGACATCTGGAGTGGTTGCTACACCTCAGACTAATACAATTACTCAAGTAGAGACGAAGCCCGTTTCCCAAAATAATTCTTCGACTGCATCTGGATTTGTCCCAGAAGTCGAGACGAAGCCTGAGGTTTGTAGCAAACAGACTACTTTCAGAGATGCGATTCCACCGGAATCGAGACCTCTTTCTGAGAATAGCGAAATAACCGACGAGAGAATGGAAGAAGTACTGGAAGTGGGCCAGATACAAGAAGACGTGGCCATGGCTTCTCCGCAGGTATGATTCCCATAGTCAATTGACACCTTGTTCTAACCGTTACAGGCAATGGACGTTGACGACGACGATGATGAAAGAGAAGAAGTAGCAAACCTCTTTGACGTACATGAGCTCCTCTCGTTGCTTGAGAAGTTTCTCATTCATATTTCAGCAAGCTTCCGCAAAGATCACCGTGGATACGGACCAAGACCAATTAGGTTCCATCCGCCATGAAGCTGAGGACTCTGGAATGGAAGATGTAGGAATACGTGCAGGAGAGAAGAATGAAGCAATTCACCAAAGACACGGTGATGAACCTTCAAGAATGCCACATGGCCGAAATGAAAATGCACATCCTTCCCGTCACTCGACGCCTGCCGTAATTCCATTTTCTATTTTGATGTAATCATGCTAAATTTAAGCATCGTTACAGGACGCGTATAACTCAATGTCGACAGATGCGGCCTCGGATACAAGTTTCGCAGGGAAACCAGCGGGCCCGCGAAATGTTGATGAGATCGTACCTCAGAATGTGGTCGTGGCATCGCCACCACCGGTAGTTTTACCGGTCAAAGAGGATATAGTGTTGCCCAGCCACGGTAAGCTCGAAATCTGTCCTTGATGTGAAATAAACCGATATGTGCAAGATGGATTCAATCATAATGCGCTCAGAATCTGGCTTGACCAAGGGAAGAAAGACGCTTTCCAACACAAGTTCACGATAAATGTCGCTGAGGAGGACTTTGTATACTTCGTAAATTGGAACCGACGGAACAAGAACGCTAGGTACGTCATAGTTGGGATACGGTTGATAATCATATATTCTAATGCCTTGATTCAGGGAGGTGGAGAAGAGCAGATGTTTTTCCTTGTGCTGTTACAAAACGGTGGACTTGGCAGCTTTGATAAAGCGGGGAGCGAGAGGGCTGGAGCTAGTGAACAGCTTGCGTATATCATGGCCTGAGGCCGGAGGGTTGAAATTGCTCGTGACAGTCAATGGACAGCAAAAGATGGTTCTTCTAGCTCCGCCTACTGTGGTATGTTGAAGAAATTGATTTATATATCTTGTTGTGCTCACAATTTTGTTAAGGTGACGGCTGGGTTACTGGACTTGACTTTGTTTCTGCAAGTTGGGCAAAATGAGTTCACTGTTGTTCAAGAGCAGTCCATGACCGAGTACGCGTTAATGGCCTGGGCACATGATCCCACACGGGCCCAATTGGAGCCTGTGATTGTTAGGCGCAAGCAGGAACAAGACTGGAAGACTGTATTGAATCATTTATCGAGACCTCTGGAGTTGCTTCCTGGCCCGTGGGATTGATTTTTGGCAGGATGTTTTGGGAATTTCTTGGAGAATAACTTATAAGACTTGACATTTTCTATACCCTTTGCTTTTGGCGATGTTGTTACCTTTGAGAGGGAATGTTGTATTACTGACTATCGAGATATGTACGTAAGATCTGTGATCTTGGTGGCCGTACAATACGACCTTTCTTGCTGTTTCAAACGTTGTACAATCTTTGGTATTTTTCTTTGGTTACTGTGGGTTTTGAAAGAGATTCTACGTCTCCGGACCTGACATGTTACTGAGACTAACAGAGGCCGTAAACGTGCAGCTGAAGGTCTACATTTCCTAGATTGCTGCGCACTATTAACAGCAGATATTCTTCCGGTCCGACCGACGATGTTTGGTGAACCTTTCATGGGATACCGAATCTGACGATATCTATTCGGATGCTCTGTATTGGATTTTCTTTTGTCTCAGCTATTGGGTATTCATCGTGCTGCTAGCTGCTGCGGTCTCTACGAGAAGTAGTTCATCGCGGCTGTTCAGAAAAGGAGTTCTGCATTCTTTCCTCCATGGCAAGTGGACCTAGCGGCGTCATTTATGGGACTCCAAGTCATCAATTTAGTCGAGATGGGTTCCTGCTTGCTTTGAGAATTTTTGCAATCAGAGAATTCCAATGGCAGGATGCTGCGTTGATGGACAGCCAGATCCTTCTCGGGCTGACTTATTCTCCCTGGGGCTGCAAACGTCTGTTTGCATCTCGACCATGCAGATTTTTGTTTTCAGATTGCTACTTGATTTTCTGTTCCGAATTATACGATTACGTTCAGCGCCGCAAAGCATTAAAGTGTTCGTTTCCGAACGAGTTGTACAGTGTAATTAACCCACGGCGTCCACTGAAGAGTCACGAGGGCCGGCAGTTTCAGAATTGCCGTTGTATTTTTTTTCCCCGTAACTTGCCTCTTCCCTTCACAATGGGCACCGAGCGCGAATGACAGCCATTGTTCCTCATTGGCATGTTTATCAAGGCACTGACGGTTCCTGTTGTTCTCTGACCATCATCTTCGACCTCTCCTGGTGCTCGACGGCATAGCCTCTTCTGTCTATCATTTTCCCAGCTGCACCACCTTGCCCTCTTACCCCGTATACATACCGTCTGTTCCTGCCATATATAAGCCTTCGTGGCTCACGAAATTCTCGTCCTTCGTTTGCACCTATGCCTGCCTTTGACATGGTCGTCGTGGGCTGTGGAGGCGGTCCAGACGAGACGAATTTATCCGCGTATGTCCTGGTCGTCACGTCGACATCGACAGCGCTCAACTCCTTCTCTTTGTGCAGTTATCTCTTCAAACCATACGATTCATGTTGGGAGGACGGTATCATTGCTTTGGAGGCTGGTACGTATTCTGTTCCCTGTATTGTCCAACCCGACCTCTAAATGCACTTCAGGTTCAGGACAAGGTACCCTCAGGCACATTCTCCAGGAGACGCCTGCGCTCTTCAACTCGGACCGAGATCAGGGTCCGTATTCCGTTGCCAAGATCTACTCTTATGTCCGGTCTGTTCCCGTTCACTTCTTTCACGTATTCCTACTCATTATCCTTAGGTGCTTTCTCATTACCCATGCTCATCTGGATCACGTCAACAGTCTTGTTATATCTGCCGGATCGCTCTCTGGTCCTCGAAAACAGGTTTATGCAACCCGCCAAACATTACTCGGCTTGGAGGGCATTTTTAATGGCCGCCTCTGGCCTAATTTGGCATCATGGAAGGACGACGACGACGACGACGACGACGAGAACAAGCTGCTTTACAAGGAGTGAGTGTTCAGGCATCTTTCATTCATGAAAATTTGGCTAATGTTGCTACGCCAGTTTGCCTTTGGATTTACCATCTGAGGCATACCACACCATATTTCCCTCCGTTTCCGTACGCACCTTCCTGCTGAATCACGGTCTCGATGAATCCAAGGCTGTATATCAATCGTCGGCATTCTTCATCCGTCATGACACGTTCAAAAAAGAGTTTCTCTTTTTCGGTGATGTCGAACCAGACAGCATTGCCAAAAAAGCTCAGAACAAGCAAGTCTGGAAAGAAGCGGCTCTAAAGATACCAGAAGTACTATCTACTATATTCATCGAATGCTCTTGGGAGAAGGGACGTCCAACCGATTTGCTGTTTGGGCATCTCAGTCCCGAGCATCTCGTTGACGAACTAGAGTCGTTGGCTAAGGAAGTGGAGGCGGTTAATTCTCGGAAGGCTTATACCTCAGGCTCAGACGGTTCGCCACAGCGGAAGAAACAAAAGAGGAACACCGTAGACACCGGCGCCAGGGGGGCTTTGAACGGCGTTCGTGTGTATATCATCCATTGCAAAGACGTCATGGATGGTACACAGAATCCTAGAGCTAGGATTGTTGACGAAGTGAAAAAACTTATTGAACCGAAGGGGTTAGGACTTCAGATCTTCGCTGCAGAACAGGGTATGCGTATCAGTGAGTGCTTCCCTCCTACTGATCCAGGCGTCATGGCTCAATGTATTTGATCATCTAGTCTTATGAATGTCACGATAGACCAATACACATTTTGAACTGCTATATATCCCCTTCGAATTGAATAGCAAGTAGTTATTGATCCTAGTTTTGTATTTCTAGCCTTGATGTATCCTTAGTCATTTCGACTCTTTGAACAAGTTTACCTACCGTATTATCATTCACTCACTAGCCTGATATCCCCTCAGATTTCCCAGCGAATTCAATTGCGAGTGTATAGAAATGTGAATTGAACATCTCGAGATCGTTTTACCACGCAGGCACCGGATTAATATCAATGGCTTGAATGTTTCATGAACGCCACAACTCGATAGGTGTTGGACTGGTCGGCGGTAGTTCAGGATGATGCCCATCTTGATTGTGAAATTCTTCTCATCCTGGATTTACTACGCTTACCAAGCGACATGCAAAAATTAACTCTCGTTACGACGGTAACGCTTCTCTGCGACGACGTTCAACATATTTTCCCCCTTAGTATTTATCTAGCTAGCCATTTCACAGCTAAGGACCATCAACTCCGACGGGTTTCTTCATCACCAGCACCGAGTGCAGCGTTCAACAAAATCCGTCATAACAAGTCATGATCAAAGAACGATACATATAAGAGTGACAAATAGTAAAAAAAGTAAAAGTAAAGAGAAGTAACACTATGTAACAGAGACACAAACTCCCGTCCTTCAGAGTGCTATAATCGTAACCAAATCTATTAGCAGATGCTATGGGGCGTTATATTCCACCATTGAAAGCAATGAGAGCAAAAAGGTTGTTACGACGATGCGTATAGTTTTATTACCCCATCTGCACCAGCACTCGCCATGAAAGGAAGAGATGGATGGAATTCGACATCGAGGACACCCTCGCGAGCCTTTTCCCGATGTGCTGTTATCTCCTGAACACATGCTCGGGATCCCAATAAATCCCAGAATCGAATAGAACAGTCATGACTACCGGAAACGAGCGAAAAGCCTGCGGGATCGATGGCTAGGGATGTCACAGAGTCCAAGTGGGCAAGCATAGAGTGTGTGCATTGACCTGAGATATATATTATAAGGGACTGTCCGATAATATATACATCGATGGGCACATACCTGTGGTGATGTCGAAGATCCTGAAATACTTGTCTTCGTGGGCTGTGACCAGTAGTGACAGGGTTGGATGTGAGGCTATCCGATTGATCTGTGTCGAAACAGTCCCATCTGTTGAATTGTGAAATCAGATCATTTCAGACGAAGTGACAGAGATTTCCTACCATATGTGCTGTCACTCTGTAGTCGGGACACTTCCTTCCCTGTTTCGATTTCAAAGATCTTAACAACCGCGTTTTGATAAGCAACAGCGACCTTTTTCAGGTCGGACTTCAGTGCCTCGACTGCCGTGGCCCCGAACTCAGCGTCATCTTGAAGCCCATCGCTACTTGTGGTCTCTAAGCCAGACCAGCCCCAGGTCAGCTTCAGGCGACCACCACCAGTCTGCCTGCTAACATCCCACACTTTTACGACACCTTCGGCACCACAGCTTATGAGAGTTGTTTCGTCCCGAACGAGTGCTAGATCCCATACTGCGTCCGTATGTCCAATTAACTCGCCTCTGGAGCGCGTCTCATCGTATGGAGCGTATGTCGTGTGCGACGCCGGAGGTAGCGCCCACACACGTATTGATGAATCCAATGACGCTGAATATAGTAGACGTTTTGATGGTGAATGTATTAGGCGTGTGATCGCTGCAGAATGTCCACGAAGGGTAAGCTGAGGCTCGACCTCCGTAGTTGGCCGCGCACTTTGTGTTTAAAAAATCAAGGCCGCATGAGTGTCAGGAGACGAGATGGTGATGAACACAGACGCACGCAGATGATGCTAGCCCAGCGACATCCATTCGCCATATCTTTACCGTGCAGTCGTCGCCTCCGGTGGCTAGACACAATTCCGCGGGATGGAATGCAAGAGCTCGTACCGCATCCAGGTGACTGCAACAAGATCAGTCTCTCTGATAAAGGCGGGCTTTTTTACGCGTACTTTCTCAGTGTTCGTTTCACCTTCCAGGTCTTGTTTCCTTCGCCTTCGCCGACCTCTGTTGACTCTTCATCCTCAACGTCGCCGTCCTCCTCCTTCAATTCTTCTTCTTCCAGGTTTCTTCGATCCCATAGATTTCCATTGCCATTTTGGCCCTCTCTGGAAAGTCTAGCTTGTTCAGAGGCTTCATGTGAAAGCCGAAGTTTCTCCTTCCACTCCCCAGCGTCATCTGGCCGGAATATGGCAGTGAGCTGTCGGGGCTCGGACTCCACTTCCTGGTCGCTTTCATTTCGTGTTGGGAGAAGGGAGGTTGGAGGTAGTGAGGGACCGGCAGCCTGCGGTGAAGGCTGGGGCACAGAAGAGGGAGGCGAAATATGCTGTGGGAGTATTCCAGTCCCAACAGGGTTATTACGTTCGAGAGGGGGTATCTGTGGCCCTGAGGTTGCTGGTGCAGAGGAAGGACCGGACATGAGATTGATGCCGTTCAGAAGATTACCGCCTTCTGAGGGGAGTATTTTTCGTGGCCGCCCGTTGTATGGAATCTGATCAAAAGAAGGAACGTTCGGTAAGGAAAGTGGCATGGTTGGATTGTTCAGTAGAGGCCGGTTGGGAAGTGGGTTCATTGCCTGAGGTGATGTTAGGTACGAAATTTCCTGAAGACATCTGGGAATCATATATGAGTACGAGTGCTCTAAAGGGTTTCAGTAATGCTACACACTGCTTCAAATATTCTCTACTGCGCGCTCTGCTCTTAGGATCACGTCCAGGCGGTGGCTTTCCAAGGCCAGCGGTTGAGGTTCCAGCTGAGGGTCCATTGGCCCAATTTGAACCACCCCATGACACTGGCCTTCCGGAAGTGCCGACTGACGGTGCACCGTTGGGAAGGCGAGTATCTGGCAACGGAGAGTCTAGCATAGATCCATAGGGTCAGAAAGAGACGAATTAAACACGCAACGTGCGCACCGTCACTCCTTGGTGAACTACCGCTGCTTTCCTCCTTGTGGCTTTGGGCGTCCTCTTTTTGGGAAGACGAGATTGTCTGGCTCTGAAGAATAGCTAGTTTCGATGAGGGTACGGATTGAGAGGAAGAACTGGAGAGCTGTTTGGAGCTGGAAAGAGAATCCGAAAAATTGAATACTACGCGAGTGAGCAGGACAGCAGCTGAACTGACCGTTCCAGTCGCAAGGCATATTCGAGCATTCTGATACGACGCATAAGGTCGAGCTTCACATTATCGAAGGAACGTCGTTCGCCCTCTAGCAGAGCAATTCTTGCCTATGGGAGAGGTGAGAAACGCGCCAAAAAAGACACGACCGCCAACGCACCCGCATTTCTGCTCGTTCAATCTCCCATTCATTACGGTCACGTTCATATCTCCTCCATTCTGTCTGCAAAAAGTGCAGCACACTTGAAAGCGTATAATCCTGGCCATTCTGGGGAGGCGGCGGCGGAATGGAATTCTGAGGCCCTTGCTGTTGCTGCTGTTGTTGGACAGACTGCTGCTGCTGGCTCTGCTGCTGGTTATTAGGCTGGAGACCTTGCAAAGGACCCAACATGGGAAGTTGAATATAATGAGGGACGGAGGTGGACGAGATATTCTGAGGTGGAGGTGTGATTTTCGAATCCATGCATCAGTCAAACAGTGCCAAACCCGGCGACCACCTCGACCGAGTCGTTGGACCACGATAATTCGAACGACTAGTTGTCGTTCTCCAACGATAAATAATTAGCTTGTCGAACAAGTCGACGAAGCACCATGCAAAATTAAGTAGAAATGTGCGCATGTCACTGTATTTGGAGTGGCGCTATCGTCTGTCCAAATTTTTCGGTTCGAGCTCTCATGTCCATGCAGATGGCAAAGTATGGAATGAAATACAACAAGCATGACTCAGTGACGAAAATTTACAAGTCTACAGGTAAGCTGACACTTCATATCTGTCTCAAGAATAGCAACGATGCCATCCGCTAACGTTTACTTCTTGCCAGACCTTTGGACAGGATCAGTACATGTTTTACGGCGGACAGATTACTCGAGGTATGCTCACTTCTTGATGCCACCGCCGGGGGCTCCACCTGGACATTATTATTATGTTAGAGATGAAATTTCAACTTCATTCCATTCGTACGGACCTTTCAGTGCTGAAATTATTGATGTCAGAATCCTTAAGCAGATGTCAACATTCAATAGCAACATACCTTTGTCGCGAGCAGCTTTCAAAGCCTCTGCTTCAGCCTTCTTCTTTTCCTTGAAGGCAATCTCATCCTCGGTTTCCTCTTTCTTTTCCTTCTTAGGTGCCTGGACTGTGCGTCAATGATAAAGAACATGCATTTTTACAGCACCTTAATCACCTTGAGAGGTTTGAGCTTTCCACCTTGTCTGCCTGACATTGCTATCCAAATACAAGAGGCGACGAATCGATAAAAGCTTCTGCAACGAAGAGGACAGCATTTCGGCACGCATCCGGAAGGCTGCACGTGTTCAGGTGGCTATACATAGAAACAGCGGTAATTCGATGCAAATGGAGTGAAAAATGGATCGGGAGTTTGTCAGAAATTGATATTTATACTGAACACTAGGACCTAATAAATAGACCATATTGAATTTTTTCGCAGACATGAATTTCTTATCCGCTGGAACATCCTCGTTCAAAGTGCGGTCGTGGTATTATACTATGTTAATCCGAAAATCTAAAATCGGTGAAACCGGGCCTATGTCCCGGAATGTGAATTGAACTTCTCTCTTTGACGGAAATGGTGCGATGCTCAGTGTACTCATTCGCCGTCTTTTGTTTTGCCAGCGCGATGTCGGCATATGCTGATGGACAAAGTGCCTTCACCTCTGAATCCAGATGGAATGTCGAGGTTTCAAAACATTGGGATGTGAGCGTCCAGGATCGAATTCTTTCCGTAGTTATCACACACATCTTACCACTCAACTTGAAGGTTCTAGGTCCTTTCCCAATACAAGCCAGAGAACAACACTTTATCTCTCCTTCTTTTCCTTTGAATCGTAAGTGTCTTTGATGTGTCAACACGAGCATTGGGACTGAATTATGTCTAGTGTCAGAGCCGATTGATCTCGACAAGACTTGGCCATCATCTTATGCAAATGGCGGTAGGGTTACGTGGAGTTTCGCAATTCTCGAAGATAATGGTGAACTCGAAATATCGTTTCCAGACATAAGGTAAGGGTGACATACTTGTTTATCAGCAACACCTTGACAGTGCCATGGAAGGTGGGAATCCCTCCGTGCAACAGAGGGGTGGGCTGCATTGCAACATCACGCTGTGCTTCGCTCTACGCTGACGGTACACCCACCCTTAAATCCTTCGAAGTCGACTCCTGTTCCGCGGCTGCTCGTACAACTCATTCAAGGGTCTTATTTTACCATTCTGCCCAAGAGCGGGAGAAGAGAACCTCGATGGTACTCTGGAAATATCTATGCAATGGAACGGGCGCTACCGCAGGAAGTTCCTCTGCCTACAACCCCGTCGAATGATTCTGCGACCCAATACGACATCTTCTTAAGTGGAGATTACGAGATCAGATTGTTCGGAGACCCACATAGTCAAGGTCGCAAAATCCCTGTCCAAAGTATCAGTATTTCCGTGAAATTTGATGATGCACTTGCCAGTGTAGTTCGAGAGTCTACACAAGATGTCGTGTGCAATTTCGTGGATAGCTTTGCTTTTGGAGACGCCATTGGCATCGGGTTGCGAAGCGTCCACGGCTGGTGGACCGTTACAAATGTATCAACAGATCCCTCCTCGGTAAATGAGTTTTCTAGTCATTATTACTGTCTTACATTTCGTCAGGGCTTGTTTTTGACTCTTGTACGACCTACTCGAATAGTAGAAGGACAAACCCGTATTGTCCCGGTCCGTATAACCCAGACGCGTCCTTTTAGCCAGGCATCTATTGACCTAAAGCTTACACTGACATCAGGCGCTTCCGAGATAGTAACAATCGAATCGCTACCAGTGGACCAACTCTCTGGTTGGACGGAGTCGGTGTATTCACCTATCAAAGGGACCTATTTCTATGCTAGATCGATGCCAACTGTTTTTACCGCGCTGCCGCCCAGATATTCTGGACCTCCAAAACCTCCTATATTGGCTCTTCGTACGTCTTAACTATCACTATCGGCTAGATTGCTCAAAGGACATTGTGAAGATGGTGCTGGTGTTGACATCGTGGAGCAGCCGTTCTGGGCTGATGCCTTGCCTCGAAACTCGTATTCATGGTTTGTTATTCCGACGGGAAGGACGTCGTGGGTACGTAAAGTTAATGACGCCGTCTCTTTGTTATTCACTATTACCGTGTAGGGACTTGATTGGCACGGGCCTAGTACTAAAGACGCTTGGGCGTCTCTTTATGCCCTGGCCACAATTCTGGCAGCTAATAGAGCATGGCTTCCTTGGAAGCTTGACCAGAATATCCCTGTAATCGTACTGGGACACTCCAACGGGGGTCAGGGTGCTTGGTACGTTGCATCGAGGTACCCCGATAGGGTTCTTGGAAGTCAGTACATTTCTTTCGAGCAACAGTACTCTGGGCCTTACTAGCATACATGCAGTTATTCCAGCCGCCGCGTACATCAAGTCTCAGTCATACGTCCCTCTGACGCTCTCGAGGTAAGTTTTTTACATCCAACGCGGTTTATACCACTTACAAAGTCGCTCAGATCTGCCCGCTTTATTGACCCCATTCTGCTCTCTATATTAGAAACATCATTAACACCCGATAACAATGATTTGTTCTTAACGAACTTGGTTGATACTCCTGTCCTTGCGGTTCATGGGTATGACTATTATTTGTATTTCGGCCGAGTGTCAAGTGCTCACTACCGGGTAGAGGCAATGACGACAACGTTCCTGTTTGGCATAGTAGAGAATCAGCCGGCATTTTGGAGAACTGGAATCCGGCTGCCAACGTAGCGTTCGTGTTCCTGCATGCGCATTTGTCTCTGCCCCTTATGGCTTGTAGATATCGCGAGGACGCTGGTCAAGGCCATTGGTATTCCACAGTGTTCAACAATACTCAGGTTACGGCCTTCATAGACGACCTGATTGCGTCTTATCCTGCCGCTATAATATCCTCTAGCAAGTTCATGTTAACTGTGTCAATCCCTGCGGAGAGCGGCTCTTTGCACGGGTGGCGTATTGTTGCTTTGACTATTCCGGGGAGGTATCCTAAACCATTTTCTTTTCATACCAACGTTCTTGACAGTAGTTTAGGTTAGGACGACTCCGTGTAGAGCGTGCAAGTGATCTAGCCGTCAGAGTGTACACTTCAAATCTGCAACGGTTTTCAGTCGACACCACCATATACAATACTTCGAACGTCTATATAGACAACTCAAAGGTGTATATCGATAAAGACAAAGCAGGGATCATACATTTTGAAGCCGTAGAGCCCAAAGTGTGGAAGGTTAATGCTACTTGCTGTGTTTGTCCTTCGTAACTCACCACACACATAGACGTCGACACAAAGCGGGACACAACTATCAGGGCGCATGCAGACCGTCTTGTCATCAAATGGTCCCCTCGTACTCGTGATACCGGACGACACTGACACCTACCGTCAAGAGTTTTCAGTCGCACAACGCATCGCCCATGATTTGGGGCTCTATCATCGGCTGGATACAGAGATAATACGAAGCTCGGAGGCTTCTGATGCTGAATTTCTGAGCCAGGGAAACATCGTCGCTATTGGGAATGAAGCCTCAGCATCTTTCGTGGTGAACGAAAAAATACCGTTTGAAGCAAAAACATCTCAACATCTCATATCATACGAGCCGCAGCAGCCTTTGGATGGACCAGAAATAGGTGGAACACTTGCATCACGACGCTGATCGATGAACTAAAATCAGTTTAGGGTTACTATTTCTGCATTCTCATCCTCTGAAAGTGGATGGCAATATGGTGATGATGCAGTCTACAGACGCAGCTGGTTTGGAAAGGGTTGCACGTCTTTTCCCTATCCGTACTGGTATTCTTGTACCGGACTGGCTGATCGTTGGACCTCTGGCGGATTCCCAGGGTGCTGGTGGCGTGATTAGCGCAGGGTAAGTTTATCAATTAAGTTAGACTTGTATTATGCTAACAATCCTGGTGAAGATTGTGGGGTAGCGATTGGAGCTGGAACGACCCAATGTCCTGGACGAGTTGACTGGGAAAGTACAGGTAAATTTGTATGTAACGTAAAATATGATCCATCGGTGTAATTACGATTCACAGTACTACAGACCATTTATCGAGGCCGAATGACGCACAGTATTTGACTTTTTGCTACTCAAGCTACTATTTGACGCTGGTGCTCGTACTATACTGATCTTGCCATGGCCAGTGATAATCTTTCGATTACTGTTTGGCAGAATGAAGTTGTCGAGTCAGAGCCCCATATATATCAAGAAAAAAAATCAGAACTGAGAAACCAAAGGTAAATCCATGATATACAGCCCGATGTTCTGGAAGAGGCTTCCCGCCGTTTTCGTCGACAGTGGTAGGGAGAGACCGCGTCAGCCATAAAGAGTTTCTAAACTCCGCCCGAATTTGCAAACACTACCGTGAACAGCGACGTCCACGCTGCTACCTCGACCTTCTCCTATATATCTCCTCAATCCTGCTACCATTCCTCCCTCAAAAACGGCGACCGGTCACGGAAACGCTGCTCAACGGCGCTCGGTGACCCCGTCCAGGTCCCACATGGACAATCCGCCAACCAGTACCACCAATATCCACACCATCGTCAAAGCGCAAATTGTTTTTCTTCTATCGACACTGACTGAGGAAAACTTCGAGCGGAATCAGGTGGAAATTCGTTCGGTGCGTTGAACATGCTTTTTAGTCGATGTTCTACTTCTAAGCGGACGAAACTCGAACAGCTCTCGGAACAGCATGGAATAGACACTTACCTTCATTTCATCCGTCGGTTAATCGTTGCTTCCCAGTCGCGGCTTGCTGCCGGTCCACCTCCTCCCTTTGACGCCTCAACTTCTCTCACTTTTCGGCTACTTGTCCAGGAAACCCAACGTCTCGCACGCGACCCTTTCCTCGCTGATCGTTTCCGCGACGGCATCGATAAGGGCGAAGGCGATGTTTTCAGGGGCTTCGATTTCCTTCGTTTTGTGGACCGTATAGGCCTTCGCCCGCTCGAGCGTCTCGTTCTCGCATCGTCTGTGGCATCCGCCACTCGCAAGGACCTTGCAAGCCAGGCTGTTGCTGTCATAAAATCCGAGCTGAAGGAGGCGGCAGCTACTCTATATCGTGCAAATCCGTCGTTTGACCATGCGGATTTGTCGCCTAACCAGGTGGCGAAGCTGCTGTCGAACTTGCTGTCGGATCTTCCACTAGACTCCCCTATTTTGGATTTTCCCGAACGGAACGCGCTGATTGTCGCTGCACAGACCAAGTACGGCCAAGAAACGGTAACGCCGATGCTTCATCGCATTCTGCCGTCCATAAGGTGTGTAGATTTGGGAATCATTTCCCCGTCTAGGAGCTCAATCCCCGTCGTCAGTCTTCCTCCCGGAACCACACCTATTCAGCTTCTTCTGCAGCTTGGGCCTGAAATAACCAGTGATCCTGACGTTGTTCGCTCTCTTTTGGTGCGGTTTGGAATGTCGGACGCGAGTCCCCCCACCGACGCTCACGTTGTGGAGATGATGTCGACATTGGCTCGTCATGCGGCGGAAGGTACAACATTATGCGATGTTTCTTCGCTTGTTAGGGCACTCTCTTCTTTCGTACGTCTTGATGTTGTTGTTTTGTTCTTCTATCCTGATATATAGGTCAAGCCTGTCAACATCAACTGGGCCAATGTCATCAAGTCCTTCGACTGGCCGGACCGCCTTGGCGTTGACACTGCTACCCTGAAGCTCCTAATAGCCATCCTGCTGAGCTGTCCACGAGATGGCGAACCTCATGCCGTCACCGGATTCTGGTCAACCTGGTCAAACTCCCTCTATCAACTCCGCCTACTTGATGCCCTTCTATCCCTACCCGCCGACACATTTAACTTTGTTCAGCTCCCCGGCCACAGAATAGTCACCGTTGATGATGTAGCAGTTGCAAGCCCAACTATCAAGGCTCTGGCAGCAAATGTCCAAGGCCACACATGGAATTCCCTTGAGCTCTTTGAAGTTCTAGTGCGGTTAGCAGACTCCGATTCTACCGAGATCAGGAATTGTGTGCGTGAAATGCTCGACAAGGCCATCAAAATTAGCGCAGAGCTTGTTCATATGGGCCTCCTCCAAGTTCCGGTAAGTGATCACATCTTCTATATAGTCTAATCTCATGTGCTGGCAGGACCAAAATTGGAATGAAATACGGACAGAATATTCGCGTAAACTCCTCACAATGTTCCTTGGCGGACATCCGAATCACCAATTGGTCTTTATGAGGATATGGCAAATAGAACCCACATATCTAACAAGCGCCTTTCGTGATTTTTATCAAGAAAATCCTCTCAATATCACCCGTATTCTTGACGTGGCACAAGATCTCAAGGTAACCTTTTCAGTTCCAGCCGCAATCTCACAACTGACGGCTGCAGCAGATTTTGGAGGCTCTCCTAGAAGTTCGTCCGTTCGCGTTCGCTCTCGATGTCGCTGCCCTCGCCTCTCGGAGAGAGTATCTGAACCTCGACAAATGGCTTGCAGATAATGTGACTAATCATGGGGCAGAGTTCTTGCGCGCAGTCGTTGATTTCCTCGAAGACAAGATGGCCAACGAGAGGTCAACGCGTATATCAGACCCCCAAGTGGAAAGTCGTACAATGTCTCTGAGTGCTAGCACAATCACGATCATCCTGCGTGTCCTTCGTAACAGGTTTGTGCTTGTGATTTCTCATCGGAGGATTCCCTGCTGATATCGTGTTGTAGTACGAACCAAATGGGCGGAGAGGACCTTCGCCGCAGCGTGGAAGTCCGCAATTCTTGTCTTCAAATACATCCACGCCTTATGAGTTTGATACCTGGGTCTGATGTTGAGCCTGGATCCACTGTCGTCAGCTATTCCACCGAGATCGAGGCTGAGGTCGATGGCATCTACAAGCAGATGTATGATGAGAACATCACCATTGACGAAGTCATCGCTATGCTGCAACGACACAAGGAGTCCACTAATACTCGTGACCATGAAGTCTTTTCATGCATGCTCCATTTTCTATTCGACGAATACAAATTCTTCCAATCGTACTATCCTGCTCGCGAACTGTCGATGACGGGCTACCTTTTTGGTTCACTGATCCAGCATCAGCTCATTGACTACATTCCCCTTGGTATCGCCATTCGCTACGTCTTGGACGCATTGCTTTGCCCACCTGAAACAAACCTTTTCAAGTTTGGCGTTCAAGCTTTGAATAGATTCGAATTCAGACTGGCCGAATGGAGGCCATTGTGCGAGAAGTTGGCAGAGATTCCTGCGTTGATTGAAGCAAAGCCGGAGCTTGTTGCAAGCATCCAACGACATCTCGCGTCGTCATCGGCGGATGGTAGTGTCAACGGGGATATCCGCTCCCTGTCGATTGGGCCTCCCGCTGAACCATTGCCCATTTTTACTGCTATCCACCCTGATAATATCGAAGGCCAAATTGAACAACCGCCGGAAGAGTTGTCTGACAAAATCCTCTTCATTGTTAATAATTTGGCCCCAACTAATTTCGACGCCAAGTTGACCGAGATGAAGGAGTTGTTTGACGACGGATATTCGAGGTGGTTTGCGAATTACTTGGTGGATCAACGAATCAGTTCAGAACCCAACAATCACGGCCTCTACCTGCGCTTCCTTGAAGCATTGGAATCCAAGTCACTCACGAAGTTTATCCTTCATGAGACATTTGTCAAGTCAACGAGTATGCTCAACTCGGAGCGATCGATGCAATCGGGAACCGAACGGAACACTCTCAAAAACGTTGGGCTGTGGTTGGGCTCAATCACTCTGGCTCGTGATATTCCTATCAAGCATAAAAACTTGTCGTTCAAAGACCTGCTTCTTGAGGGCTACGAAAGTGGACGACTGGTTGTCGCGATACCCTTTGTATGCAAAACACTCGAGGGATGCTCGAAGTCCAGAGTCTTCAAGCCTCCAAACCCGTGGCTGATGGCTGTAGTCAGTCTTTTGGCAGAGTTCTACTTCTTTGCAGAGTTACGATTGAACTTCAAGTTTGAAATCGAGCTGTTATGCACTGCACTCGAAATCAACCTTGAATCCATTGAACCTACTACTGTTCTCCGTAACAGACCAATGACGGACTCACTCGCAGGTCCACCGCTTCCAGATTACGTGCCAGACATTGAATCTCTACCCATTGGAGGAGGTTACGACTCTTCAGCGCACTTGGTGCCGGGGGAATCGCAAGTCATTCCTCTCGGTCCGGCAAGTCCTGCCGATACTCAACGAGTTCTGGGTGCGCATATCGAATCAATTCTTTCAACGCTTGCCATGCACGTGCACGTGAACCCTCAGCTTGCGCCCCTGCATCTAAACCCTGCCTTCAAGAGGTCCGTCCAACTCTCTGTAGATCGGTCTGTTCGGGAGGTAAAACATATAATTTTTTTGTATTCGCGATGCTCTAACATACGTCGATCAGATAATTTTACCAGTTGTGGAGAGATCTGTTACTATTGCTGGGATATCAACGAGAGAGTTGGTGGTCAAGGATTTCGCCTCGGAATCAAATGAAGACAAACTTCGAAAGGCGGCCCATTTGATGGGGCAGAAGTTAGCGGGAAGTTTAGCCCTAGTAACATGCAAGGAGCCGCTCAAAAGTAATCTTGCTACACACCTTCGTGCATACCTGGCAGATCATGGTTTCCAGGAGGTTTGTTACTATGATGTTGATGTTGGATGTCAATAGCTGACATTCTTGCAGGTCGCGCAGCAAGACGCTGTCATTTTAATCCTCGTACAGGACAACTTGGATACAGCCTGTTCTGCCATCGAGAAAGCAGCAATGGAGCGCGCGGTGACTGACGTCGACGATGCATTCGCTACTGCCTACGAAGCACGTCATCGTCATCGCGAGGTACGTGTATTTGTTCTGCGACTCTATGTGCGTCTCATATCCTTATAGTTACGCAATGGTCAAAGCTTCTGGGATCCTGCTGTCCCGCATACCAATTTCTCCAGTTCTCTTCCTGACCCGCTTCGAGTCAGACCAACTGGCGTCCAGGCTACTCAAGTATCTGTCTATGAAGACTTTGGTTGGTGTTTCACACTCTCTTCAGCAATCGATGTTCAACTCTATTCAGGTATTGATCCAAGGCGACGCGCGACGAGTAGACCTAGTTCGACAATTTCTTACAATCCGTATACCCCTTCACCTGCCCCTGATACGCTCATGAGCCAACAACAGTATTTGACGCATGAAGAAGCTATGAACCGCTTCTCCGTAAGTGATGTTTGTTCTCTGTAGCAATGAGTTGATAATATTTCTCATAGGTTGTCACCCGTGATTTGGAAGCTGTCATGATCCAAATTCCTGTTCAGAACTTTGCGGCTCTACCACATAATCATGATATTCGTCACCTCGTTCGACAGGTTGTTTTCATTGGTATGGAATGCGCTGATCGCCAAAAGACACCACTGTTGCTGTCTCAGAAGATTGTTCAACTACTCTACAAGACTCCTACACAGTTGGGGAGGGACGTATATGTGACGTTGCTTGATCAGCTTTGCCGGACGTATGAGGACGTGGGCAAGGAAGCCATAAACTGGCTTCTGTATGCTGAAGACGAGGTCTGTCTTTCTATTAGTTTTGCCTCTTTCCAAAAGCTCACTCTTCTGCAGCGTAAATTCAATGTGCCGGTCACCGTCACGCTCCTGGGTAGTGGTTTGGTGCCCATCACCTTGCAAGACCAACAATTAGCCAAGTTCTTGTTTTCGGATCCCCGACCCAGTTTGCTTCTTTTCGCTGCCAACTTGATTCGACAGTGCCTGTTTAGTGAAGCTCCGATCCTAACTCAAAGCCAATTTTCCTTGTCCATCGAGGTTCTGAGTCAGCTGGCCCAGGCGGGCAGAGCTATCGAAGAGTAAGGTGCTCGATTATTGACTGTAGACGTGAACTCATATTAAATACCAGAGTGAACCGGTTACTGGATGACATTGTTGGAACCCGCCGACCTGTTGGACCTGGACCTGGAACCCCAGCTGTCCCCCAGCCTTCGGTGAAACCCGAAACAGAGCAAATACGGGAAAAGCTCTTTGCCTGGTTCCAACAATGGGTGAACATCTATCAACGCTCCCATACACCGGAAAAGAGTTTCGTTCCCTTCATCACCCAGCTTACGAAACAGGGCATTCTCAAAGCCGAAGAGATGTCTTCTCTTTTTTTCCGGGTTTGTGCGGAATCCAGCGTGAACAACTACCTGAAATGCATTCAAAATAATGATTACCATCATGCCTTCCAAGCTTTGGATGCCATGTCGAGACTTATTTCGTACATGATCAAGTACCATGGGGATGCTTCGGGTGTCAATAATGATCAAGCGAAGGTCCATTATCTCACCAAGATCCTATCCATCTTTGTCCTTGTGCTGGCTAACATGCACGAGGATCAAGGCGTGTCCTTCCAGCAGAAACCATTCTTCAGATTCTTCTCAAGTCTGATCAATGACTTTCATTCCATGGAAGCGCACCTGGGTACGGCATACTTCCAACTGCTCTTAGCCATAAGGTAAGCATATCTTCATTTGTCATGTCAGCGATGTGTTGTGCTCATGACATTATGCAGTGACGCATTCAGTTCCTTACAACCTACTTACTTCCCTGGCTTCTCGTTCTCGTGGATGTGCCTTATTTCCCACAGACTCTTTATGCCGAAGCTGCTTAAGTCTGAAAATCGCGAGGTATGTTCTGATGTCTGCATAAACCATACACAAAATCTTATCGCTTTTAGGGATGGTCGGCTTTCCATAAATTATTGCTCTCGCTCTTCAAATTCCTTTCACCCTTCCTGAGAGACGCGGATCTCCAGCATGCCTCACGGGACCTATACCGCGGCGCGCTTCGCATCCTTTTAGTCCTGCTCCACGACTTCCCCGAGTTCCTCAGCGAGTACTATTTCTCCCTTTGCGACGCCATTCCTCCCCGATGCATCCAACTCCGTAACATCATACTCAGCTCGTTCCCTGCCTCCGTCACTTTACCTGATCCTCATCTACGTGGCCAAACATTCGAGTCCTTACCTGAGATGGGCATCATACCTCCTATTCTCTCCGAATTCACGTCGGGTCTGAAAAATAGTGACCTAAAAGCTCTCCTTGACCAGTACCTGCTGAATCGGGGCGCGTCACCAACGCTGCTTCCTTCGCTCAAAGAACACATCATGCCGGCGGGTACTCCGGATGGACCTGGGGAATACTACAACTTATCCCTCATCAATAGTCTTGTGATGTATATCGGTGTTTCTTCAGTCGCCCAAATCAAGTCCCGAAGTGGATCTCGCGTATTCTCCAACACTGATCCTGGTGCGATTGCTTTGCAGTACCTGGCTACCAACCTAGATGTTGAAGGTAAGACCATACTTGAATGTCGTCGGAGCGATATTAAGAGCCGTTTCGCAGGCCAGCACCACCTTCTAAGTGCCATCGTGCTACATCTACGTTATCCTAACGCGCACACACATTGGTTCAGCTGCCTACTATTGCACCTCTTTCTTGAAGTACAAGATGAGCGCTTCAGAGAGGTATTGACCAAGGTCCTTTTGGAGCGATTCATCGTCCATCGGCCTCACCCGTGGGGAGCTCTGGCCACATTTATTGAATTGCTTCGCAATACAGCGAAGTACGATTTCTGGTCGAGGGACTTCATCAACATCGCCCCTGAGGTCAGACTCCTCCTCGACAATGTACGTGTTTGTCCCCTGTGTACGCTTGTATGTATCTGACGGTGTGCCAGGTTGCTAAGGCTATCTTCTCTCAACAGTAGAATCTTGTCGCTATTCTTTTTGCTATCTCTCTCCGCATATATATATCTCCTGTCTTAACTGTTTTATTCCGGGTTTTCTTTTGTTCCTCCTGCACAGTGTATTGTAACATTATTTGTCACCGTTTTCAAGTGTTGAAGAGGGGTGTGAGATCTGAGCTTTGATTACGAGTATTTCACGAACCCAATGACCCTGTTACCAGATTTTCCTGGCTACCAAAAGCTGCAGCTTCTGTATTGTTTTAACGAAGTAATGTATCATTTGTACTCATTCAAACAGCTAGCTACCTGAGATGCCAATGACGGGTGATTGGATACATCACTCGTCATTCATCTTATCAACTTTGCATTCTTTGTATGATCCGCCTTCTTGCTAGCTTAAAGCACTCAGGTAGGTACGGACATGCCTACACAGTTTCTTCATGATTTCCTTAATTCGCATTGTGTAGAAAAAAAACTACTTTACATTTCTCGTAACACGATTATAGATCCAGTTGGAAGAAATGACCGTCACGTAGTGAGAATACGAGGTCGGGGTTAATTGTAACATAGGCTTATGGGTTTTTGATGCCTCCTGGCCTATACCTTTGAAGGAAAGGGGACGTTGATTAGACTCGACCATCAAACAAGTTGATTATGAGCTTACCATCGCCAGGCAACAGCAATCCATGGCAGAGCAAAGCCTGCACCAAGATACGACCAATACTTGATAGTGAATGACTTCTTGTTCAGATAATTGAACGGCAAGTGCTATTCGAGAAGCATAATGCATTATTAGTACGGATTTTATTGGTGGTATGAGGAAACGTACGTCAACGTGTGTATGTGGGCGCGCATACGGAGGATTCCAGATAAACCGGCGCTGGATTGGACCGCGAGAGGACCGAAGTAGTGGTGCGGACGTCGTACCGAGATGAGAGAAGAGAGCGTTGCTAGACATCGAGGTGCTTTAACTGAGGGGAGAGCATCTGCATCGGACTTCACTGGTTCTCTTTTGTATGCCTTCGAGGTCAGGTACGAGGAAAAAACCAAGTTTGAATACATCAGTCGGTGAACGCTCGAGACAGACTCTGGAATTGATATCACGACGGGACACGTTTGTCTAGACGAAGTCGAGTGCGATACAGCCGCCGTCATATGCAGAATATCTCGGTTAATGATTTTTAATTGTCCCAATCAAACGGAACATTATTTAATGCGGGGAATGGGGTCCGGCCTTTAACTGTTTATGAACCCTCAGCTCGGTAGAGTTCCGGGAAATGCAGACAAGTTATCATCTAGCCTCGACGTCCAGGCTCTGTTTGTGTTGAAACCTGAGATCACTGCCAGGGTAAAGCACCGGTAAAGTGCCTGCTCATGATGTGAATGTGATGTCCTTAACAGCCGTGAGATCACTGAGGGTACATGCATCAGGTCTGGCGCCTGTTTTGCTATCCAATCAAAAAACTCGGATTCTCGTCGAGAATAGTCACGCAACTCAGTATTTTTCCGACTTAGTAAAACGAGCTAAACCATGAGGACCTTTGCACCAAGCGGTAAACATGCCCCAACTACATCCTGTCAATATCAAGTTGCCCATTGGCCGGCCGCCCTTGGAATAGCTAGCACTCAGAGGTTATGGAATGTGGACCTACAGAGTACGCTAGACAATAATGGTGTCGCTTTTTGAAAGGTGATTGCTTAGCTTCTTTCCATATACAGATCCAGATTTCATTATGGCTCCTTAACAAAACTTTAAATGCAAAGTGAAGAAAACATCGGAGAAAACATCGGAGACCGTCAAAATATCAATCGTAATCATCATCAAAAGCCATTAAGCAAGTTGACCGCGGCTAATCCTTGTCCGATGTCGACAAAGTCAAGCATGACAAAGTTGGGAGAAACACCGCCGGCCAAGCCTGAACAGCCATAGGCATTGGCAAGAATACTAAGAGGAATAGACCTTATGAAGGATTGCTGAACGTTAACGAAGAAAACTTACGAGCTGATACTATTGGTCTTCGATGCAGCCGCAAAATCGGGAATGAGAACACCATCGCCTATAGGAATTATGTTGATGTCCAAGTTGTGGTTAAGCATGTTTAGGTGGTCTTCCGTCGACAGAGGGCCGGAAATCCTGTTGACACTGCATGGAAAGCTACTATCGGTCGAATCAAAAGGCGGTTCCCAGAGCTACAGGACCATTATCAGTACGTTACACTGTGACGTAGACCACGAGTCTTGCCATCGTGAACTCTGAGAGGATGAAATCTACGCTACCATCGTCGCCATAATCCAAGAAGACGATGACACGTTTGCCACTATCAATGAATTCGCCTAATGTAGGCCAATCATCACGCGCCATGGGATTCGTGGGAGGCACATAGGCCAAGTCGGTTATGTCTTGGACAAATTAATAGAATCAGAAAGGATAATACGCGTCCATCGCTTACCCGCTTCATCGAATGCAGGTTTCCACACATCGGTCAGTGACAGACCCTCGGGATTGGTGAAGAGGAAGGTCAGGACTTCATTAGGATTGTCATCCAACCAATTCTTGACGATCTTCAGGTAGTCGACGACGAGGCCACCATCGAACAGAGCCTTGGAAACATGGTCAATTTTTCGAATAACGCGTCATTAAACAGAGACTCACGCAACCTGCCACACAATAGATGACGTGAGTCATGTCGATGAAGATAAGGTCGAAGACGCACTCGTATGGCAAAACTTAAACTCATCGCCATCCCTGTAAGGATGTCAGGAATCAGGTGATAGAGTGGGCCTTAAAAGATACAAACATATGAGACTCAGCTTGTAACATACGAACACCAAGATCTAATTGTGCGGCAAGATCTACTTCTTGAACTCTAGCAACTGATTCCGGATGTCAGGCAAACGATACCAGCCACTGGTTCCAGAAGGACATACGAGCTAAAATGTCCGTGCTGATTGCATATGAATCGTGCGAGCTCAAGAACGTGACCTTTAGGGTAGTTAAGGAATCCTCTTCCCTCTTCTGTAACCATTACCACTCACATTTCCATAACCTCTGTTGCAAAGCTCTGCATGTCCATTGCATACAGATGCTCTGTAAAGCAAACATATGATTGACCGGAAAGACGGACCGAAAAACATAACGTACCTCTTCGCAGGCGCCGCCGACACGGACAAGCCTATGGAAAGAATCGCAGCGAGGAAGAAGAGATGCATCATGCGGGTGAGCAAAGGAAAAGGGCGCGGTAGGAAATTTTTATATAACTAACACCGTATTATATCGAGAGAATTGAAACTTCGACCCGCGTGGTGAGGAACCTATCTTTGGGCACATGCTATGAAATACCACCCGCAAATAGCCTCCCTGCTCCTGCACACATGTGTGAGTTCGTTTGCTTCTGTTCCGGCACCGTCAGGTATCAGATGATCAAGGCTGCAGAAAGATACACGCTGAAGGCACTGTCAGCGCCATGAAGAGTGAACACACTGAATTGCCTGTGGCGATGGATACAGTCAAGCCCCAGATTTTCAAAAGCGACCCAGTGGATCCCCTAGAGAATCACGAGCTGTTCTCGGTGACTGCGTGTCACAGGTGGAACGAATGGAAGCACGTTTCTCAGTAGCAAGGCGACATCGAAGTTGAAGGGATTCCTTGATTGATCATTTTCATAAACCCAAAGTCAGATGGTGTATATTTGCGTCGAAGGAGAACATACAGGGGCCTGCCCAAATGTCATCTGATGCAGTTCTGTACATGTTCCACCACAGAATGCACATGTCTTGCAGGTAGAGAAGACGTAGGCAATGGAAAGTGTTATGATTTACTGTCCGTAAAATAGACCAGAGTCTTGCCAAGTTAAGCTGCGGAAGAGAAAGGAATATAATGTAAACTGAAAGAGAGATACAAGAAATCATTGATTTCTTGGGTTTTGGGAGAGAACACGGCTTCGATATGCGAACTAGTCGGAGGGAAGGACTGACAGTGAAAAGATATACCGGGGGGAAAGGATGATGGAAGCCCTGACTTCAGTTGCGTAGTGGTAGAGGCTGACTCGGAATCTCAGGTGTTCAGGATACCAGACAGTTGAGAAAAGTAGCTGCCCAACCGCAGAAGGGAATACTCAAATAGAGGTACACAACCACAATCGTTATCTATTTCGGCAAATGCCTAGAATCTTATCTTATCAAAGACCTTGACCCAAAGTATGGGCACAAATGACACAATACAGGCCTTCCTTTTACCGTCACCATGTCGCGTCGCAGAGTCGCATATTACTTCGACAGTACGTCGCCCTCCCCGCCCACTTCTCGACCAGGTCCCTAATAAATTCTTCTGGCGTCCAGGTGATGTAGGAGCATATACCTACGGGTATGGTCACTCGATGAAGCCACATAGAATCCAAATGACCGTGCGTGGAGACGTCCTTGCTCCTCTGGACATTGCTGACGACGCTGTCATTATAATAGCACGAGCTGGTAACCAGTTACGGAATGCTGGAGAAGATGCATGTTTTGGTGTGTTGGTTCACCTTGCTCCCCGTTCGTAAGCCTCACCGGTCACAGAAACCCCCACGCTGCTCACCACAAGAAATGACCGCCTTCCACACCGACGAATACATCCACTTTCTCAGCAGAGCTACTCCAGAAATAACCCACGAGATGAACTCGCAAATTACTCAGTGTACGCCATCCCCTACGCGTTCGACATGTCTTCTCATATCTTCCAGTCCTTGGATACCCCGATGATAATCCTCCCTTTGAAGGCGTCTTCGAATTTTGTTCTATATCTGCCGGTGGTTCAATAGGTTTGACAGCGTCCTCGTTTGTAGTTAGGCGAGACTGACAGACTGTAGCCGCGGCACGCAATATTGTCTCCGGAGCATCCGACGTGAGATTGTATCTCTATCTTCTCATACCCATAATCTGAATGCGTCTTGGAATTAGATTTGCGTCAACTGGGCAGGCGGCCTTCATCATGCCAAAAAAGCAGAAGCTTCCGGTTTCTGCTACGTGAATGACATTGTCCTTTGCATTCTAGAGCTCCTGCGCAGCTACTCAAGAGTCACTTACTTTGATATTGACTGTCATCGTAGGTTTCTCTCCATGTACTCTTCCTCACTCTCATACTAACGTTGGAAATAGATGTTGAGTTCCTCCTTGACACTTTATACTTGACCTCATATCTATCAGGGAGATGGTGTCGAGGAGGCTTTTCTGTCTACCGAGCGCGTCTTGACGTGCAGTTTTCATAAATCTGGCGCATTTTTCCCTGGGACAGGACTGCGTTCGGACCAGGGCAAGGGTAAAGGGAAAGGTTATGCAGTCAACGTGCCTTTACACACTGGTCTCACAGACGAGTCTTTTAAGAGCATATTCGAACCGGTGTGTTGCATTATACTGTATTGCCTCATCGAATGCCAACTCTGTTCTCTGAAGGTCGCTTCAAAAATTCTAGAGATATTTCAACCTGCCGTGGTTGTACTACAATGCGGTGCCGATTCGCTCTCTGGCGACAGATTAGGTTGCTTCAACATTTCAATGGAGGGACACGCGAACTGTGTCAAGTTCTTCCGGGATAAAAACATCCCCCTTATTCTACTAGGCGGAGGAGGATACACTATCAAAAATGTCGCGCGGACATGGACGTACGAGACGGCGTGTGCTTTAGGTATTGAGGATACCCTTGGAGATTTTCTTCCTTGGCACAATCACTTTGAATGCTTTGGCCCACGTTATCGTTTAGAGGTGGCTACTCACAACGCAGATGACGAGAACCTGAAGGACAACTATCTTGATCAACTCAGGTGCGCAAGTCCAGACCTATATTGTGTTTATCCTTTCATCATATTGCAGGGCGAATGTTCTAGAACAGATATCTAGACTCTCTTGCGCACCATCAGTGGGACTTCATGACGTACCTCGAGAGGATATTGGAACACATCTGGGGATCGTATTTGACGACGATGATATGGATATACAGGACGATCTAGATAGGCAACTTTATGGTGTGTCATTCGTTTGCATTGCGCTTTCCGATCTAACTTGTGCATAGAACACGCTAGAGACGTGTACAACCAAATCGCAACATCGGGCTCGGAAGAGGAAGACTCTGATGGTGCGTCGACATCGTACTCTCGCGTCTCGTCGCAGTGTGGGGTACCTCGTCATCAGCGCATGAGCATTGTTACCAATGAATGGCATACGCTGCCTTCACATAACCTGGTTTCTTCGATTACTAAACGCCGTTTTTTTCCTGGCACTGGCATGCCATGGGCGTTGGGGGGGTAATATCATGTATATTCTTAGTTGTCATATTGGATTGGGAAAACACTTTGTACATGCATATCTACACTGACACAGAAATCTAATGGATATACATGTACCTGAGCATTTATGGCAACATCTGAATAAGAAGGTGAAAGTTATGTAACTCGAGAGTCAATATATTTCAATGACCACCATCAAGTCGCGTCCGAAATTCGAGTACCGCCGTATCTTTCCTCTTAACCATGACCGCCATCGTGATTGACGGCAGTGTCTTGGAGGGTGGCGGTCAGATTCTGCGAAACGCAATCTCACTATCGTCGTTGCTATCTAAGCCAGTGTCCATACAGAGGATACGCAACGGACGAAAGCCCCCAGGGCTGAAAAACCAACACAGAACTGGTGCGTTTCATTATATTAGTATCGATGTATCCTTTGAAAAAGTGTAGGTCTGGAATTGGCAGCAAAGATTGTGTCTGCAGAGTTGAGAGGAGCGACAAGTGGCTCTACCGAAATTGATTTTGTTCCCGGGACGCTAGGACTACCAGGACATTTTACTGCGGACTCTGTTACCGCTGGTGCAACGACTCTTATGCTTCAGATTGCTCTCCCCATGCTCTTGTTCTCTCAGCAATCAGCACCATCATCTCTCATACTCAAAGGCGGCACAAATGCATCGCATGCACCCCAAATTGACTACACCCAACATGTATTCCTGCCCTTTGTACGAAGACACTTTGGTATTGATGCTACGCTCGAAGTCAAACGTCGCGGGTACTACCCCAAGGGCGGAGGGGAAGTGCACGTTCAAGTGTCTCCAATGGTCGACAAGATCAGAGCCTTCAAACTCGTAGAACGCGGCAGTATCAAAACCATCAAAGGCATCGCCCATCTTGCCGGTTTGCCCGGTCATATCGGCAAGGGTATGGTGGAGGGGGCCAAGGGCTACTTTGCCGGCAACACGGCTCTCGACGGCGTTCCCGTTGAGATTGAAAGTAGGCGGGAGAGAAACGACAATACCGTTGGGGCAGGAAGCGGAATTGTCCTGTGGGCGGAGATTGAGGGTGGCGGTGTCGTCGGGGGCGATGCGCTGGGCAGGAAGGGGCTCGATGCACAGGGTGTGGGTCGCCTGGCTGCCGAGTCTCTGACACATGGTTTGTCTGCAGGAGGTTGCATCGATGAGGTCGGTCGTCGTTTCAGGCCTTTTTTATCCGTTAATCTGACCGTTACTAGTGGCTACAAGACCAGATCATTATTTTCATGGCCTTAGCAGAAGGAACATCTGAGGTCAAGTGCGGCAAAGGAGAGCTCGAATTGCACACAAGGTAAGTTACCTTGAAGTAGACAAGTATTATACAAACTCACTTCTCTTAGGACTGCAATATGGGTCGCTCAACAATTAACAGATGCCAAGTTCGAAGTAGAAATAGACTTGTCAGGATGTACAGTAATTCGGTGCCAAGGCATTGGCTTCTCCTTGCAAGGAAATAAATAGATGAATTAAGTTCTGTGTAGTGACTTCCTCGCAGAAACTAGGGATAGATCCAACATTGTATACGGTACATGTGACAGAATTTACGGAGATAAGCTGATGTCTGTCGCAGTCTATGTGCGATTCCATGAAAGCAGTGTCATGTCACCAAGCCGTCTATTATAGAGGATAAGAGAAAGGTTTGGAGATGATGAATCTATGCCATACCTAGGTTTAATAAGGTGTCGTGCAGTTCCTACAACTGCCAACGAAACGAATAGTGTTGCTGCTGCAACGTATGCCCAGCCCAAAAAGGGATTCTTCCCACCTATCCACGAGACCGTAGTGATAACAACAGATTTCGTGCCCTTGTACGGCAAAACCGGGAAGTCTGTAGCGATGTGAGTTTCATACCACGGGTGACCAGCCGGACAGACGCACTTAATCCGATAACCATCTGGTAAGTTCCAGCAAACATCGTATCAGCATCGTTCCGCCCGTAGAGCTTCGTGAATGTAGGAAGACCTGCTGTTCGCATCCAGTTTTGGAAGTGCAAATCCTCTTTGAGATTTGGTAGGTTCGTGTCGTTGTAGCCGTTTGGATAGCGTTTCATCCAGTTGGGTGGCGGGACGATCTCATCTACAGAGGAGTAGCCACTAGAGCTGATGGGACTCGTAACGTATTTCTTGGCTTCTCCTGACCAAGCAATATCATTGGAGGAGAATTCGTAGACTGTTGCCTCGGTATCATTTGGGGAGTTGAGTAGTACGGGGGAAGAAAATGTATCTGCATCTATGCTTTAGACTGGACTAAGTATTGTTGAAGATCCCTACGCACCGTTGAAGATAGAATTTGCAATCAATCCACACGGGTAGATAGCTTTCCCATCCCGCGTTCCCAGTGGCTTGCAGTCACTACTATCCAGACTACTCGGCGACACATAAGTACCCTTCAGCTGGTCAGAGTTCAGACTCTTGACATAGCGCCGATGATTTTGATAGAAATTTGTGAGCTTGTAGTACATGAATACAGACGGTTCCAAGTTTCTGGGAACCGAAAACCGGAGAACACACTGGAGCTCCTGAGAGACGTCCGTCACGCTCGAATTTCCGGTATTGTTAAGCAATGCCATCTGAGGTTTGGATACTGATACCCCACTGTCAGACGAGCGGAGTCGATAGGAATAGTTGGGGACATCGGAAAAAGTGTATGACCCATTCTGCGTGGATGCCTCGAGATTCTCACATTGTGAATAGTCGAACGTTATCTCAGAGACGAGCGACGACCCCCAGATCAGGAGACCACCGATGGGTCCGAAAAGCAAGCCAATGATGAAGAATGTAGGCAGAACAGTCTTGGGCGTCAAAATGGGCTGCCATGCCTTGAGCCGCTGCTGCTTGAATGCAGTATCTATTGTCGCCGTCGTCGTCGGTCAGTACCAAGCTGCGCAGAATGAAATGCGACACGTACTGGCTGGTCTCCTCCAGCCTCCCTTCTCCTTCTTATTCTCAGAGTTGCTGCCATCGTCACCAGAGTCTTCTCGGCGTGGCTTGCGATTGAAGAGACCCATTTTCGTGGGGGTCCTGGTGGAAATGTGTGAGACTGCACAAATTCAGGACTGAGGTAACGAGCGGCCGGTGCACATCAGCGCAATTTAGTCAGCCTCCGTTGGGTAGGGAATACGTCATATCTCAGAGTCAGAATCCGGATGAAACTCCGGCACGAATTAGCCATTATTTCCATACTTGGCAGTTCCGCTCAAGTTTCAAACGCTGGTTTCTCCTCCTCCATCATCATGGTCTCTTCCTTACCTTTTGACACGATGGAAAACCCTACCGATGCGCTCCATGACCTCTACAGCGACCTTAAGGATATCAGTCTCGATGCATTTCCAAGTCGCGTAACCACCCATTTCACTTCGATTTTCGCAGCGTCCGACGCGTTCGAAACGGTAATTGGTCTTGCGAATCAGCTTGCCACTGCATTGATATGCAATGTCAGATTCCTTCTTTGAGTACTCGAAGGCCTCCAGAACAGCACCAACACAGAGCCCTTGTACGATTTCGGGCCATGATTCAGGACACATCGATATCGCCAGAAGTATACTTGGCAAGACTGCCCGGTGGGAGACTTGGTGGATGGGGTCTCGTCGACGAGACAGCCCCAGCTGATCCTAACTTTGACTATTCAAACTTGAGAGAATGTTCTATCCTTTGGGCAGTGAGCATCCCCGGAGAATGGTCGACTGGGGACCCTGAAGGTACGTCGCGTTTCGTGTCGCGTGACACGCGCCAGATATGATCTTGTCTGCAGGATATCCGGAACACCAGCCAACGCAATCACACAAATTCCCTTTGCATGGGGTCTCACATATTGGTGTCAAAATTAAGATATACGATGGTCAGGCAGATTCATTCAAGCCGACAGACATTGTCACCTTCGTGGGCATTTTGTCATCTGAATCGTACGCTCGTGTTGCGGCGTTCATCCTTCACTTCTAATGACTTTCTCTACAGGCTTCACACTGACTTGGACGGCAGCACCTCTACTTTGGTGCCCACTCTCCACGTTTTGTTTTCTCGACCCGTTTCTTCGACTGTAATACCACACAACGTGGCGTCTAATCTTGATGCTGACTTGCGTTCCGAGCTAATAGACTGGATTGCGCACGAAGGACTTGCTGGCGATCGCGAGGCCGCAGAGTGGGTCCTCTTGTGCTGCTTAGCTCGCGTGCAGTCTAGAACACCACCAATCTTTCCACCATGTCTGGGTCTTTCCCGATTTCCTTCACCGACTGATCCGACATTGTGGACCCCGGCTATCTCAGATATTCTATCTCAGTTATTCTTATCAGTCTCCAGCATACCTCTTTCTTTATCTACAGTCAATGCCACACCTTTCATCCCCGAGTCAAAAGATGAGGATCTGCACAGCGGCTGGCTGCAGCTTCCCAAGGGTAGTATTTGTGTGGTCACAGAAGCCGGCATTCAGGAAGGCAATATCGTTGAGCGTGGTGTGTTTCAACCTCGTCTAGTTAGTTTTATCAAGACTCACGCGATTTTTTGTTGAACCCAGGCCTGCTAAACTTACGTGCTATGCAAGAGATGATGACATCGCAAATTCTTGAATATGTTTTTCCTTTTAGTTCATTTTCGTTTGAAACAGACGTCGTCTTTCTTGTTTTGTGTGAGGGAAGCAAGAGTGCCTTTTTCCAGGTACATTACCCTTAGCCTATAATGGCTGACCGAGAGCTCACATAGACCTGTTTTCCACATGGTTAGACCCTTGTTCAGCTTCCTTTAAAGCCTGTGATGGAGACAAATAGGCTATACAAGAGTCCAGGCAAAATTCAGCTGCCCCCAAAACTTGATATGTTCCGGCAACTGGTTGCCAAGGCTAGAGTTGGAAGTGTTTCGATTGGGGATCAGACTGCCACGGTCAGTCCTTAATTGCGGACTGGCTTATGTGGTCTTGACGGTTCACAGCGAATTCAAGAAGATTTCGTGAATGGGCGAAGAGGAGGAAACATGACTGCTGATGATCTAATTCAGCGTATGTCCATCGCAAGGTGCAACCTGTACATCAAGATCACACTTAACTCTTGTCTGATCATCTCTAACTAGGCTTCTGGCGCTTTCTTACGACAAGTCTGAGGTCGATGAGGAAATGTGGGAGAAAGCCAAGAGCCTGGAGAGATCGAGAAGACAGAGAATCGACGGCCACATTTAAGTGTAAGATTATACTCGGATTTCTCATCTATCAACCAGCTTATACTCTCACTTGCGTAACGAACTGTTTCCTCGAAGTAGTACCGCGTGATGAATTTCCAAGTTGATCGAGTTCGGTCCGACATATCCGAGAATCTTCATGCAAAATTGTTGACATTGACAACATCACCTGTTTCGTACCCTTTTGTACCTCTATGATATAGGCGCGTGTTGGTTAACCCTTCTCTCCTTCGCCCATCCCTTCGACATGTTTTTTCGCAAACTGTCCAGAGCAATCAGTTTCAAACCCAAAGTTTCCACTCGAGCCGGCCGTAGTGCGAGGCCATGTCATCTAAAGGTTGCCGTAGGGCAGTTGTTCGAGGGCAGATACACCATAATGGGCAAGCTGGGACAGGGAAGTTATGCGACAGTTTGGCTAGCGCGGGACGACGCCGCCAAAACAGAGTCCACGAAACAGGTCGCGATAAAAATCCTCACCGCAGAATGCACTACAGGACCAGAATCGCTGGACGAGCTGGGAAGTTTCTTGTCCGCTCGCTCCCACGGCACTTCTGGTGATGGAAACGAACGTGTCGTCAAACTCTTGGGTTACTTCCACTATCGCGGGCACGCTTGCTTAGTCTTGGAACTGCTAGGGGAGAGTGTCGATGATATTAGGGGAATAATAGGGTCGCGGCGCCTGCCTGCACAGGTTGTGAAGAAGCTCTGCAGAGATATGCTGCTCGCACTAGAATACCTTCATAGCTCTGGGGTTATACACACAGGCAAGTATTTAGTATTCGGTTAATCCCCGGCTCTTAGGAGATCTCATCTTGTTATCAGATATCCACCCTTCCAATATTCTACTCGCAAGACCACTTTCACGACCAACTCCACCCAAGGACGAACTGGAAAAGGTCCTCATCGAACGTGCTTCTCACGTAGCAGAGCCCATGTTCAAGCTAGCCGACCTTGGGCACGGTGCGCTGTCTTTCATTCTTACTGTGATGAAATTCTTTTGGTATTCACGATATTGACAGCCGTGCCTACTGAGACCGTCCACCATGGTTTGATCCAACCGACTGAGTTACGGGCTCCGGAGGTCATTATTGGAGCCTCATGGGACGAGAAGGTGGACATATGGAATATGGGATGTTTAGTGCGTTCTCGATCCATCAACTCTATAGAAAGCCGGTAGCAACGGACCATGAAACAGGCCTACGAATTCGTTACCGGCGGACGCCTATTCAACCCTGATTACCAGACCGAGGAGCGAGGTATCGAACCGGCGGAGACGCATCTAGTGCAGATCATTGAACAGATCGGGGACTTTGACGACGACCTTTTAAGACGCGGCATTTATGGAGAGAAGTATTTTGATTTTGCGGGTGAGTTGTTGTTCCTTGATCTGCTGGTCGGCACTTGACCCTGGAAACAGGCGACTTGAGGTGCAGCGTGTCGCTGTGCCGGACCACAATGGAGGAGATCATGGTCAGGGTGCAGAAAAAGTTGGGTGTCATGGATCTGGCAGAGCTCACAGTATTTTGTGATTTTCTGCGGACGATGCTGAGGATCAGACCTGAGGAGAGGTGGCCACCATCATTGATTCTCGAGCATCACTGGCTTGAAGTAGACTGATTTGGTACGCCAACTGGGCATAAGACCCATTATACTCTTCCCGTTGTACGAGAAAGGGTTTTATGAGCTTCATTTTTAGCGGTATGATTCATACGGTCATCTGCTTATGCCAATGCGCAAGCTTTGTGTCGCTCTAGACTTTCCGAGATCATTCCCTCCCTGTGTTTTGGCTGTCTGTCACGAAGACCATCATCCCCCGAAACGTGAACCGTTGTGTTGTTAAGTATCGGGCAACAATATATGATGCACTCGATAAGTACAGTGGTGGTACTGGTTGAGTCCAACCAAGTCAAACCTATGGGGGGTCAAGTCGTGAGAGTATCCGTGCCGGACATTTTCTATATCAGGATTCAGCCTTTCCTCCTCGGTGCCGCTATATCGAGCTGTATCCATCCACCATCGTATCTTGTGGAGAAGAATTCCTGCCCCGAAATATGCAACGAGGAAACAATGGCGCCAGAAGGGCTCGAGGCCAAGCATCGCCGCTTAATCGTGGCAGAGGAGGTCGTGGCAGAGGAGGTCGTGGCCGCGGTCATGGCAGAGGCGAATTTCATCCTGCAGCAGAAACAGATTTTGTTGTACAGATGTGTACGTTTCTTTCACACAATTTATTTTGTCAATATCTAAACTGCAGGAGATCAGATGGCGAGAACACTATACCAGCGGGTTATCATACGCCTCGAGGACAAGCACGGAGAGGCATAGGGTCACCTCCTGCAAACTACGATTCTTACTTTGCGCCTTCATCAGGGTACTCTTCTCCCAGAGGGAGGGGGGGACGAGGCCGTGGCAAGAAAAATCGTGGAGGCAGTGACGGGCCGTTGTCCAAACTACTGTATGAAGATAGGCCATACCTGAGGCCAATTAAATTTGTTCCTTCTGTGAATGCCCGCGTTCTATTCCAGGAGCAAGAGGAAATACTCAAACCAATTGTCGAAGATGTCGGTACGTGTTCAATATTTAGGCACCCAAAATACACCCTAACATTACTTTAAGGTGATGAGGAGAAAAGCCATGTCCCAACAGCGGAGCGTGTCGCACGTATTTTCAGTGGCGTATCCAAGCCGCCTGCATGTATAGATGACTCGGGTGGTGATGAAGATGAAGGTCTGGAGGAGATAGATTTTAACGATCTAGCCGCTTTCCAGCAAAAAGTTGACATGGAAGCTGGATCGACAACCCAACTTAACCGCACGGAACAGGTCGATGGTGAAGAGAAATTTACTGGCGTTTTCTTTGACACGGCAACATTGAAGGAAGTCGCCACTTCCATCACTGAACTCTCAGCCTCTCAGGACGACGTGACGAAAGATAATACCGCTGAATCTGCACCCCCGAGTGACAGCGCACCTGTCAGCGTGACCAGCTCAATTGCTGTTCACATAGCAACAGAGACTGTGGTCATAGAGGAGGCATCCTTGCCCACAGAAGAATTGAGCTCAGAAAGTCGGCCAGCGTCAGCGGGATCGGCAAGTATCCCAACTAAGGTGCGGTCGTGTTCTACTCCAATGGATGAAGATATCATTTTCCTCTCTACTGCCTTAACGGAAAAGGCGACCGCGTCACCCCCGATACAGATGTCGGACGATAGGGAACCCGCAAAAGAGCAAGATGAGCTATCATTATTTTTTGTCGATACTACACCGGCACCTATTGTGGCATCAACCTCCACCTCTTTACATATCCCTCTAAGTGCTGCACCCGAGGAGAAAGACGACGACGATGAGATTGTGTACGAAGCGCCTCTCCCTCGTTCAGGAGTAGCCACACCTGTCTCGTCCAAGCCACCCACCTCTACTTTTCCTCCATTGTCGTTCTCGTACCTGCCCTCCCCCCAGAAGCTCGCGAGACGTCCCCATCCTGCTCACAGTAAAACGAAGAGCCAGCTAAGGGAACGCCGGCAAGCAGCGTGGGTGCGCAAACGCAGGGGAAGCGGGTCTCTTGTAGCTCTTGGTGCTAATGTGGCTGAGGCCCAGCCGTATGGAGGTAAAGATCCAAGGCAAGATGAAAGGCGAAGGGGAGATTCTGACGTCGATTGGGGAGATGATACTGACGACGAAATAGACAAAGTTGTGATCGGTGTCGATGGAATGGACCTTGACCCAGAGCTAGAGTTGGATGTAGAGGCAATGAAGCGGTTCGCAAGCGGGCTGGATGGAAACTTTAAGACGATGGATGATATTGATGACGAGGAAAGAATGAAGAAGGAAGACGAAGAAGATGAGGATGATGAAAGCGAAGATGACGACGATGAAGATGAAGACAGTGTCCGCCGGGCTATTGAGGGAGAGGAAACTATGATGCTGGGGGATAGTGACGCCGAAGACGAGGATCTTAGCCCTGACTCCAGTTTCCAGAAGCGATTGCAATGGCTGCGTGAAGGTTTTAGAAGTGGAAAGACTGAGAATAATCGTCAGGTCGACGGGGATGACGGTTCAAGCGACGGTGAGGATAAAACGTGGGCGGAAAAGGATGACGATTTCATCGCGCATATAAACGTGAGTTTCGTGCCTTTTACAATCGTTTCCGACGTCTGATCCTTTTGCAGGACAAACTCGACGAGAATGAGTCAACTCTCACGGGAAGAGACCGTCAGAAGAAGAAGCAAGTCTTTAACGCCATCCACAACGGTAGCTTTGACGATCTTGGGTGGATGCCAGCTAGTATGTATATCTACTTTGGTTGTTATACTGTTAACCAGTCTCTCTAGAACGGAAAAGAGATAAATGTAGAGACCTTCCGCCAGAGCTCCGGGACCAGTGGGAAAAGGATCGGCAAAAGAAAGCCGAGTATAAACGTGAACGGGAACAAGCGCGCCTTATCCAGGCTGCAGACCCCGTGGCCGCTAAGAAAGGCGGAAAGAAGGGTCGAAAAGCCATGCTAGCGGCTGCGAGATTGGATCCTACCATCATTGCTATTCCTAATCGCATAATCGACATGACGACTCTCGTGCAGCAGATACGACAATTTATCGCGAACATAGACGGTCCTCAGTCAATGAGTCTACCACCAACGAATAAAGGGACCAGAAAGAACGTTCATAAATTGGCACTGGCTTTCAATTTGAAGAGCTTCAGTAAAGGAAAAGGGGACGCGAGGTATACGACAATGACAAAGACGACCAAAACGGGTGTCTGCGTCGATGAAGCCGAGATTGCGAGGATAACAAGGAGGGGAGGTGATTTCGGGGACGAGGAGTTTGTCAACAAGAAAGGGAAAGGAAAAGGGAAATTAGTGCCAAAGCATAAGGACGGAGACGAGGTCGGCAAGGTTTGTGAAAGTTTCGTGCTACGATAGCTCGTGCTTTCTGAATCCGTTTCTTACAGGAAGCACCAAGGATAGGAGAGTCGAACATCGGGTTTAGGATGCTGGCTTCGATGGGTTGGTCTGAGGGTGATCATATTGGTATTTCTGGTGGCTTGAAGGATCCAGTGACGGCTGTAATAAAAACCACCAAGCTGGGATTGGGTGCAAGAAAATGAGGAGAAGACGACTCGATTTATCATTCGAAGGCAGTATTTTGTGTAGATGATCCGGTAATTAGACCGGTGACCTATTTCATGACTTGCCCTCAAATATTTCGAGCAAATCAAGAGCAATGGCTCTTCGACCTCTGATTGCTATCTGCGGTACCACCGGTGTCGGTAAATCCAAGCTTGCTATTGAAATAGCGCAGCATATTGCCAAGCAAGAGGCATGGGAGGGTGCCGAAATCATAAATGCAGACGCCATGCAGGTATACGCTGGCATGGACGTGATCACGAACAAGGTTACAGAATCCGAAATGCAAGGAATTAAGCACCATCTCATGGGATTCAGGCAGCCCGGAGAGCAATATGTCGTCGGCCAATGGGTCCAAGATGCGATCAAAATAGTAAGGGATTCCGTTCTATATGGTGCATTGAGTCTAAGGTCATTCATAGATCAGTGACATACATTGTGCCAATAAAATCCCAATAGTTGTTGGGGGCACGTCATACTGGATCCAGCATTTACTTTTTCCAAACCGCCTGTCCAACGAGAAGATTACTGACAAGAAGGGGCCACAGGCTGCAGTCATGTCAGAAGAACTTGCTCGTTCTTTTAGAACTTTGCCACCAGAATTGCAGGATCTGTTCAATTCGTTTCCAAAACAACCCCCCCTCGCCAGCGTTGATCCGGAACAGTCTCTATCTCTTCATAGATTGCTATCCACTCTTGACGATCGTGTGGGAGCAAGGTGGCATTGGAAAGATACTCGTAAAGTCCACCGAAGTCTCTGTATCATCCGGGAAACCGGCCGCAAAGCCAGCGAAATGATCAGCAATCAATCTGAAAACACAGTCGTAGCTAGGTGAGCACCTTCAACTCCTTAAGAAACCAGCCAAAATGTAATACCAAATCTGTAGATATCGCGCCCTATGTCTTTGGCCATATGCCAAACCCGCCGTGTTGCATCCGCGACTAAATTCACGCGTCGATACAATGATAACAGTAAAATTGTCCCTCTCCTTGTCCTATCTTTGACTGATCTGTATTTTGTGAACAGCGCGGCCTCCTTGATGAAGTTCGGGCGCTACAGCATATCGCAATCTCTGATCGGCAAACCGTAACCGACGAATCATCCGCGGACTACACCTTGGGCATTTATCAATCGATAGGTAAGCCTGCTCTTTCCTGTCTCGTTATACTATAATGACGTCTCCTCACAGGATACAGGGAATTCCACGGCTGTATATCCTCGCCTGTTCCGAGTGACGATGCTTTCAACGTGGCTGTAGAAAACATGAAGATATCGACTCGGCAATATGCCAAACGGCAAGTATCTTGGATCCGTAACAAGTTACTCCCTGCGATAAAGGCGGCCAATGCTATTGAAGAAACGGTCTTTCCCTACCTGCTGGACGCTTCTGGTGAGGTTCACCTCTACATTGCACAAGTAACGTTTTTGTGATGTACAATCAGATGTCGAAAATGGCTGGTCTTCAAACGTTGAAGATCTCGCGATGCAGATCACTGATGGTACCGGTTTTTCCAAGTGTATAAATGACAGATACTAATCAACAAATTCCAAGATTTCCTCCGCGGAAAGCTCCACCTGGATCCTTTATCCTTGTCCGATGTCGCTCGAGAAATGCTTACCGTTGAAGAGAAAGCGACAGAGTATGTTCTGTGCATGATAACGTTATTAGCCACTCATCTGCCCATCCATAGTCCATTGTTTGTTCTAACCGCGCGTCGAAAAATGATATGTGAAGTCTGCACCGCCAACAAGAACGAACCTGTCATGGTCGAGGAAGGGCGAGAATGGGAGGTTCACACAAAGACACGAAGTCATAAAAGCTGCGATCGCAAGGCTAAAGCAACATTTCACGGATATAGGTACGGGAAGAAGATCGAACGCATCGATACCACCGAATCACAAGCTTCTTGACTTTATTATCATACACATGCTGTTCGACCTACACAAACTATTCAAACTTCCATCGCCCACTTAGGCAGCCAATCCTCCCAACCCTCCCAATCAGTTACCCTACCATTATCGTGCCCTGTCTTCCTGGGGTCCAAAAGTGTACCCATGCTATGCATAGCACCATTCAAGGCTACAATGTCAGGAACCGCAACACGCTGACCGTTGGCATACATCTTTGTAATGATATGATGAGGCCGACGTGGCCCCGGGAAGGGCAATGTCACGTTGTACTTCATGATGTTGATGGTGATCGGATGTTTAGGAAGGAGGGTAAGCGCGGTGACATTGAACGATGAAATCAACTCGCTGTATCCATTAGCGACGAAATATTCCTCTGTATCAATTATTTCTGCAAGGAATTGGTCCAACGGATCATCGTACGTCTCCTCTGTGCGGTACACTCTCGGGACGGAGTGCTTGTGATGAGAAGAAGCATTATAGATGTAGTCTGAAAGCATGAAAGTCAGCCTGGATCAGTCGGACTTCGTAGATAACCCACATACCTGTGTGAAGGCTGAGGTTTGGGATGACATGGAATCGCAACAATTTCTTGAGGGTGTGGGCACCAAAGGGAGAAAACAGGTAATACTGCAGCTGCTTCGGCAGTAATCCGAAAGCATGGTTGGAAGGAACGAAAACCGTGGCTACAGAAGTGCCCTCGATATGTCCTTTCTTGTCTCCTTTTCCATGGACCCAGCGCAAGTCCAACTCGTCAGTGAGACCAGATCGTTGCCAGGCAGATGTCTAACATGAGAATCAGAGACGCTGACAAGAAGCTCCAAGTCAAGCGCACTTACAAAGATGGAATACATTGAAGGGGCCATGTACAATTCCCGGAAGGCTGTAATAGGAGGAATAAGCGGGTGATTAACCACATGAATCAAACCTGTATAAAAATGGTTCGCTTTTAGTAGCTCAAGCAGAGTGAATTAATTCAAACCGTTCGCCGTCTTTGTGTTAGCACTGACCACCTTGCTGTAGAAATTGACAGTCGTTCTAGGAGGGATAAGAGAGCTCTCCACCCGTATACGCTGCGGCTCGTCGTGCATGGCGAAGTGCAGAGAAAGATTAGTCGGATAAGTCGATACCTCAGAGAGCTTCTGAGTGTCCACTTGGCCAGGAATGATATGATAGGACAAAATGACGCGGACAAGCATTCTGAGGAACCTTTTCCATCGTTTCTTTTCCGAGTCATCGTGGAAAGACTCAATGTTAGCTAATTCCTCATACGCATGGATGGCCGTGGACAAGTCGTACATTTCTGGTTGCGCCTGCATGACGTCACCGTCGTAGCGAAACAGACCCTGGAGTGCAGATTCCTCGGGTTTGCGCAACGCCCAGTCAGGCGTAGCGAAAAAGGTGATCCTACATTATTTGTTGTCAGTGGGTGACAGAAGGGCAGCGACCAGCACGCCGACCTTGACGAAGAATCATTCAATTGATCAATGATATCGTTGCTGAATTTGATGGCTTTAGTGAGGCGAGAGAACCTAGGGTGTGACTTAGTACGACGGTAACTTGAATCTCTGCTAAAATCATACCTTGGATCGCCTGTGATCGCCTCGTAGATGGTCTTATTTTCGGACGTTAGCGGTCCATCCCCGTCCGATACGAACTTTTGGACATGGGCCTTTGTGGACTGAAGAGGTCGCTGAAGCGACTCTGCATCAAGTCTGACAAAAGGCTCTGGAAGGGCAGACGCAAAAAGGACGCCGCTGAGGACAACGAGGGCAAGGTTTTGGAAGACCATGCTGGGGGAAGAGAGACAGAGTGAGACTGAAATCTGTGCTCAAACACTAGTCTCACCTTGAATACGTCAGCCACTGAAAAAGAACCGGATCTGCAACCTTGTACTTATCAAACCTATTCATCCGTAAAAGACGTACTAATAGCATAGACATTACATAGCAGTATATCATATAGGTCAGTAAGATTGTCTAATACATATGTCCAAGTATCATGGATTGGAAGGGGCAACCCCACTCTTTTTGCGAGGCCCACTGACAGTCCTCCCGCCCCTCCCCCCTCCTCTTTTAGTCTTCTGAGTAGAAGCCTTCAATGCTTCCTCTGTCGCTTCAGCCTGTCGCTTCACTCTCTCCTCCTCCGCTACCCACCATTTCATAAATGTCTCTTCCTCCCTGCGAGCTTGCTCCTCCATTTGAATTTCGAGTAACGATCGACGAGCCTTTCCAGGAACACTATGCTCCAATTGTGACCGCTGAATTTCGGAAAAGGACATGCCAGACATTGAGGAGGTCGCAGCGTTAGGCTGCGAAGGAGATGCCCATGCTTTACCACTGTCGCACACAGCGTTAAAACATCATATTTGTAGGGACAAAGGAATGAGAAGACTTACGACACACCCCTACCAGTATGCATCGTCTTGGCCGAAGAAGGCTGTCGCTGAGGAGAAATCACGGGCCCAAGCCCCGGTAAAGCACTGGGGGATCTGGATGCTGCAGATGGTTTGACGACTAAGGTGGACGGTGCCTTTGGGGTAGACGCAGACGACGAAGAAAGCTTGGGGAATATCTTAGTTGCGTCGCTGCAAGATGGAGATCCCATTGTGTTCACGGGCGTCCTCCGTGGTGATGGTGTGGCAGGTAAAGAACCGCTACCCTCGGATATTTTAGGCAGAGACGACTGCCTGCGAGATGGATCGTTGGCACTCAGGGGATTGCGAGGTACGATGGATCCCGTAGGAACCTGCATGGCAGCCTCAGCCATGATGGCTCGCATGTCCACACTATGTACAGATTAGTAGAAGAAATCATAGAGATGAAGAATCATACCGAGCTGCTGAGGTGGATTTCCAGGGAGCAGAGGGGCTGGATTGGTCCGAGTTCACAACGGGGACAAGATCGACGTCATCCATGGTGAAGATGTCGTCGCTTCCAACGGGAGCTGAAAGAACTTCAGGCTTGGGTGCCGACGGAGTAACCCTGACAGGGCGCTGCACCCTACTACTTGGCGCTGGTGGGGACAGCCTAGCCGAATCCCGCCGCATTAACTGTTTGTTTGATCTGACAATTGGGGAGGGGAGATCTTGAAGGGACAACCATTCCGCATGCCTGTCCATAGCGAGCTTTCCCAATAAGTTGCGTCGCGTGATTGGTGATTTTGCCGTCTGCATTTCTCTGACAAAACAAGAGAGTTGTCTGATCAATGTGGGTGACATAACGTCCAGTATTCGACTTTCTAGCATGCTCTCCAGATTGACGGCGATATAGCCCTGGACAGCGTCAATCAGATCCTTCGCAGAATAGTGGGTGGCCTCGGAAAGGATATAACATGCGTTTTGGACGTTCAGGAAGTTCAATATGATGGATGATGCAATGAGCAACAGCCGATCAAGATGTAGCTCAGCCTGGACACAGAGTGAGCGCAAGCGCGTCAAGGATTGGAAGGTAACTAACCGCGGCGGCCATGACCTCGAACATGAACTCCAGAACCGACTCAACAGAATGAGCAAAATCTATGATTATGATCTTAGCAATCAATTTGGGATTTCCATAGACAGGAAAACTCACCCAACCTTTCAAATATCTCAATATCCTCCCCACAACATACGAATCTCAGAACATATTGCATCACATGCCACTTCATGTGCTTCATATTGACATACACCCGACCGGTCTCATCCTTACGTTTCCTGGTCCAATCTCCTTCAGTAAAGAAATCAGCAAAAAAAACGGTTCTGGCCCGCAGAAAGGTGGAATGGCAGAAGACATCCTTATCCTGAAGCTGCAATACGACGTCTGGGTACTGTGGAGAATCTGGCTCCTTCGACATTGTTTGTGCGTTGTGGAACAGATTTGCCACGTCCTGAACCATCGTCGGTTCTGGAGTCACCTTCACAGGTGACTGAATTGCCTTCGAAAGTGCGGGGAGATGTAATAGTCTAGCCAAGACTTGCAACTCTGATTTGATACGTGCAGAATCCAGGTGAGAACCGAAAGACAGGCGCCTATCCCAAACTGATAGCAGACGATCGGAATACAGATAGTCGAGAAGTATTAAGACAGACATAGGAAGACAGTGAGAAAACATAAGGCGATGGCGACCGGAGGCATGAGTATAACGAACGGATATCTTCGACTCGTCTCGAACGGTGCGAGAATTCTGGAGAAGGGAGAGAAGAACCGACGAACGTGCGCTGAGGACGACACGATGAGCGGAGAAAGTGTGACGAACTTCATCGGTGAAAATCAATATATCAGCGCCTCGTGTCAATAGCTTTCCTTCCGAGGTATGCAAGTTCATTTGGAGACGCATGACATCTAAAAGCCGGGCTAGCTTGCATAGGTCCTCTTGGATGTGGTCGTCGGCCTCATCCTCGTCTTCATCGAGACCGCGGACCAAGGGTGCCGGGGATGATGCCTGCAGCCGACTTGTATTGGGCTGCGCTGCAAGTAAAGGTAGTATTTCTGCCAGATCTTGCGCCAGACTATGTCCGTGAACCGGGATGGGATCGGGTTTGTGGTCGATTCGCATGGCGCCAAAGGCACCGGAGCTGTTCGCACATACTCCAACAACTCGCTGGATGTAAGGAACAAGTTGGTACTTGAAGATCTTTCCGGCGCCCTGAGAACTAGTGTTTCCACCTTTGCGGGCTCGCACGAATACATGACCAGATTCGGTGCATACTATGATCATCCCATCATTGCCAATGGCTACATCCTGGCGGGGCATCAGTCGGATCCAAACTGAATATGGGAAGGACAAACTCTGGCTGCACTGAGTTGCTTCTTCAACGTCCATGCCGGTTGTGGTACAAAGACTTTAGAGGACGAAGAGTGTGCTTCTGCATCAGTCGGCGGCGGGATCACGAGTATAAAGACCTCTCCATTTGAAGACAAGGCGGCCACTGTATCGTCGCAGTTGGTGATTTTGGAGACGTGGGCTCCCTTGATAGCCTGAGGAGGTCGGTAGGGCTGAATTTGCTGGGGGAAACCATGTGCTGGGAAGCTGTTCAAAGGTCGGCGTCTTGATCAAAATAATCGTACACAGAAGACTGACTTGATCTTAAAGCTCCGGTCGTTCCATATACAAATGACCTCCTGCGTTACAAGAAGGCAGATCATGGCAGCGTCTGTGAGGCACACAGACGTGACGGCCTTAGTGATCTTAGTGACCTTTCGAGGCAGAACCTGTATGGGCTGAGCAGATTTATCGTAACCTGATTGAACTGTGTCACGAACGTGCCATGAACAGGTCAAATGATATTCACCTAATTGTCCGTTATTTGTGCCCCACGTAAAGACTTCTGTCGCGGTCCAGCACGCGGACGAAGTCTTAGACGCAGCAACGCCCCTGACAAATTCTTTCTTAAGTTGACCAGCGATTTTCTTCGGCGTTGACTGAATGGGCTCTTCAATTCGACCAATGTTAACGTTCGAATTTGTTTCGACGAGGTAACCCAGTTGGGAAAACCGGTTCAATCCCCAGCTAAGGACTTCGCCCATGTCAGTGAGAGCCAAAGTATAATCTTGCCCTAGCGCGACAGAGACTATGGTCTGATTAAGCTGTGATAGCAGAGTCAAACTATACTGAGTATGTTGCACGGGCCCGAGCCTGCAGAGACTTTTCGTCAATAGGTGAGTAACTAGCACTGAAATAACCACCCTGACCGTCCTCCGCTGCCAAATCCGCAAAGTCTTAAATTTCCCTTCTTCTCGCATGTAACGATGACTGACATTTCAAGATTAAAACCCGAAGAAGAAGAAAACAATAGTGCATACCAGTGTGCAATTTGGAAGTGTGGACCTGGTGAACTTGGAGCGGAAAGAACCTAGTATGTATATTGGAGTCGTCCGACGAGTATCTGTGGGGAATGACCACCTGGTCAGGGTATGTACGGTCATCACTATCGCCAAGACCGAGGGTAGCGTTCCTATAACAAAATCAGCATGCGCAGTGGTAGGCATGCTCTAGCAGATACCTATTTGTGCCCCACATGTACAGCTCAGCACCAGAGGCATTGACGGGCGGTTTCGTGCCCTCCACTGTCGAATTATACAACTCGAACGCAGTATAGCCCTCAAAGTCCCTCAGCGAGATGTCAATGTCCGAATGTTGTAGCAACAGAAGGCTGTGCGATATCAACAAGATTCACGATGGACGTATGCGTGTAGAGTAACGTACGCCGCGCCCAGATTCCCATGGAATAAAGCCCTATGCAGAGGAGTCCAATGGCTCTCCAAATCCTGAACATTGACGTTGACGGCAGGATGGCGAAGTAGCAATCGCACGTATTCCAACGTGTCCGTCGACGAACAAGCGAGATGGAGAACTGTCCTTCCTAGCCTATCGCGTCCGTTGATCTCCGCGGCGATAGCCATTCCAACAGCGCCTCCCTTCGACCATGACTTTCCACCGCTACTACTGGTGCTGATGCCAGCGGTCCGGTCACTGTTGGCATCGAGCAGACGTTGGAAAGCTTGCTGGTTGCGTAGAGAGAAATGAACACAGAGCAAGGTCATATACCGGACGAGAAATGGATGGAACGACCCAGAAAAGTCTCTTGAAAAGACCTTTCAAAAGATCGAGCAATCCAGATATCACTGCGCGCTTGAGCGCAGACGACGAAAACGAGCCTGGAGTTCCGTGTGTTACTGGTGGTGTACGTCAAATGGGATGGTGCGACGACGACGAGCGATAAGAATGACGGAAACGAAGCTTATTTAAGGAACGTTCGTACGAGGTGTCATCGGGACGTCATTCGAATCGGGTCCGACATCCTAATCTGGAAAGATAGCACGTGCATCTGACGCACGTGGTAGGTAGAGCCTGGGTAGAAGTTACTTTATATGCAAGTATGAGTTCTGCGAGTATCTATAAAAGCGGCTTGCCAGGCTAAGAAATTACTTACTAGAAAACAAACTCATATATTATCATTAGACTACAAGGAATCCAGGAAGGTAATACGCGTCCATTGTACGTGAAACGACAAAATATCACTCTGCCAGCTGCCGGAACTTGTCCTGAATTTCGGTATACAGTGCATCTAGTTTCGACTTCACATCCTCCTTTCCCTGCGATGGCGACTGAAAATATGTTAATTTGGGCTCAAATCTTGATTGATATCGAAATCATACCTCAAATTTCATTTGAGACAGTTTGAACATGAGATCGCTAGCTGAGTCTTTGATTTTGGCGAAGGTCATGTCAGTTTGGGCGGTAGCTTTGAGGGCCGCATCGTGGAATGCAACAAAGTTTCGAAGCATTCCGCTGGTCTTGTAGAAGGGGCAGTATCTGTCGTACTCGCTCATACCATTTTGCTGCAGAAAATCGTCCTTCAACATCCGCGCAACTTCTAGTGTGATCTTCTCATTCTCCCCCAAAGCACTCTTCCCGACCAACTGAACGATTTCAGCAAGATCTTCTTCTTTTTGGAGAATCTCCTTTGTCTTCGTCCGTAGCTCGACGAAACCAGGTTCCGTCGTCTCGTAGTAAGGCTCCAAGACCTTCGTGTATTTTGAATAAGAAAGGGACCAATTAACGGACGGGAAATGTTTTCTCTGAGCAAGCTTCTTGTCAAGACCCCAGAATACTTGGACGATACTAAGAGTAGATGCCGTTACGGGATCAGAGAAATCACCACCGGGAGGTGACACACTGATTCAATTGGGATGCAATGAGCGTCAAGCACACAAGAAAAATAAATTACTAACGCTCCGACTATTGAAACAGTGCCTTGTCGATGAGGGTTGCCGAGACAAACCACCTTTCCAGCGCGCTCATAGAAACTGGCAAGTTTCGTTCCGAGATATGCCGGATAACCGGAATCGGCAGGCATCTCAGCCAAACGACCAGATATTTCACGGAGTGCCTCTGCCCAACGAGATGTCGAGTCAGCCATCATGGCGACATTGGTTCCTTGGTCACGGAAATATTCAGAAAGTGTGATTCCAGTGTAGATGGAAGCTTCGCGAGCAGCGACAGGCATATTTGAGGTGTTTGCAACCAGCGTCGTGCGCTTCATAATAGGTTCCTGACGATCACCAACCTCCATTGTGAGCTCGGGGAACTAAGACAGTCCAGTAAGAATTCGAAGAATTGGCAAGAATAGAAATAGGCACCTCCATCAAGACTTCAGCCATCTGAAAAACTGACGTCAGAATGAGGTTGACAATTCAGAATATGCACTGACCTCATTTCCACGCTCTCCACATCCAACATAAACAATGATATCGCTGTTTGAATATTTGGAGAGCGCTTGCGAAATAACTGTTTTGCCACAACCGAAAGCACCAGGAATGGCAGTTGTACCGCCTTGCACGCAACTGAGGAAGAGTCAGATCAGTTCGTACAGAGAAAATGGACACAAACGGGAAGAGCGCGTCAAGAATACGTTGGCCAGTAAGTAGCGGGTGGTCGGCGGTCTGCTTTTCGGTGACGGGACGGGGTGCACGAACAGGCCACAGTTGCATCAAGGTATGTTTTGTTGTCTTGCCGTCGAACTCTGTTTCCAGAACAATGTCCTAAGATACGGGTAAGACACCTGCGCACGTACGTGTGATACCCGACACGTACATCAACAGCATAACTGCCTTTCTCAGCAATGTGAGTGATGGTACCGAGAGCGCGAGGAGGTAGCATGATTTTATGATTGTCGACGAGGGAATTTTCGTAAACACCACCAAAAATATCACCACCTGATATATGGTCACCAACCTGCAGGATGATAAGCTATACTATATGATGATAAGACCTTGGCGACAAACCTTAAATGCGGTGGGTTTGAAGTCCCATAGCAGTGACCGATCCAACGCATCTGTGTTGATGCCGCGGGGAATATAGATAGACTCTGAAAGTTGTTGAATAGCCTGCAGTCCGTTAACATCGTAGGGACACGCCGATAGGGTTAAAACGCACTCGCAGGGGCCGCTGGATACCGTCCACGATATTACCCATGAGACCTGGCGGGCGTGAGCAGTTTGTCTTTATGCCTCAAGCGACAGGCACACCAGGTCCAAGCTCAACACTCAATGGTTTTCCGGTCCTCAAGACAGGATCCCCAACAGTTACACCAGAAGTCTCCTCGTAGACCTGAATTGTTGCCTTGTCGGCTTCGATACGAATGACCTCTGGAATGAAGAGTCATTAGCGTACATTCCCAGTGGGTGAGAATAATATATCGCACCTCCAACAAGCTCGTCATGGCCTACTCGCACGAGCTCATACATAGCTGCACCGACCATATTTTCGGCGATCACGACAGGCCCTGAAACGCCAAAGACCTGGCCGAACCTGCTCTCCCTATCCTCATCCTGAATTTTGACAAGGTCTCTCTTCGCATTCTGCAGCGCGCCGGCCATTGATAAGGAATGTTGTGGGCAAGATGGAAGTAAGTATTCAGGAGTTAGGCTAAGGCTATACTTACCACTGGCTGCCCGGCATTTGCCGCTTTTCACGTGAGTGACGCGTCACTTCGCTGAACCAGCACTTGGACCTCTTGCACTCATCATCATGCCTCCGAAAGCGTATGCGTCTATTTCTTGTTATCTGTCTGTTGTTCTGACTATTTTGACAGTGACTGGGAAAAATGTACGGCGGCATCCATGCTCTCTATCTAATTCCATCTGACGCAAGCCATTGACAGACCAGAAGAAGGTCGACGAGAAGGAGGAAAAGATTGTAGGTCAGTGCACGCTTTTCTCCCACTGTTGTACCGCTTAATTCTTTTGTCAGCTCTTGACGACAGTGATATTCAAATTTTGAAGACCTATGTAACTTGAACACTTACTCTGTCGCGGTGTGCACTCTTTAACACCTTCCGTAGGGACAAGGACCTTATGCACATACGCTGAAGAAAGTCGAGTCCGACATCAAGGATATACAGAAGCGCATCAATGAGAAACTAGGTCAGTCTGTTCGGCTACCACTCCCCTACCATTTGTAACATCTCAACAGGCGTCAAGGAATCAGACACCGGTCTTGCTGCACCTAATCTGTGGGATCTTGCCGCCGACAGGCAGAGGATGTCTGAGGAGCACCCTTTGCAGGTCGCACGGTGTACAAAGATAATACCCGTCGACCCCAAATTGGCAGATGCTGCTAAGGCCGTAAATCCTCTGGGTGCTATGCAAGGTCAGAAGGGCGCGGATGAACAAGACAAGTATGTTATCAATATCCGTCAGATAGCCAAGTTTGTCGTTGGACTGGGCGACCGGGTGGCTCCCACAGATATTGAAGAAGGCATGCGCGTTGGGTATGTTTTTTGTTTTTTTTTTTTTTTTGCTACTGGTTGTTTCGTACTGAAGCCAGCGTAGTGTCGACCGGACAAAATACCAAATACAGATCCCCCTTCCGCCAAAAATTGACGCCTCTGTCACAATGATGCAAGTTGAGGAGAAACCGGATGTCACTTATTCAGACGTCGGAGGTTGCAAAGAGCAGATCGAAAAGCTTCGAGAAGTTGTTGAAACACCTCTTCTATCAGTATGTGGTTCAACCATGTATTCTCTTACGTTCCTCAGTCGTTTTCAGCCTGAACGTTTCGTTAATCTTGGTATCGATCCTCCAAAGGGCGTTCTCCTCTTTGGGCCTCCAGGAACCGGTAAGACGTTATGCGCTCGTGCAGTCGCGAATCGGACAGATGCGACCTTCATTCGTGTCATTGGATCTGAGCTTGTCCAAAAATACGTCGGTGAAGGTGCACGTATGGTTCGAGAGCTGTTTGAAATGGCCAGGAGTAAGAAGGCTTGCATCATCTTCTTTGATGAAGTGGACGCTATTGGTGGTGCGCGTTTTGATGATGGCGCTGGTGGAGACAACGAGGTGCAGCGGACCATGCTTGAGCTTATCAACCAACTAGATGGGTTCGATCCAAGAGGGAACATCAAAGTGCTCATGGCTACCAACCGGTAAGTGTTTTGTTCGGCTTCTTTCCCTTGTATCCTAACGCACTTTATCAAAGACCGGATACCCTGGACCCTGCACTTATGCGACCCGGACGATTGGATCGTCGAATAGAGTTTTCTCTGCCAGACAACGAAGGACGGGCCAACATTCTCAAGATCCATGCTAGAAGGTATGATTGCATCCTGTCTCACCGACCGATTCTCTCTTATCTCTTGCAGTATGAGTGTTGAGAGAGACATCCGTTTCGATCTAATTGCTCGACTATGTCCCAACACAACTGGTGCCGAGCTGAGATCCGTTGCAACAGAGGTATTTGTGTTAGTATTTGATGTTGTAGCCTGCTAACATGGGAATAGGCTGGAATGTTTGCCATTCGTGCCAGGCGGAAGGTGGCCTCAGAACGCGATTTCCTGGATGCCGTAGAGAAAGTTGTCCGACAGGGCACCAAGTTTTCCAGCACGTAAGTTGAAGTGATTTTACACGAACCCTTCCTCGCTGAGTAGGTTTCCAGGCCTTTATATCAAGTGTACAATTAGTTTCTGTATAATGTTACAAGGTTTAGTTTTCCTAAGTTACGAATCATGATCCGGCCCGACCTGAGAGTATCTGTGAATGCCACTTGAAGGCTCCTTTAAATAAATGTAACGTCTTTCTTCCTTCCGCCTCGCCATGACTTGTCGCGCCTCCAAATACCTGCTCCTGAGAGTGTGTCGACGCTATTACAGACGGGCGCCGCCAGCATCGTCAGCAGAGATCAGCAAATTGCTGGAACGTTACAATGCTTCATCACCGCCGCCACCTCTAAATCTGTCTCAACTAATATCCTTTGGTCGACCATTGACTGCAGAATCCGTTCTCCAGTCAAGCCAGTTTGTGTTGTCCAAAATACCGCGAGCGCTCGCATTCCGTATCCATTCGTTGGAGACGCTGCCGTTCATCGTTGGTACCAATCCCTTCATAGCGAGTATCTTGAACGTCCACCGCGAAAGCTTTCAATTCCTTGCAAACTATACTGTTCCCAAGACCATAGAAGATAATGCTATACTCGCTGAGGAGCTAAAGATGTTGGTAGAGATTCATGCTAATGATATTCCGACAATGGCGAAAGGGTGCGTGTAACATTAGTCTTTCAAAGGTGCAAGGTCTAACCTTGAGACAGGTTTCAGGAATGCTCTCGATATCTATCACCTACGCAAGTTAGCCATTTTCTCGACGGCGCCATTCGAAACCGGATATCGGTGCGGTTGATGGCAGAGCAGCATATTGTCCTCTCAGACGCACTCGAAAGCCAGAGCCATACCAGCCCAGTAGGCGTTATCGATAGGATGTGTTCACCGGCACACATGATTCGCAGTTGCGGTTCATTTGTCAAAGAGCTCTGTGAAGCGACGTTAGGGGCAAGTCCAGCTATTTCGATTAATGGAGTCGTTGATGCCACCTTCCCGTAGGTACCACGCTTCCATTCGCATATTCCTTCGTTAATCTTCCGCCAGTTATGTCCCTGTGCATCTGGAATATATACTAACAGAAATCCTCAAGAACTCCTTCCGTGCGACTGTCGAACACCATAGCAGGCAATCTCAATCCTCCAAGGTTCTCCCTCCCGTTGTTATCACTCTATCCCCTCCGCTAGCTGCGCCAATCTCAGCTCCGAAGTATTTTTCTTTGCGAATTCGCGATCAAGGGGGCGGAATATCTCCTACGAACATGCTACGCATATTCTCATACGCGTTTACCACCGCTGGCAGAAATGCAGATGAAGACGATAGCGCGGGGGGACCATATGCCGCGCAGTACATCGGCGGTAGCGCTGCCATTGGAGATGCAAATGACGAAGGCAGTCTCTTCGGTGAGATAACTAAGAAAGGCCTACAAACGGGTATGGGAACCATCGCAGGTCTGGGCTATGGTTTGCCGATGAGTCAGCTCTACGCCAAGTGAGTGTGCGTGTGGAAAGACGTATCTAAACTCAAGAATTTCCTTTATTTAGGTATTTTGGTGGTACGCTGGATTTGAAATCGTTGGAAGGATGGGGTGAGCCGTGACGTTGGCCACTGTTGAACTTTTTCGCTAACACATACTCTAGGCAGCGATGTATTTGTGAAGCTTCGATGCCTGGACGAGTCTATTTAAATTTACAAATGTTCCGAACGCGGGCCGCATACGTTTTTGTGTGTTGAGTATCTCAGTTAGATACTCAACTACAGTTACTTATATACAACGATATTTGGTTGGCTTTCCGGAATGTTTGCATCCTAAGGATCTGTGTACAACTACACTCTGTTAATCCATGATGATGATTCATTAGCTCCTGTTCCAACACTTGAAATCCTTCTTTTAAGAAGTAGGGTGTAAATCCCAAATCAGATGCCAGTGGGCTTCGCCAAAGTCAATGTCGCTGGCCTTGAAATCGTAAAAATGTGTAATCGGAAAGAGCCGACTTGCTATAAGGCCTGGATTAGCCACGAGAGCCCAACCTTACTTCGTTCCCGCAACCACTCGCGCAGACATTAAGTAAACGACGATTCCTCGTTCGACGATGGCCACTAATGGTGAACATCCAGATGTCCTCTGACACGACGGCCCGAACAGTACCAATTATAGTCGCTCAGTATGCTCTCCGAATCCATCCACGAAGGACTGAGCACTGGAGCCTCGCGATCTTGTACTCCTTGAATGAAGTCGAAATCCACGAGGTACAAGGAATGCTGGATACCTTCCACTATGAAACGTTCCGGAAGAGCACTAGCTTCCTACGATCTATAACGCTTTGTGGAGGGTGTCATGTCGGCAATATTCCATGGGATCTACTGGATGCCGTACGGAAGGCGTTGAAAGATGTTCCTGTCGTCCGGCATGATGAATCATGGGACTGCCAGACGTGGGTAGTGCATGCATTGCGCTCGTTGAGGGACTTTGGGATAATTTTTGCTCATGTCAATGAAGCCAGAATCCGACAAGAGTTAGCGGAAGACAGGGAGAGGTGGGAGAATGGGGAGGACGCGGTGTATGAAAGACTGTACGTGGAGGCAAATTAGGATCGGTGCTGGGGAGTAACTAGTAAATAAGAGGTCGTGCCAAAGTTTGAAACACGTACGCTATGGTAATGACTGTAATATATTATCGAGGAGGCCCCGAGATAAGTAAAAGTTGTTCCTCTATTTCGATTTCTTTCTGATACCCTGACAGTAGCAGTTCTTTACCCAAGGAAAGCCAATCGTTCTGGGGCGCAACCCAGTAAAACTTTCGGGCTTCCCAATATTCTGGACGCCAAGCTGTTTGACCCCAATCAACAAGCGCGACGACGGAAACATTGTCGGAGCCATCTCCATCCACACGGATGAGGACATTGTTGCGGGCGATATCACCGTGCGTCAGGACGATGCGGTGATCGTGTCGCATTTGCTGTCGAATCTCATCCAACTGATGCTTGACTTTGGGGCTTTCGTTGGCGTACCATGAGAAGAGAGAGATTCTCCAGTCGTTGTACTCTTCCTCGTTGGCGAACGGCCCGCTGAGCGCGTCAATTAGTGCCAAGTCCAGGCATGCTTGGCCAGACACGGACCCAATCCACCCCACTTCACCGGGTTGCTGGACTGCATGCAGTTGGTCAACATAGCCACGCAGCATACGCATAACAGTAACTTTTTGGTCATGGGAGAGTGAACGCCATTTCCTGTCAAGGCGGTCGCCGTCGATATACTCCATGACCAGGTAGCCGAACTTGTCATCGGAAGCCCAGACATCGTATATCTTCGGTACAGGGATAGAAGTATGTTCAGCGACAAAACGCATGGCCTCTGCCTCCACGAACAGACCGTAGACGGGTGCCGTCTTTATGACGGTCGAATTCGTAAGACGCCGGACATGGTGCTGAATGCGAGGATATAACCTACGAGCGCGCCTAAGGAGTAGTGGCAACAGCAACCGCCGAATGCGGTTGCAAATCAGGGTGTAGATGCGTTGTATCCGCGCAAACATTGTGACAAGACGAGACTGCCGGACAACCGGACCGGACACTTTTCCTGCTGAATCCGATCTCTGCGGGCAGCCTACCATTTCACCCAATTTGTAGGTATTTATTTTATTTAAATTTACTGCCGGATACGTATCCGGGGCGGGGAGAGAAAAAAACATAAGCTCAAAGTGGCACGACACCAAAATGGGGCCATGCTGTCTCATAAAAAAACTTTGTCAACTCTTAGCCCTTGGCCTTCACCCAAATCTGTTTTTGCGATGGATTTCGTGCTAAAGACTGCCGATAATCTGGTACTTGACAAAGTCTGGACGCATATTTTCCCGCTTTATGCGAATACGTCTAGCCCATCTCATGTATACGGAGACTGGGACCCGATGTCATTAGCTACTCCTGCCTCATCCTGGCCGCGCGACTACCCTCTCCGCCAAATGATCTCTCTGACTGTGCTGACCCTGCTTGGTGTCCACGTTCTCTACTTTACGTTTTCGTGGCTGTCGTACACCTTCATCTTCAACCACGAGATGATGCATCACCCAAAATTCCTGCCTAACCAAGTCCGACTTGAGATCATCACCAGTCTCAAGGCATTTCCTGTTATGACTCTTCTCACCGTGCCATTGTTCCAGGCAGAAGTGATGGGTTACAGCAAACTATATGACGGCCTTGATACCTATGGATGGACGTACTTGTTCATCAGCATTCCAATGTCAGCATTTCTTCTCGCTAATATTTTTTCGTATAATCTTAACAGGTCGACAGGTACCTCTTGTTCACTGACCTCGGCATCTATTGGATACACAGGTGGCTGCATATTCCATCTTTATACAAAGTACTGCACAAGCCTCACCACAAATGGATCAGTACGTTGTATCTGTATCCTGCAGCGGTCACTTCTGATTTGCTGATTATGTACGACAGTTCCTACTCCGTGGTCTGCATATGCGTTCCATCCTCTCGACGGTTACCTCCAGTCAATCCCTTACCATCTGTTTGTATTTCTCTTTCCTTTCCACCGCATGGTGTATCTTGGCCTTTTCGTGATTGTGAACGTGTGGACCATTCTCATCCACGATTCCGACATGATCACAGGTCACCCCCTTGAGACTGTTATCAATGGGCCGGCGCATCATACTTTACACCATCTGTATTTTACCGTCAATTACGGTCAGTACTTTACCTGGGCAGATAAAATGGGTGGGTCTTACCGGCAACCGGAAAAAGAACTCGACCCGCTACTAGAAGTAAAATCACGGAGAAAGAGGAGGGAGCAATAGCAATTTTAGAAGAGAATGTCCGACTTGATATTCGTATACTATGGTTATAGACTGCGCCAATCGTAGATGACGCAATCGTGATTGGCATCGTGAGAACGTGTAATTTCACCTTGCTTGAGTTTCCTATCTTTACAGTACGACGACGACGATTACTATAGGTGCCCGCCTTTGTTAGTGCGACACCAAGCACTAGGACACTGGCGAACAAGAATTGTACGTCTCGCGACTACAGCTCATATTCGGAGCGACGAACCACTCCGTAGCTAGTACAACATTGCTGCCTGGAAGAAGCGTTCTCGCCTGAGCACAAAGTATACCGCTCTTTTATGTGGTAGCTCGAACTCCTGCACACAAAGGTCAACAATGCCGTCAGCACACGGTGTCGAAGACGCACCCTGTTGAACTCTTGAGGCAAGTACGCAATGAGACGAGGGATAATGGGCAGATCTGCGCGGGGCTCGCCGACGACGACCTCTGTCCTGGGCTCGCGAAGGAGGCACATGTGCTTCATCGAAGTCATGGTGGCGGTGACTGCAATAATGGGGTCAAGAAACAACAAAGCATCTATACGACGGATAGCCTACATCGCTGTCGGCCTCTGAACCTCTCTTCGCCCACGAGCAGGTGAGTGCCTTGATCATAGTCTCCCAATCCGCCTACATATGTTCCCATAGGGTCCTCCTTTACCCATGAAATTTCCCCGTAACCTGCTGCTTCTCCGTTCCAAGACACGATAAATCCCATTATATGCGGGTCAGCCAGTCGGTCCTTAAGGTATGTGCGATGATGTTCATCATCGCCCCTCTCTCTCCATCCAACGTTCACACGATCAGAATTCTGCCAGCGTGTATAGGCCTCGAAGTGTACAGGGTTCGATGCATCGATATGGGTGAATGTGAGGAGTTCACCTAGGCAGTTGATATATCGGGAGTATATCACGGACCCTGGTACTGGTTTTGGTGGCCGAAGAGGATGTGTGGTCAAGACGTGGGGGCCACGAGTGAAAGACTGGACGTAAGGAAAGAGTGATGGCGTTGGCGCTAGCAACGGTGATGGGATAGGATCGCGCAGCCAGGACATTCCAGGTGGAGCACCTGCACTCTGCCAGAATGCTGGACGAGAGAGGAGGAGAGTCGTCGGATCTGAGGCATCTGGGACATATCCAAGGCCGGTGTGAGTGAGATAATTCTGCAACTCGATTCCATTGAATAATGTTTCATCGATGACCACAGGAGCAACGTCCTCTTCGTTTCTTCGTAGCCATAACGCATAAATGGAGACCCAAAGGTCTCGCGCCGTTACTGGTGTCGTGCTTGAGATCAGCAAGACCGCTTCTGAAACTGCCCGATCTTCATTGACAATACCGTACGGACTGACTCGAACAACACGCTCTTGTGGTGAGAAAGCGACCACAGAATTACCGCTGGTAATGGTGATCACACCTTCCGTGTCCACACTGTTAACCGAAGAGCCATCCGGGAGTTTGAAAGTTTGTTCAGCTGGTGCAACGAAGCGTTCGGCACTGTACCCCGCAGGTGTTGCGGTAGAAGACATAAGGAAAGATCAATATGGAAGATATTCGACGTCGCTTTATCACTACGGCTGGAATTCGGAGAAGATGCGGAAATCAGATAAGATTCTGCAACAATCTGATCTGATAAGATCCCGTGCGCGTGGCGGAGTCCGCTAGAAACGCGTACGTGAATCTCTAATGTTTGGATTTCAGTGAATAATTCTGAGTATCACAGTACATTATTTCAGCCACTCCCGCAGCTGCGATTGAAGCTAATACTGTTCGTCATTTGGATAGACAACACCATTGATACAAGAAACCCGGATTCAGTACTCGGGCGGTCCTTCAAATTTTACTGTGCATGGCGCCATCGGTGCTAATTGCCGATGATTTGGATATTTTCGTGGCGACTTGCTACCTGGGCTCTATGGCTTTCGATCTAATCCATATACTTCAACTGAAGGTTCTTAGATTTTGTGTCACAAAATCGAACCATGGAGAATCTAGTAGAACTTGTGATAGGCAGTGGCTCCAGTCATGCCTACACGATAGATGTGGAATAGATGACCAGGTGCGTAATCAGATAAGATGTCTTCTGATGAGATTAGAATTTCCTTCTAGAATCTAATCAGATAAGGAAAGACGCGGAAATTCATGCTCACCTTTCCGACAGGCCCAGTCAAGTGCCGTCAGTACCCGTCAGTACGTGGCTCAATTTTCGACAAGCATCTTTGTTTCATTCACCTTTCCGTCTACTTAACTCGCGAAGAGGAGTCTCCGAAAATCTTTAACAAAATGCCCAGTGAGCCGGCTCCTCAAGCTTACTTCCACAAAGTTCCTAGTATCAAGGGCGTGTACTGTATTGCCCTGAACAGACCAAAATATAAGAATGCAATCAGCGTCCAGATGCTTCAGGTATGGAACTATATTGTTTTTTGTTATGCCACATTGCTGAGTATTGGTAGGATATCGAGAATGCTATCCAACAAGCAGTCGCAGAGCCGTCGTACGTTGACTTTTCTTTCACAAGCTACCCTCTAACATATCGATAGTTTGAACGTGCTCATATTCTACTCTTCCACTCTGGGTTCGTTCTGTGCAGGCGCGGACCTCATCGAACGGCGATCCATGAACGAAGATCAAGTCCGCGACTTCCTTTCTCACCTTCGTCTAGTTTTCAGTAGTATCGACCGCCTCGAGTTCCCTACCATCTGCGCTATAGATGGTCCTGCACTTGGAGGAGGTCTGGAGCTTGCACTGACATGCGACTTTCGTATATGTGGTGCGGCTCAAACGTCATAGCTTTTAATGCCGTAATGGATGATGTTTTTCGCAGCCCGAGACGTGACCAAGATCAGCTTCCCCGAAGTTCGCTTGGGGATTATACCAGGAGCTGGAGGTACACAGCGTGCTCCGCGCCTGATTGGGATGACCAAAGCAAAGGAGCTCATTTTCACGGGTCGTTCGCTCACCGCTTCCGATGCTCTGGAGTTAGGTGAATCCTTGCGGACCTGAAAGTGGGGAATCGTTTACTGAAGTGACAATTCTCCACAGGTCTCGTCGATTACCTTGCAGAATCTTCTTCTACCGCCTATGATCGGTCATTGAAACTAGCTGAAGAGATGGCACACAGTGGTAAGTGCCTCTGCCTTCAGTTCGAGCGTGAAGGACTGAGGTTCTCTATATAGCACCATTGGCGCTGCGCGCCGCAAAGACAGCTATTTCTCGATCTTGTGAACTGCCGCTGGAGTCCGCGCTTGACCATGAACGCTTGTGCTACGAGCCTCTTTTAGACACGCAAGATCGCTTGGAAGCCCTTGATGCATTCAAAGAAAAGAGGATCCCTGTTTTCATTGGAAAGTAACGATAACTCGAATGTTAGCGTGCTCAATCGAAGGCTTTTTTTACCCCAGTTTGAAAGAGGACGATGGGAAAGGTGTTGGTTGATCTTTGGACTTCAATGAAAAGCTGTGGGGGAAGATGTTGACATAGTTATCCGCCAATGCCGCTCGAATGATGTTCCAGCTTCAGTGGCGTGAGCGTTTCTGAAACATAAACAAGTGCGTTATTCACTGTTTGAGATCAAATCGGACACGGTACGATGAAGAGGTAACTGCTTGTATCAGAATTTAATTTCTGACGCTTTCCAGGCTTGCTACTATCCAACGAAATATAGCCATCTTCCCTACCGCCTCGATGGCCATCAGGCATCCGTATATCTGCTAGAAGGTTTCAGTTATACCGTTGGACATCTTGTTCTTGCTGTGAGCTGGAACCTCCCGCATCAACTCTTTATGCGCTCGCCTAAATTTATGAAACGGCACTCGACTGTTCAAACGACGAGCCGCATGGAAACTGTCATTGAGAAGACGGATCCAGCACCGCTGCAAAAAAAAACATCGTTGGTGTGTAAATTACCGAAGTTTCCCGTCATGTCCATGTTAAGGTGTTCGCCCATCTCAACCCATGTAAGGGTGAGCATCCCAAACCATGACCATGGAACGACGTAGTACAACGCGAAACTTAGCATCGTTTCGAACTTGAAGAACTGCGTGACTTGATATCCACCTTGCAGACAAAAAAAAAAATCGCCACTCAAGGACAGGGCAGAGCAGCCACTCGGACAGATACTGGTTCATAAATTTGGCCCAATACTGATTTGGGCTCTTTATGAAGAAAATGTGAGGACATACCAAGCATAAACTGAGGCATGTTAATCCTAATTGATCTATTGGCACAACCAGCAACTCGTTCATGAGTCTTGCTTACAATTAGTAAAACGCAAATCAATGGATGAATTTCCCCAACAGAGGCGCTACAGTCCATGAGAAAATACCTCATCCTTGCTACGGACTGTTCGGCGTGCCGAGACCTTACAGTTTTTGAAACATCACGAAATTTCACAAGAGGCGCCCGGTGGTGGTCGCATTTCTGGGCGAACATATGGGATCATCGGGCAGGGCGGACAAGGATCATCGTCGTTATCCATTCAGGTGACTCATCACTAATTTTCTCAACATATGTTGCGGTCCTGAGCTGGTATTTCCGTGGAGGAGCGCCGGAGATCAGAACTTTTCCATCAATTTTTATTTTGTGACTAATACGTTCAACGGCGATTTTCACTATCTCCCAAGTGACGTTGACCGAATTGTCAATTCTCTTTCATCCGACGGAAGTCGTCAGGTCTCGTTCAGCACGCTGGATTTCAAACACACCTGGACGATTGTACCGTGCTCTTCCGTCTGCGGTGCTCAGCACTTTATTCAACGTTCTTGATACTGGTATGAACATGGTAGATGCAAAATCTCGCTGGTGAAGCTTGATCTCCCTGCTCTAGTGTCCACAGGGTTGCTCATCTTTCCGTCTGAGGAGGGCTCAAATGGTGTCTTCCAGGCCTTGCAAATCCAGGGTTTGTCCATGAATATCATGAGGTATGCTATGTTCTCTTTCGGACATAAATTATATCTAGCACAATCCTGTCGCAAGTGGCCATGACATTAGGTGGATCACGCTTTCTTGGGGCTTTAGGAGCAATGCTCATCGAAATACTGCAGTTTCTGAGAGGCATTGGCAGCGACATCCGCGATGTTCTTGGTCCCGACAATCCTTTTTTAGTCCCAACTGTGTTTGCCGCATACGCAATAACCAGTTTTCTGATCGGTTTTGTCTTCATCATTTTAGGCCTACTGAAATTGGGAAATCTAGTAGGTTCACTTTTCTTGTCGTTCCAGTGGTGTTCCTTACCATCAACATTAAGTTCGCCTATTTCCCTCAGACTGTCATTACGGGTGCTACTGTGCCATTGGTCTTTCATTATTTATCCTCGGGCTAAGACTCATGCTTCCTCCATCTTCACCGGCACTTACAGTTCCCTCGGCCGGCTCCGTTCTGTTCAGTCCCTCTCACCTTCCGCTCCTTGCGGCCTCATTCCTTCCCACCTTTATCTTATCGGTCTCTACGCGATCTCAGTTCATCGATCGTTGGACGCGTGGGGCAGTGCAGAACGTGTACTATGTGCCCTGTTACTTATTTTCCATTCCTTTGATATTTTGGATTATAGTTGACGCACTGCATTGTCCCAGAGATACCCTGGTAACCAACGGTTGGCTCTTTAGAGTTGACGCATTTGCGACACGCGGCGGTGGCACTGGGACTTCGTGGATCTATTGGCGAGAGTTTGATTTCTCCAAGGTCGAATGGTGGACAAACTTCCGCAAAGCCCAAAAGTGTGCACGCGATCAAAGTACTTACAACGATGCACCATTCAGGCCAAACAAGGGTCATGACAGACTCCCATACCGCCTCGAGAAGAAGCTCGATACCGAGAAAAAGAACCAGCGCCGAAGCCAACATAGTTGGGATGTAAGGGAGGAAGAGCCCCGAGGTAAGAAGCAAGACAAAGGTAAGGAATGTTACAAGACCTGCTTCGAAGCGACAACCGTTCGCGCGAGTGAAAGAGACGGAGTAGGAGTATTGCTAACTCAGTACATCAGAGAAATGGTAGATCGAGATGCACTCAGAGACCAACTACGATGTTGGGAGCTGTTCCCGCAGTTCCTGCAGGAATGTTTGCGGCACCTTGACGGAAAAATTCGTGATTCATATCATAAGGCACATTCAAACTGAATGCCAGCGGCAGATTCAAGACTCCAATCACGACCAAAAGCACGATATTCTCAATCGCACTCTTCATCGGTGTTGGAATTGGTGCTGCAATAGTCGTCTATTTTGTGTACGGGGCCGTTGACTCTGTAAGCTCCATGAACTCGGTCTACATAAATTTGTGCTGCCTACTGCGGGACATCAACGTGCACGTTGTGGTTCTATCAGGACACGTCTGTAGGTTGATTCATCATTCGCCTGGGAAGACTGCTCACAAGGTACATTGATAGACTTTGCAACTATCCCATCTCTAGAAAGTCAGCTCCTCGACACGAAAAAGCAACCGGCATTCGCCATCGTTGACTTGTCGACGGTTCACCGCCTCAAAACTGCTGCAGCGCAATGCTTTCAACGTGTGGTGTGCGATTTAGCGCCTCGCTCTACAGTTCTGGTACTTTGTGGAGTCCAGAAAGGTTTCAGAGTCCACGCAGACTTCGACCAAGCTGGAGTTGATTTGATTTTCGACTCTGAGAAGGGAGGAATGGGCACAGGAAAGGGTATCCTCTCATTCAGGGCACATGGAGACGCTTTGACTTGGTGTGAACACCAAAGTGAACTCGCGCGCGATCTGTGTTCCAACCTGAAGCTAATATTCATCTGAAGAAATCAGTGACTGCATTGGAACAATGTCAAATGCCGATATATATCGCAAGTTCTGCAAGCTATTCAACTTTGACTTGTTTGAGAACGGTAGGATTACAGACGACAGTTTGAACACTATCGACTCTGTTCCAACTTCACAAACCAGTATCGATATCCTTATAAGGATGGGCACACATCTGAAATGTTATGCTCCTGGACAGACATCATGCGTGCAAGTGAAGAGGTTTTCTACAGTCGCCTTAGTGCACTTCTGAGCACTTTGAATGCAGGTGACCATGATCGCATTGTCTTCTTTGTCGAAGGACATGCCGATATGATACCAATGGAACCGTTAATGCGTCCCTCCTTCCATCATTTCTTGCTAATGCTGCCTAAAGAAAGCATGCAATTCATGAAACGACGGCTGGTGTCGCATTTTCGACAGTCTGTATCGCATGCCTTGTCTTCAGGTGATGTGCTAGATTGTAACGTAGAGAAAACGGCGCACATTTTGGCTCGTTCACGATGTGTCACTGTAGAGTTCGAAGTTAGGACACCTAGCGGCGTGCTTAGATGGACACGTAGTAGAGCTGAAGTGGAAAAAAAGTACCATAGAATAGACGGGTTTCCACCTACTAGTGTTGCACTGGATAGACTGCTGGAATGCCAGAACATGGAATTATCAAGCATGAGAGAAAGAAAAATGGCGGTCGCCGGATTCCGGACCGATTGACCCGCTCTTCTTTTGTCCTACCACTACGACTCGAACGTAATGTCCGACGATGAGTTAGGGTTGGATTCCATGTTTCCTGTAAGTCATCTTCCAAGAAATGCCGGTATGATACCCTCCGATATATATGCTATCGTATAGGAACCCCTTAGGCCACCGACTCCAGATCCAACGTTCTCTATCTACAAGCGTGAAAAGGCGTCCGGCTCGGTCGATGATTGGTCTGAATTAAATATCAGATTAGTTGGAGTGCATCCATTGTGGGGACACCACTTGTAAGTACGTAGAGCCTTCATGGTTGCCTGGCGACAATCTCATCTTATCTAAATCCAGATGGAATTCTGCCCGTTCGGTAGCATCATACTTGGATAATCATCCGGATCTATACATCAATGGGTCTGTACTCGAGCTAGGCGCAGGAGGCGGGCTACCTTCCATCGTCGCTGCCAATAATGGAGCAGCAAAGGTACGCTCTGCCAACCGTCGCGGATGGCGCTTATATATATATATCTTTATAAAACAGGTCATTTTGACTGATTATCCGGACGCGGATCTAATTAAAAACATGGAGTTCAACGTCGATAAGAATGTACTACCATCTTGCAAGTATACTGTTTCTGTACAGGTGCCCTTCGAGTATTGAACCGTTTGGTATAACATTGCTAATGATTGGCAGGGTTTCATCTGGGGGTCATCAATTCAGCCTCTCTTATCTTCTTTGACGAACACGACTGGCTTCAATCTCATAATCCTGTCTGATCTAATCTTTAACCATTCTCAGGTGTGTTCATCCAGAAATCGCGAGATTCATCTCGTCCTAAATCATCCTATAGCATGATGCTCTACTGAAAACTTGTGAACAAGCATTACTGCCCGACGGTGTCCTTTGTACACCGTCGGTGCTAGTTTTTTACACGCATCATCGACCGCATCTCGCCCTTCGGGACGTGGAATTCTTTACGAAGGCGCGGGATAGAGGATGGCACTGCGAAGAAATCCTCACGCAGAAATTCGAGGTAGGTCCCCATGCCAAGCATTAGAAGCAATTCCTTAGTTTTTTTTTTTCAGCCCATGTTTCCCGATGATCCGGGCGAAGAAGAAGTCAGAGCGACCGTCCATGGCTGGAAGCTGACTCGCACATTATGAGACCTGTTCTGTATGCTAGGCTGTTCTAAGACCACACCGTGTTTTGGGGACACATCTCTCGTAGAGAACGCCCCAAGTTTGTGCTCCTGACCATGACGGCGTAGACATCTCTTCGGGATCAAGGAGCATGATATCTTTGGCTTCATTTTCTGCTGCTACATCTTCTCTTGATCACAAATACAATCGACTTCGGGAGTTTTTCACGGCCTTCGAAAGCTGTCATTTACTATGCCCAGAAGACTTCCGGCCTAAAAATGGGCTTAGATTTCCTGGAGTCCCCCATATCCTAGTCATATTTTCACGACCTGTTATTATCGCCCAGTTTTCCACACGAAATTGAAGATCAAGGCACTGGTCTGATGATTTTCAGTTTGCGGGTCCAGTATCCAAAGTGGCATAACATTTTCAAATGGTCATCCTACACCAGATTTGCAAGCGTTTCGGCGAAGAACAGTCAGCGATTTTTTTTTTCCTCATCCGGCCCATGCCATGAACGTTTTAGCGCCGTAAGACCGTCATGCAATCAACTTCGTTTCACACGGCATGTTGCGATTGGCGTGCGCTGTCTCCGCGAGTTTGCCACTGGCGTAAGAAGTCCTCTGTTTTTATGATTCACGTACTGATGTTTTCTACTTCCTGAATTAAACCAATCAATCATGCTAATGGTGATCAACGAGACATATGTATGCGAAGCTATTACCGTCTAGGTCTAGTAAAGGAAACCCTCGACAGAGAGTGGGGGGTGGTGAATAGTTCTTGAAGCCTTTTCTGCGGCCTGGTGTTGTGTTCGCGACTACGTACCCTAGAGCGTACTGGCAATGAGGTGAGAAATGTTTCTGACAACTGAAGGTCGACTTAGAGGTTTTAATTAAACATCGGACGTCTGTCTTCTTCTGACAAGTCGGTTCAAGTTTGTGCGCAGTAACTCCCTCAGTCATCTGAATGCAGTATCTCAGAAAGGCTTTGGCTATTGTTTCTTTCCATCCCGACAGCGACGACGTCTCTAAAGATCTTTGATCGGCGGGAAATGAAGTCGGTGGCCTTGGTCAATGCTTGGCAACATGTGCATCGATGACCACGGGGATGAGCTGCTAAACGGCGATTCTGCCCGCCTTACTCCTGATAAAAATACCTATAAGAGCTGGTGATGGAGCATTAGGCATCCTGGTTAGACCACTCGCCTTCATTAACACTCTACAGATGCTCTCAGCACGTCTCCCATACCAATACTAATCGCTTTGGTCCGCCGCTGGTGGTGAGCAACCTCGGGGGGCACCATATCTTCGGTCTTTGTCTGCATGGCGTTCACTATACTCGCTTCACCCATTAATATTGCTACCGAGAAGAATTCATTGCTTTGCAACTACTTACGAAGAAACGACCTCGGCATACAGCTGTGAATTCGTCGTCGGACGAGACAGCGGGATGGACTGCGCTTTCCATATACGGCTGGAGCGAAGGTCGCTTGGATGCTTCGCCAAAGGTTCGATGGCCTTCAATTTTGACATATGCACCTGGGAGACACTCCTGCCATGGAAAATTTAAGCGTTGCAATTGTCGGCGCGCTGCTTGAACTTGCTCTTTTTGGCCTTCAGCGATGCTGCTCTGTTTTCGAGGGGCTGTTAGAACGGCAAAAACCCTTGCGAAATACCAACTCGTTAAACTCCTCTGTAGAGTGCTCCGCTTCCGGACTCCCTGATGGTTGCTCTTGGTTCCTGCTTCGATGAGATAGCCCCGCTTTATTGTCTTGAGTATTAATCCCTGCGAGGCGGCCGTGGTCCACGTAAGTATGCGTCATGAATCCTAAGAGCGACCTAGTGCCAATCTTACACGAGTTTAATGCAGGTTTCAGTATCCACAATTTGAAAGCCTGTGCATGGTTTATGCGAGGACATCCCACTACAACTCTCACTGACTTGAGCCTATGTCGAGTTGGACAGTGTTTGTGCTACGACAAGTTGCTTATGACTCGAGAACTTGTTCGGTGGAAATTCGGATGGACTTGGCCGGCTGACATATTTCGTCGTATGATAGCCGGATGGACATTGACGGCGCCGACCCATGGCCTTGGAACACATCAGTGTCAATCTATGTCTTCAAGGAACCACTAACAAGCGGCGGCGGAGGCGGCAGGAGGCCCTTGTTCTGCGATACTTGCAAGTTGTTCGCAGATTCCTGGTGCTTTCCCCCTCATTTTTACGACTGCGTATCAGGGTAGACGTACATTTAATTGAAAGGAGGCGAATTGATTCATAGTGATAAGATTAGATGCACAGTTGATGATGATCCCCGATTACGCAATATTGCTCCACCTCCCTGATCCTCGTCTGCGGCTGGTTGCTTTATTCTGGCAAGAATTGTTCTGTCCGGCTCTCATGTCTAGGTCTTTGTCTCCTAATTCGCATCTGCTGCACCTGCCAAGTCCCTTACCAAATACGGGGGCCATCAGGAACAGCTGACCCTTTGATGATCTCGAGCCAAATTTTGTGCCCGGTCTGCCTTGCCCGGCCCATTTTCGTTGCCAGGCATGCTCTCTGCTCTGTAGCTCCGCGATTTATTGGGATTCACTCTTTTGTACACGATCCTTAACTTTTGTTCAATGCGTTTGCACTGGCCTTTCACTCTCCTTCCTCTTGTCCTTCCCCATACCTTCGCTGCTACCGCCGACCAGTGGAGAGGACGAAGCATATACCAGTACGTGATATTCGTCTTTTCCTGCCAGCAAATTCTTCATCGTTTCTAGACTAATAACTGACCGTTTTGCCCTTGCGGACGGCGCTAATCTCGATGCCTGCAATCCCGCTGACCAGGACTACTGTGGAGGCACCTGGAATACGTGCGCTGTCATCCCATCCTTCACCTCGCGTTTCCCTAATCGTCCTCCAGCATCCGAAATAAACTTGACTACATCCAGAATGCGGGCTTCACTGCAAGTAAGTCTAGATTCGCGGTCTACATCGCATGGCCTGACCTGACCTGACCCGCCTTGCAGTATGGATATCGCCAGTAAACCAAAACTATCAAGGCGATAGAACTGCCTATGGATACCCCTACCATGGCTATTGGATGGCCGACATTACCCAGCTCAATGACCGCTTTGGCACCCAAGACGATCTCAAGGCACTCATCTCTGACTTGCATGCCAGGGATATGTATTTGATGGTCGACGTCGTCGTCAACAACGTTGTAAGTGTAAACTACTCATTTCTCCAGACCCTCCTACATGTCGTGAGCAGATGGCTACGTCTACCAACCCCGACTACTCCAGTTATATGTTCAAAGACTCGTCGTACTACCATCCTTACTGTGCGATCGATTGGGGCAACACTACGTCCGAGCAACTTTGCTGGCTCGGTGATGAGACGGTCACGCTGCCTGACCTTAACACCACTAATCCCGCGGTGGTGTCAGGATACATTGACTGGATCAAGAACTTCGTCCAAGAATATGATGTCGATGGCCTTCGAATCGACGCCGCCAAGCATGTCGACATGCAATTTTGGCCGCAATTTTGCGGTAGTGCAGGTAAATGATGGATCCATCATTAAGATTCATGTGGCCAACAAAATTCTTATTTTTCACGCCAGGTGTATTTTGCATGGGCGAAGTGTATGGCGGCGTTGATGTGGAACCCGTCGCCCAATATCAGGGCCCTCAGGGTCTCGATTCTGTGCTCAATTACCCTCTCCAAGCAGGACTTCTAGCCGCATTCCAGATACCTGGAGACCTCAATGTGACCGCCCTTGCCGATGTCGTCCAGCAGAGCAAACAATTATTTACTGATACAACTCTGCTCGGCAACTTTTTGGAGAACCAGGATGTCCCGCGGTGGGCGAACCTCAGCGTGGACCCGCAGACCATGTAGTAAGTGGCTCGTATGCATATCGGCTCCAGAGTCTATCTGACGCATGACATTTTCCAGCAACGCCATGACGTTCACATTCATGTCCGATGGCATCCCCATTGTATACTATGGTCAAGAGCAATCCTTCTCTGGAAATAGTGATCCGTACAATCGAGAACCCCTTTGGCCGTCTGGATATGCGGAAACATATGCCTATACTCTCATCCAGAAACTCAATGCCGCTCGAAATTTTCTTGTTTCCAATATATCAGAGGCTGATTGGCTCACATCAGAGACAGAGATCCTCACTCAGTCACCTCACGGCATCGCTATCATGAAAGGTCCTGTTATCACCATTCTCACGAATATCGGATCACCGGCGCAGAATGGGACGAATATTGCAGTCCAAACACCATATGACAGCGAAACAGCTTTCTTCGATGTCTTTGATTGCAGCCAATGGGTTGTTGGGAGCGAAGGGACCTTGGATGTTGAATACACGAAAGGCGGGAAGGCGGTGGTATTGGTGAGGTCTGATGTGTTGGAATTGTCGGACATTTGTAGCGACCAAGTTGGCGTCAGTATCGTACATGCGGCTGGTACGGGTGCATCATCCGCGTCGAGTGGTGCCACGGCAGGCATACAACGACTGGCATGGTGGGCAGCGCTGATGCTGCCTACATTCTGGTTGTGGTCATGATGGAACTCTCTCTTTGTTCGGTTTCTTCTGTGTTGTAATTCTTCCCTTCATTTGTCAATCTTTTCCTGTCAGTACTACTGGCTCATGTATATTATTATCCCTTGAAATATAATAGCAAGGTACATATCCTGTTCTCTTAGATTCCGCTTTGCAGTCGACGCGCGTGGATTTGCATTGAATGTTGCCTTTTTGGGACGGCCAGTTCGCTCGAAAAATCTGTACTGCATTATTACCACAAACAGGCATTACCTCCGACGTCACCACCAACGCCCGGCGTGCTTCCTACCTAGCTTGATCTCTTACTGCCATGTCCGAGCCGGCAAGGACAGACAGAGAGCTCGATGCGTTTTTCAACTTTTTCGCTACTTTCTCCTTGTCTCGACCAGTCGCGACCGCTGCCGACCTCAGTGATGGCGCGCCTTTGTTCGAGATTCTCTCGTTGGTGTACGTGGATTACTATTGCTCTACTTGCGTACAGAATTTCCATTTACCCTATGCTACAGTGATGCCGACTACTTCCGGCAATCCTCACGACAGCCGGCACTATCAGAGAACTGGATTCTACGCTTTGGCGCCCTGAAACGATTGTATCGTTTAATAACACAGTATTTCTCGGATGTGCTACAGAAACCAACGGGCAGTCTCGACGTGCCTAATCTTTCGGCAATGGCCAAAGATCACGACGTTACCTCAATCCTGATTATGTGTCGGTTGACTATTGCAATTGGCGTGCAGTGTGAGAGGAACAAGGAGTTCATTGAGAAGATACAGGGTTTGAGCGAGGTGGACCAGCATACGCTTATGAAGGCTATTGAGCAGGTGCGCGTTAGCCGTTGGTATGAAGAGCAACGCTCAAGGGGAGTAGGTGATGGCTCGTATATCGAACAGCCCCGACGGCCACGAGCGGTCGGAGGCCAGTATGACTGAGTGCGTTGTTTCCGCCTTCACATTGATCTATTCCTCGACTACTATCTCCTCAGAGACGATCACTATTATCGAATTCAATCCGAACGGAGTCAAATCCTGTCAGAAAAAGAAACACTAGAAAAGGTGTACCAAACTCTCCTTGACGAGCACCGTATATTGCAAACCAACTACGACGACGTTGTCTCCGAGAAGGATGACCTGCAAACACGGCTGCGAGAAGCAAGACATGACGCGGAGTCGCGACGTAACGACAAGGCAGATAGTATGATGAAGGCTGAAATAGACAGACTTCGTGCTGAGCTGTACGTGATATTTTTGATACTGCCAATTTTTTATATTAACATACGTAAAGACAAAAGAGTGAAGACAATCTGGCTGTTGCAGAAACAGAGCTCGACAGGCTGACCGCGTTTGTGACTGACCTCACAAAGAAGCTGGAAGAGCTGCAAATAAGGGCGGACGAATCAGACCGGCTGAAGGATCAAGTAGATGAGTGCGTTTTTAAATTTTCCAGAGCGTGGTGACGTTTGCTGATAATATTCAAAGGTACAAACATGCATCGGACAAGTTAAGGAAGACCGAAAATGTCATGGAGAAATACAAGAAGAAGCTGCAGGAGGGAGCAGACCTTCGTTTGCAACTCAAGGTCAGTAATTCTTCCTAGTCATTTTGTGTCTCGGAAATAACTCTGCTACGTAGAATCTTGAACGTGAAAATGCCAATCTGATTAATACGAACGCGTCGCTGGAGGAAGAGAATCGGAAAGCCTCCACATATAAGCCCCTTTTAGACTCTTATAAGACCCAAGTGTCGGAATTAGAGGCGAAGGTATCCGCGCGCGCCCAAGAGATCAACACACTCGCGTTTGAGTTGGAACAGACCAAGGATAAGGTCAAGAGACAAGAACAAGAGAGGGAAAAGGATCAGGAAACGCTGGATTTATATCAGGAGCGTGTTCTGGAGCTGGAGCTGTCTTCACACCGACCTGTTGCTAAACCTGAGCGGAAAGAAACATCTGACAGCTCGTTTGCAGAAGCTGAGTTACAGGGAACTGTCATAGGCCAAGACGATGTTGATCAGGGGTTGGGAGGAGAACTCGACGACGCAATTACAGGGACAACGATGACTGATTTGAAGTTGCAGATACGGAAGTTGAAGCGGGAGCTGGAAGGTGTGAAGAAGAACGAGGCGGATGCCAGTCGGGTTCTGGTGCTCGAAAACCTGTTAGAGGACGCTACGCGGATGAAGGCTCGATATGAGAACGATTATCTAGCTGCTCATCGCGAGAAGCTAATGTTACATAGAGATCTCGAAGAAATTCGGAGCGGCAAGTCCATGGGTGATGGGTAAGTTGCTTGCTTGTTTCTTTCCCTCTTCGGCTTGTATTGATTGCATTTGATATAGTGCCGAGGCTGCCATCGCTCTTCGTCAGACACTAAATGAAACTGTAGAGCAGCTGGATGCTTTGCGTAAGGAGTTCGCTGAGCTCGAAGTCAAATTCGAGACTCAGAGTAGGGAGCTCACTATTGCGAAGTCTGATCGTCAGTCTCATTTCGCCTCTTCTCTTGCTACTTATCTACCTACATACCTACCTTTGATATCTGACTGAAATTGGTCTTATTCAGTCACCCTTGTGAACAAGGACCAACTCGACATACTCGCGACTCTACGAGACTCTGTCAACGAAGACAAGGTGGCGCTCGAAGCCGACGTGGAACAGCTACAGAAGCAGAATAAGGAGCTTTCCGATAAGAACCGCATGCAGCTGGAGCAGGTCAATGCGCTCCTGCTTGAGAAAGTCACTTTGCAGAGTGAGGGTATCGGCCAGAGGGAGAAGATGCTACAGCGCGAACGTGACTTTGGGTGAGTTCTTTTTTTAGCGCCACGGGAGACGTTGACGTGACTTACGAGATGAAAATACAGGGACCTTCGTGCGTCGATATCTGGCAAGGATCTTCCGGATGACATCAAGTCTCGTCTACTGGCTCTGCACGAGGAGAATGTTACCTTAAAAGAGTCGTTTAAGACTTCACAGGAGAAATTGCAGAAAGCCAGACAATTTATCAAAGAACAGGATAGGCTCTTCAAGGAAGAGCACGCTTCCAAGGCAGGGTCATCCTCGGTTAACATTGTACCCTTTATCAGCTAAACTCAAGCTGATGCCTCTATTATTAGGCAACTTTCGAAGAAGCTGAGGCAAGCTTCCGGTCCCAGATTAAGATTCTAGAGGAGGACCTTGCCCGTCAAAAAGTGAGTATTTGCCTTTTGAGGCATGTCGAGGTGTACTGACGGGCGGGGCCTTCTTCAGCACCTAATGCAGGAATTGACACGTCGATACCGGCGAGAACAAGATCTCATGATGAGTTCGTTGCATGCAATGGGCATGAAGACAGCTCGTTCCCACCTTGCCGTACCACCGAAGTCTCGACCTGAGTCTACAAGCTGGCTCAGCAATCAACGAGTACAAGTATGTCGTTCTACTCCTTGTCCTTGATTGATAGCTGACAAAGCTGTCGTAGCGAAACCCCGTACTACAGCGTTGATGATTGCACCGTGACACACTGCTTTGCTTCTTGTTCTCCTCTAGTGGAACCTTATTCTTTCAAGTCTCGCATCTAGTTCTATACCCTTGCACGCATAATTGTACCCCATTGATGTATTTACGACCAGTCATTGATTATTTAGACTTGTTCTTGAGGGCCTGGGACATCGAGATGCAACTTGAAGAATAGATATGAGATCAAAGGCGTCGATGTCCATCACAAAATGTCCAAGAGAAAAAGATATGATACCATAACGAAGACGGAGGGGTATATGATTATATAGCCTCGGCCCCCGCTGCACAGAGACCACAACCTATGCACTCCAGGCACGCTGTTGAAGGGAGGTGAATTCAAATGATCCTAGGTATGGAAACGTAGCTCACCAAGACCACCACAGCAAGCGCAGAGATAACAAGGACAGCAACATGGATTCTCAAAGGCCCCTGATCTGTCTGTCAGACGATCGGAATCAGATGAAAGCGGCGGGACTTGTGACCTTTGCAACACCAGAAACTCAAGCATATCTAGCTCAGGATTAGGTGGGATAATGAAGGAAAACAGGAGGCAGGCTTACACCTAATATTACTACGACGAGAAGACCAACGAATATAACGATGAGGTATACTGTCGCAGAACGATTGGTCGCACGGCACCAGGAAGGGAAGGAAAGAAGCAACCGACTCACGCTTATTGTCAACAAACGAACTGCTGCCAGTCGATGATCCGGTGTTGTCCAGCGCACGCGAGAAAAGCGAGTGTCCGCCCGTAATGTCGAACGGCGACAGCACCAAGACACCAACCAAGGCTAAAAAAGAGAGGACCACGGGGATAAGGAGCTGACGAAGACGGGCAATGTGGCAATGACGGTGACACGGAGTGTTGGCTTCCTCGTCGAGGCGGAAGTCATGGTAGACATCCATTGCCTCTGAGCGAGGCTGGGAAGTGACGGTGTTTTTTTCCATGGCTGGTGGTGGTAGTAGGAGAAGAGAATGTAAATAAAATTAAGGACAGCAACGAGGGATAGTTACGGGATAATCGCAGCTGTCTCAGGTTGCCATACCAAGATTTCGTTGGTGCTGCATGCTGCGCAAGGCTGTTTTGGGCTGTGCTATCCCGAGAATCGTGGAATGCACCCGAGTACGGCAGATGGTACTTTTGGGTAGTCGTTAGTAGCGTATTACAAGAACGCTACATAAATATTGTCGTGGTCACGAGAATGGTGACTCAACAATGTCTCTTCGACCTCCATTCACCTTGCAGACCGCCTTGAAAAAGGTCAAGGTCGCCCAGGATCTCTGGAACACCAGATCACCTGCCAAGATTGCTCTCGCCTACACCCCCGATACCATTTGGAGGAACCGAGACAGCTTTCTCCAAGGAAGGCCCGCAGTAGAAAAGTTTCTGCAGGCAAAATGGGAAAAGGAACACCATTATGTGTAAGAAAGTGCTTGGCGTGCACTGGAATCATCTCAATCTGTTTCAGGCTAAGGAAAGAGTTGTTCGCTTTCATGGACAACAAGATTGCTGTCCAAGTATCTGTCTCTTCTGCTCCAACTCCCTCCGTGTCACTCATCCTTAGCTTTAGTTTTTCTGCGAATGGAATGAGAAACCGGATGCGACGGGCCAGTGGTTCAGGACATATGGACTTGAAGTAGGTCCTCATCATCTATGCAGCAACCATTTACTGACAGACACTGCAGGATTGGACATTCGACGAGTCGGGCCTCATGAGGAAACGTATGATGAGCGGCAACGACGTACCCATCGCACCTGAGGTCCGCTGGTTCAAGGAGGGCGTGGATATCGAATCCGTCGACATTGGAGAAGCACATTTATGATTCAGCAGTAGCTATCACAATGCAATGTATCCCTACAGATCTTCAACATCCCCTACTCAATATGAGATATGAAAACAATACGGGCGACCGTGGTCATGAATCAATTTAGCTCCCATAAAATGAGAACGCGCGTGTAGGTCATATAACGCCGTCCAGAGTGTTGAGGAGCAGTATTCGAATGATCAAGTGAGATAAGAGGAAGGACGATATATTGAAGCAAGAGAATGAAATACAGCTTACACTTGGATTACATGGGGTGCGTACATGTGTCCCTCGTGCGATGCGTGTCCTCATGGTGCAAACCCAGTTGTGACTTTATGAAATGGAACGATGGAATTACTATTGCTCTGGTGAATGGACGACCTTCCGTGAAAGAAAAGAGGAAGGACGCCAAAGTGAAAAGAGAGCGATGTCGGAGGGAAAAAAGAACGCTAGAAAATCTACAAAGAGGTCGACGAAATGGATAGAAAAGAAACGGGAGGATTCCGCACCACACAATGGACTCTTTCAACAGTGGGTAAGTAGGGGAGAAAAGGATATGGCATTCCGTCGACACGGTTGAGGCGAAGAAAAAATCTTGGCTTCCTTCCTTATATATCCACTTCCCAGTGAGCTGAACAAAATACAAAACTGTTTGGATGATTACCTAAAGTAAGCATTGATACCTAGCGACTTAGCAACGCTCAAGCAGACAATCCCCTCGCCTTTTACTAGGGGATTCCGTGGGTGTTGCTAGCGTAAGTCGCATATCCCAATTTTTCAGACCTCAGCTCGACCTGAGAATTCTTGATTCTTTATTTTTCTCTGTTTTTGTTACTAATAAACATTGAACGAGACCCCAAGTTTTTCCACTACCAGGGACATACATCTCTTAGTATAGTGCAGGTAGGATCGCAAATTATCGATGTTGTACAAACTACTCAATGCTTATCTGGTTTCTCTACTACTACTCTTTACATTTGTGCGCGGGCCGTTATGTGTGAAGGGTATACAAAAGTATCGTTGCTTCGAATAGGTATCATACGACGAATCCAAGACACAGATTTTTTTGCATCCTTAATGTAATTTACGGGGCTTCAGAGAGATTAAGCTTCGTGTACCTGACATTCTAGGGCCTCCAGACGCGTCGACGAAGTTAATATCGCTTCGAAGCGACACCGTTAGTCGCAAATGCGAGGTCCGTCCATGGCAATTGGGGGGAAATCGTGGTGGGAGTTGCCTGTGATGATTTGATTCCAAGTTTTTTAAGTTCATCGTATGATAGAAGCAACCAGGGGAGGATGAATAGCATTTAAAACGGGCACTTGACAACTAAGCATTATAGATCACCCTATCCGCAAGATAATAGTAAGGATCGTAACTCTGCTTCCAGTCTGCATTGGACGGAAAGGAGAAAAATATGACACTCGACATTTTCGCGTATCCATTGAACGTCCGACACTAATAGTCGTATGGAATGGTTTGTTAAGCGCAATCTCGGATATTCCTCGATTCGATGCGAGCTGTTTTCCCATCCTGCTGGGAGTAATTATCTATTTTTTGTTGTGTATACACCAGGAACAGGAGATTTAGTAGAGATTGGAAAACTGATGATGGTGTTCCATGTTTGCAGTCGACAACGTGCACGTAGGACTTACCCACAAGATTTGCCGAACAGTGATTTCATGTACTGCGCAGCAAACGAAAGTGGTGCAAGTACAGTACTAGTGGAGCACTGGTAAGCGCAGAGCACCATGGCGGTGATAGTGACGTCATGCTTGGTTTTCCTGATAACCTCCATCTCTCCCACCCATACTCCTCTTCTTCACGACCCCCCACGACACGAATTATATCATGCCTGCCTCTGCTGCCATTCCTGGCCTTTTCTGCTGCTTTTCTGCTACTGTTCTGTTAGTGTTCGTGAGTGTTCATCATTTTCACCATTTCCCTGTTCTTACGCGTTTCTTGTCTCCAGGTTTCCGTGTCTGTACCAACCTGGAACTCTATATATTTCCTCCAGGTCGGTGTGGGCAGCTCAGTGACGCGTTTTGGTGTATTTGGATACACTGGCTCGTCCACTGGGATTGGCTACAACTTTACGACGGCCGGCTTCAAGTGCGTTGCTATCCAACCCACGTTTACTCGCACATACTGATTCTTGTCTAGTTCTAGCAGTCTAGATACGAACATTATTTATAATCTAACGAAAACTCTCATCCTCCATCCAATAGGTAAAAATTTTCAATGTCATACAGGCTTTCATTGACTAATGTCCAGCTGCCGGCCTTGCTGGTCTCGCATTCCTCTTTGGTCTATACGGCGCGGGTTATCATCGCGCAGGGACCGTCCTCATGTCTCTCCTCGCGGCTCTGGCCACCCTCGTGACCCTTGTCGCATGGGTCATAGACATGGTCCTCTTTGGCATCGCTCGCAGCCATTTCCATGACCAAGCCATCTATGCCCAGTATGGAAACGCATGCTGGCTAACGCTCGGCGCCCTCGTCGCGCTCCTTCTCGGGTTTTGCGCCAGCGCCTGTGGCGTCTTTGGTAGTTATCGCAAGCGGAAGGAAGCTTATTAAAGAATAGGGTCTCCCGCTATTTATTAATGGAATGCGGAATTTGTGTACGTTTCAATGCCATCCATTTAGTGCTTTGATTTATATAGCACATTTAATTATCCCTTTGTATGCTTTATGTATCCGTTACATTGCAAAATGCTACGCATCCTTGTGTTGGCACCGAATATCTATCCCCGGTGTCGATTGCTAACGTTAAAGGGAGAAGATGGCGTGGTGATGCGGCTTACGAAGTGGGACAAGCGCTCTGGTGTCGAATAGTTTTCTTAAATGTCCGAGAAGAGGACGCAGAATAACGACAACAAAGTCGCCAATGGTAGTATTGCCGATTGGGACCTCAGCCGCTGAGGCTGATGCACACTGACCTACCCATTTGACTTGAAAATTCCTGCAGTGTTCCCTTTGCATCGGAAGATGACCGTGGCCCTACGCCAATCGCGATGTCGGCCCTATACAAGAGAAAAAAGAGTAGGCCTCCCTTTCGATCTCGAGCATATTGGTGTTGAAAAGACGAATAAGCGCAAACATTCAACATCCCAGCATTGCGACCTACCCCCTGCGTATAGTTTGAGGTATGAAATAAGCATCTTTTTCTACCTATCGTCGAGGCTGACTCTTCAAATTCCGTCTGATTCCAAGAACAAAGCAACTTATCCGAGTCTGTTCTCAGTTGGATGGCTGTCCTTGCAGAAACTATATATGGTAATGACCTCAGACATATTCACCAACGTTGGAATCCTATCGACCATACCAGTCGCTTTCTCATCATCCTCTGCTGCTCACTCGAGCTCCACCGAGGAATAGCACAAAAACAGAACATTGATACGACATGGCACCGATTCGCCCACACCACAAGACGAGAAGTGGCTGCAAAACGTGCAAGCAGCGCAAAGTCAAGGTATGTATTCCGCCAGCTCTTGGCTAGCCCGCGGTGATGGTTGAAGCGATTTTGAGTGCGACGAAGGGCTTCCTGTATGCAAGAACTGCACCAGGAGAGGGATGGAATGCGCCTGGAATAATACTAGCACAACGCACGAATCAACAGCATTGGAACGATCCACGGTCGCCAAAGAGTCAAGTTTTTTGAAAGAAGGTTCCCCCTTAACAGTATCCAAGTGGACTGGCCCAGGTCCATCCGACCTTTTGAAACTGGAATTAATGCACCACTACGCTACATCAGCTTCTCATTCACTCTCTTCAGATCCCGACGCGTCGCGAGTCTGGAGAAACATCGTTCCCAAAATGGCCTTTGTCCCCCAAAATCAGTGTCTCCTTCATGCCATTCTCGCTTTTTCCGCTCTTCACATTCACCGTGTCGATTCAACGTCCCCTTTCGTGGAACGGTATGCCACAGCTGCAAGCTCTTTTTATCACCAGGCGAAATTTGACCTACACACGGCCGACATGCAGGAGTCTGCAGACATAAACGCAGTCCTTATCGCACTGTCTCTCGTCGCACGATATGAATTTGCTGCATCAGCTGAAGTATTCCCACGCTCTGGCGATTGGTATACCACCATCCACGCAATCCGCCGTAACATTGCAAAGAACCGGACGCAGCTCCAGGACAATGTTCTGCGTCTGTTCTTGTCTGCTTTGGCACCGTCTCTTCAACCCACGCATGTGGAGGAACAGTTTCCATTATCCTTGTCTACAATCCTGAGCACCACGGACCCGGTTCCAGACGTTGACGAGTTGTCCGACGTGTCGGTGCGCACTGCCTATGAGGATTCGATATATTGGCTGGAGCTAGCATGGACAGCCCCATTCAATAGATGGATGTGTGTATGGTGGTATATGATGCCCACTACGTTCTTTCGTTTATTGGCAGAGGAGAGACCCCGTGCACTCATCATATTGGCGCACTACTGTGCTATGATGAACCGCGTCGCTAAGGATGGCCCGTGGTGGGTAAAGAAGCAATGGGGTAATGAGGTTGCGAGGATCGTCTCTATGCTTGACACACAATGGGCACCATGGTTAGGATGGCTCTCGAGTCAGTTGGATCAAGTGCATGATAGCCAGGCTGTTGATTTTACAAGCGTAGATTTTCTGAATTGGTTCAATGGGCCATCAACGCAGGAGATGGTTATAGGACAGACTTTTCCTACTTTTCACCGTGCCACCGAAAGATAGTATTTCTGTATATATATACACCACAACTCTATACCATTTAGAAGATGAAAAGGTCTCGTTACAAGATATGTAGAGGTCCTAAGCATATATGTGTTCTCGCTCATCCAAGTAGTGCTGTGCAATGGTTGCATGCTCTTCACGGTTCCATCCCATTCTATACTCCCCATCTTTTCGCAAGTACTTGCTGGGATGGTGGATGTTGAACAGGGTGATGACCCCAGCCATAAGAACTGAATCGAAAACATAAAGCCACTATTATCTATTCAGAACAAATATGCAGATCGAGAAACGAGAAACGTGCTGACTATTTCACTCCTCATAAGGTAACCATCGTTTCCTTGTGCGAATTCTATGACCCGGAATACCGATCGCACCATGATCATGGTGCTTGCTGCATAGAGGACATACATAAAGGATCTCCAGCTTTTTCTTTCAACGATGGTAGGCATTACCCGCATACGATAATGAAAGACGACGGCCACGAAAATGAACCCTCCAAACCAGAGTATTTGGACGACCAGTCCGACAATGATGATGTTCTGGCCAAGACTGACGCTGCTTTGAGACTTGGCGCTCGCAAGGAGGCCCCCGCCTGTGAAATAACGGTTTTCGTTCACCATGAAGGCCAAGAAAAAACTCACCACTGGACTGTATAAGAAAACTCAGGATGTCCCCGGTGACGAAAATTTTGGTGAGCCAATTGATACGTATGAGAGAGAATTGTTCGCCATGGACCTTGCGCATTAGCCGTCCGAGTACGATGTGGATAGCCGCCGCCTTCGGAAGAATTGTAATTGTATCCAGTGAAATTGGAAGGCGAGAAAGACGCACATACAGAGCGGGAGCAACTAAAAGAAGAATGGATTGCACAATATAGGGCCCCAGCGCTTCGGGGTTATTGTGCGACAAGACTCGAGCAATGTAGCCAGCGCCTTCCACTAAAAATGTGTCAGTGATGGGTGACGAAGTAGCTACAGATCGACTCGACTCAAGCCACCGACGATCATGGCAGAGAAATACCAGGATCGGCTCCTGAAATTTTTCCAAGCCTGAAATATGCTAGAAGTAAAGAAAAGCATTGCGAATAAACCGGCTTCGGAGGCACTGGGCGTGTAACTGTAGGAGAACCATACGAGTATTAGCTCGATTGCTACGCGCGAAGAGGATGCGCAGGTACCGATAAAGCTGGAAGCCGGTGAAGGTAGAGTCGGTATCTGAGTCGGTCATGATACAGACAAGCCACCAGGACTAAAAGAGTGTAAGGGAAAGTGATAATGATGTACAGAACGCGTCCAGAAATATGACTACGACGCGGACTCGGACTCGGATTCGGACTCGGAATAGCACGGCGACAGCACTGTTGTTCATACCAAAAGTGCAGCGTTTCTTCTTGGAGTTGAAAGCATAGATAAGCAAGAGCAACACGCATGCATTACCGCTGACTGAACCGTTGAAATCAAGTGCGACGAGGACTTTCCTATGTGCAAGAAATGTACGAGGACAGGCATAGAGTGTTTCTAGGCCACTACCCCGCAACGTGATTTAGCGGTGCCAGGGATATCTACCGCTGCTGTGTCAAGACATTGACATTCCCCTTCCACCGTAATATCGGGGTGCATTAGCGCACCGAGTTCATTCGACCTGCTAAATCTCAAACTAATGCATCATTATGTTACCGCTTCTTCGTACTCACTTTCTTTCCTGCCACGGCAAGATTGGTTTGACTAGGGCAGGAGGGAATTATATATGCTCAGAATACATTCCTTGTCTGCAATCTATCGCTGAATTTTCTAAGGAGCATGAATAGCAGCTATACAACGTCCGATATCTACAGTCCTCTTTCATAACTGTAGATTAGTATGCTCTCCGCGGGTCCGAATAGGGGTGAATTGGAACTGTAGTCGCATACTCTTCGTCACGCGTGGTTTGCTCCTCGCGTTCCCCCATCATATACTGCCCGTCGGCTTGCAGATATGAACTAGGATGGTAGATGTTGAAAAGGGTCATAACCGCAGTCATAAGAACGGCATCGAAAATGTACATCCACTATGACCCGGTCAGAGTCACTTTTCACATGAACAGTCAGTGAAGAACTCACCACTTCCCTCCGCATGAGGTACCCGTCGTTTCCCTGTGCGAATTCTACGACTCGGAATACCGATCGTACCAAGATCATGGTGCTCGCAGCATAGAGGACATACATGAGCTGTTTCCAGTTCATCTTTTCCGTTACGGTGGGGACCACTCGCATACGATGGTGGAAGACGCCAGCCGCGAAGATGAAGCCTCCGAACCATACTACCTGGAAGACCAGTCCCCCGACGACGACGTGCTGACCAAGCTTCACGCTGCTGGAAGACGTCATGAGGCCTCCACCTGTGCAGCGTCAGTGTTAGTTCTCCAGGAGAGGAAGGGGAAGTGGACTGACCTCCGCATTGCAAAAAGAAGCTGAAGACGTCACCAATAACGAAGAACCTGGTGAGCCAATTGAGACGTATAATAGAAAACCGCTCGGCATGAAGCGCGCGTATTATCCTCCCCAATACGACGTATATAGTGGCAGCCTTGTGGAAGACAGCGTCAGATGTCCATTCAGTTAGTTTTTAAACCACGAGAAACGCACGAATAAAGCGGGAGCTACCAAAAGGAGAAGCGACTGCATAATATATGGACCAAGAGCTTTGGGATTGTGGTGCGACATGACTCGGCCAATGTATCCTACAGTTTCCACTGTTGCAATGTTAGCAACGCCAGGATGAATCAGTGAAGAGGTCAACTCAACTGAGTCCACCAACGATCATGGCAGAAAAATACCAGGATCGAGTTCTGAACGTCCTCCAAGTCTGGAATATAGTAGATACAAAGAATATGACAGCAAATATACCAGCCGCAATAGCGCTGGGTGTGTAGCTGTGAAAGGAGTCTTTGTGAGTGAGAGAAAATTAGGACAAAAAAAAAGGACGCACCGGTAAAGTTGGAAGCTTGTAGTGTCGTCGGCCATTGTGGGAAAGAGAAGGCGAGGAGAGAAGAATATGATAGAGGCCCTTGGAACATGCCCACTGATATAGCGGCGTGCACTCGTACTCGCACTCGCACTCGAACTCGGATTCGCACTCGCACTCGCGATGACGACATTGCTATGTTTTTCTTATCATCTTTGGACATAGCCCCCCAGCGCACGCAGTCTGGAGGGATAGATAGGCAGTGCTAGGAGCATACATTAGCCTTGGAACAAGTCAGTATGCATTTCCTTTAAAAGAGGGTTACGTTGAACAAATCGTACAAGTTCACATAGCTGTCTAACAAACCACCATCAGTAAAGTAACCTCTCCAACAAACCAATGATCAGATGAATCCTTGATGGGAAAAATCAATTTGTTCCACGAGGAAACTATGGTAATCACCCTATCTGGTATTTAAAATAGGGCTGGTAGATGTCCAAATGAGATACAACGTTGGCATGTATACGTCAACTGGGGGTAAATTGAGCGGATATATATGAAGCAGGTACTATGAATGTCACCGGGCACAGGTAGATACCTACGGGGAAATAAGGAGCGGGAATCAAGAGACAGGCATAAAACACGTTGCAGCAGCTGAAAGGTGGTATAATGTCATTAGAAAGTGTCCAGCCCGAAACTGTCTGTGGCCAAGACTCTATACTGTCACCAAGCCAAGAATGGCACCAATGGCACCCAAGCCAAATCCAAAGGACGTCTTCAAGGCGGATCCGGCGTTGCCTGAAGCAGACGCAGAAGCGGAAGCAGAAGCCGCAGAGGCAGAGGCAGAGGCGAGGGAACCGGTAGCGCTTTCGACAGCTGCAGAAGAAGATGGGTATGCAGATCCCAGAGCCTTGATTTCGAATAAGTCCGACGCAGCGTATACCTATCAGTAGCTGTGAGACCAGCTTCAAACACAAAAGGTCAATTTAGTAAACTCACTTGACTGCTGTTAAGAGGATTCGCAAGCTGGAGAGTGTATCCAGTAGCAGCGGGCATGTTGACTTGTTCTGGAGTCAGGATCTTTGAGCAATCATAATTCTGCTCGATAGCCACGCTGTGAAAAGACATGAGGTGGGAAAGTCTTCAATGAGCGAAAAATGCCTACATAGCTAAAGCGGAAGTAAGAATGCTCGAGTCCGAGTTCGTGATCCTAGACAGCCAATCAAACTCCACCACATCGAACGATCAGAGTCAAACGACGCACAGAATGGTAAATTCGGAATACGGGGAGTCATTGCAGGTCCATGCGATGACATTTGTCGACTGTGCAACTGAATAAAACAAGAAAAAAAAAAATCAGAGACACACAACTGCCAAGAAAAACGGCCAACTGACCCCACCAGATATCGGAACTGGGCGCGGTGACTTGCAAATCAGCAAACACAGCTCCGAAGAGAGCAGATGCCGTGGCAAAGACGGTGAAAAGACGAGATGCCATTGCAAGTTTTGAGGAGAGAAAAGGCAAGAGTTGGACAGCACAAGGACAACGTTGACGACCGTGGAAGAGAAGCGAAAAGAAGAGTGCCTAGCCATGAGATCAAGTCGGCAGTAGCCGGGCATTGTGGCTTGACATTTCACTGTCACAGAGTGAGGCAATGTCGTCGAATCCGTTTCATTCTGCCCGTCGACTATATGCTGCTACGAGGCGAAATCGTTGTGGAAATACCGCGCTCAGTGCGGCCATTGTTGTCCCAGGATTCACGAACAATACGTGGAAAAATGGACGTCGAAGGGGACAGGACGATTAGAATGGTGAGCATTGTCCTTCTCACAGATGACTGGAAAGATCATGGATGTGCAAAAGGAAGAGAGGAAAGTGTTGCGGCGCAGTCGTGAGCTGCCTAGCTGCGCAACTTGTACAGTTTCAAATATACCTGCCCTGTATATCGGAGCCCCAGACTTTTCATCAACAGATCTGCATTCACTCGAATACCCAGTCGAACGTGTCGTTCTCACCCCAACGGCCTTGCAGGGAGATCTTGAAACTATTGTACTGAGAACAGGCTTCACTACAGCCATTGGAGGAGCGTTCTATATCCTCCGACTTCATCACCGTCAGAAGAACTTGCATGCTGTGAAAAAATGCAAACCTTGGTTCTGGCGAAGGATCAGAAGGGCGTCGCACCTTTTTCCAGCAGACCTATATATAGAATGCGATGCCCATGCCCTCTTTGTCCATAACAACGCTTAAACTATGTCCGGGATGATTATCTGGTATGCTAATGCTTGTTTCCATTGCGCAGTCCGCCTGACCCTCCTTACAGTCATATTGTACAACGGACGCCTTACGCTGATCAGTGTGTTGTCTATAGCACATTGACTGTGAATATATTGTCCTTCTTCGTTTATCAGGATACAGCGTGTGACTCATCTCTCTCCGAAGCGTCGGACAAGCTTGACCTTCAGACCAGTGAGTAGTAATCACTCTGCACAAAGCTGCCTTTTGACTAATGGGAAAACCATACTAGCTTAACATCCGGTCCGTGCTTGTAACAAAGCGCAGCACCGAACGCCATGGATACCTATGACCCCACTTACACCTCCTTGTTGCAACAACCATGCAAATCTGATCGCCTTCTAAAAATTCTTTCTCTCAGGTAGGCATGTGCATGGACCCGTGTTCCGTTCACGGGTTCATTGCGCATATAAACAGATACCTTTCACCCAAAAGACGACCTGAGGTTCCCCGGTATGAGCAGACCTAGTCCCACATTGACCCGTCCCAGTCACGAGGCAGTGGTGTATTCTCTAGGTCCTTGGGTAAGTCATGTTCCCTGTTGCTTAAAGCCATTCACCAAAGTATCATTACATAGTTCGTTGGAATGTGTATAGATATGCTTCTCCAAGGGGTTCTTTTTGCTCAAGTCAGTCGTTCTTAATGGTTGACGAGCCACGACTTTATACTTGAATAATACAGTTCATGAATTATTTCGTTTGGTACGGCTCTACTGACGGATACAAATTCACCTTATCTGTCGCAATTCTCGCGATTATCACCACACTCAAGTCTGTTCAGGTGCGCTTGTTTGCCATATATTGACTTGATGCATTAATGCAGGCTTGCTAGGCATTGTCAGTATACACATTCTCAATTCGAGCACTGACTGACACTCAGGTAGTGTCATTGTATGGACACAGCAAATAATCTACTTCTACGACATGCAAAGTGCTCTCAACATGCGGTTCTTTGTCTGGTATCAAGTAGGCATGTGCAACCCGCCTCACCGCCTTTTCTTTCTTTAACCGACCTTCCACGTCTAGGGAACCCTTTGATGGTATCGCTTATCTCCCTTTATGTGCAATCCTACTTTTGCTACCGTCTATATGTGGTGTCCATGAGGTGGTGGGTAGTTACGCCTATATTGGTCTTGTATCTGTTCTCCGTGGGATCGGTTGCTGTTGCGGTATGTTCCATCGTGAATCTGTCTCTCGCCTTCTATTGACAAGACCTTATGGATTAGACGTACGATATTGCGCGTTCTGATCTGAAGCTGGGACACTGGCGTAAGTGCTGATGCTTCCGTATCGCAACTGAAGAATCCTTATAATTCATCTAGTTGCAGCACACTATGGAACGGTCTTCGGTGTGTAAGATTGCCTTTCAGTGTCTCTGTCACTAACACCCATCGTTCTCTTCAGCTAGCGACATTATGCTCGCTGGCGTCACTGCTTATTTTCTCCTCAAAACAAGAAAACGTGTTCTGCCTCAGTACGGCCGCCGGACTGCCCAAGTATCGCTTTTCGCTCATTCGAAGTTTTCAGAACTGTCGGCATCATCAATGCCTTAATTCGACTCACATTTCAGACCGCTACGCCGGCTGTTATATGGTACCCTTCTCGTTTTTCTTCAAAGACTTGATACTGATTATGTTGTCTCATCAGTACGATGCTCAACCTGATTTTTACCTACCTTCCGGGTCCTTTCGATAAAGGCATATCCAGCGCCTTCATACAGGCACTTCCCAAATTATATGCAGTCAGTATGATGTGGACTCTCAACGCACGGAGGGCCATCATGTGCGAGCCCACCCCGACGTTTGCTAGTGGGACTTTCCGCATGACTGAGGGGGCCAACTGGTTCATACCTGTAGATCCGAGAAGACACTCGACTGGAGACATTCAGGTTTGCATTTCGTTGAAGAGCTGGGCCCTGCTGATCTTGACATGGGTGCGGTTTGCTACCATTGATGCAAATCACTTCTCGGACTCGGAATCTCTGAATATACTGTCAACAGATAATAGCATACCTAAAAATCCTTAACGGCTTGCTTAGCGTATCGATGAACGAACAATATTAATAGGATGACTTTGATGATACCTCTGAGACTGACTTACGGGACCGCCGAATGCGGAGGTACATCTTACATGATGTTACTCTGTATATGAAGATTCGCTGTGAGTATGTATTGCCCGTCGTATTCACGGCTTATGATCTCTCACAAAATCAAGTGGAAATCACCAGAGTTCACGTGGATAGGGATGCCAGAGCAAAGTGCCGGAAAGTTAACCTCGTTCCTACTAGTATCCGACTGCCCATCATTCAAACATTGCACATGACGCTATCATTACGCTTTCCCAGGTACTTGCTACCTATATAACGCTCAGTGAACTTCTCAGGCATCGCGATGATGTGGAGAGCTGTTCTTATACTGAGCTTACCGGCTCTCAGCCTCATTATGGCTCATGACATCGGTAGACTTCGGAAGACGTTGGCTGCAGGAAATGTATACGCGCTGTTCCCTGATGACAACGGCTACTCCCAGGCTGCGCAAGCTTGTAAGCTCCTCTTGTCTGCTTCCTGAGTTGTACAGGATTCTATGCTTGCACAGACAACGGTCGTTTTATCATTGGACCAATCGCCATAGCATACCCCAAAAACGCAGAACAAGTTTCGACTACCATCGTAGCTGGCGCAGAGCAAAATATTCGCGTAGTTTCTCGAAGCGGAGGGGTGAGCTTTTATGGAGTAGAAGCAAAGATACGTTGCGATCGTCCCATAGCACAGTTACATCGCCAATGGCCTTGGCGGGAAAAACGGTTCCCTTGTCGTGGATATGAGCAATTTTTCAAACCTGACTCTTGACTCGTCCACCAACCTGGCGACTATCCAGCCTGGTCTTCGTCTAGGAGACATAGCTCTCATGCTGAACGATCGTGGAAGAGCAATTCCTCATGGCCATTGTAGTACAGTTGGCCTTGGAGGGCACGCAGGTAAACAAATACTTTTCGATCGTTTTCCTTGATCGCTTTAGAATTTTCGCTTAGCGTATGGATCGTGGGGTTTCGTCTCGAGGCAATGGGGGCTCACACTTGACCACATCGTCTCTGCTCAGTTGGTACTAGCCAACAGAACTATTACGACCGTCTCTGAAGACAACAATCCGGAGTTGTTCTGGGCAAGTATGGACGTCGCTCGAAAAACATAGGATGCTAAACTCAAACATTGACTAGGGGATCAGAGGGTCTGCCTCTTCTTTCGGTATTGTGACTTACTATGAGTTCAGTACCGTTGCTGTTCCTGAAGAGGGCACCTACTTTGTGTATGACTGGAACGTCTCTGTCGCCGAGGCTTCAACGTTCTTAACATCGCTCCAAGGCTATGTCCAGAGCGGCATACCCAGTACATTAGGCATCGAATTACGCCTACTTCGGGGTAACATAGCAGGAAACTTGAGCATCACGCTGGACGGCGCTTACTTTGGTTCGCACGACTCATTCACCAAGACCATCAAGCCGTACTTGGATGCCCTTGTCCCGCCAGGATTGACTACCATCACGCAAGGCAATTGGATAGAAACTGTAGCGGCATTGACATATGGCACATTGAATACCAGCACTCAGGCGCCAATCAACGATACATTCTATGCTAAATCTTTGTTGACTCCCGAGGATTCCCCCTTGAGCAAGGTGGCTGTTGACGCCCTCATGTCGTATCTCGATACTGCTGGGTTCCGTACCACGGATGTGGTACGTGCTCCAAGTCCTGGCTGTATTTTTTTTTATACAGATGAGGACTCCATACGTAGTTCTGGTTTGTAGAGATTGAACTTTACGGAGGGAGCAATTCGGCGATTAACACGGTTCCGGTCGATCAGACTGCCTTTGCGCATCGGAATAAGCTGTTCAATATACAGCTGTATGCCACTTCTGTGGTGCCGCCTTATCCGAAAGACGGTTTTGCCTTTCTAAATAGTAAATTTTACTTGTGATTTGATTATCATCCATTCTTAATTATGGCATGTTCTAGGTATAACGGATGTCATAATTTCCAACAGCCCCAGGGAATGGCATTATGGGTAAGGCTTCCCTGCTTGCCGCGTTCGTGGGTTTACGAATATGATTCAGTGCATATATCAACTATCCTGACAATCGCCTCGATGACTGTAAGTCTGGTCGTTGTCCGTTGTACCACCATTAATCGATAATTGTTTCCTAGGGCAGGACTTGTATTATGGTTCTCATTATGCGCGCCTGCAGGCTCTCAAGAAGAAATTCGACCCTTCGAACGTCTTCAGCTTCCCTTTAGCTATCGAAGGAGACACACCTTTGAATTAACGTCCCAGCTATGGTACGATTCTGATTCCCATTGCTTTTCAGGGGGCACATCAGATAGAGTTAGTATGTTAGTATAATACAATTCCTTATTGAGGCCAAAAGCGCTGAAATGGAACGAAAGGGTAACGTGATGGAGGGGGGATGAATCAATTACAGTAAATAATGCGAGGCGCGAAAGCGAAAAGTCCGAACAACGCAGACAAGAAGAAAATTATGCAGTCCATAAGAAACCACGATCCATCAAATGAGCGACAAATAAGCGAAATAATATATATTTAAGCAGCCATCCCACTTTGAGTTCCTGAGTTTATCCCATTGCCATGTCGTGATATTGAGATCTGTACAAGGACAGATTTCGGTGCACGCGGTAGAACTAGAGAACGAGAACTTAGTTGTATATGGCTCTATATGGCTATCAATGTAATCCTTTGTAAGGTATCCTGGAGGATTGCACCCAATATTCATCCCTTTCGATCGCTGATGAACGCGAACATAATCAACTAACATCTCAGCCGGAAATATCATCGTGGATGTATCAATAGTTTGCCAGTTGGCTGCACAACGACGTAAGATGAATGAAAGGAAGCGTCATGACCTGTGAGAAACACCTACAGCTGATGCCCAAATTGAGAGTGGGGGGTTTGCGCTTACTGCAGAGCAAACTGTTGTAGTCATCGTCGAGGACAGCGACGAATACTAGTTGGCGTCGCGATCAAGACTGGCGGCGCTTATTTTGTGTTATTCGGACGGCGCCTGCCCCGGTTCTCAAGTAGCAGATACTATCACTTTACTTTACTTTGACGAACGGAGGCAATTCAGTCATTGTATGGGCGCTCCTTGTCCTGCCGCCGCTCCACAGAAGAGGGTCACCGGCACGGCAAATTTGTGCAAGCAACGTTTGCAGCACCATAATTCAGTATGAATACATCTACTGAAGGACAAGGTCGATGAAACAATGAGTACATAATTCAAAAGTGGCACCTTTCAGTCGTCAAGTTCGTCTTCTTCATCTTCGTCGCCGCCAAGCATGTCTTCTTCGACCATACCAACCACCATATCAATGGCGGCACGCGACATGCGGGGCATGGCACCAGGCCGGAGTAGTGGATGATTCTCTTCTTTCAACACTCCTTCGTCTTCATCGCCGCTGGCATCTTCATTGTTTGATCCTTGAGCGTCCTTGTCTTCTTCACTTCCCATATCACCGCCGCTGCCGCCTCCTTCCCCGTCACTGGAATCAGACGTCACTTCCTCCTCCTCCTCCTGCTCTTCATCCTTGAAATCCTCATCGTCCTCATCTGACTCGTCCCCTATCTGCATTATTGTCATTTTGCCCGTCGCAGGCAGCGACGCCGGCCGACTCCCTTCGCCTTTCTTCTTCCCAAAAGCACTCTGAAATCGCTTTACCCACTGATTGATCCCATCTTGCTCCTTACCATCAATCAAGCTAAAAGCTGTTTCTTCGCCAGTGTCTTCCTCTTCCTCTTCCGGGTCCCCCGTGCTCCGGCGCATCAGAATCAAGGTACACGTCCTTCCCGTCGCACTGATCATCTTTAGGCCGTCTGTTTTTCCCATCAAGTCTTCGACAGGCCAGAACTCGCAAGGTTTCGACTCGCCCCACAAGATACCCTCCTTCATGAACCACAGACTGCCGACCTTTGCACCCAAATAAGCTTCGATCCCCGGGCAACCGTCAGAGCCTTTAGTGCAAGCACTTTTGAACACATCGGTGCTAGGTTGGAGAATGGGCACCCGTAAATAGGAGAGAAAATCTTTAATAGCTGGCAGTGTTGGATCACCCTTCTTCAGTACCTTCTTCACTGAGGTAGAATCTGTCGTCGACAGTGGGCTTGGAGCGGAGGCGTCGAGACCAAAAATGATCTGTGGGGAAGACGCTCCTTTTTCAGTTGTGTTTGTAGATATAATAACCACTGTCCAGTGAGGTTTCGTCTTTCCGCGCGTTGGCAGGATAAACGCTCGACTAAGCTGTGAAAGTGGGACGACAGCTTCTGCAGCCTGTGATGCTGGAACAACAAATCTGACGACGGAATGATGGATGACGATGTCGACTTTTTTGCGTACCGGTGATGTCGTAGATACAGAATGGAGGGTAAACCGATGGGGTCCATCAGAAGCATCGTCGTGGTCTAGCTTGGGTCGTTTTGAAGTCTGCATGATGTCGCCTTCTGCGTCTCGTCGACGTTTGAGATCAGCAGGGCGAAGCAGCTCATCAAGACCTTTCTTCACTGCTCCCTGTTTCTCGAGCCAACCCCCGTCAGACCCGCCTGTTCTGGATTCTGCGCCACTAACGAATCGTATCACATCATCGAGAATAATCTCTGCTTCCGGAGAAGATTTCGACAGATTCTTCAGTTTTTGGGACAGCTCTTCGGGTAGACAAGACGATACGACACGCAGAAATTGTGGTTCATCCACAACCATGTCGGATTCAATAATAGTTAGTCGCAGCAGGGAGAAGGCTGTTGACTAGATATGCAACAAAGGTGGTGACCGTTGTCTCCCTGGATGGTAATGGTGGTAGGAGAGAAACGAGACCCGGTTTGCTGGACACGCGTCACACTGTGTCGCGTATCATGATCATCGTCTCGTGACGTCCAAATTGGGTCGACTGACTGAGTGCCTACTACTAAGCAGAAAGAAAACTCCTCCCAAAATGCCGCTCTTGCCTCCAGAAGTCGTCCAAGAAATACTTCGAGATGTTTGTTAAACCGTTCTTTGCTCGGTGCCGACAACTAACATCAAAGAGATAAAGGCGCCTCGCTAGACATTTCAATACTCTTACATATCCTTTCGTATACACGACCATTCATGTTTACCTCAACTGCATCGATCTTTATCAGCAAAGCCTCGCCGTTCTCAAAGCTGTATCCACCGTTCGTCTATCAGGAAATATGTCAAGCATCTTTGGATACACTCGCACATCGATGGTGCTCAAATCAGACCAAAGTATCAAGCTTTCTAATAATGGACATATCGTTAATTTCAAGCGCTTCAAGTTGGCATCTTATCCGTCCTACCTGTCAACACTTCATTGACACTGTCATATATTTGGTTTCCAGTCCTGATCCGTATTCATAGCACGCTCATTCACGCTTATTCCGCCTTCTGGAGACCTAGAAATCTGCTGTATGAACTAATCGCGAACAATCACGGCTTGAAGGTTTTCTATATTAACATGTATTGTTCGGACGATACCGGCAGCACCGTGGTGCCACCGTTCTGGTGTATCTTTTCCGAATTTCCTTCGGGAGCAGTCTCCCAATTGGAGCAGCTAATTCTCATCGGAGGCTTCAGTCTGGAAGAGCATATACCGGTTGCTCATTTGCAGAATCTCAGGTGTTGGATGTAATATTTTTCTATGACGATGTCCCATGGGACTCACTGTGCAGCTCCTGGATCCATCTATCGGATATCTGTGTGCGTCATGGCGCAAACGACACTGTTGAACTATATCGGCTCTTATGAGGGTCTGGAGCGATGAAGATCCGCGGCAACAATGGTGATGCGCAGAAATTCTGCTATGTCCTTCTTCCAAGGCATGCCAGCAACCATCACCTTGTTATGGGTTCTTCCATTTCATTGGTCTGAGACCTTCTGGGGTCTAGACATATACGTGCTGGAGGAGTTGCTGCAATGGCCTAACCGATATCCGTATCCCGATCGGTGTGCAACGCGAACGTAACGGGCCCTGAAAATGTCGTCGTAAGGAATCTTGGTTTGGTTTCGGCTTTCTTAGGGCTGACGTGAGCACTACAGACCCTAATTCTCGATACGCTCGCGACACATCAATGGCCAAACGTCAAGCTTCTACGATTCTTCTTGACTTTGGATAGTCCTGAGGACGCCAGAGTTATCGAATTCTGCGTCTGTAGATGTATAGAAACGATACGGTTTAGGGCTCCCACACAATGCACACAACTTCCGCAGTTCGCATGGCGAAATTCCCTATGTCTCCGTGCATCGTTGTGGACTCAAATTAATCCGTACGTTACTAAAAGAGAATTCGTCGTACATCTTCAGATTCATTCCGTCCTCTGGGGATATTTGATGTGCCAGTAAGTAATTGGAAAGTCAGCCCAGGTGAATTGGTCTTGCTCTTCCAAATGAATGGTCTCAGATTGTTTCTTCAACGTGAAGGCACATGATTCAAGAGGATCACATCGTGACATGGTCTCGTATAATCTCGTTGGGCAAACTAGCGACATATAGATTGCCACCATTCGCGTTGTTTCTTCAATATTTCGCGGTCGTAATGCTCGGAGGTAACTCGGCGGTACCAAAGTTCGAAGGGGAATTGTGAGGAATAGCAATGAATTTTCGCATGGCTCCGTTGCTTCGTCACTTTCTTCGGTAATGTCAGTGAGCTTTTCACAAATGTTGTTTCTTTACTCTATCTCACCTTGACTTTGATCCTCTTGAAGAGTGTGACCCCGAAACCCTTGACAAACGACGCAAATGGTGGCAATCCATGCGGTTGGTCTGCCGAGCGAGGTTATTTTCTCTACCACCCCCAGTTTCACAAGGGGGAGCCCATATCATTACCCTATGGAACCCCTCGTCCGTTTCCGGAGCCCGACTTGTCTGCCAAGTCTCCTCTTCTCTAGGCCTACAAGGAGAACCATTCTCTTGAGTACTACGGCGATTGCGGCGAGAATTATCTTTCCAGTAACATGCCGTCTGGATCTGCATGGGCCTCCTTCAGTCCCATGCACATCTAACTTTTGGTTCGTACACAGAGCAGCATTTGGTTTGTGCAAGACCGAGAGATGCAACTGATAGCCATCAAATTGCTTCATTGACACTTAACAGGATATTAAAGAGGGCAATACACTAGTGAACCATGCGCATGATGCTCACTATATCAGGAACTATCGCACTGCGGCCTTTCATCGGTCTGTGCGCCGCACAGGAGTACTTACCTATGCTTATATTGATTTCGACATCTCTGTCATATTTCCCCTTGACGTTCCACAATCTGAGTGCTGTCTTCCTTGCTGGAAGTCATGGGATGGCACAAACTATTGGGCTGTGCACGATACTGCCCAGGGAGAACCCGACTACGATCCTTTTGCCTTTGATGTCGCATTGCTTGGATTCCAATTGTGCCGGTCATTTTAGATTTGGGTAGTTTATGGCTTGTTCTATGATGCGACTGATTGTTCTTCTCCCCACAGCACGTGCTGCTCTACGCTCCTTTTCTTGCGCCCTTACTTGACGTGATGGTCACTCATGATTGCAAAAGATGATTCACTGCTGCACAGGCCTTGAAATTCTTCGAAGACATGTACCCATCACTCACCGAAGAACAGTTGCAAGCCTGCCCTCCAATGATACCTGATCCTGATGACCACGAAACCTTTGATAGGTGGAAAGGCTTGCCTGCTGATTCCTTAAAGTGATGGGCTTCGTACCCTCCACTACCGCTATCTACTAGTGCTCCGCTATCTATCCAAGTATCGTCGGATTCGTCGCGGCATCCTCTGGTTACGAGAACTGTATGTATCTTATTACTTCACATCGTTGAGAGCTTGGTTATCCTTTACCTGAGCTGGATTCCTGAATATAAACGAGTAAGCTGTAACTACTGTATATATTTAGTAACAACTATGGTGAATCTCAATCTCAGCAAGAGCCCTTCAGACTGCTGCTCTTGAAGGACCGTATGCTATCCAGCAAAGCGCCTGAAATCGGAAGCCATTGGCAAACCTCTACATGTGCACAACCGCAGGGTGAATTCAATTACGCCATATAAGTAGCGAAGCAGTTTCATTGACCAAGGGATCGGGGTTTTCGGTAGTGGGCCCATCGCTGTACGACGTCGAGAGGTGAGTTTTGCCTTCCGATCATAGCTTTCGTATATTTCTGACTAGTTTCCTCCAACTGCACCGCACTGAGTAGCGAGTATATATCTTCAAAAAATAGTAAGGCCTTCCTAGCCGTGAAACGCTTCTTGACATCCTGAGTAAGCATCATGTCAAACAGAGGGCAAGAAAAGGCATATAAGAGGATAAGGACAAGTGCTGTAAGGTGACAGATTAGTCAAAGAGAGCAACTAAACGTGATCCAAAAACCTGGAAGGTCTGGTAGAACTGAAATCCGAGTGGTGCGACGTTGAAGGCGAATGGTTCATAATCGTGTTCTCCTTGTGCAGTATCATACACATGCCAATTATCAGTACCGTCCCACGGTTTCCAGTATGGAAGACGGCACTCGAGGAAACACGATGGCTATGCTATAGTCAAAGTAACCATTATGTTAACATGCCCCCACGACAGAAGTATCTCTGGAGACCTGCGTCCAGAAGAAGAGTGATTCCAGCGGTCACCACACGCAAAATTCATGAACTTATTAAACCGTTTAGAATCCTGTCGGTGGAACAATATGGATGAGTAAATGAGAGAACAAAACAGATATTACGCACTCTATGAACAATTCTTCGTTCATGAAGCCAGACAAGACCCTAAACACATCGGCGATGATTGGACACCCTAACGTGAGAAATAGACACACCTTCAATAAGCAGTGTATCTGTTGCAGGATATCCATATCGTATACCCGTTATCTTTTCTTCAATCTTACTCTCTATATATACTTACTTACCTCCTGTCCTTTCTCGATCACTATATAGTCCAGCCGTCGTTACCCAGGTACCCCAGTCGTTTCACCTTCGCTGTGCCCGACTGAGGTACGTATACCTTACCGTGTCTGATACTTACTTACTCACGCTCGTTCATAGATCTCACCTTATTTCTTCTGTTAAAAGTATCACGCGGAGAACCCTGTGCAAAGATGGAAACCAGCGGTCACACCTAAGCGGGACTGACCACCTAAGAGCTTGAATAAACCCAATCCGATTTTTCTTTACCAGAAGCGGGACCTACTTGGACATAACCGCAAAATCTGCATTGAGGACATCCAGCACGGAGACCACGCCGTTAAGTGGTAACGACTTTGATTGCTCCTCGTGAATAAGGTGCATAATTCGATCCTCTTCGGTGTCTTTCTTTACGACCTTGCCACTAACCCCTCTCGGCGTCCTGTGCATACCAGACGGCAGCCTGCACATTAACCAAAGATTACTTAAATGGAAATCATGAAAGTAGAATTGCGCCACTCACAGTGTCAGGCTCTTCACTTGAGAGACATGTATCGTGTCCTTCTCCACATTCGAAAGAATCGCCTCCTCTGAACGCGTAGGGAAAGGATGATTCCTCTGACGCCTCAGATCAGTCAGAAGAAATGAATGTAAACGGGGGATCACACATTGCCTCATATATTTTGCCAATTATTTGTCGGAAATACAGATTGTAGCCTCGCTCGGCGAACTAGCCACGCATGGATTAACACCATTCGCATCGTAAGTGTAGAGTTTCGGCGTCACAATGCTCAGAAGGATTGCATTCAATCTAGTCAAACCATAGTGAACAAAGTGATCAAGATCGGTTACGCTTAGCGCTTCAAAGAATTAGATTTGTTGGCCAAGCTTTCGTATCAGCCACAAGAGTCCAAGCATCATGCCGAATTTAAAAAATTGAAATCAATCTTGCAACGAAGAATCGACAAAGTTGAAATCTTACTACAGCGACCTGCTCTCTGCTGCGTTTGTCATTACATGACAGACCTCTATGCCGTCGGGGTATCCGTTAAACTCGAGGACGCACTCGAAGAAAACAATTTTCACCTCGAGGCTGTTAAATAACGAGCTGATAATGGCACGACGAGGGAGCTTTGCTTGCTCCTCACAAGGCTAAGTTGAGAGTAGAAGTAAGGCTCCCAAAACGTCGAATACTAGTCCCCTCTGTCGTCGTACCAACTCTTGCCCTTCCATTCAGGCTGGAAGACTGAAAAGCTGAAAAAGATGGAAAATGTGCGAAATATTCTTACTTTTTCTATATTCTCTGAGGGACGGGTACACGAAATTACAAACGAAAGGATAAGATAATGTCGAAATGTTGATCTAATCTAATCACTTCCTCTACTGGACCACGATGTTCACATTCTACGGATGGCTCGTCTGCCTATGGATAACGATAATACCATTCCAGTACGGGTACCATATCTCAGTACTGAATCAGCTGCATGCCGTGATAACTTGTTCTCCTCCACACTCGAAATCGTTACCGTCGTCGTTGCCAACATGCCTTCCAATGACAGAATTCGCATTCAGCGCAGTCACCGCGTCTTTCACGCTAGGCGGGCTCCTGGGGAGTCTGTTTGCGAACATTCTTACCGACAAGTACGGCCGCAAGTTTGCTGCCAACGTGAGTGGGGCTGTAATGGCGCTGGGTACCGCTATTATGGGGCTTGCTGCGGGAGTGCCTGCACTTTTCATTGGGCGGCTATTCGTAGGCGTCAGTGCAGGCCTTGGGCTCTGCGTTGCGCCGATATACATCGCAGAGATAGCACCTGCTAAGATCAAGGGAACGTTGGGTGTGCTCACCCAGCTTGGGATCGTGCTGGGCATATTCGGCACGCAGCTACTTGGGCTGAACTTGGCGGCGCCGACGACGTGGAGGTACGTCTTTGGATTTTCATTCGCAGTCGCCGTCACGCAAGTCGTACTGAGTGGCGGGATCGTGGAGAGCCCCCGTTGGCTGGGTGCAAGAGGTCGCCATGATTTTGAGACAGCTGTGGAAGCAAGGTTGTGGCGTGTTGAATCGGCGGGAGAGGACCGGGAAGCGCTCCTAAACGAGGCGCCAGACGACGTCGAGGAAAGGCGGGCCAAGGCCCAGACGCCGCCTATTGCGGTGCCAGATGTTTTATTGCGAACGCCTGCCGACTTGCGTGTGCCATTACTCGTAGTCTCGTCGGCAATGCTCGCGCAGCAAGTGTCGGGTATTAATGCGGTGCTTTACTATTCAAACGATATCCTGTCGAGCGCTCTTCCCGACCTTGGCCCTTACATTAGCCTCGGCATTACTGTCGTAAATGTTCTCATGACCTTCCCGCCCATCGTCCTGATTGAGGTATTCCTTTCAAGTTCTTCAATATTCGTATGGCTAACAGTATCATAGCGATGGGGCCGCAAACGTCTCCTCCTTCTGTCCACTCTCGGCGCTCTTCTCTCCCTCATTACAGTTGGTGTCTCTTTAAACTATACCTGGAAGACATCTGCTTCAATCGCCATCATCACATTCGTCATGTCTTTCGCTGTTGGACTCGGACCTATCCCTTTTGTTATGATACCAGAGGTATCACCGTTCTATGCCGTTTCTGCACTCTCATCCATTGCACTTTCTCTCAACTGGATCGCAAACTTCTTGGTCGGTCTCGCTTTCCTACCCCTTCGCAGGTTTTTGAGCGGCGGCGAAGAAACTAAGCAGGGAAGGGTCTTTTGGGTCTTTGCCGTTGTCCTGGCAGTCACTATGACTATTGTAACTAAGGGCTATAAAGGAAGATAAAAACATAGGAATCGGCTTCTTGATGTTTACTCATCATCATCTTCCCTGTAAAGGCGAGTAGCATAGAAAAATGGAAGGTCCCTGGCTTGAGAATGATTTCAGGCTATCGTTCCAGTTGGAAGAAAGAGAGTGAGACAACGTACCAGGACGACCTTGTAATACTTTCCCAAGTGTATCGGACTTATCCAAATACTGGACCATTCGGAACCTCCAGACATACCTCGAGTGTTCATCTACGGTACAAACTAGTTTGTATGCATGACTGTCCACGCAGACGAGAAGACGACTGAGCCTTGCGGGACCGGGTATCTCTGTAGATTTCACGGAGGCCGTGAAGCGCACTGTCGCGATACGATTACAGACTTGCGTGAAGCTGGCGCCCGCCGGAATATCCATGGTAGAGAAAAACCGTAGGATATAAAGGTCTGGCCATTGAAGTGATGATAGTATATTAAGCATACGCGTCTGTAGGTTTCCCCTCAGCATCACAGAAATAAGCTGACAGCAGAACTCCTACCACGACATCATCATCGTCCGCGGCACTCACCCCCTGCAGACCAACTGGAATATGAAGCTCAGTTAGGTTACGACATCGACACAGTTGGTCCAGCACGTATTTGTCTAGACCCCAGACGGGTCCAGCACACCGCTTTGGATGAACCCACAGCTCCTCGATGGTTCTCGCATGCTTTGGAAGGACGTCATGATAGAATTGCTCCGCATGTGCATCCTTATCGTTCGTATGAATTTTTAACCGCTCCAAGCCCTCATAAGAGCCGAGATAATCCAACAAAGCACAACTCGTGGAACACACGCACAGCTCCGTCAGACGGATACCCTCTCCACGCAAGAAGTCCCACAGGTCCCTAGGAATCTTCTCATCAGAAAAATTGAGGTTCAGGGCCTTGAGATGTCGCAGGCGCGCAAGCGGCAATTTTGGACCTAAACGGAGGCCCCCGACAGAAAGCTGCTCAAAATGAGTGACCGTTCCTGGCGGAATTTTGGCGAATAGAATAGAGAGCGATAAAGTGCCTTGCATGTTGGCTTGGGCGCTGGTTTGAGGACTGTACATATGAATACGAAGGATTTTCAACTTGGGGTTTCTTGCAATGACGTCTGGTAGTAAATCCAGCCCCGCGGAGGTATAGCAGTCAAGAAGAATGCTATGAATATGCGTCATGTCTGTGAAGAGAGAAAGACACTTCCAATGGCATTTCAGGTCAACAGGCATTGGTTTATGGGGAGCTAGACGCATAACAGTGCCAATGAAGCGTCGAGGGATAGGATGGGTGACGTCCCAGCTTCAAGGGCTTGGATTCAATATTTCGCGTTTTTACAAAGAGCACAAAAACCCACGTGATCTTCTTCAAGGCCACCATGAAAGGAAGTGATGCGTAAATCCGCTCCTCAAGGCGGCGCTGAGACTTGATTATGCCATTCCAAAATGCTTGGTGCTTGGGTCTACCAGCGTTGTCAGGATGTGAGTGTATCCAGAGCTGCTTGACGTGTTTCCCGATGGATAAATGTCGGCCATCAGTTTCAGGCGCTATAATGACTTTAAGAACGGAGAGATTTCGCTGATAGCGATCGATGCTGTTGAGGTGTACGTGGACGGTGCTGTATACGAAAGGAAACGCCAGAACGTCAAGATTTTTGCAAGTCAAGCGACAGATTTTGAGGTCTTCGGTAGTCAACTGTACAAAAAAGGTTGGTTATCGCCATGAGTACTACATACAGCCTGTTCAACTGACATGCCCAAGTATTTGTGCGGTGATTTCAGGAGGAAACTGCAGCATTATCGACAAATGAATGATATTTCCAAAGCTTCGGACCGCTCAGATCTTTCCTGGGCAGACGCCAGAAGTTTTGGGAACAGAGTTCGAGTTGAAGAAACGGATGATCCCGTGATGTCGGAATAGATGACCCTGCCAACAGGGCACACTTCTGACGTTAGCCATGTTTTAAGTGACATGCTCACCTGCGTCCTGCTCAAAATACTACTATATGTCAAAGCAACAGCTATTTTATCCTTTCTGCTCTCTCCGTTTCTAACTTTCCCTACCTGTGCTCAGCTAAACGAGCAAGCTGATGATGATGCAACATGCCAGCAAAATAGGATCTTTTGGCTCTTGAATCGTCCAAGTCGCGCTCCGTTGTCGCATAACAAGACTTGTCTCTTGACTTCGTACAGCGACAGGCTTGCTACCGAAGACCCCCGACCTCATGTTCAACAAAACAGTTTTACTACTTGTGAAGATATGGTTGGATTCACTCTGTAGTTCATATACAAAGATTTTCCAATTTCCGGCGCTTTTGTTGGATGCCATGCGGTTCAGCGATCTGAAGGGGTCTTACTGAGGTTGAGATTCACGGAGATCATTACTGGTGCTGAAGCTATGTAGTGATTGCACTGGTCTAATCATTTATATACAAGATTACAGCTTAGGTGAAGGACAGCCAAGGCCTCAAAGACATGAAGTATTGTCTAAAATATAATGCGTACATCTCTCGTAACCAGAGGATGCCGCGACGAATCCGACGATACTTGGATAGATAGCGGAGCACTAGTAGATAGCGGTAGTGGAGGGTACGAAGCCCATCACTTTAAGGAATCAGCAGGCAAGCCTTTCCACCTATCAAAGGTTTCGTGGTCATCAGGATCAGGTATCATTGGAGGGCAGGCTTGCAACTGTTCTTCGGTGAGTGATGGGTACATGTCTTCGAAGAATTTCAAGGCCTGTGCAGCAGTGAATCATCTTTTGCAATCATGAGTGACCATCACGTCAAGTAAGGGCGCAAGAAAAGGAGCGTAGAGCAGCACGTGCTGTGGGGAGAAGAACAATCAGTCGCATCATAGAACAAGCCATAAACTACCCAAATCTAAAATGACCGGCACAATTGGAATCCAAGCAATGCGACATCAAAGGCAAAAGGATCGTAGTCGGGTTCTCCCTGGGCAGTATCGTGCACAGCCCAATAGTTTGTGCCATCCCATGACTTCCAGCAAGGAAGACAGCACTCAGATTGTGGAACGTCAAGGGGAAATATGACAGAGATGTCGAAATCAATATAAGCATAGGTAAGTACTCCTGTGCGGCGCACAGACCGATGAAAGGCCGCAGTGCGATAGTTCCTGATATAGTGAGCATCATGCGCATGGTTCACTAGTGTATTGCCCTCTTTAATATCCTGTTAAGTGTCAATGAAGCAATTTGATGGCTATCAGTTGCATCTCTCGGTCTTGCACAAACCAAATGCTGCTCTGTGTACGAACCAAAAGTTAGATGTGCATGGGACTGAAGGAGGCCCATGCAGATCCAGACGGCATGTTACTGGAAAGATAATTCTCGCCGCAATCGCCGTAGTACTCAAGAGAATGGTTCTCCTTGTAGGCCTAGAGAAGAGGAGACTTGGCAGACAAGTCGGGCTCCGGAAACGGACGAGGGGTTCCATAGGGTAATGATATGGGCTCCCCCTTGTGAAACTGGGGGTGGTAGAGAAAATAACCTCGCTCGGCAGACCAACCGCATGGATTGCCACCATTTGCGTCGTTTGTCAAGGGTTTCGGGGTCACACTCTTCAAGAGGATCAAAGTCAAGGTGAGATAGAGTAAAGAAACAACATTTGTGAAAAGCTCACTGACATTACCGAAGAAAGTGACGAAGCAACGGAGCCATGCGAAAATGATAGGCACCAGTCGAACAGATAAATCGACCCTAAATTCTTTTCCCGTATGTTGAAACTGCCGAGGCTATTCCAAGAATATGTAAGATACACCTCAAAGGCGCGTAAGGAGTCAAATGCTGGGGATCGGTTTTACAATTTCCAATAGGGCCGTGGGAATTTTCACTTTGTTGTCTCTTACTTCCAAATTCTATGGCGTCGCGTTTGGTGATCCCCAGAGCTCGAGTGACTTTGGGAAATATTGGACCGGCCTCTGGATCGTTGCATCACGTACGAATTTGGTCCAATGCTCTGACTTGCAGCTGACTTTCTTCAGCAAAAACGTGTCGGAAGAGGCCAAGGCTCGAATCATGGAGGAACGGCTGGACGCGGTAACAACGGTCAGAAGAGTCGTTCCGGCCCAGGTATCAAGCCAGGATTTGAAGGTGGTCAGACTCCCATAACAAGGCGATTTCCAAAGAGAGGCTTTTACAATCAGTGCGTATCCTTATCTTCGGTCCATTCGAGTGGTTCACCCGTTTTGCAGGAATACCAAAACATGGGCGCCAGTGAATCTCGAACGACTTCAGTTTTGGATTGATCAAGGACGAATAACGTCGAGTCCTGAAAAACCTATCACTGCAAGGGAGCTGCTGCTATCGGGATGCATACACGATGCCCACGACGGCGTCAAGATCCTGGGCGATGTACGTTTCTGTGCTGTCGGAATCAGGACCATCTATATTGATATTACCAGGGTGCCGAGCATTTCAAGTCCAAGATTTATATCACCCCTGCCCGAGCATCCAAAACAGCTGTCAGCGCCATTGAGAAACTAGGAGGCACTGTGGTGTGCAAGTATTATACCCCACAGTCATTGAGGGATTGTCTGAAAGGTCGTACGGATCGCATCGAGGCTGCTCCAACGCGTCGTGACGATATCAGTACGTTATCAACATATCATTCAGTCTTCAAGCTACTAAGTTATCCCGGAAAGTTTGGTACGGGCGTTATCGAAATCGTGGATACATTGCACCTCAGACACTGGATGCTGCTGGCAATCTACCATTTATCGAAGACAGGTGGAAAGTCCTCGCAAAGGAGCTTGGTGTCTGGAAAGACCAGAGATTTGACAAACAGAAGAAAAGATAGTATAGTACACTTGTTAATACATCACGAATCTGTTTCCATACGATCTGGAGAGATGCTTCTACTACGAGACCGGAATGGGGACGGTGACCGCGAACCCGACCGGGAACGAGAAGGGCTTCTGGAAATGAAACGACCCGCAGACGACAAGCTCCTGCTCCGACTTTGTGAGCGTGAACTCGTTCTGCTACTGCTCCTGCTGCGGCTTCTTCCCCGGTCGCTCTTGCCTTCCATTGCGTCCAGTAAGCGACTCTTTCTGGGACCAATGTCTCCGTTTTCTTCAAGGATCTGTCTTTTCGCTAGCCGTGGCAGAATAATATCGCAGACGCGTTCCTCTGTTAGCAGCGAATCCGCGAACTCGTCAATGAATGTAAGAGAGTAGCCGGCTGAAAAAAACTTAGATATAGAACAAGATATATGATGGGGCGTACCCATGTTCCGAAGCCGTAATTTTCTGTAGTCCTTCAGCAGTGGCTCGAGGAGATCGTACACCTCCACCGCGCGAAATGTCATCCGGATGTACATTGCTGCCAGAGCCCGTAGATATCTGAAGTAAAAGTCACCAAGAAGAAGAAAGAAGAAGAGAAAAGCCACGTACTTGAAATCCTCCGCCTGCAGATATTCAATGAGGATTTCTTTCTCAGGCTGGATCTGGAGCAACTTTAACAAGAGGCACATAAAATCTGTCGGTCGCTGGTTTCCGTATACACCTCCAATATATTTCAGTTCAATGGCCTTGTCAATGAGGCTTTCGGCTACAGGACGCAGTGAGTACGACGTACTGGATCGACGCTCGCGCTCACCAGTTAATGCAAAACAATGTTCTTTCCAGTAATTGGACTCGTAAATTCGGTTACGGATGACAGTCTCGACTAGATGCTAATATGATGAGCACGCTGTGCAGGATGGTGACGAGCGCCTACTTGTGGATTCTGGCCGTGGATGGCGAAGGAGCCGCTGACGGTGGTGTTGGCCATGGAAGCGTGATGATGAGTCGCGTGGTAGTCTCACTCAGTGCAACCTTGCCTCTGACCGTGACCTTCTCCTTGCCTTTCATAGCGAAATTGTTCTCTCACTGTCGTCGTCGTTCACGATGAACTCAACTCCAGCGCAGGGCCCATTGTCGATACCAACCCGCCTGACTGGCAATAGCAAACGACCGCGGTCATCATTTGGCTCTTCATTTTCCTTCGGTCCCCACAACATCATGGACTCATACATTGAAGACGGCAATTCGAGCACCATGTCCTACTCGAAATCCGTGGCACTTGACCCCAACCGTTCCATGCTCCCCGTATCACCACTTGGGCTTAGTCCGCGTCGCCAACGAAAGCGCAAGGACAGCTCAGCCCGGCCTCCACATCCTCTTACGATTGACACTACAGACGTGTTCCAAGGTCCTGAGGATGACGCAGACGACGAACAGGAGCAAGAATGGGGCATTATTGACCGCATGCGCCTCTGGCGACACGATGCCATGATGCAGCATCTCTACGAGACAGCGGCGTTTTGGGGGGACAAAATCCTAAGCTGGACGAGCAAGTCGCGTCTTTTTGTTTCTAATTTGCTGGATTGGCTCATGTGTTGTAGATGATCCAAACGACGCGTTTTGGCTCGCGCAGACATATTTCCAGATCCATCAGTATGCTAGGGCAGAGAAGCTGCTCACGCGCCCATTTCCTGTCCCTCCCATTACGATCACACTCCCATCGTCGGGGCCGCCTAACGGAAATACTTCTTTTCTTCCTCTTGATTCTGATAGGCCGTCGACTTCCTCAGTACGTTTACCCATGGGCCCGGGGACTTTATTAGGAAAAGCTGATGATACGCGTCCTGGGGTCGGAATGTCGAGGCTAGTAGATTTGAGTATCGCCTGTCGGTACCTTGCTGCTCAGTGTATGGTGAGACAAGGTAATTGGAATGCCGCGACAGAAATTCTTGGCGAAGCGAACCCTTTCCGCGATTCAGGCAAGTAAAACCATCTCCGATCAGTCATGCATCTAATTGTCATACAGTGAAAAGCGGCCCGTCGATACCGAATATCGATGGTGGCATCAAGGTGATTCATATCTGTCTGCGGTATGTACATCCACTCACAGTAACAGATTGAAGCGTCAATGTGTCACCTCCGCGGAATTGTTATGCAGAAAATCGGACGCGTCGACCAAGCGAAAGAATGCTTCATGGAAGCTCTCGGCCTCGACGTGAAATGCTATGAATCCTTTGAGAAACTTGTTAGCACTGAAATGATGACTTCAGATGAAGGTCGGAGGCAGTCCCTAATCATCCACCGATGTGTATTGACTACCTGTATCAGAGTGGGAGTTCGTGCAATCCCTCCCATATCAGGTGCAGACCCCGAAGGATGCAGAGCTTGTTCAACTTATGTATACTACTCGTCTGCGCAAGTACAAGCATGTGGAGGAACACGCTGTCACACGCCAAAAGCTTGTAGAACAGTATCATCTGGGTGACAACCCAGACGTTCTATTCAGCTTCGCCGACTCTCTATATCTCTCGTTTAGATGGCATGACTGTTTCACAATCACGTCACGGTACTTCATTTCCCCCCCTGCTACGTACTGGGCTGATCATTTGTTCCTGCAAGGATTCTGAGCCTGATTTCTATTCATGACCATACTTTGCCGTTGCACATTGCGTGTATGTTTCACATAAACCATTTGCACTCCAAACTCTTCCTTCTGGCGCATGATATGGTGGATAGGGAGCCAGACAACCCTTTGAGTTGGTACGCGGTCGGAGTATGGTATCTCGGCAATAAGAAGTGGTCGACAGCTAGGCAATATTTTGGGTAAGGCGTTCCAGCTCCCAACCCGCTTAAAGCCTGAACCGATATACTAGGAAAGCGAACTTACTGGATCCAAGGTTCGCACCAGCGTGGGTAGCCTTTGCACATACCTTTGCGTATGAGGATGAACATGATCATGCAATCACCGCTTACTCTACATGCGCGCGGATGTTTACGGGGTAGGTCCTCTGGTGTCTCTCCGGGCGCGTGAACTGAAGACTGTCGATTTAAGGACACATTTACCTTTAATGTTCATCGGTATGGAACATCTGACATTATCCAATATCAGCTTGGCCGAAGAGTCGCTGTCTGCTGCAAGGCATATGTGTGATACTGACCCTCTGCTAATCAACGAGCTGGGTGTGTTGACGTTCAGTCAGGGAAAGTGAGTGGTTTCCTATATAAGCAACACGTCTCTTACCCCTTGCTAGATATGATGATGCTGCCAGTCTATTCCAGCAGGCGTTGAAGCTTGCCGAAGTGACGCAGGGTTCGCGTATTAATTGGATATCTACTTATCTGAATCTGGGTACTGCTTATCGTAAACTAAGGTGCGTAGTTGAATGGTTGTTCTAGGGCGTTCACCTGAGGTAGTCAGAAGGCGTTTCAACGACGCCAAAGCGGCGTATCAGCAGGTACTTGACTTAGATCCCCACAATTCAGTTGCTTTGGGATTCATGGGAATGGTGCATCATCTACTTGGTAATGTCGACAAAGCCATCGAGATCTATCATGAAGTAGGAAATCATCCCTTTCACTCGCTAAATATTCTTAACCATCTTTTTCTCACAATACAGTCACTCAGCATTGATCCAGGGACCCATCAAGTCCTTGAACTTCTTGGCATGGCTTTGGAGGCGATCACAGCAGGAGGACCGAAAATGTCCGACGATGAATGGAAAAACATGCTCAAGTCAATGACAGAGAAATATTCCTCAAGTAGCAGTCATTCTCAGAAGGGCAAGGAAAGAGAGCAGCCTGACGTGCCTTTAGACATTGCTCCAGAGGACGACATGAATGTGGGATAGAGCACTGAAAGTACGGTGGGCGGAGCTCACGTACATATACAATTCGCAGACGGCACTATCATTTTTTGTATAAGCGAAGTCTACTCTATGTTATCAAACGTATGCACGTCCAAAGGGAATCTCCCTTAGCAGGTCCCCTACCTAATTTACGTAGTAAAAATACACCATTGCAAAGATAATTTCAATTGAGAAGGGAGGTGTAATATAATCTTAACTTCAATAAGTAAACACAAGGGGAAAAATGATTAGAAGATAACGAAAGTCAACTAATAGCTCTGAGTCGTGGTGGGTAGGACAGGCGTGCGTGAACCATTTCGCACATCTGTGACAGCGGCGTCACCATTCTGAGGCACCGCGGTTGCAAGATTTGTCCATTGCGGTCTCATGGCGGGAGGAATGTATTTCGCCATTTCCGGACTGGTCGTCGCAAATGCCGACTTGAGCTGCTGGAGTTGTTGCAAGCTCAGGCCATTTCCAGACCGTCCATCTTGAATTTCACCCTTAGGGATATCAATATGTGGCATGGTAATGGCAGCACGACCGATACCATTGGTGGTCGTCGGAGTCGGAGTCGGAGCGGTGGTAGGAGATTGGACAACAGAGGATAAGCTGATGTTCTGCGTCACACCAGCTGAAGGCGCTTGTTGTATTGCAACGGGAGCTGAAATCGGCGGCGGGTGCGGTGGTTGGATTGGATGACGAACCCCTACGGTCGTGGGAATACCTAACCTGAAAGGAACCACCACCTCTCTAGCACCATCTCTATGAACTATGAGTGACTGGTCATTCATAACCGCCTGGTCAACATCAGCCATGATTCGCATTGAGTGGCGCAGGTATCTGCAGAAGAGAAAATTAGTCGGAATCCACTTGAAGCAAGAGACATAGGTACTCACTTGACATCGTAGTCATCCACAAGAATACGATCATGTTCATCGCTTCCTCCTGCAAGCATCGCAGGCTCATCGTCTGCATCGAAACGCCACCGTTCTTCCATTCTTCTGTCTTCGTCGGCATCCGTAACATCGTCAGGCTGGTTGCGCCGATAGTTTCTTCGGTTAACGCCACGGCGATCCACGTGCATCCGTCCACCGCGACCAGTACGTAGACGAATAGGCATTGGCCGCCTGCTTGTAGACGGGCCTGCCTCCAAGTCTGAGTCCAATGCTATCGCTACACCCAGCCTAGGCGATGGTGTCGTATTTGAAGGTGGCATAAATTTGAACAGACGTGAAGCATAGGATGGCAGAGGTGCATAATGAGGATTCTATAAAACAGGAAGTCAGAAGATCATGGCTGGCACGACAGAACAACCGACCTCAATGACATCTTCCATGTTTTGGGCGAAGTTATTCGTCCTCACTCTTTGCATAGCAGACTCAATCTCCTCGGATAGAATACATAACCGCTTGCTTGGGCGTATAGCTGGTTCGGCACGTATAATGGGCATTGGAGCAACTGACTCCCGTTTCGTGGTAGAAAGGCGAGGCAGACGGCTGCGTGCAAAACAATCGATGAGACAAAAGAATACACAGGGTCGGAAATACTGACGGCTCGGGTTTCTTGACAGGCTTTTCCTTATCGACTAGCAAATCAACATCGGTCTTATCGCCAAAAGAAGGATTCTTTTGCTTTAACTCAGCAAGGGCAATTCGTCGCTCCCAAACACTCTTATGTAGTTGAACAAAGGTGAACTTGTGTTTTTCTCGCTCCAAAACGCGATTTGCTATATCCAAGGGATCGGCCAACTGCTTGCTTAAGGCAGCAAGTTTGTCGGAAGAATTAGCCTGAGAAGCGCGTGTCTTGCGGACGGCTTTCACTTCACGCTGCCGGAAGCAGACATACGATTCGTTCAGGGTATCCTGTTCATCAAACTGTAACTCCGTCAGTCGGCATTGGACACTAGATTAGGATGGCAAACATACGTTGAGAATCGGCGTAATTCTGAGGCCTCCACGTTCAAGACGACGCTCCTTCCAATGGGGATATATCAAACGTGCAATACGCAATAACTGTGAAGGCGGTGGAACCCAAGAAGGAACTTTGAACGCAGAAAAATAAGTCGGTGAAAGCTCGTTAGAAAAAGTATCTTGGTAATTTGAGAAATCCGGAAAAGGCATGCCGGCACTGAGACTCTGTCGAAGAGGTTGAGAAAGCTGAGGTCGCCTAAATAACGATATACGAACGTGATGCAGATATTCTGTCTCTTCATGTGTGATTAACTCGAAAAGACCCATCACAAGCTCGAACTGATCGTTAGATATCTCAATTGGCGAGTGGTTGTCAGATTCCTTTCCATTGGCCTTGGTGCTACGCCCTGAGGTTCGTGTACCTGAGTTGAGCGCTGCCCGACTGCTGGTGCCCACCCCTCGGGCCTCCTCATTATTTTTGCCAAGCCACTCCTCGTCTTTCTCATCCATATAATACGTAGCCCCGTGTGCAAGGCCACCGGAGACAGATTCTTCCACTGTACGTGATGAGAAGATATATGGTACGGGATCCGACCATCGGTTTGGTGGATATAAGGCTTCATAGTTATCGACAACACCGGTGGAGTCGGGTGTCGGAATGAACACTGACGATGAGCGGGAGTTTCCAACGTCGACGCCTCGCACTGTTTGAGCGCGAGTGGATGCTGCAGAGAGAACTTGCTGCAAGTGATGCTCCTAGAACGAGGATGAGTAAGCTGAACCGTGGACGACACTGCCACCGCCACTAAGTGACATAGCCGCATCTGATTGGCTGAGCGCGACTACTCACATTTACATCGTCTTGATCGACGCCTGCAACACTCTGGAGCAATCGGTTCTTCTCCTCGTCTTCATCAAGTATAATTGGTTCCACCGCGACATCCCCACGCACGATTTTGAGACGACTTTTGTTGGTAATCCGGTTGCGGTTCCTGCTGGACGGCAACGGCGGTTGCGGGCGGCCCATAGCATTGAGGATGAGAGGAGAAAGGAAAAATAAAGGCGGCCTGAAATTGAGGACGGTGTCGCTGTATTTTGAGGTGGGCGGCGCTGACACTGGCCTTGTTCTGCGAGAGGCGCGTCGTCGGATTTGCCGAAAATGTTTTCGGCAACTTCGGCGGAAACTCGCTATTTGCACGTAAATACATTATGTCATATGATGGCATTTCTATTTTGGGCCATAAAGACGGGATTCTGCGATTGTTCAAGCAATCGCATTTGGCCAGCGGTATTGAAAACCGTACCTTTATACAAAGAGCTACCTTAAATTCACCATTCAGGCCTCTAGAAGCAATCCGCAGTCAGTCCACCGACAAACGGTATGGTAGCGTACGTACGACTGTCGGAGCATCAACACGATGTATAGAACCAGGAAAAAAGTCGGCAGGCAAAAACTGGAACGGTGTACTATGTTAATCTGAATGAAGAACGGTTGTGAGAATTGAGAAGGCAGATTGTGTGTGCTGCTCACCATCATCTGACTTCAACATGTCGACCCTTCCAGTCTTCCCTAAGACTGTCCTCAACAAGCGCGTCCAGCTCCTTGACCTTGGTCACAGCGATATTGATGACACTCAACACACCATCTGCAACCAAAGGGACACCGCCCATCTTTTGAACAACGCACAACTCTCGCTGTGCGTTCAATGCGACGGACATCAGGCCGGCACTCAATCGCTGTTCTAGAAGTGTGGGATCTAAAACTGGTTGGGTTGTCTCATCGGGAAAGAAGGCAAAGGTGAGGCAGAAGGGCGTGTGATGGATGGCAAGGGGTACTGGAGCCCGCTCTGACGGCGAATGCTGTAAAGACGAAAGTAAGGAGCTGGTGAGGTGAGAGTGTGTGTCTAAGAGAAGACGTACCACGGTAACTTCATCTCCGATGACTTCAACCTCGGGTCGCCGGAAATGCTTGAGAGCGACGATACCCGCTAGACATGCGCAATCGAGCATATTTCCTGCATCTGACAAAAAATGCAAGGTCAATCGAAGGTGCCAGACCTATCAGGAAGAATATGAGGATGAAGATATGACTGATGAAAGAAGCAACTCACTCTCTGGCCAGCCAGAATGCAAAGCGATTCCTTGTCGATGGCATCGCTGCGCCTGAGCACCTTATCCAGCATTCGAGTAATAGTAATCTCTTCCTCTGAAGGTCTGGAAAGGCGTCAGATACGGCCTGAGGTCAATTATAAAGATACGCACCTACCGACCAAGTTCATACTCGCTGGAGGCCATCGGTGATATTTCCGAATGGATGGTGAGAAGCCCTTCAAAAGGCCGCTCAGGCAGAGGTTTGACCATTTTTGCATCAACGTTCGCTATTACTCTACGGCGAGGAAAATATGAACAATGGAAGCAAACGTAGTGCCAGTGGCTCACCGTGTTTTTCCCAGAGCACATTCTACGTAGCCCAGCTCTGAGCCATATGTCAATCTCGGAGATCGTAGTTCAAGAGGCTGGCGGCCATCCAAGCGCAAAGATTGCTTGAGCGCCTCGTAGACAAACTCTTTTTCTGGTATGGACGGGGATGGTGGGCGCATGATGAAGAAACCAAGGTGAGACTAAAACAGGAACTAAAAAGGGCACGTGGAGTTTATTTATTTATTGTTCTTATTTCTACCAATCTCCAAATTGCCGTTCAATTTCTTCGATCCATTTAGTTTGACGCTCAGCCCTCGAGCGACACTCAGATTGCTCTTGTTCCTTCCGTCCATCATCCCCATTACATCCAACAATAATTAACTATGCCAGGCGACGAAACACTGCAAAAACATCAAGAGGACTCTGACTCGGACGTCGAGGATGACGATGTCGCAGATGTGATTCCCAAAATCGATGTTGACCCCTCAAAACTCACGCCATTGTCACCAGAGGTGATATCAAAACAGGTATGGTGAAAATGTCTTTCTCCATGTGGTGCATTTTGACTCATTCTTATGCAGGCTACAATCAACTTGGGTATGCACGATCCTCTTGCTCCAAGCGTGCTATCTGATTGAGGGACCACAGGTACCATTGGTCATGTCGCCCACGGAAAATCGACAGTCGTAAAGGCTATCTCCGGTGTTCAGACTGTCCGGTTCAAGAACGAACTAGTGCGGAATATTACTATCAAGCTTGGCTATGCCAATGCCAAAGTGCGCGACCATATCCGTTCAGTTGATTAAGAAAGGTTGTTCATCGTATATAGATATACAAATGCGAAAACGATGCTTGCCCACGACCCGGATGTTACCGCTCGTACAGATCCGACAAAGAGGACAACCCACCTTGTGAACGACCAGGATGCGGCCATCGGATGAAACTCATCCGGCATGTTTCCTTCGTTGATTGTCCAGGACACGACATTCTCATGGCCACCATGTTGAACGGTGCTGCAGTAATGGACGCCGCTCTGTTGCTGGTCGCGGGTAACGAAACATGCCCTCAACCGCAAACGTCCGAGCATCTTGCAGCGGTTGAAATCATGAAATTAGAGAACATTATTATTCTCCAAAACAAGGTCGATTTGATCAAAGAGACTCAGGCCTTAGAGCATCAAAAGAGCATCGTTGCCTTTGTCAAAGGTGCGGATTCTTTATCATGCTCTATATCTTGCTAATATAGAATCCAGGCACCGTCGCTGAATCGTCACCCATCGTGCCCATATCGGCCCAGTTGAAATACAACATTGATGCTGTCAACGAGTACATCGTGAAGCGTATCCCAATTCCCGTTCGCGATTTTACTTCAGATCCAAGACTCATTGTTATCCGGTCCTTTGACGTGAACAAGCCAGGGTCGGAAGTAGACGATCTCAAAGGCGGTGTTGCTGGAGGGTCAATTCTCACCGGTGTACTTCGTCTCGGTCAAGAAGTAGAGATTCGACCTGGTATTGTGACGAAGGACAACGCAGGGCGTAACAAGTGTCAGCCCATCTTCAGTCGAATTATGTCACTGCACGCGGAGAACAACTTGCTGCAATTCGCTGTTCCGGGCGGGCTCATTGGCGTTGGTACGAGAATAGACCCTACGCTTTGCAGAGCGGATCGTCTTGTCGGGCAGGTCCTGGGTGCGGTTGGGAAGTTGCCCAAGATTTTTACAGGTAAACTTGCCACACGTTACATGGACTCGCACTATCACTGACGGATTTTTCGTAGAGCTTGAAATCAGTCTCTTCTTACTTCGTCGTCTATTGGGTGTCAAGACGGAGGATAAGAAACAAACCAAAGTTAGCAAACTCGTCAAGAGTGAATTACTTTTGATAAACATCGGATCAACCTCTACGGGTGGCAGAGTTCTCAGCGCCAAAGCTGACTTGGCTAAGATCCAATTGACTTCTCCCGCCTGTACGGAAGTAGGTGAGAAAGTCGCACTGTCAAGGAGAATCGAGAAGCATTGGAGACTGGTTGGTAGGTAGTCTTCTGTTAAAACTTTTCTTTCTGTTTCTGAGATATCTCTACAGGTTGGGGAAGTGTACAACGTGGTACAGTTCTGGAGGTAGACTAATACACAATGCTAGACGTGTATGTATATGTAGCGTGTTACACCCTCACCCATCGATTGTACTTGCTTTTTAAACTATCGAACCGATGAGATTGGTTGCCTCATGCTGTTTTCCTATCTTCTGGTCGAACCGGAAGCTTCAATCTGAATTGTTATTTTTCCCTCATGCTTCCTGCATATTTGACGAAGTGTGTGGAACGAGTGGGCATACTAACAGTCGACGAGACCCCAGTATCGATTACTCAACGACCTTCTGTAGGCTGGAGAAGTTAACCTCTTATGTGCGACCATCTTGCAGCCCAAGAAATCCTGTTTCTGCCGTAGCTGCAGTCTCCTTTACATACAAGTCGATGCCATTCCCGTCAGCTCGAATTTCATTAGAACGCCACGCCTGAATAAAGGAGCCTCTAACTTGGTCAAAGCGCTTACCACAGCACTTGGAAGATCATCTTTACTGCGTAAAATCGTTGACATTCTTCGAGAACCCTGATACCTACGGTCTGGAAGGCAGACTTCCTTATAACTATTAATGATTAGTCTAAAGAGCAGCCTGCAGGTAGTTTAGTTTTCCGAAGATGGGTTCGCTGATGGGAGCAACAACCGCAGAAGGGGTACCGCAGTCTACTGAATACACACTCACCATTGTGTTACATTACGCGCCAATGAGTGTTTCGCCTATGACAAGCATGATTCAGAGGTTCAGAGAACAAAACTATTCATACCAGGAATTCCAGGATCTCCATTCAGGCATTTGACACCGTCGGCGACCCTGTACAAGACCTGTGATTCAATTGATGGAAATGCATATGTAGACCATGCACATTAGGGTGAATAAAGGAAAGCTCGTTCTGCCCAGTTTGTTGTTGAGTCAATCAAAAGCTTCAGAGTGATGGCGCCGTCAGTTACGCGCGTGGAGACGAACAGAGGCTCAAAAGAGGCAGATGGCAGCGATAGACGGACATAATGCCAACTCCCAAGTGGAAGGACGCGCAACTTCAAGAGATCAATCCCGGAGGCCAAAGCTGCAAATATAGCTGCCATGGCAGGCAAGAAACCAGTCTCAGTGCCTCAACTGGCTTTCTTTATCCATCAAGCCCGACATCTTTCTCGCAACCAAGAGATTGTTCAGCGCCACAACAAACAAGATTTCAACAACTAAAATGATTATGAGCAAGATCGATTCGTTGTATCCATGATACCACTGCATGTCAGGCAATGGCCTACAAAATTTCAGGCACTAAGTTTGTAAAACAGTGTACATGCTGTGCTTGAAGCGGGTATGCTTAGTCCGATTTCGTTTTCCCAAAGATTGGGGCAAGGTGCTCCTGGATGGGGGCAGCCACCGTAGAAGGGGCATCATAGTCCACTGAGTACACGCTTACCGCGGTCTTGCATTCTGCACTGGTAAGCGTTTCACCTATATAAACTGTGTTCAATGGTTTTTTTCCGGCAAAAGCGGAGATGAATCATACCGGGAAGTTGGGGATTCCCATTTAAGGCGATGTTGAGGCCGTCAGCTACCCTATAGCAAAGATGTTCAATGAAGGCAACGGAGTGTATACTGTAGATCACGTACAAGTCAGTAGATACAGGAAACCCTGTTGTCGGGTCAATCGAAAGACGGTCGATGACAGCACCGCCAGTCATACGCGTCGAAATGAATGGAGGCTACGAAGATGTGAGCAGGAGGAATGGTCATCATGACGATTAGAAACAGCTTACAGCTACACAAGGGTTTCCTGGTCCAAATACAGGCATATTGATCCTGACATACGGTTCATTTGACTGAGAGCGACGAGAAGGAACAATAGACGAACCCAATACCAACACCGAGGGGGAGAAGGCGGGACTTTGTGAAATCGACACTTTGGGCAAGAGCAGCAACAAAGTTGGCTGTCAACTGCATACGGTGATGAGAATGAGTAAACGGAACCCACAAAAGTAAAAGTAACCTGAGCGGCGATGTTAGCCGGATCGTCCTCTGCGCCTGTGTTGGTCGTGAATGAGCGATGAGTACCGTTGCCCGCAGATACAGCTATTGCCGGTATCTAGACATGAATCAGACATGAAACGACCACAAGGGTGAGGTTCGCGTACCCCTCGCTCAACGGACGTGTAGGACGCGCCGATAGTGCCGCTAAGGGTGTACACGAACGGGCCATTGTTGCTGCCCTCGTTTGGACCAGAGACGACAAGGTCAATGGGCTTGTCGCCAAAGCGCATAGGAGCGATGATGTCAATGCCGAACACTGCTGAGGCCGCGGGTGTTCCATTGAAATACCCTGGTATTCTTCAGTGCCATGTATGCGCTGCACGACAGGAAGAAAAGCGTACATAGGTTCTGGTCATTCTCGTCATGACCAAAGTAGGGTGCACCGACAGGTATTGAGCCAAATTCTCCGCCAGGCGGTGTTATGTTGGTGGTGGGAAGGACAAAGGTGCCTCCTCGGCCAGACTGTTGCACGGCGGGCCTTGATACTTGGATGTCAGGTTGCGGTAGGCGGTATCACTGAATAGGTGCTCACGCTACCAAGAGGACGTTATGGCCGTCTGCCTTGAGAGCAGAGTACGTCGCTCTGATGTTTGCCGACGCCCAACTATCATCGTTGGTCAAGAGGATATTCAACGACGAGCTCTTTGAGTCACAGTGCGCAGGGAGCGAGAAGGCGGTGAGCAGGATGGCAGGGAAAAAGATAGCGAGCATGACGGGTACTGGAAACTGAATACATTGGCTCTTATGAAGAGCATACTGTAGCAGATGGAGATCACCGTTCAAGCTGCGAGCCAATGAGCCCGTGCACGTTTGCGTAATCATCGGTAAACAAATCAAAGACCGGTGTCCTCTATGTAAGCAAGATTTGTAGCCTTGTTGCATTTACTTCACTTGGTTATCGACCTTTTTGTCTTCAAATAATAGTGATACGTCTAACCCTGAACGTGTGCTTGCATCCAGGACACCAATACCTTCCTTGCACAACAGCTTTGGATAATTTTTACCTGGTCCCTCGAAACATAGCGTTCTGCAGCTAAACTCCACCGACATGCTGCTGTTTTCCTTGTACGCAGTGCGCAAAGTACTTTTGCTGGCTCTCTCTGAGCAGTTGTATGCTTCATCTTGGTGGTCATCTTCTTCCGTGGTCTCAGACTGCACCTTCATCGTATCTGTGACTTCAAACTGTCCTTGTGGCCTGACTTTCCTTGAGGTAAATGTTATCCTCCTGTTCATCTTGCAGTCTCGCTGATTTTATGTGCAAAAGATTGGCTGTTCCAGCTGGTCTGTTGAGTAAAGTAAAGCACTGTACAATGTGGCAGTTTCCTCTGTACTTGCGGCGCTTAGACGAAAATGGTGGCCTTTCGTCGGATGAGTACCTTTTCTCCCCGCACACCGACACCTGTGGTCTCGTAGAGGTTTCTATACATTGTTACTCTTGTAGTAGAAAAGTGTCGAATGATAAAATGTGGTATGTAACAAGTATGGGACAGGAAAATGACGTTGAGCCACTTGCATCTTGACTATTGACACTCTGGTACTCCACTCGCCCTGCGGTCGTCCGACAAAAAAAATTGGCTGTTCTGTTTTCTCTGTGCGGCCGTGGCCTGTAAAGGCCCTTACTTGTATCTTTGGTACACAAGATGGCATCGACGGCGAGCGTATCAGCATACGTGCTGCCCCCAGGAGTCCCCGTCTGTCAGCCTCCTCACCTCGAGGGAGATGCTTCTCTTGCGACCGAAATTCTGCCAGGACCTCCTCCTCTAGGCCATACTCAGCAACAGCCAACGACCAAGAAGCCATCTACAATGTACTCGTCCCTCTGGCCCAATGATCCTGGCACCACCTACTCTGGCATCGTCCATGGCACCTTGATAGGCCAGGAATCGATGGACATCCTGAAGACTCGTGTCAGGGTGGATAAAAGGTCTGTCTGCTTTCAATTCGCTCTACGACATATGCTGACACTTTTCGTGGTGTTCTAACCCCCCTCCCCCTTCCTTGTCTTCCTTCACCCACCACCTCGTCACCTTGTCAGCGCCGTCACTGGCCGTGCCCAGCGTGCCTCTGCTCGCAACAACAACAATAGCGCTCCAACCGCCGACCCTCCTGACCCTCTTCACGCACAGTCGCCCCCCCATTCGCCGCCATCGGCCCCGGCAGCGGATTGGCCCATGTCCGGAATCGACGACGACGTGCCCGTATTGTCCCGTTCTACTTCATCCCAAAACTTGCAGGAGCTTCCTCCGACGAGCACCAACGGAAGGATGAAGAGAAAGGATAAAGGCAAAGGCAAGGAGATAGAGACGTCTGCTGTCAGAGTCAAAGAGGAGCCCCCGATGATATCTTTGCTCTCGCCCGAACCTGGGCATCTGGTGGGTTTTTTCTCTCCTTTCCTTTACTACTCTGATGCAGTACGGCGCCGAAGATGACCAACCAAGACCACTGCTCCGCCTGTCGCCAGCTGGGCAAACTCGTGTACTGCGACGGCTGTCCCAGGGCCTTTCACCTCTGGTGTCTTGATCCGCCGATAGAAAGCGTCGATGAGGGTGATAGTAGATGGTTTTGTCCGGCATGTAACATCCGCAGGGTAAGCATTTTCAGCACTTTTTTCTACTTTTCATCTTGACCCTAGTCTCAGGATCCTCCCAAAAAACCACCCGCTTCCCTTATATCTCCCCTGATTCATCTGGTCGATACCTCTATACCCTCAGAATTCCAACTTCCTGTCGACGTTCGAACGTTCTTTAAGGACGGTGAGTTAGATCTACGTGTCATTTATTTCAGCAATGTGACCTCCGTCTAGTTGCAACTGGTGACCGGGGGGCTTACGTTGATAGCTCAGAGTTAAAACCACCACGGCTCAAGTGCGTCTTAGTTTGTCGTTCTTGCCTTACGGGTACTGAGGTTGTTTACAGTCGGCATGGCCAATTAGAAGATCGCGATTCTTATCGATTAAAGGACAGGAACGGAGCTCCTGTTCTCTGCCATCGTTGTGGCACCTCTGCTCTTCCTGACAACGTAGCGGCTGCCGCACCGACCGCAAAACGTGCCCGAAGATCTACATCAAAAGGTGCACATTACGAGATGTGGAAACACATTGTATCCTGCGATTATTGTGATTTACATTGGCACCTGGATTGCTTGGATCCTCCTTTATCAACAATGCCACCTTTTACTAAAAAGTGGATGTGCCCTAATCATTCAGAACGAATCCTTGTCAGTACATCCATCCATCATTGCATTGCTACATCTCACACTCATTTAGCCTCCCCGACGTCGAATACCGAAGCAAAATGCGCCTCCCATCGAAATCACCAAACCCAGACAGTTTAACAACGGCAATATAGACGTCATTCCGTCTCAGCTTCCATCAACCGCTATATTACACCCCAAAGTCAGTGTGGACGAAGTCCTGATAAACGGGCGACGATATCGGGTTCCCGAACGTATCATTTTATTGGATTTCTGGAGTAAGGTTAATAAAACTGCCGTCTCGGGGTACGCCATATGCGTAATTGTATCCGAGAATCCGCACTGACGACGTTGCAGAGATGTGGAAGACGGTTCTCGAATGTCGTCGCCGCTGACATCTTTGAGTTCTTTGGACGATCTCGAGGATAGGCCTGGTCCATCTCAAACCGAAGACATAGCATTAGCGCAGGTGAGAAGGTTTCGTCTATTAGTGGATTCACATAGGGTCTCATACTTCTTTCTAAGATGCTTTGCGACTTCCGGCTGGGAACTTCAGGAAGTGATGCGCAGCCCTCAGCCTCGACTAATCTGAAGCGCACAGAGATTGCCAGGAAGAGTGCACCTAGGAATGTTGGTAGACCTCGGCTCATAAAGGTAAGGCAGTGACATGTCAGAAAGTCTTCTATCAGAGATTCAAAAGTGGACAGAAAATCCCAAGAAACGCGAATGGAGGTGCAAGCGCGTCAGGACCTACTGCTAAGCGGAAAAAGTCCACCCCTGTCATTACGGACCCGAGTGCGCGAGAGTTACGGTCTACAAGGACCAAAAACGGAGCTCCGTCAAAGGTATTGTCGTCGATATGATCATAGAGCACGTATTTATATGCATTTGCAGAGTTCTAGTCGACTGCCCGAAGATGTTAATCCAGTGGACCCACTGCCAGATCCTATTGCCCCGCCGAAAGCTACGAAGACCGTTCGTGTGAAGGTACCGGCTCCATCGTTTCTCCAAACCTCCCCACCTGACATTTTCTGTCACCCCACCAGGTGGAAGACACTGATGGTGGCTTGTCCGCATTGAGTAGAACGAACGGATCTACTGTTAAGGTAATGCTCATGGTTCGACTTCTTTTTTTTTCTTGATTGTTAACGTGAGACCCAGACCACGCGCACGAGAGCCATACGGCGACCGCCCGCCAAAGACGAAGACGTCGTTGATAAACCTAAGCGAGGTAGGAAGCGGCAGAGAGCGGATGAGGATGGTGATGATGATGGAGATCCTACTTACCATGGACCTAAAGGGAAGGCAGTCGGCAAATCAGCCTCAGCCTCAGCCCCAAAGAGCCGAAGAAAGTCAGCCCGTACACCTTCACATCCCGGGCCAGTTTCTGCTCCCCAGTCTGCTCTTACTAGCACCGCCACCACTCCAGGGACGTCTTCGCTAAAAATTCGACTCCCTCGGCTGAACACGCTGAATCCTCCCTCTGCTGGAGCCCATAACGAAGACACGTCTACCCGTGTGTAGGACGTTTCCGGTTGGGACTTGCTTCCGTTGCATAACGTCATCTCTTTGCTGATACTCATGATTATTTATTGCCTAATCATTGCAAGATTCATTGACATCCGCTCTTTTATCCTGCTTTCTGCGAACGCCTCACGTTCATGATCACTCGCGATTACCATCATAGACGTAGTTGACACAATATCTTGCCTGCCAGTGAATCAGTATAATGTTCATTCCCTGTGTGTAATCAAAAGGATAGAGTGCGTAGTGCAAGGATGACGCCGGACTGATGCTCAGCACAAAAATAACCATTGTCCTGTCGGTGCATCGGATGGTTTGGTAAGAGCTTCTGATTCTTGAATCAGCACGCCAATATTCTATACGATCGTGTAACGGAAAGCGTACCTCTACCGCTCTTTCAAGAGATTCTTCAATTGTGTCCTCACCCCAGACTGAACATCTTTCAATGCCAGCTTTGTTATTGGTGGCTCTATGCGAATATTACTGGGCCAATTATCGCCGGCTTTTGCTTTTCGCTCGAGGAGAATGTCGATGAGGGCAGGCGGCTTGACTTCCGGGGGTCGCTCGGCGGATGAGGGAACGAACCTCTGCGTGAGCTCGACGGACGACCGAGGAACAAGACGAATCAATCTTGCAGTTGACGGCCGCATATACTTGGGTAGCTTTATAGAGTCGCAAGGACTGAGATTGCGTAGTCACGGTATGAAAAGGAAAGCTGCTCACCGAAATTCAGAGCGAAGGAATGTTGCGTGATGTGACACATTGTGACGTCGCAACTTTTATCTCCATCTTCTTTATCTTATCTCTCCCCTTATCTTCTTCACATCAACTGTATATATGTGGTATGTGCTCCTACACCTTAATACAGCCATAGCTTTCGACCGTACTATAGGTACCAATATGCCTTTTGATACCAGCGGATGGGTTTCTTTCCGTCGCCCAAAAGGTACAGCGATCCCTCCTCGAAGCTAGGACATCCAACTTTATTGAGGGCTACCTGTCCGTTGCTGGGCATCATATGCTGCGCGCTGCAAACGAAGACAAGAAGTTCTTCTCTTTGGTCCCGATTCGAAGATACTATCGGCGAACTCTAATTTGTCGTAAGCTATTTTCTGTTTCAAGATGGAACATTGATGGGATGACCTGTGCCAGCTTCAACTGGCGTTATTCCTGATGAAACAGGTACGGAGCTGTCACTGGGGGTTCCGGAGGATATGTATGATATGGTGATGAAGACCTTAAGAGTCGGATTTTGTGCATTTTGATTTTCCGCATAATATAAGCTCGTAATAGTAGTAATCGCAAGCATGTCGTTCATGTGACCGGGAGTAGTAATTGCAGTTACGTCGAGACCTTTACGTTACATAACACATCTTGTGTACGAACCACGACATCCTAGCATTTATCAGAGATGGATCATCTTGTTAAGGAATGGCTGCGAATAGACAGGGTATCTCGTTTACTTTGTGTACTGAAGAAAGATGGCTGGATTTCTACCCAGAACGAAGCTACTAGAAGCGAGATCCAGGAGTTATGGGAGGCGGGCAACGAGGAAGAATTGGAGAAAAGGATGAGGTAGGTAACGGGCACGCGCTCATTAATCCGCGCTGACCATCGCTCCAGGAAACGAATAGAGTTTGGAACAGCAGGCACGTATTAGAATCCTCAAGAATCGTTAGACATGCCAGCTTACCATTTATTACTTACAAAGGTCTACGAGGAAGAATGGAGGCCGGGTGGTCCCGTATGAATGGTAAGATGGTCCCTCCTACGCGGCTCTCAATTCACAAAATCAAGATATATTTTAGACCTTATTATCATTCAAGCCTCGCAAGTGCGTTTCGTTCATGACCCATTCATGCTCCTCGTACTACAAATCTGTCTAAGGGACTGTGCCAATACGTCCTTTCTCATGTCAAAGACGCCGTTTCTCGGGGTGTTGTTATAGGGCATGACCACCGTCACAATTCAGAACATTGGGCCCAGTTGACGGCAGCTACTTTCCTAACCAGCAATGTTAAAGTTTACCTTCACCGAGGCTTGGTTCACACCCCGATGTAAGGCTACTTATTTATTCCACTAGGAGTGCTTATAGCGGTTTCGCCACAGGGTGCCCTTCAGTGTTAAGAAGTTGAACGCTGCTTGTGGTGTCATGATCACTGGTACGCACTTTTCGTTGATCTAGTACATTGACTCATAAAATTTCTAGCCAGCCATAATCCAAAGGTTCAGTGACATCATTCTGTCTACCTCAAGAATGGCTCAATATCTGAACTGAACAGCAAGATAATGGATACAAGGTCCCTGATTAGCCATTCTTGGACGAAACCACTTTTGATGATCCTCATTATAGGTATACTGGGAGAATGCAGTACAGGTTCGTTCTAACGCGTCATTTCCTACGATAATTCAAATGAAGGGTAGATTATCGCTCCTCACGATGCCGGAATATCCGAATCCATCAAGGCCAACCTCGAACCTAAGACGTGGGATGTTGCGAACATCACTTCTTCTAACCTCTGCCTTGACAGAACGGCCCAGATGAAAGATGCTTATTTTGAAAGTCTGGCTCCTCAGAGAATGTCACTGTCAGTATCTTCTGTATCTTTACAACGTGAGGCGATTGATAAAGAGCTCTCATTCCCAGTTCTGCAGGCTCTGCGGGCACCGCATTTTGCGTGCGTTTTGTGAACACTTCGATGCATGGGGTCAGTGAACCATTTGTGTCGAGCGCATTTAAATTATTTGGCCTTGTTCCGCCGACCCATGTGCCAGAGCAACAAGTTCCGGATCCCGATTTTCCTACCGTGACATTCCCGAATCCTGAAGAGAAAGGTGAGCATGCGCATCTTGTACGGTGATGATACTCATATCTCGTAATCGTTTAGGAGCATTGGTGATTTTTCCTACTGTCCGTTGTACTTCGCTTCTGATGCCTTTTAGGATCTGGCGATGAAAACGGCCGCCAAGAACAATATCAACTATGTTTTAGCTCAAGATCCCGTAAGCTTACCGTCGTCATCTCCCTAAGGTTGAAAACGTTTACTGGACATTCGTCAGGATTCTGACCGCTTTGCTGCAGCTGAGCGACAGTAAGAATCTTAACTTGCGCATACCTGAATATGCTGACTACACACGGTATTCAGACCAACGGGAGAATGGATTGCCTTTACGGGAGATCAACTGGGGGTGCTTTTCGCTGCTTGCATACTGGAAAGGTACCGCCGTAGCGGAAAACCCCTTGACAAGCTAGCGATGGTCGCGTCAACTGTAAGCTCTAAGATGGTCGAAGCCATGGCCAATGTCGAAGGGTTTAAATTTGTGGAATGCCTCACTGGTGAGTTGTGACTATGAGAAAAGTAGCGAACTTTTCAGTCTTACAGATATATGAGGTTTCAAATACATCGGCAATGTGGCGTTGAATCTGGAACGGCAAGGCTATGAAGTGCCTTTCGGTTATGAGGAGGCTATCGGATACATGTTTGGCCCCGACATCAGGGACAAGGATGGAGTTGCAGCAACACTGGTGTTTGCTCAGCTGGTAGAGTCCCTTGTCGCTCGCCAAAAAACGGTCAACCAGTATCTGAATAATCTGTACAAGAAGTAAAGTTTTCTACCCGCTCTCTACTTATTTCCGGGATCTAATCTTTTGCAGATACGGGCATTTTGTGGTACGAATAGTATACATCTCGAAAGCCACGGTAAACCTGAATTTATTCCAGACTAGTAATAGCTATTTTATTTGCAGCGATAGCCCCACAATCGACTCTATATTTGCACGCCTGCGTAATTTTACCGTACGTTTTTGTATTATTGATTGAGAATAGCCGATTCACTTCATGCTAATAAACAGGAAAGCATTTCCGAGTCGTTCAACTATCCTACGGAAATAGCAGGCATGTCTGTAACAAGGGTAGTCGATTTGACCACTGGATACGATAGCGCAAATCCTCCGAAGTTTAAGCCGTCGCTTCCGATCTCTTCTGGACACATGGTACAGTTCAGGGCAGAGGACAAAGAGAAAGGTGTCAAGATCGCGTTGACCATTCGGTATATGCATCGATATTCTTGGATCTTTATAGACAGACGCTAACATATACATAGGACGAGTGGAACCGAACCCAAGGTATGCTCCTCAAACGGCATTTCTCATGAGTAATGACATCCTTTATTCCAACAGATCAAGTACTATTTGGAAGGAAATGGGTATGATCGTGAAATATTGGTATCCACCTTGAGACAGGTAGTCGATGAGTTGGGCGACAAGTGGTTGGAAGCCAAGAACCACAACCTAGGCCGCCCTTGAAAGTTTCGAACAAGTCGGTTGTTCACACTTAATCTGTGAATCATGCAATAAAGTGTCGTGAAGAAAATGATGCCCAGATTATAGATTGCAAGAACAGTGCGACGATTATGCAGAACATGATAACAAACGGAGTAGATGAGAATACGGCAACACAAGGGTATGAAGGTAAAGCCAGCTTAGTGGTTAGTATGATTTTATCTAAGAAAGCGTAGTAATAATCTCCACATCGTGAACAGAAAGAAAACAATAAGCAGTTATTTAGCAGTAGCGGTCTTAGAATAACGGGTTAGCAAGGAAATGAAGAAATGATCCGATCAACTTACAGCATATCCATTGAGGGTACGGCTCGAATGATAAGTTGAAAGACTCTGTGGCTGAGAGGCTCGATACGACCTTGAAGTGCCGAGCGTCGAGGCATGGGAAGAGTTACTCGGGGTGGGCGGTGCGGCATTGCTGCCAGTAGCTCGTGACGATCGTGCAGTGAGAGGTGTCGGCGCGCTAATGAGAGACTTCTTGGGTGTTTCTGTTGTGTCCTTTCGACGGCTGCTGAGACTGGGTGTAGACAGTGTGCTCTTCGAAGTCGATGTTAGCACTTTAGTCCGTCGACCTCCGGTAACGAAAGGATGTCGTAGAGCTGAAGCTGGTTTAATACGGCGCTCGGGGTCCCAAACAAGGCATTTAGAGATAAAGTCGACGAAATCGTCATCATTGCACCGTAGCACTTGAGCCAGAGTTTTTGATCCCGGTCTACGGCGGCGTCCTTTGGAATTAGTAACCAGCCGAGGCGCACCACTTGGGTCTACTGGTCATCAGGTTAATGAGCACAGGTATCGAAAGGGCGATCAACTAACCAAAGAAAAGCTTTTTACGAGAGCTCTTGTTGACAAAATCTTTATCCGGGGTGCCGAGTACTTCCATGATACAAGATAATTGTTCTTGTTCATTCTCGCCAGGAAAAATAGGGAACCCCGTATAAAGTTCCGCGAGAATGCACCCCAGACTCCACATATCGATAGCCATGTGATAGTTCATGCCAAGAATCACCTCTGGTGACCGATAGAACCGGCTTTGAATGTACGTATAGACTGAGAAGCGATTTAGATAGTTTGCTACGGGCACAAAAAAGGATGCTTACTTTTCTCAGTTTCAAAACAGCTGCTTCCAAAGTCAATTACTTTGATACCACTCTTGGCAGGATGGCGCAGTAGGACATTCTAGCATTCATCAGTCGACCGCTAATAAGGTACACAACAAAAGCGCACCTCCGGCTTCAAGTCACAATGGACAATGCGATGATGTCGCATGAGTGACAAAGACATTAGCATTTGACTCGTAAAACGTCGAATCAATGCTGTAGTGAAACCCACAAAACCATTTGCCTTGATCAGCTCGTAAAGATTTATACTCAGAAGTTCCATCGCAATACACAGATGGTTGCGGAAATAGAAGTGCTCAGTCATTTTAATGACATGATGTTTCTCGTCCTCGTCCTGTTTCACAAGGATGAGTTTCTCTGACATTAACAATCACAAAGAAGACAAACCCATTTACGAAGGTTGTCCAAAATCTTGATCTCGACCAGTGCCTGGTGGTGAAATCGTTTCTTGTTGCGAATGATCTTGATTGCTACCGACTCGCCAGAACAATGATCGCGGCAATGAAGCACCTGTCCAAAAGAGCCTTTTCCCAATGTGTCGATAACTTCATACCGATATGCCAAATGATCATGATTGATGACTTGATAGTCGCCCCGCTCGTCATCATAACCATAATTATTAGAAGAATTGTCAGGAGATGCCATTTTCTTTTTACTTCGTGCGCCGATACAGTACACGGAAGGGAAATCCAGGATCTCTTTGCGCTCATAATCAGAGAGATATTGGCTTTGAGACCCTTTAATAATGGCTAAAGTCAAATATGCTCTAGTCAAAACGCGAGTAACTGAACGCATAAAGATACGCACATAAAGGGGAAGAAGGTTTTCCTGGAGGTAGAGGTTCCGGAAAACGAAGCAGTTCGTCCAATTCTTCTTGCGTCGCACCATTCGCGATCTTCTTCGCTTGCTGGCGCTTGATGTAATGCATCATTTCCTCGTCCCCGAGAAGCTCTTCCTCATCAACAGAACTGGGCGCGGGAGAGGGTGTAGATAACGACTGCCGACTTGACGATGCAGATGCTATGGCCTGGTGTATGTTGTGCGTGCTCGTGCTATTCGAGGATCGGGCAGTGGGCAACGATATCTTCGGACTGAGAAGTTTGAGGCCTTTAGAGGGCGAGAGCGCAGAGAACCGGTGATGGTGGTGAGACACTGGTGGCGCATCTGTTGCAGCTGCAGAAGTTGAGAGGGATGCCACAGATGAGGTAGACGATTTCCGAAGTCCAGTAAATGATATTGAGTCACGATTACTCTTGCGCGGGAGGACACCTGAAGTCGATGACGCATTTCCAGATGCTTGACGAGGCACGCGAGACGTTGTCAGCGTAGAAGGGGATGATCTTATACCTTTTGTCGTTGAACCGGTTCCTGTCCTAGCTCCCGATGTGCTATCCATTACGCCAAATTCGTTCAGCTCCGTTGGGGAGGGGTTAACTGAGGTGGGAATCGCATTGACCGTCATGCTTGTCCGTCGGTTAGATAACGTCAACGAGCCTTTCAAAGGTGGAGACGGAGCTGCTGACGTTCGGCTGGATATGCGAGGGATCTTCGTCGGTGTCTCCTTGGGATGTCCCAATATCGAGTTCGTCAATGGAGATGGAGCAGGCTCTTTCAGATCCTTCGACACGTTCCCCACGGAAGGCGACCCTGCAATAGTAGGTAACTGATTTCGGCTGCGAAGCGACGCATCAGACTGTTTCTGCATAGAGCTCATAGTTTGGGCAGTCGCTCGGGATGATGTTCCACGAGCTGGGGTCGACGTTGACGACGAGTTAGAAGCCTTCAATCGTGCAACGCGCTGTGCTGTTGCTGGCTCTAGCGCTGACATTTGCATCGGAGGCAAATTTACGGGCGACTTTGGTTTCCGGGGATCCGTAGAGGAAACTGTCTAGTAGCAGCCACAAGGTCATCACGGAATCTAACGATTGAAAAATTTCACGTACCTTGCCCCGCTTCCTACCCATGAGCACTGAGATCCTGCTCTCACTCCTTTCCTTGTCTTCCTTCTTCTTCTCTAAGCGCGCCTTCTCTGAATCTTTCCGAGGAGAATCTTTTACGGACTCTCTCGAATCACTGTGAAGACTCTTCCTTGAACTTGACCCTTTCAGTAATGAAGGAAGACCTAAACTCAACATGGACGACTTCTTATGGGCAGAGGTTGACGGAGGGTTGTAATCGAAACCAGGAGAAGTACTCCGTTTGCTAGTCAACATTATAGCGGAATTGCCTGGGAGCGTCGGAGAAGACGATGTCACGATACTCGATGGGGGCAACTGCATTGACTGAGACGATGACCTACGGAAGAAGGGGATAGAAGAAGGCGTGAGTCGCTTAGATTGACCGCGGCGAACAGAAGACGAAGGGCTTAATGGCGCCTGCGGTGCGGCCAATGCAAATGTATGGCTCGTGCTTGCGCTAGAATCTGTGCCCGACCGGCTTGCGACAGCGCCCCGTTCGGGAGTTTTGGACGGGGGGGCTGGTGCTGGTGTACGAACAGATCCTATAGACGACAAGGAGGCGAGCGATGAGACGGAAGCCATCGCATCCGGTTGCGTAGGGGACCAAGGGACGCTGGGAGGTACAGAGTGCGATAACGCCTGATCTTTAGAAGTGGATCTGCGTATCTGTTGACCGAAGGTGACAGCTCGAGGACTAAGCGGGAAAGCGCTAGATCTATGGCTCGAGGAAGAAGGCGATCCCGACATGAGGTTCAGTGCATTAGAGAAACTCCATTTCTTGGATGGTGTCTTGTGAACAACTGGGGTCGATTCAGGAGCCGAGTTCATGCTACTGCTCGTATATCCTGATGAATTGTGCTGGCTCTGCCGTCGGGCCGAGGACACTTCTAATGAAGGATTCACGCTAGGTATCTCAAGGCGATCGCTGCCGGAGTGCTCATGGCTGATCCGTTTGTCTTCGTCTTCCGCAATAGCTGGAGACGGCAAGGTTGCTCCCGCAGCTGTTGAAGGTGGTGACCTGTAAGCAGACAATAAGTCTTTCGGCAAAGGTGGCACCGGAGGAACATCGGCATCATCTTGAGTATCACCATTTACGGCTAGTGACGCTACACGATCCTTGAGCGAAGTGGCGTCACTCGAATGTACGCTGGAAATGTCACTGCCTGCACTGTTTCTACGCGCCTTGCGCAAAGAAGCGGCTGAAACAGATGTTGCACTAGTGGCTGCAGACATCTGAGCGGAATCTCGTGAGCTGGTTGTTGGAGTGCTCCCGTACGTGGTCGACGAAGCAGAACCACGCTTGGGTGTGAAACTGGATCGGGCACTCCCAGTACCGTTCTTTTTAGGCGTCTTCTCTACGAGGTGGGGATAAGGAGGTTGCTGCTCGTCACTGCTGATGGCACTTCCAATGGGTTCGACGTCAAGAAGGGAATCTTCCGGAGCATGTAAGCCAAGGCCCAAAAGTTGACGCTGAGCGAGGTCTCTTTCTCTCGCAGTGCTCGCTGTACGGTTAGGTTTGCCTTCCCCAACACCTTCCCTTTGGTTGCCAATCTTGGCCGGAGTCCCAGGCCGGCTTCCAGGCCGACTGAGACTAAGGGGACGACCAAGGCTACCAACACTTGCCCTTGTCCGAGCACTACGCCCAGATAGACCATCCAGCTTCCGTAACGCCTCGGCCGTAGCCTCATCGTCCATACCCGACCATCCTTCCTGCGTTCCCCGAAGTAACGAGTGAGCGACGTTAGCGGAATTATGCGATAGGTGTGGCTCTCGAGTTGGATTCAGAGGTGGCGTATGTAGGCCATTACTGCTCGCATGTCGAAGAAATTGCTGGATCGACGAAGAAGACGGCGAAGGTGGCAGATGAGAGAAATCAGTAGTATGGACGCGGCGAGGATGCACATCAGTATAGCTTGAGGATGATGAACTAGCAGAAGCTTGTCGTGTATGTTTCTCTTTCGCAGGAGGAGCAGTCTTGACGTTGCTGCTGGTGGAGAGACTAATGCTTTCTCTTTTTCTGATCTTTGATTCTCGTGTCGAAGTCGAAATGCTCCCCGAGTTGAGACTGCGATGGCGACGAGTAGACGGTTTCTCCTCCTTGGCCTTTGACCCAACATGCTTCGACACAAGAGAGCCTGTCTGATCCAATTCAAACTCATCTGAACTACGCTTCTTTGCTCTACGGACTGGATGAGAAAATGCGCTGGGAGGGGAACTAGACTCAGAGAGGGATAACTCGGGCACTTGGGGTGACAGCTCTTCAGCGAAACTGGCGCCAAACGTAGGCTTTGGAAGCTTCGGAGCGGGTCCGGCTGCTTTCCGAGGGTACAAGATCTCTTCTCCTCCACTCTCCTCAGTTATTGAGGGTCGTGCCCGGAGAGGATGAGAAACTGGCGCCATATTGACAACCTGTTTGGATATGAGGAAACGCAGGGAAAGGGAAAGACAGTGATAACGCACATCTTCTTTTTCGGAAGACTCGCCATCTACGGCCTCAATGGTCCATGGGCTGTCCGGTACATCATCTTCTGTAGCATCCGCTGCATCAACGACCTGGTAGGGCTCATTTTCCAAGAGTGCTTCTGGAATGGAAATCTTTTCCTCGCTGCCACTGTTGCTGCGCGTCCATCGAGGAGTAGCGAGCTCTCCTACGCCAACCAAACCTCGCCTATCAATGTTCGCAGGATCCCTTGCAGGGGTGACGGGCTCTGTGATAGGTCTACTCTCGGGGGTGGCCCTCAGAGACGGTGCAGTTGGTAAAGGAGGAGGATAAGGCGAATCCGAGCCAGATTGAAGACCAAAATAATAAGGGTCCAGAGAGGAAGTCGTGGAAGTGGAACGAGACGCGGGGTAATCCGAATCCATCGGTGGCAACTCCTGCGCAGGGGATACAAGCACACTGGGCTAGAATAGATGTCAGGGTAGAACCCAATGAAAGATGATAAAAAAAAGGAGAAAGAAAGATACGAACCTGGACCGTGCGAGATGAATCGGCAAGAAACCCATCGTCGCGTTCATCACGATTGTCAAGGTCACTGGATAGTGGACTGGATCCAGTGTTTATCTCTAGTGTCGGAGGGCGCTCCCTTCTCTTGAAGCTGGTATTTGGAGCCACCGGGGATGGTGATGTCGACATGTAGGAAGGACAAAAGAGAAAGAAATAGAGAGAAGAAGAAAAAGGAAGGACGACGAGGCAATGCTGACCGCTGGCCACGAGAGAGCAGCCCCGGCTGCTCGACGCTGAGAACGACGGTGACGGTCGGAGGTTGCTGTGGGAGTCCGTGCGCTCGTCGTCGTTCACCGCATGTCCTGGGTTTGTCCTTGCTTGTCTATACCCTCAGAGACTGGGGGTTGAGGTAAAAATATATTGATTTTGGTATTTCTTTCTTTTGTATAACATCTTAGTGGATGTTTTAGAAATTATGGAAAGAGTATGTTGGAGGACGTGAAGCGAATACCAGAGCTGTCACGTCAGTAAAGTGGAAAGCAGCGGTGGGTGGGTTGGAAGTGCTTGTATGCGGTATGAGTATGTGATATTTTTTTTGTGTCTGGACCTCGTGTACTGACGGTATTAGGGCAGGTTGAGGATGGAACAGGGAGAGGCAATATGCCGGTGAGGGACGTACAACACGAAGGGATTCATGGTATACTGCTTGTTATGGGCAGGTACGTCCCTGTCATGTGGCTTACCCAACGGTTGGGCCGGCGAACAACCATTACCACCCTTTACTCATTACTTCCATTATACTTCCATTATATCGCCTTGCTCTGCCCTTGCTTCCCTTCAGCGCGTCAAGGCGCAGTTGGTTTCAATTCCATGTCCTCAAATGACCCCGACCCGGACGATATCCTTGATTCTCCCTCGACAACAGATTCCCTTTCTCCGCCTATAACGATACATCCTCTGGCCTATCCACCCATGTCTCTGCACATGTATCCGTATCCACAAGGCCTGGTTCCTACTCAGCCTCTCCGCTTGAAGCGTCGTCAGGTCAAGAACGCATGCACCAATTGTCAGAAGGCCTGCAAAAAGTGCGACGACGCCAGGCCCTGTCTTCGCTGTGTCAAGTATGGCGTCTCTGAGGAGTGTGTCGACTCGCAACGCAAGGAGCGAAGGAAGGGGATTAAGCGAGGCCCCTACAAGAAGCGCGATGGAAAAGGTATGTACCGCTCTCTTGCAGCCGCTTTCCTCGTCGCAAGTGATGACAATTGACCTGGAGATCGCGCAGGCAATGCCTCTGACCAGGTCGACGACCCTCAAGGCTTGCCTATCAATGGAGTTCCGGCCCAACCCTCCGGTTCTCCCCCTACTGCTCCCTACATGGGGCCTGTAGGTTATCCTCCGGGTTACTATGGTCAATATCCGCCGCCGCCTCTCGGAAAGCCTGGAGAGGCGGCTTCTTTCTACCCTCAGTTTTTCATCACCTCTGTCCCACCACCTCCTCCGTCTTTGCAGCATACCCAGGAGGGCGATGCACAGGCTTATCCCCCTCAATCTCCCCCCCAGTTTTATCCAACCACCTTCCTTGCTCCGTATGCCCAACCATATCCATCATACGTCGTAGCCAGGCCGGATTCTCAGGTTCAGATGCCCGCGGCGCCTTATACATATCCGTCGCCAGTGTATGGGAAGCAGCCGGTTGAAATGGGTATCGCCGGTGATCACAACGGAGTCGACAAGTAGTTCTGTGGATGCGGTTCTTTTTTTGCTGTTCTTGAACGTGTTTTGTATTTATCTCTACATACACTCCTTGCTCGCTATCTTTGCTTAATATTTGATGCTTCCCTCCTTGTACATTCTAGCTACACCTGTATACATGCTTCCAAAATGAATAATCAGTAGTCGTGTTCTCTTTCATTGAATAGCCCCATCGTGATCCTGATACGCTTCATGGAGCGTGAAAATTTCCGTGTCGGTCACGTACTCTTCACGAAATGCGTTCACACGTACACCCCTCGACGTGTATTTGCGTTGATCGCGAAAAAAATACGATCGTGACGATCGCGTCGCGCAGGAAAAGAACCGCCACCGTGTACACGCTAGGTCTGGAAAAAGAAATGGTAAGAGACTGGGTAATCGGGAAATATGACAATGGAGCTCCGATTTCAAGGTCCACAACCCATTGCCAAACTGGGGAGGCGTCCAGTACAGCACGGCGGAGCACGGTCGCTAATATGTTAGGATTATTCGAGGGTTTGTACAGATTTCATTCAGCGTGCGAGGGAATGGGGGTATGAACGGAGCGAACCGCTGTCACGTACGACTGCCTGTCATCGTCAGGCTGGCTGGAACTTCCACAGAACGATTGGTAGATCCTAGCTCCAAGGGACGAAGCAATGCACAATTATTGTGGAGGCTGAGAACAAGGCAGGATGACACTGGTCTTCGATGTTTTGAGGGTTGTGCAGTGTCAGTTGAACCAGGGGGCTCGATAGAATATCGGGAACAATTGTACGTGTTGATCCATGGATAACAGTTTCTCGCTGATAGCGTGAAATGCTAGAGTTCAGGAATCCTGCACGAAATTGCAGGGAAACCCTCACCACAAAGGGCATGATCCCTCGTCTGCACATCATCTTGAGCGTAATGGCGTTTCCTGGGCCACCTCAGGGACAGATGCTCTGCGATAACACCATAAATCCTCGAAACGCTGGGCTTCGAGGTTACAGAGATCAGATTCACGTATTCCAGGAGTTTAACAGGTTCTGCTTCGCCTTATCAGCTCTTTCCTGGGGTCTAAGGCTGCTAGGGATGCTATCTGTAATGAATGGATGCCAGAATGAAAGCGAAAGCAGCACGATCACTATTGGCAGGAGCCCGCTGTAAGGTAAGGTGACGAAAAGAATAGGGTAACAAGGAGGAGTCTCTTCGTGAACTGGCTCCTCACGCTGGTCGGGACCTGGAACGCGCTGTGAAGGCGAAAGGATGGATATTTCCCTCCCTCGGCATGTCACCCATAGGGCTATCGGATGAAACTTGTGCTGGTGGAGGATGTCTTTGCGTTCGTTTCGTGTCCTTGCTGGCTTCTGTGACGCTGCGCCCGAACTGCAATGCAATTCGAGAAAACAGGGTGGTAAATGGCACATGTTTGCCGGATGGACATCACTTGGACCCCCTCACAGATCTAGTGCCAAAAGTATTATATGGACGACTGCTGATGTTGGTTATGATGCTACAGGTACCATGCTTGGATGGGCGGTGAACTCTGAAAGTAGCCGTCGAGCTGGTAGGCCGGATTGTTGACCTTGATGGCCATGTCCGTAGTGGAATGGAAGACTGGCCTGGGAGACTAGGGTTCAGCCTACATAGGTAGATGTTCGAGGTTTCTTTCACTGGTGTCTTCGCATGTTCTACTGGGAAGCTTGGACATCCTGACACCTGCAGAATTCTGGAAGTGAGCAGGATGCTGTCGAGGTGTGTTGAGACTGACAGATTGCTGCTGCTACACAGTCAAGATTGCGGCAGCATTGCTCCAGGTGCGCCAGGCTTCTTGGTATTTCCAAATAGATACTGAGAGACCGTCGCAGTCGCTGCCCATGTTGTCGTGGCTGCCAAAGGAAACTTAATTTACTTTTGATCTTTTATGGAGCCAAATGAAGCATACCAGCCATGGTTTCCTCTTGACGGAGTGACACCGGCTTGTCTTGGCTGCAGCGTGCAATGGCGTGGTGCGAAAGGAGAGGGCGCTACCCTTGCTGACTGGGGTTTTGCGGTCCGGCTAATTCGTCGAAAGCAAAGACCGCAGTATGCATCTGCTGGTGAATCGGTGAAGGATATGAAGAAGACGATGGGGGAAGAGGGAAGCCCGGAAAACAGCGGAAGATTTGGTGTAGCCACTGAGCCAGCTGGTTTCAAATTGAACCTCGTGCCTATCTGGTCAGCCAATTTCCTGGCTCTTGCCTCCCATGGTGGTGACTAGTGGTGACGACGCTCAGCTGGCCGTCTGTGCATTACCGCCTCATATTGGCCTTGACTGACGGTACAGGCCATCCTGATGCAATGGGCGAGGTGGTGTCGCCGCAGAGTATCATGTTTGTCACAGAAGCAATCCGTTAATACTTGCGACCAACATATGCCGCCCGGGAACATCCAGCTACGAGGCCAACAATTGGCCAGCTTGGGATGCGATTGAGGCACTGGCCTGACGGACGCTGCCAAGGCAGGCTAATCGGATCTTGCTCTAGCTTACCACTCAATAGAACACGAAACGACATTGCTCGTTCTGTCTTGCCTCCTTAACTCTAACCGACATCTCACATTAGGTCCAGCTCCACAACCATGGCGTCACCTTACTTTGGGTATTAGTATCGAGCTGGCCGCTGCGAAGCATCCCTCCCCAGCTGTTCACCACCTCACAGATCTCTCGGGTACCTTCCTGAAGAATAGAAACGTTCTCGAGTGCGCGGTTGCATGTTGTCAGTTCCTGGATGCCAACAAACGGCATTCTAATAGTGTCCAGCCTGGATAAATTGAGCGTTGCCAGACAAATGTATTAAATGGTTACATTCACTCAATATCATGGTACGATGCCTTCTTCCAGAACTATTTTTAATTTTAGAGCCTAGTAAAATACGCGGCCCTGCTTCCCGTGGCTTTTGAGTGTTGTATTTGTCATATATCAAGACCAGCATACTGGTAAACCCGTAGGTGCGTGCCCTGAAAGAGGTTGAGGTGATGACTTGCTCCGACAATACAGGGAAGCGCGTCGTGGCTCGTTTCAGAGCTCGGCCATGACGGTGTCTTTATCAGTCGAAGATACAGATACGTACTCTAGTGCAATTGGCGATTTTCGAGCTGGCGACGGAGCGGTCTGATAGAAAATCCGGGACTCATTTTAGTCTTGCCATTCTGGAACGGTCATCAATGAAGGGGAAAAAAATACTAGACAGAAACCAGAATAGACATGCAGTAATGCCCAAGACCGGTATAAAACCACACGGAGGGAGGATGTGTTTGAGTCCGTCGTATAGTAGAAGCCTTCTCCCACACGCCGAGACCTCATTGTTGAAGTTCCACGTAGTGACACTGTTATTTACCTCACCAAATCATTTTCGTACAATTTTCATCCTAGGATGTGCTCGAGAAGCCGCGATCCGAGCTCTTTAGACTTTCACATTACAGTTTCCTAAGTAGAGAAAGTTGATCCGAACCGGACCGGATCGACCACAGCCACGTGCTCTGAATCCTTCTATCTTCAAATCCACTATGTCTAGTGCTCGTTCTCGGAAACGGCGGCGCTCAGAAGCGTTTGCGAACCCAGTAAACATCGAAGTGGCACACACTAAGGACCTGGAGGATCCAGAAATCCAATCTGATGATGAGGAAAAGGTGCCAGATGACGAAACTGACGAGGCTCGACAAGTGCGCTTGGAGAAGGAGCAGGAAGTGTGGAAATCTGTGAGGGAGGAACATTTTGAAGGTACGTGCTGTGAAATATTCTCTGTCGACTCGACCATAAATCACTCGTAGTCGTGGACCAGCTCGCGCTGACAGCACAGCGGCAAATATCTCTGACCAAGGAACTTGATCAACAGTCTCATGGTTTGTATTCGTACACTCTTCAGTATGCGTGTTAAATTATTGCTCTAGACTATCAGAAGAAACTTCAGGACACCATCCGACTCTATATCGCCCATCGTCGCGCAGTGGCCGCACGTCAATTTCACCCCACCGTCGCCACAGAGTCCAACAGTAATCCTTTTCCTGATGCTCACCCTACCTCTGAAGGCGCTTCTCAAACCTCTGTGGCAGAAGTGCCTATACCTAGTATGCATCTTCGCAACGAACTGGTTCCGCCTCAGACGCCAGCTACACCGTTTCTACCACAAGAACGTGTCAAAGAGCCCACAACCTCTCGGGAAATGCTAGGCCAAATTGCGTGGCTGATAGAGGAATTGATTAAAGCTGGGGAGGAAAAGGTTAATCTAGCTGAAACCACCCACAGTGCCGTGCGTGGCTTTTCAACTTATGTTACACGTCTCCATTGACGTGTCCTCTACAGGTCAAACGGCATATCCGCCTCGTTGATCATGCCATCGCCGAACAAAGGGCTTCTATACAGAACGGAGCACAAGCATATCTGGAGAAAGTGACTATGCCCGAGAAATGGTCTAGTCGACCACAGAATGTCATGAGCGACGACTCTGAGGATGAACTCCCTCTTCCACCAAATGCCGAGCCAGAAATTATAGCCCCACCAGAACCCACCACCGCACGACGCGGAAAGAAAAAGCAAAGCACAGCACCTGCTGAGGAACAGTCAACCAGCTTGAAAATCACACTTCCTGCAGCTCCTATAACGTATACGCCAGAATCTACAGATCCTGATGAGCCTAAATATTGTTACTGCGAACGTATTTCCTTTGGAGAGGTACGACTGGCCACCTTTGGTTGGGTTTCCGAAGTTCTGACATGGTCAAACATAGATGATAGCGTGCGACAATCCGCCTTGCAAAATTGAATGGGTACGTCGCTATCGCATCCTATCAAGTACCCCGATGACGCTCAATTGTTGCCAGTTCCACCTCAGTTGCACCGGTCTGACGGAGGTGCCTTCTCAGTCAAAGAAATGGTATTGCGATCATTGCAAAGCTAGCAGAAAAAGCGGGAAGCGCAAACGTTGAACCCCCATTACTCTGACGCTTTTTGCTTTTCTTTTTTTATTCCTCTTCTTCGCTTCAACTTCCCTTAGGCCTGTCATCTCGATGAGACAGTGAATATGCTACATCGGAAAGTAATCGAATGATTCGAATCACAGCCTACGGAATGCACTGAACAACGAGAGTCCTGTGATATCGTAAGAGTAAAACCGATGAACTGGATAAATGAACTGATGATAAGTATAGGCATTTCTGGGTCAAGGTTTCTCTGGCGAATTGACGCCAACGTATACATATGTTCAAGAATCGCTTGCCAAACGATTCCCATTTCGTTCTCACATATAAATATTTGTCTTGCGTATCTTGAGTGGTGGAACCCTTTGCAAGCACTCCAGAAGGCTTGATAATCTAGCAGATCGTCAATACGCCGTGATCACAAATAATGCCACTTACCACTAGGGCAAACAGGGCTGAGCATCTGGATGGTTTTATCGTTCAGAATGTCGTTCTCCACGCGTAAACCAGCATCCTGCATGGCCTGTGATAAAATAAGAGTAAATGCGACGACACGATAACTGACAAGATCAATCGCGCACCCGTCGACGTTCAGTGCGTAATTCGGAGTACAACGATTCGTCTTACACTTGCGTATCGGTTTTCGCTTTCTGGTCAGAGAGCTCTATTACTATTTCGGCAGGGTCCTCCACGAGACTGGTATCCTCTTCGAGAGGGTCATCGGCACAGAGGTCATCCTCAGATTCAAGCTCGTTGGCCTGATGTTCTTGTCGTAATGACTCAGGACGTTTAGCGGCCGCCTGTTTACTTGTTTTGAGTTGAGGCGACTTCTGATCCTGCTTGATTTCCATGATCATTGTCTGCTTGTCTTGATCTGCAAGTAAATATCGTTGTACAATATCGAGTATTGCGGATCGTGTTGCTGAAGCAGTAAGGCCCATGATCAGAACTCTGGGGAACCTCTCCTTGAGGGCACCCAAAGCATCGTACTATTTCTGTCAGAGAGCGACCTCACCAGGCGTAAGTAGCCGATACTTACATTTCCGAAAATCCTTGCCCCATCCCGGAAGACAGTGAGCTTCGTCGATGACAAATCGGGCAAGCTTCTGCGAGTCATTCAGAGTTGAAAGTATGACCGAAAGAGGCCTGTCCCTCTTCGATATTTCGGGAGTCACGTAGACAAGGGCAGGTAATTTCCTGCCTTGTAAACGCCCTCGATAAGCTACCTCAGTCAGCTTTCGAGCGGAAATGGGAGGAAATGGTTGGACTAGGAAGAGCAATTTCTGTCTCATTTCAGGGAGCTACGATGGGTCACGACTCGGGGCTGGGAAGAATGGAGTTACAACGGGCAGAAATACAGATAGACAGAGTGTTTCAGCAGTCGTCTTTCTTGAGCACATCTCATTTGTGATTGCATGTATTCGACATTCTAATGTTTGGCTACACAATGAGGCTGAGCCCCGAGATATCATAAAGGGAACTCAGAGCCGTACCATAGCTGATGTAAGAGATACACATCTCCAGCTTGATGAGACCTACGGCCATACTCTCGCTTTAACTCTAGACTGTATTTCAGGAAATTTGAAAGAGTCTCGAAGGATAACTGTAGGATGGATCTAAGCTGTACACAGCAAGTATGTGAATGATTAAAATATGCACAGAGTGGAGTTGAGAAAAGCCACTTGTAGATGTATTTGCTTTTGTTCTCCTTGTAGGGCTGGATATTGAACTGCTTGAAGCTGCTCGGAGTGCACAGTCACAATCTGATGCATACAAGTTCCAGAGTGACTGCTGGTGCTGTTTGTTGTCAAAGGTGCAACATCTGGGTGGCTAAGTGTCAACATCTGGAGACTGTTGCAGGCAGGTTATTTTTGCGCAGTGAATAATGGCCAGGCTGAGTATGATGGTCAATTGCTTAAAGGCAGTTGACCATTGACTCAGAATAAAACTGTCTATGCTTATATAAGGTTGACATCAGGTACTTGTGTCATCCCACAACACTCCTCCTTGACACAATACTTCTCAGAGTTCAAGACCCAACAGCCTGATCATGTGAGTCATCTTCTCCTTCCTCAAGGCTTTTGTGAAGATGTCAGCAGGCATGTCTTCTGTGTGAAGATGTCCAATATATATGTGCTCTTGCTCAACCTCATCTCATAACCAGTAGAAGCAGAGGTCGAGATGTTTGACATGACCATGATGGTCAGGATTGTGAGTGACAGAGAGAGCAGACTGGTTGTCAATCAGCAGTGGGGATGGTGACAGATGATAGAAACCAAATTCTGTGAACAGATTTCACAGCCACAGAATTTCCTGTCCAGCAGAGATGACAACCACATATATTCAGCCTCTGTGGTCAATAAGGTTACTATAGATTGTAGCTGGCTCATCCAGCTGACTGCATGTGTGCCCATCTTAACAACATATCCTGAGGTTGAGCACCCATTGTCTGGATTTCCACTATGATCTGCATCTGTATATGTTTTGAACAGCCTTGGGTTTGTAGCATCAGATGAATATGTCAATTTTAGGTCGATTGTCCCTCTTATGTATCTGAGGAGGTGTTTCAGGGCCTCCCAATGCCTCAATCTAGAGTTTTTGCTAAACTGTGATAGGATGCTGACTGCAAAAGCTATGTCAGAATGAGTGGCAATGGCCAAATATGCTACAGAGCCAAGGATCTGGAGATATGGGATGTGCTGCATGGTTTTCCATTTCTCTAGAGTAGCAGGGGACATCGAGCTGGATAGCTTAGTGTGTGGATCAAGAGGAGTACTGACACTGTTACAGTCAGACATTCCAGTATGTTCTAGGATTTTTTGGATGTACTGTGGTTGAGAGAGTGTGAGTGTTCAGTTTAAATGGTCTCTGTGTATTTTGACACTGAGGAGGAATGAAGTTGGATCTAAATCATAAAGTTTGAAGTGCTTCTTGAGGTCATTGACAACATGTTGTGCAGACTATGGACTTTGTGGCAATTATTACATCATCAACAAATACAGAGATGATAATCTGAGCATCATCTCTCTTGTACACCCATATGCTGTGTTCACAGCATACTCTGTCAAAGCCTATCTTAGTCATAGTGCTGTGGAGCTTTTTGTGCTATTCATGTGTTACAATTTTTCTATTTTCCTTTTGTATTAACCCTTATTTATACTTAGTCAGAGCATCTAGATCAGCACTTAAGACTGTGAGATTGGCTTAGTCATCATAACAAGCTCAGTTGGTCATTGTCTTTCAATGCAACAGCATTGCTTAGTGATACACAACAAGACTTTTGTAGACAGTAATAATACTCAAGGACAAAGAGCACAATGACCACAAAAGATATAATAAGTACAGTTGACTATCTCACAATGCATGATGTTGAAATGTATAATTCTGACTTTGCATATGGATTGGGCTGGAATGCAGTTGAAGAGCAGGAAAATAGGCTAGAAATGCATATCACATAATGCATATAGTTCTAGTTAGGAATATGCATTGTCAGATTAAAAATTATAGTAAGCTGATATGATATTATACATATATTAAAACAATAAAGAACATAATTTGTTTGTATGGACTATGACAAATATAAAAAAAATTATTATAAAGCGATGCTGTTAGGAACGTGCCAATCGAGTGGGCTTGAGTGCACATGCAGAGTCCGGCAGAGTGCATGGGCATTGACGAAGCTATTGGCAATGTCACCCTTGAGTTGGAGTCTAAGGATCTGGATGGACAGAATGGAGTTCTGTCAGAGAAGTGAACAGGAGTATCCTTCGGAGCGGAATCTGACGGATGAGATAGGGAGGAGTGAGTACAAAGTGTAGATGGCTTATCCAAGTTGATAATCGAACTGAGTAGCTATGATGATGTACATGGCTTTATATACTAATAGTAGCTAATTCCGAGTCAGGTTCCATTGGGTTCCGGTGTCGGTATTCATTACCGAGTTCAGGGTCTAGATATTACAATGTGAAATACAGATGTGAAATGATACTGATGAAATGAAATTAGTAGGTAATGGGAAGCAGTCAGAGTCCGGTGGGTAGTGTGATTGGATTCGCGGTTGGTTGAGGTGACATAGAGGCTGGTGGCATGCGCCTAACAGTATCCCCCTCTTAGTGTTCTTGCCCTCAAGAGCACAGATCCTGATGGCCGGTGAGGCCACATGGAAGATTGTTGGTGGCTGTAAGAGTTTTTTCAGCTTGTTCTGAAACCACCATCTTCGCCTATGTCGTCGCTCACACACTCCCAAGCCTTTGGTGAGGGGATCCACCCCTGATGGCCTTAAAGAGGCCAAGGAATTGTTTCATCTGGAATGGCGAACCGCAGAGGAAGAATATGTGGAGGCCATGGAGAGCCATTTAGAATGGCAAGGGGAGCAGGAGTGGGAGGAAAGGGTCCGGGCAGACCATATGGCCCAGGAGGTGCAGAAAAAGGAGCAGAAGGAGGAGTTGGAGAGAAAGAGAGAGGAGGTTCGGCAGGCCATAGAGAGGCAGGCTAAGAAGGCATTGAAAGAGGCGGCTCGGAGGGAAGCTGAGGAGAGGGAGGCCGCGGAGTCAGCGGCGAGGGCTGAGGCTGAGGAGGTAGAGCTGGAGGGGATGGTTGCAGAGGATGGGTTGCAAATGACCCCTGTGGAGGCCGTTGATTTTCAGCTGTATCAAGTGTTGGTGGAATGGTTTGGTCCTGGCCCTGGTCTTCACTTCAAGAAGGTGACTTGCCCTATGCCTCTGGAATCCAATGATGAATGGGACAAGGGGACTGAGGGGGATGATGAGTCCGAGGAATCCGAGGGGACTCTGGAGAGGAGGAAGAAGGTGCAGGAGGAGAAGAGAAGGGCAGCAAGTCTGGCGGAGAAAGGCTGTAAATGCAAGTTCAGGTCGAGGAGCGTAGTGGATGGCAGTGGGACAGAGGTGGTTGTTAGCCCCAAAAAGCGGGCAAAGTTGGAAGTGGCGGGACCGGCAGGAGGCGAGGAATTGTTGGATGGTGAAAGTAAGTGTCTTGGTTTTCTTTCATGGCTCAACTTGGCTTTTTTGTTTTTAGGGAGTTGTGTGCGCTGTTGTCAAGATGGTGTCCAGTGTTATGCACGCCTGGTAACCGAAGGTGCCAGTCGAGGGCAGACTTGCTCTTGCTGCAAGATCAAGAAAACCGCCTGTTCGTTCAACAAGGGGGTCACCATGAGCGAGATGATCAGCAGTGTGGAGGTCTCCGCCGGTCTCCACCAACTTTCACAATTGATACACAAGTTGATGCGTCGCATGGATGAGTTGGCAGACGAGGTGGCAGATGTTCATGATACTGTGGCAGGTCTTCAAGATGACTACAGTTCCGATGATATGTCGTCTCCTTCGGAGCTGTTTTTGGAGTCCAAGGTGGAGGCCTGGAAGAAGGCCTGACTGATTTTCAAGGATGAGAGGGATCAGGAGGTGGAGGATCTTTGGGAGGCGATGTTAAAGGGGCTGGACAAGGATATAGAGGAGTTGAAGGAGCAGGGGGAGAGTTCGGGTTCTGGTGCAGGCCCATCGGGTTTCGCTTCTTTATAAATATTTTGTACAAAATGTATATAGAAAAGGGGGTCGGATGTTGGTGGTGGAAAAAAAAATGTAAATGCAAAAAAATTTTTTGACTTTGAAAGTGTAGGAAGGGTGATTGATCAGTGGTAATTAGTGGTTAGAATTGAAATGGTAAGGTGGGGCGATGGTGGTGTCCAGAGTAGCACTGTATTAGGAATGGGATGTTTGAATAACTTTGGACAAGGGTCCTGGTTTGTCTGAGTATTGGTGGTGAAATTCTTCAATAAATTCATCAGCGGAGAACTTGGAGGCCAATAACCAAGCAAATTCTTCGTTGGTACCTTCGTATCCTAGCCACTGGATGTTGTACAGCAGTGGGCAGCAGAACCGGCGGTCCAGTTTAGAGTCGAGGATTTGGGCTATTTTGAAATGTTCTTCTCCATCAACTTCGACTGAAGGCGGTGGTGGTTGGATTCGGTTAGGAATGGTGTTTTCTTCTATGGGTTCCAATTGTGACACATGGAAGATGGGGTGAATGGACCAGAGGTCTGATGGAAGCCTCAGGGTAAAGGAGTGGGTACCAGGTTGGGCTATGATTTCGAAAGGACCAAGGTATTTCTCTGAGAATTTTCTAGTTGGGCGGGTGGTTTTGATATGTTTGGAGCTGAGGTAGACCTTGTCTCCCACTGTGAATGGAGGTGCCAGAATCTGGTGCTTGTCTGCTTGGGTCTTGTAGCGAGACTAGGCTTCAAAAATTTCATCTTTTAGTAATTGATGGAGTTCATCAA